ACAAGGCTATTGGCACTATGAAGCCCGGCATGGTGCGTCTCTTTCTCGTATTTTGCATGTGTCATCCTTGCTGATGCGTCATGTAGGTCTTCACAGTCGAACCTGTATGTGGCCAGGCGACCGCATTCAATACGTAATTACTGACCTGCTCGTTTTTTTTATTTGTATGTCACTAGATGATCAACTTGGGTCATAACTGGGACGTGATGCACTGGCCTGATGAATGGACTGCGACTACTGTTGATGGCAAGCTGAGTGCTCAATTCGAGGACACCCTCCTGTAAGGGTCTAACCTGCTCGGTGAAGTCTATCGCTGACAGTTATTCCTTGACTGTAGAATTACCGAAACCGGTGTAGAAAACCTCACTGCGGGCAAGCGAAGAGCAGATCTGTATGATTAGACTATTGCCCTTGGTGTATCATTCTTGCTTAATGTACGAGGACTCGATCCACGAGTTTCCATGGTCTTCTGGAGAACGGTGCTCAATATCGTCTTCCGAGAGATTCGTCCCCGAGGTGCTTTCCACATTCCCCGCGAGGGGCCCGTCATCTTCGTGGCTGCTCCGCATAACAATCAAGTATGTGCCGTTGATTAATATAACGGACGCATAGCGACAGGTTAATTACCGTGGCACAGTTCGTCGATCTTCTGTTGGCCTTGGAAGTCAATCGAGAAACGCGGAGGAAAGTCCGGTTTCTGGTTGCGACGAAGAGCATGAATATTGGTCTCTTTGCCAGACTTCAGCGCAGTAGTACGGGTTCTTTCACTATCCAACAAGACCAGCTCTGACGATGATTGTAGCACCGGTCATTCGAACTGCAGATGAGGCGAAACCCGGCATTGGTCCAGTATCCATCTCGGAAGTGGATCCTTGCATAGTCATCGGAGATGGTACCCACTTCCTATCAGAGTTCCAACCCAAAAATGCAAATAGTGCTCCCTAAATCAATTCATTCTCCAATCGCTGAGGTCGTCGAGGTGATGTCCGACACTCAATTGCGGATCAAGAAGGAATTCGGAGGGGACAGCGGGAAGGGTACGGCTAGGATCAGGGAAAAGCTGCAGGAGCTGCGCTTGCAGGGGAAGGAAGGGCTTGAGTTCAAGCGGGTCCCGCACCTTGATCAGCAGGAGATGTACCATTACGTCTACCAATGCCTCACCGAAGGAGGGAGCATTGCTATATTCCCTGAAGGTGCGCGTCTACATAAACAGAAGGATCACTGTGCTAACGGTTGACGTAGGAGGTAGCCATGACCGCACAGACCTGCTTCCTCTCAAAGCAGGCGTCGCACTCATGGCCCTGGGAGCCATGGCAAACGATCCAAGTGTCAAGGTCCAGATTGTGCCAGTCGGTCTATCATACTTTCATGCCCACCGTTTCCGCTCGCGCGCCGTGGTGGATTTGGAACAGCGTTCGACGTGCCTCAGGACCTGGTGGACATGTACAAGCAAGGAGGCGCGCAGAAGCGGCAGGCCGTGGGCAAACTGTTGGATTGCATCTACGATGCACTGAAGATCGTGACGATGCGCGCACCGGACTATGATACACTTATGGTGTGTGCAATCCTGTCGCTCCCTTTTGAACTAAACATGATTACTCTTTGCAGTTGTGTCAGGCAGCACGACGTCTGTATGAGACACCCGGACAACACCTTACTCTCGGACAAGTGGTAGAGCTCAATCGCCGCTTCCTCGAGGGCTACTTGCACTTCAAGGACGAACCCAAGGTGCAGAAGCTGCGCACTGATGTTCTCAAGTACAATCGCATGGTCAGGGATCTTGGCCTGCGAGATCATCAGGTCTGTCAATATGAAGCATACATCCACGATCCGTCTCACAATGGGTGGAAATAGGTTCCTCGCGCCCAGAAAGCGAGCTGGAAGATACTGGGCCCTCTGGTGTACCGCCTCGCGCTCCTCATAGTATGGTCAGTTCTAGCGCTGCCAGGCGTCATCCTCAACGCGCCCATCTTCCTGACTGCATTGGCCATCTCGCGACGGAAGGCCAGGGGTGCGTATGCATCACGAACCAGCCGCGTATATGCTAACTGGGCCGCACAGAGGCCCTCGCTGCGTCCTCCGTCAAGATTGCCGCACGCGACGTCATGGCGACGTGGAAGATACTGATCTCGCTCGGCATGACGCCCCTGCTCTACGGCTTCTACGCATTTATTGCGGAAGTGATCATGTTCAGAGCTAATGCTCCTTTGGTGTGGAAGATCTGGACTCCACCGCTGGTCATGATTATCCTGCCCATGGTGGCCTATGCTGCGCTCAAGTTTGGCGAAGCGGGGGTGGACGTTTTCAAGTGAGTTGAATTTCAGCGTGTTCCCCTCGATAGAGCAGTCGACTGAGCTCTATCGGAGGTCCCTGCCCCCACTCATAATCGCGCTGGTTCCCGGCCAGTCACGCTCGCTGGATCGCCTCAAAAGCATGCGGATTAAGGTGTCCAACGAACTCGCGGAGATCGTGAGTCAGTTTGGTCCGAAGCTGTACGACGACTTCGACGCAGTAAGTCGTGGTTCTTGAACCAATTCTCGTTGATAATAGCTCACGATAAATAGCGTCGGATTCTCATCCCGTCCGCAAGCGCACCACCGTCCACCGGCCAGCCGGGCATCTGGAGACGGAAGAGCAGCACAGGTGGAGTAGACAGTCAGGGAAACCTGCTCGTCCATCCGATGGTGAGGAGTTCTACATGATGACAGACTAGAAAGGATGCTCATATGCTGCACGGACAGACCTGGCTCGACGAACGTCTCTTTGGGTGGAGCAGAAGCGCGTGGTCCGGATCCGGCTCGCGCAGCCAGACGGCGAGCAGCGCGGTCACGCCGGAGGGTTCCGACGTAGAGGAGGAGGGCGACTACGACGACGTGCTCGGGTTCCTGGAGCAGACGGCGCACCCGCAGCCGCGGAGGGAGCGGAGCTCGTACTCTGACTTGCAGAAGGTGCGGAAGGACGCGGTATCCCCTGGAGACGAGGCGGGATTCACTGGGACGGAGATGGTGTTTGACAGGGAGGGGATGCAGATGCGCATGAGGACGTGCACGTCGACGGTGGAGAGCTAGGACGATGTTGCGTCCAGGATCGTTGTGATCAAATTGTGCATCGTTGAGATGCCTTTTGCAAGCTTTTGCACTCGAAGGCCTTCCGCGCATGCGAATTTTTGCTTCGCCAACGTAGTACAGACAAATAGTTTACACACTGCTGGCCCAAGCTTATAAGAAGAGTTACGTGCAGCGCTCGCCATGAGAGACCGCCGATCATACAGTAGGCGCCCGCAGCGCTGCTCAGCTACAAAAAGTCATCGCCTCCTCCAGCGACCACCGTTCTCTGTCGCGCAATTCAACCACCTGAGATGAGTGCTCCTGGAATACCATGCCAGAGCAGCATATGTCCTAATGGCCACCCTGCGTCGACCCTGGAATGCCCGACGTGCCACAAGTGAGTATTTGGCCGTTCCGCTTAGTGTTGCGCGTGTGACTTGACGGTATGGTTCTCAGACTCGGTATCAAAGGTTCCTTTTTCTGCGGTCAGGAATGTTTCAAGGCGGGATGTGAGTCGTGTCCAGGTTGTGCTCTATGTCAGTGCTGATTCGGGCATGGATCCGCGCTTGCAGGGGTGCGTCTTCTCCGCGCCGTCTAGCTACACAGAGTGCGACTGACCCACAGGCAGAAAACGCACAAGCTCATCCACGAGCTAGCCACCCGCAGTGACCCCAACGTAAACATAGGTACCACGGCGCCTCGTAGCCTACCTGCGCACATCACTCACATGTCGTCCCTCAGACGGCACCTTCAACCCATTCGCGAGCTTCAACTTCTCGGGCAAGATGCGCCCCGCGTACCCGCTCTCGCCGAGGCGCCCCGTGCCGGATTACATACAGCGGCCTGACTATGCAGAAGATGGTAGGATCCTTACCAAACTCTTCAGAGAGCTGAAGACTACCATGTGAGCGGATCGTGACGGCACCTTCTTTTCTCCGGACAGGTCAGCCCATATCGGAGAACAGACGTGCGGGCCAGCCGGTTAGGATTCTCACCAAGGAGGAGCAGGAGAAGATGCGGACTGTCTGTCGGGTGAGTGCGCGCGTCGTCGTTGGTCGAACGTATGTGGCTGATTGCGTGTTCTGTAAGCTTGCACGCGAAGTGCTCGATATCGCCGCTGCGGCGGTTCGTCCTGGGATTACGACGGACGAGATTGACGAGATCGTGCACAATGCGATCATAGAGCGCAACGCGTACCCATCGCCTCTCAACTACCGTGGCTTTCCTAAATCTGTCTGCACGTGAGGAGTGTCGTGCACTTGCCGAGAACTCGTCAACTCACCCAGTCTACCAGATCTGTCAACGAGGTAATCTGTCACGGCATTCCTGATAAACGCAAGCTGCAAGAAGGAGACATCGTCAATCTCGGTGCGTTGCAATCTGCATCCGCTTCCAGGAAGTCGTCGCTGATGGGAACTTTGCCCAGATGTGACGCTGTATTATGATGGTTGGTATTCTTCGTGGGGTTGTTGAGTGATCAGTTATAAACCGAATTTCATGCAGGCTTCCACGGCGATTTGAACGAGACCTATCCGGTCGGGCACGTCAGTGAAGGAGCTCAAAAGCTCATGCGCGTAACTCGCCAGTGCCTAGACGAGGCCATCAAGATCTGCAAGCCAGGCGCACTCTTCCGCGACCTCGGCAAGATTATGTGCGTGTACCCATTCCGCTCGTTCTGTGTCTCCGTAGGAGAACGCGACCCATACCATGTCTCACATACTCATTCGGGTGATAGAGAGCCTATTGCACGCGGAAACAACTGCGCGGTCGTGCGCACGTACTGCGGGCACGGCATCCACGAACTCTTTCATTGCGCCCCAAATGTGCCGCATTATTCCAAAAACAAGGCTATTGGCACTATGAAGCCCGGCATGGTGCGTCTCTTTCTCGTATTTTGCATGTGTCATCCTTGCTGATGCGTCATGTAGGTCTTCACAATCGAACCTGTATGTGGCCAGGCGACCGCATTCAATACCTAATTTACTGACCTGCTCGTTTTTTTGTATGTCGCTAGATGATCAACTTGGGTCATAACTGGGACGTGATGCACTGGCCTGATGAGTGGACTGCGACTACTGTTGATGGCAAGCTGAGTGCTCAATTCGAGGACACCCTCCTGTAAGGTCTAACCCGTTCGTGAAGTCTGTCACTGACAGTTATTCCTTGACTGTAGAATTACCGAGACCGGCGTAGAAAACCTCACTGCAGGCAAACGAAGAGCAGATCTGTATGACTAGACTATTGTTTACCTCGGTGTATCGTTCTTGCTTGGTGTGAGTATTGTCGACTTCTCAATACCGCACATCCATAGCGCGTGTGATTCATACAGATTACACTAGTGCTATAGAATAGCGGGATGATAAGCAAGACAACATGTTACATGTACACACTATACAACAACATAAAGTCCCGTGGCCAGCAGGACTACTGATCCTTTCGACTCTCCTTCTCCTCATGATGCTCCTCTTCAGCAAGCGCTTCGTCATGATCTCTCCAAGTTTCTTCAATCTCCTTATTCAGATCTGCGGTTGCTTCCCTGAACGTCTCCTGGCGGTCCAATTCACCTATTCTTTCTACAGGGACAGTGTTCTCGAGGCTAGCCTTCCTGGTTCTTGAACCAGTACGTGTTCGCATGTGCAAGCCGTCCTTGTCGTAATCGGCCTCACTCACATCCGTGCCGCTGGCTACAGTCGGAAAATGAGTAGTATTTGTGGCTGTTCCATTGCCGTTACGTAGTTTTTGGAGGTCCGCAAAAGAAGTTTGCTGACTGCGAGAGCGCGGACGTGCAGATTGTGCACGCCCATCGAGGAAACCTATTACGTTGTCGTAGTCGCCCTCCTCTTCTTCTTCAGAAAGCGATGGACTAGGAGCTCTGCTGATGTCGCGGCTACGTGAACCAGACCAAGCACTTGTTCCTCGCCAAGCACTGCGACTCCATCCAAATAGACGTTCGTCAAGCCAAGTCTTGTCACCAGAGTTAGGACCCTGTACACTGTGAAGCGAGGGACTAGTCTTACCATAGGATGTACAAGTAGATTGCCTTGAGCGTCAACACCACCAGTGCCGCTCTTCCTCCGCCACAATCCATTCTGACCTGAGGACGGGGGAACGCTTGCGGATGGTACGAGGATACGATTCTGTAGCGAAATTGTTAACGGATCACATGGGTAGAGCTCGCTTTACTTACCGCATCGAAGTCATCATATAGTTTAGGACCGAATTCGCGAATGACCTCCGCGAGCTCATTAGCCACCTTAGTCCGCATTGCTTTGAGCCGATCCAATGAGCGAGATTGGCCCGGTACGAGTGCAACAACTAATGGTCTCAAAGACCTAATCGGCGAGACGTCCTGAGTGCCTAACGTCACGTTAGCTATTGAATACTCACTTTAGCACGTCCATGCCGGCTTCGCCAAACTTGAGCGCAGCATAGGCGATGAATGGCAATGTACCCATGACGAGGAATGGCGTCCAAATCCTCCATTGCATCGGGACATTGGCTTTGATGGCTACAATCGTGGCAAGGAACGCATAGAAGCCATATAGAATGGGAGTCATTCCCAAAGAAATCAGGACTTTCCAGGTCGCCAGCACGTCTCGTGCTGCAATTTTGACAGTGGAAGCGGCGAGTGCCTCTGCGGAACACATGCATTAAAAATGGGCGAATTCAAATGTAGGCAGCCGAGTACCTTGAGCTTTCTTTCTCGACATAATTGAAGCAGTAAGGAAAATGGGTCCATTCAGGATGACACCAGGAAGCGCAAGAAGCGTCCAAACCATGAGAAGGCCCAGGCGATATGTGAAGAGACCCAGTGCCTTCCAGCTCGCCTTCTGCGCGTGAGGTACCTGATACAGGATTCAATAGCCCGCTAAACGGCTCGTGGCACATCGTGAACAGACCTGGTGGTCTCGCAGGCCGAGATCGCGGACCATGCGATTGTACTTCAAAACGTCGTCGCGCAGTTTCTGGACCTTCGGCTCGTCCTTGAAATGCAGGTATCCCTCCAAGAAACGGCGGTTCATCTCCACCACTTGCCCTAATGTCAAATGTTGCCCGGGAGTCTCATACAAGCGTCGAGCAGCTTGGCACAGCTACGAGATAACCAGATGTAAGATCGATTTTGAGCAATGAAAGTAGAGCTCGGCCTACCATCAATGTTTCATAGTCTGGCGCACGAATTGTGACAGTCTTGAGGGCATCATAGATGTAGTCGAGCAACTTGCTAACGGCTTCGCGCTTCTGCTGACCTCCTTGCTTGTACATCTCGACAAGCTCCTCGGGCACATCCAATGCTGGCCCGAATTCGACTACCGCGCGGGAACGGAAGCGATGTGCGTGGAAGTAGGATAGACCGACAGGAAGGATCTTAACCTTGACGGAGGGGTTGTTGGCCATAGCACCAAGTGCCATCAAAGATACGCCGGCTTTCAGCGGTAAAAGATCAGTGCGATCGTGACTGCCACCTTTACACAAGTCAATATGGCTTGTAAATCGGTACAGGATGAAGCTTGCCTTCGGGGAAGATACCAATGCAGCCTCCCTCAGTGAGACATTGATAGACATGCTGATACATCTCATGCTGGTCGACGTGCGGGAGCTTCTTGAATTCGAAACCCTGTTCGCCCTCTGCTTGCACTTCCTTTAGTTTCTCTCGGATTCTAGCTGTACCCTTCCCGCTGTCTCCACCAAATTCCTTCTTGATTCTCAACTGAGTATCAGATATCACCTCAATTACCTCAGCGACAGGCGAGTTGACTAATCTAGGGAGCATGATCTGCATCTTCGGGGAAAACTCCTTGGTAAAGCGGGTGCCATAGCCAACGACCAAACAAGGGTCGTCGTCCGAAATAGAGACTTGACCGGTTCCGGGTTTGGCATCGTCTGCAGCACGTGCAACGGGAACTATGACAGCTCATGAGGAGAAATATAATGATACATGCAGTAAGACGCACTGCTCGACATCATCCGCGCGAATAGCCCAATGACCTTTCGCTTCATGCTCTTTGCAGCTATGAGGAACTGAACTTTACGCCGTGTTTCTCGATTCACTTGCAATGCAAGCAAAAGCGGATCAAGGAACTGGCCCGAGAGCAATCAGTGCTTAGATACGAAGATTGAAAGTCGGATGCATACTTGATTATGATGAGGCGCAGCCACAAAGATGACAGGACCATCGCGAGGTATATGGAAGGCACTCCTCGGTCTGATTTCACGGAAAAAGATGTTGACCACCGTTCGCCAAAAGACTAGGGCGGCCTCATAGACGAGTTCTTTTGAGACAGGGAGTGCATCTTTGCCGGGAAGCATGAGATGTTAGGGGTGAATGATAGAGATTTGAACCAAATGATTGACGTGGTCAGTGAGCAAATCGTGGTCGGCGAGCAAGAGAGCAGTCGGGTACTATTTCACGGTGCAGCCGACGGAAAGACATACGGGTACACTGCAAAGGCCATATAAGCGCCCGACTAAGCGCGGTGGCACGAGGACGTCATGGATGATCAACGAATATTGCTGACCAGCCCCCTCTGGACAGCGGGTAGCTAAGCGAGGACTGCAAATGTATCGTATGCGCCGTACTATCTAATCTGGGTATACGCGAGAATATTACAGCAGCCCATTAAAGTGCGATATGAGTACACCATGCAGACGAACAACTCAAGCATCATGGAAACCTCGGGAGAGTCCTGACGTCGACGACCGGCCGTGCACTGACCCGTTACTGGCAATACTCGATCGATGATATTGGAATATATCATGCAAGCGCGAAAGCTTCTCTTGCTGTGCTTCCGGTAGTTCCGAGACACTCGACCGAGGCGGAGAGCGTGGTGAACGCGGCGAAAGCTCTGATCGAGTGGGCGAGATTGGTGCGGCTGCATGAACTGGTTCCAATGACGGTCGATCTACGAGAGCCCATTAGTTAGTTCATCGGCACAAGGACCGAACACTACTGACCTGGAGATACTCTCGGCCGCTCGTGGCCATTCGATTCCAGCTCTGCGGAGAATTCGTAAGTTTACCACCGGATCAACCCTTAGCTTTACGAAGCTTACTCGAAAGAGTATGAGCTACAGCTACGTTTCGCTCTTCGGCCTCTGCCGCGCGACTCGCTAGGGCTCTTGTGATGTATTTGAAGAATGCAGGTCCTGTAGCTTCCAGCATCTTGTCAACCTTGGCTCTCTTGTGAGGTTGAGCTTTCAGGTACTGATGAAGCTCAGTGATGCCCTCCTTGTGCATTGCTCCAGTTGTCTCGCTAGAGATGTGCTTGATGATGAGATGCAGTTGTTCGTCTGGATCAGGCTCCGTCGCCGGCGAGCCGAAGTGGCCGTTTGTGGAAATCAAGCTATGGCTTCTGCCGTGGCTTGATGGCGAGCGCGGAGGATTATCCGACGTGGCGGACGATGATGTTACCGGAGAAAGTGGTCGACTCAATGCAGGTGAAGATTGACGCGTAGGTTCTTCTCGTGCAAGCCCGTTGCTTCGTACCGGTATCTCTGCTGCAGTCCGGGTAGAAGAGTTCAAGATACGATAAACGTATGGGTAGACGATCGTCGCGGAAGGGTCATCGAAAGAGGCAGATAAGAAGTCATAGACATCGTCGCCGTGGTGGGCTATTAAACAATTCTGTTAGAATTATAACTAATGATGAACAGCTATGTTTGACTGACCGACCACATGCTGAATGATGACCTTGATTGTGCGAAGTGGCATGTCGCCACAAGGTACCTTATTCGTAGCCCTCGCTCGCCATTCATTTGGTGGCACTGACTGTAAAAAGTGTTCTATCGCAGGAAACAGTTCAACAGGGTCAAGGGCTTGCTTCTCAAGGTCCTGGGGAATATTCCTCGCTAGCTTCCAGACACACTTCAGCACCAACTCTGCGACCTTGGCTTCTTGAGAGTCTGGCGAGGTGCCGTTATTCGGGAATGGTTTGACAATCTGCAGTAGAAGAGCGAAAAGAGCCCTACGCCACGAGCGAAGGGTTGATCAATGATGTCATTCTGATCTATGTAGATACCACTCACCGGAAGATAGACATTCTTCGTCCAGTAGCAAATAAACGCAAAATGATCATATTTATGAAGCGGGATAGGTCCTTAACTCGGGTATCAATGCTATTGTCTGTCTGCAACAGCCTTAGAGTCAATTCTTCCAATAAGGATGTCAAAATGTCCACAGTCAAGGATTCCGCCAGAAAAACGTGGTCGCAAAATGCATTGAGGGTTTGAATGAGATGCTTTGCTAATCGGAAATTCTCCGGAATGGTGATGTTGTCTGGTCTTTCGAAAACATGAGCCATTTGCAGAGTAATTGTCTCAATCAGTCCTTCCGTATGCTCAGCAAGTTCTTGATAGGCTGGAGAAGATGGTCCGGCCTCCGGCCCGATCTCTAGCACCTTCTGGATCTTCTTTAAAGCATCAACACTTCGTGAAGGGTCATTGCTGAGAATGCTTGATATTACTACCGTGATATCATCCGAGCCGCGAGCCTGCATATCATCCACAACGTGAGGCGGAATGTCATCGCGTCCCGTTGGGTGAGGAAATTGTACGGCGTCGCTGCGGGCAACATGATTAAATGATGTTACCGGCGCACGAGTTTGTTGGTTTTCTGCGAGACGAGATTTAGGAGGCCCTAACCGTGAGGGAAGGAGGCTCTTGGGGCGACTCGTGCTCGTAGGCGAAGAGGGACCCGGCAGTTGTGTGGCTCCCGTTCTCACGGGTCTTGCGGGCGAAGCTGCACGTGCGACTTTGACCGGGATGGGTGAGGGAGATCTGACAGTATGCGATGGCGAAATGGGCCGTCCGAGGCGTGACGAAGCAACGGAGGGACTTCCAGCTCGGATGCCTGCTGTTCGGGATGCAGGCACTGGCACCGGCGAGCTGGATCTGGCAACACCATTTGCTAACCGGGAGACATGAGTGGACACCGATGACCCCTCTGCCTTGTCTGGGGTGCTGACACCAGGGACACGTCGCAAACGTTCTTCCAACTGTGTCTTATCTTTCGGTGAGAGCTGTCCAACGTACGTCCAAATTGTTTCTCCGACAAGAGTGTAACCCTCACTAGCCAAAACAACGTGAGCGCTGCATCTATCACGGAATCAACCTGAACATACCTCAGTACGGCTAACGCAGATTTCCTAACTTGAGGGTCCTTATCAGAGATCATCGAAGCCACTAGTGGGAATGCCTTCGCTGGCTCGCAAGCGCCTATGCCGAAACGTTTGAGTATGCCACTCAATTCGTCCAATGTTCCCTGGCGAGTCTTCGCAACCTTCGATTTTAGGCCAAACTCGAGTAACAGATGGAAGACTCGACTGTAAGCGTAGACCTTTGTCAATGATTGGATGAGCTGGGAGACACGAACCCGCAGGGGCTCGCGAGCATCGCCTAGCTGTTATATCGTGCTAAGTGATCATCCGGGAACAACAACGAATGTATGAATACCTTGAAAATCACGGTTGGAATGAAACAAAGGGCTTCTGCATCGGCCAATTGATAGTCAACGTTCTGGAAGAATGCTACAATGACCTCCGCAACGTCCAAGCACTTCTGCACAACGCTTGACTGTGGTTCGTGAGCTTTGATAGAGACATACTTCAGTGCTAAGTCTGAATTCGCCAGACAAATGGCCTGAATATCCTCCGGAGCCATCCCCGATATGTCATCTCCTGCATTCACGCTGGAATAGAAGTCATGCAGCATCGTGAGACCGTTAACGTGATCGTTTACAGCGTTGTGGTCATGACTGAAAAGGATGGCTAACAACTGCTTCGAAGCATGAGGTTCCATCTGGTGTTGCAAAAGTTCCGCGAGATCCTTCCGTGTCGGACCAGCTTCATTGATCCATCTCTGGGCGTCCTTCGCTAGTCGCGCCTTCTTTGCGTCAAGGTTGTCGCTAACGAACGGCAAAGTATGCAGTGCGCTCGCTGGCTGAGACGCTGGCGCTCTGTTAGACGTAGGGACGGTTGCTCCTAAGCGCCTGGATGCGGCGCCTAGCTTGCCAGAAAGCCGAGTAGTGGTTCCTTCAACTGGCGTCTCTGGGCGCGACTCGGGTCTCGATGAACTGCCTTGAGGAAGCCTCCGACGGACCCCCGCTAGTTTGCTGGCAGGAGCTGTCTTCGTAGCTTCGTCCAGAGATGGTACCTCTTGCGGCGGAGGAGACGGTGTCGGAGTCTCTGTTGGTTTTGAGGGGACAGCTTTCGAGGATGGAGCAAAAGCTTTGACTGCAGCAGGCTTCGCTGTAGGGGCCGCTGTTGGAGCCGTCGCTGGACGAGCGGCTTGAATGATGGGAACGACGGCGGCCTTGGACGCCGATTTCAACGAATTGGTTTGATTCATCACGTAGTCATATCCTGCGCATGTTATGAGAGTCGGAATGAGAGCCTGTGCACCTTTCCTGACGTCGCCATTACGATCGTCAAGACAAGCGATCACAGGTCCAACCCAGCTAGTCAAATCCAATCCAGGAGCAGGCTCGTGTGTCTTGAACCAATCAGCAAGCCAGTTGAGAAGGGAGGCACGCTGCAGAGGATTCGATGACTCCAATGCAGTGGCGAACCCGCTGGTCATCGACTCTAAGCCTTCGCACGCAGTTGCAATCGCCGTGAGAGCCTGTAAAGCAGCAGCTCGCATAGGAGCCTTCTGATCGGCCAGGACAGTTGAAACCGGAAGAGCGTACAGACGCGTGTGCCTCTCGAAAGGCTTGCCCATCCCTGTTGCGATTCGCGCAGTGACATCCAGCGCGAGTGTTTGCACGGCCTTATTGGTGTCTGTCACACGGGCTTTCAAGACTTGCGCGATTTCACCTGACGTTTGTCTCAGTACAGATAGTCCACAAGCATCTTCCGAAAATGCTACATACCCATGCTCGGCTTCAACCTTTTATTCGCACCTTGATCCAAGATTGCTTGCAGATTCTCCAATGCCTCCTTCTTTGTCTTCCAAGCATCGCTTTTGGCATCCGCGACAATCGTGGTGCCCTTCAGCAGACCATCAAGCTCCACGCGAGGAAACAAGTCATCAAGCGGATCACCTCCGCCACTAACGCCGCCTTTACCCGACTGGCCAACCGCAACCTCTGCAACATCTGCGGATGTCCGTGTAGGCTGCGGAGCTGGGTTGCCCTCCACCTTATCGAACTCGTTAAGTATGGTGTTCAGCAACTGCGGGTTGAGATCCTCCAGTAAGTCCTTGATAGCTGTGAATTTATCAGAGATTGCACAAGCGGCAGCGGACATAACTACCTACAAGAACCCGCAAACAGCTTTACGGTGATTAGGGTCTTCGTTGCACTCGTTCTTACCGCCGCGTTAGAGTTTTTCAAGGCGGTCTTGAGAAATTCAATGAGACTTCGCATAGACAGACCCGCTATTCCGAACTCGGTGAGTGCTTGTTCTATCCAAGTCAGTGAATCGGCAAGGACTTTAGGGGCCTTCTGTTTGGAGAGCGGCTCATATGCTAGATGTAAATGTTTGTCATGAGCACGATGACGCAGTCGTCCTACACATAAAGACAGTCGCTTACCATGCCCAAGGACGAACTGCAGCGACGTCTTCTCCGAAAAGAGAAGGAGAGTTTCACCAGCGGGCTTTTTGAGCTTTGCATCCCCCAACTTCTCCGTAAGATGGGGGATGCAGAGAGCGACCGATGACCTGCCAAATGAAGGGCAACGCTCGGCCAAGATGTTGAGGATACCATACAACTTAGTGGATACCTAAGCGATCGAAGTTGAATAAGTCAATTGACGTCCGACGTATGGCATATAATGAGACCGTGCAGACCTGGAAATTCTTCTCTCCCCAACCTTTCTTGCTTAGGAAACGCACGACCACTTCAGCGTCTAGGTCAGGCACAGCACCTTCGACCCAGGTAGTCATCTCTTCCAGAGCTGCTAGCCGCACTTTCCAGTTCGAGTCCGCTAGATCGGTGAAGTAATTCGGGGGAATGACCTCTGCTGCGAGTGCTTCGGCATCCTCGGGGGTATGCTTGAACTTGAAGTTATCAAGAGCACCCGGTGGTGCGGGAACTGCAGATTTCGATGGTTTCGAGGCTGTACTTGTCGGCGCTGGTTTCTTGATGGGAGCGTGCACGGGCGCGGATGATGGAGGGGTGGGACTTGCGGTGCCGGTTTCGCTGTCATCCCCGGTAGGCTTCTTCAGCTTCGCCTACAGTGAAAGGTTAAAGACCGGAGCATATTTTCGACGAGGTCATACTCACCAGCAGCCTTGCGGGTGGCTTCTTCAATGGTTTGTCCTCAGCAAGTAGCTCTTCTTCCGAAGGAGCAGCTACAGGACTCGGCGGCTTTGCAGCGGACGCTTTCTTTGCCGGCGGAGGAGCTTTGGTGGGACCCCCAGCGCCAGCCCTTGCTTTCACTGCCGCCTTCTCGTAGGCCTCCTTAACCTTTACTTTCCGAACATCGGCCAGAGTCTCCATCAACCCGTTGAGAGGCCTCTCTCCAACCATCTTCATAAATGTTCCGAGACAGGTTGCCGCTTCGTTGCGTGCTCCCTCAACCGAGTCCTCGAGTATAGGAGCCAACGCATCGGAAACAGTTTTGACTTGTGGAGGAGACACGGGCGTGGGAGAAGTCGAGAGACACCTGGTGAGGAACTTGAGTGCGCCTTCCTTCACCTGCGGATTCTTCGAACCTAAAGCTGGCAATATGTCCGGGATGATGTCAGACAAGGTTGTCTGATCGGGTAACAATCAGCTGCCTTGATACATTCGTGTAGAAGGACTTGTCGTACAGTCGTGAAAACCGCGTCCAGAGCGGACCCGATTGCATCGGTTACGGTTGCCTTCCTCTCCTTCAACCGCTCCAACATAGGAGGAACAACGCTCTCCCTATATCGCCCGAAAGCATTCATCAACCCTTTAGCAAGACCCTCGATACAACCGGCTGCTGCCATGACACAGTTGACATTTGCGTCTTTGTGTACGCATGTTGCCAAAGACTTCGCGAGGTCGCCAAGCTCTGCCGCCTCCTTGATTCGAGGCGTTGCGCTGACCAAAGACAGCAATTCATCGAGCACCTCTTTACGCTCCTTCCACTTGGACGAGCCGAGGGATGCCTGTAAGTTGGACGGCAGTTTGGGCACAATATCTACCTCCTCTGCGAACATACGCGGATCTGGAGGCGCTTCTGGAGTGGGAAGTTAGCACCACGGCCTAAGAATGTCAATCATGATACATGCCTTCCTGCGAAGGGCCGCCTGCATCATCACTATCTCCCGCCGCCGCCCTCATTTCCGCCTCCAATGCTGCAGCCCTCGTCAGTCGTTCAGGCCTCAAAGTCCCCTTACCTTTGCCTTCCTTCTCCATCGTCTCAAAAGCCTCCTTCAACTCCTTCACTTGCACCGGCTTCAAGTCGTTGAGAAACGACTCAATACCGGGTCCAATGTACTGATATAATGTGTGGGCAAGTGCTGTACCTTCCGCACGTACTGTCTTGTCAGTATGGGCGAATATCTTCGGCAACGCCTTTAGGATGGGCCCTGGTGGTGTCACAGAAGTGCCGAACAGCCTAATATGAGCATGTCCGTGAACACTATCATGCGTGATGAACATAAAGGCCACGTACCGTATGACTTCCTTTAGCGCAGCCACACATCCTGCTACTACCTTCGGCTGTTTCGCTGCCAAGCCGGGTAGGATGTCATCCTACGGGTACTTCAATGCACGCACCAATGCAAATATTCAAATGACGTACGACAATCCCAGCTCCTCCGTTGTCAACCTCCACATACTGGAGCACGAGTTCTGTCGCATGTAATTTCGTGCCCGCGCGCGTCGACCCAAAACACTTGTCCACCAGTGCCGGCACCACCACCTCTCGTGTCCGGGCAGCATTCTCGCCTGCGAATTTCACAAAAGCTATGACACACTCGACGCCTTTCTCCTGCGCCACTGCGTTCGCATCCGTGACAGCCTTCTTCAACAGTTCAGGATTGCTGATATATGGCTTGAACGCGGGGTCAGAATCGGATGCTGTAGCTTGGAAGGTCTTGACCAGTGACTCGTATGCGCTGACTCTGGCTTTCCAGTTCTTGTGCGCCAGCCGTTCAAGCACCGGAATTGTTGTGAAATCCTCCTCTGGTGGAGGAGTCCCGTCCATGGCCAGTCAGCAGTGAGGCAGAATGCAGCGTAGCAAGAGTAGTACTCAACCCTTCCGAACTTGACGCGCTAGCGCTGGACCCTTGTGATTGTAGGTCACACGTAACGAGCGTTGTCGGATGTGTCACGCTCCTGCACCCGACATCATTCAGCCGTGACTGGTTCCAAGCTGACATTGCGTCCATACCGTGATCCTGGATTTGCTTTGTGGATGTTGCTAGGCTTCGAAAGAAGGGACGCTCTCCTCCCCACCCACAAATAGCGCAAGAATTATCCGGTTATTGAACAGCATGTTGATGACGCGGCTGAAGCGATAGCAGCGCGCATCTCTCGTGCAGCTTCCTGCCTGCTTGACATCACCAGAGCCCTCTCGCTTAAGCAAACCCTCTGACCTAACTACGCTGATTCCGGCACTCCTTCTTGCCGGAAGCTCCTCTGCCGTGAGGCGTTTCGACAGTCGCAGCGGCGAGTGCATGTCGACTAAGATGCTCATCGAGATCTACTATGATGCGCTTAGTAGAACACGGGAGGGCAAACTAAACCGTCGGCGCTATGCTCAGTGCCAAATGCTTCTGTTTTTGTGTTATCGATTTAGCATGCTAAGGAGGATACATTATGATATTAGTGGTCAGCGCAGTATGCTACGATCATGATTGGCTTATACACGGGTGCCATGACGAAAACTGCCGATGAATACATAACAGAGCGAAAACGATGTGCCAGGTATGAAATGCGAAGACACGAAACAAATGGCACTGATAATGTAGGTGCTAGTGGAATGGAGAGTCAATCTATGCAGTTACTACCACATTATACATATGTTTTGCCAGAGCACAGGAATGAATGATGTCGGGTTGAACGGTAGGGGAGTACGGATAGCGAAGGCTGAGCATTAAGGTAGATGATTAAAGCGTGAGTAACATGCGTTTTGATGGGCAGGCTCGAATAAGATAGCGATCTGCACGCGCGCACATGCATGGCCTCCGGTCGAGCTCTTCTCTCCGGACGGTCATGATCGACGCGTGCGCAATTTTGGGAACCGCCGTAGCGGAGCGAAATTCTTGGTGACGACAACAAGAGCAGTCCCGAATCAGGGCCGAGGTTCGCGTTCGAGCTTGAATGCGATGCGATTATCTCCAGCAGCCCGAAAAAGCTGGCGATAATGGACAGGGCCGAAGATCTCAGTGAGCTGCGCCTCATGAGAGTGAACCCACTCGACCGGAGGCAAAGCCCGGATCGTCCTCTCCACGCAACCTCCTGAAACCTGCTCTTCCTTCACCAAAACGACCATGCCAGTAAGCAGGCACTGTATCAAATGCAACAAGTCCCCAATGGCGAGAACGGTATGGCGCATGCCGGGGAAAAGCGCGCTGTGGAAAACCATCTCCCACTGCACACGTCTCTCGCGAGAGAAGAAAGAGGACGCATTGACGGGCATCTGGAGTCGGAGATTGGGGCTGCGCGGAAGACCGGAAGGCGAACGGTATGGTGAGGGGCATTCGATGTCGAACAGGAGCCGCGCATCCGGGGGAGTGACGTCCTTCCATCCCATATTTTGCACGAGCTGGGCTCGAATGGCAAGCATCCAACGACGCGCCCGCGCGTAATTGGTACCCAAGGCCTCCGCAGTGGTGAGGGGAATGCCGGTGCGGCGCGCCCACTCGTCCATGTGCGCGATATCATTGCTGAACACCAATTGTGGTGGCGCACCAGACATTTCGGAATGATAGCAGTGGTGAATGCAGAGCTTTCGTCCGGACGTCGACGACTAGAGGAATGAGATTGCCGCCGTTTCGTCATGCCTAGGGAGGATATATACACGAGAGGGTACTTACCCGGAAGGCAAATGCGCCTGGCGTCTTCCAGCACTTAGCAGTGTGGATCAGCGTTTAGCGTGCTAAGGCGGACACGTTCCGCGGAGTCGAGGAACGAGATCAGCCACGAAGAGAGGATGTTACAGCCTCGAGGAGGATGGAGGAGGGAGGGACAGGCCGGACGTGCCTTTATGAAGTCGGACAGACGGGCGTTGCGCCAAAGCGGCCATAATTGGGCCTGGCGATCGCAACGGGTGGCGGCCTCATTGGGTTTGTGCGACGTTCCGACGCGGCAAAGACACGAAACGTGTTTCGATGAGCAAAGGGTGCAATTTTGGTACAGAAGTGCGTCGAGATCGAGCCAAAAGCAGAGCTATCTTTTGGCACAAATCCCACGCTGCTTCCGCCTGACGTTTGTCCCCTGCCTCGGTGCGCCTGCCCTGAATCCTCTTCTCACACACCCGCTTCCCATTATAGGCCAGCTTTGAGGCGCAATTCTCTCCCGAGCTCTAATATGCAGACGTGACTAGTTGTCAGCCTTCTCGCGCTGTGCGGTCGTGCTTTAGTATGTCGGCTTAGTCCATTGCATCACTTCCCGAACTTTCATTTTACACGTCTGGGACTTGGGCTGGACAGAACACCTGCGCTCATACAGAACGCCCGCGACATGGCAACGGACAAATTTGCAACGCAGATACCCGCCGCCGGGGACAACGCCAACCAAGAAAGGAAACATGCATGCCATAATCGTCAATTTAGTCCCGGAATTATCTAGACGCCCGTCATCCTCCATAAAAAAGATTCGGGAGCGATGTGAGAAAGCAAGGTGCAATTTTGATGACATTTACAGTGTACGCGTTATTTGGAAATCTCTATATAAGGAGGTCCTTTGCTACGTTTAATCCCGCTTTCGCCGCGCAAGGTGCGACAGTGTCGGACAGACTATGCCACCGCTCGGATCAGTCCTGGCAAGTCATGCCTTCAAGCTTCAGCCCTCAAAGCCTCAGGTCTGACAGTTCTGGCCAGGGCTCGATTTTGAGTCGTCGCAACGGCCCTTCACAATGGCCGACCAGAAGGGTAACTGAAGCCTCGGTTATACGCTGAGGCACGTCAACGTCCCAACGCTACTTTGCAGTATCCTTTGCCGGAGCTGTCGCCGTAATCGAGGTGTATTTGGAACAAGCGAATAGAAGTGATGCTGTAACTGCCTCGAACAAGCGACCCTGTACGCTGAGAAGGGCCCGGCCATCATCGATGGACCACGCTCGAGCCTTCACTTTCGCCTAAGAAACGACCACGAACAGTGGCGTCATAGCGGGCGATCAGCGGCATCGACATCATGTTGGTATCGTTCGCGACCGGCGAGGCAGGCAACTGCAGCACATCGCCATGTGACTCTGGATATGATGAACTATATAGTTCATTTTATGTAGAAAGCCTGCGTCGGAAGATGGCACCCAAAATCATCATCAGCAATGACACAAAATCCTGTTGGGGTCGTACTGGGCTGCATGCGACCAATCGCGAAATTCGAACAGTTCTCGGTTCTGTTGTGGGAAGTCCCTTCACTTTTGCGACTAGTCCTCGTGAGACAGTGATCTTTACGCCTAAGCTTGGTTCATTTGAGCATGAGCGTAGTGGACTCTGCAAATGAACTCGTCTGTATTGGATCGGATCGGTAGTCGAGACTGTCGAGTTTGTAATTGAGCTATGAGGTTCGCGGACATTTGAGCCATGATTGAATTGATGATTAACTTCCCGGAGCGCCCGTTCGGTCAAGTCATGTGACTCGCCGCAGACTCGCTTCGACTTCGACTTCCTGCTCGTCGCTTGCGGTGGTCCAGTTGTGCATTCAAATCGTGGCGTATTCGCTCCTGCGTCTTTCCACCCTTGCACCGTGTCATGGCTGAAGCAGACAGTAATGATAAGTTCGACATCTATGCCACCTCTCAGCACTTCCTCGAGGATGATAAAGTGCGCCGATTTGATATGATATATCCGAGCATCAACTTAGCAGTCCTGTATCCGCCAAGATATCGCCCCCCCTCGCTGCAATACTGGCCCTGACAGAGTCCATAGCAAAGTCCAATGGTGAGCAAGCATCTTGCCGCGTTTCACGCCCGAAAAGTTGAGAATGGCCTATCAAGCGGGTACCATGTTTGAGCTTGTCCAAGCCCTCAACGACGACGCCGAAATTCTCAAACAGAGATCTGCCAATCCTATCAGTCTGAACGCTGGTTGCGAGCTGTTCATTGCCTTTGTGACGTTATTTCCTCACGAATCGGACGTAAGTTCTCGCCTGCGGAGCGTACCTGTTTCCGTCTGATAGATATCGCGATATGCATTACAGAGCTTCTCGGAGTTGAAGACCGAGCTAGTGAAGCAGGGTCAAAAATATGCCGCAGAAGCAATCACCTTTCGGGACAGAATTGCTGAGCTTTCTCTCGGATTTATTAAGGACGACTCGGTGGTACGCAGGTCCTCGCACGGGCTCCGGATAAGCACTGAGTCTCATCCCGCAGATTCTCACCCACTCGTATTCACGTGTAGTCATGAAAACCTTGCTCCACGCACACAAGACAAAACGAATATCCGTCTACGTTACGGAGGCACGGCCTCGTGGCCTAGGGTGCGCTGAGTGGCATGTTTTCTGATGGGCTGTGCCCTGATGTGACGCATCTGATAGCATGAAGACATACGAGGCATTGACTGCTGCTGGCATACCCTGCACCGTTGTCCTTGACTCAGCCGTAGCTTATGTAATGGATCAAGTAGATTTCGTCCTAGTTGGGTCAGAGGCGGTCGTCGAGAGCGGCGGCTTAATCAACGCCGTTGGCAGCAACCAGATCGCGATTATCGCAAAGGCTGCCAATAAACCATTTTACGCGCTAGCCGAGAGGTGAGTTCAAAGCTGGTGTATCACACGCCGTCTGACTGGTGCATTCCCGTAGCTACAAATTTCACCGTCTTTTCCCCCTATCACAATATGATCTGCCTACACACAATCCGACCATCTTGTCCTTCCCAGCGCTGCCACAGCCATCTGCAGATAGCGAGAGTGCCCGAAGCCGCCCAACTGTTCCGTCATCTGCCGCAAGTGGCGTTCCGGCACGGACGAAAACGCTGCCGCCCCCGACCGAAATGAAGATGAATGCGGAACAAATTGCACGGAATCCTGGCGTGGACTATACCAGGTACGCAAATTGTCGCTATCGGAAAGGTCATGCTCTCACCGTTGCCGTGAGCAGACCTGACCTGATATCACTTGTTTTCTCGGATGTTGGGATACTGACACCGGAAGGCGTGAGTCAGTACCTAGTCGGTATGTTCGCCGGGTAAGGTCGAACGAGTAGGCGTTTCTCCAATCCTATTCGCGGCAAGATCGCCACGCGCGATAGAGTTAGCGATAAACTTCTGCATCAGGTAACCCAAGCCCGACTGAATATTGTCCCCGGACACGTGCACGATCGTCAGTTCCGGCCAGGTTGTTCGGGCGACAGCGCGCACAGGTGAAGGCTATTCCGATAGACAGCGCATGCATGTTGGCAGACGTGTGCGACCGTTTGCTGGGCACACAATATACATTCTCGTATACACTCCCTTGGTCTTGGCTATGTTTATCGATGGCGTTCCAACGCAGCATATGGCACGCAGCAAGCATGGCCGTAGCTACCCTTTGTCTAACCCATCATGAACCATGAATCTCGCCTAGACAGTTCATCCCCACCTATGAATTGCCTCTGCGTCATCCGTTAGATCATTTGAATAGGGGAAGGTCCTCGATCGCTACGGAAGATGTCATGACCTGGATAAGATTCGTGTCTCTCTCCGTCTGTCTGGGCCTGAGCATGATCGATAGCTCTGCAGAGCGGATCTCACCAACACGCGTGCGATACCGGCCCCTGCCGTCTGCAGCTCCATATTATCCTGAGTTGTGCCGAATATGCATTGCAATTAACGTTTTAGCTTTAGCGTGCCGGAGCCCAATTGCGGGTTCAAGACCAGATGTTTATTCAGGGAAACGCGGTGACGACGTCCGATCAACCTCCTTCATCTAACGCCGAAAAATGAACCTTGTGGGTTTGTCTCAAACACTTGACTGCACCCTCGGCATCTTGATATGCTGAAAAAGCGAACTCGTGTGCACGGTCCGATCCATTGATGTTATCGACATCCGTCGCGGGGGTCTATACTGCGACTGGATAGGACGCAGAGGCCGGATCTTTTCAACGCTGCTGCCGGACTATAAATTGTGAGCATTTCATGCCTATCATACATCCACACCCCTTAGCCCCCCTCTGCACTCATCGTCATGTGTTTCTTTCGACGGTGAACACAACGTTTTCACTCACTTTGAAGACGGTTTCTAATACCCCTGCTCAGTGTTCGTAATCACTATAAGCGCTGCGGGCATTACATCGATTTGGTGTGTTGCACTACAAGCTGGTCCTTCATTCCTATGCTGACTATTGAATTTCCAGCCCGATGAAGAGGTCGTCACAGTGGTTCCGACGGATTTCAATGTGTCAACTCACTTTCACATGCAGGTCAAATGCCAAGACCGTTTCTGCAAGTTCAGCACCGCCCACCCCGAGGACTGTGTCCCTCCGGAATGTACCAAGACTTGTTGGCAATAGTACGCCTTTGTTACCGATGTGCTTACTCCCTTTGACATGGATTGGCGCCTACTCTAGTCACCAATTCCCACAACAGTACAGTTAGTGATAACCCCTCGGAGCGCATAGCCCACTACTCACGCCATGGATGCTCTTCAGCTCCTGTTATAGACACCTATTGCCCCGTCTGTGTTGAGACTGGCGTCACCAACTGAACGTCCACGATCGACTGATGTTCTGTTGTGTGAATTCTTCCACTAAGTCTGTGACGGCCATAGTGTACTGCTCGGAACTGTAGAGTAATCAATCACGATCTTGAACGTAAAGCTAGTGTATTTGGTTAAATTTACCTCGGATATGCTGCAGGAACAGAATTAGTCATATCAGACAGAAAACGTGCGAGGGATTGCATAACAAACGCAAGCAGGAAGCAATTCTACGCTGTGACGGAATGATAAGGACATGAGCGCATACTAAGCGGCCGTACGTACGCAACTCCACCCGTGACTGTGCAATCAGATAGCCAGCAGTTTATCAGGAAACCTCCCATGAGCGAAGGTCCGACCGCCCATGAGGCTGTTGGATCCGTCGCAACGGCGCTGATGACAAGACGTGCCGGTCAGTGAGCAGCTCGAGCCGGAAGGCTCAAGGACGTGGTGAATTCGGTTGTTGTAGCCGCCTGATTTACGCAACCCTTTTCAAGGACGTTATCCAACATGATAAGGTGTATGGGAGCGAAGAGCAGATGAGTAATCCGTAGAAGGCAAGGCAATGCGAAAGACGCGCGCTAAGAAGCTGGCCGAAATTTATCAACCGAGATCTTCTTTCCTAGCATCATTTCCTCGTCAACGCCCACTACTGACAAGTGCGCAGCGCTCCGAAGGCATCCCCGTCGATCTATTACGAGCAGCTATACCTTCCAGTGCATCTTGATAGCATTGCAAAAGTGGCAGTCATTGCATCACGATCATTTGCGCTATTAGCAAGTGCCTATCGTGGCTGCGTGAGTAAGCAACGCGAAAAATTCTTCCCATGCAGGTCGATGGCTTGCATTTACAACGCTCGAGACCAACAGGTTGTAGACGATAAACCAGCAAGCGATTGAGAGGTCCGGAAGTCGCAAATACGTCCGAAATACTGTCAGATGATGCAGGCGATAAGGAGGATAAATGTGTGCGGTCAGCCGCTGCGGTTTGGGAGAATGCAATCAAAGGGGCCAATTTCATGTGTCTGCTGCGGTCAACAAGGACGTGCTAATGGGGAACCTAGAGAAACAGACCGAAACTGGCGAGACACCAGGAAATAGCATAGTTCTATGCATTGATGAGTTGAAGTCATTGTGGGAATTGTTTCACTGGCAACGTCGGTATGTGTGGCGTGAAGAGCGTTGACTTCACGACTTGAAAATAGTATGAAACAGAAAACCGGCGATTGGGTTCTGCAAGTATCATGGTCCATTAGCTCATGATACCTCAACAAGACCCTGACAACAGACACAAACCGCGCATACCGCGGTATACAAATAAATGTTTAAAAAAAAATAACAGACACAGCCGACATTGAAGCAGCGTCGACGTTGTACATACCATTGAGTTTGGTCACTACTAGAGTCACAACTTGCCGTGCGGGAAGGGCGTAAAGGCACGCAGTTGAACAAATTACTAATTGACGAGCGGTTGAGCGGTCAACGAGTTGGCTATCTGGTAAGATTGCGTCATAAAAGATGAAGGTTCATAAATTTGTTATTATGAAGGACAACCGCGATTTACCCGGGTGGAAAATATGCACGATGGAACGCCCTGGCGCTTGCTGACGAAAAGATATTTGATCTTACGTATTGGCGGCGATCACGCTGATTCTTCCACAATTCTACCGCCTTTGATCAATTTGTTGTCTTTCACGTGCGCGTGGCCCTCTTCCGTCTCATCCTTCCAAGCTCGCCCAACAATCATGCAGGCAGAAATGCATCTTGCTTCGCAACTGCACGACATCTACACCGAGACCCCGCCCCTCAATGCAAGCTTACATCTGTTCCATTCTACCTGCTAGGCTGATTGACGCATCACAGAACCGGCGGGTGAAACTGAGCAGTGCAACACCCTTTACACCCACTTACGTCAAGGATCATATAGCCAGATCCGCAGATCGCGAGTTTTTGTATAAGAGCCGGGTTTTAACACGCCAGGTGGTACTCGAGGATCGTGTCCAAATCAAGCAGGAACGGGAAGCGCAACGACTTAAGCGGAAGGCGAGAAGAGACGCTGCCATCTCCTCTGCTCGGTATAAGCGGCAGAACAGCCTATGGCATCTCAGTCCAGCGGAAACCAGGTGCGATGATCCTTGTCGGAAATGACATCTGCACCTAACCTGATTTGTCTCAGATTTGAACTGTTTCTCCCGTTGCACTCTTTGTGGATGGGTTACATGTCCGAGCTTCTTGCGCTGCCTCCTGCACCCTCAACCCCAATTAACAGCCAAGCCGCTAGCATGGCGGCACCGAGCGCCGCATCAATGCATGCGAAGCTCGTTAAAGCCGATTTTAATGGCTCTCTCTTGACTGGTGTGTGTCCAGTCCGTCTTGACAAAAATCTCAACCTAAATGTAGGGATGGTCATCTCGCACATAGTGCGGCAAAGCAAGAACCCGTGCCTTGTAGGTCTATCGGGCATTGTCGTTCATGAGACAGAGAACTCCTTCAAAGTGGTCACTAAGAAAGATCAGCTGAAACGTTCGTGACCTTATCGTTCATTTCCAACGGATCATCCTGACCCTGACATCTAGTGATCCCGAAGCAAAATTCTATCTTCACCTTCGCTGTCCCACTGTTTGCCGCATCCTCCACTGCCTCCATTTCGTCATCCGCTGCAAACACCGGCGGCGCTGCGTCGGATTCGGCCGAAGGTTGTGCCAGCGCTAATGCGAAGGCCATCCCTACAGTCCTTGATCTGCCTCACATAGAGTTCGAACTCTACGGAAATCAGTTTTGTTACCGCGCTGTTGAGCGAGCGGGTCGTAAATTCAAGCCCAAAGAAACAATAGAGTTGTAAAGGCCCGTTCGACGGCATCCGCATCCTATTCCTCTTAGGCAACATCGCACCGCCAAGTCAACCTAACTCATGGGCATCATTGCGTCTCCTCTCGGTCCGGGTTGCGAAAGGTGGATCTCCTAGCTGTAGCCTCTTCTTTCGTTTTCTTAACGACATGAACGTGCGACCAGAACACCGGGTATCCGTATGCACGTCACTTTGAGGACGATAGTGGACCATACGTCAGGTCCATTCTAAATACAAACATGATGGAGCGAACATCGGCACAAAAACACATGATACAACTATTGGCGCGAACGTCTTACGACTAGCCAAATGTTCGGTACTTAGCTGCTGCGTTCTGTGGGCTCGTCAATGGATTACTTTGGTGAATTGATAACGGATCTCCATGCTTTCGGCTGCGGCTTGCCTGGCGTACTCCCGCCATGTGATGAGGTGGGAGTCTGATTAGCGCCACAATGGCCATTTGAGGAAACGGATGGCTGAGAAGCCGATTTCGAGTCATAATTGAAAGTGGTATATAGTCTCTCCCTAGTGGCCGAAATCGCAGGAGGAGGTATCTTACAATTTCCGTCAGAACGGCATGAAATAAGATGTACGATTTGATATCTTACTGCAGCCACCGAAACCAGATGAGAAGCAGAATGTTGAAGATCTTGAGCTGCGTAGAACTCCAGTATAATATTCAAAGTTTCTGACAAAGAATACAATTACAATCCACATCATCTTGACGCGGATGGACTCACCTGCAACACCAGCTAGATCTACCTCATTAAACTCAAAGTAATCCACGGCGAACCGAGAAGCCTCTGGAGATGAGAGATTGTGCGAGGGCGGGGTTGGCAACGAAGCAGATGGAGCAGGTGATGCTATCCGGACATCTAGAGATGGCGATTGAGGGCCCTCGATGATATGCTGGGCAAGTATGTAACATGCGGCTGCAATAATGCGTGGTGGATGTAGTATACAGAGCGGGGTCCTGGTTCTAGTGGATATCAGTGAAAAATGGTTCCGGAGAAGTTGCGTCCTGCATTACGTGTCGTTTGCGATTGTCCATGCGCATTCTTCTAGTTCTTCGCTCTCCTGTCTGGTGTTGAAGAGATCGACGAGCTCCGCATGTGGGCTGTCGACCACAAAATCGAAGCATAGAGCTTCCAACAGGACTTCTTCCGTGGCCAGTATAGCTTGCTGGTACATTTCCAATTCCTGCATCACGTTCTTCAGAATGGCATCAACGACTCCGTCAAGTTCCATACCTTGTTATCATCCGAAATCTCAGCAATATCTATCTTCGAAACCTTCGAATAGAACACTTTTGCGACGTCTCGTAACTTTCGACCACATTCTTCGGTCTTTGTAGCAAGGAAAACGCATGACGCAGCAACATCCTGATTATAAGATCGATGAGCATATGTGAAGACGGCGGAGTGCAGAACATTTTTGGACCGAACTTGTCGATGGTAGTCTTCCATGGAATACCGCATGTAGAATCTATGGAACCATGTGGCGGCCGTGTACATTGCGGAGATGGGCCTGACGAGAATGAAGCAAGGCATCAGTCCGTCCCACGAGGTCGGGTGTATGGGAGTCGTAGATAGTGAGGCTCACAGCTGCAGGGAAACTCCTAGTCGAAAGAGAAATTCAACTCCTCTTGCTCTATCGTACAATTCCCTCTCTCGTGGGATCGCCGACGTCGTGTGGCTCGGGGTGTATTGTAGGGCGGAAACCGGGAACAACCATTGAGAGGAAGACGATGATAGAAATTTTGTCGCTCCCATTCCTGAGCGCGTGATGTAGAGACCAAATGCGAGTCTTTGTGGTTTTTTTCCGAGGTGATTGACGGAGGTGGTAGTGGAAAACTGTAGAGTTGGATCGACGCCACCACTCTGAGCGCACTTCTACGTTTCACGTGCCTAACGCGAGGCGATCGAGATTTCGATCTGTCGTGTGCTTGCCATTGGTTATGGCCAACCCACTGAACATACCGTGGAAAAATACAATAGGCATCGTTTCAACGTCTGAACTGCAGAATACTAAGTATATTCATTCTATACACAATATGGCGCGACAAGCACAACATCGGCCTGCGTATCCTGTAGTCATGATTGGCTAGTAGTACAGCCTGCTTCGTTGTCGAACCTACTATGCACATTGATTTGGGGGGGAAAGTAGGTCTAATGAGTACTAATCGCGAAGACGCTTTAGGGGATTGCTCTAGAACCAACATCTAGCCATTATTTCCACATACTCTACAGATCATCCGTGGTACGCTGGCGATGGTGGTCAATTCATGATGTCCTCAGTTTGAGCATTCTTTTGCTATGCGCATTCCGGTCTCTTCCTCTTGGCCGTAGGATCATTTGAGAATAAATTTCAGCCACGAATCGGTGGGCAGTTGACTTGACTTCTTCGTCGGGCGCAAAATCAGTATTTCGGGCTGTCAACAGCTTTCAATGAAAGACGCTACGACAGCAAATAAGCAAAAAGTTATTATTGCTCCTCGCACTCCAATCAGAGTCGGAAGGCTTGATGCGTCCCGTCATTGCAATCTTCGCGGGTCTCAGGCGCCTTGATCTTCAAAGAACTTCTTCAGCTCAGGAAATCCATTTTTACACGAGAGGAAAGTCAGACAGGTTCATTGTCGTTGAGCAGAACTGTTGTCACTAAATGGCCGTAATTTGCGGCGGTACTTCTAGACCAGGAAGACGGAATGGCTGTGATGGACGTTCAGCACATACCTTAGGTATCGCTCAGCCTCCGTATACCCGATCCTGATAAATATGGGAGGGCCTTAAGGATTTCAGAACGTCCGATATGATCTGAGATGACATCTATAGCAGATGCTTCCCAGGCCAGGAGGCCACGGCAGGCGTGGTCATCACAAAGTCTTTATGGACGCGGACTTACCGTTGGAAGAGGCTCCATATACCCAGCCGTCATACATAGTCTGCAGGAAATAGTGAGCCTTCTGAAGAGAACGCATTTAAATCACGTTAAGTTCTCGCGGTGCTTCGACTTTGCATAGTCATCTGGGCGCGTAAGCTATGGACGGATCCCGCGCATAAGGAGCGCACTAAAGGTTCTGGCCATCTTTCGAAACATACCTTCCTGCATCTGACGAATCGTTCTGCATCCTTGGGGTAGCATCCAGGGGGGGTTGCACGAAGTCTACGACGGGCGACTCCGCAATCACCCCGTTCGCAGATGCGGACTCGACAGTTCAGTTGATCTGTCACGGAGTTACTGCGGCCCATCATGTTGTGCGTTGAAAGCATACTCTGCCGTATCCGGAAGTACATGGTGCACGATGAGCTGAGTAGTCTTTGATGGGCATTCTCGGATACTATGAGCGAACCTACATGGTGGAAGACGTGAAATTAGAGTCGATCTAGATGGTATCATAGATGCGACTCATCGACACATGCAGGCCGCTTTGCAGAGCATGCGGCATGCAAAAACGAACTGCTAGGTGTGACGAAGAGTTCGTTTGTTCGAACATTACTATTCGGTAAGACGGATGGCGCACGTTCCTGCATAACTGAATGCCACTGAGAAATATTGTTGTATGTGAATGATGAGATGTCTGCTTACAACTATGGACGTTTTCCTCAGAGCATGCACGGATGATCTTCCTGTTCTCTAGTCAGTCGGGAAGACTAATAACAGGTGTGATGAGTTTTAGAGATTGAAAGGACAGAGGGTGCTCGAGGACTCAAAGGCATGGCAGGTAAAAGTGGAAACTCTTCATAGAATTCAGCGCCGATCATCGGAAAAAGCTGTTATATCAGTGTCTGTGAGAATCGTCTTGAGTGATGTTGAGAACGGAGAGGCCGTAGCGGTCGGGGATGCACTAGATCGGATGTGCACTGGCACTTCATGGCCTACCCGTGCTATGGACGTGCTATCCGGGACACTATAGCAAAGTCATAGCAATGATCATCTGTCTTAGGCAAAAAGCACTTCTGCAACGAAAGCTTGTCGCACAGAAACAGAAGACGTTCTGATCGGGTGTAGCCTGCACGAACGCGCACCATCAACGCCGCTCAATAAAACGGCGAAATAAAGCCATAGCGATTCACTATCAAAAGACGGTCGAAAAGATCTGGCAACAAAACATGAGAACATCCACAAGGCACTTATCTGTACGCACCGCTTGAAGGAACCGTACGTTGGGTGACGCGCCCGCGGGTCATGCCATCGACGTGTCATATTCAGCTGGGCTGCTCGAGCCCTAAAAGAAACATACAGCATATTACTAAGAGGTGCGCGTACAGGTAGCATTTATCAGAAGCATAGGATACGCAATAGGTTATACAATACGACTAAATCGTCCACTTGAGCGGTCGGAATCCAATGGATCATAGCTGCGAACGTTTTCTTGAGAGGTTTCTTCAAGAGAGGACGAGATTCAGGAGCAGCTCAGGGCTCCAGTCCTTTCGCGCATAACACAATCTGCACATTTTGTCTCGCTCATACGAATAGGGTTTCGCTGAGGAGAAGTCATCACCCGCACACAAGAAGGTGACTTGCAGCCTGCGAAGCCCATATGATGAGCCCGGAGGATACACCCTAGTGTCACAACACGCACCCGTTGGATGAACATGCCTTCGACTAAAGAGACAGTTTGTTTGAAGGCAGTCCTGTCGACGAGTGCTCATGGGAATGAAATGTTGACACTCCAGATGGAATCTTCCGTCGATAACCTGTATGGTTGCCGGTATTAGCACATTACTGCATGAATCATGGATTAGCGGGGACGAACGTTATGACACATCTTCAGGTAAATAGTACGTAGGCAGCTGGGACCAGGCAGAGAAAGATGACGAGTGTGGATCCATGACGACTCTGAGGGGCATATATAGCTCCCGCATGGCAGTGCAACGCACGTCGCCCGACGGAGGGCATGACAGTTTCATTGCGCTGTCGAGTTGCATGTTGTCCGCATTCTCCATTAAGTCGGCTGGACCTGCAAGGCGAGGCTTGGGGCCTCTCCCAAATGGTGTGCAGAGAAAGGTGCAAACCAAGCACGGCACGACAGTTTAGGGAATAGTCAATCAAAAAATGTTGAATGATTCGCCGGATTTCCCAGCAACGGCGAGTGTGACGTGCGGGTTCGGTGTTTCGAGGTATCGGCGTTGAGTGCTCCAATTCAAACGTTCTATGAACCCCGCACCGCTGCGCACCCGGAGCTCGGCGGGCAAGTCATATAGGGTAGGAACGTCCGCCAATGTCACCTTCTAGCTTCTTTACGAATGCCTGAAAATGAGCAGCGCGAGCTCTACCGGGGCAATGCGCCGTGAACAACACTACCACGCACGCCACGAGGCTCTAGGCGTGGCAAACGCATGTCCGCCAGAGATGATAATTCTGGGCCTGCGCAACATGTCAAATACGGGACTAACCTGTCCCGTCCGGAGGCGCTGTGCAGGAGGGCAGACACCAATCAGCAATGGAGGGACTCGCCTTGCTTTGTAGGGTTATCCCGTTATTCGCTTTGCAACGGGGTCCAATCGCCGGGGACTCTTTGCACTGGCGAAAGCAAACTGCCCTTGCAGTTTTCTTGTCACCGTTTCTTCACAGTATGGTCTGTGTTAAAGCTCTTCACTCGGGAGCTATGCGTTGGGGCAGCGAGGTCGATCCTACCCGACTTCAGACCCCGACCTTCCAGCACGCACAATAATAGTTGACGGCATGCACATTGCAGACAGTGAAGAAAACAAGAGCAATGCAAAGTAGGATATTTTCATGATCCACGAGCACGGATCTCGTTTACCAATTTCACCTTCTTCCTCACCTGCGAAAGACGCCCATGAATACATCCAAATGTCGGATTGCGGGAAACGCACCTCATGGGCAAATCGTCTTCTCCAGCGCTCACTTTTGAGACGTCTACGTTTGACACCTTTCTTCTCGTGTCTCTGCACCAGTCTGAGTTCCCTGGCAACCGCATTTGCAGACATAATCCTCCTCAAGGCGGTAAACGCAGCGCCAACTTCATGGTTGTGTACCGCAACGCTGCGACCTGGTTACGATTGTTGTAGCATGACAGGTTGGTTGATTCCATCACAGACATACCGGTATAGGGATTATCAGGCTTCTGGAGATTTTGCACGACGCTTGCTTCCCGTTTCTTCCACTTTTCTTCCGCGTTGTCGCCAGCCCCATTCGTTATGTTTTTCCCCGTCTGCACCAGGAACCCCCATACCTGTGCGCTGTTACTTTGTGGGGTAGAGCTCGAATGAATATCGCCCAAGGGTTTCAACCGGATCGACTGCGCAGCGGCGCTACTATCTGGAGTGCTTGTCTCGTCGGAGTAAAAGCGGATGCCAGCAGCCAGACGCGGTACAGAGGCTGAGACACTCCAAGTCGACTTGATAGCAGTTGATGCGCACCGCCGTAACGCGAACATAGTTGAGCGGTTGGACGCAGTCGGTGGCTCTCGCGCGGGCCACGACAGCGGACCCCGGTCATCCCTGCTCAAGCCACGCGATTCGCGATCAGTGTCCGCACCTTTCACTGCGTCGGCCATGTCTGACGAAGTCCTTGCCGAGGAGTTCGAGGTACCTCGTCAGGACACGCGATGATCAATTCCATTGTCTGATGTTGCTGCAGGTGCTCGAATCGATCTATCCTACCGAGCTCACGAGTGCGTTCGACCCGCACGCTGTCCCTTTTTGTCAAGCTGAGACTCATGCGAAGAGTTATCGGAAAGGTCGGTGCGCATAGATATCGAACCAGAAGAACCCAATGAGAGCGAGGATGAATGTACGTCGCAATGTTCGTTCACTCACGGTGAGCGTGCTCTCACTAGCGCTATAGTGAAACTCGCCCTCGAAGTGCAATATACCGAAGGCTATCCGGATGTACTACCAGAACTGTCCTTGGAAGCTGTGGAAGGAAGCATAGAAGATGGAGAAGTCGATGATTTGCTCGATGATCTGCGCAGGGTGGTGAGTTGATAAGTCCATGTAGAGTCCTCATCGAAATAATGAGGAATCTGTCACAACGGCCAGGGAGAAGAAAACCTTGGGATGGCAATGACGTTTGCGCTTGTCACTCATCTGAGGGATGAGTTGTCTGCGCTCATAAAGCTTCGAGCTGAACATAGAAAGCAGGACGAAACGGAGAAAGAACGACAAGCGATAGAGGTGATTTATTGTGGTCACTTGACGATGTATTTAATCTATCTTATGGGATACATAAGGCAGAGGAGGTCCGGACGCGAGGCACGCCTATAACAGTGGAGTCGTTCAAGGCGTGGAAGGCTGAATTCGACAAAGAGTTGGCGATCAAGAAAGCACGCGAGGAGGAGGAAAAACTCAAAGGAATGGCTCCAAAAGAAAGGGAAGAATACAAGAGACTGGCCACGCGTCTCACAGGTGTGTTCCGACCCTATTGCTCACCGCATTCTGAGGGTTACTTGCTGATCGGACGTCTTTGCGAAGGCCGGCAGTTATTCGAGCGTGACAGGAATCTCGCGATCTCGGATGAAAACCTCGATGAAGAGGGCGTCGTATCTGTCGATATCAGCCAATACGACAGGACTACCGTACAAGAGGAGGAGGAAGAGTCGCAAGTGCCATTTAGCGACAGTGACTGACGTGCAATTTGTAATACGACTGTATACGTATGTCTGATCCACGCTGTAGCAATGATATCTCTATCTTCTATCCTAGATCACAAACCAGCAAGCAGTCCTTCTTCTCCCTCGACTCCGATGATATGCCCGCCACCCTCAACTACTTTGCATCCAATGTCATCTCGGCCAATCTCCTTCAGGAAGCCATCCACTACATGTGAAGGCTTCACTTGCCTATTATCTGCAACCAAGTCCTCTCCGACTGCTCTCAACCACTCCAACACAGGCTTCCTGACCCAACGTCGGATTTCTCCGGTATCACTTGCTTTCTCGAACCAGCCCAAATGACCGCCTTCCTGCGTAACAGCAAACGCGACGCATGGGTTCCCTCCGGCTTCCACGGGTAATACTCGCACAATAGGATCATCTTCTGAGTTGATAGCGAGGAACGGTACGCGGACATGCGGCAGCATTCTATGACTTGATGCCCATGCATAGTATTCCCAAGCCGACGGGAAGGGAAACGGCGGTGAGGAACCACCAGCAACGCAAGTTACCTTGCTATCAAACTCCGATAGAAGCATGTATTTCGTCTGCAGCACTTCAGTGACAGCATCGGCAAGGGGGGCATGACCAAACTTGGCTATCTGATCTGCGTGTCGCGTTACGAGTGTCTGTAGATTGCGAGCCATGGCTTTGGAGTATATATTCCTGTAGAACCACCGGTCTTCAAGGCTGGCAGAACACATTTGAGTGGCAATGTGACTTCTACAGCCGGAGCACACTCACCATCGAGCGTTCTTGACAAGATCCCACGGCTAAATGAGTCTGTAAGAGAGCCATTTGGATGAACGAAGAGCTGTTCGACCCACACAAGCAACAGCGCAACCGGCCAGGAGCCGACTTCGTTCCCCTTCCTCGGCAAGATATCGTGTGAGCACATTCGCGCCGAGGGAGAATCCGATGCCTAACAAGGGGGCTCGCGGATAGCGATTGGCGATGTGCAGAACGGCAACGCGTATGTCATCGGTATGCCCAGCGGAATATAGCTGAGGGCTTGTAATTGGAACGCCAGCACCTATTAAGGATGAGAATGCCTCAATTGAGAGGCACAGCTATTGATGCGAATAAAATTGACTGACAACCACGGAAGTTTACGACGATTCCTCGGTATCCTAGACCGCCTTCCTCTACCGGGGTACACGCTGGAGCCAATATTGCTCGCACATATGATTCATGGGAACCTGCAAGCATGCATTGAGGATCTGCAGGAGCTGATGATGGGAGCAACGGTACCGCCTGTCAAACCGTGCAGGACAACCACAATGGGAGTATCATCTTGCAACGTGCGTTCATCTGCGGGTGGTGTTGTGTCCAACCCTCTGTAAGACGGCGTTCAGAGGTGTGCTGAGCAAATAGCGTTCAAGAGACTGACATTGTACCACCATCTAATGTCCGCAACAGCGTCCTATCGCAACTGGGTGAGCCAATCGGTTGCTCCCATGCGACTTGAACCTGCCTCTACCTGTCATATTCTACCTTGTCCACTTTCGAGAAGTCTCCGACAACGGCATAAGCAGTTTGCAAATGGCCGCTAAAGAACAAGGCCGTATTCAGTTGTGATAACAGCGAAGACAGTTGTGACAGTACTCGCTTGAATAACCACCACGGCGGCAAGAACTCTTCGTTCAGACTAGGGCATCGTGTCTCCACGAAGGTTTGCAACGACTCTTGGCCAAGCTGATGTGAGCTCGAAGAGGATTTCACCGAGAGGACAGCAGATGATGGTGCGAAATGCAATCTAGGGATTCGATGCACTGCGGTGAAAATGCTCTCAATCGGACCCATGTCACTCGGCGAGTAGTCTGACACGCGCTCGAACAGCAGGAAGCAGTGAGATACAACCGAGGACCGCTCCGAGTCGCTACGCCTTCGTACCGCATCTATAAGGGACCGATCGCGCGAGGCAGAAGATCTTTATTGAGGGTTTGTATAATCACAGGGATGTGGAAGCATCGTCAGATGCCGACAACAGACAATACTCCTTATTGTTACGACCGGTGATCGTACAAAAAAGACAATTACTGACTACCCGATGACAGAATACATCGAACGCTCGGCGGGAATCCAATCTACAATCCTAGATTTAGATCTATACGGGTAGAAAATACAATCCGCAGCTGAGACTACTCGCGAATCAAGCGAAGGCCTCCAGAGCCCTCTTGGCAGCAGCACTCAGCATCCTTGCACCGCCATCCCTGTTGGCAGCAGCAGTCTCGAGAAGCTCCTTGGTGCACAACTTCATCCTCGCAACATCATCAACTCTGTCCGGACTCACAACGCCTTTCCTGCCCAATTGACCGAGAAGTGCACACACATTGGCGCTGATCTCAACCGCAAAATTATTATCGGTATTCTTGAGCACCACCACGAGCATGTCCAATGCGCTGTGTAGGTCTGCAACTGGGGAGCCGTCTGACGATATGGCAGACGCCGGCTGAGAGAGAGACAGGGTGGAACGAATAACCTCGCTCGGCAAAGGGTTGAGGATAGCGTCAAGCACCATTGTACCTAGTCAACAAGAGGTTAGTCGCGATGCTCAAATCATGAGGAGCAACATACCGCCGTTAATGTGCATGCTGAGAAGAGACAAAGCCACCACGCCTTCATTGATGAGGATCGGATACCGTTTGCTCCGCCCAATCAGCCGTGCCAGGGCAGAGGCAGTTGCAGGAGTTGCAACGACTGCCATGGCTTTCTGCCGTTTCGCCTTGCCATCCTTGGACACCACGTCGTTCGACCAAAGAGCCTTGATGACGTTGACGAGTACACGCGTGCCCTCGCTCTTTACGGCAATTGAATCCGAACGGCGGACTAGTGCGAGGATCTGATCCATGCCCGACAGTGCCGGACTGCCCGAAGGCGGTGCAATTAGGGCTAACGCATTCTCGGCTGTGATCGAGAAGAGCACAGGTTACGTCAGAAAATGAAGGCAACGAGGCAGTGCATCCTGACCATCCCCATTGCACATGTGTTTGGCTGTGCCAATTGCAGACACTTGCACCAACTCTGCGATGTCCGCCTTCTCTCCCCAGACTTGAGAGGATGCTAGCTTCTGTATGATCTGTGCTTTACCCAACGCGGTTCTGTTCCCGGCCGACTGGGCGAGGTGCTTCAATAGTCCAACTACACCATGCTTTACCTTGATATCGGTGTCAGGTTCGAGGATCGTAGCCAAATCGGGTGCGAGAGAGATCGGCGGCTGTATGAGTGCAGTCGAGTGAGCGTCTGCAGTAGTACTTTCAGGTCAGGATGAGCTTTCATCTAGCTGAACATGACAACTCGCCTCGCCGTGCAAGGTTACCCAAGCTGAGCGTTGCGCAGATGATCAAATCGTCCCTATTTGTCTCCTTCGGATCCTTGTGCGCACGTATCCATTGCACCATAGTGTTGATGAACTCTCCTCCAGGTTTGGCGGGATCTGAATCATCCCACAGAATGTCCGCATTCTTATCTTCTCCAGCAGTTTCTACCACCGCTTTCACGATGGCCGCTTTGCAAATAGCAAATTTCTTCTCCATCGCTGCTCGCTCAGCGGAAGGTTCCGAAGACCAATATGGTGGGTAATCAGCCTTATCCACGAATGTGAGCATAGTCGCCAAGCATGGAACGCCTCCATGTTCGGCAGGGAACGTCAGCCCTCGTGCAAGGGAGAGCCGTACATCCTCCACGTCCAGACAGAGAGATTCCAACACGCCGCACACCTCTTCCAATAGATCGTAATCTGCTTGCACTAAGGAACGACGGGCTGGCGACGCAGCGAACAAAGGTGGAGCACTTGGATAGGGTGGAACGAATGCCTGTAGTGGTCGGGCCAGGAATGGGAGTGCATCTGGCCCGAAGAGTGATCGCGACTGGGCTGGACATACGCGTTAACTCAGTACGCGCGGAATGCTAGATAGAAGGCTGACCATTCTCCTCCCCGTCGTCACGCAGCTCAGAGATTGCCCTCCAAGCCCAGTTCGACAAACCACTTCGCAGGTTCCATGACTCCAGAATGTCTTCTTCAGTTTGTAGATCGGGACCCAAGAAGACGTGCGAGGAAAGCCACGACCCAGGAGGATAGATAGCCATCGACAACTTAAGAATGGTCATAGCGGCCTCTAATGAAATGAGCCGGAACTTCACCGCCTCTGCATAGGAAGCACAAGTCGAATCAAATCAATGGCTATTTCCCAATTAGATATCCCATACCGTATCCAATGCTGACATTGAGCAGGAATCCGATCGAAGTTTTGACAACTTTCAAGTCCTGCATGGACAGAGCCATGGGTCCTGCGAAATCAGAGGGCACTCTGTCCGCATAACCTTCCAGCAAAGTGACCACCGTTTGCGGGAATCCGGCCTCTAGCAGATGACCTCTATTTTCATCTAATGGCGGATCGTAATCTGGTTATGACATCGTCGCGACCGCCAATCGGACGGACTTGCCGTGGTCCATACACAGGTTTGCGCCAACCCGGAGGATCTCAAACATCGCTGACTTGTGCGATGCATCAGTAACACCAGCACCGTCCGAGCCGATAGCGCTCTTTATAAGAGAAGTAAGCGTTTGCGGGAGGAGCGTCTTCCCTAATGCTGTTTGCTGTTGAACTACAGGAAGACGCACAACTTAAATGTACATCATGATCATTAAAGGAGCAACTCGACGCTGACCATCCTTGACCCGGAGGTCATCAGCCAGTTTCTGCGTTGTTCGCTGGATCTCCAGCCATTGATCGGGCTGGTTGAGCGGCAGACGAGCTAGGAGGTCGCCAAGCTGAGATGCAAGAGCGAGTTTCGAATTATCGTTCATCTGACACGACAAAAATGCGACCGTCACACCGGAAGCAGAGAGAGGAGACAAAGAGCAAGCAGATGTCCCGCGGTAGTACAAGAAGGTTTAACCTGCGAATTGAGGTCTGTAAACGATCGAATAAAGCGCCTGGCCAGTATAATCTCCGATACGTGGGCGCTTAAGCTCAAGGCGCTCTTCCCCCAGTCTCAGAGTCCGATTTCTGTTGTTATGCTAAAGGCATCATCATATACCGCTTCTCAGTCGAATCCTACGGCTCGGGATTGTTCGTCTCCAGTGAATGTTCTCATATTCTAATTCTTGGGCGGGTTCAATTAATCTTGCTGCACTGTTGGCACTACGGCCAAGCACGGGAGACAATGCCCCTCAGATAATCCTACCTTATATGCTTCTTTGATTTTCCCAGTACCTTCCGGGCTTTTTCAATAGTGTAAAGGGACTTTGAGAATTCGAGGGTACCTTGATCGTAACCCGCTCCGGATTGAATCCAATTGGCATACGAGACCTTGCATCGGCTGGGACGCCATATAGTCATCAGTATCCTGAGGGCCGCTCATACTGCCTCGTTGAAGCATCCCCTAACTTAACTTCTTGGAATGGATACTGGTCTTCTTTCATTCAAATCAGCTTGCATGCTTACCCGGGGCGTCGATGACGCTGTCGTGCTGGTTGAGAATGCGGGCTTCAAGCTCATAGAAAAAGCCACACTATAGCCACTCTTCGGAATGCAACTAAACGATGCTGGTCTCCGACCGACGCGTGAAGTACTTTGCACTTAGGCACGTGATCGTGTTGTGCCTACTTAGCTCCGTCCAGTTTTACAGTGCTTTCTTCGTCAGTGCTTTCTGAGCGTGCTTCTGCAAATGTTTGCAGCAACTCATCCACAGCTTTACCGAAACATTCTTCTTCCTATACGGTCAGAACCGTGAACGGCGGCCGTTGTAGCACCGGCTCGGCTGATCCGGTGTGCGTGATGTAGAGGTGGACCTCACGAGGTCGACGCAATCGTAACTATCACTGTCAAAATCCAATCCTTATTAAGTGGCAGTGTTGTGGACACGTTCCAAGTGCCGGTGGATTGCTTGAACAGCGCAGCCACCTGCCCTTCGCTCGTCAAGGTTCACTTTTCGTTCACGTGAAGTCATTATGGCGAACATCTGCAGTTGGAGCGGAAGCTCTGCGAGTGCGTATTGTATACCTTGCGGGGAGTGGCCGCGCTCATGATGTCCGTTGAGCGCGTTCGTGCCGTTGCGACTCTTTCTATGAAAGCCCAGGCATCGAAATCCTTATTAGGTATGATCCACTTCTATCATTTGAACAGGTTTCGACTCCGTGTTTCGATAGCAAAGCAACACTGGCTCCACCACGTTGCAACTTTGTCTCGTGCCTCAGCATTGATGTAGCTCCGGACTCCTTGCTTTCGAGTCACACGTTTCACCAGACAGAGATGGGGTACATCCTATACAACCCTCCTGGCTTAGATCAACGAGGTCTCTGCCTGCACATGACGGTGGGTGGCTTGTCATGCAGTTCGAACTTCATCATCCTCAGTCGCTGACGTCCTCCGGCCTATTGGCGGGCGCACGTTCGTAGTGCTAAACTTATCAGACGACCGCTGAAATTCCAGTACTAGCCGGGTTATGAAAGTGTACGCCGCAGAGTCAGCAGTGGGCGGCTGGTCCTATGGTCCTAAAGAGCAAGGTTGTCCCAGCACGTGATTACAGGCGCGCGGAATTGGCGCGGAGGGGTGCGCCCATCGTGCCCGACAAGGCAACCGCCTGTAAACCGCTGACAATGACTTGCCTATCCAAGCGATATTTTCTCCATCTCTGTCCCGCTCGCTGTACATAAGCAGCTCGGCGAAGGTGCCGTAGCTCTTGGTGTACGTATAAATTCATCGTCTCTGCGTTCTGTCGCTTATTGTCTTTCTCTCGCAGCTTCGGTTCACTTTTACGGTCTACGTCCCACAGACTCATCTCTTGTTTCACCTTTGAACTATTTACAAGCGTCTGAAATGTCTCTCGCGTCAGTACCGAGGCGCGTTGTGAAGAAAGTCCTGGCCGTTGAGACCCCCGAGGTGAATTGCTCATACTATGTGAAAGAGATGCTAAAGTTTATGATATTGAGCACAGGGTGAGGGTGCTCTAGTCAGGCGTTCAATAGGCACCCCAAAGCTCCGGAATCTCACTCCATTTCTGATGCTCGATCATTTCAATGTAGCGCCAGGCGCGGTAGGAACACTTAAAGTTGCTTCAAGGCGTCAATTCTGACAGCTCGTGTAGGGTTTCCCTGACCATCCTCATCGCGGCCAAGCAACGGTGACATACATGCTGGAGGGGTTAGCTTCTGACCCAGTCGTGATGAAATTGGTTATTTAATGCTCCGCTCTTCCAGGAGCTTCCAACACGAGGATTCCGCAGGCCACAAGGGCAAGATTGTGGCCGGAGGCGTGCAATGGATGTGTGCTGTAAGCGCATGTCCTTTCTCTCTTGTACTAGCTCTCATAGCCATGCTCACCACAGGGTCGTGGCAGTGAGTTGTCTAGCATGCATATTAAAGCGCCAACTAACGTCAGTTGCAAGTCATCCATGCGGAAATGCCTGTGCATGGTCCGGGCCATCCCAACCCTCGCGGCCTTCAGCTTTGGATTGATCTTCCGAAGAGATACAAGATGGTTGAGCCCACATACCAGGAACTTGAACCTCATGAGTTCGTCACATTTCACGACACGTACCTGGCATCCACGTCTTGAAGTTCCATATATAGGATCCCTACTGCGTATCCCGAGGGTCCGGACGGCCCTGTTAGTATCAAAGTGATCAGCGGGAAAAGCCATGATGTTGAGTCTCCCGTCCGACCGCTCGGAGGCTGCTGGTACTTCCATGTCATTTTCGACAAGAAGGACACAACTATTTTCCAGGACATCCGTGAGTCCAGTTCACAGTGCGAATGTGAAAACGCTTATGTTGTGCTTCAGCGGCGGGATGGACGTCATTCATCTACAGTGAGCAAAATCCTTTGCAGTGAAGTCATACGTGTGTTGACAGTCCCGCACTACTCCAGGCTTGAAGGGCTCATTGAAGGTCGGCTCGGAGCCTAACGTGCACGAGGCTTTCCACACGCTCGTTCTTTCTGGTGATGCGAACGAAACGGGCGTACAGCTCACTGCGGCAGAGGACAATACTGAAGCTGTACTGGTGCGCGCGCAACCGGTCATTTCATGGCTGGATACTAAGCGAGGCTTCATAGATCGCTGGAGAGCCCCTGGATCAGACAGTCGTACAATACGGCCCATTCGTCATGACCAGTCGCGAAGAGATTCAGGCAACGTTCATTGACTGTGAGTGTACAGCGATTATCTAAGCATTTTCCCTCATGCTGAACGCATTGGAAGATCAACTCGGCCAGAATGGGTTTGAGAAAGCTCATACCTGGAAGAGCAAGATCGGTGGGCGGTAGATATCCATTCGTCCGGCACGGTCGCGAAGCTTAACCATTCTCTTGTACCAAAGCATCGATCTGAGGTCCCATGAATGCACATGCTTATGGTCCCTGTACTGTATCAAATAGATGACTTCCAATAAATTAGCCCTCTGTCATATCTTGTAAAGGTTTACTATCGGGGAAAGGACCGCTCGGAAAGAGCTTTCGAGGTCCTCGACCTGAGTTGCATGTCTCTCAATTCGTGCCATAGGCTGCCTCTACCGATCTCGCCTGTAGACACCGCCGAGGGACTGGCGCGAGGTGATGAGCCGTCTGTGTCTCGTGCCGCTCGCCCATAAGATGGTTGAGAGCGAGCAGGGCTGCTCGCACGGACAGATAGTCTCGGCCGCGAAGACCCAGCCGCTGTGTTATGGTCGGTCATCCTCCTTCTGGCCCTCTCAGCAGTTCTCGCGTCTGTTGACAAAAGACTGGCAATGCCAGATCGTCCTGCAGAGGATCTTGGAGCACTAGCTGCAGAGACAGGAGCGTCTGAGGTGATGCGTTCAACCCCCTTGGTAGGGCCACCGGAATTGGCCTTCCAGAGGGGATACGCTGCTACAGATGCTTGAGACGTTGGGCTAGGCCGAGGATATTCAATGACTTGTCGGGGTGCCGCACTCGGTAGGCGAAGATATCGTGCTCGTCTACGGGGCTAGGTTAGTGATGATAGATGAGGTTAGCATATTACACCTACGCAACAGCCTTGAGCTCAATCTTTGTTTTGTACGCCTTCTGCCATTTCTCAAATGCTTGAGCTAGGCCATGACACAATCAGGCCGATCTGCTCAAGTCGCATGCAATGCACATACCTAGCACGGATGTACGATCCATTTGTCGGGCTGCCTTAGCTTGTAATGCTCTCGGCATAGCATCGCGCCAGACGCTCCAAGCTTTGATCTTCGTATGATATGCATGCAGACGAACAGCAGGAAGCGACTGCCCGATATAACACATCAGTGCAAGCCACAAATCAGCTAATATCGCTCTTACCCTAGTCTTCGCATGCCAGATGCCAAAAGCACGAAACATGATGTTTTTCTGCTTCTGCAGAAGGAAATCGTCCGCCTACAATAAGTGTGAGCTTCGTGTGCAATAATCATACCAAGATCACTTGCCATAGGCTGCAGCCTGATGTCCTGGAATCGCTCTCGCCACCTGTCCCATGCAGCCGCCACCACAGTCAGCTTCAATTCTTCCTCTCTCTGCTGCAAGTGCAGTCGCCTATGTCGGACCTTCCTGGCAGCTGTCAGCCAGCGATAGAACATTCGACGCATCATTTCTGCGAAGCACATGAGCTTCAAAGTAGCGAACGCTCTCCGGCGCGTATGTACCTTCCCGTTTGACATCCTGATAGCTCTCCATGAGGCTAAGCTCTTCCACATGGCGTATGCACACTGTCTTCCACTTCTTGCATGCGATTCTGCATCATACATATAGATAAGCTGTCGAATTTGAACGAGAGAGATAGACCTACATAAGCATCTTTTTTCTTACTCTTTGATTGACTTGCAACTCTCTGTCCTTGATGTCAACTACACGATTTATCCAGCGACTGAGAGCGCCTGCCATTAAGCGCTGTCGAAGAGAATGAGAATTTAAGAATTAAACAAAGCAGGAATTACGTACCATTTGGATGCGTTGTCGCATGATCTCCTCAGCCATCTTCAGCTGTCTTTTTTTCTTGGCAGTCTCGAGCCATACTGAATAAACAGAGATTTTATTCAACCACACCTACTCGTAGATGACAGAACTCACCCTCAAAGTACCTTCGCGCCATGCCGTTCTCGAACTCCTTCAGCCTCTTCTGCAGCCTCCTCTGCGCTAGATGCTCCACCCATTTCTTCCAGTACTTCCGTTGAATGATCAGCTTGCTGACTATCCTAGCTTGTTTTGCTAGTTTGAATCTGGCTCGCAGGTGAAGACGCCATGTCAAATTTGTCTTAACAAGTAGTTGTCTCGAAAAGTACTCTGCGGCGAACTCTTGGGCGTTCTGATGGGCGCTGTATGCCTGACGCCACTTTTGCAGGGATGAAGACGCGAGTGTCGAATGTGCTCTCATAGAGAAAGCCAACGCCAGACCTGTATATGATTAGCGAGCGTAAGATATTGATACTGCATGCACAACCTTCAAGATCTCGCTGACGGCGCAGGCGTTCTTTCCACGTTACCCATACTTGTTTCAGCACCCTAGAATTGCTGACACGCTCTAAGAGTCTGCCTCTTTCGTGAGCTTTCCATACTCTCATGACAGCACGGATGAGAAGATCATCTTGACGTGCCAGATGCTTCAACGCCTTGCTCTCCAGTGACTACGTATACGAATATCAGCGCAGTAATGAAAACGTACAACTTTATGAAGCATACCTGTACTCTAGCCTTGGCCCGCTTCCAAGCCGCGAGAGCTCGCTTCTTAATAATCAAATCATGAAATGTGTCTGCAGTCTGACTCTCGTTCCTATGCAGGGAAACATTATCTAGAGTGGAGAAATTGATAATCGGGAGGAAACTTACAGGTGCTGCTTCCATACGTCCAGTGCTTGTCCCATAATCCTCAGATTTACGCGCTCCGTCATCTCCCGCTCCGTTCTGCGCAATACCATTTCCCGTCTCCATAGGTCGAAGTATCTCTCCTGAGACCTTTCTTGTCTATCGTATAGCAAGTGTTCGGCTGCCGCATCAAGCTCATCCAACTGTGCCAGTTGCGTCTTCCAAATGCTGAAAAATCGAACCGCAAGACGTCGAGAGTGGTACTGCTCTGCAACTTGCAGCTGATGTGCTTTCCGCCACTTTGTCCAGGCTTCCTTCAGCAACGACGCTTCCCTGCGTTCGCGCACCATTCTCATTTTGGTACGCATTGCATTCCGCCAGTCCGCTTGTTGTTTCTCTTTAAGTTTGACCTTCCAAAGCTCCAAAGCAGTTTGCATGCGCCGCTTGTCGGATATAGAAGCAACGCGTCGGCAAAGATCTTGCCGGTCGGCGAGATGCCCGCGCCAACGCTTGTAAGCCCTGCGGAGGACCACTGTATCGCGCGCATGAACAATCTGATCATGCGTAGTCTGCATACCGGTCCGGACTGTGAGATCAGAAGATCATACGAAAGAGATATACGTACGATGATCCACTCGTAGCCCTGTCTCCATATGTCCCAGCAGCGTTCTATCAATTTGTCCTCCCGAAAACGGTCCGCCTCCTTGCAGTCCTGAACTTCCATAACCTTGTTCCACGCTTCGTCTTCATCGATGGAGTTTGCTTTGCGATCATTGTCTCGTGGCAGTACTGAGCGCACCGCAGTTGAGGAGGATGATGGCATGGACGGAGCATACATGACTGCCCCACGAGTGGCAGTACGTGGGAAATACCTCGCAGGCGCATTGTCACGTATTGCAGCACCATAGGAAGGCGGAATAGTGGAAGTTGTAGCAGTCGTGGGCCTCGGACCTTCGGATGTTTCATCGTTCCAGTGAGAAAAAACATGATTGGAAGAGCCGCGCATTCTGGACCCATCTTTCAGGACATGCGCCGAGGGTGGACCTGTATGCAAACCCAGGGAGTTTGTGGTAGTTGTCAGAGTGGGCGAGATCGTCCTTCGCACGGGTCGTGGCGTATCATGGTGTCGAGGCCCTACCTGGCTGACTGACTCCCAATCGGTTGTCTCTGCATCGCTAGGGTCGGGATATGAATGGAGAGTGAGTGTGTCTTCCGGGGGTGCCTTACGCAGACCTGTGGTAAGTCGCGTAGTTACTACCTTCGACGGTGCAGGAGTATTCTGAGTCGCTCGCGGGATCTGTCCCTTGTCGTTCCCAGCGCGGGTAGCATATCCCTGCTGATGTTTGATGGTGTTCCATTTCTCGCCCCAATTCCTTCCTTTAAGCGTACCAAGCTTGAGGAGCTTACCGTAGTATGCTACCTCCTCTTGCGGGTCTAAACCGCGCTCTTGCAGTACGTCGTTGTACGCTTTGAATACTGTCAAGAACGTAGTAGCTGTGGCTGGTGCGCGATTTATGACAGTATCAATGAACTCGACGTCTTCAGGAGTCAATCCAGCAAACTCTGGGATCTGGGTAGATGAAGACCGCGATTCGTCAAGGAGTTCCTTGGCAAGAGCGGCCGCATGAGCAGGGTCATTTTTCAACCTGGGAGAGGCGCGTGCAGGTCTGAACTGAGACATCAGACGAGCGTTCAGTTACTTGAGTACAGGAGATAGCCAACCCAGGGCGAGGAAAGTGACCAGTCACCAGACGGCGTGTTCAACGACCGCAAGCGCGTTGCCAAAACGCGACGCGTCCAAAAGCACGTGCACCGTGACACGGTGGCCACAGTCCTGTTCTGTACCTGCCTGGATCCGAGACAGCGGTGGAGAAATATTATATACATCATCGATATATAAGTACAGGGTTCCATGGCACACAAAGGATGGAATCGTCCAGGATGCATGACGGTAGCATGCTTTGCTCAGAAGTGCACTTTGAGGGCGTCTGACATATGTGATTCTACAGGGCAATACGGGCATTTGACACGACTATAAAGCATCTCATGAGAAGCTGCTATGGTAGTAAAATCAGAGCACGCACCCTCCGGGTTTGCTTAGTTTCTGCAAACTATCCTTGGCGATGACATGCCCACAGCTCATCATCATTGGTGGATTCTGTTCTGTCGACTGTTCTTTCGAAACCGGACATGCAAATATCGAATGATATCTGTTCTCCGGTGGCAAGGATATTTCAATCTAGGATGCTGATGTAAGCAAGCCAAAATCTGAAAATGTGACGGGACATAACACTCAACTGGTAGCTCGTCAGTACGACTCCATTCACTCTTACGTTCGCGCATGACCTTCCGGCCCTTCTCAATTCGCGCGAGCGCTCCTCCTCCTCCAATATCTCCAACGACTCTCAGTGGGACTTGTTTGCTCATGCCCAGACTTGCACAGTACTCCTTCGCGAACATAGGCTCTAGATCGGAATGTAGCGATGGAGAAGCCAGGTCCGCATAGGGTGATAGTTGTAGACGAGCCAGAGGCAGATAGAGCATACAAGTCATCAAACGACGTATCTCCGGCTCGTGCTGAGAGTAAAAGGGAGGGAACACCGTTCTTGCGTATGTCAGTGCAGGAGAATAGTCCGGGGGATGTGACGTGAGGATAAGACGCATGAACTGTGAACGATGAAGCAAGAATTCAAGAGACGAGGAGTGATGATGAAGGAAGTGACGGTTTCGTGCCGCCCATCTGCACCGAAATTAAGCTTCATGATCGCGCTAGAATGTCATGTAACGCACTCCAATGCGGGACCGACATTCTGATACTTCAGAGCCGTCATAATGCGGTATAATTCAGCAAAATTTGCTTGCTTTTCCGAGTCTATCTCAACACCAGATTCCTAAGGAAATTGTCACAAATAGCTTTATAAGACAGATGTGGTGTGTCTTACCTCAATGAAGGTCTGTGCCGTGTGGAATTGACCAGTTCGGAGGAAGTGTAACGCAATGGAGTGTTCCAGAGCAGCATTAGCTTCTGGTGAAGTGAACATAGGAGGATACGATGGCAGTGCTGTGGAGAATTTCTAGGCTCGGTCTGTTGAGATACACTGAAGCACAACTTATGAAGAAACGCACCTTGTCGAGCGTTTTGCCCACCTTCATTAGGGAATTATAAGCCTCCTTTTGCCTCTCATCTACTTCCATCTTCTTTGTTTCCACTGTCTTTGCGAGGATAGTGAGTGTCTCATCCGTCACGGTGCCGGCCTTGAGCCGATCTTGCACTTCGCGGAGCGATTGCAACAGTGAATCAAGGGAGTCATTAACACTAGGAGTCTTCCCCTTTGCAGAAGCATTTGAAGTCAATTCCTCTAGCTTCGTGAGCTCTTTCAGTGGGCCATCCATTGGTGTCGTCGCCTGGTGGTATGTGGGCAAGTCGGCCTCACGGCGATCACAGTCATCAGACGCGGTGTAACGTGTAAAGTGGCGGCGGCGTCACACAGGTTTTCTCTTCACCGCTATGCCTAGATTTTTCACAGGAGACGTGCTCGGTGCTTTGAAGGCTATCAACTACACTCAGGGATATGATTCGAAGGAATGGAAGGCTCAATCGACAACACTTCTGTCGGGCGCGGTGGAAGAGAAGCCGAATCCTATCCAAAAACTAGCCATTTCTCGGGTCGACTCGAAACCCCTGGTACAATTCAACTTGAGCTGCTTCCTTGCCTATCTGCTTACAAGCATGTGCTCAAGGAAAGATAGCCGCTGCGCACAGTGATGGATTTGTATACGTGCGAACTGTCGACTCCACTGCCGTGTCTGCTGAGCCTCTACACGAGTGGATAGAAACTCGGCTGAAGCCCGAACAACGTTATATCGGGCTTGGGATATCGGGACGGTGAGCTGCACTGGCAGTGCTTCAGCAATTTTGATGATATTCAGCTTATGTGCGGCTCCACAGGCGTGTGTTCTCCTGCACATCCAATGGCGCCCTCCGGTCAACCGTACTTCCTCACGAAGACGTTGGTGCCAGCACCCATACCGCCGCGCTTCCCATGAGATTGTTTGACTGGCGCATGTCATCAAATGCCGAAACGTTTGCATATGGCGGCGACGAGGTGGAACTATCAGTATGGAGCACCGAGACAGCCTTTACACTTCGAGACGAAGCAAGCAACAGCAACGAGACAAGAAAGAGAAATCGAGGAGAGCAGCTCTTACCCGGAGAAGTCTGGAGAGCCAAAAATGTGCGTGATAGCTGAGCCTCGTGCAAGTTCTGTTTGACTGGAAACCATTATGCCACAGGTGCCTAACGACGGCCTGAGCCTACGTCAGCCCGTCCATATTACCGCTCTTACCTATCTTCATCCTTCTCTCTCGGCTTCCCATCACCATCTACTTACTGGAACGCAAGCCGGAAATGTTCGCCGCTACGACACACGAGCCGCGAGGCGGCCGGTTGCCGATTGGAAAGGGCTCGGGAAGGTCGGCGGTGTTAGCATCGTCGAAAAGGGGCTGTCTGAGAAGCAAGTATTTGCCAATCCCAAATAAGTAGCCGCCCAGCTAATGCTAGGTCTTGACAGCGAGGTTTTTGTGGCAGACCGTGCATGTAATCTCTTTGCATTGGACATGCGAAACGGACGCGTCGTTTATGGCTATAAAGGTCAACCTAAATTCCTCTATCTATCTGTCTATCAGCTCAACAAACGCTTTGTTCTCTTAGGTCTTGCTGGCGCCATAACATCGATAGCGCCGTCGCCTTCACTCCTTGCCTCTGTATCGCAGGACCGATTCCTACGCCTTCATAGTACATTGGCTCCGCCATCACAAGCAGGTGCACAACAGGAACACAAAGGGGATGTATTAGACAAGCTCTACATGAAGACGATACCTACAGTGGTCATATGGGATCAAGCTGCGGAAGGCCTTCAAGTTCAACCTCCGGCCAACTACCGCGACGACGACGAGAATGAAGCTGACGATGATATGTGGGATAATATGGAGAACGTTGGTGACAAGAAGGGGCGGAGATGATCGCCGGAGCAAAAAGAAGCAGGATCGCGGAATAGCTGGTAGTCCCATCACATTGCCGCATTCGCTGTCGATGGTAGAGTTGAGTAGGTCATGGGACAAAATATCGCTAGTAGACTCATTGTCAGAGTCGGAGCGTTCGAAGGGGCAATTTATGCGACTAAGAATTGCGATAATATTGCCATCCTACCCAGTTGGCAATCACGAAATATGACGTAGTCGGTATGAGAAGTATGAAGAAGTACTTGTAATAAACGTCTTGAGCGAGGATATCCACAAGCTGTAGATGGCATTTGGAATGCCCTTGTCGTCATGTCTTGTGTGTAGCAGCGTTTGAAACTCTACACTCACCCAGATCCCCGTTTGATGTTGATGATGGAATGCTTCGAAGAACGTCGCGTAACTTCCGAAAATAAGCAACAGAAGTGCAGAAACTATCAGAAACAGGCCAGTCTTTAAACTTGGTGCTTCTGCCATCGGGTAGCTGAACAGCGGAAGTTCATGCATGCAATGAACGATTGGAATTTGCTACCTACGGCTGATTTTCTGATTTGACTGTCATTGGCAGAGGAGTTAGGCATTGATCGCGACACGGCTTGAATGTCGAATCGGCAAGTTGACCACCTCAAGTTGGCGGCTTGAGGCTATGATGATGATGTGTATCTTGCCAACTGTCACTGTCTAATGCTGTGTGACCGTAGTAGTACAAGCGCCCTAGAATATCTCTGCGAGTGTGATCGAGATCTAAATCTCATCATCATCCTGCCCTCGGGCAGCCTCGGGCTCGTCTCAGGCAGACCTATTAAATCGCCTTTTTCTGAGGAAGCGACGACAGGCGAAATAACTCTGGCGCTGCTGGTAGGGCCGGAGGTATCTCTGCATACACATATTGTTGATGGCCACCATCATCGGCGTGCAGTCGCACAATTTCACTGACACACTGGCACGCATACACCCTGCTAGTAACGGAACCCGAGAAAAACATGGACGTGGTCATCACTGTATAAACCTGTCCGTATGTGCAGCTACGATAAGCCTAGCCTATGATCACGTTCTTCATGCTGCCCAAAAGGTCAGCCCGTTGGTACTACACACTTCATGAGATGAGTCATGACGCCTCCGACTGATCAGCTCCGAGATGAATGTCGATAAGACATCATTAGTATGAGGAAGTTGCCCATTCGTTATTGCCGCAATCCAGTTAGGTAGCGCATCTTTTACGCCTTGATGACCGCAGTTGGCGACCAAGAACGCAACCTCTAGTTGATAGATTTCGGGATACCTAGGTTGTCGCAAGAATTAGAGAAGCACAAAGGACAACAAATCAATGTGACCTGGAACTGAACTCGGAGAACACTTCATCGAGTATATTCTCAGCGGAAAGCTGAGATCGAATGTTTTCGGAAGCTAATTTCTTCAATTCCGGCAGATCGTACTATAGTGCAGATTGCATGTGATGAGTTACAGCAATGCACGTCGAACTGAAAGGTATGCATGCCTTGTCCGCAAGTCTATACATAGATTTCGGTGAACATGACGGAGACTTGACCCCGGGGTACAGGGGCGGTGCCGCAGTCTTTCCCTCGGCCTTCGCACTCTGCAAGCATGACCTAAGAGGAGCAAACTCTATATGCCCTGTATACAAGTAGGCAATAAGAGCTTTCCACCTGTTCAATGGACAAGTGATGTTGGTTTTTTAATTCCTCAAGTGCAGGTCCGCTTACGTCTTGTATGCCATATCATGTACAAAAATTGTCCGGCCAACGCATACTGGCTTTATCATCGTGACGCTTGGCGACATGGTGTCATTCCCGCTGGCGAGCAGTATAGATGATTCTCTGCCTGTCCCCTGCCCCAACATTTCCAGATCGGTCTTCAATCCATGGTTTTAACACTTACAGCCATCGTTGTGTCCTCTATGTCTGACTTCGTGGCCACCTCCGCTCTGGGCGTCGCTTGCCGCTCTTTCTCTTCAAGCACTTTCCTCACTTCTCGATCCTCAACTGCGCCACTATCTGAAATAGCCCAATCCCGCTCTTCGTCCTCGAGATCGCTATCTGACTCGTATCCGTATTCCACAGCAGATAATCGCTTGTTCGCAAATTCCGGAATATCATCTACGATGTTTGTTAGAGAACTTTCCATCAATCCACTAGTCAACACTACGCCTCCCGAGCTGCGTCACAGTAACTGTCTCGAGATGTAGGATGATCCATGCACGCTTGTCAAATTCGGGGGAGGCATTGGTAAGCGTGGCGCTTGCAGCAAAAACAGGACGCAGCTCGTGTACAAATGTATCGGATTCAGAATCAAAGCGCCGAGTGAAAAGAAGGAACTTCGTGTCGACAAAGCTGCAAACGTCCATGGATCGGAATATCGCGAGTCGAAATGCTTCTTCTCTTGTTGGAGGTGGTGGTGTTCGTACATCGGCCCTCGTGCCACTGATGAAGAACGCATTGTCGCCACTCTCGGCGGGCTGCCCTTCGTTGGACCATAAATGTGGCGACCCAGCGGATATGCGCCGACCCTCGGACATTCCGATGTCGACTGGGGGCGAAAGGGCGACTGGCGCGCGCTTGCGTTTTTTGTCCTTTTCTCTCATACTTGCACCTGAGCTTGTGGCCGACAGGAGAGTCGAGGCAACGGCAATGCGAGGTCGGATAATAAGGCCACCGTCGCCACCCTACAACGTGGCGGACGCGAGGTGTCAAGCGTCAGGACAATGTTTGCCCCGTAAGGCGTTCAACTCTTACAAAAATGACGATCTCGCGGCTCGGACAGAGCAGAAGGCACATATGTCACTAATAAAGGAAGCCGTACCACCAAGTCGTAGGACTTCGGCTGACACGTGTATCAGTATGCACTTAGATGTCATGAAAAAGGAACACCCACGATAGAAATACCAGTACTTGCCTTCGGCCCATTGTACGCTGCGACGGACTGAAGATAATAAAATTGGTAAGATGATACGCGCTTTGATACACCCGTTAGCAGATGGCTGTTCGGCATCAAGAAAGAGACAGATACGATCGCATACAGTCTCATTGGCTAATTTGACAGAACAAAGCAGGCGTGGTCAGCGAGCCATCGACGAAGGAGCGCTTCGACACGCAAATATTCGCAACATTACGTAGCGATCCGAGGAAGCCACTGCTAGTATCGCCTAAGACAATCTACGAGCCGAACCACACTTCGATGCGACTCCCTGACCCTTGGCTGTGAGACTGAGGATGATGGACAGCAGCACTTCGCTGCACTGCGGGAGGCACCCTCCGGACATGTTGTCTAGAAACCGCGGTAGGGCAGCCATGACGTCCGGGCGGACGCATTGCTTGCAGAAGAAATCCACTTCAAGCTGGTGGACTTCGAGGTATCTACGTAGTGGAGGAATAGAACATGAGCATACACGTGCGAACCCATGCGAACTGGTGTCTCACCTGGACGTGAAGTCGGAGAACAGCTCAACGAGGATGTTCTGGACGCACAGCTGCGCGCGTATGTTGTTCAGCGCCAGTTGTTTAAGCTCGGCAAGACCGTACTACGAGGACATGCCAGAGTGATTGTCAGCGTACGAGCAGCTGTGGACAAGCGAGTCGCGGAGGTACTTTCTCAGCGAGTCTATACATAGACTTTGGCGAACACGACACAGTCTTGTGGGGCTTACATCCCTCGTGCATAGCAGAAGTTCTACCTTTGCTTGTGCGCGCCGACGACGAGCGGAGAGGAGCGAACGAAACCTCGTTAGTGTAGAGATACGAGACGAGCGCCGTCCATCTGCGGCCCGACGCCGTTATGAGTGTTTGTATAGCGTGGAGCCCCACGAACGTACTCATGTCTTGAATGCCACATCGTGCATGACCGCCACTCGGCCCATGCGCGCATCTGCAATTCCATGCATACCATTCTCTTCTTCGTACGCATCAGCTGTGTGCTTGTCACCACGCGAAGCATGTCCTGCGCTCATTTCCTCGTCTTGGTCGTCATCCTCCAGATCGCTATCATCCTCATACCCATACTCTTCAGCAGGTAGGCAGTAATGTCGGCTCTGCGATTCCTCGTCGTCAACGCGTGCCAGTACTATCAAACGCCTTCTCTCAGTACGCTATACCTTGATAACGATATACATGCAGAACTAATAGCACTCACAACTGTTGAGCTCGGGTGAGGCTCTCCTGAGTATAGCACTATTCGCGTAAGCCACGCGCGGACCGAAAACCTCCATACCATCTGCATGCTGACGGAGACGAGAGAACAGGTGGAACTCAGTGTCGACGAAGTTGCCCTGGGTGATAGAGTGGAGGATCGCTAGCCGGAGAACCTCGCCTCTTCCCATATGCATGTCTGGCGGACAGTCCGACAGCTGTGATCCCATTCTCGATGGAGACGCAGAAGTGGTAGAGGAGCTCGGAGAGGACGACGGTTTGGACCAGCCAGACGTCTCGTCGCCGCTCTCGTCATTCAGGGAAGCAGCATCTGCCTTGGTCCTCCTCCCCTCCTTTACGCCTCGGACTCTTTTCTTCGAAACCTCCTTCTTGCCTCGCTCGCCTATGCATTCGTCGAGATGCGCCAACACCGAGGCAGACCTGATGGACTCGGCACCTCGATGGCGAACGGATGCGCTAGATATCATCATACGTGATAGCGAAGAGAAAACTGAGGCGTTTCGCTTTTTTACATGACCATAAATACTTTAATTCATGAGACGTCTACTCCTGTGAACTGTTTGTGTATCCCTGAGGCATTCGCACCCGACCTTCGACCGAGAGCACATCCGAAACGATCGTCAGCATGCACTCGCTTGCTATAGAAACTGGCGCGGAATGGCGGAAAGGACGCAACTCCTGTTTGCTTCATGGACTCAAGGCCGATCAACGCACCGAAGACGCAAGGCGAGGACAATCATGGCTCACCTTGCACCGAAACTGAACATCAATGAATTAATGGTTCGGTTTGCGACAATTGCGCTAGTGGATACGATCCTATACCTGACCCTTCGGTGCGCTGACGAGCTGTGAGAGACTCAAGTGAAACACGAGGATTCCCGCTGTCGCTGGTCTGAGCGAGCCCTCTGATCAACTTTCGGCCGGATGAAGTTTTGCAAAGGAGGCTGCAATGCCCGTTCAGTCCACACAGGGCGCCGCCCATCCATTGACATGAGTACACGCCCCACAAGACTGCCACTCACCGGCAACCCTCGAGGTTCGAGGTTGTAGATCCGAACGGCTGGCGGACGAGAAGTAGGGGAGATGGTCAAGTGTCACTATACAACAGATATGCGGTAGATTGTGCAAGGAAACCGTACAAAGGTTACGAACAATGGGCAAGCAGGCAAACACGCAGGAAACCACTCCATCCTGGTATACAAAGCGAGGCGATGACTGGGACTAACTGCACGCGGCGGTGAGAAGCAATGAGGGATCGGACAAGAACAATGACGAGAAAGAATCGAGGTACAAAACAGAATGTTATAAAGTGGGGCGCACTGAAGCGCCATCAATTAGCGGAGAATATGCTAGAAACAACAAAGCTGATGGTACAAGATGTGTATGTTGAAAACTGTAAAGATAGTGGCCGTAAACAACAATATAAATCGAGCACCACCAAGGCGGGTTCACTATATCCTGGACATCTGAGGACGTTAGAATAAACAACACAGGGAGAACAAAAAATGTAAATCCAAAGACGAGGCACCGCCGTCCGCTTTCCCTTCCGAGTCCGCGTGACTCACGAGAGCGTTTCAGTCTCCATTTCATCCGGCGTCGGCAGAGGGAGAGGCACCGTCGCCGGCGACAGCGCCATAACTGTTGAAGAACAGTTTCCGTATGCAGGGCTCGGAGAGATGGAGAGCGGGCGCAGAAGGCCCGCTATAGTTGTAGAGGCCGTGTCGTATGACGGATGGCGCTGGAAGGGGTTACGCGTGTGCGAACGCGACACGGGAGAGGCTGCAGCACATACGACAAAACGATGCACGCACCACCACCGCCATCACACACAGGAGCAGAGATGTCAGCAAGCGACTCGTCCGGGTGAGAGAACAAAAGTGCAGCACGAACCGAGCGGGGCGCTCCCAAGGAGCTTGAATGGGTAGGGTGGGGCAGTACCGTCCTCTGCTGCGGTGTCTGACAGCGTCAGGCCGAGCCCGTGGTCAGAGAGGCCCGGACTGAGGCTGGATGAGCGCGCATAGAAGAAGGTGTGTGGCGTGTTGAGGTTGGTGTTGCTCGGGCGGAGGATGGGTGATGTCGGAGGGAAGCAGAGAGTGGAAGATTGCAGAATGGAGAGAAACTCTTCGAGAGCCTCGGAGGGCAGGCTCGATCTGAATGGAGGAGAGATGGGTCAGCGATAGGCTCGTGATACGGACGCACCAGGCACAGCGCTGGTTATACAGACAGACAGTGATCAGAGCGATCGTAAGGTGTCTGTAGCATGGCCACCAGAGCAGAGGAGGGCGGCTTACCTGGGTGACGCTCGCGGGGAGAGGGACTCGCGATCAGAGGAGTCGGGTGGGGCAAGCTTCGTCGATGAAGCAAAATCGTCATGCACATCGAAAGGCTCCTCGCCTAGCTTGAGGAGGTCAACGCCGTCCGCAACGAGACGGACATTGTTAGCGACACGGGTCTGCGGGCGGTGGATGGCATGCTGGAAGGAAGCGTAGGACGATGCTGCGGGCGCAGCGAGGCGGACGGGGCGGGGAGCGACGACGACAAAATTGTCGGGTGCCTGAGTATAGTTCATGATGGATGCGGAAGCGGTGCGATCAGGGGATGGGTATGAGGTGCGGGCAACAAGTGTTTCGCGAGAGACGACGATCAACGGGGTCACCGCCCAGTCCTGGTGACGGTGGCTGTCTGTTTGTGCGTGCTTGGTCGCTCGCGGTCACGGGATGAGCCTCGACCGACGTGCCTAGCGCCCGTGCGGAGGCCGTCGTTCCGGACGAGCACATCGCCCACCGCGTCTCTCGTCCACGCGCTCTTTCGCGGCGACATTCCACACAACATCGCCGCCTTCTTCGCGTGCACGCGGCTCCGAGGTCGTCCCATCCAGCATGCACCGTGCCAGCCCTGCTCAGAAAGAACCACTTCCGAACAAACAGCGGGTTCCGCACACGTAAATGATTATGCCCGTGAATCAGATCCACCATCTCGATATCTGGCACGTCACCATTCCTTCATTATAAGATACCGGCCTGCTGATTCCTCCTCCAGCCAGCTCCCTCTGCCAGCGTCCACCAGCTGCCCCGAGTGCTAGAGCCGCTAAATGGTGGTCTTTTCCCTTTCCACCGCCAAAACGGGCGCGAGCAGCCGCGTTCTTGACGAGCACGAGCTCGCTAACGTCGGCCCCAGCCACGCCGCCCTCGATGATCGCAAGCTTCCCTACGTGAATGACGACCCCGAAGCTCGCCCGCGCTCGCCCTTCCGCCTTCATGACCCACAACGCGTCACGCCCCTCCCAAAGGCCCAGCTCTTCACCCTTTGTTCCGTCCGCCTCATCGACCCCATTGCCTTCACCCAGATCTTCCCCTACGTGAACGAGATGATGGACCGCCTCCACCTCACCAATGACCCCTCCAAGATCGGCTTCTACAGCGGTTTGGTGGTGAGCTCCCCACACTCTTCTTCACCCGCCCCCCGTGGTGAGAATCCCGCGTGCTCAGCTTTCGCCGTGTGTGTTTGTTCTGTAGGAGAGCAGCTTTGCCGTTTCGCAACTCTGCTGCATTTATCACTGGGCCCGCGTCTCTGGTGCGTCGCGCGCATATACTCACATTCTGGTTTGACTGACGCGCTCAGCAGATAGGATCGGCCGCCGCCCAGTCGTGCTGGCAGGCATCTTGGGCATTGGCGTCTCCACCATTCTTCTTGGGCTCGCCCACAGCCTCGGCGGTGTCCTCCTCGCCAGAAGCGTTGGTGAGCCGTCTGCACATTCTAGCCCATCCCCCGCGCTAATCCCGCACTCACGCTCGCCTTCTTTGCGCTCGGCTAGCCGGCATCTTTTCTGGGAACATCGCCGTAATACACTCCGTCCTCGGAGAGATTACCGACGCGACCAACCAGGCGGTCGCGTTCCCTATCTATGGGCTCTTCTGGCCTTTGGGTGCAATCATCGGGTAAGCAGCGCGCGTCGTACAGGCGACGTGAAGAGCTTGTAGCCTAAATCTTTTCTCGGCGCATAGACCTCTGTTGGGCGGGACGTTCTCCAGACCCGCGGAACGTTTCCCCAGTTTCTTCGACTACGAGTTCCTCCGCGCCTATCCGTACTTCCTGCCGTGCTTCGTCGCGGGATGTCTTTCACTCGCCGGCGCGGCCCTGGTCTATTTATTCCTCGAAGAGGTACGCGCATCCGTCCATCTCGCTTGCGTAGTGAATTCACATTCTTTTACGTGTTGTTGACGTTTCGTGCAATGTGACTCAGACGTTGCCCAGCAAGCGGAACAACGGCGAGTACGTGCCGATGAGGCAGGTGGGCTCCGAGCATGGGACCGTCGATCCTGAGAAGCCGGCGGAGCCTGCGGGCGTGCGTGCACTGCTATCAATACCGCTCGTCAAGGCATTGTGCTTGAGTGGGTTTGCGCTGTCATTTCTGTGAGTGGCTCGAATGCTGTAGGCAAGCGAGCGACTGGACTGATATGCGCACCGATTCTGCTTACTTGCAGAAACACGGGGTTCGACGTGACATTTGGTAAGTGTTTGCTGCATCATAGATTTCGTTGGAATGCTGACTTGTTTTCTATTCTCAGTCTTGTTCTCGTACTCCGCTATTGAGCGCGGCGGGCTCAATTTCGAGGTAAATCATCCATTTCTTCTCTCTTTCCTCGACCTAACTACAGTCTCTCGTAGACGCACCAAATTGGCTATGCCCTTGCGATGTCGGGCGCCGCCTCAGTCCTCCTCCAGCTCTTCTTCATGCCTTACCTCCTGCGTCGTTTTGATCATGCGCGGATGTACAACGCGTGCATGGCACTTTGGCCGTTCTGCTACGTGCTCATGCCTGGGCTTAACCTCATCGCGCGAGCGGGCACGGCAGACGGCGTCGTAATGAATGCGGGTGCGAAGGCGATGGTGTGGGTGGGGATTGCGGGATTGTTGGGGCTGGCGAGGACGGCATGTCTGGCATATTCGTGAGTAGTGGCTGCACTGAACGCGGATGGGGATGGTTGATTGATGGTCGGTGCAGTGTGAGCATGATCCTTGTGAAGGAGGCTGCACCCGACCCATCGTCACTTGGTGCGACAAACGGGCTCTGCCAATTCTTCATGGTGAGCGCTCCCGTCATCCGCGCCTGACCCAACTGACGCGTCTCATCCCTCACGCGCAGTGCTTCGCGCGGTCGTTCAGCCCAGCGTTCGTGAGTTCGCTTTTTGCGTTTTCGAACGGGTTCGACTTCGTGCTCCTGCACTATTTGTGGGTGCTCGTCATGGTGATCATTTCGTTTCTCGGTACGACACTGTCGAGAAGGATTGCTGAGGGGAGAAGAGTGAGGCCCGCGCTCGCTAGGGCTTAGACGCGGTACGTGGGTGGCTCCTACGACGGCGATCATGATTGTGGCTGTCGATGTCGAGCAGTGAGGTCATCTCTTGGTAGGTATGTAGACGATTGGGGTAGGATGACGGGCGGTTGCTTGCTGGACAGCAATAGTGCTGTCAGAAGCATCAAGCGGAGATGCTATGCGCATGTGGAAGGAGGATGTAGTTACGCTGAGGAGACACTAGAGGATATTCACTTTCTCAACCGTGCAAACCATTGTGCCTATAGACCGAATGCACGCATCTATCGATGATCTCTTGCAGGCATCGAGCGTTCTCTCGAGTGTTCCCTAGAATACTCCATCGCCGGTGCATTCTGACAGCTGCACTTTTGAGTAATGTTACGAACAACCCGGGCGAGGGTTCTGTCATGCCGTATGTGCACGAACGGCGGAGGACGAGCCATCGGCGTTTCAGCGTTCAGCGTCATGTAAAACGCGGCATTTGATCCATTGAATGAGAACATTGCCATCTGCAAGTGAAGACATCGTGTATGACGCCCGCGCTTCACTGCGCAGGTTAGTATATTAATCTACAACAGGGGATACATGAGCGCAGGCAGGGAAGATGACCCAAACTCGACAACGGCAACACTCTGATACGATATGTGCCTGTCTGGCGAATGACGCCACAGGGACGTTCAGAGCTTCCCCGACGTCGGCGGTGGGGGGAGGTCGTAGAGCGCGTCAAGCTCGCGTTTGAATTTGTTATAGGTCTCCTTCCTGTAGTTCCGAAATGAGCATGCGCACACGGTATACACCAGGAATCGCATAAGTGGATGCAGGGAAGGTGGACCGAGTCAAGGAAGGAAGTGCACGTACCGCCTAACCTTGAACGTCGGCGTGAGACAGCCATTCTCCACCGTGAACGGATCCAGCGTAAGGTGGATGCGCTTGATCATCTCGAAGCTGCACAGAAGATAGGATTAGAACACATGTCCCTCACTGTCGCCGCCCGAGATGTCAGCAAGCATACGCAGCACGCACCCTCTGAGCTTCACGGCATGAGCCTGCTTCGTAAGTTCCGTCAGAAGCGCCGCGTTGACCTTCGGATCCCGCAGTGCCTCTTCGAGCCGCCCCACCTCCTCGGGCGTCACGGCCTCACCCCACAATCGCGAAAGGAAGCCGGCAAACTGAATGGGGTCAGGGACCACGATGGCAAGGAGATACGACTGCAGCGAATCGCCGTGCACAAAGAGCTGTGACACGAGTGGACACGAGCTGTAGACGTTCTCGATGTTTTCGAGCGCTACGTACTCTCCCTGCGCGAGCTTCATGATATTCTGAGGTCAAAGAAGGACAAGGTTCAATTGAGAATTTAATTAAGGAGAAGCAAAGAATCCCCATTCGTACCTTGACGCGGTCGACAATCTTGAGACGACCGCATTCATCGAACTGTCCTACATCGCCAGTATGTGTCCATCCCTCCTCATCGATAGTGGATACGGTGTTCTTCTCGTCTGCGCATAACGTACACAATCAACGCGTTAACACCGTAGAATGAACGAGAAACGAACCTTTGAAGTACCCGATGAAGCATCCGTCCCCTCGGCAACAAATCTCTCCTCTCGGATACGGCCTGTCTTGTGCGGTATACCCCATCGCGGGAACATCCACGAGCTTAAGTTCAATGTTAGGCACCGGCGGCCCGACCGTTCCGCTCGATGTGGGGTCTTTCGGCCACACATGCGTGCAAGTACCACCGTTCTCTGTCATGCCATAACTGTGGTCAAGAGGAGTTCAGCACGCAATAGCGCATTCGATGGAAATGGAACGCTACGCTCACCCTAGAACGGGTGTCAGCTCACTGCGCGGAAGAGACGTTTCCAAGGTGACACACCTTCCAGAATATCACAGCACAAGGCGATCCGCAGGAAGTTCATGACAGTAGGGCTGATCGGTGCCGATCCACAGGCCATCAGCTCAACCTTGCCGCCCATAGCAGCTGCAACCTGCCAGCCATCCCAGATGAGCGTTGCGCGAAGAAAGTCAGCACGGAAGGCGAACCTTCTTGAACACCAGACGGTCCCACAGTGGGTGGCTGCGCTCGCCATCGATATGCAAACGCTGTATCTTCACCTCCGTTGCATGGCGGAACAGCTTGCCTTTCAGCCCCGGTGCCGATCCGGCAACCATGACCGCCTGGTATATCCTGTTTAAGACACGCGGGACTGCCGCGACGAAAGTCGGCTTGAGGACCTGCATGTCCTCGAGGAGGCGCAAAGGATCGCCCGTCGAAAAGCCAACGCGACCGCCAACTGCGATATTGCAAAGCGCCATGACTCTCTGAGGAATGTGACATTTCAGGGATCAAATCGGCGCACGTCAGACAACTCCGACACATCCATAGACTGACGGAAGGGGGACGCACCTCGTAGATGTGCGCTAGAGGAAGATATGATATAGAACACCTGTCTTCGTGTACATTATAGGCATGCAACTGCGAATGGACATCGCTCGCCAGGTTGCCATGGGTTAGCAGGACACCTTTGCAGAATTGGGACAAAATTTAAGCATATGCAGGGAAGGTTAACGCCACAAGCTCAAGCGATCGTACCCTTGGGATTCCCGGTAGTGCCCTACACAAGTCCGGTAACTAAATGAGCTTCTATGCTACGGTGATAAAATTTTTCACGCCGCTGTACGTACCGACGTGTAGCAGATTGTGGCTAGCTGGTCCGCCGTCGCCGTGATAGGCTCGACGGGATCGCCAGCGCCCATCTCTTCCACTGAAAATGTAAATATCAGTACGGCCAGCTCGAGCGCGCGGCGTCACGCACGCACGGTCATGCATAGTCTGGATCTCGATGTTCTTTTCCCTGCCCCAAGCAGCAAGAATCTCCTTGCTCTTATCGGAGATGTCATCCATGGCCACGACCACCTTGAGCCCGGGCACTTTGGACGCGATGTTGAGCAGGAATGGAATATGGTCCGAAGTGGCAAACACGATGGTAATTTCCGCATGATTGATGCTATTCTTCTCTGAGATCATGTCAAGCCGACATTGATTAGCTACTCACATGTATTCTGAATGCCGGACAGATCACCACGCGAGTCAAGCTTTACAGCGTAGAATGCTTGATTATGTGTCTCACCGACAGAGTCCTTTCCCAACGTATCGTACAAACTGACTCCAACCATTCCGTAAGCTTGGAGTGCCAGGTCAATTACCTGCCACTCTGCATGGAAACATTTACGCAGGTCCTTGAACGATATGGCACAGGTGTCACGCACCAGGCATGTTCTTGCTCCAGATCCCGACTGTGTCTATTTGGCCTCCTCCCAAAGCTCCTGACTGGAAGAGCTTGTAGACCGCACTGCCCAATGCGCGTCTGCGCACGTCGACCTGCGGCCATGATAACCACTCGTAATGGTCAGCATACTTAAGGGGCTTCTTAGATACTAGAGGTCGGTGACCAAGGAAGGGCCCGTCTCCTGCACGCCTGAGTCCTTCGTCAAAGATCTCCGTGAGCGTCTTGAACGTCCGAGGTGACTGTAAAGTCAGCAGATCATATGCGGCTGGTGGAAGCGAATTGTGTGGTCTCATTAATGATCGCCGCACCACATTGGGTGCAATGCAAGCTCACTGCATCGGTAATGCCCTACGGACCACATCGTTCCTATTATGACCACGACTCAAAGGTGATTAAGGGGTGCGCACCTGTCTGACCAGGCCTCTGAGTGCCGGGGACCTCCGCACTTTGTCGCTTGTAGTCTGCTTCTGGCGGAAACGGCACCGGGATGTTGTATTGAGACATGCTGGTCGAGGAAGTCGGGGACAACGATGGGAGAGGAGGAGGCAAGAAAGGACGCTGGAGTCCGGATGGGGCGGCATAATGGGTGCCATATAGACAGTCGTGATCACCGGGGCTGCCTTGTCCGGATCACATGAAATCTCTTGCAGTAGCACATGCCTCTCCTCTCCTCATTGTCTCAAACTGCACTTTCGGCAGTTTCGAATTCACGGCGCATACATTCTGTCTCGCGTATTTGATCTGTCTGTGGGGTTGCATTGGACACTCTGTGTAAAAGCATCATCTCCGCTGACCATACGTTGACGGCGCTGCCCACCGGAATGATCACACAAGGCGGCCGGACTTTGATGGCCATGCGCGACTTCTTACCCTGACTCGCTCGGGACCAGCCACAGTCCGTGCAAATGATACATGCGGACGTACGTATTACGCTAGGGGATGTGGTTTTCTAATGGCGGGAAAACTATTCTCCACTAGCTTCCATGATTGAGGATCGTGCTTGGCAAGGCAAACGACATCAACAGGATATGCGGGCGCGACCATTAGACCCGCCTCCGCTACGGGATCAAAAATTACATGGACGCTGCAGATTTCGCATTCGCATAAATTAATTGATACGAGTGAGGATATATCATACAGCAGATTCGTACGCTTAGGGTTCTCATAGTATTATAGGGGCGCTGCTAGCCCATATGGGGTATGCAATTGCTCTGAGAATGGCTCCTTCCTATCAATGTGCCGCCGATGTGGTTACGGCGCACTCAACACAATCTGCGCAACCAATGAGTTAAGCGACATGACAACCAGACTGCACCAGCTGACCTTCATGAAGTCTTCATAGTTGAGCCGTGCCCAACCATCCCCGTTCGTATCGGCCCTTAACGCCCGTGAGCCTGACTGGACAGCACGCCGTAAATATCTCAAACGCACCGTTTGAATGCCTCCGTCAATGACTTGACAGCTACGCAAGCACGGACGAAACGGTCAAAAGTGATGCCAGGCGGAGGGCCACCATATCCTGCGGCGACGGGTGCAGAAGCTGCATACGTAACGGAATGGAAGTTAATCAGTCGCATATGAAGTGACGCGGTGACTACCCACCATACTTCTGTTCTATCAGAGTGAGAATTGAAGGAGGAAGATTGTACCCAAAGCTGCGAAGCGCCTCGGCCAGCTCATATCCCTCAATGGACCCAGACCGGTCTCTGTCGAAGTGTCTGAAGACTCCTTGCCAGTCTTGAATGTATTTCCACAGACCGCAGAACTCTACACGAGGCAATCAATCCTGATCGTAGGGTGTGGTCTACCGCATTAAGCTCACCATTAAATCCAATAGATCCACTTCGATCAGTGTCCTGAGATGACCAATACTCAAGTCAATCGCTATGCGAGCCATGAATGTGAGGCACGTACAAACATGGTCATCAACATCTTGACCGTGTCAAGATCGAACTCTGCAGGCATCAGAACGATTATCAGTTTCGAGAAGATAGCGATTCACGCTTGCCGCATCACAACTAGAAGACTAGCGCTGCAGCCGTACTGAAAAGACCACTTACTCGACCAATCGCCTGACCATCATCGTATCCACGATTAGAATATTCTTACTCCAACAGGCGGACCGCAATGCGCTCACCGTTCACAAGTGCGTTCTGCAGCTCTGAAACCGTAATCTGTCCGGTGTGATGGGTATTCACGGCACTGAACCATCGCCATAGCTGAGGATCGGCGCCGGGTGGGGGAATTGGCAAGGGTGGCAAGTCGCGATCGGTGTGGCTATTCGAGTGCGACAATGATGGGCTCGATCTGTACGCTGACGAGGGTGAATGCGAATGGTGGTGATGATGATGGTGGTGATGACTGTGGCTTGAGTGAACGGACATCGTGGATGGGGGTTGAGAGTCAGGAGAAGGAGCGCTGACAGAGCGGCGACATTGCCATGTTGGGCGCCTTAAATCATCAGCGTCAGGTCAGCGGCGAGCACCGAGTCAGATGAAGTGTATTGCCAGGGCGGGCCCGCAGTGGACATTGCAGCGCCCTTGCGGCGCGGCGCTCATCGTACACGAACTTGGCGAGCTGTGTTCGCCTACTGGCTGCATCGCCTAAGTACTGCGTCGGAGACGAGCTCGTGGTGGTATCTGACACGTTGGAGTCGCGAGGACTGGATTCCGGTGCAGGCGCGTCTTGCGAGCGCTTGAATTGGCAACCGGGGACGTCCACGTGCGTCCAACCGCCGGCATCTAACCGAAGCGTGTATGTCGCCGGCCCGCCAATCCAGCACCCTGATCCGTTTGCGCTGATGGCCACCCCCCTCGACTAGCCAAGTGCTCGTCAGCACCGACCCCCACGATCCCTGCCACTGCACAGCATGACTTCTCCGCATCTCAAGGCTGTGATATTCGACGTACGGTTCGCCGATGACGGTTCACCTCACGTCTCTCGCCGAAAGGCTAATCCGGCATTCTGCCTTGTAGGTTGGCGGCGTCGTTTGCCGCAGCCCGCTACTCGCTATTGCAGCCTACGAGCGAGAGCATGGGATTCCAGACAACTACATAAACTGTGCCATGTGAGGCTTGCCATCATCGCATTCGAGCATAAGGAATTCACGCCACACCTGCCAGAACGGGACGTGGCCGTCACGGTGCATGGCAGAAGTTCGAGCGGGGAGAGACGTCATTGTTCCATTTCTACGAGGCCTTTGGCCGCGAGCTATCAGACACCAAGTTGAACAATATTTGGTACATGCAATACTGCAAACGCAAGGGAATAGGTATATGTCCGATACTATCGCAATTTCGCACCGCCGGAGCATGGCTTACGACAACGTACAGAGCATCCCAAGCTCCCTGACAAACTGGAAATTGATGGCAGGGAGGTGAGCTCTAAATGGCAGAACCATTCCACATCTCAATAAATTCATAGCTATTCGGTCGGATGATGCGTGACAGCGGATCCTTTGATGAAGTAGTGGTGGAAGCAATCCGGCGTATCAGAGGCTCGTATCGGGCTATTACGTCTGCGGGGGAGACCGACTGACTGAATGGACCTGAAACACCATGCAGCTGCCGGGAGGTGGCGTGTCATCGCGCTCACTAACAACTTTTCCAAGACGGGCCTGGATATGATCGCAGAAGTGCCACCGTCGGCGGAACAGTGTCCTGATTTCACAATTGAATCCGAGCTGGCGTTTCTTGGCTGGAAGGAAGGACCAACGCCGCCTCGACTGCGAGCACTGTTCGACGACTTCTGCGACTCCAGTGCGCTGGGAATGCGGTTTGTGCTCGTCCCCATCCTTTAAGCTCTGACGATCATCCTAAGACGGTGACGGATAGGAAGCCTGATCCTGAGATCTACCTGCTGGCCTGCAAACGAAATTGTATCAAGCCATACGAGGCTGTCTTTCTTGACGACCTGGGAATGTGCGTGAATCTAGCCACGACTAGCGCGGTCTCTATCCTGACGTGATGTCCCATCACAGGAACCTTAAAGTAGCCCAGAATCTTGGAATGGAGACCATTCGTGAGTTAAAATCTTTCCCTAACCTCCGTTGTCTCGTAACTCTGCTTACTCATGGTTTGGATTATTTTCCTCTACCGCGTCGGGCGTCTCTGTTGGTGCAGATGTACCGATAGGCAACTCACTCGGTGCTATCAAGCAATTAGAAAGGAAACTCGGCATTGATCTCACAAGTGGACTGGAGCCGCACAATCGGTCTCCTTCGAAGCTATAATGCGCAGTGTATTCTGTTCCGAGCGAGTCCCAGTGTGAGATGCGGTATTGAAGCGACCCTGGATGATCCTTCATATCTAGAGAAGCATATAGCTGCGCAGTAGCTGCACAAATCTATTCGCTAGGCCGTCTCGGGCGTTCTTCCAACTTAGAATGGCTTGTCGGACGCAGGAGTCTTATCCTCGTAGTAGCTGCCTATCTAAAACCGATGTCAGCACGCGGGCCCGCCGCGGCTGGGTAGAATGGATCGTCCTACTTACCACAGGCACCTTGACGAGCACTTCCCGCTTCATCAATGGCGTCACTGAGAGATACTAGTGCGGCGAAATGCCAGGTCAGCGAAAAACCGAACAGAGTCGCAGCCTTATCATGATACGCACGTAGAGCGCGTATATGCCAAAGCCGACGCCCCAGACACCCAAGCTGGCTCCCCATCTGCGCAGCAACTGAGGGCAGGATCGCGTCTGTGAGACCGGCCTGGAATTTTGAAATAGTACAGAGAAGCACGCACCACAGCGGGACGTTTATACTCAGGAACGGCGTGGAGGGTTATCTTGGACATGGCTTCGTTTGGGCAATAGATGGTCGTTTGGTAACGAACGAGTTCGATGCTGGGTAGAGTCGTGTTCGACGCGAAGACCGCGGCCGGGAAGGAGCGGAGTTGTAACGCATCCGAGCTCGGGCGGTCGCCGAGAAGCGCCCGCGAAGGCGCTTTCACTCTCGCTGTTACTTGATCGCCTGCGCTCATTACCTTATAACTTATCTCTGTCCTCTGCTTTCTCCTGATTTCAACGTCCTACCGTTGCTTCTGGTCGGCTTCGCTATCGACACCTTGGGCCGGATCATTCTCTTGTGCCGATATCGCGGCCACACATGGCAAACCCTCGTCAAAGAAAAAAGCTGCGCTCGGGCTCCTACAAGCCAGTAAGCCATTCTCGTCGTGCGAAGAAGAGCCTGAACAAGCAACCACGTTCGTGGGTTTCTCGCGAATCGTTCATAAAAGGGACACCTTGTGCTGAGGTGGCACATCCTTAGCCATTCGTGGTCCGAAAGTACTTCAAGATGCATGGGACAAGCATAAGACTGTCAGACAAAAGTATGTTCATTATCTTCCCACCCCCGAGGGTGAGTGCCTCATACGTAAGACGAAACAGCTACGAAGCGTTGGGGCTCGTTGCATCGCTCAACCCGACGGCATCTGGAGGGGTCGAGAAACAGCTCGCCCCTCTAACGACTTCGCGGCCCGACGAATCCACAACACCTTCTTCAGGAAACAAGACATCAAGCATACCCAAGGGGTATGGCCGCGTTATCCGGGACGAGGATGGCAATATAGTGGGCGTCGAGTTACCAGAAGAAGAGCCGGAAGCAGACCCAATAGAGAAAACTATAGATGATCTGCCTGATCCGTCTCGAGACCAACAGCTGGCGCCGTGGGTGGGGTTGAATTCGAATACGATGGCTGGCCAATCAAGTGCATCGAGCACACATGTGGTACAAGGCAAGTGCCGTCAAGTGACCTTCATTCAAGCCATTGCTGTCACTTCTCGTGAATGGACGCTGACGGAAATTTTACGGACTGCCGCGGGGTCTATTTACAGCACTGGAAGAGATGTTGACACATAACGGAGCGCGAAAGCGGTTCTCCTCTACTGGAGAGGTCGCTATTCTTCGTCGACTGGTCGCTAAACACGGCCAAGACGCTGAAGCCATGGCGCGGGATAGGAAACTCAACCCGGATCAGCGCACGGCGGGTGAAATAGTGAGGGCTATCAAGAAAGCGGGTGGTTTTACGACGTTATCGCAGGATACGTAGGCATCGTTAGGTAGACACGTGTATGCGTTCTCAGGGGAGAGAAGGATGCTGATTCCTTTCCCAGCCAGTATCGTCATAAAGGATGTCAGTGCCGCTGGGAATATCCCTTCAAGTACGTTTCCGGTCGACCGGATGCTATACTCATATTGCAACATATTACCTTTGTACGTCCGTGACACTTGGCGTCCCATGATCGCATCGGAAGTCGCACAGGGTAGCCTTCTCGACCCACGGTGAATGCGAGCGTTGGTGGTGTGAAGGCTCAAGGGATTATAATAAGGTAGATGCGGCAGAGGCATGAGCTCCAAGAACACGCAGAGCTGTATACTAGAACACCTGGGATGTTTGCGTTTGCGCTTGATGCCGACACTATGTTAGGGTGGAATTTGCCGGTGGCACGATATCGCACGGAAGCTGAGAAGATTGCCAACGTTGGATTCTCGTAAAGGTCGCGGAGTTGTGGGGAGACGCTGGGATAATCTCCTCGGAAAGTGAGTAGAAATCTGGAACGGCGGGTCGCTGGAGGAAGATGGGTGGATGTGCGCTGGAGTCGCGATCGATGTGGCGGGGGTGATGCGGCTGAGACAGGGATGGCAACGCGGGGCGAAATGGGAATCGAGGACCGATTTGGTGGGATCGGATTCAATCTCGATGGCCGTTTCGTAATTCCAAAACTTATCAGAACTTTGCATGGCATGGCGCTGCAGCGAGTAAATGGGCTCAGGGAAGCTCTTGCGCGGCCAATCGCCGCCAGGCCTTGAACGGCGGTTATGGACTCGATGGCTCTTACTGACACGCCCCGGCCCAAACACTGGAATACACATTCCCAATCCAACTCCCCCGCCACTCCTGCCGCCCACCTTCCAACGCAGACCCCAGCCGCCTGCTTCTCTTGTTTCACGTCGTACACGGAAGGATAATGGAAGGATAATGTACCAGATCCAATTTCCTGCCCATCTGGTTCTCCGAGCTTCGCGCCCTGCATCTCCCTCCGCTCCTATAAAACCTCCATCGCCTCATGCCCTCCGGTCTCCTGACTTTACATCCGGGCATCTACAGCTCCTGCCTCTTCTCGACCAATGTCGCCAAGGAGCCCGACTAGCAGATCCTCGTCCACCTCCCCTCGCCCCACGGGCCGGCGCGTGCCTGGACAGCCCAAATCCACGCGGCAACAATACAGCGGTGGGTACCAAGCATGCCCATCAATAATCCTTCTTCTCACTGCCCTCTTATCCAGCATGTGGCGCATGTCGCATGAGAAGGTTCGCGTTTGCCATTCGTATCTCCATGTGTCGTCTTGACCTTTGTGGACCTGATTCTCAGAGTGCGTTGCGACCTCAAGGATCTGCCTGTATCTCCATCAGGGCAACATCCTCCCTGTTCAAATTGCAGCGAGCGCGGCTTGAAATGCGTGTATGTAAAGTTTCCTTTGTGTCTGACAGGCTATGTCGACGTTAGATCTTCATCAGGGACGAGTTTGCTGAAGTCAAAGCTGTCAAGCTACTTCGGCGTGGTCGCCGTCTACAGCAAGTAGAGTAGGTGATATCCACTTTGGCTAGGGAGTATTCTCAACAATTGCTTCAGAGCCGTATATGGCCAGAACTCGAGCGACGAGGGCTCGCTACATTCCGTTCCTTCTCCTCGTAGCGTCATTCCGAGGCTCAGACCCGAGTTCTTCAACTCTCCTTTCTTTCATCGATTTCATACGCAACGTGAGTGAGACTGCACGCCCCTTTTGCCTGCCCTCCCTGATATTTACCTCGTCCAGGACCTATTCTGGAGCCGATGGAGTACTGCAACAGGTACTATGAGTTCTGCAAAGGCAATAAAGAGCCTTTGCAGGCTCCCGGTCAGCTCGTTGCACTGGTATTGGTCGTGTGGGCTGCTAGCTTCGGTGTCAACGAATATGGGGTTGAAGAGCTGTACGACGGGCAGGTAAATGCGCGTCGACGAAAAGACCGCATCAATGAGATGGTCCAGGAACTCTTGTCTCTCATCGATATCCATGGTCTCCTGCGGAAACCTTCTTGGGATGGTGTTAGAGTACTCTTGTTAACGTTGCCACTGACGCGAGGCAAGTTCTCATCGTCCTTACCTGTGAGGCTGGGCTTGCTGATCTCCGTTGTGACAGAGGTACAGACTCCTCTGGAGCGTTTGGTGAGTCTGGAACGCAGAATGATGTGTGCTCTCTGCTCATCGGTCTATAGACAATGTACGAGGCAACCATAAGCCAAGTCTACAGTATCTGCAGCCTCGCATCAGCTTGTTCCGTCAACAGCGGTCAAGGAGAATACGTAGATGCTCTCGTCCGGGCGCGCATCTTCTGGTATGCCCATGTGTTTGACGGCGTAACCAGTGGATTGAGAGGCGGCCGGATCTTGCTGTGAGCATCCTATATCTAGACATTCGTAATTCCGTGCTAACGCGCTATCTTGTATCTCCGCAGGACTGATGATGATCTTACTTCGTTCGAGGCGACTCTCCCTCCCGTAGGAGAAAGCTCTGCGACGTCCGCCGTCTACACGTTCGCCTTCCGCTATGCGACAATACCCATCCGCATAGCGTCCGTATGTCGGGACGTCCATGCCGCGCTCACGGGTCCCAGGGCCCGTCAAAGCCGTGAGATCGGGGAAGTCAAGCTGCACGATGCATGGGAGACACTTGACCAATGTTGGAAGGACTTCGAGGGGTTACGGCAGCTCGGCACGGACGGATTCGTCCAGACTGAGGACGTTGAACGGTTCATCGATGGCTGGCAGGTAAGAGACGCTTCTACGCATGGTCACACTGCAATTTAACCCATTATTCAAACTCAGATATTCATTTTTGAGTGTCGTAAGTCTTTCCAGGCATTTCCGAGGATAGCTTTGATCAATTAACGAGCTTCGCAGACAATGTCATACGCGAAGCGCTAAAACAACGCCTCGTTGCACGGCCAGCACCCGAAGCACCCTTTCTTCCGGACGGCCATCCATCCCCTCGAAGCCGCGAATACGACGCGATCGTTCGACTGCATGCCAAGTCCAATACAAGATGTCAGGCCGTCGTCAGGCATGTCGTGTCTATTCTCAGGCGCAACTTAGGAACGCAGTTCTTCCAGTTCGACACTGCCCTCATCCGTGATGGATGTTTCTTCGCAGGGTTCTTGCTCGCGGGGGACTCCGGCAGTGCAGAGGACGTCGAAGTCTGCCTTCAGGCTCTGCGGGAGATGCGCTGGACGTTCTGCAAAAGCGACGAGCGGGAACAAACCATCAGGATGATATGGGAGTCTCGACTCTCACAAACTCGGAATGGTCGTAGTTTCACTGGCAGCCCCTTGGAAGATGATCTGTTGCGGTCATCAGCATCAGAACATCCCTATGGAAAACGCTCTCTGAATCGGCCGATCAGCGTCCCTCCTCTATCACTGTCTCTTTGCACGGTTCCTGCCGCGCTTAGCCCGGCATCTGCCCCGAGTACTGCTTGCTCGACGAATAGTAATTGGCCTACGAGCACTCCACCCAGCAGTGCGGGTACGGGCATGTATGATGGATCCATGCCGTCTCAGCGGGCTTCGCCGACGTCCCCATTCGCACATTCTCCGCCAAGCAGCCTGAGCATCGACACCCTCCACAGCAAGTCTGCGTTTCCCAGCACGCCTTCGCTGGTCCTGGAGGGTCCTGGTCAGACGGGACGTATAGGCGAGCAGGGAGGATTAGATCAAGTGTTTTATTTTCAGCAATATGGTTTCAGCGGTGCAAGTGAGCCTCTGAGCAGCCATCACATGTCTCACCCACCTACCATTCTTCCTCCACCTGCCACCACCGACTACCACGCTGCTTCGACATTCTTCGACCATAATTCCGTCACATTCTCGAACCCGACAATCTCCCAGAGCAACGCTTGCTCCGGCGTTGTGGTCCCATCGTCTACAGTCAGCAATGATGGACGCCAACTAGGAGACGAACATTTTTACTAATCATCTGCATTGCATCTATGTTACTCCGCCGCTGATCTATGTTGCCATACTTACACATACCAGGAACAATCATTCTACCTGTGCATTTCTTGGGCGTATCACTAGAGCCTTTGTATTCATCAACAAATCTTGTCCCCTTGTGAAACATGCTCACCAAATGTCGTCCCCAGCACTGTATCTCAGGTCCGTTAGATTATATGTCACAGCACCGCTTCCAAATGCATGTGCGCCACTATATATGGATTTTTGCCTCGCCAGATGATACCTCGTGTATCTGTGTGCGATCGTGAAGTAAGACGCTCAGGTACGACTCCAGCCCAATGGCGCCAGACAATTTCTCATGGTGGTTCGCATTCAATTGGACTCGGTGTCAAGAAGCAGAGTAACGGGAGGGCGAGCACAAGGACCCGAGCCTCGTTGTGTCATATCCGAGGGAATTATGACAAAGGTCGAGGCTATTGCTAGATAGCAATCACGTAGATATGAACAGAGACGCAAGGACGCTGAAGGAAGAGTTCACGGCACCATCCAATCATCATCTTCAATTTCCGTCCGCATACTGAATCATGGCGATACGCCCTGAGCAGCAATGCCACGGGTCGGCGTGCCGCAGCAGTCATTCACTACTTTATTTGATTGAACGGTGATTGATACATACACGATAATCTTTCCCATCATAGACCCCGCGCGCACACGCCCACCAATTTCATTTTCCAACGGGTCACACTGGCACGAGTTGATCCGCATTGACATGGAGCGACATCCTGGCCAGCAAACCTGAAGCAGGATGCTGCAAGGTGTTCTCCTCAATCAATATTGACCCCGCGATCGAACGCTTCTGGCCATGAGAAAGAGTAAAGGTGAAGAATCAAGATGTCAAACCCTGTTTTCTCGCTGCGTTCGACAGGATATTAGGGTAGGAAGCGGGGACTAACGAACATAAGTATGGAAGAACCGATTGTGATGATGATTTGGTGCGGTGTAAAATAAGTTGTTCTTCTGCACGGAGCTTCATCAACCCGACTCGGACTAAGGGAGCGAGTGATGACGTACAGATGTTGATGTTGACGTTGACGTTGAGACCTCTGGATTGAACGCAAGCGAATTATCGGCATTAACGTTGTTACAGCATCACGACACAATCAAACTAGGCGTACATCGTATGAATGGCAATGTGATGCGTTCACGCTTCGCATAGAGGCAGGAGCATCCACATTGTTTGCCAAGCATATCCGAATCCCATGTCGTTGCGGGATGCAATGGAATCTTGCAGCGGAAATAGCCAGACTAACCCGTCGATGACATACCCACTACTAATGAGGCGGACGCTATTAGGCCTGATGATCACCGAGATCTCGGAAAATACTTCAGAGCGTTCCGACGCGTTAATGGAGAAGCACCAGACAATATGCATTCCGCATCGAGATTGCCGACCATTTATGATACTTAATGGCAGGGACGTCGCGGGTGGAAGTCACTGCCGGTCTTTGATGGCCTTCGACTAATACAATTGTACTTTCTGAACCAAGTGATGTGCCCTGAAGCTTGCAGAAGTCAAATCTTCCAGGTCAATTGAATGATGGAAGACTCCACGAACTTTGTGCCAGCAGTGCGAGCGGCTCTTATGTAAAACCTAACTCTGAGCCAACGCATATGGGGCAATCGCTTATGTAAGCAACACTGCCGCCCGCTGCCTAGACCTACCGCAGCGCAGCTCGACTGGAGCAGCAGCACTCTCTTTGCTACGACATATACGACATCCACGATAGCCCATCACCCGCTTGACGACATTTAATTGTAAAGCTAACCATGGACTTCATTTGTGAGCCCCCTCACACAGCTTTCGACGGAAAAAATCTGACCACCACGTAATAGTTTGTATTCCTCTCGTTTGTACGTATGATCGACTGGCAGCACCAATGCGATAGATGAGTCCCAATTGACCATTTTGCTCAGGGGGCTGCCCGACGAAGGTACACCCGGTTGGGGATCAGACTCCCCGGGTCTGTCCCAGGTGCCATAACGGTAAGCTAGAGCACATTATGTGTGTTTGAAGTTGCACATGCTGAGCGTCCGCTGTGTAGCATCTGTTACGTCCGCCAAATCGCGGAGATGGTTCGAGTTTTGCTTCGTGCCCCTTATACCTATGAGATCAGAACGCATATGGACTTGCTGTATATGCCAGTGGAGTGTGCCCATCCAGCCAGGGTCAGTATTATCGCGTCTTGATATTTACGCGTTAGCTGAACTGCCATGACAGGTGGGAGCCTGCTTTGCCTGGGCCCATCCCTCAACCAGTACCACAGAACCCATGGCAACAGCCCCCCGCCGCTTATAACGGGGCTTCCAACGGTTATATCCAGTCGGGATACCAGCCAGGGTACATAGACCAGAGCCAAGGTCCGAAGAATGATGCACACTAAACCATCTTCACATCATGAAAGTCCTCCATTGTTCTCGTCGAGATATGACAAGTATCTGTTGTAATTGTAGCAGCTTTATCATAGTGTATATCCCCTAATGTATCGCATGTGACAGTCGCCTGCGTCTAATATGCTACCCGTTTTCTGTCGTACCGTTGCAAGCAAGAATGTACAATGAAGGTCAAGAAGAGACCAAACACAAAGCCACATGCTGTGGCAATGCCGCAAATATCGGCTCCTGTAAGATCATGAGACTGATAAGGCTGTGCATAAATTTGACCAGGAGACGTAGAGTCGTTGCCTCGGTCCTGGCGAAAATGAGCGAGAGACGACACAGGATCGGTGAGTCCCCGCAGACCGACCATTGGCGGTCGGCTAGCGATAGCCGCGTGGTGAGTAACATACACGTTCTAAGGAACATGGAAATCAGCGGAGGCTTTCGCATAATTTTGGCGGTGCAAATGCGTACCCGGAGGAAGGTGTCTCCGAGAAGCCAATCACCGGAGAAGACCTGGAGAGAAGATGAGTCGAACGGGGTAGCAAATAAAAATTGGTCTTACCCCATCGTTAGCTTGTATACCGCCCATGCACCAGCCGTCTTGTTTTCCGCTGCCCTGTTCCCAGCTGATGTCCGAAGGATCAATCACATATTCCTTCTGATTTCCGGCGTCGCCGAGTATGAAGCCAACGACAACAGCCCTATTGCAGCGGACCTGCCAGCCTGCGTCGGTATTTCTTGCGTCGCCGACCGATTCCCAAAATCTCTGTACATCGGAGGAGGGGCCTAGAATCAGAGTGGTACCAGAGTCCAAGATAGCTATGGGCGTCGCAGAACCCTGCACATCGGATTTGGACAGATTGAATGTCGTGGAATTGATTGTCAGGGATTGAAGAGGAACCTTCCAATAGTTGTAACTGGAGCCGCCAGCAGAAGAGACAGGCAGATAATTCATGTCAGAACTAGAATTGGCGAAGGCAGGATCCAGTTGCCCGATGGTGAATGAGGAGCCGGTTTGGTTTCGCCCCAATTGGAATGCGAAGAAACGGTTGCTTTCATTCAAAGACGCAAAAACATTTTCGGCGAGCGTCCGGCCATCGGTACTCGGAATGGAAGCATCCGCTGGGAAGGAAAGTCCCAGAATGCCGCTGTAGCCTGTGCCTGAAAGGTCAAGTCCATCGGTCGCATTCGCCAAAGCTGCCGAGCACATGAAAACAAGGAGACCGTTGGCTTAGTTGTCCATCAGTTAGAAAGAAATCAACCGCTAACCGAGAACTTGCGAGGAAATTTCGTACGACCCCAGAGCAACGGTATCGGTACCTATAGCGCCAGAGACAGACCCCAGAAGATATTGCAGGTGGAAGGAGGCGTTTGTCAGTGACAGAGAACTCGACGCCGTCGCATTGTACTTCGTGATGCCCTGACAGTCTTGACCGACACAGTTCGATGAGACGACCCACTTGAAAAGGTCTGAATGAACACCTGGACTACCGCCGTTACTCCGCGACATACCAGATCCGACGACCCTGTATCGAGAAGAACCATGAAGTTCTGTCCGCCGATGCTGGAAAGAATTGAACAGCAGCGGCGCGATTAGAGGTAAAGGGATGCCCACCTTACGGGCACGAGATAGGCACTGGCATATCCATGGAACCCAGAAAGACGTTCACGGTTGACGTCAGCGTTTACATACGTAGTATCGCAATCTTACAATTCATTCGCATTAGATAGCGAGACCGCACTGTTAAACCCTTGAGGACTTGACCCAGGGCGTCGAGGAACACGAGTGAGCGGGATTGAAGCACCACTAGCAGCCATTGTGCGAGAGCTCCTTTGCAGCAGCCGAATTTACAGATCGACAAGAGGGAGTACACCAAAAGCGAGTTGCATTTTGAATACAATGCGTGGAGAACGAATCGGCTGACAGAGGCTGTCGGTGTGCATACAATGCTTCATTTTCGCTCGAAGTCTGAAGACCTGACGGCTAGTTGCCACGTCAAATTTCCGATATTTGATGTCAGTGAGTTCAACCACAAAACCGTGCGCTAGCAACATCCGCGCATTCAATTAAAGCAAGCATATATAGCTCACATTACCTGGAGCGTCGTGGGTCGGAGTCCTGTCGTAGGCGACAACCGGTCGAATCAAACAAAAGGTTTCCTCGAGGCTCAAGAATATGACGCATTGGTCAATTCTGCGCACTTGACCGCCACCATCATCATGGACAGAAAGACAAGCTGAGGCATCCGAATATACTATGTTACAGGGCTGGCTGTGCTAAAGGGGGATTGCCGGTCACGCCGCCATACGCGCGTCACAGCCAGCGTCCCCCATCGACGTACACCACCTTCATCTGCCTCAGCAGCCCCTCATCGACCAACACTCTCACGCACGACCTCTCGACGCCATGCATACCAGCGAGTACGACTATCTCTTCAAGCTCCTCCTTATTGGCGATTCTGGTGTCGGCAAGGTGCGTTGTTGTGAAAGACGATATGCATGGGAGCTATGTCATTGTCTAACAACCATCGCATACTGCAGTCTTGTCTCTTGCTGCGTTTCGCCGACGACACATACACCGAGAGCTACATCAGTACGATTGGTGTTGATTTCAAGATCCGAACCATTGAACTAGAGGGCAAGACTGTTAAGCTTCAGATTGTAAGTCACCTCAACCGTTTGTCCGCATTGGTGGTCCAGGATACGCCATATTTGCCCCGCATGCAGCATGCGGTGTTGTTTGTGTGGTCCGGCGTCACGTATACTCCAGTCTTGAAGAACTTGCGATCCCTCTTTTCGTACCTTGTTCTACAGTTCGCGCGATATCGAAAGGTGCTGACCAACTATATGTGACACGTTCTAGTGGGATACTGCTGGTGCGTATGTCTCGTATGCGGGCTGAACACAGAGATATGAACTTTTATATAGGTCAGGAGCGATTCCGCACGATTACTTCCTCATACTACCGTGGCGCACACGGTATCATCGTTGTTTACGACGTGACCGATAACGGTAAGCAACCGTTCAATTCACAACAAGACAGTCTTCATAATTACGTTGTGCGGGTTAGACACCTTTACGAATGTCAAGCAGTGGCTGCAGGAGATTGATCGTTATGCGTCTGAGGGTGTCAACAAGCTGCTGGTGGGCAACAAGTCGGATTTGACGAGCAAGAAGGTGGTGGAATACAGTGCCGCTAAGGTGAATATCTCATGCCTCTATGACCGGCACCGTTATTAATGAATGCATACAGGAATTCGCGGACCAGCTGAACATACCATTCCTCGAGACATCGGCGAAGAACGCCACAAATGTCGAGCAAGCGTTCTTAACTATGGCGAAGCAGATCAAGGACCGGTAAGTGTGGTCGATTTCAGAAACATCAAGTAACTGACAGTATGTTCAAAGCATGGGTTCTAGCTCATCGAACGTCGGCGGAACTGGGAAGTCATCGACCATTACGCCAGGCCAGACGGTATCGCAGGCGACATCTGGTGGTTGCTGCTGAGCGTGTCTCCCGTTGATGCTACCATTCGGCCATTTCGGCCACTTCTGCCTGATCGGGAGCGGTGGTGTGGTGATGAGATGGTGGTCGTAGAGTTTTGATTGTCTTTTGCTACATTATCTATGCTTACAGCGCCGGAGTCGTGGTGTTGTCGGACTTTTGTCTTTCTCGCTGATTACCATGTTGCCTGTTCCCGTTACCATAGTGCTGCTGGTCTTCAGCTCTTCTCTTTTCTCTCTGGCACTGTTGGCGGTACTCTGTCTGTGTTAATACATCCATTGCACTATGTTCCTGCAAATGCGTGTGTGTCCGAGCGCGGGTACATGACTTCGTAGCAACTCTGTCATCCATTAATCTCCACCTGAAAAAGCTTTTGGGGACTATCACGATGAACTAATGGGAGCATTATGTATCAACTGCGTTGCAATACCTAAGGGCAATCCAAAGATGCAAGTAGCTGGGGTTTGTGTTTATCGCATACCCCAAGCAGAAGCACCGATGGGACCAATTCAAGATGTCCCATATTCCGTGCTATCAATGAACTAATTGCAACGTGACAAGGAGAGTCCACGGGTAGATATCTACAAGCAAAAACTGGGTGAGCGGGCTCCTCTTGGGAGGGCAGGAATTGACCTGGGAAGATCTATTCAAGCTGCTGAGGCGGTTGATTCTCGTCAAGCCACTGACGGACCCCTTTCTTTGTGATCATGCCCATCACCCGCGTCCTCTCTTCCACGCTCCTCTCTCGATACAATCGCATGATATACCCACAAACACTCCATACGTCTTCCCATTCGGCGTCGAACAACTCCCACCAGCGATTACTTGGCGACGAGGGGAGAGGGATGCCCAGATGTCGAGTAGTGAGCAGTATTGCTGCACTGACGATAGTCGGTACAGAGTATAGAGCGTAGACTGGCGTTTGCATGCTAGTGTCAGGGAAAATCAACATAGGACGCCGGAACGATTATACTATTGACACTCACGCATCGTTCAGATAGCCCCATGCCCGTGTGCACACGTCCTCACGACTGGTTAGGCCTAACAGTCGCAGATAATTGACCAGTGTCCCGTATGGCAGTACGACGTTCACATTGAATCCGAGCCGCTTCAAAATCTGCATTTCTGCAATAACGAGGGCATCTTTGAGGTCATGAAACGCGTTGCCGAAGTAAGACATCGGGGTATACTTGAATTCGGAACGGATGTGGGATGTCGAGGACGTTGAAGACGTTGATTCCAGAATCTGTGAGCGGGTGTGTGCGGCACGTTGCAACAGCAGGTCATAGACGTTGATGAGGTCGCGCATTCGTAGTGGGCATTCCTCCAATTTAGAGGCGAGATACAGTGCGCCCATCCCTATATCCTAGCACAGTAAAGAGAAGTAGACATGAGCGAACCCTCATGAGACAATCGCGATTACACGTACCCCAATGCCAAAGTGCTTCATAGAGCTGACATACCAGAATCTCTGGAACAATATCTGCGCTGCGGCCATGGCCACCTGTTTTCTACCCTCGTTCGAGTTCAGCACTATTTATTCCCTGGTCAAGCAGCAGATTCACTGTTTCAGCAGGATCCCTGCCTCTTGTATGAGCTTGCATCCATATGCACGCAGATCTTGCTCAAGTTCGTCGGGAATGCCATCCTCGTGCGAAGGAGTCTTCTCAATTTGCGCGAGAGATGCTAATGGATAGAGGGACGTAGACATTCCAGTCTTAGTACCGTGACCAATGGTGAGCGAAGCAATTGCCTTAGGTTAAGTTACTCGCCGGCGGGTGTTGAGTGGTAGAAGCTCTTGCCAAACATGAGACAACAGCCTACTATATCGCTTGAAGTTCACCGACACAACGCCGCGCGGTTGAACTACTCTTCGTACTATTCTATTGCGCTTTACATTGCAACGCCATTCTATATTTACAAAGCCAGTAGTCATAGATCAGACAGTGGCATTCATGAGCTCGCAAACTACTCCACGCGACGCGGTCGTGGAACTAGAATCCATATGACAATCATAGTCGACGTCATCGAAACAACACTGATCGCTTGTTCAGTACATCAAGTCTTGGCTCATCACGATAAGTAGCACTTACAGAGGTTGGAGAGTTCCGATACCAAATTTCGAAGCCAGGAGACCTGCGATCAAAGGCAGGACAGCGGAACCAGCTATATAGCTGAGAGAACCGTAAGGAGCCATTTAGGGAAGAGGGAGGTTGAATAGTTCATCAGGATGGGATACATAGGACCCATGAGGAGACCCACGAGCGATGCTGCCACTGCATTCTCCAGTAGTGAAGGCACTACCCAGACGGTGACCTCTAATCTGGACGTAGGTCAATGTCGGAATTGTAGGTGGACGACATGATCTCGACTCACGCAATGACCGACAGGCCATAGACAATGATCGACAAACGCTCGCCGAGCTATGAATCTCGTCAGCTGAGGCATTCATGACTTCAGTCGTGCTGCATCTACCTTGCGATTGAGCCAGATTAGAGCAATTCTGCCCAGCATCAGACCTGGGGAAACGTGATCTGAGCAAAGCGGTATATACGTTCAGCTGCGTGGGTTAGATTGACCTCCAAAGAAACCGGATGAGATGTAGCCTGCGGTTGCTCCTCCATCGCGCTTGTCCTCGATGAATGTGACAATCCAACCTAAATCAAGTTGAGTATAGATCACTTTGTCTGATAGGCATCCAGACTGACCTCCAATGGATACCTCGACACCGACATATATCAAGCAAAATATGGCCAGAACGTGGATCTCTACGCGACGCAAGATTTGCCGGTAAACATTGCCCTCTGGAGCAGCCGTTTCTTCCGTCGTTTGAACCGTCTGTCCAGCCTCTTCCATGAGCTCTGCCACAATCGACTTCAATCACCGACAGGTCTTACGAAGCTGCTCACTCACCTGCCTGCTGACGGAAACGGAAAATGATCGCAAGCGCGACGATATTGCTCGCCGCGATGCTGGCTGCAACGACGTAGTGAAATGACCAATGCCGGGCAAAAGCAAAGTGAGTCGCGACTAGGGGGGATACAAACGCTCCGAGGCCTGCATCCCGTCGTCAGAACGAGTGCCGTCGGGGACGTACGAGGTTCGCAACGTCTCACCGTAACAAGCATGCAGGATGCCGAAGAAGTCTAGGATGCTTTTTCATGCCTCCGACAAAACCATCGGCCTGTGCCATTTGCATTGCTACGCCAAGCCCAGCGAACGCTTCCCCAGTACACATCAAAGGGAACGGGCCACCCTAATCAGCATATAGCCGATCAGCTGCAAAACGGCCCCTTATTCAAAATCGTGAGGACATAAACTTTGTTCCTCTTAGTGTGAGGAAGACTGTCCAACCTATTACAACAACCTGCCGGGTTATTAGAGAGGTGTGGGATGACCGGTCATCAGAGTAAGACTACCTTGCCAAAACCCAGACGTTCGTTCAGATAGATGTTCATGATTGCACCGCCAATGAAGCCCTAAGACATTGGGCCTGTTAGCCATGTGCATTAGCGGAGCAACATACATACCAGTGTCATACAAATGAATAGCAAGGAGGCGATGTCGAATCCGATCTAAATCACCGTGGCAGGTTGGACCGATCATCAGTAATGGAGATACGAGAAGTCGTCATTCTCTCACATCGTAGTGTCGCTGTATGCGGGGGAGCAACGGGCCCAGCGAGCCATCATTAAAGCCTTGCAAGAAATAAGAGTATAACAGCGTGACGAAGTGGACCTTGCTATGCTGGCGGAAGGACCGGAATCTAACCGCAGAGATTGCACCTCTCGAAACCGCCTCTTGCTTTGATTTTACACTCTGTGCTGCGGCAGACTCTCTAGCGTGATTCTCTGTTTCGTGCACGAGCTCACGCAGGCTATCTTTCCCGGATGATATGGAAGTCCTCGAGCGAGCGAATTCTCGGCGCTGCTCCACGATGTCCAGTTCTATGGCGTCTGTGGACGTTGGGGCCGTTGCGGGAACTTAAGCAACTCTCGGACAAGAGCAAACCTCTGACGGACTCACCACCTTGCTTCAAAGCCATGTCTCGACTCTCGGGCCAGGTACGGAGGATAGTTGTTCGGAGAATGAAAGTATACCGCTCTTTCAACGAATAGGTCAACGGTCTCTATAAGTTATGTAGTGTGCATTAGGTCATTTGCGATCATGGGAACAGGATCAATTTGTCATGAACGGGCTCCGGTCCGCTAATGCCACTGCAGCCCAACTTTGTGTCAACCTGGCGTTCGAGAAATTCAGTATGTTCATGTGAGGCACTCCATGCATGGTCCTTGACAGCAAAATCAAGGCTGGTTGACGTAGGAGCTTGAAAGCCGCGAAGACGACAGCACTGCTGTCGATCTCCGACACAAATTCCTCGGACATCGCCGGGCGTTGAGTCGTCGAAGCTGTAGGCAAACAATCCACAACAAATGCCATCCGATTATGGAGCCACAATGTCTCATTGATCGTGTACGTTACGCTTTTGCTCTTTCCTCCACTGGCTGGAGGCCACCAAGCAAATGTCTCATTTACCACCGAAACCCGACTTTGGAAGTGGCTCTCCAGGAAAATACCCGCCTGACTACCGACATTACGCACGTCCGCCTCCGGCAGACCGCTACCGCCCCGAACGAGACGTCTATCCTCCTCGATCGCCACCACCTCGCTCCCGCTATGCCAGCGATTCCTACGTGGCGGCGCGTCACGTCGACAGCTATAGGGCACCACGGCCCCCTGTAGACTCCTACGTCGCATCATCGTACGAGCGGAGGGAAGACGACAGGTATGTTGAGTACTGGGAGCGCGAGCGGGACTGGCGTGCGCGAGATTTGCCTTCTCACGACGCGCGGCGAGTAGCATGGGAGAGGGAGCATGATCGCCTGAGGCGGTGGGAGACGCGTGGTGCGTACGAGCGCGAGCGGAGAGAGTACAGTCCCCCGCGCTATCACGACTATCGAGAAGAGGGCTGGCGACATGCACGAGAGAGACCGCGTGAGGAGTTCACAGAGCGAGTGTGGATTCCACGTAAATCCAAGTCACCTCCTCGACGCATAGGTATGTCTAGATCTCTCCGCTTGTATATACGAAAACATTTGTTTATTGTCCATAGGCCGCCCTCGACGTTCAGCTTCGCCTGCCTCCGCGCGTGGTCGTTCACCAAGATCGATGTCGCCGAGAGCACGACCGCGCAGTCCTCAAGCTCGATGGCACAGCAGACCACCGAGCTCTGGGCCGTCTGCCTGGCACGGACAGTCTCGCGCGACGTCTCCTGCGCCGGAAGTGAAGCTGGGAAACCACTCAAAATCTGCGAGTCCTCGTCGCTCAGAACGTGACATAAAATCTGGGGTCGTCACTCCTCGTAACGCTTCGCCTACCCGTGGTGGCCGTAGTCGCAAGAACAGCAGAAGCAGAAGCGCGGAGAGAGGTAGGAGTAGGAGTGCCGGCAGACGAAGTCCCTCCATTAAGCAGGAAGCTCATCTTTCCCACTCTTTATCACCGCCGTCCCACACCAACAGTCCTGTGCACACTGTTTCGCGAAGGGCCTCCCCTATCCCTCAGACTCCCCGCCGTAAAAGCCCAGTGTTTTCTCCTGCCAGCCCGGAGAGGAAGTCGATCATTCCATCTCCATATCCTGTGAAGCCCGAGACCATGGAGGGACCCACTTCTACGCCATGGCCGTCACGCGCAGAAGAGAAAGGAAAGATGCGACAAAAAATGGAGCTTCTCAACACCGACGATGATGTCAAGATGCAGGACCTCCTATCACCCTTCACAGAAGCTGGTTCGTCACCTATGAAGCCAGAACACAGAGAAGTGAGTGCATCTCCTGCGATACCCAGGGAAGCTAGAGACGCTGTCCCGTCACCCACGAAGCCGAGACGCGAAGACGATGGGCCTCCGCCAAGACGAAGGCGTTCACGCTCTCCGCCTGCAGGACCGCGCAATTACGTGAAGACGCCTCCCACACCTTCATCCCCGCATCCGATCCACGGGCTACCTCCCAGGCCGAGCTGGTCTCGTCGCGGTCCTGGGCATCCCGGAACGATGCTCTGCCCGGGGCAAGGAGGGTACGCTGCGGAGCCGCAGTCAGCACCGCCTTCCGCGCCCCCATCGAAGCCGAGAAGGAGCTTCAAAGCAAAGCTCGAGGAAGAGGTCAGTAGATTTATTGGCGCTAACGTGTATGCACGACGTTGAGTGACGTTGCCGAAAATGCAGACCCGGAACGTTCATGCCGAGGGCGTTCGACTCGCTGCGGAGTATGAGGCCCATTCTAAGGCGGTGAAGAGGGCTTTGCACGAGTTGGAGATGGCAAGCATGGACTTGGAGCTCGCAGAGCGACGTCGGGCGGTCGCCGATGCGCAGCTGGAGAAGGCGCGTATTGGACAACTTGGCATTGAATATCATCCTCGCCCCCAGGAACAGAACACCGCCTCGGCTTGAAACGAGCTTGCGCTCTCGCTTGGTCATCCTTGTGGTTTCACCAGAGCGCGTGACGGACGCGTGCATCTTCCTTTCGTGCAGTCGAACTTGTTTCGCAGATACGTTATATGATATCGGTACAATGACAGCTGTATAATTTTACAAAAATACCAAGAGAGTGTACGCGCGTCGGAGTGCCGAGCGTCATGTACGAGCCACAATCTCATGTCTCGGGTATCCGTCTGCACTCTATTTCTGTCCGCGTAGGGTCGATCGGCAGAGCACAGAAGAATCCCTGAGCCTACGTTCCATGCGTCAGACGCCGTCACGCACGCAGATTAGCTGATGAAACGGAGCAACAGCAAAACTGGGCGCGGACGCACCTGCATGGCCGCGAACATCTTGGTCGAGTGCATGTGCAGCTGAAACGCGCGCATGGGTCGCGGGGGGGTGCAGGTCAGCGTCAGGGCGGGACGTCGACAAGAGAAGGGCCTTCTCTCTGCCGAGCGGTGGACGCACCGAGATGCACTTCCGTCCCTTGTCTTTGCCTTCCCTGCATATCTCCGTCTCGGGCGCGTCCCGCGCGGGGCTGCTGAACGTGTATCGCGACTCGGGGTCCTCCTGCGTGTGCAGTCGCAGTTAGTCACAGCCGAAGACGTAACAAGATGTTGAGCAGCACGCCCGGTAGAAATTGAGCATTATCAGACGCATGTATGGAGAAGTCGGCGACGCGTACGCACCGCAACGAAAGCCTTGAGCTCGTCTTCGGGGTTTCTCTTCTCTGAGAACATGGTGGGGGTTGTCTGACGGTCCGAATCCACTCTGCAGAGGAGTTTGTTCGCCAGTGACATATATTGGACGGGGCAAGTGCTCGTTCAATATCAGCTTAAGCTGAGTACCAAGCGAGTGGATGGGGACGCGACGAACAAGCGCCCGTGGTCGATGACGTGGGCACCAGCAAAATGCCCGATCGCATCTGGCTCGGAGAGGTGACTACGTATTGATTCAAATATTGTTTCTCTTTTTTACAGCTACAAATGGGTATGCTGCCTCTAATGTGGGCCTAGGTATCCAAGACGAGGGCCAGCGAGTCAAGTTCACGAGACGCGAGACACGACGCCGCTATACCTACCATCCTCTAGACGCGAGCCTGCCGCCCTTCAGGTCATCGTTGCTATCGTATCCGCCGAGTCAGTGACCCTTAGGATATCATCACAGCGGAAATGGCTCACATCGTCAGACCGACCATTGCCTCGCCGAGGTCTTCCGAGAGCTACACGCGTGATCAGAGTCTTATTGCGGAAGGACGGGTGCCCGCAATGCTTACCTCCGCAAGGAGTTTTGGGTTGTTGTAGTGAGTCACCTGTGATGGGCGCCCTGTGAACGGTGTTTGAAGAATGAACTGTGTGTGATTGACGTACCGCCTGGACGATGGCTCGTGCACGCTTTGCAGGGTCGCCGGACTGAGCGTCGCGGCGCTCGTGAAACAGGCTTAACATCAGATGAATGGAGAGGACTGACCTTGAAGATACCGGAGCCAACGAAGACTGCATTCGAACAATCAGAAGCGTAATCCTGTGTTGATGTTATGAACACATACCTCCATCACATCCTAGATGCATCATCAACGCAGCATCCGCTAACAAACAGAATCAGTCGGAAATTTCTAGACCTGCACTGCTCCACGCACCCGGCGTTGCAATACCACCGGCAGCAAAGTTGACCACCGGCAGCCTCTTGAGGCGCGCGACTTCCTTTAGCAGATGGAACGGTGCCCGGATGTCTTTCGCATAAGCATAGAGCTCCTCCTCGCTCATCACGCTAGCTCTGCGAATTTCTGATGTGATGGCGCGCTGATGGCGCACGGCCTCTACGACGTTGCCGGTGCCCGCCTCACCCTTTGTGCGGATGAAGGCAGCACCCTCGGAGATGCGGCGAAGGGCCTCGCCGAGATTGCGTGCGCCGCAGACGAAGGGGACTTTGAAAGCGTGCTTGTTGATGTGGTGCTCCTCGTCGGCGGGCGTGAGGACCTCGGACTCGTCGATGTAGTCGATACCAATGGCTTGCAGGATCTGCGGAACTGTGAGATGCTGCATAGGGGAGCGGCACTATAGGGCACACGCACTTGAGCCTCGACCAAGTGGCCGATGCGGACCTTGGCCATGACGGGGATGGTGACGGCTTCGACGATCTCCTTGATCATTTTTGGGTCGCTCTGAGAAGCACAACGTAAATAGGAGAGAGAAATGAGCCGAGTTGCGAAGACATACCATACGCGCAACGCCTCCTGTCGCGCGAATGTCGGCAGGTACCCGCTCGAGGGCCATGACCGCACAAGCACCAGCCTCCTCAGCAATGCGAGCCTGCACGGAGGTTAGACATTTTACACTTGTTTGACTGATAGACGCACCTGCTCTGCGTTCACCACGTCCATGATGACTCCACCCTGCCAGAGGGTTAGGAGAAGAAAATTGACGGACAGAATACGGAACACACCTTCAGCATCTGAGCGAGTCCGGACTTGACCTGTTTACAAGCTGGTCAATAATAGGTCAAGACAACGCCTCTCGGAAGCAAAGCACGCACTCCGAAGGAGCCCAAGCTGCTGTTGGCGCCATCCTTTGTCATCGAGCGCGTGGGCGCGAGGACGGGGGTGTTGGTGGAGAGGCCTGCACCATGTACGAGCGGGGTGGAGATGCCAGAGGGAGCGGGAATGGGAGTCGACATTAATAATGTGTAATGGGAAAGAGGTGTGGGTTATGAGGATGGCGAGTGGTTGACTCGTTTGCAGCCGTGCTCGGATCGGACACCCGATCTCATTTTGATCGGTGTGGCCCCCCATCACGCGGCGTTCGCAGATATTTGCTGACGACGAACTCGTCGATGAACCCGATGCCAGTCTCGCATAACGACTCCTTCTCGTCTGCTGGACGTGGCGTGGCTATCTGCGAAGGATGCTTCAATTCGCATCTCGCTCGCTGCATCGAGTCAGAGATTATGGCATTGCCTCCCGTTATCCATTCACAACATCACACGACCTCGCGTCATCGCTGCCAATATCACCAGCCGAGTCAACGAAGACGGCAGCCAGACGGAGCTGAACGTTAACGGCAGCTCCGAATCTAACAACGACTCACCATCGTGACTCACAAAATCCACGAAGCATTCGAAATGTACATAAACCTACGCGTTACGGGAGTTCTCGTACGTCATGACGGCACGTCTAGCACATTTGCCTGACTCGTATTCCGAGGCAGTTGAATGGAACGATACCCCGTGAGGGTCGATGCCGAAGTTGTGTATCAAATCTACTATCGTGCTCAGGTACCCTCGCCTATCCAGATAAAGTGGCGTTCCGACAAGTCTCCTCTGGGAAGCGCTGCGAGTCGTAATGTGCCCTTCGTCCCGATCGGCCTATGACACCTGTCTAAAAGGCGCAATTGCTCCTTTCAATCTGTCGCACGATCCAAAATACTGTGATGGAGACGGCGGGAACGAAGGTCTCGTCCCCGAGACCCTAATGCCCCGATCGGACAGTCTACACTGTCATCGAAGTGCAATTACGGAGCAGATGGAACTCGCGACCGGCATGATTATGGTCCTCCGGAGTCGGTGGCCGTTGTCGGAGTGTCCGCCACTAGCCATCCGATCGCACTTGTAGGCGCCCTCCATGGGTCAAGGACGAGATGCGTTCCCTTCACCCGATGCCTCGGATATTCTCCGCCAAGCTATTCTCCTCCACAAATGTGCACACTCAGTGGGCACGCGGTCCTGAAATCACAATGAAGTTACACTGGTACATCAAATAAGTCACACGTCGTCTCATAGTCATGACGCCATTCGCATCGGAACATCGCTGCGTCTTAGTGAAGGGTGGGTCATCATTCTCATGCAGATGATCTGACTCACAGCACGCACAGGGAGAAGACATGTCTCAGTCGTGCGAACGTGGACACCGTTCGTCAGAAGAGAAGCTGCCTACACCGTGGCGCGTGAAGGTTGCTCTCGGCAAAATATTTCACAGGGTGTCCCTACTCTCTCCAGGTTTCAATATCAATCTCACCTCTTCTCTCTGACTTTTTTGTCGTTGCGAAATGCCGCTGAAGCTCAAAACCTGCCAGGAGGATGAGCGTTTGACAATTTTCATGCCTTGCGCGGTTTCAGCGTCTTATCATCGTTCTCTCATCCTGTCACAAAATTCAAGAAGAGTACTTGATCATTTCTCCGTGGCGAGATGACATGTACTGCAGGTCATCGTCCGTTTACGATCAATCAAAGCGTTTTATTCTCGCCGCCTATGATGGCTGCTGAAGGCAATGCCTTCTCACGAGGATGCAAGCAAGCAAGATCATGATACTGTGTCGCAAACCGTGGCGAGTCATAGCATACTGTGCGCATTACCTCCGCAGCGGTAATGGAGTTCCGCTGAGCGAGCGTCCACTACTAGGTCAAATATCCGGGCGTTCTCGAGCTTTCAATCAACCATGTTCTACATTTGCGACCGGCCTTTTGATCCTTCACGCTTTCATCATGGATATCCGGGCGAGCGTGGATCATTCCGTTTTCAGATGTGTCTGCGTCCTTCCTCTCCTTCTAGTGGGCCGGCCGGTTCAATACACAGCGGAAGGACTGAACGTGCACCACATTCTATCTTCTTTACGCATTATCTGCGGAACTATGGCTCGAGTCTGACTGGTCTCGGCCCTATCCCAAGCTTCGAAGAGCTGCGCCGATAGTCGAAACCGACTTGTGACATCCCCACCGAGCAGCCTACTAAGTACGCGGGAGAAGACCAGCCAGCGTCCGATTCCCGCGCCGAGCCTGGCGTTGGTCTGGCCTGGGATCTTTCGAGCTAGCGTGCGCAATCGGATAATGCGTATCAAATCCACGCTGCTACTTGTATGCGCCTGTGGTTCCGCGCGAGTCGACCTGCTGACACGCTTCCATACTTTGATGGCGATGTCCAAGGACTTATCGCGTCGATCACGCCCCTCTTCGCCAGCTTCGCGGCCTCGAAGCTCCGCTTTTACCCTCATTCTAGGACGAGTCGACTGTCTGGCTCTTGTAGGATGCTCACGCGGCGCGGCGTTTCCGGGACCGCGCTTCTCAGGGAGCCGTCACAGCTTGTTCGCGGGACGCCTGCCACTTCCGAGCATCGAGCCTGCTTCTAGTCCACATTGCACCGAAACGCGTCGTTTCGGACAGAGGCAACCCGCTTCTCCATCTCTGACACCGTTCATCCCGAGCAGAATCACCAGATGGTGATTCCTCAATGGATCGTGCCTTCGCAAACGCCGGCTTGATGCTGACGCCGACGATTCGTCACGCATCGTATATCATATATCATCTCAACGGCCGCTCACAAAGTCTCAGACAGAGAACACTGACATCAGCGCCCTGCGTCCACCAATGTCCGGATTCACGTAAGATCTCTCTACCCTCACAAGATGGATATCTAATATCCGACATAGATCGTACAGCGTTGATGACTCATCAGCGTTCAACGAGCAACTGCCATCCTGCCGCTTGCAAATGGACATATCATACTTTCGGGCTTACGGAGTGCCATCACTGTCACCTCCCATCAGAATGGAGAGACAAAATATCGTTGACATGGTATCGTTAAGCGCAGCGCCATTTCCTGGGTTGCCACACTTTGGAGTTCTTCCTGTACGCGCAGCTGGCGCGTCATGCACGCCGTCATCGCCTTCGCCAGCTATAAGCAGCGTATCAAACCTTCTACCATCCAGCTTCGTGCGCAGGCTCCCGTATCCACCGGTATCTTCGTCCACTCAAAGCGCGGCCCAGGAAGAACCTTTGCCCGGTCCACATACACGTTACTTGTGGAAACCGCAGCGCGTTTCCGCTTCTCGACACTAAAAACACACCGGTTTGCAGCAGTCAAGACTCCAGGATATGTGGGCATCCGGCGCAGCTGCTCCTCCTCACGTCATGCATCGCGACAGATGGCGGTGGCACAAAACACGAATACATCACACCTGCCAACAGCACCCGTAACCCGCTGACGCAAACAAGAGACACAGAAGCCAAGTTGCGATCAGAGTTACGAGTTCCAACAAACCAGCTACGCACGCTGCAAACCACCGACCGACACATGCACGCAGCCGTCTGGCCGTCGCTGATCCTCGGAGCAAGAGCAAGAGAGCCATGGACAACAATCAACTGTTGCAATAATCGCAGACGTTGGTGCATCAGGCGCGAGACGATGCGTGATGCGCACGCACATGATACATGTACCGTCCGCACATGCATGTCATCGCATCAGATCTCGCTCTGTACCTGACACTACTGAAGAATGAGGTAACGAGGCTACTGGTCATACCATGGGGAGGGAATGCTTGTGGCCGGCCGGCACGCCACCGACTGCCTCCCGACTCACGCCGCCACATGCATTATCAGCCATGGACACCCGCATATAATACTCCCGTCCGAACGTACCTGAGTCCAACATCACGCATATCATACGGTCGGCAGACCTCGCCGCCACGCCGGCAGGCACACTAGTCCTACAAATTATCACACAAGTGCACCACTAGGGCCCCACCGAACGCGTTCGCATCCAATGACGCTCTCAGCCCAGGTATGAGCTGTAGTACGCACAACGATCCGTGTCTCGCTCGGGCCAGGTGCGCCAAGGGCTAGTACTAGTAACGGCGCGCTATCTCTCACCGCGCCTACACCTCACGCGCACGCCTCAGGAGTTCCGCGATAGTCACACTGGCACTCACAAGCCGCCTGCGCATGTATAGGGACGCGGGGCGCGCTGCCTTGGCGCCGCCACTTCCTCGCTCACCAATTATTTAGCTCGTGTGCACTCCGAGGCTCGGTGGCCGAGCAAATAAGAGTACTCCTCACGTTGTAGGGATGCGCAGTCACATGAGTTGCACGATGCCAACTTGGGTCGTGCGCGGGTCATCGAGGCCAGAGGAGTCTCATGTACCGTGGACACAAGGGAACTGTGATTTGCCACCCGCCGCTGGGGAGGCACCCGGGCGCGACGCGGTCCCGACCACATGCCGATGGCTTATGCGCAATATGATGGGGTTTCGCGGATAAAATCTATCGTGCACCGAGAGGTCACGAACGAATCGGGCGCGAGGAGTAAGGACCTCGACTGTATCGGCCATCGAACGTGACCAATTATCGTGAAAAAAAAATAGATGGCTGTGCATATCACAAGGACTGCGATCAACATTATTGCCACAAGCCGACACAGATGTTTTGGAAAGAACGAGGAAGTGAAAAATTAGGGGAACGTGGTAAGCGCTTGGCGTTCCGGCCGCAAATGATATTATCATGGCAGGCCGCGTTCTTTTTGTCGCTGTTGGCGTGGCAGGCGACGGGTGCACTGCGTGCATGACAAAAAGTGGTGTATGAGTGAAGCATATGCGGATATGAGTCCCGTGGCAGAGTTCCATTGTGCACGTCAGATATGGCAAGGCCAGGACAGGGGAAGTACCTCAATAGCGCGGAATGGCTTGATTGCCATCTGCAGATGTGCAGAGGTGGACATACAGGGGCGGTACGAGTCAGTGATGCATACGATAGCTAAGGGGGTGGGGAAGCTGTGGCGGTGATGATATGGGTTTACAGCCACGGGATTGGATACAGACACTGTATGAGGATGGCGATAAAGATCAATCAATCTGGATAGACATAAAGAGCGTGTGGGCTTTGGATCGCGATGCGTGATCGCGAGGCGCGAAGCACGGGTACGACACAGGGGCGTTTTGGCACAAATGGGACGAGTCACAAGAGGCGGGCATGGGGCGCGGAGCAACTAGAAACCGCGCTCGGCGAGCCAACGCATGACTTTTGTTTTCCAGAGCCCCCCGGAGAGGACGATGTGCTGGGAGCGGATGATTGTGGTCTTCATGCGCTTCGCTTCGGGTGAGCCTGGGGGATGGAGGGTAGTGGCGAGGTCTTTTGCGAGCGCCTTGTGGGAAGGTGTGTGAGTGAGTGGTATGGAGCGTGACAGAGACACATGGGGGAAGCACGGAGAAGTGGTGGGTAGACGCAGGGTGGGAGATGAGACAAGGAAGAGTGGAACATGGATCAAGCACAAGCGAGCGGCAAGTTAGGTGGATGCGGTACTTACGGCGAGGTCTCCCTGGACATTGCGAATAAGGGTGAGGTGACGGGTGCCTGCGTTGCGGATGTCGGTGAAGACGGGCATCGAGCCGCGGGTGTTGCGTGGGACATCGTACGGCAGCGACGGCACTTGACGAGCAGCGACGACGGCGGCGCGGCGGAGCATGGGTGCACAGAGCAAGCAGGACACCCGGAAGACGGCCGGTGGCGGGGAGAGAGCGGGGCCGCCGGAGAGGAGAGATGATCGGGATCATCACAGCACATCCCTATTAGCTTTCTCCCAGCCAACCCATATATATACCCTCCCATGGCCCCTCCCATCCCCCTCACCCGCAATGTACTCCATTCCCCACCACAACGACCAGCGCCACCACCAGTCGGTCTACTCCTGGCCGCCCTGCCCCCTCAACGACTCGTATCTCTTTGGCGACCCCCAGCCTAACCACAGCACCGACCTCCTCCAGTCCCTTTCCCGCTGGTCGCTCGATGCGCCGGACTTTCTCCTCCCCTTTCACTACCAGCCGGCGTGCCCACCGGATCTCTCGGCAGACTGTAAGTGCGCTCGTCCGTAGCGCTCTGATACGCTCTAACGTACGCACCAGTCTCTCCAGCCTCAGAATCCTCTTCGATTCTCTCCCTCTCTCCCTCCTCCTCCTCTCCTCCGTCGCCCGCGCCTGCAGATCATCTACCCACCCACATCGTCTGCAACGCGCCCCTCGTCGCGCCCATTCCCCTCCCATACCACTCTCCCACTTTTCTCCAATACATCGACCTCCCAGACCCCGACGAGGATCTCTCCCACCCGCCATACACCCGCCGCACAACAAAGCGCAAGCTCGAAGTCTGCGCCGACTCCACATACGAGTATGGCTCGCCCGCAAAGAGGCGCTCCATTAGCTCCGAGTCCGAGTCGGAGACCGGGCCATTACAGACGCAAAGGGCTTCGCGTTGCCCGTACGTCTTCTCGCGAGATCGTCAAGTGCGCGCCATGCCTGCCCGGAGGCAGGGAGTGCGCGCGTAGGCCTTCCCAACAAGGCACAGCGCTCCCACCTTCATTCAATCTGTCCCGTTGGTGCGATCAGCGCTGGCAAGTGATCGTTATTCAGTGTTGCTGTCAGAACCTCCACCCGAATCAGTGTGAGTACGCTTAGCTTCGCTGCTCCTTTCTCGGTTCAATCTGACGCGTTTCGGCCCAGTTCGCGCTTAGAGTCCGATAGATGCAGGCACCGCGCATCATTTTTGGCATCACGCGTCATGTGTCAAGTGCAAGCCATCTGCTAAGCCCTGGCTCCTATGCTTCATCTTTCTGCGATGTTCCGCTGCGCATACATGGGCGGAACTGGGCATTCGGCAGAGCTTCGAAGCTCGGTGGCGCGGCGTCTGTCTGTCACCGTGTCCATGATGATCAATATAACTCCTGATTTCCCCATCGCCCTGCCGGAATCCGATGCATTGCGCCACTCGCATTACTTGTGCTCCTCCCGCACATGGAGCGCACGCACTCATGGCTGTTTGCGGCGATAGATACCCGCCTGTCGTCGGGATCGCCGAGGCGCTGTATTGCAGTATCTGCATGCTCGGAATGTCGCGGCTTAACGGAGGCGTTCGTTTGCCGAATTCCCGCCAATGTCATTCAACTTCCAAGCTACGCCCACGTCCGTGCTCAAGCTCAAACTCTCGCCCTCGCTCGTTTGCATTCCGCGGCACATGACGGTCCGTTGGTGATCTGCGCGTTATGCTGCTGGCCTTTGTTGGATACATTCACACGTGCGGCTTCGCGTCCCTGCTGTGCCTTTGTGCATCTGCACGGGCCACAGAAGGTCGGTTGCCTTGGAGATGCGGTGGCTCCGGTGCGAGCTTTCGAGGCGTGCGGGGATACGTCTGCACCCGTACCGTGGTCACGATGGGAGTGGGAACGTAAGGGGCTGGGGGCAGGGAGGGTACGCGGGCGCCGGAGCTTCCGATGGTCATTCACTTTACTACACGGTAACTGCTTACATTGGCATGGAGTTTGCGCGCGCGTGCGCGATACATAGATGCATTGCGTGGTCGGTCGAGAAGGGCCGTATGTTTATTCGACAGCGTCTTACTGCTCTCGTATGATATATGTATGGTTGACGTCGGAGCGAGGCAGATCATATATGCATCTGGTAATGTGGAGCTGAGTGCTTGCCAAGGTTCCTGGGCTGTGGGTGGGCTGTTCGCGGACGGTTCATCGACAATTTCATTGACCGGACCAGGTTATGGTATCTGTGTGGCAACGTGAGTGAAGATTGCGTATGATGGGATGGCGCAGAGGCACGGTTATATAATGATGTGAACGTCGCCGTGCGTTGCGCTCATGACCGTGCGCCCTCTCCCGTCAGTGATATATGATCCAGAACGCTGGAAAATGGCCTGCGAAGAGCATTCTTCGCAGAGTCGACCGTTCTCACACTGGCACTTTGTGCGCGCCTCGATCCAGTGTTCGACGTTCGTAATGCGGGCAGATATCTGGATATCGGGGTATCCGCACGGTTAGCTTCGGTGTCTATGGAAGCTTAGTAGGTGATAGGTGAGCGCTGCAGAGCCTATTAATGTCCCTCACATGAGCCCGTTGATCGAAAAGAAAACAATTTGTAGAGGTTTGAGTTTGGTCGGCTTACGGTCTGGCAGTGATCGCGTGCGCGGGCCCCAAGACATGACATTGTGTACGTGCACATCAAAATTTTGTGTCTTGCTGATGCACTTGCACATGGCCTGATACACGAAAAAAGAAACGACCGCTCGGTGCGTTCATGACTTCCCAGGTCAACCTATCAGTGGCATGCGATGCGGTGGCAGCGAGTGGCCCCACTGGTACCGTGACATCCGAGCCCAGACTCGTCGCTGCGGCCTTGAACTTCGACCCCGGAACGTTCATAACCGAGCACAGCGCACGCGTCCGACTGTCTATCAACACAACCTTCCGAAGACGAACGGACACACCGAACAGGCAGCGAAGATCCCTCCCATCGGCATCCCTCACTCCCTTATCCTTAGTAGCTCCGGCCGGGGAACGTCTCGCCGAGGCGGTCCCCCCTTCTGTACACACAGCGCATACAGGCACACACATCGATGCGCAAGCTCCGGAGGACCTGCATTGTATAGTACATACAAAGACTGCGCGCGGACGCTCGCGATCGCGCCATGAGCATGGGCCTATTACGAAGTTCATCATGATATTCACCAGCCAGACGCGCACAGCACAGCAGCAGTCGACCGAGGATTCGAAATAATCGAGGTCGTGTCATGTCAGCGCGCAGCACCATTCATAAAGTTTGTATGGGCCGTCGGCTCGCGGAGCGCGCACCTTGTGTCTTGATATCCATCGATTGATAACCGTCAGCGGTCCATGGAGTGCGCCTTCGGGTCTATCAATGAAGATACGCGTGGTGCATGCGCTCGGGAGACAAATTTCTTGCACTCACCGGCGATTGTAAAACATAGGATGGCAGACATGGGCCCGGTAAGGCACGCAGGATAATGTGACAACGGTATGATGATACATTTCGTTTCGGCTCTGCGACAGCTGGTATCGTACATTGTTATCCAATACGTCGATGACGTTTCAACACGCGAGAACGACAATACCCTTCGAAAATTAGATCAAGCAAAATGCGAACGGAGTAAGCAGATATACAGCCGGCACAAATGAGAACAGCAGAATATTTCAGTTCCAAGCCAAGAGATCATGCATGCACCGATGACGGTCCAGACGACGCGAACTACAAAGTGAGCGTGAGCACTTGGGCTGTCAAGGGAACGGGCAAAACAACGCACGACGGAGACGATTTAGAGGAAGAACATCCTGCCGATGATGCTATCAGCGGCCTGCTTGAAACTGGCCTTCCACTGCTCCAAAGGGAAGTCCATGTTGCTGCCGCCGCTCGCCGTCGTTGCCGCGTCCGAGTCCGCAAAGTGCATCTCCTCCTGGAAATGAAACTCTGCACGCGCGCAGACACGCTACAAGATGGCCATTCAGTCAACATGTCAGTTGCAATGTGGGTGAATAGACGTACGTCCGCATCTGCATTGAGAACCGAAGTCAGCGTGCGTCGTGTATAGTCCGATGAGATGACTCACAGTAGACTGGTGCCGGGATGGATACCGAGCGAGTCGCGCTGGCGTAGACGTGGCACAGGTGGTAGGAGAACTCCTGATATTTGTCGACAGTCAACGCTGCGATCTCGTTCGCGAGGACGATATAATGACTCGGGCGGCTCGCTTGAGGATCATAATTAGTCAATTTGGTGAGCATGTCAGGAAAAATGACCGAAACTTACTGCCAATAATACCACTGTGCGACTGGAGATAGAAATCAGGATACGCGGCATTGGTGATCTGATCGTCGACGATGAATCCTGCAGGACAATTGCCCGTCCTGTCTGCGCTTTGGCTGCAATGAAAGTATTAGTTACTTCGACAACAGGTGGCAATTGTTTGAGAAGGTCCCATACGGATTCTCGGGGAAGAACCGGATATGGTGCCTGATATCTCAACTGTTCAGCATGTGCGGCCTGAGATGAATATGTTAGACTACCTCTTGCCGACGACGACGAACGCGATTTGGGGCTTCTTTGCGAATGCCTTGATGAGTTCCCTGTGACTTTCAGGCCCATACGATATCTGCATTTCATTCAGCGTATCTGAAAAATCCCTGAGATGAGCATACTGAGCGCAGCAGATAGAAATTGTGTACCATTGATCACGGCCACCTCCCTCTGCGCAACCTGCGCGTATTCTCCGTCGGAGACACCATCCCTGTAAAAGATGATACGCTCTGGTGGAGGGTTCTTGCGATCGGCAAAGTATTGTACTGCACTCTGTCAAAAGTGAGCAGACAATGATGAGATGGATAAGCAACACATACTGTCAGCATGCCTGGTAGATCTTCGATGATCTCTGTACGAGGCGCTTGTACGCTTGCAAAGGCACAGTAACGCGTGGCTTCCACATCATATGAGGCGACAAGGCTGGTAACAGAGGGGCGGTTGGTCACGCCAGGACCAGGATGTCCAACATCCATGCCTATAAGGATCAGTATAACAGGTTTGGCATTGTATATGAGTGCATTGATGTCTTACCGACAACCATCGTTGGTGTCTCACGGGTGAAAATATCTTGTACTGTGGAGTTTACCCCGCCTAGCTTTGCATTGACCCTGTATGCATTAGTTTGTCAGCTGAGGAAAGAGTCAGGATGCAAAGAGGATGTACTTAAGAGCAACATTGTTGCAATATTGATCATTCGCTCTCTCCCATTTGCCTTCACGCTAGCCATGCAAATGAGTAAGATAGACACATCAAGGCAGTAACACGCAACCTACAATGCACTGTGTTGGGACTCCAACCTCCACATCTCCCCAGTGCTTCGCTTTCCTCCTGAACTCCGGGGCGTTGAATGGCAGCATGACAATCACTATTGATGGAGGAGCCCCCCCAAGACCTGCAACTGCTGTCTGTGCAGCTCTCATCAGTGACTTAAAGAAATGAATCAGCCAAAAGCAAACAGAAATGGTAGGTTTACTGACCCCTCCAACATCTGTAGTGTTCCCTGCAGCGATATAGGGAGGTCCTTCAACTGCTACGCCTGGAACAAATACGTGAATTTCAGTAGAACGGTGACACTAATAACGTGACTGCACCTAATTTTCTCAGATTCTCGGCGAGATTTTGTAGGAATCTAATGCGCGCAGGATCGTTGGGTGCCTTGACATCGAACGTGACTACGGCCCAGGTCTTGACGGTCGCGGGTTTGGCGAGCTGATTGCCAACGACGTTCCATGCGCCGCCACGGATGTTCTGTCACCGGCCATTTTTCAGTGATACGATTCACAGTAGAATGATGCAAACACACCGCATGTGATCTGCCGAAGATGACTCGTGGGACATTCAGGACTCTACCAGTTACTTTGAGGGGTTCAGGAGACACGGCCATCCCAGATTCTTGGATGAAGTCAGAGTTGTGATACTCAAGCAGTTGCTGCATGCGCAAGAAAGATGAGCTCAACACATGATGATGATGCATGAAAATCACTGACCGCCCCAGTCACACCCTGCCTGATTGCGTCTAGGCGCCTGTCAGGGCGCTGGGTTGCAAACCTGACGAATTCGCTCGTCAGAGCTTGAGGAATCTTTTTCTTGTATAGTTGGCCTGGCGCAATTTTGCAGACCTCTACAGGGAAGACTGCATCCTTTCCAATCCTCACTCCGAAAAGATCTGGGTATTGCAAGCGGAGGTTGTGTGCTTGCATGAAATGCGCCTTTCATGATATTGGTCAGTAAGTCTTCATCGTGAAGGAGTCATGCTCAACCTCAACAGTCATTTGCGAACCGTCTTTGTCAAATTGATATCGTCCAGCACGCGGAATAATGTCGCGGATTGGACGGGGCCTGCCTCGTGGTGCAGTCTTGACAGTGACTTTGACATTCTTCAAGAAGCTTTTGAGCCTCCTCCAATCATGGCCGTTCTCCCTCAGCTCCCTAAGGTTCCGCGCATCTCTCCAGCCAAAGAACTGGAGAGTGGAGTTCAAAAGATCGCCTGCAGTATACCTACATTGGGTCAGATGACGGAATGACTCCTCATTACTATCAGCCTACACAAGTGCATTTGACACGTCAACATTGATAAGAAGCTTGTTCAACACTGGGCGCACGCTCCTGGTGATACGCAGGACAAGGTAAGTAGCCGTTAAGGCAATCAAGCATAAAATCTCACTGAAAGAGGCCCTTCCATGCACTCAGACCTCCACCAAGAGCCTTAGATTGGTAGTCAGTGTAAAACGACTTAGCATCGAGAGCATAGCCGTGTTTCCTGTAATCAACCTGTGCAGTGTGCTCATGGAGAATTAGAGAAAACAACCGACATGTTCACGGCTTGGCGAAGGATGATTTGAACCAAGTTTACGGCCATAGTGTTGACATTCGCGTTGTTCGCCTGGGGTGCTATGAGCTGCTCAATGTCGCTAAACAAAAACACGTTTAAACCTCATGAACGGGCATAATGTAGGTAATAGACCTCGGCCGAATGATGGCAACATGCGTCAGCGTGACTTTGAAGACGCCACGACCAGGGTTCCTAGTTGGATCGCGTGACATATTCACTGTATACTATAGTCCGCATGTTAGTATGGCAATAAAGTCCCAAGTGCTGGTGCTACAAACTTCTCCCGTGAGGTTCACGGCCGTGACCCTCATGAACAGGTTGGCCCTGCCGTCATATGCGGCCCGGGATGTAAAGAGATGCGGGTTGCCCAGTTGCAACTTGTCGATGATTTCCGCGGCGCGTCGGGGGTTGTCGACCTTCGGCGCGATGACTGTAGGCAAGAGTTTACTGGAGGAGCATTGAACTCCGAATCATTGATACCTACCGACTAAAGGGTGTGGTTATAAAGCATGCAATCCATAGAATATCTACGGCTACTTACCATCATAGTGGTGATAAGTGGCGGAGGGCCGGCGCACGACCTCGAATGAGTTAGTGATTACCCGCATGGGGCTGCCCAACCTCCCTCGTTGCATTGCGACTGCGACTGTGGCCATGATGGGGGGAAGATGGAGAGGATCAACTGCAAGGCTTGAGGGAAGCCCGGCAATATTTAACTGAACGCAATATGAAGTCCGACTTTCGACGACCGTTGAATATTGAACGGTTGAACAAGCACGGTACCGCCGCAGACGCGTCCCTGCGCGTCTTGATCACGTGATGGAGTCTATCGGGCGCTGTTCTCGAGCGAGACACTGGCCGACATCGCCGTGCATTTCTTTCCGCTGTTAGGCCCGGTGCCGTTCCAATCATCGACGATATTGTCTGCTTCACCCTGGTTGCTTGGCCATACCATTGCTTCTCGCTAGCCTCCTATTATGGCTTCCAAAGGATGGTTCAATCTCGAGGCTGCGGCCGGCACCATGCCAGAGACACAGTTCTTCGAGGGTGATTCGGCGTTCAGCTTTCTCGGGCTCACGCGGACGCAGAGACTGTATGGGTTCGTTGCATGGTGAGTCTCCAACTCAAAGCTATGGAGAATGCGGGTTGATGTCCAGCTGCTTCCGTGCTAAAACACTCTTACGCGCTGTGGCGGATAGTCTGGCAGTTGGTTTTGTTATGAGTCTTATAGGAAGCATCCTGCTGTTTGTAGGTTTGCTGGCAACCTTCGCTGGTGAGTGTACACCCATATCAATATGTTGGTTGTCTGACAATCGTTTTTCATGCCGTGCAGTACTGTACGTCATCGGGACTGTCATCTCTCTTATTGGGACAGGATTCCTGCTGGGGGTACGCCTCTAATGTCTGTGGACACCGCTTTCCATTATTGACGCACTCTCTGTGTCGTTGGTCAGTTCATGAAGCAGCTCAAGCTTGTGAGTTCCTAGAGAGATTGATCTGCTTGGCAAAATTCGAGACCTGACGCCCGGTATAGATGTTTAAGCCAGTCCGAGTAGTGGCCACGATTGTTTTCCTTGGATCAATAGTGCTAGTGTTCATTGGCGCATTCGTCATCGGTAGCGATGTGCGTACATCTGCCCTTTGCGAGAAGTCGCTTCCTATTCAACTGCTGACACATGTCCGCGCGCCTACGTTCCCCAGGTCCTCTCCATCAGTAAGTTGCTTTATTCATCAGTGCACACTTAATTCTGACCCTGTCTTAGTCTTCGTCATTATCGAATACCTCGCGTACACATGGTATACACTGTCGTACATACCCTACGCGCGGTCGGCGGTCCTCAAGGTGTTTGGAATGTCATGAGTGTACACCAGGTACATTCTATGCAACGGCACTCTGTACCGGTGACGGCTGACTTCTTGGATTGTGTATGCTATGATGTGCAGCTATGACATATCGGGTCTCGGAGTGGACGCTTTGCATTTTGTCGCATATATTTTATTCGCTATCCGCTTGTCGTGCCTCGAGGTGAACACTGTCTGGTATCAGAGCTGTGTCGTGAAAGATTATACTGATTGAAGGGACGCAGATGAGTGTTGGATTCCTCAGTAACTGCGACACTGTTGCTGTCACGAAGCGATTACAAGTGCCTCTGCAGTGTTCAGGATATCCGCCAAGACGCAGCAACATCGCATGACAGGAAGTCATGCGGTGTTTTCGCGCACTGCTGTACATGGAATTGGTGCAGATACATATTAACAACTATCGGTACATCCACTGTCCCTTGATTCCTCTTCACACCAGCGCACTCTTCGACAGGACCACCGCACTTCAGTGGCTGACATGAATACAACTCATCCGCGGAAGCTATTCTTCATATCGCGCAGCGCGCCCATGATAGCGCTTTCCGTCTGCTCAAAGGTGGCCTTCCTACAATAATCGTGAGCAGTCACAAGGTCGTATCATGACTAACACATACTTAATGGGCTCGGTCGTTAAGCGCATGAAGGGATTCCACTCCTTCTCGTCTCCCAACGTCGTACGACCCGTCGTAACTTCGTTTTCGCTGACAATCTTCTCCAGCCTCTTGAGAGCTGGGTTCTCGGGATCCACAGACTTCGCGAAGGCGAGACTGCCCTTCGTGTACTCGTGTCCATTGTAGACGATCGTCTGCGGAGGCAGTTTCTCGAGGGACGAGAGGGCGGCATGCATGTCGGTGCCGTTGCCCTCGAAGAAACGGCCGCATCCTGCGATGAAGAGCGTGTCGCCAGTGAACACAGCGCCGGGATGCGAGGAAGACGAGGAGGTCGCATAGTAGCAGATGGAGTCGCGGGTGTGGCACGGAGTTGCAAGGCACCTAGCGCAACGAATGGACAACTACTGCGTTGCGAAGTACAGATTCACCCACTTTACGCGAATCGTGTCCCCAACAGTGAACTCTTCCTTGTCTTGTGCGATCTTGTTGACGGCCTTCACTTGCTGGCTTCCACCATAGATCGGCACGCCGGGGTAGGCAGAGGCCTGATGCGAGACGCTTAGTACCTGCGTAGCGCGCAGCTTACGCTAGCCCGAATGCACGTACAAAATCCTGGAATTTGCGTTCTAAACCTCGGCATAGACATAGAACGGCTTCGAGCGCGCACCTTATTTCCTCCAGCGTGGTCCATATGGTGGTGGGTCGTCAAATTTGCGACGATCTCTACACCGGCCTCCTGTGCCACCGCTTGCACCTTCGGTACGTCATACGGGTCGATCACTGCAGCCTTGCGAGAGGCCTCGTCGATGAGGAGGTAGGCATAGTTGTCCGCGCTGACTAGGACTGGTAGAACCTGCATTCTGATGGCAGTAGAGGATGCAAAGGAGCGAGCGAGAGGAGTGAGCCTTGGGATTGCGGGGCGTACCAAGTGAGAGAGTAGCATGAGAAAGCCCCGAGCCCAGAGACGCCCAAGCATGACACCAACACCTCGGTCATCAGTGGCTGATATCTCCTTGTGCCATGCGGTACAATGCACAACTACATTTGGGAGCGGGCTCTACCAACAACTTTGACGACGCTGGGAATGCTGACTGCCGGCCCATGTCGTTTGCATTGCATCAATCATGCATACCGATGATAGAACGGTCGCTTCTCTCTCGGCGGCAAGATGTAGAGCCGATTATGGTGACCACTTGTTTTCTGACAAGATCATGGTGATGAGCGACCGTGGGCTGTTCGCAAGAGACACCGCCTCTTTGTTGGTGTACTCCACTCACAGATGGGCAGCCTTCCTCTGCTTCATCTGCTGCACTTGCCCTTGCGTCGTCCTTGGCAGCCGAATTGCCCTATTTGCAGTGCCTCTCATTTACGGCCATGCCCACTAATCCCGGTTTGACCCAATTTATGCCTCCGCGCAGGGTATGTCCGTGTTGTGACTGGCTTGACTCGTTGGGATATATACTAAGTCTGCATCTCTGGTTGAAGCATTTTCCGCCACATTCGCCCGAGACAACTAACTCTTGTTCCTTGGAAAGTGAAGATGGATGTGGAACAACAACGCCTATACCGCCTGAGTCTACGTTGCCCAGCGAAACGACAGACATAACAAGCTCACCGTCTCTGTCGGACTCGTTGACATTCACTCCGAATTCATCTTTCCCCTCAATACCGGCCTCCACGTCTCTTTACCAGGTCCAGTCCACGTCCACGTCATACTCCGTTACCTCAACGTCCTCGATAGTTTCTCAAACAGCATCGTCGTCCATCGCTCGTTCGCGCACGAACACCAGTGCGATCGCCGGCGGCGTTATCGGCGGGCTTCTCGCAGTACTCCTCCTACTCGGCCTGATCTTCCTCTGGTTCCGTCGCAGACGCAGAAATCGTGTCGCACCCTCCTCAGAGTTCCTGGCTGCTCGCGCCACTCCAGGCCTCCCAGATACGCCACATGCACAAATCCCGCTTGCGCGGCATGCGTCCATCGAGGACGAGCAGCCTCCGCCTCCATTTACCAGGGGTTCATACAGAGACCCGGTGTACGAAAAAGTGCGTGCCGCGCGGGTGCAGAGGCAGCAGTATGGGTTGTATGATCAGGATGGTATGGGCCCAGCTACGAGCTGGGAGAGGGACCAGAAGAGCGAGAAAAGTTTTTTGATCGAATAGTGGGAGCAATTAAATCTCAGTCTTAACAGAGGTCCATTTACATTACAGGAGTCTCGCTTCCTCGTTCACGGCCGTTCTCCGCGTCGATACGTTATGACGGACACTATCGGTACGCCCACTCCAAATAACGAGCGCTTCAGGTTACAATCCCCCTTTCCATGGTGCGCTACGGACTACTGCTAGACATAAGGTAGCAATATAGCAATACCGTTATTGTATAATACCGTTGTGGTTGATGGATTACCAGTTCGTGTCGTTTGTGTTAGTCTCGTCACAGGGAAACCCGTGGTACTCGTCGCCAAAAGGGAATACTCGTCAATCAAGGAAGGTAGACATGCATACAATGACGGTATGCGTGATCTATGTAGTTACACAGGTCAGACCGCAACAGCTAATATATCATAGAAATGGTTTAAGCGTAAGATGCGGCGGCAACCTCGTAGCGACCAGAGACGGGTGATGCTAGTCGCTGAGAATGGCTTGCACTACGTTCGCGACCCTCAGCTGCCGCAGGTCTGTATATGTCTACAGAATGAGTTCGACCATCTATCAAAAATCCTTCTATGCCCACGATACAGCACAACGTACCTGTCCGCAACCGACGAAGATGATGGGCTGCCCGGTGACGTACGTCATTGATAGCGCAGCTCCAACCTAACCATCAGCACTCCCATCAGCAACTTGCCATGACCACAGCGAATGGAGACCACGGAAGCAGGCACGACGCACCTTATCATCTACGGTGTCCCACTTCGTGACAAGCATCCCATCGATACCGCGTTCCTTACCACCAGATGAGGCAGAGAAATCACGCAAGGCACGATCGAACTTGGTCAGCTGGTCCACGGCCTCATTCCCCACAAGCGCCTCGCCGACGAAGATGATCTTGTCGGGATTGTTCACCGCCACAAGCTGCGAAAGCCCAAGCCCAATGAACCATGAAGCGTCAGGATGACGTGAGCTGTACACGAACCTTGGCAAGCGCGCGCATAAGGGGCTATGCGAGCCGGAAAATGAGATCTACGCATGTGCATGCTAGGTGCAGGACCATACCTCGTTGTCCTGCATTCGCCCTGCCGTGTCTATGAGAACGACGTCGAAGTCATTATCTCTGGCTGAAGGGAGCCAAAAAGTGAGATACGATATGTATGGGGAGACCACAGCGCCCGTCAACGTACCATACGCAATGGCTTCCCTCGCAATACCAGCAGCATCCTTGCCATACCCCCTCTCGTAGAGCTCCACACGAGCTTTGCTGTTAGTCGCTCCGCTCATCCCGAGCATGCTGAGGTTGCGTACATGGACACGGAGCTGCTCAACAGCACCGCTCCTGTAGTGCACGATTAGTGAAATAGCTGCACAGGTGAGCATTACGCCAGAGTCGTACCGGAATGTATCGCAAGCCGCGATCAAAACGCGCATGCCATTCTGGATCAACCAGAAACAGACCTTCGAGAGATTCGTGCTCTTGCCGACGCCATTGACGCCGACGAATGTGATGCTGTAAGGCATCCGCTGCTGCGAAGAAGGTAACGGCGATGACAGCTTCGTTCGGATAGAGAGCAGCAGGTCAGTCGACGTCTTCGGTGTCAGGATCCGCGTCAGTGAGTTTGATAGAGCCAAGCGAACTGCGGCATTGGTGGCTGCATGAAGAAGGTTCAGGACTCGTTTCGAAATGCTAGAGACCATGCCGCATATGCTGACTTTGGAAACCGCCGACTTTCTTGCCCACAAGGCTTTCCCCAACGCCCTCGCAGACCTTATCCGCGATGTCTTTCGCGACGTTCTTCTTCATGAGGTGCTGCTTCATGCCCTCAAGCACCGGCTTCAGGTCATCCTCCGCGAGCACCTTGGATCCGGTCAGACGAGCAAATAACGAGCCAAGAGCCCCAAGAGACCCAGCGCCTGAGGCAGCCTTCGAGCCCTGTGAACTGCTGTTCCTGATGACCTTAGATATGACATCGTCGGTGTTGTCCTCTCCGTGAGAGAATTCCCAATCTTTCACTTCGTACAGCCCATCCTGAGTACGCGTCCCCATGGAGCCATTGTCTACGAGAGCGGAGAGGTCTAGAGGCCCCTCCTGGCCATTCTTTTCGTAGCTGAAGTCGAGAGATGCCATGTCAGATTCAGACGGTGCCCCATCCCCCCATTTGCGCTGTACTTTCGTCTTATGCTTGCGCTTCGGGGTGTCAGATCTAATTAGTATACGTCAGTTGGGAAAAGAGAAGAGACACATCGATCACCGTACTCTGAGCCAGGGTGGCTCTCATGACCGCTGCCAGCATCTGAGCGCCCCCCACCACGTCTCCCTACCCGCCCTCCACGTCCGCGCAGGCGGTTTTTCAGTGCTTGTACGTTCCGCGCAATCTGTTCTTCGTCGATCGTTGTTGATCCAGACTGGGAGGGGACTGGATTGGATATCAGCGGATACGACGGGTTGTCACAGAGATGATCACTAACCGGTGCTGAGATCGTCTGACGGAGGGCTGGGTTCAATGACCGGCCGGGGTACCTTGCCTACGCGACCTTTTCGGTCCTTGGTCGTGTGAAGAGGGAACATAACGCTGCTAAGGATCTCTATCGCTTACCTGAGCTGCTTTGTCTTCTAAACCCCTCAAGAGCTTGTCGAAGATTCCATCCCAGTTCTCAAACGCTTTCGCAAAGTCCCATGAAGCATCTATCCGACCCGGATCAGAGCTCGAAAGCTTGCTACTGCTGATAGCATGCAAGGAAGCGACGAAGGTGGCTAGAAACGGTTCAAACAGCTTCACAAAAAGGGTCTTGAGTGCCGCGAGTAATTCGTCGACATAGGTTAACTGCAGAATGCGTTGGTATGCCACCTGTTTCTGTGTGTTAGAATTTGGGAGACAGGGAGATTCGTTGATAACACACCACAAAGATCAGTTCGAGGTCGTTGACAAAAGTCCATTTGACAGCATAGCCATCCTTCTCATACTTGTCCTCAGCTGTCCTGCCCTCAATCAGAGCCTCTCGGATTAGAGGATTGACGGGGGAAGTCGTCGCTGTTGTTGAGTGCGGTGCGGCAGGCATGAAAGAGCGCGACCAGAGTATGATCCCACCTGTGGGGAAGCTGTAGCGATCGCGGGGTTGACATCCCGGGGAAAAGGCGTACCCTTGTGGGATATCGAGCAATAGTCTAGCATCTTGCAGCAATACACGTAGGTATTCTGTTGAGTTGTATGTGCGGCGTACGCTGTAGAGAAGAAAAAGAAGAGAGAGCAAGATACATTAGGCGTGGCGCGATGAGCTGAGGGATGATTGTATCGCGTGGCACCGAAATCACATGTACTCTCAGACTCGAGAAGTGCCGCCAGATCTGCATACCCTAAATTTCAAACTTGAGTAGCCACTGTGAAAAACTATATATATCAATTATTTAACCTATATATCAAGCAAGGATTGTACAAGCGACACACAGAACATGGCACTGCCATAAACATGCTTGTGATTTCAGGAGCAGAAGGGTATATGACAGAATACTGCCATAGTATCTGGACAGCAACAATGAAAGGAAATGAAGGAATGAAATCTCAGAGACTGAGGTTGAATTGAGATGAGCTTTGACAGAGGACATCCAGCAGATGAAAAGATGGCAAAACAGATACTATGCATGATGCCACAGGGCATGGTGAAGACAAACATCATGAAGTAGATCCGACAGCGACGAATTGAAGAACACGAAGGAATATAAATTGAACAACTCACAAAGAACAGAGAACGATAAGCCACCCTGAGCAAATACTGCCAAACAGTGGAAAGCGCCCGGCGGTCATTTCGAGGCTGAGAGCCTTGCTCTGGCGAGCAAGGGACGATGTATACAAGCAGAAAAAGAGGAATTCGCCAGTTCAAAATCATTCCAATTTTACGTGTACACGCTACAACTTGAGATTTCAACTATATGCTGTGACAAGAAAGTACAGAACCCGATCCCTACATTGAACGTGTGAGACGTGAGTAAATCGTAGCAAGGCTAGCTTGCGAGACATCAGCATGGGCGGCGTGCATACAAGTAGCATCACCGGCAGTAAGTCAAAGCGGGGCACATGTTCCTAGCTTACTTTCACGGCGAGTATCGTAGCGAGAATCAACGAGCCTGGTGACACGCGTAGCAGTCATTGAAAATTAGACAGAAAGGGGCATGGGCTTGCGGTTAAGAATTTCTTGAATTTCATTGATGCCTCGCGGGGCCTCAGCGGGAGTGCCAGGGAGGATGGAAAGACGCTGCTTCGCAGAGTTCAGTGTCTGCAGGACATTCGGTAGAATCCGCGCGATGTATGGAGCAATTAACGGATCCTGTATGATTGCTCCGATCAGCATGCGTACGTGCACTTCATGCAAACAATACGTACGGTCGAGTTCAGTGCAGTAGCAGCCCTCTGCAGCCACCACATGGAGATTTTGAAGGATTCATCAAGAGGAGAAGTCTCGCCCACTAGAGCAGACAGCTAGACGCGCAGAGGTGTTGCTTAATACACAACCTCAACAGATAATTGAAGGACACATACCCGATGCACGAGCGTCAGCACGACCGCTTGAGACAGCGGGCCAGGACCGTTCAACGGCAGAACGACATCGGGATTGGAACGAGCGAGCAGCTCACGGAGCTGTCGGAAGTCCTGCGTCCCGAGCACAGCAACATAAGTATCGTCCCACTCTTCCGTCTGCGCTGGACTCGATCGCATCATCTGCTGAGGTGGCAACGGCGGAGGAGCCGCCGGATGGGATGCCTGCGGGGCAGCAATGTTGGGAGCAAACCACGGCTGCATCGATGGCTGTTGCTGAGGCTGTTGTTGTTGCTGCTGCTGCTGCTGGAACGAGCCATGAGGCTGTCCGCTATACGGAGGTGCCTGAGATACTTGTGGCAATACTTGCTGTCGTAGAAGCTGAGACAAGTTCTGAGCGTGTTGACTACTCGAAGATGCTCCCGGCGAGTTGCGGTTTGGCGCGGAATGGGCCAACGCAGACGGGTTGAGCGTAAGATACTTGACTTGATCAGACAGATGTCTGACAGCTTGCTCAAGGTCACGTATTACAGCCTGCACCGTCCTATCAGGAAGAATCACACGTGTGTGTCTCGAACAAAATACCTCTTGCCCGCGCAGAGCTTCTGTCTGCCATGAAATAACCTCCTTCTTCAAGTTCAATATCTCAGAATGTATCTCCCGAGAAAGCTCTTGATGCATCGTGGATGACTGCTGGGTGTACGCTGGAATGAGGGTTTTCACGATAGCGTCCTTTACTTGTCGTTCAATGACAGGCGTGACAGCACTTGATACATTGCGAGCGATCTGCGAAGCGATATCGGGACGAACGAGCAACCTTTCGATCTCATTGGGGAGATTCTACAATTATACAGTATTGATAAGTCATGCAGGAGCGATCGCCTCACGGGCCTCGTACCTGCTTCATTGAGTCGGATACTCCCTTGGCAATTTGGTTGTTGAGTGCAGCCTTCACCTCAATCTTCGTGATATTCTCCAAAGACGGAAGCACGGAGCTTTGTACCTCGGACTTGACAGCCATCTCAACAACACGAGTAGTGTTCTTAGTCAACTCGTTCGAGATGAGCTTCAGGATCTTCTCCTGCCGAACGAAGTCAGCAGCCTGCTCGTTAGCACGAGCTTCCTCAAGACGTTGATCTAGAAAATCACGCATATCAAACCGGTGGCTTCGAGTCTCAATGATAGGTGGACTTACGCTGCTTGTCTAGCTCCTTGCCAATGAGACGTCCAATACGCGTGTGTAGGTTCTCCTCCACCTTCCTGATCTCCTTCGTTAAAGCAACACCCATGGGTGTTTCGTTGAGAGCAGCTGTATCACTACCCCGGGACTTGCCGTCCTTCTCTCTACCACTATCTTCGCGATCCTTATCTTTCCACCCGACATTCTTGCCCTTAGCATTCTTGCCCCTAGGCTCTTGACCACGCCCGCTCCCATCGCGACTAGAATCCACCTCAACCTCTTCGGAAGGAGGTGTCTTCATCCTTGGCGGCTGGATCTGCGCCATTGGCGCCGGAGGAGGGAGCTGACTGAGAGGAGCACCTGTCATTACTGGGGCCAACTGCTGCCTTTGGACCTTGGACTCCATGGCGGGCGCTGGCTGAGGTGTGTAGGATGGGAAACGAGACGGCGCCGAGGCCAGAGCAGAGGTGAACCACTCCAACCGGATGAGAATCTGATCGACACCGGTGGAGTGCACCGAGAATGCTACCAGAGCCAAGTCGCCTGGAGGGACCTTCGCGGCGACACATGCAGCGCGGGCTTCCTCCCCCGTAGGATCTGCATCTGCGGTCAGGATAACGAAGTGGATGCCTGGCCTTGGGCCCCCGAACTCGAGAACCTGTTCGAAGAATGCGCCACGCACAGCGTCCTCGCCATCATGGGTTGGACCGTCGAAATTGATCCTGAGGGCGATCATGCTGTCCCTGCGGTTGTTGGCCACCCATAGCGTTTGGATTCTGGAATCGTAACTGACATGGCCGAACATCTCGGGATCTTCCTGCAGTCCATTTACGAACTTGATCGTAGATAGGACGTGCCTACCCATGACAGAGAGCAACTCGAACATGGTGCCATTCTTGCGGCCAATAACCACACCGCCATCGACAAACGTCAGAGAAGAGGGTGTCTCCTCGCCCTTGATCCGATGAGACCAGAACGGGAGCTTGTCGTGGATATTCCACATGGTCACTGTGGAATCTTCTGAGATAGTGGCTAATGCCGAGCGTGGTACGTAAAAGTCGATCGCGGCAATAGGCTGTAAAATATGGGCTATTAGACTGGAGCGCCTTGACGGCGGCAGATACTTACAGAGGGAACAGAGAAGACTTGGCCCAAGCGATGCAACTCAGACTGTGGGATAGGCTCTCCATTGAAAACATGAGCGGCCTCTTCGATATTGATGAGATATACGCTGGATTCCGACGCTACCGCAACCAGCTCTGGCCTCTGGGGATGCCATTTGACGGCATGCAGAGGATCAATATCCATTAAAGGCTCCACGCAGAGCATAAGCCTTCCTCTAAATTGCAGCGCGTCAGTATATCGTAACGCACAGCTGAATGAACTTAGTTTACGTACGGGACATCATCAGTGATGATCTCAGGTAGCTCCCAAACCACGAATCCGCCATCAGATGTAACACCTGCAAGTCGGTTACCATGAACCGACATGTCGCTGACCGATGTTGATGGAGGAAATAGAGGCGGCAACTGCAGGAGCGTGCGGTCACCGCTCGAGCGCGAGATTACTCGAACACGACCCTTCGTCATCGCATATGCTACCCAGTGGGTCGCTCCAATGGTAGATCCAGGCAAGAAAGTAGAATCAACTTTGACTAACGCGATGGCAGTGGTCTTAACAGCATCGTGGGGTGCCTGTATCTCATCCAGTGGCTGCGAAACATCGAAAATGACACTTTGAGACTGCAGACTGAATAGATGTGTTGAGGAAATGAGATCTCAGAGAATGAGTGGTACACTTACGTAGGACTGTCGACCTTGTCCTTCGGGCCGGCTCTGCCTCTGTTTTCCGGACCAAGAGTCCGGAATGCAGGTACAGACATGGAAGGCGATTCCTTGTCCCTGCCCGTGAGAGCGCCGTACACAGCAACCCCGACCGGAGACTCGCCCGATCGACGCGCCTGGCGCGGCTGAACTTGAGGTTTGGGCGGTGATGTGCGGGGAGGAGACGGAACATGTCCCGGTTGAGGAGGGAGAGGACGCGATGCCCGTGCTTGCATAGGCTCTGCCTGCGAATTGAAGTCTTCGCTGGTCGCGTAAGGATCAAAAGAAGCAGACGTCTGTTGAACACTATTGGAAGGGGGAGCCTGTCCCCTAGTAAGCTGGTCCATTAAATTTTCCACAGATCTGCGCTTGGGATCCATAGAAATTGATTGCCAGTTAGGCTCCTCCGCATTATTGACCGGCGCATTCGTAAATTGTTGGGAGGGCGGAGGCTTTCGTTTAGGAGCTGTGGACGATGTGTTGGCGAGCGCATCGAATGGAGATATGAAGTCGAACATGGATCTGTTAGGAGGTGAAGGCGGCCGTTGCTGAGGAGGACCTAGTGCGTTGGGCGCGTCTCGCTGTGTGTCTTGAGGAACATATGCGCCTTCGGGTGCCGAATGGTCAACGTTGTCATGGTGCGAGAAGGATTCGGAGGCAGAAGTGGAATGCGCATATGATGGTGACGGGCCCGGAGGAACAGGAACATCGGGAGGATAGATAGGTTCGGGGTAGTTGTATTTTGGCGCACTACTGCTCTCGTTACAAACACGAAAGCGAAGAAATGACATGAGTCAGAAGAGAAGGCGACATTCATAAATTGATAAGGGGGCGCAATGGATCCGCTCAGTGACACTCAATCGGAGCTGCCTATCGAGTCGGGCACGCTCGAGAACAAACGAAGTGCGCTCGCCACAGGCAGAATAAAGACTTACCCAGTCATGAGCTGCTCCAGCAACAATTTCCCTTGCGTCTCATTACTGGAGGCTGCGCCTCGTTGAGCAGATCCTGGCGGTGTAGGAACTTGCTGAGGCGGAGCCTGTCCGCCTCCAGAAGCAGCCTGTGCACCAGAAGGAGGTCCCGATACAGCACCGAGTAGAGACAGCAAAGCGTTCTGCCTCTCTGTGACCGGATTGTTTGGGCCCGACATTGATGAAGCGACTGAACCAGCATTCATAGAAGCTGGAGTAGCATGGCCTGAGTTGTTTGGATCGTGATGGCCTGAATAGACGTTCGACCCAGTATTGCTCATTTGCGGACTTGCACGCGAAGTGGGCTGCGCACTTAGGCCTTGGAACAAACTATCGAGGTGACTTGCACCTTGCATCGGAGCGAGATCACGAAATGAAGGGGCGGGCGACGTGTGCGCATCGCTGAGCTGCGATGGCGGCATTTGGAACGGCTGGGCCTGTGGCGGGGGTGAAGGGCCTCGTGAAAACAGAGTATCTCTACCGGTGATAGGATCCATGACAATGGACGCGTTGCAGAGATCAACAGGGACCACAGGCAGGCGAGGAGGAGGGAGATGGCAGGACCCTTGCGATGTTCACAGTGTCTTACACACTCGCACTCAACGCCTCATTGCTAACACGAGGCTACTCGGCAATCACCGCTTATTATGTACAGCTAGCGTCGACGCCGGCGAGGCTCGCCTTGCGTCTGCCTCGACGGTCTCGTTAAAAGTTTTCAGCAGCAGGAAGCACCTCGTAGCTACAAAGCACGCCGATAAGGTAGATGCTGTCGGTGGGCGTGATACGGAAGCTGTCCGTTGGACGCCGCCTATGTATAATGCCAGCTGACGATGCTTCAGCGCCCTCCCGCCGGCGGCGTTTGGAGGAGCTGACGCTGTGCGAGTGAGCGAGTCTCAGTGAGTAAATTTAACTTGCGAGGGGGTGAGATTAACTGTCACGAAGGACATTATCTGTGCAGGCCGCGACGTCGGACCATGCTTGCTATCGCACCGCACATCGAGAGTTACTAGATCCTGCCTGCTACTGCATTGCAGAAGCCCAGAGTGGTGCGAACGCGTTTCCAGCAGCGGTTCAAATGATGTAGCACTTCGGATGGAGCATGCCTCGAGCTGCAAATCATGAACAGAAGACAGTGCACACAATCGCATAATGAAAGCAACGGATGCCGACAAAGGCACGTCCAGAATGTATGGTCGTGGTCTAGCAGATATGAGGCAGAAGTAGCGCGGTATGTCGGGGGACAAGGAAACGAAACCTGCAACTCCGGAGGGGGGGTGCCTCGAGCGTCGCGTTCACGGTAAAAATGGCCGGCCATCGTTGCTCGCTAAGTCAGCGTGGTTATCACGCGCTGAGCTCACGGCCATGCTTCGTAGCCTTCATACCGTAACAAGAAGAACAATCCGACGACACGGGTCATCATGCATCGAAGGCGGGATGCACCATGAGGCGAGGCGGCATCATGAGGCATTTCGGCGATGTATTGGACGACTACGTCAGGACGTCAGGAGGCGCTGGTGGGCGGGCACAATTGGCGGCCTGGATATATAGTATAGATAAGATAAGACTGATACTGATTTCACCAACTGTGTTACCTTGCGACAGCAAGGTTTCTCCCAGGGCACAAATGTAACGCGGATTTTGGTGCATTGTTTTGCTGTGTTTGTATCTTGCCTTTTTCGTTCGCTCACGTCATCCTTCGCACTTTGAGGCTGTCTGTCGCAAGGTCTGCTGCCGGCGACAGCCGGCGCTTCTCGAGTTGAGAAGTTGATTGTGGTTTGTTAGACTGAGGGTACAGGGAGCTACTCCATGACTTCGATGTGCCATATACGAGGTATCAGCGTCTTCATCTGGTCCACCTGACGCAGACTTCGTCAGCGCTGCTTACAGAGATCAGTCAAACAGTGGCTTCGTTCACCATGAGCGGTGTCACCGGAATGTTTCGCAGACAGTAATGCAAATGGGGTGCAGCGGGTTTAGCTCACTGCGACGGCTTGATACGCGGCTGCACACACCCTTGGCGATACCGATTGTATTGCAGACCAACCATGCCTAACTAGATGCAGGCAAAATCGCTCCCTCCTTTGACAATCCCAACTGTAGCATTCGTCGCCGCCCGCAATAACCCCTCTTCTTCCGGGAGCGGCATTTATGCTGCAGTCGGAATCCAGGTCCGCAGACCTCGGCGCCGTTCTATTTCCGAATTGCTTGAGCCATTTTTGCTGAGCGGACATCCAGTCAAATCGAGGACAATGTCATGGCCACAGCTCTTCGCCCTGGTGCCACCACAGACATGCGTTCCGTGGAAGGTTCTGTTGGCGACTTACATAAGTCGCACCAGATCTCTAGATCAGGAGGCACGTGCCTCATGATCGAGGCCTATATAAAGGACGGACAAGCACGTCGAGGCCTCCAGTTCCAAACAACACATCACTCGTATCTCAACAACTTCCTGTCTACGAAATGTACACTGTGAGTTGCTGCGCGTCTCAGTTGCCCCTTTGTTGTGATCACTCATCGACTTGTCTCCTTCTGTAGTCCTTCGAAGTCCCCAAGAACGCTGCTAACTGCGGCCAGAGCAACTGCTCCTGCGGCGACAGGTACACTTTTGTTTCGAATGGAGTCGAAGATGCAACTAATACCATTTGCAGCTGCCAGTGCAAGCCGGGCGAATGCAAGTGCTGAGCGCATCGGTCATGTCAGCCTCGCGCATCTCCCGTCGGTTCGCAGTTGGCCAGCGTTGTGACCGAGAAATGAAGGAGGATTGAGGATTGGACTGTATGAAGTTCGCCTATATGTATTTGCGACGAGTCAAACAGAGCTTCTGCTCCTATGCTCAGTGGTACCAAAGTTGCACAAGTCAAATCATCAGGAAGGATCAACATGAAAGCGTAGATTATCAATATCGACTGTAGGCTGCAAGCAAGCGACCCGAATCCGATGAGAACCGAGAACAGCCGGATGGGGCCGATGGCTATACATTGAGATTTTTCACCTCTTCAGCTGCAATGCATATATTACACATATGCCATGACAGTGGACGATATCACACTTACACAGTTCCTCGTACCTGTGCCATCTGTCCGGATCGACACTGATTAAATTTCGTAAAAGCTGCAAACATGAGATTTTAATATCGTGACACTCCGGTTCGCTCATGCGTTTTGCGCGATTGCGAAGCTGAAGTCGTTTGTAGAATACGAGCGATTCCATGCACCCTGGAAGCACGAGAAGCACATCAGCGGCTGCTTGGCTGACAGGTAATGAAGCATACATTTGCTATCGGGTTGTTCGTCGAGAAGCTCTTGTATGCCAGCGATTTCTCGACGTAGAAGCTCATGATCGTCTCCTGTATGAGTGTCAGGATGAGCATTGCATCTTTGCGAGCACATATCTCTCACCAGAGCCAATCAACCACCTATGGTAAATCCATACACTTTGATCTCCTGGGTCCGTATACATCGCATTCTTCACCAGCTCGAATTCTAAACGGAGGTCATAAGTTTCTCTCCCGCGAGCATGAGAATTGCAACACACCTTCCTCCCTCGACTTCTTAAGATCGAGCTTTCCCGCACCCCACAGTGCGCTAAGCACCTTGGAACGCTGGTGCCACGCACTGAAGTTTGAGAAATTCGCTTCAATCTTACGCGTGGTGTACGCCAACTCTAGCTGCTCGGGTCGTTTGACAGGCATACTAGCCAGTACATATCGGCGATAGTTCCAGGCATGAACTATAAGGATAGCAATCAGTCAGCAGGGGTAAATGTAGCGATGACTTCGCTCACAGTTTCGCGCATCGGCATCGAGCATCTTCTCGACAACATATAGCTCCTTGTTCCAGTTCGCTTTCCTCCAGCCGTCAACATCCTCGCCAGAAGGACCATCAGGGACGTGCTCGAGACACCATCGGCGGTGATTCCAAATCCAGTACACCTTGGGATGTAGTTTGAGATGTTGAGTAGTTAAAGATAGGTCGTTGGACAGAATCTCATTGATTTCTGATGGGGAGCTACATAGCGGGTCGATATAAGCCGCTGCTGAATGGCGGGGACGTAGCGACAGTCACCTCTTAGGAAACAGACCATTCAGTAGAATGTTCCGTCGGTAATTCCAGACGGTATAGAATTCGGAGTTCATGTGGAGCACCCGTGTTGTGAGGTCAAAGGCATCTTTGCTCCAGTCCTTGTTCTTCTTCTACGGACATGATAGAGCTCAAGCACTTCTTGCCCGAGAGGGAGTGAGAAGCATACCTTGGCAAGAACATCCTCAGTCAGTGCCAGATACTCTTTAAGTTTGGCTTGGTCTCTCTGCCTCTTAGCCTGTAGAGCTTCTTGAGTATATCGCACACGTCGGACACCATGCTAACTCGTCTTTGAGCTCAAGCACTGTCGGCTGAGTATGATGGGCTACAAACCATGTTTACCAGAGGTGATCGAAATGTGGGGGGGGATTAAATGCCGTGGGAACCTCGATCTTGCAATGCGGCGCGTGTTGTGGCCCGCATCAGACTTACACTTACATCCTCGTTGAGGAACGTCTGCTTTCATTCTTTCCCTCAAGGCTGCTCGCTCACACTTCAGGATGCCATCTATTGTGACGAACACCCCGTCTCTAGATTCACTGAACGGCATCTTTCCTCTAACATTTCCTGTCCCGACGCCGACGACTCACCCTGATCTAGTGTCTACCAAGGACATCGTACGCGAAGAAGACCTCCTTCACAATCCGTTCTCTTTCCGTCATTGGTGGACAGCAATCCAGACTACAAAAGAGGCATATGCTGCGCTTCAGAAAGCCGAGCGTCCACCAGACCTTGCTCCTGAAGTCGCTGCTCTTCTCGGCCCTCTCGCGTCACCTGTTGCTCGGAAGTCGCTGCAGCACCTGACATACCTATATGAGGCGGCTCTCGCGCAGTTTCCGGCATCCTTTAAGCTATGGAAGTCATACCTTCAGACGCGTATGTCCTTCGTTCTAGGAAAGCTGCGTATAAAGAAAAGAGCCGGTGGCAGGAAAAAGTTCCCTGAAATGCGAGATGCTCTGGAGGATGAGAAGGAGGACATGGAGCAGTGGGAGGGTGGATTAGATGGAATAGTCGGTTGGGAAGAGTGGAAGGCTCTCGTCGCGACTTTCGAACGCGCCCTGATGTGGTTACCCAAAGTACGTAGCATCAGTCTGACTGACCCATGTATCGTCTGATGTTTTCGTAACAGATGCCGCGTATGTGGCTATTGTACTTGTCTATATTCAACCACCCGTTCTGCCCTCCGTTAATCTCCTGCACGCATGCCAGGCGCACATACGACCGCGCTCTCCGCACCCTACCACCATCCCTTCATTCACGCATATGGGCCCGTTACTTGCTCTGGGCTGAGAGCAAAGGCGGTGCCACGACAGTTGCTGTTTACCGTCGCTACCTAGCTGTCGACCCCAACGTAACCGAACGCTACACTGCCATTCTATTGTCAGAGAACAATCCTGATCCACGGCCATTGGAAGCGGCGAAACTGCTTCTATCTCTCGCGCGCAAGGCAGCGAAAGGAGAGTACACGAGTCCTGAGGGCAAGAGTCCCTACGAACTGTTGGGAGACTTCCTTGATGTGGTAGAACAGCATGCCGAGGAAGTGGGCATGAATGTGGATGACACTCTTCAGTCCCATGAAGCTCATGCACGCTCAGAAGAGGAGAAAGCTTCGTCTACGGAGCAATTGGAACATCTTTCCATCAGTGGACAGCTAATCCGCTTCGCGGGTCCTCCTGTTGCGGTAGGTGCCGATGGTAAGACGCCGTTGCCGCCTTACGACGAGGATGTGGACCCTATAAGCCCGCGCAAACTGAATATCGAACATATCATTCGAAAAGATGGTTTGGAGGTGTACAAGGACCAAGCTGGCCGGCTGTGGACAGGACTTGCGACGTACTGGATCAAGAGGGGCGAATTTGATCGTGCTAAGATGACTTTCGAGAACGGCATTGCATCAGTCCTCACTATTCGCGATTTCACGCAAATATTTGACGCGTATGCTGAGTTCTCGGAGAGTTTGATCAGTGCGATGATGGAAAGCCTGGCCAACCCGGATGAAGATGAGGACGAAGAGGATGCGAAAGAGACTGAGGTGGAGCTGGACGCCAAGATGAAGGAGTTCGAGGAACTGATGGACCGCCGGCCGTTCCTGGTGAATGATGTTCTGTTGCGGCGTAACCCCAATGACGTTCAGGAATGGGAGAAGAGGGTGGCATTGTGGGGCAATAACGATGAGAAGGTTAGTAAGCCATTCACCGAATTTTGATCAATTCACTAAGTCATCTTTCCAGGTGGCCGAGACATATGGTCAGGCACTATCAACGGTCAATCCTCGCAGAGCCACCGCCAACTTCCATCGCCTGTTCATCAACTTTGCCAAATTCTACGAGGAGGGTGGTACGACGGGAGAGGCTGAGCACGACCTGGACAGTGCTCGCCAGGTGCTAGAGAAGGCGACCAAGGTCAATTTCAAGGCTGTTGACGAATTGGCAGAGGTGTGGTGCGAATGGGCAGAGATGGAAATTCGGCATGAGTGAGTACGGCTTTCTAGCCGCAATATATTGTCTGACGGGCACCGTAGAAACTACGACGAAGCCATCCGAGTCATGCAACGTGCAGCTGCCATACCCAGGAATACCAAGATCAACTATTTTGACCACGTCAGTAAAGTCCGCTTCGTAAATGTTCCACTCTGACGGGTTCCTTGTTGCAGTCACTGCCGGTTCAAGCTCGCCTATTCAAGTCTTTGAAGTTGTGGTCATTCTACGTAGACTTGGAGGAATCACTCGGAACCGTTGAATCCACGAAGGCCGTATACGACAAGATTCTGGAGCTTCGGATTGCGAACGCTCAGATAATTGTTAACTATGCGGCGTTTTTAGAGGAGAATAAGTATTACGAGGAGAGTTTCAAGGTCAGCATGCAGAGTTCTATCTAGGCAGATATGGTCTAATGCAAGATGTACCAGGTTTATGAGCGAGGAACTGAAGTGTTCACTTTTCCAGTATCATTTGAAATCTGGAACATCTACTTGGCCAAGTTCGTCAAACGCTACGTGAGTAGACCGCTCTATCATTGCATTTTGATCCTGACCGGATTCTAGGGCGATTCGAAGGTTGAGCGTGCACGAGATCTCTTTGAACAAGCACTGGAGAAGTGCCCGCCAAAGTCCTGCAAGCCAATCTTCCTCATGTATGCTACGTATGAAGAGGAGTTTGGGTTGGCCAAGCGTGCAATGTCTGTGTACGATCGCGCTACCAGGGTCGTCGCTGACGAAGACAAGTTTGAGGTATGTCAATTTAACTTCTGTCATTCACTCCGACTCTGACACTGCGCTCGCAGCTCTTCACTATCTACATCGCCAAAGCAACAGAAAACTACGGTCTTCCCGCAACTCGTCCAATCTACGAGCGCGCTCTCGAAATACTGCCAGACAAGCAGACGGCTGAGATGTGTCTCCGGTTCGCGTCTATGGAACGGAAGCTCGGTGAAATAGACCGCGCTCGTGCAATATACGCCCATGCATCTCAGTTCTGCGATCCACGTGTCAACCCCAAATTCTGGGCCGAGTGGAACAGCTTCGAGATCGAGACTGGCTCGGAGGATACCTTCCGCGAGATGCTGAGGATCAAGCGCAGCGTGCAGGCACAGTTCAATACGGAAGCATCCTTCTTGGCTGCTCAAATGGCTGTGAAAGAGGGTGGAGGGGAGGCGATGGAGGAGGAACCGGCCGCCCCAGCAGACGCGATGGCTGCAGCAGAAAGACAAGCCGGAGGCATCAAGGGTCCGTCATTCGTATCCGCGAAACAAAATCCCGCGCGGCAGGAAGTGGCTGAGGAGGAGCAGCCAGCAGCCGACCAGGGCAATGCGGAAGAGATACATATATCGGATGATGAATTGTAGGCCTACTTTCTTATCTCGTTGTGTGAGGAATATATCAGGTCATGGGTGGACTGCGCCCTTTTCATTGTCAATGCGTCTGAATCAGAGGTGATGACCGACATGCGAATGCCGGTATCAATGCCCTTCTCATCCTGACAGTACGTGAGCATGAATACACACTATGCAACTGAACGCAACGGCACACGTCTCGTTGGACGGCTACAGCGCAGATAAATGACTCCAAACAAGTCAGCCACTCTAAATCAAGCAGCCACGATTCTAAGCATTCTGCTTACAACAGCGAAGTCACCATTCTGGCGACTCGAAACGAGAAACATTCTGAGGAGCGAACATTGCAGTCAGCACGGCGTATACAGCGTAACCTACATGACGATACACACCTCAGCAGAGGTGAAGTCGGTATAATCTGGGCGAGAATGTTGTGCTGCATTCAAAGGCACCCTCAGTGATCCGATAAGAGTCTGGACAGTCAGTTGCAAAAAGAAAGTGTCGAAATGAGCCGCATTTACGGGTTCCGAATAGAGCTTTGACTCACTAGTCGTCGATGAGCAGAATAGGCATTATTCTTTCCCTTTCATTTAAGTCCATCCCAACGGTCAATCTCAGCTTCACAGAGATCTTCCCATTCCACGTCCCAACTGTGTTCTTCGAGATACGGCTGGGCGACCCATTTCGCAATGGCCTCGCGAGACGCCTCAAAGGTCACCTCATGGCTCCTGACAATATCAACAATCTCAATGTGCATCTCGAGGGATCGGCGATACGGAGGCAGGACGCGAGGGATGGTCGAGACTGGGCAGTTTATGAGACACGATTAAAGGTGTTAGCGCGAAGATGATTACCGAAACGTTCCAGTGACCATGTCGTCCACATTGACTCCTGGACCCACTGCCATCCCTTGGTCTTGTGAGCTTCATATAGCGTGGCCTCGAGATTCTCTGCTATTGCGTTCATCCTCTGAAATTGTTTCTTCTGCAGCGTTGTGAGAATCCACGTAATTACTGGAAATAGTAGCATCTCACGAGCTTCTCGATAACCGCATTCAAGTCAGATATGCGCTGCTCCATCGTGGCGATTTTCGGCCCTACAATATGATGGTCTGGCTGGGATCCGGCTGGAAGTAAAGAGAGTTCGTTACTGGAAATCACTGAAAATGAGAAGAAATTGACATGATTTGAAACAAAACATACTCAAGATCCGTTCTAGCATCCACGAGACTCTTAGCGGCTTTTAAGCCATCTATGAGAACGATGTCATCCCATGTTTCGGCGACGGTGCGGAGCTCTTGCAATGCTGTTCGAACTTTGCGGTGGTAGGTTGATTCGGTAGGTCTAGATGGAGAGTATGGTGACTGTGATTGTTTGACACGAACGGGGGAGGAAGTGGGCGTTGAAGGCCCCTTGAATGAAGCTAGACGGCTCATTTTTGATGTTCAATTATCTTAATGCAAACTGAGTAACAACTTCAGCGTCGGCGTCTATGATCGCGGCGTACGGTACAAAGTCCAGAAATGGCAAGTCCTTCAAGCCTCCCCTGCATACTACGAGCACCTCCTCATCACCATGCAGCACCCCGATGCTTCAAACCTACTTAGAGCTGAGGCGGAACTAGTTCTCGAAGAGGTACTCATCTAGTCTGACACAAAGAGGTGGGAAAGTTTACGGCCAGTGGACAGTCACGAAGGCAGAAAGCGGAAAAGACAAAGACTCTAGGATCACCGATTGAGATTCCCGGAAAGGCTCTCGGGATTGAAATTCGAGGAAACAACGCATGGATAGCGGAGAATACAGCCGTAGCCCGAAAGCTTGATTTGGAGGTAGTTAGACCATTAACTTAACGTTGTGGATATCAATCGAACAAATCTAGACAGGAAAGACGCTCCAGCTCTTTCGCGGCCACTCGGCTCCAGTAACCTCTCTTGCATTCTTCGACAGGGCGACAGGGTCTGGTGTGGATGGCATCTTGATCACCGGCTCTTGGGACAAAGTGAAGGACACTTAGTGAGGCGCGTTGCACGCTTACTGATAGAAACGACCAGACGATCAAGTTATGGGACACCGAGGTGTGTATAAGGAACCTTGTTCATTTCTTTTCACGCAGGCGGTAATTGATACGGTGCACCTCAGACCAAAGAGTGTCTTTCCACGACTCCCGCGCATACAGACTTTGTCAAGGCTCTCCTCGTGATACCTTCGTGCCATCTACTCGTGTCTGCTGGGTCTGACAAGGTCATTAGGCTTTGGTGAGATCTTCTTAGATATTGCATAATTACATTCCAATCTTCTGGCAGGGATCTTTCCACATGCCAGAAAGGACAACCGCTGCGATGTGTTGGTTCAATCTCTGCCCATACACGTCCTGCCGCCTGCCTGTGCGCTCATGAGATATCAGACACAGAATGTGTTTTATATACGGCAGATACAATGGGCATCATCAAAGTCTGGAAGCTCACGAAGGAAGCGGATCAAGCTGCAGGATGGCGCAGCACACTACAGGAGGAGTTGACTTATCATCGCACCCGCATCAATGAGATGCTGTACGGCCATGGGCAACTTTGGACAGGTGAGTTTCCTAGAGCAGACTTGCCTGTGTTGACAAATTTTGCTAACCTCACACTTTATTGAGCATCCTCGGATGAGACTGTCCGGGTCATACAACACCCAACACCTGCGGCCACATCCTCCTCACCATCAACCAAACCCATACCACCAATTACCCATCCTGTCGCAGTCAAGGCCATTCTGCCGTTGTCCCTTACTCCACTTTCCGAGCCCTATGTTTTGACTGGCGCAGGGGACATCATACGCGTGTATGATGTTTCGAGTCTGGACGAGCCCGAGTTGCTGTGCGAAACTGATGCACATTGGCATGATGTAACCGCATTGCGTCTCTGGATGCGACACACTCCTATCGAAGGCAACCCAGGTCTATTCAAAAGGGAACCGTGGATTGTCAGTGCAAGCCTAGACGGAACAATCAGGAAGTGGAGGCTCGCAGGTACGCCGTCGCTATTTATTTATGCAATTCGTGCGATGACATTGATGACTACCGTGCCGTAGAACTGCTTAACCCCCCTGCAAAGAGCGAAGACATCGCAAAGCCTGTGGTTACAGCACCAGCTCTGAAAGAAAACACATATAAGATGTCTGAAGAGGAAGAGCGAGAGCTTGCAGAGCTCATGGCTGAGGATTAGTCATCTCAGCCCCATAGCTGTAGGTGCGCATTTGGCCTCTATCTGTTCCTTTGTAAATCCGTACGATCTGAAGCAACCACAGTTACATTGTATTCGTATATTGTACATACATATGCGTAGAAAGCATCTGAGGTTTGATCCACCGCCCAGAATTTGTCCTCGATGCCGCTACATCCCGATTCAATATTACGTTTTACAACTTGGATTTGGGTATAATCGATGCATTGGCGTTCTGCAGACTTCTAGCAGCCATGACGACAAGTTCATCGACGCTGTCCACGATTTGATCAGCACGACGGCTCGCCTAGTCTCCAACTCTGTCACTTACATCTCCTTAGCAGGCTTGACGTCCTATATTGAACCAGTCAGCTGATATGCGTGAGTCATATCCAATGGCAACTTACGCGTATGGAACCAGCGACCTTTCCCATCAGCCCTTCGATCCGAACGAATAAGCAAAGAGATTCAGAAGAGCGGTAGATCGTGCTCACATTCACGCCCCTCTGGCAACTTCTCAGGATGCTTCGCCATTTCCTCTTCGTGGGGGATTTTGCCTTGCGAGGTGAGCTCGGCGATTTCTTGTTGCCGGGACTCCCTATGTACACCGCGAGTTAGGATTCCGGCCTCGTGAGCGAATTGACATCTAGATCGTACCAACTGGCAACGTAAGGTGTACGCCTGACGCTGAGGGGCCGACCGGAATAGACGAGGGTTCGGGTTACATCGTCGTATCCGGCGGACACCACGAGGTCCTTGTGGATTTTGGGAGCGCCTGATTCCACACTCGCTACAAATCGTGTGCCCACCCAGACTCCATCCGCCCCATACCTACAGATATTAGGTTGCGTTAGCGCGCAATCTCGTAGGAGCGTCGAAGGAAGATTGCTGACGTTAGAGCGGCTGCTAGACCACGTCCGTCTGCAATTCCGCCTGCTGCGATGACAATGATAGGTTTGCCTGTGAGTGGGCTCTTTGCGTTTCTGCACGAGTCCACAACTGCGGGAATGAGGACCGAGAACGGTGTATCACCGGTGTGTCCTCCGCCTTCACCACCCTGTGCGCATATCATATCCACGCCTAATGGTATGTCGTGCGACTGTCAGTGACAAATCAACTTTCGTTCAAACAGGTCCACGTACCCTTGGCCAAGGCTTTGGGGACATGCTAAGACTTTCTGTCAGTAGCGTCAAACGACGTCGATTAAGCAACGATCGTGCCTTAGGATGGCCCACCATGCTAGCAAGCGAGTTAGCACGAAACTTTACCTGCAACGCTTCACTCACTTCATCACAACGATTCCCGCCGCATGCAATTTGTTAACAACATCCTTCGGAGGTACGCCAATCGCGCAAACGAAGAGGGACGCTCTGTTCTTGATGATGATGTCGATCAACTCGGGCAAGTGCCCTTTCGTGTAGTCATACTGAGAAGTGCCTGAGTTACCGCGTTCCGCGTCCATGAGTTACTGATAGACAGCTAACGTACGTTAGTTTTCCGTGCATTCCCTCCTATTTGCGGGAGAGCTAGATCAACACCGAAAGGAGCATTCTTGTCCTCCAGGTAACTCTTCAGTTCGTCGATGGCCTGCTGTAACACTTTGGGGCTATAATGGATGCCGCCTATCACGCCGATGCCACCTGTGTCATGCAGATCGTTGTGATCAGCCATACAGTACGACACGGAGGAGTCGCATTACCAGCATTTGTAACTGCCGCAGCGAGCCTCGGTCCTGCGGCGACGTTCATCCCTGCGATGTAGCAGAGACGTTTAGCATATGCACAGCTTCTCAGCGACAGGCTAGCTAGTAGATCGTACCGGCAAGCATGACAGGATGGTTGATATTGAATTGCCTCGTCAAAGGCGTGTTGAACACTGAGGGAGAGGATGGCATATTGACAAACTGGTTAGCGAGAGGTGGAGAGAGCCCTGAAGGGGACGCGGTAGCGGAAGGAGAGTACTGTAAGGCTACTTATATTGAGAACCGATGCGCGTGCTATATAACCGGACAAATGATACATCCTGGTATCACAATCGAACTCAATCGAACCCCGCATTGAGCATCATGGGATCGGGTCAAAGCGCTTGGCTACCGAGGATGACTTCGTCTAGACTTCGTCGACATATGTGCCACCCGGACACGACGACAATAGCCTACGGTATGCGTAAAATCGGACATCGCAGATATCACCATGGGATTGGATGACTTTTCTCTACACCGTCTTCAAGCTGCTCTGAATGAGCAAAGTAACTACCACGTTGGAGGGTATTGCCATCAAACCGCCGCCAAGATGGTTTTCTCAGGGCATCATTTGGCAATGACATGATCAGCAGACCATCTCATTTCCACATCCTCAGGAATATCGTGAAAAGCGGACATAGCACGGTGACTTGAGGAAGCCGGCATAAAACACGAGTGCTGCCTGACCATGGTACTTCTCCACATCTTCCGAATCAACCATGGGTCGCTCATGATAGCACGCACTTGCACACGGAGGAGCTTGACCAATGGGACGTAAAGGCTACTGCGCATGGTCCTTGTTCACCTGTCAAGTTTCCAGACGACATCTGTACCCTATAGCGAATTCAAGTATCTGAATAAATGGCTTCGTCTTCGCGTGCAATCTGCGCGACGCGACAGGCCGTAACGGTGCACGTGGTACGCGTTTTTGAGGGCGCCTAAATGCTGTTTCCTTGCTTGCATTGTTCGCATGTCCTCCAGTGCTGAAAAGTGTCCAGTCGACCACGGCGCTCTCGCTGCATCGGCAGACAAGTGCCCTGTCGACCACACCTCTCGCTCCTCATGGGCAAGTCTTCTTCCACCTCATGACTCTAATCCGTCACCACGACCGAACGGAGCGCCGGCCCACCTCCCACTGGTCCGTGAAATCTCCTCTATCCCCAAAGTCGATGGCGGCAACTGGGTATACCCGTCGCAAGCTCAGTTCTACTCTGCTATGGCGCGGAAGAACCACAACCCTCAGGCCTCCGATATGAAAGTTATTGTGCCGATCCACAACGCCGTCAACGAGAGGGCATGGGCAGAAGTCATGAAATGGGAGGCGGGTCAGGGCGGTGACAAGTGCGGGGGTGTGAGGCTTGTGAGTTTCAAAGGACGGCCGCAGGACTTGTCGCCCAGGGCAAGATGGAGGTCACTCATAGGGTACGCATCTCTGCAACGAGGGTAACGATGACATGCTAATTGCGCTCGACGTTGCTCAGATACTCCCCTCCATTCGATCGCCACGACTGGGTAATCGACCGCTGCGGAACGCGCGTTCGCTATATCATAGATTTCTATACCGGCCATACAGGGGGCTCCCCATCTGGCAACCTATCCTTCTATCTGGATGCTAGACCTGCACTTGATAATTGGGATGGAGTGAGGATGCGAGTCGAACGGTTCTGTGAGCGGTGGATCGGCAGATCATGGAGTAGTCCAGTACCTCCAGAGCATACGACATCTCGTTCATAATATAGACCTTGTTCACCACATGCGCAAGCCTTGTATTTGCGCACCGAACAATCAACTCATCCACCATATATGAAAGCCAACTCGGCAACGCTACCGTTTCCCCTGTCTCGGCTTTTTGGGAAGCGGCCGCGGGACATCAGCATCAGTTTCACTGTCACTGTCCTCCGCACTCTCGTCTCCGTCTTCCTCGCTGCCATTGTACTCTTCTTCGTCGTCCCAGGCACCTTCATCCTCATGCTCCTCGTCCCCACCCGATAATTCAGAGCCGTCCGCACCATCTTCCTGTTCCTCCTCACCGTTATCTTCACCACTACCTGTCTCCGCATCCTTTCCACCGACCAACTTTTTCTTCCGTTGAATGTTGCGCTCCTGTTGTTCTCTTCGTTCTCTGCGAAGTTTCTCCTTTGCCGCATGTTCGGCTTTTTGAGAGGCAGCTTGTGCTTTTGTCTTTTTCACTGTAGGGAAATTCGGCTATCAGGCATGAGTTCAGGTGGGGAGGACTCCGCAACGTACCGAATTCATGGTATATAACAGCACCTTCCTTGCCAGGAAGCCCCTCCGTAATTTTGACCAGCCTCAACTCCATCCTTGGTCCTACCTCATCGAGCCTCACGGCTCGCTTTTCTCCCTTCTTGTTGTTCCTGCCTACATAGTCGTCCGCCAATGAAACGACGTCCGCATCGTCCCCAGCGGCACTTGACGCAGATGAGGCCGCAGACTCATACCCGTCGCTGGCGCCTGGACCAGGCTCGCCCTTGCGCCTGAGGAAGAAATCCGCGACATCCTTCTCATTGCCCAGGTCGAGATATGTCTTGGATGACGACGCAGCCTTGGACGATGCTCCCTCCAGTACGCGTCGGACCCGTTTAGAGATGCCATACGGCTTGACAGTTATGAGGTAATGACGGAAATCGATAGTGCCGCGATCGGCATTGTATGAGATGAGGACGACACGGCGAGCGGACGAGAGTGCTATCTTCTGCGGTGATAATGGAGGGAACAGTGTCTGGAAGGTCTTCATAAGGAGGGACAGATGCGGAGGTGTCGTCGGTCCGGGCTGCGGGAAGGACGCTAGCACAAGCTATGTGCAGATACCCTGAGCTGTGGACTTCAACGAAGCGGATTCATGTACTCACCAGCGGCGGGTTGAGATAGTCGGTGCTGCTCATACTGCGCGCTCTGCGAGATGAGTTGAGCATATCCTTGATCAAGCTGTACCGCTCTACTCGGAAACTCAGTGTCGGCCCAGCAGAGAGTCGAACGATTCGAAGGGATGGTGCGACGTCCGTCAGCGTGAACGCCAATAGATGCGTAACGCCAAGGGCAGGAGCCATCGTGAAGAAGTCCTTGAGCTTGTTCCGCGTACGCTCCTTCACTTGCGGCGTGAGTTCAGCTCCTCAAAACCAGAGCAGTGGCCAGTCAATAACCGACGAAGAGGACTGACCTTCAAACGGCTCGCAGTGTTCGGCTCCATGACTTTGCGCACATCTCTGACCAGCTGGGTGAGAGACGTGCCCACCTGCCCATGTTTGATTACGAAGGACCTCGGGACTCCCTCTGCAGATCCTGGGTTCGAGGCAACTCCTCCCTTGAGATGCGTACGATTCTTTCGACGACGAGCCATGGTCAAGTCCAAAAGTTGATTTATGTACAAGAAATTGATGGCAGATACTGTTGCATCTCGATCACTTCTTCAGAATGGCTGTTTGTCTGTATTTGGCGTCAGTGGCGGTGGCAAAGGACCGAATGAAGCTGTGGACAGGATAAGGCTGAAAACGGTTATTCAATAACGCGACGGCACAGGTACATGAGCGCAACAAGAACGATTGGGAGCAGCAAGTAAAGTGGACCTAGCAGGATAGCAGAGCGATATACAGGAACGAAGATTAACGGATCGAGTGAGAGAAGGTGTTCAAGACTACAGTGAGGATGAGGGCGAGCAAGAATGATACAGATTCAGGGTATGTCACCAAGATCAGTAATATAGCCGTAGGACCACGAGTTCCGGATGGGAGACCATTAAATAAATAGAAGACGCCCGGAGGACGACAGTCGAAGAACGAAATGAACGACTCGAAGTAGAGGCAGACGACCAGAGCCCCGCACGAACAGGACGCACTCCAAGACGACGCATTCAGCACTACTTCCCAGCTGCAACCGTGCCTTCGAGTTCGGCGTGTAGACATCAGCTTAATGCTGAAGGGGATAGATCGATGAATTAGAACTCCAAGAATTGGTAGGCCGTGGGATCAAAACGTTGCTGAAGAGCCCGGGGATTTTCTTCCCGAATGAGCCCAGGGAACTCCTCCGATGGAGGAAGAGGAAGATCCGTCAAATGGCGTGTGTCGTCCAATGAATTCACATGGGGGATAATCGGAGCCTAACAAAGAATGTGATTTCTCCGATACGATAGGCAAAGCCATGGAGACTTACTCTGATCTCCCGCCGTTCCAGAGCATCCCAATCAACGCCGCGGAACCAGGGATGGTCTAAGACGTCTTGGGGACCTCCGATCAAATTTCCGAGTCGCTTGGTGCGGTCTGGATGCAGAAAGGCCTTGATAATATCTTTCGTCAGAGGATCTATGTCCCTCGGCCAATGGATTCTGCCCTTCAGAATTTTCTCATAGATCCCATATGCCGTCTGGTCGAAGAAAGGAGGATACCCAACCACCATCTCGTAGCAGAGAATACCACATGCCCACCAGTCCGCAGCCTTTCCGTGACCGTCCGACTGAATGATCTCTGGAGCCAAGTATTCCGGAGTGCCGCATAGGGTCCATGTGCGGTCATCAACTATTTTCGCGAAGCCAAAATCCGTCAAGCGAAGGTATCCGCGCGAATCCAGAAGGAGATTCTCCGGCTTGAGGTCGCGATATATGATATTGAAGGAGTGGAGATATTTTAGAGCAAGGATGATGGTCGCAAGATAGAACCGTGTGACATCGGGTGTGAATCGCCGCGCCCTCCGGAGGTGGGTGAAGAGCTCTCCGCCAGGAACATAGGACAATAGCATGTAAATGTTGAGGCTGTCCTGGAACGTCGCATACAAGTCGACAATGAAAGGGTGCCGGACACGTGATAATATATATCTTTCAGCGTTTACATGTTCTACTTGGCGCAGGCGGACAATTTCGGTCTTGCGCAGTACTTTGAGCGCGAAGCAGCTTTGAGTGCGAGGTGATGATGCACCGCGTAAGCGTACGAGGAGGACGCGCCCAAATGTCCCCGTGCCTAATACAGAAGCCACTGTCAGGATATCGGACGGAAAACAGCGACGAGGAGCTTACCCAGCGTCCCCTTCACCTCAAAGTCAGTCAATTTGAGTGTGCCTCTTGCCAAATGACACTCTTCATCCTCAAGATGCCGTAACGGTGGTCTAGGGGAAGAAGGTCTAGGATCTATATCCATAGCTTGCTGAGAATCTCCTGGGCAGCTATCTGAAGAACAAGGTTCAATATCGAGATGATTATTGCTATCGCGACTGTAGCGAGAGTCGGTAGCGATGGAAAGGACAGGATCGTCTTCTTCGCTGTGGCCCGGAGACATTGGTGGAGTTATAGGGCCTTGTCCGGCTGCAAACTCCGAGCCGCGCTGGGGGAGCGCGAGGTTTGCTGGGGCGGGCCGATTGCGAGAGCTTGCGCTGGGTAAAGAAGTCGAGCGAAACGCAGGAGGGAAGGGGTGTTCCATGGTGTGCATTCAATACAACAGATTGGTCGAGGTAAACGCCTGCTCGCCTGGAGGACTGGCGGCTGCAACATGAGGGCTGTCAAATTGAAAGAGGATCTCCGACGGCACGTGTGAGGGAAGCACATACCGTGACGACAATTAGGGGGTGGTCAAGGTAGTGTTCACTCAAAACATTGGATGGCACGGAATATATACAGGGGATCTGCAGAGGAGATGCTCGCGGACTGCAAGGAAGCAATCACACAGCACGGAATCAGAGGGCTGTGTTAGCTGAGTGTAGCAGATCTCGGGAGGCAAATGTAAGCGGTGAGCGCATCAGAAGGGTTTTCCGTGCGCATACCTATGGTGCTGGACAGCTACGGGCGTGTGCGCTCTACGCACTACAGTGGACTGCGATTAACATACAGAGAGGGGAGAAAAAGAGTGATGAGATGCAGAGATTTAACTAATTGGTTAGCATCTCCCATAGAAGACTCGGATCTAGATCCCACGGCACACGTGATCCCATCGCGACGCGATCGCGGAGTCAAAACGCCAAGCGCCCGGGCAAGCGCGCATCGGCGGAACTCAACGACATCATCGAACTCTGGCGCTCTTCTTTCTCCGAATACACTTCATCAAGCGAACAGTCACAAGCCAAAGGCGAACGTAGGTGCACCGTAAATCGCAGATAGCACTCGAACCTCTCCATCTCCTCCTGCACCTGCCGCCACGTACAGCGGGACAAAGTGCTCCGCACGCGGGTGCGCAGCGCGGAACCCCGGATGCTGCATGAGCTTGATCATTTGCTCCTTTCTAGCGTTCGGCTACGATTGAACCTTCGGTGAATATACAATAGTGAAGAAGTACAGTCTTGTTCTTACCTCCGGCACCGTGACCGCATCGAGAATGGCTTTGTCAAACTCCTTCACAACGGACTTAGCAGACTGTTCCGCAAAGGCCGACCAGTCGCGCAGATTATGGACTAACAAGCCGCCCGACAGAACCAGAATTCCCTCGCGTCTGTGACGAAGCAGCGGTAAATAACAGTATGCGGATGTGCCGCATCAACAAAATGCCTACCTCAGTTGTTCGACCACCTTTCCCACCGCCCAGTTCTTCTCAGGGCTCAAGCTTCCATCAATTGAGACCTCTACAATAGGCGTCTCGAGGAATTCTTCACCAAACATCAATCGGAAAGGCACGAAAACTCCGTGATCCAGTCCTGGGCCAGCAAATCCCCTGCCGTCTTCCCCTCGAGCTTCCATTCGGGACGTAGTACGGGCGAGGTGGCCAGCCTTAGCATCTCACTATCAATACTTCGCTGCATATGGCTAGTAGTGCGTGATGAAATAACGTCTAACCTCCTTGTAAAGCTGTACGACGCGCTGGGAAAGCGCCGAATCTCCGCGTGAATGGAACTTCAATTGATACAACGCAGGCTGGAAGCCAAAGTAGTCCATAAGCAGTGGGTTCGAGTCGCCATAATCGGTCACTGAAAACTCTGTCTCGGAAGTCTGTGTGAGCTACGAGCAGCGCGTTACGTACCAACGCGTTCGCCGACAGTCTCCCAATGAGCGCTGAATATAACGATGCCCTTTGGCTTATACTTTTTAAGCAAAACAGGGCCGAAATCTTTCAAGAACGTCGCCAATGGACCCTTTGGACCCATGGCTTCCGTGACCTGGTTACCACCTGCATCGGATTCAGGGAACGCGAGGAATGGGGAGCCGTGTCCAAAGAAGAAAGACGGAATCTTCTCGGGCGAGGAAGGCAGTTCCTCTAGTGCCTTCCGCCACTCCGCCTGTGTCTTTGGCAAAGTTGCATTCGACTGAGGCGCGTTAGACATCGTTCTGACGGACAGAACGGGTAAGATGCGCGAGAATGGTAGCCTGATCACGATGGCTGCCGAGACGATAGAGAGGACTAGGAACAACGCGAGACGAGAGCTGATGAACGCCGCCACGATGGGCAAAAGAACGAATGCGGGATGCGTAGAGGACATTCATGGCTTTTGAAATGCTGCATGCCAGTAGATTACGAAGAAACTCGAAAAGTGTGCGGAAGAAATTCCCTAAATGGAAAGATGACGAAAATCGGAATTGTCAGCGTCTCTGAGATCAGGCGTCGTGCCACAGTTGACTGCTCGTGTACCAGCTGCTTTCTTACAACGGATCTCAATCAATCATGTCGCGTCCAAATGCTGCGAGCTGGCTCCGTGGGACCGTAATACGAAAAAGTGGTGCATCTACGGGCAACAACACTCGTATCAGCACTCCCCAGGTGCAGAGCACCTCGACGACCGTCTTTGGTGGCGGTGTGAAGGATCCCTCAGGCAGGACATCAGAGTACTTTGTAAGCACCCAATCACATCTGCGAGCACGTATAGCCTGATTGGCCGCAGTCGATGGATGATCAATGCCCAGTGTGCAAGTCTGACAGATATCTGAATCCGAAACTTCGCCTTCTGGTCAGCGCATGCTATCACAAGATGTGTGGATGATGTAGCGGCGCGCATGCTATGCCATTGACTAAGATGTATCACAGGTGTGAATCATGCATAGACCGCCTGTTTACTCTGGGCCCTGCACCATGTCCAATCTGCGGCAAGATCCTAAGGAAGCTTGCCTTCACTCCTCAAACTTTCGAAGATCTGGGAGTTGAGAAAGAAGTCGCCGTGCGAAGGCGAATTGCCAAAGAGTGAGTTGCGAACACCTATCTTCTCGTGATTCTCACTCGCGCAGGTTTAACAAACGACGGGAGGATTTCCCTGACCTTCGTTCTTACAATAACTACTTGGAGGAGGTGGAGGATATCGGTGAGTTAAATATACGCTCTCTGTCTTGTTGTAGTCTCATCTAACGGCGTGGGCCTTAGCGTTTAACCTCATCAACGACATAGATATTCCCCAAACCGAAGCTCGCATTGCGGCATATCGTAAAGAGAACGCAGCTTTGATCGAGCTGAACATCCAACGGGAAGAACAGTACAACCGCCACCTCAAAGAACAAGAAGAAGCTGAGCGTCAAGAGCGTGAGCAACGCGTACTGGAGCTGCGCCGTGCCGAAGAAGAGGAGCGAGAGGAGCGAGAAAAAGAGCGTGAGGATATCATCGACCAGCTCGAGACGAGCGACAAGGACGCGATTAAACTCGTCGCGCGCTCCCGTGCCGAGGCTCACAAGCGCGCATCGGCGCGCTCGTCTGCCGCTATGAACGGAACGCAGGCCTCCCGGCTGATGCGCTCTAGGGCAGTACAGAACACGGTCATGCCGGACGTCCCGCACGTTGCTCTGCAAGACGACTGGTACTCCTACAGCGACATGTTCGTCTTGCAAAACAACTATGATGATCCCTTGAGCGAGGCCGTCCGGCGAGATAAGGAGGGTATCATGAGAGCTGGCGGCTACCGTGTTCAAGAAGCATGGGAGCGGGCGTTGCGCTCAGCTGTCGCTGGGCTGGAAATCATGCCTCTAGAGGGTCTGCACCCTCAAAATAGTGAGCAATTGGATCTTCTAGGGAGGACCTCGGATGCGATGGAAGCACCCGCGTAGCGCTCCGTGTGGCGTTGATACCATTGCGGTATGACTAGCAGTGCTCAGGGAGCAATTTCACACTTGTAAATAGTTGTTGCAAGCACAGCATATGTATAATGTACTATTTAAAATTTGGAATAACCGGTATTGATCAAACTGAGATCAGGAAACGAGAATACATGGTCAGGACATGATCGTGGCGACTCGCGCCAGGAAGGACGATCATTTCATCGTAACGTTGGGGTGATAACTGGGTAAGGCGCGGTTGAATACCAACACTTGTCCGGCACTAGTTGACTTTGAGACATGTCAACTCTCGCCTCGCCCAACGTTCATCTTCACTTAACGGATCAGTGAGTGGAAAGTATAGCACTTGATATAGTCGCTTCTTCCTGAGGTCACGAAGGGTGAGCAGATTGCTCCGCACTGAATCAGTTCTCACGCACTTCAGCTTATTGGCCCGCAGCCTGAATACGTTGAGTACCTTGGTCAAATCTGGCTGTTTCTGGCTAAGGCCATTCCGAGATGCATGGAAGGAATCAGCCCGGTCCTGTTTACCCAGTTCCTCCAAGCATATGCGCGACTTCTTCACTGTGTCAGGGACCAATATCTCATCATCCATCTTGTGCTTGTGTGGTTTGATTGTTTGCACAGGATGAAGGACCTCATGCAGCACCTGAGATGGAGAAACGTGGCGGTGGTACTGCGTCTCAATGGGATCTGTTGAACGGCAATTGGCCAATCCGGCGTCCCGTACGTCCGCCAGTATCCGTCTAGGAGATGTTCAGTCGGGTCAATAAGGAGAGGCTATGACTTACGTCGATGGATCAAAGACGAGGAGATTGATGCTGCCATCTGGGCATCGCTCGCAACCTACGACAGTGCGTGAATGACCGTTATGCTGCAAGATGATGGGCATCTTGTCGGTAACGATGACAGAATTTGTGGATTTGAGCGCCTCGTTCAACGTCGTATGTTTTGGCGATGAAGTCCCCGAAGAAAAATGCTCCATGACCCATTTCATTAGTGGTTCCGGGCCTGTTCAATTTATTGAGAGGATAGAGGGGATCAGTAGAAGAATTGGACATACCATCTGCCAATTCAAAATCTACGAGCTGCGCACTGCAACGATGAATGCATCATGACACAGCTAGGCACCACACTCACGGTATTCCACGGTATGTATAAGCAACGTACAGCTCTTTGACAATCACTTAGCATTGGCCGCGAGGAACAGTGGACTTCTCACTTACCTCCAGTTCCAATAAATTTCCCAGTACCGACTAAGTGACGCTTCAGCTGTTCTGCGCCCTCTTGATCATACCCTGTGAAGCAGTTAGTTACATGTATCAAATCCACACGTAACCTTGCTTCACACCATTAGCCCAAGCTTCTTCGATCATCGACTGCAGATTCCGCACGCCGGGCGGGACGGGATGATCAAGCAAGGGGAAGTACATAGGTTGGTGATCCTGCACCATCAAAGAGGCGCATGCCATAAGGAAGTTGCGATATCTAAGGTGTTCCCAGTCAAGGTTAATTCTTCATTTGTTGTACGAAACATACCCACAGCCCCACGTTCTATCGAAGGCTTCACTTGCTACGTGCACAGCTCCTTCATGGCATAGCCATGCGCATTGCGTCTTGCCTTTCTCATGGGATTGTCGAAGTGCTCGTCGAATGACAGGAATTAGTCCTTGTCGTGTAGTCCTCAGAACTGCCAACATTTCATGCAAGACTACATTTGTTTGACATACCAGGACTGAAGTTGCGTGGAGGTAGACCCGTTTGCGTAGGGTTCCAGAAGATATTCTGCGTTGCCGGATTGCCGATGTTGGGTACATAAGGGGCGAACCAGCTGGTCTTCGAGGATGTGGCTGTCGGAGCGGACGAGGTCGATCCTAACGAAGCCGTTACGAAGTAGCTCCTGATTCGCGCAGTCGCTCACGGACATACTTTGCAAGGAGCTGTCAAAGTGTCCATTATAATGTACTTGTTGACTCTGTATGGAATGATCACTGAGATCCTTCGCGCATAGCTGGCAAGTTGTCCGGTCCCTGGGTCAATAGATCCATCACACTGCATTGAAGCACATATCGTCTGATGAAACGCACGAGGATTCCATTAATATTATAAAGCTTTGAAAATAAAGTACGTTTTGCAGAGACCGGTCGATAACTGCACAAAAAACTAGGGTATCCGGAGTTCGAGTAGCAGTGTCGACGACTCGACGGAGAGTTAGACAACGCGACGGGCGCCAAACGCGGTGGGCTGTACGTGGGCGTCTACTACGCGCTGCACACGTGATAGAGGGAGACGCAAGCTCGACGCGCGTACCGCGAAGTGCCTGTCCCCAGTGTAGCTACTCCTCTTCATCTCCTTGTCCAGCCACGTCGACCTCTCAGCATGTCCAGGTCCTACGATCGCGGTAGGCTGAAGCTATACTTCCCGGGCGACGAAACACTTAGGTATCGCCTTTCTAGCCCTCACCGTCTTCTCTCCGGATGGCCACTTGTTCCAGGTTAGTTTCACGTTTGTCTGGATTGATGGACACGTCAAGCTGAGCTTTTATGCCGCATCTGTTAGGTTGAGTATGCACTAGAAGCTGTAAAGAAGGGAACATGTGCCGTATGTCGCCCGCCTATGTCCAACGAACGTTAACGATCTTACTTGCCCTCGTAGGTCGGAGTTCGTGGAAAAGACGTTGTTGTACTGGGCGTCGAGAAGAAGTCGGTACTTCAGCTGCAAGACCCACGTACCGTGCGCAAAGTCGTTATGCTTGATGATCACATATGTCTCGCGTTTGCTGGTGTGTTGCTCCCTGCGAGCCATCAATGCATGTCCTAAACGCGCATATAGGCCTCAATGCGGATGGACGCGTCCTGATTGACAAGGCACGGATAGAATGCCAGAGTCATCGCTTGACAGTCGAAGATCCAGTCACCGTGGAGTACATCACAAGACATATTGCTGGTATACAGCAGGTACGCGATCGCTTGCAGCCCACCAGAGAGTTTCGCTCATGCTCATTAGAAATATACACAATCTGGTGGTGTGCGGCCATTTGGTATCTCAACTCTGATCGTCGGCTTCGATCCCCATGACACCAGGCCACGGCTCTACCAGACCGAACCGGGAGGGATCTACAGCGCATGGAAGGTATGCGAGAACTGCTGCCGTGTCGCGAAATAGATATATCGATTGATATCGGGATAGGCGAATGCGATTGGCAGGTCTTCGAAGACGGTCCGGGAATTCTTGGAAAAGAACCACAGGGACGACATGACCAGAGATGAGACCATCAAGCTCACGATCAAAAGTTTGCTTGAGGTTGTTCAGACAGGAGCAAAGAACATTGAGATCAATGTCATGGAGGGCTACAGCAAGGTTACTGTATGTCATTCAGCCAAACTTCCATGGTTGTGGATGCTGAGACCCAGAATTGTAGAGCCTGGATCTCGCGCAAATCGAGGAGATTGTTGCAGATATCGAGCGAGAGAAAGAAGCCGGTATGTGTCCTGTATATGCGGTCGTCGACGTGCTCACTAGTGACTCATATAACAGAGGCGGAGAGAAAGCGATCAAGGTTGGCTGCGACAGCGGCCGGCCAGGCTGCTATGTCGCAGGCAGTTCCTGGATTGGACCAGTCTTCAGGACTCTAGTGGATGAATATTGTATATTATCATTGTCTCTTTGTTTCCGAATGCAATTGTATCCGCATGCTCATATACAGAGCTTCACACATGAGACATCGGTCCGTTGGAATTGCCATTGGCAAGCTTTGGGGAGAGCGTGTATTGCACCTATTTCTCATTACAGTTTCACGCGCGAGCCAATCCGTTCTTCTCTGCCTCCATCCATTCGGTGGCCAATTCTTCGACCACCTTGGGCAGCAGCGAGCGCACTTTTTCGGCGTCTTTGCCACTACCTTCAAGGTAGTACTTGATCTACTCGCGGTGAGTATGCTGATGCCAAGAAAGTTCAATAGCTCACCTTCGGTTCGGTCCCGCTCGTTCTAAGGAGATGATGCATCAGTCATTGACGAGTCGCGGGAACAAAACCACGCCATACCTCGTCGTCAACGTGATCTTCGTCGCATCCACAGCAGATTCTGCCCTAAACTGGATCATGTGCCCCGAAGATAGCGGCAAAGTAGGCTTGTAAGTCGGAGGATTCGAGCTATCGTATCCGATCGTGAGGTCACGTATACCAGTAACGGTCAGCCCGGCAATGGTGCGTGGATAGCTCGGACGAGCAGAAGTTGCCTGTATTGATGAGCATGAGTACATGCATAATGAAGGCGGTCGGTCGTTGAAAGACGAACTGTGTCGTCGTAGTCTCGCAAATTAGCGAATATCCTATCGATCGTTGGTGTGTCGTTGCAGACGAAGTAGCTGTTACTAGTCTATCAAAATGACCTGTCAGATACGTATGAAATGTTCACAGGAGGCAACAGACCTGGAAATATCCATATCTGCAGCAATCGTGGTTCAGTTGTTTCTTCGCCTCCGTCAGATGCTAGGACGTACCGTTGATACAATTCTTCTAAATGCGAACTGGCGGTCTTGCCCTGCGCATGCAGTGTCGCAACCATCTCCGCGAATACCATCTGTAGCTATTCTGAGCATTTCTTCTGAATCGGCCAAAAGGTAACGTCACGAACGCTAGCCGCAACGCCATCCTTGTCCCTAATCTCTGAACCAAACATGAACCCAATGGCTTCTTCGTATCCGAAGGGAACTTCATAGCCCTCGCGTTCTAATGCTAGCGCAGTGTTCCCGATGAATTTGAAGCCTAGACAGAACAGTCATCATCCAATGCGACTGCATGGAACATTTCAATCTGACCCGTAAGACATTCCGCAAACTTGAAGCCTTCTATATGCGCCATAGTCTCGATCATTTTCGAGCTGACAGTCGAGGCGACCATGGCAAGTTTCCCTACAATGTGCTTTTATGAACATTATGTTGCTCCCAGCCGAAACTGCGGACGTACCAATAGGCTTCCCAGAGGCTTTGTACCGGACTAGAACCGCGCTAGCAAAGAGAGTACCTAGCTGGTCGCCTGTAAACATAATCCGTTTGCCGTTGGCACTACATCGAATAACAAAAAGTGACATCAAGCGGATGACAAGTCCGCGGCATAAACGGAATGCACCTTATTTCTGCTGCAGCAAATCGGTCTGCGTCTGGATCCTGAGCCAGCACGTAGTCAGCTGAACATCTATCAGCTGTGGCCATTGCGAGATCCTGGTCAGGTTATCAGGAAGTGCGCATAATTGAGGTTGCAGATATAGTCACCAATGCCCCTGATCATCAGAAGATCAGTCTCCTAACGGAAAGATACCAACGAAGCTGCATACCCTTCTCTTCCGGATTGGGGAACTTTACTGTCGGAAAGTCTGGGTCGGGTTGCTGTTGCTCTTTGACGGCAATAAATGGAGCGAAACCGAACGTCTTGAACGCTCTGACCATGAAGGGGTGGCTAACTCCATGCATCGAAGTGTTGACGAATTTCAAGGATGCTCCGCCGTTCAAAGACCTTCCAATTGAGTGAATTTGCATCCGTGAACATGGATATTGGATATCGTATCCGACCTGTCAATGCATAATGCGGATAGACTGGCGAAGTATGCTTCTTGCATCTCGGCTGTACGGTCTATACATAGGGAAGAGGACCTGATGCCGTTGGTTTCCCAAGTCTTAGGCTCCAGATTGGCCTTGATCGAGTCGGATATTCCCTTATCGTGAGGTTCGATGATCTTGACTGAGCATCAGAGCCTGCGGCATAAGGACGAGAAATGGCCGTGCCTGGACAGCGTTCTCCCAGTATACCTGTGATCACGGCATTAGCCATGCGCACATGTGCAGCTACGGATCGCACACTTTGTAACCATTGTCATACTAGCGGAGAATCAGTCTCAGGCCACCGCCGCAATCGCAATTGTACTACATACCTTTGGATTGTGGCTTGCTACACATTGTAGAAAGTTCTTATGTCAGAGGCTGTAGTCCGTTGAAAGAGACGCACCGGTGATCATGATGCCACAAGCCGCATTGAGTTTCTTTACGCTAAACGGAACGCTACCCCCGCATATCGAGGTGAAATCACAGGAGACCTTGAGCAAGAATAATGAACTTACAGTGGAGTGTGGATGAGTCCTTCGTGAAGATAGACTTTAACGTTGTTTGCTATGAAGACAGCGGCCGTCAAAGCCGCCCATCTTTCTGAATTGTGCCGATGATCATGACCGACTACGACACCTCTTGTCGCAGCATCAGCGACCATCTTCAAGACATATGCGCACAGACCCTGGGGCGTAAAGTATTATGCATAACGTGAGAGACAAAGGTGGTTTGAGATCATATGGACCATTACCTGAGAAGCTTGGATAATGATAAGGTCGTTCATACGCGAGAATCCCGCTTCCATTCGACCCCTGAGACCTGTATACGTAGTTGAATTCGATCTTTTCCCGACAAATTCCTCGAGGCCACATACCCGCAGTGCCAAACTCGATGTGTTTCCTGCAGGAGAGACAGTTCAGTGAGTATCATATTTTGCCAGAAACTTCCGTTTGGAGGAACCTCAAGCGTTTCTCAAGTTCAGCTGTCTCGCCAGCTGCATATAGCTTCTCAATCTCGCGATGTGTCTCTTCATTCTGGAAATCTCACATTAGCTCCTTCAGAACTGTTCGAGTAGAGAACGAACTTCACTCTATCGAGGCGCAACCACTCTTGCACGAGAGCTTCGAGCGAGGACATTTCAGATACCAGTAAGTGGTGGACCACAGCGTCAGACAATGGCCCGATTGGTCGATCGACGACTGCACTTCGTGATTCGTAGTAGCAGATGGTCGCATATACACGGTATTCGACGCATCGAGTCGCGAGGCAGAACATAAACAAGTGTATTCATCTGGCATGTGAAGATCCCTCTTTTTCGTGTGGAAAGTCACGCAAGTACATCATGGTAACCCGAGTAGATATAAGCACTTTCCAAGGCTAATCTCCCCGTGTACAATAGAATAATGTCCGAAACGTCCACCACAGACTACATTTTCTGTGAATTCATGCCCAATGCCAAAGCTCTTGCACCTACCGCAGCGGCATCGTTCACAACCTCCACGCGCTTGAATACGAACCCTCTGCGCTTCAGCTCGTCCAGAATGAGCGCGCGGTAAGAGTCTACTCCAGACAACGACCCGCCAAGGCACAGGATACTCTCGGAGGCGCGGATCGTCCGTCCCTCACTTTCCTCCTTCTCTCCCTTCAATAGGATGCAGATTTGATCAACCAGCGCACTACTCGCAGCTTGAAGAACCTTGAGAGCAAGAGGGTCTCGGTCTTCGAAAGCAGCGGCGAATACGAGTGGAGACAGCGAAGAGAGACGTTTCTCGCGCGGGAAGAGAATGGGGTTCGGCTCGGCGGCAGGAACAGCGTTCGGCGAAGCCGTATCATTTGGCGTCGGAGCTGGTGACGCCGGGGTGGGAAGAGCGACGGGATCAGGCAGATGAATGATTGTAAGCAATTCGTGCACGTCATCAACGCCAAAGCGGTGCAAAATGCGATTCTTCAGTCCCCGTAGCTTTCCATTAAACTCCGGCGCGCCAGTCGTCTGAAGTGCGACAATCACTATGGCATCTCAGAAGACATATGCGTACTGAAACTCACCCCAGTCGTTCTTTGCCTTATACTAGCACGATCTGCTTCTTCAAGAACCTGACGGACAGCCTCCCGTCCCACATGGAATCCACCACCTTCATCGCCCAAGATCCAACCCCATCCACCCACTCGACCCAATTCTTCTAGGCCTACAATATCGCTGCTTGCTGCTGCACCAATTTCGCCTCCACTGTTCACTCTCTGCATTGCCAGTGTGGTTTCCCGGAAGCTGACTACGATGCCACCCGTGCCGGCAACGACTGCAACTGCACCAGTGACGTCGGGGTATAGCTTCATAGGAGCAGCGAGCAAATGCGTATCATTTGCGATCCGTGTCGTGACGCCGAGCAGGGCCTCGACAGCAGGCGTCAACACAGCAACAGCGGCAGGGGAGTCACAACCCGAGACACCGAGCCAGGCTGCAGTGAAGTATGGATGCCCGGCAGGAGGCGGAAGAGACAGTGGGAGATCTAACCGGCCACGGGGGCCATTAGCCAATCATTAGAACAACAAAAGTCCGCCTAGGAGCAGCGCACGCACTATGACCTGGTAGCTCAGTCTTAAGTGTGGAAACTTGACACTCGCGCAGAGCTTTCTCAACCGTTTCTTGCACTACTGCCAGGAAGGGTGCCAACCCAAGGTACGCGAAGTTGGACGGTCCACCGAGAGCGCGGGCGACAACATTGCATGAGCTATCCGCGATCACAGCGGCTGCCTTCGACCCCCCACAGTCAACGCACAAGTAGAGAGACATTTGCACTGGAATGAGGCAGAGCTTAGTTGATGGGGTGTCGTGCGTCGGTGGAAGGGTTTTAACAGATTGTTGTCGGCCCTTCGTGTCCGGGGGGAACCTTATAGACAAGAGTGGGAGAAAACATGGAAAGCGCCTGAGAACAGAGTAAGGTACGAGTCCTTGCGCGAACAATCAGCAGGCCAAAGCTTGAGCACACGACGCGCTGGCAGAGATAACCCATCGAGACCCATCGAGATCGGTGTTCGCCGGCGCTTCTGTGGAACTTAGGTGTACCGTAATAGCTTCCGTTTGTAATGCTGTAGGCAGGAGCAGAGCAAGTCTACTAATGCTGATATCGTTCGCACCCTCGCTTGATTAGCACGAACATGTCTGAGGTCTCTGTTGTGGCCCAGTCAACAGAAAGTCCCCGCACTGACGTGGCCATCTGGCACGGCGCCAGATCACTTAAAATGGTCGCGCGCTCTGCATCGTCCGACCATCTAATTTCTTCACGAAAGAGTGCCATTCTTGATTAGAAGATGCACGGCCCAGAAGACCATCTGGTCTTGACAGCGTTCGCTGGCCCAAGGAGGTCACCAGCGTCGATAGCCGCGAACTCGAACTGTGATGTACGAAATCCGCGAGGTTCTATACTAGTTGCATCATTTGGCTAACATAATTGTATCAGGAAAATCTGGAGCACCCAATTCAGCAGCAAGTGTCGTTTCCACTATAGACTTCGCCCAGGAAGGGACCGCAAAACATATATCAACCGCTTTTCCAGATGATGCCCGTCTGCCGTTATCCATCCGCGTCAGGTTGGCTCGGAACACCCTCAAGTACCGGTCGTTGATCCCTGAGGTGTGGAAACGTGCTTGTTCGGGATATCCGAAATGCACCGATTGCCAGTCGAGCCTGGTAGGTGCAATCAAATTCATGCTCATGTGGAAAGGGGGTCTAGGACTCACGACAGATTCGAATTGACAGACATGCTTCCGGGAGGGGAAGCAAAGAACATCGACAGTCCAGTATTGGCCGCGGACAGCATCTGATCGCTCGCAACGGACATGTATTGCTCTAAGACGTCCGGCTTTCTGTAGTGATCGATGGCAGCTCGCAGCGCGATTGCAGTGGTAATCAGGCAATTATCGTCATCAGGTATGTACGCTGGTATCTGCAGCAGATTGCGTTGTACAGCAAAGATCCTGACGCTATCTGAAGACACAGGTCACGTACGATGTATATTGCGTTGCCTGCAACGGCTTCCTCGACGCATGCGACCGGAAGGTTTCTATACTGCGAATGCTGGTTTCCATGTGATGGGTGATCAATCGGGACGAGTACGTACACTGGCGGCATTTGTAATGGTGCGAATCGGCAATCCCCAAGCACCGACCTAAAACATTCGCAATATAGGCCGATAAGCAGTCCTGTCTGGAGAGATTGACGGTTCCGCCTGCCGCTTCGACAAATTTATCCCGCAGGTGTCCTAGTTTCTCTTCGTTGATGCGAGCATCGACGCGACAGATATTGACGTTCATTTCGGCGTACCGGGCAGCAAGCGCTGCGAGTTCGTACGTCCGGGAGAGATGCGACATCAGAGGAAGGTATTGCTCTACCACGTCTTGAGGAGGGCTCAAGAAGTGATACTTGGTGAATGTCGGTATGGACTCTAGGTCGCCACGAAGTTCATGGTATGTCCGAGACAAAATCAGCATGAACTGAAGCAACACTGTTGCATCGCCTGCATCGATATCGTTCAGCATGACTGTAACGAATTACGATGTGACAAAATATCGACCCAGTGTATGATGCCAGGAGACACCAATGGCTGTTTCCGTGTTGGCTATCGATAGTTTGAACAGAAGAAGCGGGGAATCCGTATTCACCGGATTGGCACCAGTTGACGGGAGGTATTTCTTCAAATCATCCTGAATTACTCTTGAGTCCTCTGGACCTGCAACGCCCTCGGCCTTCCGATCGATTGAGATTGGCACGGAGGAGTTCGTGAGCAATATCTGAAGTTACGACGGGCATACAGTGTGAGCATTGTCATGTTCCTCCTTCGACATTCATCGCTTCCACTCCAGCTAGCCTCTTTCAGTTGTTGTAATCGACCAGCTGCGTGAGGGTAGCACTGAAGTGCTTTAGATAGGGCCCCGGCGAAACGGAGCACATCTACAGCAACAGGTACGACGTGAACGTTCTTGATCTATAGCCATCAAGTACGACTTGTATCAGTACGCTAATCCTCAAATGGTTCACATAAGGCTAATAAAGTAAAGTGGGCACAATTTGCAACATACGTAAGTCAACCACAGCTCGTATCCGGGCAGATCAACCGAAGTGATGGACCCAACTTCAGCTGAAGTAGGACGCTTTGGCCGAGCAATTATCTGATGAAGAGACATACCAGCTCAACGGTGGGCCGATCCGGGAGAAGCGATGTATATGGAGTTTGCCATCACGCGTGCAGAAGTGACCAATGTGTGCGGCAGCTACTAAACCTACTTCTTATGTAGGGGACAAGCAAGCGCGACAGCGATTATACGAGCATACAGGTAGCATGCAACACTAATGAGGGCATAATTGACACGGTCTAACGAACAAGAGCCATAAACAGGGACCAATGGAGTCGAATTGTAAGGATAGGTATTGAACACCCGTTTCTCGGACATTTTCCTCCGTCAGTCCGAAGACACTTCGTTCATGGATACCGAGGATGTTTGCCGCCGAGTTGACCGACGAGGAACCGGCTTTGGCGCCTTACGTGGACGCCCTCGGGAAGGGCGGACTGGCTCTGAAACGTTGGGCTGTGGAGCTGGAGCAGATATGCTCAATGCGCCCAGTCGCGGTAGCCGTATCTTGAGAGTGGGCGTAGGCTCATTTGCTTTAGGGGCAGTGTGGGAAGGCGCCGGGGCTGCTGGGATCTTGATTTTAGAGTCGATGTGAACAGGTGTAACAGGCCTTGCGGGATGAGCGTCCTTGTAGCTTAGAGTCGCCTTTCTAGGAGAAGGTATCTTCGACCTGAGAGCGGACAAGGGGGTGTCTGGGTCTTCTGATTCGGGAGTGGAGGATACACGACGAAGGTACTTGGAATTTACGGTCCCGCTTGTCAAAGGAATCGGAGATAACCTCCTACGTGTCGGTTGCCGGGATCTTCTTGGTCTTATCGAAGCAGAACTGGTAGTGACTTCTGTCCGTTGAGGGTCATCTGCGGCTGTTGTGGCTCGACGATTGTCGAAAGGTGAGCCATTTATGTGCTGCACCAGTGCAGTAGGCTTAACAGCGTCGTGAGAGGCGGTCTCCTCTTTTTGACTGCGAGACCGTCGAGGCCTGGTTGGTGCGGCTTGTACAGGTTCGGCCTTGACAGGCACATAATCTTCGTCATCACGGCGGGAGTGTCTCTTACTCGACTGCCCGCGCATGCGATCATGCTGCAGAGATCGCCGCACCTTGCCATGCCGCTCTCCCTGACCAGTAGACGTCGTATTGTTTTCTGGAGCGGACGCTGCACTGTTTACCAGCATTTCAGAAGCCTTCGACGCAGTAATGTTCAGTATGACAACTAGAAGACTCATTGTGATGGGTCTCACCTCCATGATGCCGTTGACGTGGTTGAATGGTTCTTGTTGCTGAGCAGGGCTGCGAGATACTTCATCACTAGCATTGCCGTTGCCGACAACCTGCTCCAGCGCCAGTTCGGAAGCGTTGGTGTTTTCATGAAGAATGATCTCAACTCCATTTGTTGACGACCCCTGTCGCAGTTGAAGGCCAGCCAATAACTGGTGAACATCGTAGAGGCCACCGTCAGGTTCGGTCACATATCGATGGCTAGAAAGATTCTCACATGAGCAACCTCGACGTCTTCAAGAGAGAACAATGCAGCTGTTGGATCGAGCGGGGGGACATCATCATCCCCAGCAAGTGAGCTCAGTGATGTAAGAGGAGATGACAACGCGCTGACATCGCCAGCATGTCTACTGTACGGTATTAGGGGAACGCTATCTGTGACCAGACAAGACTCACTCTTCTGTGCGGCCACCACGGTTTTTGCTCACTTTGTTCCAAAAGTCCAAAGTGATGATCTTCTCAGGCACCCTATAGCGGCGACCGTTTATAAGCACTTCATCGACAGCAATTTTGCTGGGCGGAGGGGCTGGCACAACAGGTTCGTCCGGTATGATCTCGATGTTTCCGTTATTACGTTGGTGGGGCTTGATTATATCTATGGGAGTTGCATTCGCTCGAGGTATCCGACGTTTGGGTTGCTACGACTTTCTGGTGAACGACCGGTCGGACAGATAAACTGAGCTAGACGTACGAAAATATGGTCGGCGTGATTCGGACACATCCACTTCCTACCCCATGGCGGCATGAATGATAAAGGAGGGTCCACGCAGTCCAGATGCCAATGCAGATGACAATAATCGCACGAGATGATACTTCGACCACTTTGCGTCTGATTGACGATAGTGGAGTCTCTCCGTGTACGCTTGAATGCTGGGACAGATGCAGCCACATCAGGCGGCAACGCGGATGTGCCGCAGCGGAAACACAACACCGGCTCTCCGTTTCGATCCTTCAGCCGATATGGATCACGTTCTTCTAACTGACCATGTCGACTGCGATCATATGAGACTACAGCTATTCATACAGTGGGATTGGCAACATACTTAAGTCGCGGGGCTTTGACTTCCGAGCTGTCTACGTAGGTCCCTCTGGGACCGGTAGCAACTAGTAAAGAGAGAATATTCACTGAAGTGCTTGAATAGCGTGTCGAAGCTGCTCACCATCTTTGAAGTAGGTTCTGATATCATGTGGCAGTTGGAATTCAATGGGAAGACTCGTCTGAAGCTGTTCAATGAGAGGAACCATGAATCTCATAGAAGCTGGTGGCCTCGAAGGCGGCTTCTGTCGCCAAAGTTCAGCATCCTATGTATCAGCTGTTTGTATGTTTGTAGTCGACAGACCTGTTGCAAGGCGCAGGCGGGACAGAACCATCTGGCATCACCAGCAGGCAAATCGGCTTGTTCCATGGGAGGGTCCAAACACCAAAGATGAAATGCTCGTGGGCACCCGTCACAGTAGATGAGCGATCCCAGAGAGCGACAAGCTGAACAGTGATCCTCGTTTGTCTTTGGCAGAACGTCAGCGGGCGGCGGGAAGAATGTGCAACAGAACAGAACTGACCCCGGCTCCGGATGGAACGATATCCCCCATAGATAGAGAAACAGCAGAAGGTTCCTCCTTTACTCTGACAGCGCTATCTTTCTCTCGTCCTTTGCCCTTATCTCTCCGGGAGATGTGGTTGCCCCTGACATGGCTGCTTGCGACAACAACGTCGTCAGTGATGGGAAGCGAGTTTGAACGGGAGAGCGCTTCGTCAGAATCCAAGGGCATAGCGAGTGGATCAGAGTCAGGGAGCAAATGTGAGGCCGAGGCAGTAGCCTCCAAGAGTACCGGGAGATCGGGAGTAGAAGGATTGGTATTTAAATTGCGAGCGGATGCACGTTGTGCTCTGCCTGACGCGGTCCTATTGTCCGTGAGAGCATGACAACATACGAGGAAAGGTGCGGTATTGTGAGACGGCGCGCATAGATGGAAGCGTATATGGGATGATAGTCAGATCGAACGAGCACCCGAGAGGCATCACGAAACTCACCCCTTCTCTACTCTAGCCCTTTTCCGACGAGGGCCTTCCACCTCTGTCGTCGAGACCACCGGACTGATCATATGTCCTGTATAGGTGGTTCCCGGATCAGAGGCGGGCAAGTACGAATACGCGGCCACGGTTTTCCTGTGGTCTCTCTTCGAAAGGCCTGACTGCTGAACAGAGAGTAGTGATGGTGGCCCTGGTAGAATCTCCGTCGCCAAAGCGGGATCGCCCTCCAAATGCGACGGCTGTACAATAGGTACTCCCGGCAGCATATACGCTGGGACGCTCTCGACAGACGCCATGGTAGTTGAGATGCAAGGTGTGTGAAGCACGCTAAGCCGCGACGGTTATAGAGATGGCACTGCGTCAATGGGCGCAGCGCAATAAAGGAACCGCACTTCTTCACGCCAAAAGACGGTAGTAGTCTCTGAGAAGCCTATATTCTGCAATTCTTATATATACATGATTCATATAACCCTTTCCATCAGCACATAACGCCCGAGACTCCGGGGGGGAATAAATTAGGCAAACGATGGACTCTCATTTCTCCACAACCAGCAGCAAGCGCTGCTCTAAGACAAAGGTCAGGACTCGTCGCGACAACAGAGACAGAGTGGGCGACTTACAGGTCGTGGCTCTCAAGTGGTATCGTAGACGTGACGCTGGATTGGCAATGATGATTTCTTGCAGCCAGGTCAGCCAACATGCAATCTGCATGCACAGACCCTTCAGTGAACTGCCAAATCGTGGGACCAGCTGGTGCGAAAGTCCACTGTACGACGAGTCAGTCCCGTAGATGCGCCAGTGATGAAGGGTTGGGATAGGACTCAGTTTATGACGCACTTCCAGGAGCAGAACGTGGCTCACCATTTTAGCGGCAACTCTGAGACAGAACGTATAGTAAATTGCGAAGTGGGGAACCATAAGAGCAACAGCGTGAATGATTGTTCGCCGGTGACCTAGAGCATCTCGCAATGAAGACAGCCAGAGCGATTGATTGTGGCTTACATATGCCTACGTCCACTGTAAACGTTCCACAGAGAAATTCGTTGAAAGAAGCAATCTGTGTAGTCGTCCAGTGAAGCGGCCCTGAGTAGCCAACTGCTGACTGGTAGACAGCGCACAGAGCAAATGCGAAATGTGACAAAGCGCCAGGAGATAGAAGTGACGGGCATAATTGGGTAGTATATATTCCAATTAGGAAGAAGAACACAAGAAGTACTGCGTTTTCTTGTCATGACTTCACGGACAAAAAGTTATGGTAAGTGGCAAGACCCTCGGACATTCGTAAGAATATTAGACGACCTAGCTCAAGAGAATCGACCGTAGCGTAGGAAACAGGAAGCTTCTGGCAGCAACACCGGACATCGGTGCAGATTCGATATTTCTAGTATGTCAATGTCGAGAGATCCCAGCGTACACAGCACTTCTTGCTACCCAGAGCACATGCGGAAGCTCAATCAATCAAAGCTTCGAGCTCGTCCCTCAGGAAAAGGGCCACAGTAAGCTGGTTCCCTCCAGGAAGCACAGATCTAGATGTATATATGAAGGATGTGTGCCCACAACGACGAAGGTCGGAAGCGGAGGAGAATAGCCCAGATGAAGGGACAGGTGCCAGGTCGTTGTGGATGTTTCTTGCTTTGGTAAACTTCGACAAAGCGATGAAATCATCAGAGCATAAGTCACTCTTGCATCTTGCAAACGATGAACCAAATCGATCCACGTAATGTCATGAGAGCAGTGGTTGAGATCCATCCTCAAGCTCAACCGTGGTCGAGCTGCCACTCAGACGCCCAATATCTGTGGCGCCAAACCATAGCTGAATAAGACAAAGGCTTTGGAAACTAACAAAGCCAAACAACGCTTGTTCACCATGGCCAACACCACCGTCCGCGGCGCGCAGGCTATTCACGGCCAGAATCCCCAGGTAAGTGTGGCAATGCAAATTTATGAGACAGTTTATCACAACTGATTGCGTAGTTTTTAGTCGAAGCTGTCATACGAAATCGTATCTATGAGTCGACGTACTGGAAGGAACATTGCTTCGCTCTTACAGGTGAGAGTGGCAGTCATGTTAGCATATCGTCCAGCTGACGGCATGAACAGCTGAGAGTCTCATTGATAAAGCTATCGAGCTGAAATACGTCGGCGGTGTATATGGTAACCAGAAACCGACAGAATTCCTCTGTTTACTCTTGAAATTGCTCCAGATCCAGCCGGAGAAGGAGATTTTGTTGGAGTATTTGCAAGCGGACGAGTTCAAGTGCGTCAACATTCAGATCGTACATCATATTCATACGCTTATGGATTGTCTTGCAGATATCTCAGAGTATTAGCTGTCATGTATATTCGTATGACATTCAGGGCAGTTGAAGTCTACGAGATCCTAGAGCCGTTGCTCAAGGATTACAGGAAGCTGCGGTATCGTGGCACGAGTATGTATTCACGTTAGCGACGACGTTACGTGAGCTGACCGAACGAGCAGATGGATTTACGCTCACGTACGTGGACGAGTTTGTGGACAACCTCCTAGTGGAAGAAAGAGTATGCGACATAATCTTGCCCCGACTCACAAAACGCGACGTATTGGAAGATATGGCGGAGATCGGTTCCAGAAAAAGTCGTCTTCTGGACGCCATGGAGGGCAAGAGCGAGCATGGCAGCGATCATAGCCCCAACCGGAGCAGGAGTAGGAGCAGAGATCGGAGCTCATCGCGCAGCCCAAATGCAGAGCATTATGCAAGCCGAAGCCGGAATGCGAGCCGTACAAGCAAATCTCCTTCTCCTGCTGGTTCTGGCTATGTCTCCCGAACGCCTTCAAGGTCGCCATCAGGTTCAAGATCTCCTTATCGTTCTCATAGTCGCAGTATATCCTCGGATCGACAGAGTGGCAGTCCGCGTTACCGATCGCGCAGTCGCAGCGAACATCCGGATCAGCAGAATGGCAGCCCTCGTTATAAGTCACGGAGTCGTAGTATTTCACCGGATCGGATGCAGTAGCAAGAAAGCTCGCACGCAATCGGACAGTACATTAAGATATATGTACCTATTTCGCCCTGGCAAATTCCTGTGTCGTGTACTTGGTGAGTTGTTCTGATAGCACCTTCCATCGTTCCTCCACCACCGGCATGGTTTTGATAGCTGTAGGTGATAGGTAACCCCTGTTCTTCCATTGTGTATACCATTCTGTGAATGCGATGAGATTTGAATCCAGTTGTTAGGAGGGCGCGTACCTATATCTCTACGATGTGTAGGCGCAGCCTGTACTCTGTCTGTCCGGCCCTTCACGCAATCCCGCAGAGCTAGAACGTTGTAGTGTTTGCAAAAGACAGTGCCTCCGAGCTTCTCTACTGCACGGATAGCACTTTTGGATGCGCGAGAAGGAGTGATATGGATTGCCGTCTTCAACTGGTCCGCGCCCTGTAACCGGTATTCAAGCCCTCCATTGACAATAAGCAGAAATTCGACGAACATTTCCGAGCAGTTTCACTCCATCGTGGACGTCGTGGATGCATCCGCTTAGCAGGAGCTCTCGAGCTGTAATGGGCTTCTCGGGCGATGACTCAAGCCGTCCCTGATCTATCCAATGTTGTATACGGTCAAGGTTCACAGGAGCCCAAGTATTGCCCTCGCTGAACAAAAAAATCAACAAGATGACGAACCAAGGAAGACTACCACACGCACGCATTGACGAAACCTCTCTTCGGAATGAGCTTGCTGATGGGTGTCTGCCCTCCTTCGAAGCCAGGCTTTGGCTTGCCATTGCCGGCTCGCGCCTTCTGACCCTTGGTACCGCGCCCTGATGTCCCGCCTCGGCGTGATCCTTGACCACGACCTACACGCTTCGCCTAGAGAAGGTTGACAGACATGAGTTTCGCCCTTCACCGACGCTGCAAGACAGAAGGCGTACAGCATGCTGAGAATTCAGAGCAGGCGAGAGGTTAAACAGATGAACTCGGCTAGAAGTGGCAACGTAGCGAGTGACGAACATGACTGCGATCTGGGGGCGGTCAAGTCGCTGAAAGGTACGAGAGATCCCTCTCGTCCAAAATGGGAAAGTCGTCCATCGGCAGGCCCTCAATCTCGCTTGACTGGCGGCCTCTTCACTCACACTCATTCATTCGGCTAATCACCTCGTAAATGGCACTGTCACGAAGTACTCAAATATGGCTTTGAGACCACTGATTGTAATCTGTGGCACCACAGGAGTGGGGAAATCGAAACTTGCGATTGAACTCGCTCTTGCAATAGCGCAAGGCTCGGAGAACCGAAGACATGACTACCGCGGCGCTAGGATCATCAATGCTGATGCGATGCAAGTGTATCATGGGATGGATATCATCACGAACAAGGTGCCTGTTCAGGAGATGTGCGGCATTGAACACCTCCTCATGGGATTCAAGCAACCCGGCGAGCAATACTTCGTCACAGAATGGGTACGGGACGCAATGAAAGCCGTAAGCCGTTTCAGTCGGCAGACTTATGCGACGTCTGGCTTTGACATTATTTTACAGATTGAGGAAACGCACAAGCGAAATGAAGTGCCCATTGTTGTTGGTGGGACGTCATATTGGGTTCAACATCTACTATTCCCAAACCGCCTTGTATCCGCCGATCAAAATTCTGCTCTTTCTTCAGGAGATTCATCTGTCGGTTCAGAGGAGCTGAAACCATTGTTCGCGTCCCTACCTGCTGAATTGCTGGATTTATTCAATGCTCTACCCGCGCGAGGACCTTCCGCAGGCGCTCAGCCTGGATTGGCGATGTCTCTCTATAATCTATTATCCGCTCTTGATCCTAAAACAGCCAAGCTCCGGCATTGGAAAGACACAAGAAAAGTTCTTCGCAGTTTGTGCATTATTAGGGATACCGGACGACGACCAAGCAGTATCTACGCTGAGCAGTCCGAGAATATCGCCATTCCCAGGCATGTAAAGTCCCCACGTTGATCCTCATCCATACTAACGTCTTATAAGATATCGTACTCTTCTGTTCTGGTTGTATGCAAAGCCAGACATCCTCAAACCTCGACTTGATGCCCGTGTAGATCGGATGGTTGAGGTATGCGAAGTCATGGGCATTTGCAAAGTAGTGACCTTACTGCATCAGCAAGGCTTACTGAATGAAATACGCGCGTTAAGGTCAATCGCGTCGGCAGGAAGCTCTGTAATTTCATTTCAAAGTCAGGGTGAAGAGGAGACTGGCTCGAGAGAGCCAGACATCGACTACACTCTGGGAATCTATCAATCGATCGGTGAGTGATATAACCTGGACAGTTTGTTCCTCCCTTAAGGGTCTCTAGGATACAAGGAGTTTCACGAATTTCTCTCTAACCCGACATCATCGGACGACGCATTCCAAGCCGCTCTTGAGAGCATGAAGTCGGCCACTCGTAAATATGCGAAGCGACAGATTATGTGGATACGCAACCAGCTCCTTCCAGCAGTGAATGCAGCCAACAATACAAGCAGGACAAACATTGGGTCAGATATAGCTCCAGCGTATGTGCTGGACGCAACCGGTATGCCCTTGTCACATTTTCGAACTTGGGAAGCTTGATTCTTGCCGTTTTAGAGCTCGGAGAGTCGTGGGAGACCAACGTCCGCGCGACTGCATGTAAGATCACCGAAGGTCTGCTGTTTCACTCCGAGATCTGCTTTGAGCAATCACACAAATATCGTCTCTGACAGACTTTCTTGACGAGAAAGATCTTCCTGAACCTATCAGCCTCTCTAAAACCGCTTGCGAACTCCTCAGCAAGCCTGCCGAGCGAGTATTTGAAGATTTCACGCCGATTGAAGAAGGACTAACGTCTATAAGACAGACTTCAAGCTCGGCCATTACGCATCTGCGAAACGTGCACGATCCATAAGGATAGTCCAGTCATGATCAAGGAAGGGAATGCCTGGAAAGCCCATCAGAGGACCCGTGTGCATCGGAAGCGATTCAAGAAAGCGCACATGGCTTCTGCGAGCAGTCAATGTAGAGCGGATGACCGTGATAGTGAGATCGAGCACTCGGCATCTAGCTCCAATGACGAACACGCGTTCTCCTGAACAATATGTTAGCTACCCTGTAATCAAAATACAATGTCTGCTCGTCGGCGGGCTATGAAGCGCACGAAGAGCATCAGCGACTATCGTACATCACTAGCGCAAGTCAAATCATTCGAAGGGTATCAATGCGTATCTGCTGCAGTGTCAGGTATCCTAGGCCTCATTCGCCCAGGCTGGAAGCCACTCTTCCCAGTTCAACCAGTCGTCACCGTATTCCTCTTCATATCTGACAGCATCTACATTGCCCTCTCGCAGATGCTTCATAGGATTGAGCAGCCTGTCGATCACATGCACGACTCCATTCCGCAAAGGAACGTCGGCAATCTTTACCTTTTGCCCGTTCGCTATGAGGATCGTATGGAAGATTGGATGATGCAAAATTGGGTTATGGGATTTCTCCTCGAATTGAGCGACGTGGACCTCCATAGAATGATTGCTCACGAGAGTGGGGATTGTGATGTTGAACGAGTATATGGGCGGATATCTCGGGGACTGCGGCTTCGCGTGACGAGGACGTGAATGCACCGGCCCTGCATATGATGGAAGCGGTGCTCCTGCTGGGTGAGCATGTGGCGCGTCTGCGCACTGAGACAAAGGACTGTTACCCAGTTTCACAGGCGAGAAGGGTGGGCAATGCTGTCCATCAAATGGAATGGAGTGTGTTACATGGGGCGAATGCCTTGGGCTGTTGGATGCAGAGTAAGAAATATGCGACCAGTAGTTTTCATCCTTGTGATGGTGCTCGTGATGAGAAGGCATAAACCACGGACGGTGGTCCGCAAACAGCGGCGCGTACGGACCTTCTGGAGGCGGTGGAGCGCTGCCGAAACGGGGATGATGTGTGTCTGATGCAGGCTGAACATGCATATCATGCGATCTGGGCGGTTGGGGTAGTGGATGATCAGGCGAGAGAGATATGTGTTCGTGGAATTGGTCAGGATGAAGAGGGTCGCCATGGGAAGGCGAGATGTGACATAGATTCGGTAATGGGCTATGAAAAGAGCGCGAATCAGTGCAGCCAGACGTATCAGACAGGAAAGTTGCCTTGTCGGAGGATGGTGGCGGAAGCGTACCCGACTGAGACTGAAGGCCATCAGAAAACGACATACGGACTGAAAGCATGCCAGGCTGTGGCGGAGGTGGGCACCCCGGCGGCATCAGTGGAGAATGATACGGATGGTCACGCGATGATTGAGGCGGCACACATAGGCTGAGGTGACGAAGCCTCCTAAGGGAGGGCGAAGCTGAGGCATCCGAAGGTGGCGGCGGGCAATCCCGAGAAGGAGCGAGCCGAGGGTGCTGGTCGCTATACGGTGATGAATGACAATACTGTCTTTCGTCCATCATGCCAAGGCATTCCTATGGCAGGTTCAACGACTGGTAGCTGAGGCTCGCGCTGTATGGCCCACTACCATCTACAATGCCTCCGCGATGCGCGCCTGAGGATGCATTACTGGAAGCGTTGTGTAGCCAATCTGAACGTGTAGGAGAGTCTGCATATGTTCTTCGTTCGGTATAGATGATCGAGGCTTACCCGAATGTAGAACGAATTCGGGGATGATGTAGAACTGCAGGAGCTTCTTCAACGCCTTTTGTCCAATAGGTGTGAACAGATATGATTTCAGCGACCCCGGAAGATTTGCGAATGCTTTGTTTGTCGGAGCGAAGAACGTGACGGCCGGAGAACCTTTCATGCCGTCGCCTGCTACCTGGTGAAAGTCAGCAGCATCGCTCAGGCCAACATGGCCAAGTGCGGATGTCTAATTACACATTAGTGTCGAGCATGTGCTTACAGAGTGAGTGGAGATTCACCCGGGTAGAGAATAGATCAGGCATGAAGAACAGATCTTCGAATGCAGTGGGCGGCGGGACCAATGGGCGATCAATCTCGTGAATTACACCATTTGCGGTATAAATGTCTGCTCTCAAGAACTTGGCATACATGTTCACTGATTGCGGAGAGATGCAGACGCGGAGGGGTTCTCCGTCAAGGGAGCCATCCATCAGCTCAAGCTTTGTCGCATGCGTAGTATTCTGTGTCAGCGATGTAACAGACTCTAATGAAGGAAGGATATGGCATAAGAGGATCCCACGGATGATTCTTGTCAAATTCGGCTTCATTAGCTCAAATTCGTCGGACGTGTGGTCATACGTCAGCAGGTTCTCTACAGCAGCGAATGTGTCCAAGGAGGCGCAATGGAATGATTCAACACTTTGTGGGAAATCATTTGTTGACACGAATGATGACGACGGCTCACGATGCTTCGGCGGACCAGGCGGGGAAGGATGATGGAGTGCGGAATTGGACGACGCAAAGAATGTGATGCTGGCAAGTGCCCGTTACGATCATGGGTCTCAACTGGATGTCAGACTGCTTTACTCACTTTGCAGAGGTATCATTCAATAGATAAACAATGTCATCGGTCAGATTGACGAGCTTGAATACACGCGGGTACCTGGGCAATGCCGTCAATATCAGTTCTACCAACCAAGCAACGACTAGTATTACATAGAATGACGCACTTTGGATCGTCGCTGAGAACCTGATAAATAGTCTTGTTTCCATACTTATCGCGAGGGTTGCGGTGAGGAGCTTGATATGCGGCGGCAGAGAGGAATGATGGCTTCGACTGTATACATGGAGCCTCTACAGGCTGCTCCTCGGAAGCAAATGACCACTGAGGCTCGTCTTCGCGGGGAATCTCCAATGATGGCGCCGCTGCGCCGGCGGAGTGGTCTACACGAGCACTTGGCTCATCGTGCACCATCTCATCCAGCCGGACGTATGCTGCAGACACAGCGAGCGCCCCAAAGAAGGCCGTCCCCAAGGAACGAAACAACATGGAGAGTGAGCGAGGGTGGAGGTGAGATTTCCCCCGCCTGGCCGACTGCGCATAAATAACTTGCCATGCAGCCATCCGCAGCAGGTCCCACATCCTAGCTGCCGTGCATATCTGGTCCGATCGGACCGCGCCAGAACCAACCTGCCTTTTTCTTAGAAGCGAAGGTCGTCACCTCAAGCCACGGCCGCCTGGTAAGTCGCTCTGGGCACTGCGTATCGTTATTGCTTGTGACACTGCTTGTGACACACAAAAAATAACTGGGAGCCAAAGTGCAGCTATTGGCGCGACGAGCTGTTTGACTTCTCATTATCGCACAGTACTGCGGACAATCTGCGCAATCACATCAAACCGGCCATCGGCGAATCTCCGCTCACCTCAGTTTTCCTTTATCAACACTCGTACTTCAGCATCCCATGGTCGGTGCAGGGCGTATGACGCATTGCTTTGCGGACTGCGGTAATCCATGAAGAGAAGCGAAGTGCTAGCGAAAGTACATAGATTGCTAAAAGGGTATCTTACTCTACCAGCTGGCGGAATCGTTCCTGTATTTCATTGTATAATGCATCCATCTTCTGCTTGATAGGCTCCTTTCCTTGCGATGGTGACTAAAGAGACGTGAGCGCACGCTGACTTTGGGAACGACGGGTGGCATACCTCGAACTTCATCTGAGACAGCTTGTACATAAGATCTCCCGCCGAGTCCCTGATCCTGGCGAACGTGATGTCGCTCTGTGATACCGCTTTCAGAGCGGCATCATGGAAGGCGACGAAGTTGCGCAACATTGCGCTTGTCTTGTAGAAGGGGCAAAAACGATCGTACTCGCTCATGCCGTTTTGCTGCAAGAAATCGTCCTTGAGCATGCGAGCCACTTCCAGAATGATCTTATCCGCTTCTCCCAAAGCACTCTTTCCGACGAGCTGTACGATTTCCGCAAGGTCGTCCTCTTTTTGCAGAATCTCTTTCGTCTTTGTTCGCAGCTCGACGAAGCCCGGTTCAGTCTGCTCGTAATAAGGCTCAAGTACTTTGGTATACTTCGAGTATGACACATTCCAGTTGACGGATGGAAAATGCTTCCGCTGTGCGAGCTTCTTATCAAGACCCCAGAACACTTGCACGATACCAAGCGTCGCTGACGTGACAGGATCTGAGAAATCTCCACCAGGGGGTGAAACGCTAAGACAGACAAATATGTCAACGTGCAGCTCATGTGGGTTAAAAAAAAGGGGGTGGGTAACTCACGCGCCGACGATGGATACGGTGCCCTGCCGAACAGGATTACCCAAACAAGTCACCTTGCCCGCACGCTCGTAGAAGCCAGCCAGCTTCGTACCCAAGTACGCCGGATAGCCCGAGTCGGCAGGCATCTCGGCCAGACGGCCGGAAATCTCACGTAGTGCCTCCGCCCATCGTGATGTCGAATCTGCCATCATGGACACGTTACTGCCCTGGTCACGGAAGTACTCCGCGAGAGTGATTCCGGTGTAGATGGAGGCTTCACGGGCAGCGACTGGCATGTTCGATGTATTGGCAACGAGCGTAGTGCGCTTCATGATGGGCTCTTGACGATCGCCAACTTCCATCGTTAGCTGGGGGAACTATCGCGCCTGTGAGCTTGTACTTTTTGAATGTGGTTGACGCAAGACTCACGTCCATCAATACTTCTGCCATCTATAGCATCGTAAGCACCATACACAGAGGCTGAGACATCGTTGGCTAACCTCATTTCCTCGCTCGCCGCATCCGACGTAGATGATGATATCGCTATTCGAGTACTTCGACAATGCTTGCGAGATGACAGTCTTGCCACAACCGAATGCACCGGGGATGGCCGTTGTACCGCCTTGTACACACCTGCGTAGGGGTCAGCTAACCTAAAACAGGAACACATGACAATTGCGGACGTACGGGAACAGAGCGTCCAATATACGTTGACCAGTGAGTAGCGGGTAGTTCGCACTGTGCTTTTCGGTGACCGGTCGGGGTGCACGCACAGGCCAGACTTGCATCATGGTGTGTTGCGTGACCTTGCCCTCGAACTCCGTCTCGAGCACAACGTCCTATGCATGCACGTTACTCACAGCTTCCATTGAATGAGCACAAAGATCATACGTTAACAGCATAGCTACCCTTCTCGGCGATTTGGGTAATTGTACCGAGAGCGCGAGGGTGAAGCATGACTTTGTGCTGATCGACGAGCGAGTTCTCGTATACGCGTCCAAAGATATCGCCTCCTGAGATGTGGTCGCCGACCTGCAGGATGGTGATGCCTCGACAATATAGGTATATGGTGGACATTTGTAGCGTACCTTGAAGTTGATAGGGTCAAAATCCCACTGCAGAGACCGATCAAGCGGATCCGTATTGATTCCGCGCGGGATGTAGATAGACTTGGAGAGCTCTTGAATAGACTGGCGAGGCGGTCAGTCTAAATGAGAGTAGCATGCAGCTATATAGAATCATACACGTAGTGGTCGTTGAATTCCATCAACAATATTAGACATCAGACCTGCACGAACTGTTAGCAGCATCGCATCAAAGAAATGCATTACGCACCAGGGCCAAGCTCGACACTAAGAGGTTTTCCCGTGCGCAAAACGGGATCACCGACCGTTACGCCGGATGTCTCCTCGTACACCTGAATAGTAGCCTTGTCCGCGTCGATCCGAATGACCTCTGTGGCCAATGGCTCTGAAAAAATTCGGGAAATGGAAGTTATTTGATCAACGCACCTCCTACGAGCTCATCATGTCCAACGCGGACGAGCTCGTACATGGCCGAGCCGTTCATGTTCTCCGCAATGACGACGGGGCCGGAGACGCCATAAACCTGTCCGAAGCGCGACTCACGTTCCTCTCCGCTGATCTTAGGGAGCTCCTTCTTTGCGTTTGCGAGTGCGCCGGCCATAGTAGAGGACTCAATCCTAGAAGCGCAGCGAAGTGAATGGGGGATAGCATCAGACAGCGCCCGCCCACTACGGCGCACTAGACGCCCGTTGCACGTGTGCGACGGAGATAGCAGCGGTATGATGACCGAAGCGCGTCGTGAGCGCACTGACGCGTCCTTCACTCTTACGCTCAACCAAGTACTGTCCCACTTGCACATTCATCACGACCAAATTGCTTCACGATGCCGCCCAAAGCGTGAGTGGCCAGTGCAGATGTACCATTGCTCTGTACTAACTATCTCTTACGCAGTGACTGGGAGAAGTGTATGTGGCTTTGCATGGACTTCACCAGTTCCAGACTGACACGCAGATGTAGGGGAGAAAAAGGGAGACGACAAGGAGGAGAAGGAGATCAAAGGCGAGCCTTACAAATGACACAACTTATTCACTCGGGCTCACGTTGCACCTAGTCCTTGACGACAGCGACATTCAAATCCTTAAAACATATGTGTGTGTTCCACGGCCAGTGCTGCTTCCTCGTCGTATTGAGTTGATAATACAGGGACAAGGACCATATGCTACAAGGTTGAAGAAAGTCGAACAGGATATCAAAGAGGCGCAGAAACGGGTGAATGACAAGCTCGGTTTGTGCTGCTGCGTCTTGCAATCTGTTCTTCGTCTTACTCAGCATAGGCATCAAGGAGTCCGACACCGGTCTCGCACCACCAAATCTCTGGGATCTTCCTGTCGATCGTCAGCGTATGGGCGAGGAACATCCATTGCAAGTCGCCCGCTGCACCAAGATTATCCCCATAGACCCTGAGGCGGCAGCAGCAGCTCGGGCCGTGAACCCAGTAGGCGCTGTTCAGGGTCAGAAGGGTGCCGACGAGCAAGACAAGTATGTCATCAACATCAAGCAGATTGCCAAGTTCGTCGTGGGTCTTGGTGATCGGGTAGCACCGACGGACATTGAGGAGGGCATGCGGGTCGGGTGAGTACTCATGATCGTGTTGTTTAATGCATAGCATATATATGTCGCAAACAGAGTGGACCGAAACAAGTACCAGATCCAAATCCCTCTGCCTCCGAAGATCGACGCGTCAGTTACGATGATGCAGGTGGAGGAGAAGCCAGACGTAACATATGCAGACGTTGGTGGATGCAAAGAGCAGATCGAGAAGCTTCGTGAGGTCGTGGAGACACCGCTGCTGTCTGTGAGTATGATGCACCCTTCTATCATGCTCCTACTAATATCGTCCAGCCCGAACGTTTCGTCAACCTCGGTATCGACCCACCGAAAGGTGTGCTCCTTTTCGGGCCTCCAGGCACGGGGAAGACACTTTGCGCCCGTGCTGTTGCCAACCGAACAGACGCCACATTCATTCGTGTTATTGGTTCCGAACTCGTGCAGAAGTATGTTGGCGAGGGTGCGCGGATGGTGCGAGAGTTGTTCGAGATGGCGCGGAGCAAGAAGGCATGCATTATTTTCTTCGATGAAGTTGATGCAATTGGCGGTGCGAGGTTCGACGACGGCGCCGGTGGTGATAATGAGGTCCAGCGGACCATGTTGGAGCTCATCAACCAGCTGGATGGTTTTGACCCACGAGGAAACATCAAGGTGCTCATGGCTACGAATCGGTGCATATTATCACCCATCTCTTCTAATACTCGTCACTGACGATGTTACAGACCTGATACTCTCGACCCTGCACTGCTGCGTCCCGGTCGGTTAGACAGACGGGTTGAGTTCTCATTGCCAGATGCCGAGGGTCGCACACATATCCTCAAGATACACGCACGAAGGTTTGTTCTTCTGATTGATTGAGCATCTCCCATATCTTGACCCGTCCCTGCAGTATGAGTTGCGAACGCGACATTCGGTTCGAGCTGATTGCTCGGCTATGTCCGAATACCACTGGTGCCGAGCTGCATTCAGTCGCAACAGAAGCAGGCATGTTCGCAATTCGCGCAAGGCGGAAGGTCGCGACGGAGCGTGACTTCTTGGATGCTGTGGAGAAGGTCGTCCGGCAAGGGACCAAATTCTCCAGCACGTACGTTTCTTGGATTTATCCACTGTTTGAGAGGCACTGACCACTCTCCTTCCAGGCCATTGTACCAGGTGTATAACTAGTTTATATATTCTCTTCATGTTTTCTCCCTCTATTTGTTGTACATAAATGTGGAAATGAACATTTTCCTGCACCGGCTCGATAGTAGCAGCGTTTGTGGTTATAAACGCGTGCGCGTCGAGTCGTCGCGTCCTGCCAAACGCGCTCGTTAGGACTCTCGTATCGATGAGGCTGCATAAATGTGCACCCTGTGCATCTCGTCTAGCACTCTGTCGTAAATACGGACTGTTTTCAAACTCAAGTCTCCTGCCCGCACTGAATCTCAGCTGGCGACGAGCACTGCACACCCGACCAGCCACCCATGGCGCAGACACCGAGCTGTCCGTCGCAGAGCTTTCGAAGCTGATCGAGGAGCATGCAAAGCAGCCTCCTCAGCCGCTCACTCTCTCGACCCTCCTCTCGTTCGCATCACCCGTCACGCCTGAGTCCGTCCTTGCCTCAGTCGGCTATGTCTTCACTGAGATTCCACGCCGGCTCGCGATGCGCGCGCACTCATTGGAGGCGCTGCCGTTTATCGTCGGCATGAACCCGTTTATTGCTCGAACGCTCCAGTCGTATCGCAAGAGCTTCAGATTCCTGACGAGCCATCCGCCGGTGAAGACGCTGGAGGAGAACAAGCTATTCACTGCGCAACTGGAGGCCTTTGTACGGAGTCATGCAAATGACATACCCACCATGGCGCGAGGGTGAGTGTTGTTCCCTCTGTACCTCAATCCGGTTGTCAAAAAATGGACTGTCAGAACCATCATGACGACTGAATGTGCTGTCGCAGCTTCCAAGAATGCGCCCGTTACATGACCCCTGAGCAAATCAGCTCCTTCCTCGATGAGGCAATCCATAACCGCATCTCCGTTCGTCTCATCGCGGAGCAGCATATCGCAGTTTCCCGTGCACTCGAGGAGAAAGCTATGACCAAGGACCATCTTGGCATCGTCAATACGGGATGCTCTCCAAGAGAGATGATACGCATGTGCGGTTCGTGGGTGAGCGATCTCTGCGAAGCGACGTTGGGTAAACATCCGGAAATTGTGATTGATGGCGAGGTGGATGCTACCTTCGCGTGAGTATTGAATAATGTTTCAGCACCACACGTTTCAACATTTGACAGATACGTACCTGTCCATCTCGAGTATATCCTCACCGAGATACTCAAGAACGCTTACCGGGCGACCGTCGAGCGGCATGCCAAGCAACGCTCACCCTCCAATCCCTCTCCAGTCCCCCCCGTGATCATCACCATCTCCCCTCCCCCTTCTACATCTCACCCACGAACGCGCTTCCTGTCCATGCGCATCCGGGACCAAGGTGGAGGAGTCCCACCTGCACACCTCGCACAGATTTTCTCCTACTCCTTCACTACTGCCGGACGTTCCGCCGGGTCCAGCGGTAGCGGGTGGGACGATGCAGAACTCGGCGGCGGGCCTTACGCTGCTCAATATGTCGGTGGGAGCGCAGTTGTGGATGGCACGGGCTCGATGAATGGGGGACTGTTTTCCGAGATGGCAGGCAGAGGCGTCCAGATGGGCATGGGTACTATTGCTGGGCTTGGTTATGGACTGCCCATGAGCCGGTTATACGCGAGGTATGTCATATGTGAATAATATTCTCATCCAGTTCATGGAAGTTTTCTAGGTATTTCGGTGGCTCCCTTGACTTTGTTTCTCTGGATGGATGGGGTGAGTATCTCTGCTGAGTGCTTCACGATGACTCTGCTAGATTTATTAACAGGGAGCGATGTCTTCCTCAAGCTAAGATGTCTCGATGATGCTGGGGATGCAGAGATTTGACCGTCATTGACAAAGTGCCAGACGACATTTATCCCTCTCGAAATGTCTTGGGGCCATTCTGAGCTTGCTCAGTCCACGCAGACAGGTCAAAGTCACAAAGTAGACTCCTGCATATTGGGAAGCGGAGGCGATATTGCGAGTAGGATATGAGAAGCGACTAGCGACATTTTTCCGCAGGCAAATCGTTATAAACCAGCGAATCAGAGCGATGCGTGTTAATAAAATACAAGTAACCGGGGTATGCAGCAGTAAGGACCAGACCAGCTTGAAAGTCATCAGTGTGTGAGTATTGTAAATGCAGATTCAGAGCAGCCTCTATGGAAAAGTTCATCATGCCCAAGCAAACCTGCGGCATGTTCACTTCGCAGTCTGTCGTGCTTGTTTAGCTTACAGCGCACATGCAGAGGTAATTGCTCACCATGGTGCGACTCGAATGGTACGACGTCATCGACTGGGTCTGAGGCGTTCGATATGTCCGAGATGAGCCCAGTTGCAGAGAAGTCGAAGCGCTTGGCGTGCTGGTAGTGGCGGTACGGGTGGAACGGGCTGTTAAGGGAGTTGGCGCACTAATCATAGACTTCTTTGGTGTCTCGGGAGCTTGTTTGCTGCTGCGAATGCTGCTGAATCCTGACGTCGACGTCAAGTTAGACTTTGATGGGGTGGCACTCGGGCTCGTAATCCTGGAACGTCGGCCGGCGGTGATGAAGGGATGTCGCAGAGCAGCCTGAGGCTTGATCCTCTTCTCCGGATCCCAGACGAGACACTTTGATATGAAGTCCACAAAGTGCTCGTCATCGCACCGCAGAACCTGCGCAAGGGTCCTTGCGCCGGGTCTCCTACGGCGACCTTTGGAGTTGACAACCGGACGAGGTGCGCCGGTGGTATCTACCCTTTCTCAGGAACTATTCTATGGAGGCTACTATGAACGGACTCACCAAAGAAAAGCCTCTTACGAGAGCTGCGGTTGATGAAGTCCTTGTCGGGTACACCGAGAACCTCCATGATGCAAGAGAGTTGTTCTTGTTCATTCTCGCCGGGAAATATGGGATATCCAGTGTATAGCTCGGCGAGTATGCATCCCAGACTCCACATATCAATTGCCATGTGGTAATTCATACCTAGGATGACTTCCGGAGACCGGTAAAAACGGCTCTGGATGTACGTATAGACTGCATGCTCTTAGGACAATGTTCAATAGAATAGAAAGACGTGCTCACTTTTCTCATGCTCGAAACAGCTACTGCCAAAGTCAATGACTTTGATAGCGCTTTTCGCAGGATGCCGGAGGAGGACATTCTGTGCAATTCCAGGTTAGAGCATGCTTCAACGAAAGGCAAAAGTATGTACTTCAGGCTTTAAATCGCAATGTACAATGCGATGGTGCCGCATCAAACATAAGGACTGAAGCATCTGGCTTGTGAAGCGCCGGATTAATGCCGTCGTGAACCCAGCAAAACCATTGGCTTTGATCAATTCATACAAGTTGATGCTCAACAACTCCATCGCAATGCACAGATGTCCACGGAAGTAGAAGTTTTCGGTCATTTTAATGACATGATGCTTCTCATCCTGATCCTACAATAGTAGTTAGCGCACGTTACATCTGCAATCCAGTTGGAACGAACCCATTTCCGTAAGCTATCTAGAATCTTGATCTCAACAAGGGCCTGGTGGTGAAACCGTTTCTTGTTTCGAATAATCTTGACAGCCACAGACTCGCCTGTGTAATGATCACGGCAATGTAGAACCTGACCAAATGAACCCTTCCCTAGTGTGTCGATCACTTCGTAGCGGTATGCTAAGTGGTCATGATTGACGACCAGATAGTCACCACGTTCGTCATCATAACCGTGGTTGTTCGTCGAGTTTCCCAACGTTGCCCGTTTCTTGTCGCTGTGAGCACCTATGTAGTATACAGATCCGTACTTCAGAACCTCTTCGCGCTCAAATTCCGATAGGAACTGTGCCTGAGGGCTCTGTAACAGGGCTTATGACTTCGTATTAGATTCAAATAGTTTTGATGGTCTTATAGCAGCACTCACCAGTAGGAGAGATAGGAGCAATTGGAGAAATCGGTTCCGGGAAACGTAACATCTTGTCAAGTTCTTCCTGTGTCGCCCCAGTCGCTAGCTTCTTCGCGTGTTGCCTCCTGATGTACTGCAGCATCTCCTCATCGCCAGCGACCTCCTCTTCATCGACCGAACTGGGCGCTGGTGATGGCGTCGACAATGACTGTCTACTCATGGAAGGTGATGCCATTGCCTGATGAATGCTAGGGGTCGAAGACGAGTTCGAGGATCTAGATGTAGGAATAGACATCTTCGGACTCAACAATTTGAGCCCCTTAGATGGAGACAATGCCGAGAATCGATGAGACGACTGTCCCTCATTTTGCGGTGCAACCAATGAGACCGACGCTACGGACCCTGTCGAGGACTTACGCAATCCGCCGAACGACATCGAGTCTCGGTTCTTACGAGGAGCTGTACCGTTGACAGTGGTAGTGATTGCTGGCGCCGTAGCCTGGCGAGGGACGCGCGATGTGATGGACGGAGATACCCGGGCAGAATGACGTTGGCTGGCCATTACCACTTTAGATCCCAACGATTGTGCGGTTTCGAACACGCCGAATTCATTCGTTGACTCATGGCCCACATTTGGGGAGGTGTCACGCGACGGAACGTGAACAGGATTTCCCACCAATAGACTCGCTCGACGATTACCCCCGTTCGCTTTGAACGTCGGGGAATTCGTCGTAGAGGACCGGCTTGAAATTCGAGGTATTTTGGTAGGAGTCTCCTTGGTAAGACTAGACGTGGGGTTCAGTGACGATGAAGGAATTGGATCCCTGGACTCCTTCGTTGCATGTGGGTTAATGCTACCAACAGATGGGGAGCCAGCAATCGTAGGAAGTTGGTTTCGACTGCGCAACGAAGTGTCAGAACCCTTCTGCAACGAGCTGGCGGTCTGAAAGGTGGTCCTCGATGATGAAGTCGATTTACTCGAGGACGACACCGACGGATTAGACGAGAGAGAAGTTGATGACGATTTCAAACTGGCGACCCGCTGAGCAGTAGCCGCAGATAGTGCCGATATCTGCATGGGTGGCAATGGCACCTGTTCCAGCTTCTTCGGTGTAGCTTGAGCGGATGAAACAGTCTACCCAGTCATGAGTACCATTCTGGACAACAGTGCACTAATTGAACTGACCTTGCCTCGCCTCCTTCCCATCAGTACTGAGATTCTGCTCTCGCTGCGCTCTTTCTCGTCTTTCTTGTGCTTTTCCTTGTCTGATTTACTTCCTTGGTCCTCTTTTCCGCTCTTAGAATCATTCTTCTCTTTGTCAGAGTGAAGACTTCGTCTCGAGCTGGAGCTCTTTAGCAATGACGGTAGGCCTAAGCTTAGGACCGAAGATTTCTTTTGCGATGGACCGGTTGCGGAAGGAGACAACAGCCTAGAATCTCTTGAAGGAGATCGGCTTGTGGTACGAAGACGGGCTGAGGAAATAGCTGCAAGGCCTGTTGGGGACGGCGGTGGAGGCATTGTGTTTGACGGAGGCACTTGCATGGATTGTGAAGAAGAGCGGCGGAAGAATGGTATTGACGACGGAGTCAGACGTTTCGAAGATGGTCCTCGACGAATCGATGAAGATGGGCTGAGAGGTGCTCGCGTGACAGGCACGTTTGTGCTCACACTTGAAGCTGTCCCTGGTCGGCTCGGTACCAATTGATCTGGTGTTCTGGATTTAGCAATGGGAGGTTGCAAGGACGTCCCAGAAGCCGCGGGCGACAATGGCGTTGACACCAGTTCCTTAGGAGAACCCGCTGACGAGACAGATGCCAATGATGTTGCTGAGGCCATAGCTGCTGTGTTCACCGACAACCACTCGTCCGTGGTCGTCTTGGATCCCGGAGATGTTGGATGTTCCCTAGAGACAGACTTCCTCAGCTGCGCGCCAAAACTGAGCGAGCGGGGGGTGATGGGAAAGCCAGGAGACTTAGGAGCTGCGGACTCCTTCATAGACGAGGTGGAAGGCGAGTTCGAGAGCTTCTTGCCCAGAGCATTTGAGAAACTCCACTTCTTCGACGGTGTCTTATGCACAGCTGTCGGGGTGGCAGATTCTTGCACTTGCATTGAGGCATGCTTAGAGGGCGTTTCGGTGACTATGGGAACGTCAAGCGTCGTTTGAAAAGTGGCCTCGCTGACTGTCTCCCTTTTCGTTTTGGAAGCCCCGATAGTGTCGGGTGGAGAGGTCACTGCAGATACCGAACCTTGCGATGGTAGCTTGAAATCCTTCGGTAGAGGAGGTACAGGGGGGACTTCATTGTCGTCAATCGCGTCAGAAGGAATAGGAAGCGCAGCAGCACGATCCCGGACGTGGTTGGCTTCAACAGAGAGTCCAGCGGACATATCACTTCCCGCACTATTTCTCCTGCCCTTGTTTGATGATTGTCGACCTGAGGTGGTGGATACTGACGTGGCATTTGTGCTGATAGACAAGGTAGCAGAGTCTCGCGAACTAGTTGTTGGAGTACTGGTATAAGTACCAGATGAGGCCGACCCACGCTTCGTAGCGAAGCCACCTCGCGCGTTGATGGAGTTAGACTTCTTCAACGGCTTCTCTGGTAACTGGGAATTCGTGCATGTGTCCTCAGATGCGTTCAATGGGAATCCAGCGACCTCCACATCGGTGAACACGTCTGCTGCACCGATACCGGGACCAATATTCTGCCTGTGGGCACTATGCTGTTCCTTTCCCTGAGTCTTGTCCTTCACTGTAACGTAAGTACTCGTGCGCTTGCTTCCTCTTCCGCCCTCCACGCCTTCCCATTGAGACGAAGCCGTTGCGGGAGTAGACGGTCGGCTAGAGCTACCCAACCTACTATGAGCACCGATGCTCGACCTCGCTCGCGCACTTCGCCCAGACAACCCGTCCAACTTCCGAAGAGCCTCCACAGTACTCTGGTCATCAAGATCTGACCAACCTTCTTGAGTTCCTCGCAAGAGCGAATGGGCAACATGCACTGAGGAATGCAAGGTCTCTCTCTCTCTCGACACGTTATGAGAAGGAGATGTTGCCGTGCTTCCTCCGTGTTTCAAGAACTGCTGGATCGACGAGGTGGACGGAGAGGGTGGCAAATGGGAGAAGTCGGATGCATGAGCACGTCGCGAATGATGGTTCTCTCCATGGCTAGAAGACGAGGAACTTGTTGACGTTTGTCTGGAATGCTTGACGTTTACCGAGAGTGTGTCTCTTCGGCGATCCTTCAGCTTGTCTCGTGGCGTGGCCGACACCACTGGTCCGAGAACGAGACTGCGATGTCTGCGCACAGAAGCCTTCTCCTTCGCGCTGCCAGTCGACAAAGCCGAGGAATGTGTCGGGATGAAATTGCCAACCTGATCCATCTCAAATTCATCCGAGGTCCGCTTCCTTGGACGGCTCGTAATCGCGGGGAAGGCACTCGGGGGAGATGAGTCTAACCGTTCTTGCGCAGTCGTACCAAAGGATGCGTCAATCCCTACCAGAGAAAGGTCAGGAATAACTGTTTCGCTGCCATCATGAGAGCCTTCGATGCTTCCTGCACGCTTGAAATCATCAGCAGGATGTGCATGGCGAGGATACAATATCTCTTCTCCGCCGCTCTCGTCTGCCATAGATGGACGGGAACGTAACGAACGCGGCACAGCCTTCACTTCAACGAACTACACGGTGCTACGTCAGCGAGTGTATGCACAGAGGGGGTGAATCGAATGCAAACCTCATCCTGCTCCTCTGGTTCGCCGTCTACAGCCTCGATGGTCCAAGGGCTGTCAGGCATGTCCCTCTCTAACTCCTCCACAATGAACTCGTTGTCTACTTCGTCCACTTCCTGTTCGTCCACTTCGCTGACCGGCTCGTCGATCTCAACCTCCTCATGGTGTGATCCCCGCGTCCAGCGTGGGGTGGCGAGCTCACCTACCCCGACCAGTCCTCGTCTGTCAATGGCAGCAAGATCTTTGCCTGGCGTGACTGGTTCGTTCACTGCACACATTTCCGGTGTTTTTGGTAGGTGCTCCGCATCTAAGAGGGCGGGAACAGGAGACTCAGATGGGCTCTGCGCGCTGAAGTAGTATGGATCCAATGACGACGTTGCAGAGTCCGATCGAGACGTCTCCGTTTCCGTCTCCATATCTTTGTCTTTATTATGCACTCGAAGGAGCAGCTATGATGAAAATTATAACCATGAGCGAAGGCTCAACAGATTCAGGAGAAGTACGATTACATGCTGAGCGTCCTTGCGAGTATCGCGTTCATATCGTACGTCTCCGTCCGACGCAGCCTTCTGATCACCAAAATTCAGCGTCGGCGGTCTGTCTCTCCGTTTCGTGAGTCCTTTGTCATGAGCCACTGGTCCGATAATGGGTGAAGGCGGAGCGGACATGTGAGGAGGTTGGTGAACGAGCGAGCGAAAGAAACGAAAGACAGAAGCGGAAAAGGAATCCGGACACCGGAGTCAAGGATATTATTCGTTACAGGAAGAAAGACGAGGGTGGTTGGCCAGGAACAGGTGCACAGCTGGCGATCAGCTCAAAGGCCTTGCCAGTGGGCTTGACATTTCAGGGATTGCTCTCAGCGTGTCGCACAACCGCCTCGTGGCCGTTAATTGTCTCTATTTGCTCAGTGGCTCACTGTTAACTGTTTCAGTCTCACAAACACATTCCTCGTGGTATAGATCCAATACGTTACGAAACGTAATCTACAAAAAAGCCCAGTCTATGAACGCAAACCGGTACTGCTGCAGCGGCGTAGATATCAGGAAGATATGCTGGTCATGCACTACAGAATGTGTATTACCGCCGTGGGGGCGGCAACCCGGTCGTAGTGTTCCACGCGGGGCCAGCAGGGACTTCCCAGTCCCCATGACACCCGTACTCCCAGTCTGCGTCTTGTATGATTTCATTCTGCGCTTCTACAAATGTGGCAAGAGGACACATTCCGTCCTTCTGATCCGGGCAGCCTTTGATGCCCGTCAACGGGGCCACTCCGTCGTTGATGATGATGCGTATCTGGGGGTCGGGAACCGACGAACACGATAAGACTGTTGATCAGCAGATATTCAGTAAGGAAGTATGTTCCACAGAGAATAATGTATACACACGCTGAAATTGTATATTCGTCGCGAATGGCGCAAGGTAGGATGCCTTAAAGGAGCGGTGTGAGGGTATGTGGTCGGCAGGCAGAGGGCCAGATGAAGCCAGTGTAGTCAAGTTCAATGCAGTAATGACTGAAAAGAACGAAGCATAAAGCCGCTGCACCCCTCGTGAAGAAATGTGCACACGCACCATGAAGCACGACTACTTCGTGTGTGGCGTCAACATACAAACTCTGGCCCAAAGGAAAGGTGACAGGACTATCGTCCAGAGTGCTGTTTGTGGAGGTATTGTGCATCTCGATGGGCATATGAGTCAATCTAGCTACTAGTTCCTGCACGTAGCCAATACCCAACACCTTCGCCAGCGGGGCACCAAATGCAGAGTCGTACCAGAAGTACAGGTCCATCCTAGAATGAATGGGCCATGAATTTCTGCTCAAAGCAGCAGAGGAGAGCAACTCACGCGTAGTCGAAGCCTTCCCACTCCTCTTCCGTAAACAATTCGCAGAACTTAGAATAACCAATAGCCACAGTCTAAGAAAGAGTCAGTCATGTATCACATAAGCCCACATACGTGCGAGCTACCTCGTAGGCGCACAGTTGCTGAAAGGTGTACACATCTTCAATGGTCAGGTTAAAGCCTGTAAGTTGCGGGGAGAGGCGGGCTAAAGCATCCTGAAGATAGACAGAAGTCCATTGTTGCACATAATAGAGACCTCGATCCGCCTTAGATGGGATTCCAGCGTTAGGACACCTGAAACATCAACATGGTGAGCATATTAATGCTAAGGTTATAACTTCAACAGTTTACGTCTTGTATGGCGCGAGAGTATTGTTATACTACGAGATGACGACGATCAGAATAGATGGAATATAATGTAGGGTGATACGTACGCCTGGGTCCTCGATAGTGACGCTTTGTTGGTACTGTTCCTCAAAGGGGTATCCAAAGAAGCCAATCGCGAAGTTGAGTGCCGATGCCAGCATGCGGTCTCTAGGACGCAGGATTGTCCAGAATGTAGTGAGCAGAAACATATTCCACCTACTGTGATTCAGTACGGAATACTGGCACCGTGTTGGACTCGGTGAAATTCTGTTGATGATATAAACGGAGGTGTCCTGGGGAAGCGAGAACATTGACAACTCACCTTGAGTAAGAACCCATACTTCATCCGCATGGAGACCCCGAGATCGACTGTACAGAGCGTATACAATGAGCAACCGTGCATATGCTTGTATGTATCGCTTACAGAGTTGTTGGCGACCGAAAGGCGTCAGGACTACATTTTGTTTATCATAAGCATACTTGCATTATATGCTATCGCTATACTTACTCTCTTCTCCTAGCTTATATGTCCTGGATGAGATGGTTGATCAGGCCGCAACGCAAGTATACCTGCACACACGCACCAGTCATTCAGAAATGACAAGCTATCACTGGCATTCCACTTGTCAGCACTCTCATGCAACTTAGTAGCAAAGCTCGCGGGACCACCGAAGGACGCTGGGAGAAATATGAGTCATGCGCGGGTACATGGCTGGAAAAGATATAATTGCAAGGGATAACTAATGTCCAGAGGAGCCGACAATCGAGCGAACAACCAATGAAGCGTGGAGTTTTGAAGACTGTTGACAGACACTCACCCCAGCCTGTGGGATAACGGGCACCGTGCCGATGTAACAAGTGTAGACCGGTGACCCGACACGTCTCGGGTGCCTCAGGACCAGAGTCGACTCCAAATGCGTGTTTGTCTACGCTGAACCACGGCGAAAGATTGCCCCACTGTTTGAACAGATCAAAATCTTTGCTGGCTTTGGGCTTTGCGAAGGTAGGAGAAACAAGATGAGCAGCACCGCTGTGGATTGGATACGCAGGAGCAGTAGCAATGAGAGCTGGTTCAGCGCCAGTCGGTGTAGGTCCAGCGTGCCCAACGTTCGTCGGGAACAGAGTTGGAAATATGTTGGTCGGCGAAGCGGGAGGGAAGGGATGAACTTCGGTAGACCCGACATATGGAGGAGCAAGAGCATAGGCACCGTCGGAGGAAATGACTTCGTTATTGGGAATGAAGGAGTGGCGAGAGCCGACTAGAAGCTGCAGCAGTACACAAGAGAATACACCGCCGAAGAACGCGAGAGCGAGCTTCCAAGGAGAGGGCGAGTTGGATGCTGAACAACTCCATGTGAACGAATATCTCGACCTCTGGTCCGGAATGCGGTCCTGCTGAGTGACAGGGAGCAGTATCTCGTTTTCGGAGACCAAAACGAACTGCTTGTACTCTTGACCGCCCTCGAGATCTTCGTAGGTGCTCATGGTATGGGCTGTACGAAGATCCGTTCACTCAAGATGCGTGGCTGCGTTGTGGGGACGGGACACGCCGATGCGGCGTGCCCGTCGATTGATGCCACTTGCACTCGGATCGCCGAATAAGGCAATCGTTGTGGTTTGACTCGACTGAATCTGTAATCTCGAGTACTCGTAATGCAATTCGTGCGACCAAGTGCCAAAAGTAAGGGCTTCGGAAACACACTAGTCCATCAATACATGATCCATCGGTCAACGTTATGGCGCAATCTGTTCGACAAAGCATGAGAGGAATCTGGTGCCGGAATCCGTGGGCGTGCTATGTATCATGACCATCGCGAAGGAAATTCAACAGAGCAGGAAGGTGCGCTTCGGATATGGCGGAAAAATAGAACTCATGTGCCGAGTTATGAGGTCCAATCAGGTTGTGGGCAATCTCATGTGCCAGAGTCAAGAACCTGTGGGACATTTAGCAGTCAGATAGGAGATTGGATTCAGTATAAATGGACGTGCCAGGAAAAATATGCTTCTGTAAGTTCTCCTTTATTGACAGCCTCATCGTCTGGAATGAAATGTTACGTGATTTGAGGGACAGCAATAAATTTATGACTCACGCCACGCCTCGAAATAACGCAAATTTAGGAACAAACTGGAATTTCGATTGAATGCAATCCTGTGGCCAGCGAGGTCATAATAAATGTTGACACTGGCATCAGGGAGGTTGTACACCTCGCAGAGGGGGCGGATGACATAGATGAAGCGCGCGATGCTCTGAGATTTGGTTGTCATGATTGACTTTGCGTCGGGTACGTCTGTGGATATACGCAAAGGTCAGTAGCCACGCTTAGGACAAGCAATCACTCCGAACCTGGTGACGCGAACACTTTGATATTACCCATCTCTCCTACGGCAGAACGCTACATTAGTACACGCCAGATGGAGCATCATCGACGAACCAATCAGCGTGATTTTCACGGCACCATCACAATAAGTTTTGTTCGCCTCCTCCCGTATCATTTCCATTCTCTCTTTTCCTTGCAGCTCCTTACTCTTCTCTTGCCTGCAGGCGCTGATAGCGCTATTTATCATTGTAGCTAGAGACTAAGTTCATTCAACGACTCGCTATAACGGTGAGAATGTGATACGAGCCTATGGTAGCCTTGGGAACGACATCTGGCTGGTTTTCTCGTTGACCGACATATGAAGTCCCACTCGAAAGTGCGCCCGTGGAAACTGGTGAAGATGGACGGCTAATGCTAGCCGGTGAATTTGAACCAGAGGGATATTCAGATCCAGAAATTCCAGAGGGCTCTGTACGCCCGTTCAACCTGCGTGCCCAGGTGGTCAGCGACTGACGGAACGCCGACTGTGCTGTCGACGCTCGTTTAGCCGTGTCTGGCATGGCTGCCCAGTTGGCATTAAGTTGTTCTTGAGCATCGCCTAACGAGCTTTGAGAGTCCGCAGCCATCGATTGGCGTTGCAATAGTTGTTCTGTCCGTTCTCGTTCTGAAGCGCTGTGTATTTGACTCTGAGTTCCGCCACCGCTCAGCGGAGCTTGTGCTAGCCCTGTAGTCTGGGAGGCGAGCTCTGTTGTGTTCTGCTTCTCTTTAAGAGAATTGAGGGACGTTTCACGTTGCGCTTTCTGCTGTCGAAGAATTCGGTCCACTGTATGAGCGTAAACAACGACATTTTTTCATGAGCACTAATGATGAATGCCTGACCATTATAGCCTCGTCGCTTTAAAGCCTTAAGATCTGTTGACAGTATGGTCATGAATAGTAGTGCATCATTGGGCTTCGGCGAATCGAAGATGAACCGGCACATAGAGGTGGCCACTCTGAAAGAGGACATCAGCAGCAGTAGGAGAGTGCAGCTATGTCACTTACTCATAGAGATCCACATGGTCGTTTCCAGCCAGCCATAATTCAATTGGACCCCGACCCTCACGCCTTGCAATCGCAGAGGAATCTTGAGTCTTCACTGACCGAGTTTTGCCAAATTGCAACGACTTCATCACGGTCAATTTGCCGAATGTCCTCACGATGAAGTTCTTTTCGTTGCTGAGCTCGCCATATGATTCTCTTCGTCGACCATGAGTATGTTCGTGCAAGAACAGAGGCAGACGTTCCAAGATCAAGGACCTTATCTCAACCGCCTTGCGAGAACCTTTGATCTCTGCAGTAGTTCGATATTCTTCTCGAATCAGACTACTCAGAGGCTTGGACCCAAGTTTCATGTAGAACACTTAGAAAGTATGAGATGAATATGTGGAGCATGCGTCCACGCGCCTACCTTCTAGAATATCCTCCTGAGGGGCGGCAAAAATGGAATCCCCGAATAACTGGTAAGCATGCATGTCATCCGCTACCACAATTTGCTCGGGCGGCAGGAGATCGTATTGGTAATCCCAGTCGTCCTCTTCCAGCTCTGCTGAGCCGTCCGCTGCTTGCGCTTTCTCCGCCGATTTGACTTTCTTTACGCGCATCGAACCGACTAGTGCCGCCGAGCGTTTGAGACGGAGTAGTGTGCTACTGGGTATCAGGCGATGGTTCACAGCGATGTTTCGAAGCTCGATCAGGTAGCTAACGCTCATGAGTCAGTGATGCGCATGATCCATCAGGTCAAAATGATATACTTCTCGCGACCTCCTGCAAGCTCATAAAAGCGATGAGGATCTTGCAGCAGTATTCCAGCAATCTCTTCGACGGACGGCTCATGTTTTGTACCACAAACACTCAGAAACTGGTTTCCCTGAGCTCCGAAGTCCACGAAAACGAATAATCTCGAATGGAAGTTGGCATCTGACGCTCCTCTGAAATAACATTGGCTTGGAGGTAGCATCCGGGTCGTGCCATTCTCAAAATTTGGGACGGGAATGAAAGGCATTTGAGACAACACCTTTAGTTGAGACGGGAAGAAATCTATCGCAGCAGTTTTTCAACATGATCGCACCTGGAGTGTGTAGGTGAGCGACCAACCTGTGACCCTGCTTGAGAGTATGGAAAACCATTCACGAGCAGTGGATTCTGTTGTCGGTGGGGAAGATTGCAGCAGATTGACCAAGGCAGATGTCGGCGGATGTTCGTCGATCCTCAGCTTCATTAATGCCTCCATTCTCAGGCTGGATTCTACAACAGTGAAGCCAAGCTGAGCCCAACAAAAAGAAGCGAAAACCTAAATGAGAACGTTTCGGTGAATAAATCATGTAATGAGGCTCTAGATTTCTCACTTACCTCGAGCGGTTTGGCTAGGCACGCGATTTCTCCCTTAATAGCAGGTACGAACGGGAAGTCTGCAAAGGCGCGAGGATCATAGTCTGTGTACTTCGTAATAATATTGTCAAGCAGATATCTCAATGCTGCCTGATTCACAGCCCGGTCTTCGTTTGCTGCAAGGCGTACGATTACCGACAACGGTGGGAATCGACGCAAACCCAAGTCAAACAAGAACTTCGCTGCGAAGCTCAACCAGCTTGAGCTGCGATCGACCTGCACATGAGAAGAACCGACCTTCTTCGGAGTTGCCCCGCCATTTTGGATGATTGCCCCAGTCAATAAGGGGAAGCCGCAAGTCTCGAAAGACATCCAGAGGTTCATAAAGATCCCGAGCCTTGAATCGCACAATCTTCTTCTCACTACCGCTGGAAGATTCCCCTTCTTTCGCGAATGCTGCTGTCATTCGTAGACGATCATGTTCCATTGGCGTCAACATCGATTGCACAGCAACCAAATACTTGACAAGTTCAGCAGTTGTCCAATCACCGGTCTTGATCATCCTACAGAACACATACATCAGTGGGACAAAATGATAACTGATGGTCTGTGTACCTGTCGAAAACTATTTGAAGATCTACATGTTTACGAACCCCAAGTGACTGTAACAGCTTCTCCAGTGATCCTTTGACGTGAGCACTTGACGGAAATTGGACAACCGGAAGATCATGGAAGATATGCGCATTCTGGAAATAAGCTTCCATCGGCAACTTAAGGCCAGCCGAGGTTGGCACGCAGGCCTTGTCCCGAATCAACTCGATGGCTCGATCCTGTGTATCCTTGGCCAGACTGGGCCATGCACGAGCAAGAACCTGGAGGACCCGTTCTGCCCAATGAGCTGACTTTGTGACATCGTGTTCGACGTCGGACGAGGCCGTGGCAGACAATCCGACGATGTATTCCAGCCAATTGAGAATCACTAGTTCTTTCCAGGGAAAGGCTAGTGATAGCTGCTTCGCACTGAAATGCTTGCTAATACTGACAGGCAATAGATGAGCTGGCAGAGGACCGTCAACAGGAATGATAGCGCCAGCGCCTCTCAGATCCAAGAACGTTTGTATTGAGGATATCGGTGTAATCTTGCCTCCTGATCCCTCGCCCTCTCCGATGAACAACACTGCAGCGTTGAGCAGCTCAGTTCGTATTCTTTCAAGGCTTTGAGCGTCATGTTGATCTTGAATACCAATCCACCACTTGAAGCATGCGAGCATCTCATTCTCGGTGAGCGGTCTTGAACGCAGTTCTTGCAGAACGTCCATGAATTCGATGCTTCTGATTATCCCGCGGCTACACAGCACATCAACCATTGGGCGGGCGTTTTTCAGTACCTCTTCCGGGAGCACCGGAAGTACCTTGAGGAAGTCCGCGAAGAGAGCATCTGGTATGCGTACTTCCGTTGCATTTTTGACTCCAGAGGTGGATATTATGGCGAACTGCTTGTTGGATGCACAAGAGAAGAATGCATCCTCGAGTTTAGCAGACACGACTGCAGAAGGTGTGGACGGATGGAACGTGAAAAATTTCAGCCCATGTACTGCTCGGCCTTGCAACCAAGTCCGCAATGCCTCATCTGAACTCAGATCCTTGGTAGCAGGGCCTTCGGCTGCAGATACCCAAAGGCTACGTATTGTATCCATCTCCATTTCATACGCGGAGCGAGCTAAAAATCCTCCCGCATAGAGTAGCTCCTCGTTCCACACTGCGACCCATTATACGATTAGGGGTACTTACAAGAAGAATGGGCAAACATATCATACCTGCAACAGTACGGTCCCTACATACCTCATTGAGTAACCGATCCTCGAATTGAATATTTGCGAACTTACATCAAGTCAATAGACTCTCGTTCTACAGTCGGAATGAAACGAGCAGCTATATGTCCTGCGAGGCCAGTAGTTTGACCAGTGGCATGGCCCTGAAAGCAGCACAAATCAGTAGCACCGGTCGACTATCTACACTAAGACGTACTATGAAGATTCTAGCAGCGCCGGCGCTACAGATATAGTGGTGTCAGACCACGAGAATACTGAACAACTGAACAATCGTACCCATCAAGATCTGCACGAAGACCCTGGAAGACACTGCCAGTGATTTCCGGCTGCTCTTCGTCTTCTTCCTTACTCGCGTCATACTCATCCTTTCCTGTCTTTTCTCCGCGGATAGATTTGAATATGCGCACATCCTTATCTATCCAAGTTCACTCACATAAATCAACTCTATGCGCAGGCTCGTCGGCGGGTTCTTCTTAGTGGCGCGATTCAAGTCTGCCTTGAGCTTCTGATCAAGTTTGACACCAATCCCTGCCGCGTATATTGACAACTTCACGTTAGATTCAATGGTGGTCGTGGGATCAGGCTCGACAACACTCTGCTCGGGAGCGGGCGTTGCAGTTCGCTGCGAAGAACTTCCACTGGTGAAGGAGGAGAAGAGAGACGAGAAGAATGTAGTTGGTCCATTCGTCAGCGCAGACTTTGAAGATGCCTTCAAGGATCTAGATTCCTCGCTGCCTGCCATGTAGACCCAGAGTAACACCTCAGCTCTTATTGACAATGCTAGTCGAAGGCATTAGAAGGATAATAGGCAGGAGTCGTGGAAGACATACGAGTGGTGTGGATCTCTTTGACTTGCATGATTCCTTTAGGACTCGATGTCTTAAGACCTCTAGGAATCGTTATAGGTTTCGAGGCTCCAATAACTTTCGACAACCTCGAGATGCGCCTCTCATCCAAGTAAATGCTGACTTCAGATAGATGCGACATGAATGTGATGGAAGATGCGAGAAATCGAGTGATATCAAAAGCGCGAGGGATGGGGGCTGGCTCTCGAAGGAACATCTCGAAGGTCGTCCATCCGTCGTTAGATGTATCTGGCAATCTACCTCGGCGAGCAAATAGCTGTATACGTTAAGACGTCAGGCTTTGTCATCAAAAACCTGCATGCTGTAGTACCTGATCTTTCTTGTCTTTCCAATAGAATCCCATCCATTGGCCTGCGAACACATAAGATCAGTGATCATGGGCTTTAACTCGGTCTCTCACCTCCCGAAGTTACAAATGGTTCTTCCGTGACAGAAAACAAGCTATAGAAACCTAAGAGACCGTGTCAGTTGCGTAGACAATGAGCCCTCAACGAATCGTGTTACTCGCCGACGCCGAAGGCACCTATCTTCTCTTCGTCCGGATTTCCCTCGGCTGCACAATCTCAATACAGGCTGAATTCCAGAAGACATGACGACCTCACCAATCTTCTTGAGTCTGTTCCAATCCTCGTCTCGGAATACCATGCCATTGTTCTTGAAAGTCCATTGATGTACCTATTACATTGTTGAATAAGCGGCGAGTAGATACCAGCTTCGTCGAACTCACTAAGGCGGCTTTAAGATCCAGAGCGGCCCTCTGGTCCACAACAGGTTCACTGTCCGTCTGTCCGGATTTTTGGTTTATATATTCCTTTGTCTCAAAATGAATCTCCACCGCGTGAGCTCCAGCATCATCTGAGTTCTGCAGCAGCTCGCGGAAGACTGCCACAAGACATCCTTCAGCTAATGTTCCGTGATCGCCGACATGAAAGCATGCCTGTAAACTCTCCGGAATAACGGGCTAACACTTTGTCGATTAGAGCACGCTGATTGACTTCCACCGACTCATCATGGCCAGCGTCCCACTATAACCGAATCGTGATGAGCTTTAATTGGCCCACCACAAACGCGAACGTACCAATGCTCCTCGTGCGTTCGCCATAACCTAGTGGTCTCGAAACAGTGCTGAGCTCAGTGCAGATTTCGACAGTATTGCCTCGTAAGCGAACTTAGCGTGATATTGCAAGAACAAAGGTCAGATAGGTCGCGACTGGCGGCCAAGTTTCAACACGGTGACGGACGTCGCTAGTAGGCATGCGTCTCATCACTAAGGGAGCGGCTGTTGTGCAGGCGCCCATGGTCAAACGCCAGCCTACAACCTGTGGCACTAGGAAGACTATAACGATGACTTGAAGCTCTACATATGGCGACGAATTCATGTGCAGCCCACGGTGACACCGATGGGATTCTTTGATCATCGCCTGGTCTCTGCGACATCTCAGATGGCCCGACCAGCCAAACAGGAGCGTCAAGCATTGGAAACTACGAGCTCTACTTTGTCTAAACTGTGCAAAAATCAAGCCAGGCAGAAATATTATATCTACGGCAAATCTACGTTTCGATTGACGTTCCTACACTAGGCCTCTCGGCCTGCTTGACCTTCTCTCTCGCCAGCCGCCCCTTCCCTCGGGCCAACTCGACTTCGACCCAATGTGACCGACCCTCATCAAAGACGACCATACTTTCGTCATACATATCACAAAATTTCTCCATCTCTCTGATGAATGCTTTGTCGTCATCCGAGCGGGCAAGGACCTCGCGCACACCTGTGAGGAAAGCATCCAGAATGGAGAGGTTGTGCATGACAAGCAACGAGTGTGCCGACATCTCGTGGGTGTGCAACAGGTGATGTATGTATGATCGTGCATAGGGTGGCAGGAACTGTGACGTATGTGGTGACTCCGGAGCGTCGGAGAAAGAGAGGTCGTCGACAATACTGTGCCGCACAATTGCCGAGGGACGGATCGGAGAGCATGCTCCGCATGGACAGATGCTGTGGGAGCCCTCAGGAACCGCCACGCTGTCAGACTTTCCTTGCAGCGATAGGCCATCCAGAAAGCTTGAAGCGAGCCGTGAGTGGTCATGCGAGTAGCAAGTGTGGTAGAGATTGTGTCCCAGATCAAATTTCCCCCCACCTCGGACTTTGGGCGCAGCACATTGGATATTGCCGCCGGCGGATGCGGATTCCGAAGGATATTGAGGGATTGGGAACTGGAAGTCTAACGCTATGCCGATGTCTGCAGCCCGCTGCACCCAATGAGCATCGAACAGATCGATACCGACATCTCGCATCAGGCGGAGCATTTCATGTGGAGATTTTGCAGAGTTGATGAACCGAGGCTTGTTGGGAGGGAGAGGACGGAGCGACGCCTGCAAAAGTTTCGACAGCTCTGACGGCGTCTCGCTGAGATCAGGTTGCGGACCCAGATTGTCGCTGACTCCGCGCACAATACTGGAGAGACCGGGCGACAGGGCCGTGCGAAGAGGGGCGAGATCAAAAACATATCCTGCAACGCCGTCGTCGAGTCGATGGAATGGTCGAAGCTGCTCAATGTCCCTTTCATCTAGACTCTCCACCAGATTTTCAGCGAATGCTTTGCGTGCCTGCAAACTGACACCGCCGGCCATGTGAAGTAACACATTGCTAGCAGCATGGTAGAGTGGCGCTGCATTGAACATCTGGTACGGTTGAGACTTGGCCCGGTATTTGAGTAGGTCTGCGAGCCAGGTTACTGATCGTTCAATACTTTTAGTCAAACGCTTCTGTGATTGAGGTGGTGTTGTGAACGGTGTGTCCGATAGCGGGACGACGGCATCCGGGTTGCAGATATCGGTATATTCTTGCCATGCAGAGGAGGACAGCTACATCGGCTATCAGCTTGACGTAATAGAAACACGGTCGACATGAACACTGGCCTTGCGCACGCCTCTGATGCAGTAAGTTGATATGTGATCTTTGCCGTTTGGAGGCATACCTCTGCCGTCAAAGGGATCTCTTGCGGACATCGATACGATATGCTCGGACGATGCGTAACCGAGGAACTTGTGGAGCGGATGTGACCCCGGCTGCAACATCAGCACAGGAGGCAAGCGTTCCAGGCTGGACAATCACGCAATTCATGAGAGTTCGAACTTACGGCCCGCATGGCGTGGAGTTATCCAGCAGCCGAACGATGACCATGAAGGAACAGTTCTTACAATGATTCGAAAGGGACATGCACCCAGCGGATGGCTTTGGTCAGTCTGACATGGTCCCTGGACAAGTGAGGTACGACACCGCGCGACGTAGCAACAATCAGCGTAGGTGTCTTCAACTGCAGTTGCTCTACACTATCCTGGCGTTGGACATTGATGCAGCCAAGTCGCGGCCCGAACAGAGGAAGAAGCCTATCAGTGGGCGAAAAGGCGAGGGAGGATCGCGGCTTTGCTTGCGAGTTCATCTTCGCTATCGCGGACGGCGTTTGTCCACTCGAAGCGCCGCGTAAATCGCGCAGTCGAGCCAGGTAAACGTTATTGCAATCAGCGAGTCAGCGTTCGTACTGCATCAAGACTCTGATTGTCCTCGGAGATGTGCCATATACCGCCGTGAAATCACGAAGCCGTGACCACAAGGTCACGAACTTACCAGTCACAGCGCCTAAAACCTGGCCCTCGGCCTTCGCCATGTTCACTTTATTCTTCCGCGCACTTGCAGTCTTCCACTCGAAACTCGAGCTAACGCTTCATCATAGCACACACGTGCGTACAGAGTGCTTTCAGCGCCGCAATCGGGTGAACTACAGATTCTATGCACAACTTCGAGGCGGCTGCAAGGATATTTCAAATTCGTAAATGCGACGCCCACCGTGATCTGCATGTCACGGGGACGTCAGTCGTCACACATGGTGTGAAGACGTGCGAGCTCGAAGCAGGCAAGGTACGGCTTGAACACCGATGGGCCATCAGTTGCGCAGCTTCAACGGGCACAGCCGAAACATAGAATGAATGAGATAAGAGCGGAGCAGAAGGATTGTCAGCTTACGAGAGCAGAACCAGCGCAGCAGCACGGCGCATTGATATTTGTAGTCACACACGCTCTGCCCAAGCACCACCCCATGAGGACTACGTAGAACGCCGGGCACCTGGTGAACTTGGCTGTCCGTCTACCTATCGGCAAATTCAACAGCTGGCTAGCGGTTGCACGACTGCGAGCTCCTCGTGTGCTTTTGCGTGAAGCAATTCAATCAGCTCGTGGAAGCGGCACTCAAAGATTGCGTAGACGGCGGACGCCGCCTATGACTGAATGCGGGCCGGATTCGGATTGAAGAGCAGCGAAAGGTCATTTGTAAATGAATGGCATTCGCCGATAACAGCATCGGGTGACCCCAAGCAAGGTTAACGCTCTTCCAGGGTCGCTTGGAACAGCACAGAAGCGAGCTGGCTGCACTAGATTTCATCAAAATTAGCACAAAGGAACGGGCAGGTTGAGGCCTGGTACATACGTATCTTGGAACCTGGGTTTTGGCTAGTGAAACATGAGGCCTTGAAGTGCAGAGAAGAGCGAACATCAGTCTCGCGAGAACGGAAGTCTTTCCACACTTATCGTCGCGCTCATCGTGCAGGCGTCGGCCGGCGTCACACTCGATGGTCGTGCGTGAGCATCGCAACGCCGCGGAGTTGTACGCGATGAGACATTGGGCAGATACGTAAAAAACAGGTTATCAATGCTCGCCCGGCGCATACCAGAATAAGAGCGATCCGTAGGCTGATCGTGTCGCCGCATTTCCTCTCCCGCCTCCGCCTCCGCTTTGAGTCGGAGTCACCGTCCACCACCCCACAGCTCAGCGAACAAGCCAGCCAAAACACCGTGAGCTACTCTCTCTCTGTGGCTCTCGCATTGACCACGACATGCCTGCCGTTCTCCAGTGCACAGACGCCTCGGCGGCGTTGATACCGGCACTACGGTCAGGGGCAAGCTCGCAGCCTCGCACTATAAGCTTTCCCATTCAACACGTGTTCACAAAAGGCGTCAATTGCGAAGGCTTCATTTAGGGCGCACCATTCCTGCTTGTTATCCTCCGTCCTTCCACCGCGCCCCCTCCTCCTGGTCGCCAGCAGCGCGCGCAATGGTTGATCATAGCCCAGAGGGCGAAGAGCAGCCTGGCAGTCATTCTGATGTTGTGCAGCCTCAAATGACTATGCATCCCATCTCGTACTCCAGCATGCCCATGCACATGTATCCCTTCCCTGCTGGTATCGTGCCCACTCAGCCACCGCGTACGAAGCGCAGGCAGGTGAAGAACGCGTGCACCAACTGCCAGAAGGCGTGCAAGAAATGCGACGACGCTCGCCCTTGCCTCCGCTGTGTCAAGTACGGCATCGCGGAGGAGTGCGTTGATTCGCAGAGGAAAGAAAGGCAGAAAGGGATCAAGAGAGGGCCGTACAAGAAGCGCGATGGAAAACGTATGTAGGATCTTGTTTCAAGTGCGTTGTAATGCATGTGGAACTGACGATATCCTTTGTGCTCATGCGCGTTCCATTATACGGATCGTGCAGCTAGCACCACCGACCAGCCTGTCGAGGTCAGCGTGCAGCAGCCTGGCATGGGCGTCCCGCCTGCCGTTGCGGCGACCAGCGCCACTCCGCCGATCCCCTACGTCGCGCCGTATCCCCCGTTCTATGGCCAATACCCGGCGTCCCATGTTCCCAAGGCAGGCGATACCCCCGTCTACGTCCCGCAACTGTTCTACGCCCCGATTCCTGCGCCTCAGCCGATGCCGACTGGCCACTCAAACGGGCAGGACGGGGAGGTTCCCCCTGGATACCCACCAGCGCCCTACTATCCGGTCTTTACTGCTCCGTACCCTCAGTACGCAGCGCCATACATGGTTCCTGCTCCGCGTCATGAGGGGCAAATGCCCATCGGCACCGCTCATCACCCTTACCACACGGCGTATCAGCAGGCTTATCCAAAGCCGCCATCGAGGGGTCCTGATATGGCAACCCAGATGATGGACGCTCGCAGGGACATGCGTATCGAACCTGGACGGATGGGTGAGGGCATCCACAGCGGCCACGGCAAATCTGGATGATCTGGACAAGGTACATGACTGTACAATTAATTATGTATAGCACGAACTATGATTTACATCCTTTCTCAGGGACACAACGCTACGACACGGTGATCTGTTCTCCATCTATGCTCCTGCTCATCTTGCTTGTTGATAGTGCTTTCGTCGGTCGCTAGTCATGGATGTAACATAGATGTTCATCTTTCTACCTGTACAATATTTGTGCGACTTCCTTGGATACAATCATCTGTACGAACTTTCAGATGGAATGTCCCTTGCGGGCTTCCGGAGGTTGTATTTCACCGTGGACAATATGTATATGCTTGCTGCCCTTGACTTTGCATGCGATGAGAGAACAAGGAACGAACAAAGCGGGAATTATGAGCTGAGTACGGCGACAGTCGACAAATGCCTCTCCTGCCTCCCGGGAACCTATCCAGAGTGGCGGAATATCGCCTTTGAGTTAAGACTCATTCCATGCATGCAAAGAGTGAGCATATGAATTTTTGCGCCGTCAACGTCACGTCGGTCCCGAGGCGGACAAGAGGGTATGTTGCGATCACAGCGGGATCTGCAGTCCGGGGATTAACCTCTTGAGCGAAGATGCGTGCGGAGGCAAAGTTGATATTCGCTGGCTTGGACTGTGGAGTGTCAACCTATGTTCATCTCCGCGAGGCAAGATGAGCCCGCTACTCAGCGACGTCGCGTCTCCAAAGCATCGGATTGAATGGGATTGGCGCTGGTGCCGTAAACGCGCCAGCCGATGCGATTTTGCACAGCGAAGATGCTCCATGTCGGCCGCGTTCTCACCTTTGACATCTGCGCTGCTCGTTTTTCGTCATGTGGAAGCCCTCAAAACCCGTTTAGGTCGACAGTGACGCGAAAATGCAAGTCTTTTGTGGCTCCCAGCAGTCCACCATAGTGCCGACCGTCACGGATCATGCAGACACCGAACATTGCTACCAGCACACGATTGTTCGCATGGTGTAACCATCTTGTGCAGAAGCTTCGAGGGAGGCGGAGGGCGGATGAAGATGGTCGCAGGGGCGAGCATATTAGAGATGATCGAGGGACGAGGGCCTCACGTTTCCATTATGCGACAATGGACAATACAGTGAAGTTCCGCAGGACATAACAGGCTTCGAGGACAACATTCGTCCACTGCTCTGACCATTCTTCAAGTTGAGATGCTACCTGCGGACATTCTACCAGGAGCCGGAGCTTCAGACAAAGCGGTCTGCGCTCTTTCTTTGCCCTTCCACCATGATGCCCAAAGTCATGACGGATAATATCCATGGAGAGGCACGATGCTTCATCCCTGACCAGGGAACCACTGTAGCTTGATGGACCGTCCCATCGGACACACGACACGTTGCCATTAAAGAATCACCTCTTCGCCGTCTTCAAGCGCTCGACCTGCAACGAGCGGATGTGTCTTCGTGCATTCCATCTGACGTAGCAGCTTCAGTATGTGTGGTTCTCCTGACAGCTCGCCATGAGCTAATGGAGGCACGACAAGACCGCTGAATGTCCATCAAGCGTGGTTTGACGCTGTCTCCGGTTGCAGATATTCAAAGACTCCATCGAGTACGACTGCGTATTACGTGCACCCTATGCCATCGCATGCATGTCTGTGTATGGCCTGTACCAAGAACCCAAGAGACATGGTGATCACTACGCGCGAGCTTCTCGACAGGTACAATTCTGTCGCTCAGCACTGTCACCACGGAGACAATGCGTCAAGGCAATAGGAATGGCGCATATATGCTCGCGACTGGGCAGCATGCGACTCGTCCGTTGCCTTGCTGCCAATCAAATCCTCGTTGACTGAGCACATGCGTGGGTCGACGTATGGTGCAGTCATGGAATTCGCCGCCACTACCCACGTATTTCGACAGCGGCACCGCGATAAATGTGTGGCCGGTGAACGACGCCTAGCATGCGAACCGATAACAACGGCCATTACATTTTGACCATTTTCGACCGCATTGGCGCGATAGGTTTGTCGCTATAATAGCACTATCCGCATGTGGCATATCAGCGCACCAGCCGACTGAAATCCGCGACATTTCCCGGCACATTCCAGGTGTCCGTCACCCGTCACGGCGAGTAACCCGCGTATAGTTTCCGAGGATGCCGCCAGCTGGTTGCGATGCGATCGACGCGTGGCGCCGAGTGTTGGAGAACGGGTGTGGCGATCATCCCTCCAGCTTCTCCCACCTCAACGGACCGACGCGCCCTCAATGCCGCTCCGGGGCCGATCTGCACGTTGTTCGCCGTATTGCCAGCCGACGCCGGCATGTGAAAGACAGCGATGACTTTATGAAAGAAATTACGATGTCGTGCAGGGAGTCCCCATATTTTCAGCTGCATGAAGGAGAACAGGTGCTTTGTCGAAACAACCAGGTTTTCAACGGCAGGTCAAGGTTTAGACGTTGTTCGAGGGCGGTCAGCATCTACTGGGTTTCAGAGGTTGATCAAGTCGTCATAAGCAGTGGTCACTTCGTCCGCAGTTAGGCTCCCCAGCATACAGTGGCAGCATTCATACGAGACGTGGCAGGCGCGGAAGCAGCCAAAAAGCGTGCAGATCTGTTGACAGGATGGCCCGCGTAGGACCGCAGAACTGACTTGGCGTCAGTATCTGCGGCTCCCATTGACCCACGCACTCTACGCCATCCGCCCCCATGAAGCTGTCCGGGCTGACCGTCACGGATATGATGTGAGCAGCCTTGACATCGATGCAACCAACGTATTGAGATGCTAGGATTGCAGCGATCGTGCGAGATATTGAAGCGACGTATAAGCCAATGGGCCTCCAAGCTATAGGTATGTCTGATCGCGATGAGGTGGGGAGCATGACGAGGATCGAGTCGCAAAGTCGCAAAGTCGCAGATGAGGCTGGAACAAATGATAGCGGCAAAGTGCGGAGTATGCAGCGTGCCCGCGCCATTGTCGGGGACTCGCAGACTGGCCGACTCATCTTGTGAGTGAGAGCAATTTTTCTCCGCGAAGGAACGCATGCGCTGAGCTTTGCATTAAGCGTCCGACCGCCGAGCATGATGCCATTGCGCTTGGATCTCGACACATCGCTGTATACGCGGGTATTCGGTATCCTATGGCTCTACTCGGCGAAAGTGTTATCCTGGACAATGTTCGCGGACTTGGTTCTAAGCACAATTGAATACCCACACTTCGGCCGCAAAGGATTAATTTCTTTGGCTTCCCTCCATAGTCGGCGTTCGTTGGCAGCCGGATTATGCCCAACGTCTCGAAGGTAGTGAGCTGCCGGATCTTGCGGTGGGAGAGGAGCACGGAGTCTCCTACCGGAGATTCGTGGACGACGTCTTGAATCTGGTCTGTTTCGCCAAATGGACATCGAACGGCCACATCGCCAGAAGCGTAACTGCTCGGTGACTGACTCGGTTTGTCGCGATGGTGAGGATGTCTATGTTGAGTTTACACAGATTAGACATCTACTGATATGGAGACGTGCTCCAGTTGTGACGGCGGTGTCGAACACACCTTCACGGCTGACGTACACCACCTCTTCATCCGCATTGAAGTACCCTGTCCTTGCGGTAGGCTACAATTGCGCAGCACGTCTTGGGTGGTCTTTGACAATGGAGACTCGAGCGACAGGGTGGTCGCGGCGGGGCGTGAGTGCGAGAACAGCGTGGACAGTGCGGACGTGTGGACGACGAGGCAGGGCGATCTGCCGATGTTCACCGCGGACACGACATAACGCACAAGAAAATAATAGTCTCGTGGTCCGCGGTCCTGTACACTGCGGATGTGTCGATGCTGTGGAACCGTCCTCAAAGAGTAGCGTCTTCCGTATCCCGGGCCATCCACATCCGTGGCCACCTGCGGACAGCTTTGACTCCGAGAGGAGTAGGCGGAGATATCACATCGTCTCCGATGTCCTGCCAGATTTTAGAGCATCGCTCCGTACGCATGGTGGCCGACCGTCGTTTGTTGGACTGCGCGGACCTCGACTAGGGTGAAGGAGAAAAACGCGTTCCCGCACACGCATGGACAGAAGGCACATCTGGCTCGTTTAACATGGCTGTCTCTTCGGCGACGCGATCTTTCTGCATCTGCAAGCCGGCCGGCACGGTTCAGTTGGGCCTTTCGCAGAATCCGCGTAGAGGCTGTCAATGCTGCTGTGACGTGGCTGGGATGGAATTGGATGCAGAAGCGATTGCCACGATCCGTTCGTCTAGATGGGTGGTCTCGGCTGCCGCGTTGGCCCGTGCTTGAAATATGACAGGAAACATACGAGCCGTGTCCTCTGTTCGTAATCCTCTCCATGTCCAGCAGAGGCCTGTTCGTGCCTGTCGACATTTCGTACCCATCTCTAGAACTCCATGGCATTCACGATTTCTTCCAGAAGTCGATGGTATTTCATGGACAGTACACGAGTCGGTGGGAGACGTCGCGGTAGAATGTGCGGGACAAAAAGTGTGGATAGCAGACATTGGGATATTGGCCAGTCGTTGACACGGAGGTTTGGATAGCGGAGGTGCTCGCGATGAAGACAACCGTACGGCAGCCAGCGTGGCCGGCGGCGCCTAAGTTCATGGCTATTAGTCTCTAATAGTGCATCGCTGTGGCATCCTGCGTCAAGGTAGCTGACTTTACGCTCGCTTTCATGACACTTCCGATGCTTGATTTCAGGCTGAAGGTTGAACGTCGAATTTCTGACGTTGATCTGCAGTAAGCCTTGACGTTTGTGACAGCTCTGACCAGGCAGCCCCTCAATCACGATCTATGCTCGCGGTGGGTCACGCTCATCGGCGCGTTTGAAACAACCCCCCATGTATGGTGGCTCACTGCTGCAAAATCAAACAGGGGGGAACGAGATCAACGCGGTTCTTTGACGTGTCTCTGGGATACGGGATTAATGTAGGCGACGCAAACTTCGGGAAAGGTCCCTAGCGCTTCCCGTTTGTGTAGCATTTCTCCGTTTCAAACACTTTGTCGCTTTGTGCTCAAAGCTGACGGGCTAACAAATGCTTCTCTTCAGAAAGCCTACATTTTTAGACAATTTAGCGCTGGCACAAGCTGGCCGGCAGCGTCGAGTCGAAGGTGACAACTTCAGGCTACATTCAAGGGTCAGTGGACGTGAGCTCTCAATATTCTGCATTGCAATTCTGATGCATATGAGTGTTCTCCATGATCATGGGCAAATTTTGGTGCTAAGAATGCGCTGGCCAAGTGCCAAGTCTCGAGACGGAAGGGGCTGTGCGTCCTTCAATTGTCTCAATGCGACTTGAGGATTCGGTATTGAGCTTTTCCGTTCCCCTTTGACCTGGCACTTGTATGCATTTATCTACTTGTCAGGCCAAATATTAACGACTTCGATGCAGCATCATTACCGAGGGCATACGCCAGGCTGCGTTTTTCTAACGTTAGGTGATGAGATCGAGAATCCTGCAATATCGGGAAACGAGATGATTGCGTGCATGAAACACTAGACTGCTTCCTCCTTCCTAGGAGCTCCTCATCTACATTGCTATCCAACTAAACCAGCTCATACATACAGCCTGTCAGCAGGGCTACTAGATCGTATCCTTGACAATGTCCCGGAACGGTTGTAGAACATAGCTATCATGATCGTCAATGCAATTGCGGCATAATCTCTTGCATCTGCGAGACCACCTCCCTCATTGTCAAACGATCATGAGGCTCCCATGCCCAGCAGTTCGTCATGATCTTCCAAAGCGCATCGCTCGGCTCCGGCAAATTCTGCGGCCTGACTGGATGTGTTTTGGCGTCGAGAGCTCTGATGACGTGTGCATCGCGCTTGTGCTCTGCGAATGGGTCGCGCGATCCGTAGCATTCGAGCATGGACATGCCGAACGACCACACGTCGCACTTGTCGTTTGGCCCAAGCATCTTGGTGTCGAACACGAGTTCCGGCGCTAGCCATCGCGTCGACCCTGTCCTTGTCGCAGTCGCCGAAAAGGGTGTCTGGGTGATCTCCCCAATTACCTGGGACATTCCGAAATCGCATATGCATGCATCTCCCTGAGGTACTTGTTAAGCTTGCAAGATGATGACTAGGAGCCCAGTCACGAACCTCGTCAGTAACTAGCATGTTGGCCTGCGGGTGTTCTCAGACCATCCATCAGCAATAAACATGTACAGGACTTACACATCGAACTGGAACGACAATGTGCGAGAATCAACGCGTGTTACACTTAAAAAAACTTAAGATTACCATTTCCATGAATTATTCCTTGAGCGTCAAGATACGCTAGGCCCTTCGCGGCACCATGAAGCTGGCGACGTGTTAATTGAGACTTTAAAAAGCAAAGTGGCCCGAAAATACTCACGAGACGTGATTTATTGGCCTCGGGATTGGCTCTGGTATAACTAGAGACTGGCTGAGGATGTGACAGCCGTATATGAGAAGATACATACTCTCTGACATCCCCTTGTCTACGCCAAGGTGAGACCTACACACAAGTCGTTTATGGTCATTATTGCGCGTGACGAACAGCAACGACGACGTACTGTATGCAAAAAGGGACCTAAATCGGACACGATGCCATAGAGTGGAAGAATGTTAGGGTGCTTCAATTTCGACCACGTTACAATCTCATTTTCGAATCGCTAGCAAAAGCACTCAGTCTGGCCATTGAATAGAATTAGCAGACAACAGACTGACAGCCTTGGCTCCGGGTGTGGCCTCAACACCTTGCAAAGCCTTCAAAGCAACCTGCCAGTGGTAGTGAGTGACATGACATATCTTTCATCATCTGCCAGACAACGAACCGCGATATCTCCAAACAAAAGTCCTTCCCACACCTGGGTATGGCCACCTTTGTTTACGGGCAAGTCACCGACTTTTGTCACCTGTCCACTCAAGTCTTTCAGAGTTGGCAGGATGTCTGCAAGGCGCTGGAGCGTAACCAGCCCTTGCTGACAAGCTGTGTATTCCACATTTGTCAGAGAATGAGCCCTGGATTGATTCGACCCGACAGAGGGTCCGCTTTCTTGCAACAACTGCGAAAGTGCCTTAATGAGTGAATTTGGAAGGTCAAGGTCCGCTTGACTTACCAGTTGACCCTGTTCCATCATTCGTTCTGCTACAGGGCGCCCTTCTCGCTGTAAAGCCGCAGCCTCTTCCAACTGCTGCTTGCTCTTCAGGAAGTGCATTGTGAACTGTCGCATCTCTTCTTTGTGGCTTGTCCTGAACTCTTTCAATTCTTCGTGATTCATCTTCACGATTTCCATCAGCTTGATCTGCAAATTGGACACACTGAATGCAGTGGTCACCTTTGCTTGCTAAGCTAAGCCGTGAAAACACTAGAAGAGAGGCGTAACGTACTTGAAACTTCGTGATCAGGCTGTCGATCTCGGCATTGCACTTTCGAAGACCATCGCCGATTTCTCCGTCTCTGCCTACGCAACTGGTAAGCGAATGTCATGCAACTGTAAGTATGCCTACAGAATGCTTCGACGCGATTGTATTGAGCCCATTTGCTGACTCGATTGTGAATGCTTTCCAACGTTCTGATAGCAAATAAGCATCAGTTTCATGGCAGTCTCCGGGACTTACAGAGTCATCTCATCAGCAACCGCGCGCAGTTCCTCAGCCTCTGCGTTGTCAGAATTCGCGCGCAGAACTTCAATAAGTGTCATAATCTTTCGAGACAATGTTTGACTGTCTTTCTTGAAAATAGAATAGCTTCAGAGCAGAGCCGGTGGAATGTATGCAGTTGACGAACCTTGTGTACGGACACTTTCTCGCAACAGTTTTGAATCCCTTCTATTGTGCCTGCCACTGCTCCAATGTAGGGTACGCCTAGATCGCCAGCCAGGCCCGCTGCACCGACTGCCACACGAACGAGTTGACCTGCTGGGGACATCGTATGCTAGCTCGAGACAAGCAGCGCACCGCATGCTGCGTGGCATCAATCGATGCCCGAGATAGGCACGTAGTGCATGAGGCAGAGCCTTGATTGATGGCGCCGATAATTCGATGAGCATTATTGAATCCGTACAGACGATAATATTGAGCAGAATACATGTCGAGCTTGTTGCCTGAATATATGGCTTGCAACTTGGAACAAGTCGGTTCAGCTTGCGATCAAGATCGGACTCGGAGGCAAATCTGGAATAGATCCGAGATAAGACGCGGCACAGATGGGCCACCATTTAGGCTAAATCTACGTATACAGTGACGACCTATAAGTTACGATCCTCACCCTTCGATAGGATATTAATCCCCGAATCTCAGAAAGATCTACACAACTGACGATATGTTATTTGGGAACCCTATTTAGCCGGCGCCCACAGGAAAAGTTGAAACGCTCAGTTGGCGCTTAGTGCGTTCAGATTAATGCTTTTCAACTACCGACAATGATACGGTGAGTCATGAAGCGCGCCGCCGACACCAGCACAATTGTTATTGCAATGTTATGGCATGAATTTCTCCAGCATTGAGACCGTCACTGCTTCCATCCCCGACAGACGCTGTGGTCCAATTGAGTGTTGCAATTGACGATATGTGCACCTCAGTACAGCTGTATATATTTCGCGTCTCTGTATAGAAGAACTTTGAAAGTTCACCTGTAAGCAGCGTTGAAACTCGAGGAGCGGAGTCGAAGGGACATATCAAATGTAATGTCAATGTATTGACATGGACGAAGGGACTTACAGAGCTACTGCAACAGATGATCTTCGCGATTGACCATTTTCGTGGTGCATTATTACAGATTTACTAGCCGTCAGCGTGGACTAGACCTATCCAACCATACTGCGCTTGCGGCCTCTTAGACGTACTGTATCATATTAGCAGTCAGCCGGTCAGATCATCTTACTGTGCAGCTGACAGCCGACGTACCATCATCCAATCGTCTCGAGATCGCCTTCCACTCCTTCCCCATTTTCGCCTGGTATGCCCCTAACACCAAAGCAAAGAGTGGCTCCGATGCGGGATGGGTCGATGCAAAAGCGCGCTCTAATACGTAGAGGTCTACAGCCTTGTCTTCTACTAAGGTCGACGTGTAGGCCAGCCCGAAGTCAATTAGTACCTCAGTTGTCAAGTGAGTATGTGTAAGGTAGAAGTCAGCAGGAAATCCGTACAAGCTCGCCGCCCTTAGAGGCGGAAGGATGTCGAAGCATCATGTTGGATGTCGTGAGGTCTCCGTGAACAACATCTGCTTGGTGCATATTAGCGATCTCCGTACCAATCATATGCATAACAGTGTCTAAATCCGTCTTTTTAAGCCAGCCCCGAAGTATAGCTCATGACTATACACATACCTGCGTTTACACCGTATTGCGACAGGGGATCTTCCGCTTCCTCCAGATCCTCAGTCTCCTCAATCTCATTTTCGGCTACCTCTTCCCCTTCAGCACCACCGCCCAGCAGGAACCTAATGCTCTTGCCGTCAATCCACTCCAGTCCCAACACGCCTTCAACGGCATCGACCATCCGGATGCCAGGTACATTCACGCCATGTCTGAAACCGCAGGCACTTCCATCAGGGATTACACCATATGCTCAGAAAGATACTACTTCACCGCATGCATTTCATCAGCGCACGCGCCTCTCCCGCGACTCTCGACCTCGTGAGCGATGCATCGAGGAATGGATGGCGGTAATGCTTATGAAAGCGATACTTCAGCAGCACGGGCTCTGAGCACGCTTCATGGCCCGTCTTCGCACCTGGATCCGAATATGTTGGGTCCGGATGGAGCTGCGCCTTGTATATTTTCTGAATCAACAGCACAATAGGAATGCATGACAGGAATGCCGTCAGAGCGATCTATGAAAGAGACACGATCGAACTTGCTGCTTCGGCGCCCTGGGATATCTGGCTTGCTGACGCAAGTAGTTTCAATATCGGCGATTGTGTAGACGTGCTTTCCATGAGGACCTGATGGACTCCTTCTGTGTCGCCGGCTAAGCAGGAGTTTGAGCAGATTCACAGCAAAGCCAATGTTCCTGGTATTATCCTAGTTGCAGTATCGAAGCTTGCACACGAATGCAGGGTCGGAGCTAATGACAATGAATGCGTCGCTCAACTGGATACACAAACACGGCGGCAGAGAGTAACGTTTCGGCAGACGAGCAAAGTGATCAGAGTCAAATGAAATTCCCGGCCGATGGACAATCGATCATTAATCATTGGCCGGTCGCCCGAGATGGATTCATTCTGATCAGAGCAATAATGACGCTGATTTGCTGTTGTGGCTGAGTTCGTCTCTGAGACACCCGGTGACAGTGACATGTTCTTGCCAAAGACTGTTCATGACCCGACCATTCCTAAAACTTGTTATGCGGTACTATCCGATTTAGACGCATTTTTACACGAAGCGCACAATTCTGCACCGGTAACAAACGACAGCTATTCATTACCAATCTATTCAGCACGGGGATCTATTCTGACAGTAATAAAGTTGTCCGTAGTTCGACCAGTCACGCAACGCTCGTAGGCTTTTGGAATGTCCTCGAACGAGTACGGAAATCCCTTGCTCCGCTCTGAGATGCCCGACCTCGAATAGAGCCTGACCAGCCGTCATAGCGGCGAGTGGAATGCCAGCAGCCTGTGTAGGAGGAATGTTGTGGACGGCGTGCAAGGTATGATGCTGGAAGGTAAGTTATTAAAACGGAGCGCTCTGACGAGCCTTCACATAACGCTGCGCAGGGTTTCGAGCCTAACCATGGGCATCGCAACGACGCAGGGATGACTCACCAGTAGTCAAGAATCCAAACACTTCATCAACCGTTCATTAAATCCGAGCCATTTGCATTTATGACCACGCCTGCGAGATCATGTTCTCGAAAATATGATCGCTTGAGAACGAATCGAGGGGCCATCTTCATCAGCTTGTACGTACCCTCTGCCGAATGCCATGAGTCCAGTGTGACTTCAACAGTACGATCCACAATGACTTCTATCGGATTCAAGGCTGCGACCTGCACGTTTATGCTTACCCCGCTGGAAACAGTAGCTGTCGATACGTAGCGTCGATGGATTAGAGCACACACGTACCTGCGGCACTTCACACTGAATTAACGCAGGGGTTGAAATTCAACCCCTGCCCCTGCGACGCCACCGCATGGCTGTGCCTATCGGACTTTCAAACCGTATCATTGGACCTAAGCTGTCACAATCCACTTTGATATCTCTCTGATTTCCATGACAGGTTTTCCATTAACCCGACAGAATCTTTGAGGTGCGACGACTGACTTACAACATCCAAACATAATGTAATATATGCTATCAGAAGGGCATCCACTGGGACAACGGATGACGACTCGTCAACCATTATCCTACTCAGCGTTGGGATCCACCTTGATGATAATCTTGCCCGTAGCTTGACCCGTCATGCAACGCTCGTAGGCCTTCGGAACGTCCTCGAACGAATAGACTGAATCAACAACTGGCTTCAATTTGCCTATCGATATGGTGTTGACAACGATGAGACAAGCTGTTCCTTGATAGTGGAGAAGAAACTGACCTTCTATTAAAAATTGAGCAATCTTTTCCATATCCTCGCGCTTATTCGCGACTTGTACCATCCTGCGGAGAGCGTGAATGAGTACCATTACGGAAGCGGGTTCTGCCGGGAGTAGCTCACTTCCAAGTACGTCTGGTTCCACCAAGCCACCTTGGCTGTAGATATACCTTCCACAGAAGTCGCCCGATGCCGATGACGTCGAATCCCTTCGGCTGAGGGCCGACGGATACGAACGTTCCGTTTGGTGCAAGGTAGGCCTCGCTGTTTGTATACAAGGAAGTGTCCAACAGACCGACCGCTTCAAGGAAGACTTGGTACTTGGGGCTAGGAACTTCAGCCGCTAGTATGGAATGCAGAGGAGCTTTCGTGTAATCCACGAACTGCAACAAATAATGTCTTGTCGGTTGGACTTGTTGCATCAAAAGTGATCACAAACCTCGTCAGCGCCAAGCGAGCGTACGTACTCTTCGTTTTTGCCGGATGCACTGGCAGTGACCTTGCAACCAATGGCCTTTGCAAGCTGTATGGCGAAAGAACCGACAGCGGTGCTGCCGCCGTTAATGAATACCCGTTGCTCGGGCTCGAGATGTCCGACTTCAAATAGAGCTTGATAAGCCGTCATAGCGGTGAGCGGAACACCTGCAGCACGAGTAGGAGGAACATTGGCTGGACGGCGCACAAGATGTGAGGCTGGGAGGTAGGTATACTGTGCTAGAGTGCCCTGACGCGTCTTGAGACTCAGTGCTGCACAGAGTTCAGAAAATGAACAGCATAACAATATGACCAAACTTACATACAGTCAAGAATCCGAATACTTCATCTCCGTTATTGAATTCGGAGCCGTTGGTATCTACAATCACGCCTGCGAGGTCATACTCCGGAACATATGGCCGCTTGAGAATGAATCCGGGGAGCATATCCATCAGCTTATATCCTCTGTCAAGGATCCATGAGCCTGCCTCTTCAACAGCACGGTCCACATCAACCTACGCTGGGTTCAAGGCAGCGGCCTGCACTTTCACAAGGACGTCACCCTTTGAAAGCTGAGTCGGGATAGGTGCAACGTTGTCTAGACGGACGACTTCGGAGGGGCTACCCTTCCCAACGACGCGCCACGCTTTCTGAGTGGGGAGGAGGGGGATGGACATGGTTGGTGAACGAGGTTGAAAGCGAAAGCGACGAGTGACCTACCCCCTTTCATTTCCACCAACAGTTGCGTCATGGGGTCCGGTACGCTCATGCACGTGAGACAGGGACTGGGACTGGGGAACTACCCTTTGCGGACTTCTAAAGCGTGTCATCGGAGATGCATAGATTTGGCTCCGCGCATCTCGCCCTCTGCCCCAGCCACACCGACCCGTCTTAAGTAAGCAGGTTCGCCATCGACCATCGCAGCGACAAGGATTGTACGCGTTCATCGATCATTCTGCTGCCATGGAGGTGAGCTCACCTTGTTCCAATCCATGCAATACTATCGGCTCATGCGTTCCTAGGGCATTTTGGACTTCTCCAAAGAGTTCGATGTCTCGCTCATGGACAAGGTGGTCATCGCCCTGTACTCCGGTGCAGGACAGGAGGTACGTGTCCGACCGCGTTTCACGTGCTCAGAGACGATTCTCAAGGCTCTTTCGACATGATCCGTTCAGCAACAAATGGCACAGCAAGTCTTGACGCATTTCCAAGAGCATCCCGACTCATGGACGCGTGTTCCGGATATTATGGAGCATGCAACCTTCCCCCAAACGAAAGTAAGTTGTCCTTCGCGTGATGCATCATTGTGGACTGATTTATCACTCGCTTGTTCAGTTTATCGGTCTGCAGATTCTCGAGAGACTGATCAATACGAGATGGAAGTCGTTGCCCGACGAGCAGCGGCAGGGTTGGTCACCACGAGTTTTAACGCGTCGATTATCTCACAGCAGCGTCTTCAGGCATCCGGAACTTCATCGTCGGGGTTACTGTCAAAGTGTCATCGGATGAAGCTACCATGCGGAGAGAAAAAACGTATCTCGGGAAGTTAAACCTGGCGCTCGTGGACGTGCGTCTCGATCTCATATATGTGTCATGATTGAGTTCGCGTCTGAATACACCGCATAGATTCTCAAACAAGAATGGCCACACAATTGGCCGACGTTCATCACGGAACTCGTAGAATCTTCCAAAACGAACCTCTCTCTGTGCGAGAACAATATGGTGATCCTCAAGCTCTTATCGGAAGAGATTTTCGACTACTCCGCGGAGCAGATGACTCAAGCCAAAGTCAAGAACCTCAAGAACCAAATGTGTGGAGAGTTTTCGGAGATTTTCAAGCTGTGCTCGGAGATTCTCGAGGAGGCGCAAAAGACGTCCCTGATCAAGGCGACTCTCGAGACTCTGCTGAGGTTCTTAAACTGGATTCCTCTTGGTTATATCTTCGAGACGACCATCATCGATTTGCTGCTCAATCGGGTGAGTCGTCGCATCTTGGTCAGTGGCCACGGAGTGGCACTCACGCAATCATCGGATAGTTCCTCGAGGCACCCGAGTTCCGCAACATTACCCTCAAATGTCTAGCGGAGATTGCTTCCCTGAACGTTGGACCGGAGTACGACCCAAAATTCGTGATCCTGTTTGCGATGGTCATGACTTCTGTGAACCGAATGATACCTCCAAGCACAAATATCGCACAAGCATATGCAAACGCGGGTGACGCCGGCCAAGAACTCGTCCTCAATCTAGCGCTGTTCTTGTCAAATTTCTTGTCGAATCATCTTCGTGCAGTCGAAACGGAGGAGAACCGAGATGTCTTGCTGAATGCACACTTGTATATGGTCAAGATATCGCAGGTGGATGAAAGGGAGATCTTTAAGATTTGCTTGGAATACTGGTCGAAGCTGGTGGCTGAGCTATTCGAGGAAATCCAGAGTCTGCCGATCGGCGAGAGTGGGCTGTTGATGGGCCTCAGTCTGGGAGGCTCCACTCAAAACATGCTCAACGGCATGGCGCTGCGCAAGAACATATATAGCGATGTGCTATCAAACCTGCGCCTTGTCATGATCGAGAAGATGGTCAAGCCCGAGGAGGTACGCTGTTGCATCTACGATGTTTCACCTTTGGACTGTCTGACGCTCGATGCTCTCGTTTAGGTTCTCATCGTTGAGAATGAAGAAGGCGAAATCGTTCGCGAGTTCATGAAGGAAAGCGACACCATCGTCCTCTATAAGCAGATGCGAGAGCTGCTTGTGTATCTCACTCACCTCGACGTCAATGACACGGAAAACATCCTTACGGAGAAGCTCGCAAAGCAGGTCGACGGCACGGAATGGTCGTGGCAGAACTTAAACACGCTTTGCTGGGCCATCGGTTCGATATCGGGTGCTATGAGTAAGCTTACGTGACAAGCGTTCCACTATTTTATCCATGCTTACGCGAGGGCTTTCAGATGAGGAGACGGAGAAGCGATTCCTTGTGACCGTCATCAAGGATTTGTTGGGCCTTTGTGAAATCAAGCGGGGTAAGGACAACAAGGCAGTTGTTGCGTCCGACATCATGTACATCGTCGGTCAATATCCTCGCTTCCTCAAGGCACATTGGAAGTTCCTGAAGACTGTCGTTAACAAGCTCTTTGAATTCATGCACGAGACACATGAAGGTCGGTGCCATATCATTTTGTTCGTCTATTCGTTGCCGCATCTGTTGGTTCTGTCGGCTTCCAGCCCTGATCGGTGAACGACTCCAATCTAACATGCCGTGTAGGTGTCCAGGATATGGCATGCGATACGTTTATCAAAATCGCGCAAAAGTGTAGGAGGCATTTCGTCATGCAACAGTCTGGAGAACAGGAGCCTTTTGTGGATGAGATTCTACGTCTTTTGCATAGAATCACTGTGGATCTCTCGCCGCAACAGGTAAGCGCCAATAAGAAGAGGCAATGGAGAGAGCATGTATTCATTGAATGGTGCAGGTGCACACTTTCTATGAAGCTATTGGATATATGATCTCGGCACAGCCCAACAAGCCTCAGCAAGAGAAGCTGATCGCCAAGCTGATGGAACTTCCTAACAATGCGGTAAGTTGACGCTAATCTGACTTGCTAATTACAAGCTGATATTGTACTATTAGTGGGACTCCTTGATGTCTCAGGCCGCGCAGCAAGTAGATGTCTTGGCTCATGATGAGAATGTCAAGATTCTAGCGAACGTGTTAAAGACCAACGTTGCTGCTTGCACGTCGATCGGCAGCTTCTATCTCCCGCAAATTGGCAGAATCTATCTCGATATGCTCGGACTGTACAGGGCGGTCAGCACCATCATCAGCGAGAGCGTGGTGCGAGACGGTACGTGCAGCGAGAGTGTTGAAGTGATATCAGTCTAACTCCTTGTCGACGTTCAGGCGTTATTGCGACGAAAACACCCAGGATTCGGCACCTGCGCACTATAAAAAAGGAGATTTTGAAGCTTATGGAAACATTTATCAAGAAAGCTGAGGACCTCGAGACTGTGAACGCCAACTTCATGCCGCCTCTTCTGGAGGCCATTCTCGGCGATTACAACCGTAACGTACCCGCCGCGAGAGATGCCGAGGTGTTGAACGTCATGGCGACTATCATCGACCGACTAGGCGTAAGTACCTTCAGGGTGACGGGAGTCGATGATTATGTAGGCTCACGTCCTTCTTCGTAGTCTTTGTTGACGCCGCAAGTTCCTGCAATACTAGATGCTGTGTTTGAGCCAACGTTGAACATGATCAACCAAGATTTCGCAGAGTTCCCTGAACACCGTGTCGGGTTCTTCAAGTTGCTGCGTACAATTGACCAACACTGCTTCCCAGGTATGTATCCTACTATATGTTGCTGGTAACTAACTAATTCTGCCTAAAAGCCCTGCTCACGGTTCCTCCTGGACAATTCAAGCTTTTCATTGACAGCATCATCTGGGCGGTCAAGCATACCATGCGAGATATTGCTGAGACGGGGCTCAATCGTACGTTTTTCTCATTGATAACTCGAAGACAACCGCTAACTCTTCATAGTATGCCTGGAGGTTATCAACAACTTCGCAAGCGCCGACCCTGCAGTCTCGAATGCCTTCTTCCAGCAGTATTTCCTGCTCATCATGCAAGATATATTCTATGTGCTCACCGACACCGACCACAAGAGTGGCTTCAAGCTGCAGTCCCTGCTGTTAGCGAGAATGTTCCAACTGGTGGAGACGAATCAGATCACTGTTCCGCTGTTCGATCCGGCCAGTGTACCGGATCCGGCGATGACCAACGCTGTTTTCTTACGCGAGTATCTCTCCGGTCTTTTGAAGTCAGCGTTCCCTCATGTACAAAGGTGAGATGTCCGATTCCTTTCTGCTCGTCCGATATTCATGTTGGCTGGCAGCACGCAAATCACGAGTTTCGTGCTTTGCCTTGGAGAATCCCATAGTGACATCAACCGCTTCAAACTTGCTCTTCGTGACTTCCTTGTGCAGCTCAAGGAGTTCTCGGGTGACAATGCAGAACTTTATTTGGAGGAGAAGGAAGCGGAAGCTCAACGCAAGGCGCAGGAGGAGCGCGAAGCCGCAATGCGCATTCCGGGCATGTTGAAGCCATCGCAATTAGAGGACAAAGACGAAGATATTTGAAGGACCGCACGACTTCACACCATTGTATGATAGACTTTGCTGTCTTCTGCTACCATTGGTTCCAAGTGCATCGTAATGTATCGCTCTGTTCTCCCTCCCCCTCCCCGAACCCCCTCCTTGCCTAACTACCCTTCTGTGTCGTCTGTCAGCAGTAGTGTATAATCGAGCTATCGTCATCTGGCTGTTCCCGCATTTATCTGTCATGTACTATTAGCTTACACCAGGAATAACAGAAGAGGATAATTCAAGTTCACAAACGGTGTGCTTAAGTTTGACGAGTCTGCTAGACTCCGTTGTTCCCGTCACAGCTTTCAGCTTCCCGACTGATAATCGATCATTCCGGTGCACTGGCTTGATATTGCACGACAAGCCACCACGACTCACTGCATCAGCCAGTCTCCAGCCCCGCTCGGTACACAACCGATGGACGAGCGAATAATCATATTCATTTTGCAACGACGAAGTACTTGTAAGTAGCAAAATACGATGACGATCAACATGACCACAAGTCGTTCGTGGATTGTCCGATATGTAGCGAATAATAAACATGACTAGGCGGCATGGTGAGAGGGATGAATACACACGCGGCCCTGGGTGTGAGCGAGCCATTCGCTCTCTGTAAGCTCCCCTATAGGAAGCGATTCTGGGAGCAACAACACCGGCTTTGAGAAGAGAAGCTCGTGATCAGGATGCAGATAGACGTCGCCGTCCTCGACGCTGGGATCTTCTATCGAGTGTCTATTATTCGCCGTTAGCCGACAGATTGGCTAGACATCGTCACCACGTACTTCAGACGCACGTGCTCTTGCACCACATACACAGGAAGAAATCGCGCGGTCCAATTATCCGTGCAAAGCGAGCAGCACCACAGGTGTTTACGTTCGCGCGCCGCATGAAGCTCCTCGTTGTTCCGTGCTTGGACTTCCTTGACCATGGCGGCCCCGTCCTCGCTGGCAACATCCCATACGCGGCTGTCCGCACTGTCATGGGAAGACGACCATTCATGCTGTACCTGTGTATGTTTCAGCGCGGCCCAATATATGAATAGTACCATACACACCGCCGCGCGCCATGACATGACCAGCCTTGTTTCAGGCCTTGATAGATTTGTGCAACTGAGCATGATGTCCATCTCATCCATCTCATCCATCGTTGTCCGGGAAGGATTTTTGCCGCAAAGCTCAACAATCTTCCGAGCAATTGGGAGCACAGTAGAAAATCCCAGTCTGCTAGATTTAAAGGCTCTGCAACGCCCGGTCTGGAAGGCAGCTCGCTCGTACAATCCTGTAGGGTCCTCATTATATGGTGCCCACGCCGGCCTAAGACAGCGGTGGGCTATTACTTGAGGGTACGGATAAATCTTCCCACAATGAGCGCAGTTGAAGTATGCTATGGCCAGATCGAGGGGGTTCCCGTAGCCGTCGTCAGGGAAGTCTTGTTTCATCAGATTATGGAGGGTCGCCTTCACATCGCTTTGCCATTCGTCGATCAGAGAGGGCAGCAATTGATGGATCATATTGAGCGTCTCTTCGTTATCCACGATTGTATCCCCCGGCACGTCGATGATTGCCCTCATCTGTGGCATGAGGACTAGATCAACGACCGTTGGATTGAATTCACTTGCAGCGGTTCTTCTAGGCGTCATGTAGTCGTCTGCGACGAGGGAGGAGATCCGACTCATACGACGCAAGAAGACCTCCCTCCTCTCCTCCTTGAGACGTTGCTCTTTGATATCCTCCATTACTGCAACCAAGTCTGCGCTGATCTTCTGCCAACCTATTCTTCGACCACATCAGCACGTTCATCAACTGGAGCAGAGACTACCACTGACCGCGTTCAGTCAATGGCCTCGAGGTCCGTACGTGGGCATGCTCCGACAAGGGATAGAAGTCCCTACTTGTTAGTTTATTAAGCTCTTCCGTCCAGCCCATGTCGCGTAGCTTGTCGACAATGCTGCCACACGATAAGTCAGAAACTCAGCATATAGGGTGGTTACTTACGAATGTAGTCGGTCTTGTCTTATTTGCTCTAACTCTGCTGCTCGAGACGCAACCTTTACCTCGTACCATATCTTGCATAAGGGGGCATGCTGATGCATACTGAGAGTCAGACAACTGTTCGATCTGATGAAAAGTATCTTCACCTCTTCGATCTGCTTCACTCGCATCCGATGATTGTCAACCCATATTTGCCATGAGGAAGTGTCTTTGGATAGTTGCTTCCAAGCCTGCATGATGTCTTCGTATTGCTTCTTATGATACATCCGCCAACGATGACGGCCAGTGGAGCTAATCTGTTGACATTATTAACCCTGTGCCCAGCGGAAACTGGTGAAACACACATCGTTAAACATTTCAGCACGACTTAGAGTAATAGCGGAATCATGGATTTCTGACGGAAGCTCGAAATAATACGATGGAACGATACTGGAATTGACGTCAGCAACTAAATCTGCATCATACAGTCGGTCAAACATACAGCGACTTCTTGCATGTTCTGCAATATCGAACATTGAACTCCCAGATTATGTTATGGATATTTGTTCTCAAACAACCCTGGGTTAAAGAGGCTTAGCAGTTTCTCGATGTATGCCATGCGCGACTTACATGGCAATAGGGAAAAAAGGCCAGATTCGCGTACGCCGGTTCGCTGAGGTACGGCGGACAGTCCGGTAAGCCTTCGACATGTTGGCGAGAGACCTTCCACAAGTTTGCGGACTTTCGACTCATGAGGAACGTCCGGAAGTCCTTGGTTGTCCTCGCCAAATTCAATAAATCACGAGGGTGCAGCTGGCTAAAAATCTATTCTAATGCGTCAGCCTACGGTCGCCTTGGATGCAAGTACACGCACCTCAAACAACACATCAAATGGCATGTTCAGTATGTCTTTCAGTCCTCCCCGCTTTCTACGGATTACTCGGCGAGGAGCCTCGGTAGGTGTTCCTACGACGGGGCCAACCACATTTGCAAACGCGTCATTCACGGCGACCTTAGCTTTTTTACGTGCCATCCCTTTTCTCTGGAGTTGAGAGTTCAGCATATACAGGATTACGATGCAGAGCTCACGTCTTAAATTGCGCTGTACTGTTCAGTGTTGAGCCAGGAGGCGCAGGCCTTGTCCCTGTCTCGAGCGTGTGCGATCCACACGCTCGGCAAAGGCCGAGCGACCGTCCACAGTCTAGTTGTTTCGAATATTGTGGTTCATTCGTCCACTGCACTCGGCTACACCGTTCATCGCCTCGGAAAAAAAACGCTTCAGTAGAAAGTACCTAACCAGTGTACTAGCATCAGTTCCCTCACTCCACGTGCTTGGCGATTGGCACCAATTTCGACGAACGCGGAGAAGCACACCTTCATCACACGCGCTACGTTCTGGCCTGTTCTTTAACACCATGTTCAAAAAGTAAGCTTCCGTATATTACATGCATTGAGCTATTACGACTGACTTATCTAGGTTCCACCCATCTTCAGACGTTGCTGGGCAGACGAGCGTGAAGTCGTCGGTGCAACGATCAATCCGCTCTAGCCTACTGTCCCAATGGAAAATCGATCCAGAAACGCTCGAGCAGATCTGGCCTAAGAAAGAACCTCTGACTCTTGTGAAGTGGTCAGTGCAACTGATCCTCTTCGCGGTTTCGCTGATCATGCTGATCGCATGATCCACAACCCCATATCCATGATAGCAGAGAACACATCTCCATATTCACCCTGCACGGCGAGCCGCTATTCTTTCAGCACTTTGACGGACCGTTCTTCCCAACGCTGCGTCTGCTCCACAAATGTATGCCAGCATCAGCCTCATGCTCTCGTTTTGGTCGCCTGACGGTGCCTCATGTTATAGACCCGTTCGTACTGCCTATGGTCAGGATTGACCGAGGAGCGATTCGTTTCCTCCTTGCTGGCGCACACATGATGTGTCCGGGTATGACATCCGCGGGAGGTTACTTGCCTCCTGCAGAGTCTGCTTTACCTGTGGGTACACCTGTGGCGATTCACGCGGAAGGGAAGGAGCACGCAGTGGGTATCGGTATCACCAAGATGGATACCGAGGAGATGAAGAAGGTTAACAAAGGAATAGGCGTAGAGACCGTGACATACATTGGGGACGACTTTTGGGCATTGCAAACGCTGTAAGGAGCGCGAAAGTGTACTCACAGCCTGTCTACCAGATCATGATCGAGCAACGCATTAATGGATAGGACTCTCTCTGCGCATCTGCAGGTGACCAGTGTATTGCTGGGGAGTCTGATCCACAGCAAACCTTCGTTCGGGACCACTACATTTGGACAGCCAAATTTTCAGCTTCTGATCACGTCCTTTGTTCCATGCGATTCTTCAATGCGTATATTGCCTAAATACTTCCATTCAGTGCGTGTGCCTCTCCGTATCTCCTTGTAGACTATCTCGCCTGAAATTGAACGCTCAGTCAAATCTAGATCGCTTCTAGCGATGTAACACGGTTGTTTTCATCAGCGAGCTTACAACGCTCTTTCGCCGCAACGGATGGCCTCGACCACGAAGAAGGGCTGAACTGCAACCCTACTTCCCCACATACCAGCTGTGCTCTTCACCAGCGGGCGACAGCCTGCGTGCTCGACATGAATTTAATGATTGATTGCATTTAATATGACACCCCTGAATTGCGGGGAACATGCAATCATATCGTCATTCGACGCATTTCACCTTCAAGGCCTGCAGGACCGTTAATCAGTATGACGATACCGACATGCCTCATAGTGCATCATGCATCATGGCCTACATACGCGCAGATCGCGACACATGAATTCGGAACCAAGTACGGCTGTAGTTGTATTTCATATCTGATATATAGAAAACCACTCCGCCGCGCACAGCCCGCTGAGTGTCCTCTCATGAAGCGCCGATACTACATAATAGCATTCACTGTGTTATCGCGAGAATGCGGAGCGCCCCTCGTGTGTGCGGGACTTGATCACTCAGGACCGGCGATTGCTGGTCGTGTGAGGAGACCGCATGCGAGATATCGTTTTTCCCGAGACGGAGACATCAATGAAGGGACCTTCTTGAGACCTTTCATATCGGTTTCGGAGGCTATTGGCTCCCGAGGCAACCACAAATGGCATTAACTTAGACACCACGCTGCCAACCGCCAGGAGTCCGACAAGGTTTTCGCTCAACTTGTTATTTCGCCGTCCAGCGCTCAGCTCCCGCCAACTAGGCGTGCATCAGGGCTGGGGATAATGTCGGACGGACTTCCATCCTTCGGTTATGCTGGTGCCTTTGTTCCCTCGCGTAGTCGGAAGAAGCGCAAAGGCAAGGGAGGCGTGCGGTCGGTGCAGCCGTCCGTCTTGATGGACCGGACCATGGAGGAAATTGCGACAGGCGATTGGTTGCAGCAGTGTAAAGGTCCGTCGCCGTGATCATACCGTTCTAGACTTGTAACAACGCATCCTCTTTGCAGAGTACGTCAAAGACTGCCTTGATACCTTGCAGATCAAGTCACCCGAGGTTCTTTCTCTCGGGTTGGGCAGCCCGGTGCTATCACGCGATGCACGCGCACAATTAGCTTTCCTCCTGGCCGTCTGTGATGGTCTGTCTATAGTGTGTGTTTCCCCGAATGTGTAATCCCGGCGAGGCATCAACGCGTGTTCATGATCTCCAGGACCGCACGAGCGTATCTATCTACGACCCCGTCTTCACGGACGAGGATATAGACCTTCTAGACACACTCAGGGTCACCCGCCTAACCGAGGACAAGGCATGTTTCGCTCCTGGTGTCCTTAGAAGGCTCGCTGACCTCCAATTGCCAGCGCGCGGCCTATAGACTGCGGGCACCTACCCTCGTCTTCATGCCGCATTGTGACGTGCAGCTTTACGAGAACCTGTTACGAGAGAACTGGTCACAAGCAGGCCTTCCCAACCTCGTTCTTATCGCTAACCGCCTAAGCGAGTACGCCGACAAGTACGTCTCTGATGACTCGCGCTGGGACCTCCGTGTACACGAACTTGACTGACGTGCTTCGATTTCCCAACAGCGTCCCGACCCGGAAGCTCTCCGTAGAACACCCTTGCGTCTGGCGCCTGAGTGAGCTCACATAACCTTCCTCAGCTACCGCAATACCCGTTGACACACATTTGTATTAGCCGTAGCACGCTATCTCGCTGCCCGTGCTCTCCCGATCTGTCCGGCGTATCCAACGGCGTTCAACAACACATCAATACAATATGCACGTGTGAGTGATATCGGAGGTGTGGGGGACGAATGGTGGGAACTGCCGCTCGCTCATGCCCCTGGGGCCGCAAATTTTGCTGATGCGAGAAGGGAGCGCGACCTTCCATCCTGACTCATCGGCTTGAGACCGCAATGCGTGCTCGCTTCAACGCCGCTCTACTCTATCGGCAGCGAAGCCCTGTTAACGTGGTCGGAGCTCATAACCTGCCACGACGGCAACATATCAGATATCGTTCTAGAGCGCTGTAGCAAAAGAAGCCAATAAATAAAGACCATATCTTCTTACCGAGATCCCCAAAGTATAGATTAGATTTCTAAACTTACGTATGACGGCAGCTGTCATTGTGACATCGCAACACCCTGTGAATACCACTAACCGAACAAGGAAGAGACAATACTATGTAGAGACCGAAAGCACGCACACAATTATAGTACGACAAACGGGTTCACGCCACAAGAATGCAACAGGGAGCGGGGAGATGGAGCAACGACTAACACTGTTGGTACACGGACGGGCCATAGACACGGGCAGCATGGACAGGATTATCAACATGGGAAGGCAGAGGGTCGAGTCCAAACGGGTAGAAATAGGAGTCGTCCGTGTCAACATAGACTTGAGGTTGACGAGAATGCGAGCGTCGCCGCCTCTCTGAAGGGAGGGGAACAGAAGCGGGATCGAGTGGGCAGATCGATGACGTAGAGTGGTCGAACGGTGTTGCAGGTGCGTCCGACTCGTCGTCAGATGTGTCCTCTATGGCATCTGGAACCGGTAAATCTTCCGTGTCGTCGACGTCGTAATAGGGTAGAGGATCGTGGTACAAAGGGGAGCTGGCCTCTAGAAGGGAGTCTGGGGAGGAATCTAGACCGTACCAAGCCGAAACAAGCGAGGGCCGAACAGGCGGATAAGGAATAGGGTAGGGGATGGGAATGGCATGTGGATTAACATAGAAGCTGGATTGGTCGACGAGGTTGTCTGAAGAGGACATGGGCGAATACAGAGGACTCAGCGGTTCGTCATCTTCATCCGGAGGTGCACCAGACATAGAAGTCTCTAGTCCTCCCTCTTCTGCATCCAGATCGTCGTCTTCGCCAAGGTCCTCGAGAAGCGAATCCAACCAATCATTCTCAGAGCCACACACGCCAGCGTCACGCGAGAGGGCGTCAGGGTCTGGAAACATAAAGGCAACCTCTTCTTCTTGATCACACCCTTCGTCTTCAACGCGCCTATACACATATGGTACATCAGCTTTTTCAGGAGTGGCGATAGGTGCCGGGGTATGAGGCTGAACAAGAGAGTTGCGTAAAAGTACCCAGCGATGCAAGCTGCTGCTATCCTTGACGCCATTGACGGAGGTAGACAGCAGCTTGTTGCGGGCCATAGCGAGGAGAGACGGAGATTGCGAGGTTGACTCTGTCATCGATGCGGAAGAGGAGGACGGGTAGAGCTCAATAGTGGGTCGGTTGAGCGACACGAAAGCGATAATGGCTGTGTTCTAGGGGCGCGACGACCATGAACAACATTAACGCAGCAGACAAAAGGCAGGACATACGAGACAACGGTGGGGTGTTACCGGTGTATACGGTAGACGATGAAGGGCTCGAACAGGATGGTGCCGTTCGTCGATATATGAACGGATTTGTCGACCATGCTTGTTTCTATGCTCGCCGGACTCGGGGATGGGACAATCGGGGCGAGACAAGAAAGAAGGGGTACCGGGGGGACGGGGGCGCGGCGAATTGTCGTCTTAGACGGACATGGTGGTGATGGGCGCGGGGAGAGTGGGGAGTCAAGGCAGAGTTGGGTGTTCTTATAAGAGTAACATGCTGTGACGCGCCGACGGTGACTCAATAGCTAAAATAGGAAGCGCCCGTCGCTGTGGTTCCACTGCCTCGGGCGTTCTCGGCCGTTTCCGTGCGGCTATTCGCTGAGCGCGCCTGCCGGAGTGGCAGTCGCCTTGCGTTTGGGTGGCTGAGCCTATCGCCGCACACGAGCACGCCAGTCCTCGTCAAGTCATCAAATGGTCTCTCCGCCGCTATGTACATCCTCCGAATCCACTCGCCAGAGCACACCATCAGCCGCCCCCTCATCCCTCATCCATCACGTCCGCTTCTGGGTCCCTCACCGTCTCCAGCAGCTTTCGTATTTTGTCCACGCTCTTCGGCGACACATCCCGGGCCACGGCGAGCAGCTCCGCCGACTTGACATTGTTTCCTAGCAGCCGATACGCCTTCGCAAGCTGGAATATCACATTCGACTCCTCCGGTGATGTTTCGCGCAACCTCTCCAAATCTTTTACCGCTGCCTATTCGTCACACACACCAGTTGTCACGCCGCAACGCGGATCACCATCAGCCGACGCCCACCAAACGACAAAGTTTTAAAAACCACTGACCGCGTATTGCTTTAGTGCGATAAGAATTTTGGCCCGACGGTAGCGCACAAGTGCATTCTCTGGCGACAGACGGACCGCTTCGTTGAATAGACTCAGCGCCTGATCTCGGTCTCCTAATCGCTCGGTCACCTATCACACGACGGGTCGTCAGCGTTAAGCGATGCGTTCCCTCGTGATGTTGCACCTACCATACCCACGCACCCTAGCAAGACGGCGTTTCGCGGGTGTATTTGTAGGGCTTTCCGATAGTGGTAGTCCGCGAGTCGAATCTTGCTCATCCGCATATAGCATGTGCCCAACCCATACCTGCGAGACCCGCGACAGCGCACAGATAAGCATTCATGTCAGTGGCAGTAATAAAATAACCCACCAGGCATTGTAATGTCGTGGATCAGCACGCAGAGCGGACTCGAAAAAGTTGATTGCCTTATCCACGTCTTCGTCGATCGACTCGTGTCCGCTTAGTGTATATGCGTATGCGCAGTTGGGATCAAGTTGTGCTGCTCGCCGAAAGCAGGTCAGAGCTTGTGGGCGTTCCTTTTGCAGGGAGAAGCAGTTGCCGACGGCAATCCATGCTTGCGGAGCTCTGGGATCCGTGGAGACCAGCTCCTGCGCGAGAAATGACAGCTTCACATTCTCCTGCCGGTGCCATAGAAGTGTCGAGAACACCTCCATATCCCATAGCCGATACGGCTCGAGATTTCGCACTGCCTCAAACGCGCGTTCTGCCTGATGAGAGACATGAGTCGGGGTGCTGTACGCTATAACGTGAGACGACACGTACAGCAACGTACTCGCCCAGTTCGTAATGAGCTTTGCCCACCATCGCCATAACCCACGCTGACCATTTCTGTGACATAGGTAGCTTCTCCAGTTCATCGAGACACGTTCGACAATCGTAGAGTGCCATCGCTCTGGCCGCACGAGCGAACATGCGCATCAGTTCATATAGTTGGAAGTCAGCGAGCTCTGCATCGTAGGTTTCCTGCGCCCCCTCCTCATTCGTCGAGCTTAGTGTACTGGGCCCAGCAATTGCATCTGAATATACAGTGTTTGAGTTCTACAATGCGGCAAGTCAGTTGACAAGACCTCACCTTCTGGTAAGGATTCCTCATCAGAACCGGATTCTACAGCATTCACACGCGTGCGACTTTGCAGACGCCGTCGGCCGCGAATCGTCGCTTGCTGGTACTTTACAAATGGTGAACAAATGGAAGTGGCAGTGGGGCGGTGCAGCTCACTTTGGCTGTCACTGGCTTGTTACCTAGTCCATTCAATAGACGAGTGCTACGCCTAGTCATCATGCCACCGACAGGCTGGGGGTGTGCGGACTTGCCAACCCCCAATTGTGACCTAAATGAGATCGCAGCAGCCTGGGCAGGACCAGTAGATGAGAAGATGTTAGCAACTGCCAGGGCCGGGCGCGCGCGTGCCTTTAAACTTTTCGGTTGATCTCTCTGCCCCAGCAGGAGCGTGCCCGTAGACTTTGATGGCTTTAGGTACACGTTCGAGTCCGCGGCATTGGTGGAAGAGGGTGCCGTACGCTGCCGCACAGTAGAGCGCAGCTTCTTGGTCACCGGGCCCGCCTCATCTGCTGAAGAAAGAGGACGCACAGCTGGTGGATGCACGGCCAACGAGCTCGTTGGTTGTGACCGGCTGGCGCGTAAGGCACCTTGATGGAAGGATCCCTCGGGGTCAAAGGAAGACTCGTCGGTCGTCCTAAGCGAACATCAGATCAATCAGCATTACAGATGCCTCGATTTGCCCACATTGAGTCGTGCAGACCCCCAACATGCTCCGAATGTGTTGGCAAGCCTACATCGGGCTTCCAGCCGACAAATAGGTTACCGCCGTTGCCAGCGTCAGGTGTGAAAAATCCGGCACCTGTGGCAACTGGTACAGGTCTATTGAAGTCTGATATCGCCTGCTTCGTTGGTGGTCGCCGCGGCGGGAAAAGGTCATCAATCTCGAGGATGTCGCCTGAAAGAGGAGCAATCTAGTACCGTACGAAGCATTCGCGTACTAACTACCCACCTAATGAGCACAATCCTTCGAATGCTTCCCACAAAAAAGGATTGAGGGCCAGGGCTTGGCGGAAGCTAGGAATTGCTCGTTCAGGAAGGTTGCCCTTCATGGCTGTCGCACCAGAACGACAATGTAGCACAGATTGTTCCGGGAACGACTTTGCTGCTCGCGAGCCCATGGATGCTAGAGAAGGGATACACGAGAAAACGCGTGAGGGATTTAATAAGATACTGAATGCAGGGAAACGGACGCGTTGGCTTATACGACGGGTCTCGTAGGCTTTCTTCTAGCGCTTCTCGAGCTAGTCTGTTTTTCCCCAGCGCTGTACAGCATTTGGATTTGATTTCAAGGCATCCACTACACCGGACGCTGGATGGTTGGTCGACAAGATGATGTGCCGAGTGCGGCTGGCCAGATCGTAGCAATGCTGTGGCATACAGATGCCGAGCATCATGATTGCTTGGGTCCATAACATAGTACCGCTCAGCGTAGAAGACAGCAGACTTGTGAAGGTCCGCATCAATGCACGACCATATCAGAGAGGCGAAGCGTTGACATATGTGAGGAGTGAGCGATGGATTGCCTTCGTGCTGCATGGAGTCCTAGCGCATGGGGAGCGAAGACCAGCTAATCAAAAGGCCCTCGAGAGCTCAGCAAGAGTAGCCAAGAGGAGATAACGCGAAGATGAGACGTGCTGGTCGCTAGCGACGTTGAGTGAAGGCAAACAGCAGGACGAAGCTGTAATGGCTGGCCGCCCTGCAGCGCTCAGACTCAACCGCGATCCGATCACATGTTCGAAGCCGCGTCACCGATACGCGTTACGAAACGTGACGTGTCTGATGTGGCCCGTGCTTGTAACTTATGTGATCCGACCATATACAGAGTTGCAAGTCTCCATGAGTGCGACGCCGGAGATGATGTACAATATACGCAACAAGTCGGAAGAATGACGAACTACCCTACTTGTCCACCGTATGCATATTCTGCAGCTTCGTTTCTCCCTCCACCCCAACGAGGCTCAGTGTGCGTGGGGATCTGGCTCACCCTTAGATTCTACACCGACAACAGTCAGCAAGTAGTACCTCGACTGGCACATGCACACTTACCTGGTACACATTGTATTGCATCGTCAATACGCAGAAGCGATACAGCAGCCTCAAACGCCGACTTCAGGCTGCGCACTTTGCTCACAGTCGGTTCCAGAATTCCCGCAGTGACATTGTCTCGTACTTCGCCGTTCAGAAGGTCGAGACCATAGCGCATGAGTGCCTTCTTCGGATCGCCCGCAGGCGCATTCTGTGCTGCGTTATGATACGCGCGGAGCTTCGCGACGAGGTCCGTAGAATCCTTCGCAGCGTTGACAGCAAGGGTTTTGGGGATGATGAGAAGAGCACTTGCGAACTCTGCGATAGCGAGTTGTTCCCGCGAACCCTACAAGGCATTATATTTAGCATGAGGATCATAACAGAAAATTATCACCGATACGCACCAGTGTCGTCGCAAAGTTCTCAAGATAGATGGACAATGCTGTCTCAACCGCCCCTCCACCAGGCACCACCGAGCCGCTCTCCAAAGTGCGCTTAATAATAGACAAAGTGTCGTGCAGTCCCCTCTCCATCTCGTCCAGCATGTAGTCATTTGCACCCCTCAAGATGATCGATGATGAGCTGACCACCTTCGTACCCTTGATCAAGATTAGTTCGTCGTCTGATATGCGTTCCTGCACGACTTCATCGGCGGTCCCAAGGTAGCTGGGCTCGAACGACTCCTCGCCCTCCAGGTTTGCAAGGCTGGACATAAGCGTACCGCCCGTGGCCTTGGCGATGCGGCGAAGATCTTCCTTCCGACACCGGCGAACAGCCATTGCACCAGCCTCAACGAACTCCTTGAGACAGAGATCGTCGATGCCCTTTGTTGTGAGAACCACGTTCGCGCCTGCTGCGAGAATCTTACGGATGCGCTCTAGCGTGATTTCAGCTTCTCTGTAGTAGCTCGTCAGCTCAAGCAGAATGACCACCGCATTGATGAACAGCACCTTTTCCTGATGTCCTCCAATTGATTCGGGTCATCCACAAGAATCTGCACACCGAGCTGCATACGTGCCTTCTGTAGATTGATATCTAGACAGGCGATCTTGGCATTTGTGATGCGAGTCTTCATCGCTAGACAGCACACATTTTAATCTCAACCATTACTCTGCGATATGAAACTCAACTTACCTTGACTCGCAACCGTGCAATTGAGCGCGTATCCTCTGACAAATACGGATTCCCGAGCACTTCGACCGTGCGCCTTCAGAATGTTCACTGCTTTCACTGGGTACTTGACATCTCCACGGCTGTTGATGGTCTTCACCGCTAACATCGCATCTACCGCCATAGGAGCGAAGAAGTCATCGTCACTAGTGACGTTAGCTTTAAATGACACGTGAGACACCGTTGTAGGCGGTCCACTCACCCGCCGATGATTTTGCTGGACATGCTGGTCTTTGCAGCGTTGATCAAGGCCTCTCTACCCAATGCATCAACCTTCACACTGAGCTGATCCTGCATGAACTTGCATGCTTCCCTGCATGCAAGCTTGTAACCTGTGATGATGGTGGTAGGATGGATCTTCTGCTTCACGAGCTCATTTGCTCTTCTCAGCAGCTCGGCAGCTATGAGTACAACCGAAGTCGTGCCATCGCCTACTTCCCGATCTTGCTTTTGCGCAAGGTCCACAAATACTCTTCCCGCAGGGCTCTCGACAGCAAGAAGAGATAAAATGGTCGCGCCATCGTTAGAGATTGTGACTTCCTAGCGATGCAAATCCCTCCGTGTAAGCTTCATCTACCACTTGGACTTCATGAAGAAACGCACTCCGATGTTGTCCACCAGCATCTTGTCCAGACCCATAGGTCCTAAAGAGCTTTTCACGATGTTTGCGATCGTTTGTGCAGCAAGGACTGTCGTCCGTCACATTCAGCAAAGATAAGACCTGCCTTGAGCTGGACGCGTACCATTCTGGTCACGGACATCTTGCCCAGAGACCCTGTCGCCTCCGAGAAATGCGCCAGCACGAGGGTCACGTTGAAACATGCTGAGAGGTTGAGGTTGAGACGAGGAGATGCAAGTGAGCAGGAGCAGTCAAGAGTCAAGGCTAGGACGCGTGATCACCACTTCGCACTCGAATCCATTTTTGGCCTGTTTTCAAGTTGGGGCATTCATCAGAACTCTTTCGACTACTACTGGTGCTATTATTCACAGTGCACACACTGGGCTATAATATGCTCTGGTCTTAACAATACCAGTCTCGACAGCATAGGGAAAAACGACACCGATCGTTTTCTTCACGTTCTGGCAGCCGAACATGTCCTGTTGCTCTGAGCGGCGAGGAGGAAGTACTACTCGCTGACTGTTTCTTCCGCGGTCGATCTCAAGGCTAAGATATTCCATTGTCTACGGCGATGTCATTATGTTTTTGAGTCGTGTCCCTGGAATTACTAACGTAATACATACAGAATACAGCGAAAGTCACTAAGCTCTGCCGGCCGCTGGCCAAGCATTCAGGGTATCAACTGTAGTCATATCCTGGTCCATATCTCACGGTGCGCGGCTGACAATGGAGGGCTAAGCACGCTAGGCGGTATCTTGACTTGAAGGTAGTCAACTGGTCGTCTCAAAGAGGCGCGGGAGGACCGCCCGCTGCTTCTTCTAGACGGCGTTGCAGACTAGAGTCATCGTGAGTACGAAGGGGTCATGAACTCGTTGGGGTCTTGCTTACCTGGCTGTTAGTGCGTTCTAGCGACCTTTGTGACTCGTGTGTGTCCTCGATTGGCGGTTCTGGTGCAGCACTATCCGTGAAAGGGTTAAGCACGGCACTCTCGTGCTCCAGTTGGTCGGCCGTGGCTTCAGGGTAGACAATCTCTGCACTTCTGCCTTCTGGACTGACAATTACTGGGTACTGGCTGACGACGTAGCGCATACACTCTGGCGGCGGCCCCGCAACTAAAGCCGGATTGACTAATGCTATCTGACTGTCAGACATCGCTGAGTTCCCGGTGTGCCGGTTGAAGGGGTTGCGAATGTTGAGCGAGGAGACCGCCGAGCAGGAGGAGCTTCGCGCTCTCGTGTATTTTGGTCTGATGGCTAGATGCTCATCTTCGGACTGTGCTCGCTGTATCTGCTGAATAGTTGGTGGCAGTCATGATTAGAAGAACGTGAGCAGCTTACATTCTTAGCCATGGGTGGTAGGCTGAAATGTCGCGCCTTTTTCTGCAACTCTCGTCTTAGAGACTGGTGAGGGCTCAATCGTAACAATCGCGTACAGTGAACAGGTCAACCTTGCTCGCATTGATGAGTGAGTCGCGCCGCGCCGTGTATTTGCTTCTGCCTTTCTCCACTTCCTGCTTAAGATGCTACTCAGTAAAATCCATCCTCCATGCTATACTATGCTGACTGTCGGCGTGCCTTGGTTTGGTCAGCTGCTTTGTTCATCTCTCGACTCTCTCTTTTCCTGCGCATGAAATCGAACATCGTGGGCTGTGTTGTCGTTGGAGTGCGTGTGTGGGGGGATTACGGATCTTAATGACCGGGCCCTTACTCTATCGCCCAGATTATAAGGGCGGTTCGAGCGGTGACACAGCAGTCAGAACTCGAATATCCCGAATTCACCAACCCGCGTCGGACATGCCAAATCATCCATTTCCGGGTGCGCCGAGGATGAGCGTGACCAAAGCACCTGATGAGATTGCCGGAGCATGCATCACTTCCTGCTGTGACGTTTGGACTTCCTCGATTGCACAGCACAGTCACTCACCGATGACAATATTTGGATGATATCGATGACCGCTGTAGCTGCAATAGCACCAAGTCACAGTGGTCCTATGACATGTAGCTGCTCAAAAGATCCGTCGTAAGCTGAGAGGCCACAGGCAGCCCGAAGTGGTTGGACGGCGCCTACTAGCGATTGCACCGATCGTTTAGGGCTGTGGCCCAACTTCACTTGATACAGTGCTCGTTACTTGTTTTTGGCACTTTTCAGACAAAGACAAACGTTCAATATTCAGACCTCGAAGGCTCGCGATGTCATCTGTCGACTCGCCGTTGAATACGGTATGTTTTTATGCAGTGTGAGCTGTCTGAGCATCTAAGGTGCTGAACCGTCCAAGGCCCATCGACATGCTGCAAATGCGGACGATTATGTTGCTCAAGGGCTACTCATTCCAGCGGCAGAGGAGCATATGAAGGCAGCAGAAGCGTTTCTTGTCTGCGTTGAAGCGGCAACGGACGAGCATGTGGGTTATTCTGCTTCGAGGCGACCCATGCGCATCGGTGTTGAACCGCCATTTGCAGACCAAACGGACACTGCAAATGCTCTATAATGACCATTCAAAGGCCGAAAAGGAGCTTCAGAGGAGAATAGCTAAGCTCCGTGAAGAAAACAAGGATCCTACGTTGCCTCAGAAACAATCCGGTAACGCAGCCACCGCAGCGGCCGTCCCTCCTCGGGTGCCACCACCAACATCCTCTCCACCTCCGCGAAATGTCATGTCTGAGTCTCAGCAAACTGTGGATGAGTCTTTCATGCTGTTGGGCCAGCGCGTACGTCTTCCACCTCTTCATTGGTCGTTCTGTCACCCCTTCGTATAAGTGCTCGCTAATGACATCGCAATTATGCAGAGTGATGCAGGCGATCCGTTCAATCAGTTCTGGAAAATCACCGAAGGAATGCTCGACTACCTCTCCCAACCAGTAGCCTTTGCCACCGCTCCTCTTTTCCCTGCCACGACATCGCAAACAGCGCGCCGTGATGCCAGCTCCAGCAGTGACACCGATGCAGAAGATGCATTCTCGAAACGGCTATCGCGTGGGATTGGTCTGGTCAAAGCGGCACGATCGAGAATGCTCACGCGCCAGGAATCAGCTTCGAACGCACTGAACTCTGACGCGAGCCATGCCGCTGGTATCACTACATTCCCTCCTCGACCGCTCTACCCTGCTCAACAAGATGACTGGGACGAAGAATTCCCTGAGAACTATGGTATGTTCTTCTTCGTGGCGCTCAGGTGATGCGACCAAACACTTGTCAGGGGATGACATGGCCGACTCGTTCTGTCTCATACCGTCTAAATCCGACTCATCTTCTGGCACGTTGATGAAGGAGAATGATGCCTTGCGGGAAGATTTAGCCGAGACACGTAAACAATTAGCGTCGGCAGAAGGGATGCTGAAGATGCGTCAAGAGCAAGATCAGCAGTTACGCGATAGCATATTGTTAGCTCGAAAAGAGGTATGCTTCATCAATGCAGCCGGATTCACGATATTGACTTCTGATAGGCTCAACGTGCAATGATGTCGTCCACAATGACGCCTCGGACAAGCCCGGCTGCAGTGGACCTCGCGTCCTTGAACCTCAATGTCCCGCCTGTACCGGCTTTGAATTCCGGAAAATCCGGGCGGGATAGGGAGGCACAACTTGTGCGGAGAGTGCGAGAGCTTGAAGAGGAAGTACGCGGATTGCGTACCGAAAATGAAAAACAGGTTTGTCAAAACACTTCCATTGGCGTTAGATATGCTGAATGTGGGCGTAGAAAGCAATGATCGTTCGCTTCCGCGAGCGCTGGGAGAAACTCAAGGAATCTGCAAAACGGAAGAAGGAGGCAAAGGCAGCTGCTGAAGCTATCAACATCGTTTCGGAACGCATTGACGAAGAACCAGAGGCCGAAGCAGAGGCCGAAAGAGACGACGTGAAATCCAGGTGAAAGGTCATCGCAGACTCAGCATCCTCTACACGCCGCTTTTCTACGGGTCGTTTTCACTGTAAAGTGCTATCACTGGCTGTATCAGTATTTCACTGTACTTGCTTTCTATAGTGTAACATTGTATGACCATTAGGAATTCAGTGGAATAGGCATGTACAAATAATCGAGCCACATAATACTTCGTTCATCAAAGAATACGCTTCGTCGCAAAGCATGAGATGCTTGTCTACAACGACGCTGCAGCGTACTTCATAACAAATTCTGTGTTTATGTATCGCATCCTTCATGCAAACAAGCTATAATCTACGATCTTTAGAGATCGAGCGACGGCCGCAAAGGTGTCTTGTGCGATCCTCCACTCGTCCCCTTCGACAGCGCCACCATCCGCTGACTTTGTCGGAACGTTCATTGACAAGACTAGGTCGACATTATGGGGTTGCAGACGATAGACAGCAAGGAGGACCCGGACCTCGTCCGCTTCTGGCTTGTTGAACTTGCGGACGAGCTGCGTTCCTGTCAGCACAGTGGGAGGGGGAGTAGTTTGGTCGCTGCCTTCGTCAGACATTTGGTATATGTCGACCACTTCGTGTGCTTCAGCATCATTGTCGTGAGCCAAAGAGTCGAAGTGGAACCTTGGAAAATATCGCAGCATGAGCTAGAAGACTGGGACGTCTTGGCTGATCTTACCTTGCAATGTCAACCGATCCCTGAGCTGCAACGCTCTGCAATATCTCTACGATGATGCTGATGTTGGATTCCGGATAGAGAAACACTTCTTGCGTGTCAGGAATCTGGCGCAGATCTCTGTGATTTTTGAGCTGGACGTCTCAACATAAATATGAGGCACGCACGACGCATCGATCAGACGAGTAGGAAAGGTAGCCGTGATGGCTCCCCCAAATAGATCCCGCGTGGAGGTCATGAAAAGACTATGTGATGGTGAAGTAGCAAGATGGTCGGCACAGCATCGCAGAGCAACTCGTCAGCATTCTCGATCCACTGAGGCAGAGTTCCAAATTGCAACGCTCAGAAGCGCTGAACCGTGACTGAGCATGGTCACGTGCTTGTGACAGACGCGTACACGCTAAGGCTGCGTCGTTCAACTGCACAATCATCTCACCGCCAGCGCACTGACCCGCCTTTTCTAGTTCCTTCAACATGATGGGAGACCGTAAGCGTCGCTCCATGATGCCACCACCAACGGATCTGTACCCCAGCGGGCGCTCCAATATCCCCATGCCAGCCACTGCAAAGAAGCCTCGCCAGACAGGGCGCATGTCGATGGCTGGCCCAGCTCTGAGAGGGCCACACCAAGTCACGTCACAGATACCCGGTACCAACCCACGTCATTCGATGTTGAAGTCTCAGAATGTGAACCCCCTTCTTCAAAGCGTGAGCAAATCTCAATACGGCCGTACTCCATCACATAGGTGTGTGCAGCATGTCAGTCTGAATCCACGAGCGATCTCCTCAATTTGTACTCTGGAATTCCCTCATGATGATATCTCTTGGCGAATTGTATCGAAACGCTGTGTTCTACCGTGAGTAGCAGTACGCGAAGAGTGTCGACATGGGGTGGACAAGGCGGCCCCCTTATAGGCAGCCAAGGATCTATCAAAGACAGCCGTCCGCTCAGAGAGCGGCCATACCAAGCCAAAATGCGGCAGGAGGTCGTGACGTGGTTGACCAGCAACGGCTGCGATGTCTCTTCTCAGATATTGCAAAATATCACAAGCAAGGATTTCCGCGTGGTGTTCCAGCATCTAGTCTGCATCGTCGATCCTGAATGGTCATTCAATCCAGATCAAAGATTTGAGGAGCAATTCATGCATCTGTTACGGGAGTTCCATTATTCTTATTTTGGACAGCTGGACATTAAGACCCTGGCAACCCCCGGCGCGATGCACACATGGCCGTTGCTATTGGGTGTGCTGCATTGGCTATCAGAACTCGGTAAAGTCAGTCTCAATGCGTCGTTTCATGCCAGTTTAACTCACTTCTGCGCGTCTATGCTTGACTGAACAGGAGCGTCTGCATTATCTCGATAGCCAAGATCCAACCTTGCAGGACTCATCACTGATACCCAATGAATTCGATGATATCGATCACCACCAAGCACTCGCTATCGATCATTATGCACGCGCATATCAAGTCTTCCTCGATGGCAAAGATGTCTTTCCCGATCAGGAACGGATTCTAGAGGATCGTTATGGTGAGGCTTTTGATAATCTATGCACGCACAGAGAAACTGAGTTGGGTTAACAGCGCGCAAGGACGAGCAAGTCGTTGCGCAACTGGATGTACAGAGAGAAGAGTTTAAGCAGTTCCAAATTGAGCTTGAGAGTCTTGAAAAATCGCCGGCACGTTCCATCGCTTGAAGCGGCCTCAATTCCTGCTGACCCCACCCCAGGCACCCGTGGAGGAACTGAAGAAGGAGATTGGGTTCATCAAGCGGGACAAAGCGAAATTCGAGGAAATTCTGCGTCGGTGTGAATCGAAGAAGAGAAAACTGACCGACACCTTGACACGAGAGAAAACTGAGCTAGCCTATTGCGGTATGATTTCCCTTTCCTTTTGGAGTGTTGAGTGAGCGAATCTCATCCCATAGTCTCCAACTTGGAAAAGCTGCAATCAGAGGAACTGAGGCTCATCGGAATCGTCAAAGAACAGAATCTAACACCAGAAGAAGTTGTTCGCATGAATACTGAACATGAGACGCTCTCTCGTGATCTTGAGACACTCAAGCACAAGATCAACGAGACGAACCAGGTAGTCATCAAGCTTGAAGTCTCTCTTACAAGAAAAGTCTCGGATACCGAAGAAGCGTTGGACGCATATAGCAACCTGCTCTCCAATCTAGGCCTCTTTCCTCCCCTCCCTCCGCCTCTGCAGGACATGGACTTAAATCTGGATCTCAATCCGGCAGCATCCAATCCTCTGAACCTGCTGTCGGGCGCGGATATCAGGAAAGTCGTCAAGCCCACGCTTAGCCGCGTAGCGGAGATGAAGAGGGCGGAGCGCGCCAACGTGGAAAGCGAGCGGATCAAAGTGGATAACGAGGTCGACCAGCTGACACTGGAATGCGAAAACATGGACGAGGAAGTCGTGGAGATCAGCAACAAGGTCAACGGACTGAACGATCAAGCCGACGAATTACGCGAGGTATGGCCTTTGATGAATAACGGCTGCACTGCAATTGGCTAGACTAAACTGACGCCTCTGTGGAACTTTCACTTATAGGCGGCACAACAGGAAGCAGTAGTTAGTAACGCGGAAACTGCGAGACTAGAACGAGAGTTAGCCCAAGCACGTACAGCTGCGATGGCGAACGGAGTAGGGGTGAAATCACGTTTGCAGGGACTTCAGATTGCGTACGTATGCATCCAGATGCTTCGCAGAACAGTAATAAACGAGTCGACGAAATTCATTGCACAGTTTTCGAGAACAAGTTGACAAAGTCAACCGGCTCAAGGACGAGACTACGCGCGCAATCATCAAGAACAGCAGTGATATTGTGCAGTTCAAGGAAGAAGTATCAAAACAACTCAAGCATCTACGGGACTTTGCAGAAGCGAATTGATAACTCCTCCTTGAACGGTTGTGTTAGTACCATCGGATGCCAATCCGCCATTAGTCAGTGCTTCCTCACGCATCGTGCTGAGGTTATACTATTTATCTTCTACATGTGTGTTGATTATGCAGTCCTTGGCCATCTCACCAGAGCCTTTTGTGCCGATGAGAAGAGCGGAATTGTTTGTGATTGCGATGCCACAGGAAGCCATGACTGCTTCATTCGACACCGACGACTCCCCGTACTAATTGATGAAATGCTGCTTCTCGTTTTTCCTGGACTAAAACTAGGCATCACTGGAGCTGCCTCGAATCTTCATGGAGGATCAACCTGTTTTCGGATCGACCTTTGGTCCGTTGACACTTTCTCAAGCGGGCGTCTGCAGGACGATTTGGGCTTATCATTCTCACACGAGATGGATTCATTGCCTCGCTGTTACTGTTCCTCCAGCGACCTCGTGGCAGTGGTATGCGCCACTGACGCCTACTGACAGGCTATGCGGCCACAAAATGACGCTCAGGATGTCGATATCGAATCGTATCGAGCGGACCACGAATCCACAGATACAGTCATCTTCCCTGATCCGGCGTAAGCGATGTCTGCTTTGGTAGTAAGGTCGTCAATTTTTACTTTCGAACTTATCTCGAACTCAGGGTGGAGCATGCGAGGTTGCCGTTGTTATCTGGGAGCCGTGGTATTATGAAGACTGCCTCTCGGTACCGTTCTTTCACACACACCCACCACGGTCATGATCCAACCGCCGACAGATCCATTTCGGTGACAATCGATGTTAGGACGATTGAGTTCATTACATTCGGTGGTTCCGGGATCCCGCAAACTTGGAAGCTCCCAAAATAGCTTTAAGGCTCCCATTAACATCCAGTCCACTATGGCCAATCTCCGAGTTTCCTCCTTCCCCAGGGGACGCAGAAACAAGCTCACACGGAGAGACAACGATCTGAACGATCAACGTCCCGCCCAGAAAGTCTTGAGCAAACGGGGCCGGTAAATTTGCTATTGCGGTGCGTGTTCTTTCGTAATCTTTATATTATAGCCCGTCTTCCGTTTTGTGACAGCTGACAGAAATGCGACGCCTGTTGTAGGCCTACGCATCGTCACAAATGGGGCAACAATTTGTTTAGAATTGGGCGCATTATATACAGAAAACGCCCCTTTTGTGGGTTCGGTTTAGAAGCTTGAGGTTAGAATTGCGCTCCGGGCCACCTCGAATACGCAATGTGGATACATGACGAGAATTCTACATGAGAAGCAGATTCGGATCGGAGCGACACGTTCCTTCTGAAGTCCAAGAAGGAACTGACATTTTATCTCTCGAACCCCTCCTTCTCGCGAAAATCCTACACGGTATGTCAGCCAGTGCACTGTCGACTCCTCGTTGCGGAAATGGTTGTGGGAAGCTCCACAGTTTGCCCGTCGTGGCAGAGTCCGCCACCATGCGGTCTGCTGTGACGTGCTTGGCATGTAGGATGGCCAAACTGGACTGCATTGCGAATGATGCAAGCCGCGGGATTACTACAGCTATCCTGCTATTCTCACAGATGGTATTCTCAGCAATGCCGATGCCATCCTGCTGTCCATCTGATCTTGTTTGTTTTCCCGAGTCTCGCGATTCGCGTCGCCAATGAAGCCGAAACGTGAAAAATCTTCGGTTCAATCGTGACGAAGCGCCGCAATATGTCTGGATTAATGGCACTAAACAGTTCCAACGGCAGTTATCCGATGTCATTGACCGCGTGTGACAGTGTGTGTTGTTGTTGCTTGCGGACAGCGCGCTTCTAAGCGTGTCTGAAGGTATAAAAGGGTCAGTCCTCCAGCTATGCCTCTTGGGACATCTCCGCGATTCTGCACATCCTCCTGTATAAGCGGCCTTGACACACAACTCCCTATCATGCTGTCAGAGTCGTCATCCAGAGACAGAGCCCCCGCTTATGACGAGGCGGAAAAGGGTGCCTTGGAAGTCCATGTCCGTCCGGTCGAGGTGGTGTTCAATAGCGAGAAGAAGGATCTTTCCATTGCGCAGGTCTTGCCCTCCGAGAAGAAAGAAGTACCCTCAGCACCGCCTGCGAAGGCTGCTGGGAAACCGCCCAAGCGCAAGGTATCCAAATGGATCCTCTGGCAACTTTGGTACAATACTTACAGGTGAGTCTGGTCGATCTGCGCTTGATTTAGGCGTTCATGTCAGCATAGGAAACTGTTCACCATCACTTTCTCCGTCAATATGATCATGTTCGGTTTCGTTGTGTCTGGTCATTGGCCGTACGCTGTCAAGTACGGCGGTGCGATGGCTGTCGGGAATTTCAATTTCTCCGTTCTGATGAGGAACGAGATCTTTGGGCGTCTTCTGTACCTCTTCGTCAATACGTGCTTTGCCAAGGTGCGTAACCTTGCCAGAGCACCGAACGCAGTTAAACCTATCGTCCATTGCAGTGGGCGCCATTGAAGTGGCGTCTCGGTTGCACTTCCGTCCTCCAGGTAGGTTCCGTCGTCTAGTATCGCGACTTTGATGCAGAGCTTTTCACCGTTCGTAGCATCTTGGTGGTATCCATTCCGGTTGTGCAATCTCAGGAATTATATGGCTTACACTGCGGGTGGTACATGTCTTCGAAGCCCACGCCATTGAAACCAACGCCCTGTTAGCTTTCGGTCTCATCACAAACGTTACATTGGTGATTACCGCGGTAGCTGGATTTCCATGGGTGCGCAACACACACCACAAGTAGGTGCAGGTATTTTCTTGTCTTTCGACTTGATGTTAACTTGGAGTTGAGTGTATTCGAACGCTGGCACCGTTTCATGGGCTGGACTGGGTTGTTTGCAACCTGTGAGTGCATTTGCGGGTACGCGTTGCGTTCAGTCCATAATTCTCCTTTACCTCAGGGCTCTTCGTTCTGTTTGGCGACTTGTATGATTCGACAACTAGACAATGGAATCTGAGCGGGCCACATCTTGTTCGCCAGCAAGATTTCTGGTACGTTATGGGCATGACGGCCTGGATCGTTCTCCCCTGGATTTGCACAAGAAAAGTCAAGATCAATATCGAGCTGGTCAGTGTTACCGACATTTGTTGTATTCAAACTAATCGGCCGGATGAGTAGCCATCCAACAAAGTCGCCGTGCTGCGATTCGAACGTGGGATGCAACAAGGTCTTCTCGGTCGTATCAGCAGAAGCGCGGTGAAGGAGTACCACGCATTCGGTATCATCTCGTAAGCGCATGCGCCATTCCGTCGGCACATCGCTCATTGTGAGCATATACAGCGAGGGTCCCCACGCGAAATATCATTACATGGTCTGCGGTGTGCAAGGTTGGCGCATGCGTTTTGCCGATACGCACGGTGACTGATGCATCGATAGGCGATTTCACTCGCAGTCTGGTGAACGATCCACCCCAGTATATCTGGACCCGGGAGTTAAAGGCGAGTCAGCTTATGATGCTTGTTCCATAATCGTAACATTCATGCGATTTTCCCACAGCTGGCTGGAGTTTCCAACACGTCAAAGTTGTACAAACGTGGGATTCGCATCTGCACTGGCACCGGCATCGGCGCGGCACTTGCGACTTGCATACAATCTCCTTACTGGTTCGTCACAACTATCTGCCACTAAGCTTTGAGAGCTCGGCTGATCTCCATACAGGTATCTGATTTGGATAGGTACTAGATATTAATCGTAGGGAAACAAATTGAAGTCGCTCACGAGCGTCGTCTAGGATCTGACCAGGAGAAGACGTTCGGCCCTACGATTAGCGGTCTGATCCACCGCAACATCGAGCCGGAACGTTATCTCCTCTGGGACAGTAAGGTCCGAGGTGGTCGTCCAGACACAAGGAAGATCTTGAAGGAAGTATACCACTCCTGGAAGGCTGAAGGTCAGCCGAGATCGATTTGTAAAATGTGCGAGCCGCTGATACACAGCTGTTCCAGTTGTATTCATAACGTCCAACTACATAGGAAACTCCGAGATGATGCAGGTGAGTCAGCCGCATATTTTATTTCCCAGGATGAACGCTAAGGTGTCGACAGGCATGCAAGGAAGAGGGAATCCCTCACTTCGGAACGCTATGGGACTTCGTGAGCAAATCTATCCCTGCCTCAGTCAAAGTCATATTGACTGTTCGCGTACCTTCAGTGACATGTTCCCACTGCGTTGCACAAGTTCACTAGATCTCGCTATAGACTTGAGGCCGAGCTCCGCACGCATCGTAGCTCTTCTCGCCTGTTATCACACTTGCATCGTCTCACATTATTACACACATATGTTCCTGGCTGAGAGAGACGTTCATAATGATATTTTCTTGCCATCGGATGGCCCCTCGTCTCCTAGCAACAGTCTGCAAATGCCTACAAGCGGACGATTGCGCGCGCCACAGGCTCAGTGCCTCAGATCGCGACGCAATACATGACTGCTTGCAGACAGATGTTCCGACGTCACAGATCCTGCGATGACACATCCGCCGAATTATTCCATTATGCTTCTCACGCGGGTACGACGCAATATATGCGGAAGGGGGGCAAGCCAACCCAATAAGATTGCATGAGAAACAAAGCACGCGGAGTCATGAGAAATGTCTTCGAGATAGAAGCAGACTGCACGAGTTACGCCAATGGCGATCATTATCGCCTAATGATAGTTATCCAGTATCTTCCCGCGCCTGCCCATCCAGGGCCACCTCTTGTTCGGATTGATAGTCGTATTAGTCTGGATTCTCACGCCTCTTTTGGCGAGCTCGATTAGTATTCGTGCGATGTTGCGGGCGTCCTGTTCATTGGTGGAGAGGTTCAGCATACCCATCTCGTACTTGAAAGGCAGCACTGGGACGACTGACATCGATGCCGCTATGCTGTCGTCCTTCGAAGGGGCCGAGACCGAGTACTTGCAATTGGCGAGGAATGGTCAGGGTGATACGCGTCGGCAGATGAAAACCAGACTGAGTCATGTTAGGCTGTCAGCGACTGGGAAGATTTCTTTGCCGTACCTGAGAGCTGGCATGCTTGAAACGGGGTCGCCTGTCGGTTTGACTGAGGGAACACACGGCACGGCGAACATCGAGCACATCACCCGAAATTCATGCCGGCATCGGGACCTTCCATTACAGAGCTCTTGCTTACCCTACGTTGCTTTTATCATTCAGTGCCAAGTGCGTACCTTGGATATGAAGCATTGCTTCACTACAAAGTCGCGGACGTCGTACGGACCATCACTACACCAGCAGTATCGGATAAGACGGCGGCCTGTTATGGGCTCAATAAGGGCGTTCCGTTCCATGAAGCTCTTGAATAGTTCGGATAACTCCGTAAACGTTGGTGCAGAATCTACTTGCTCCTAAGCATGACATAGTAAAATCATCGACAACCCACGAAAGAGAGTGAGGAACTGACCTGCGTGATTCCGGTTAATTGAGTGCAAAACTTTGAGAGACGTGGCCTCCAAGTAGGTTTGACGAAGCTCCTAAATTCATCTACAACTTGGAGCTTTTTGGCAGTGCCGGCTTCATCCTTGTCCTGCCAACGTAGCAAGCAGACAGGCCATTCCTGTATATCGTTAAGTTCGTGGGTTGAGGAGCTAGAGAAGTATAGGTATTACAATGATCTCATTCGGATAATCAAATGCAGCGCTGCCCTCTACACAGGTGCCTTCAACATTCAGTACCAGGAACGCGTCGTATGGTTGCCTCGCGGCTTGGCATTCTTGGATCTGGCGCAGATTCTGGCTTTTTGATAGTTTCTGCATCTCAGATAAAGGAGAGGGTTCAGCTAGCGGAGGCAATGTACAGTTTCGACATTAGTATATGCCATTGTACTTCTCATGCTTACATGAAGCCTTAGGCTGTTGACGCCGTCTTTCGCCAAGAACGAAGGTCGCCACCACGAGGAGGAAGCAACCCCAAGGGAGCCCAGAAGCGAGACTTGGCCATATAGAGAAAAAGATGGACACCATCAAGTCAAACAGAACAAGTTATCCAATCGGACTTCACTTCAAATACATCAGGGGGTGAGTATAGACCTGGCTCGATGCTCTTTCTTACAAACCTCTCGGAATCGCGTAGAAAATTTGAAAGTATTGAAATACTGATTCGTGCCGACTAGGTGGAAGTCAACTAGGGAAGTCGACGCGATGCACTCGGCAATGCGGGTATTCGACTTAGGCGAGAGGTCGAGACGAAGCTTCTGATGGACAGATGCAGCCAGCACAGAGGACTGCCCTCGGTGTCCCTCGGTGCACTTCGAGGCACCCGAAGCAGAAACGTACTGAATAATTCCAAATAACAGAATGGAATTTTCGCTCGCTGCAGTTTGACCCATTTTCGGAAATTCGTAAGTGTCTTACGTAATCGCTTTTCTTTTACGTCACTCTGGCGTCTGCTGCGTCTCCCCATGCAGGCAGCGGCAAATGGATGATATGGGGCATCACCGCGACGTGCGCGCAGTTCGACACGGTGGCGACCTTGGCCGAAGTACCTTGCCGAACCAACTCTGCCAGCATACGCATTCACTCTCCAATGCCTTCCGACGGCAAGCCCAGAGAATTAGACCTTCCGCTCCGATAGCACAGACGATGGGACTGACGAAGCGACCGATGTCGAGCGACTCGCACCAGGCCGGACTGGATTCGCCCATAAAATGAGGGCGGGATGATGCTATGTCTCTGCAGCTGCCCCGCCGCGGCAACAGTTGTGCTGCCTTAGCTCGGCCGACGTCGTTATGCTCGAATGCATGCTCACGAGCTGGCGTATCAACAATGACGGCAAACCTCTCTACTCAGTACTCAGGGTCGTTGCGTCGTTGGAAGGCGGCCTTCGACTTTTGCAATATCTTTCTCTTAAAACAGGGCCCGGATCCTGTCTCCACCCAGCATGCTGCTGTCGTTGATGATATTACAAGCTTGTGATTAGATTTACCTCTTTGTGAATCAGTGCCCATATCATGTTCGTGTGATCGGCTTAAACCCCATTGATCACTCCTGTTCTTCCGCCCTGCATTTTCTTTTTACCACCGCTTGTGCAAGTTCGCTCAAGTCCGCACTGATGTCCAGTCCGAACTTCCTCCCACGTGACTCATTGGATCTTGAGACCGCCCGAATTTTCATTCTTCCATTACTGCTCGCTTGACGCGGAAAGCACGCCAGAGCACTCGAGGACCGCTGCATCAACATGGTTCGCCACGGAGGCGATGACCTCGAGGATGACTTCGTCCCTGATGATCTAGTCGCCATGGAGGAGGAGGAAGTTGCCGTGTATTCGGCGGACGGAGAGGACGCCAGTGGCCTACTCAGTGCCGACGAAGAGGCACAGGAGCGCAAGGATACTCATAGTCCTACGAAGACGGCGAATGACAAAAAGCGTAAACGGCGAGCAAAGGAGAAGGAACGCAAGGTCTGTCAAGATCAAATTACTCGTGCGCGGCGACCACTCATATGCCCATGCAGAAACGCAGATTAGCAGAGTCTCTCAATCCTGTCGAGACACCATCCGTGGCAGCGCAGTCTCCCATGCTACTAGCAGACTATTTGTCGTCCATGCAGGCCAAGGCCTTTTCGAAAATGACCTCAATAGAATTATCGGACGTGCAGATTCCTGGTAATTGGGGTTGACTATGATCATGGATTTGCTCATAATATTGACTTTCAGATAGAGAGCAGTATAGTGGACACAACACAATGGGTTGAATCGAAGAATCTTGACCGGCTGGTGGAATTCATATCCAAGGGTGCGTTCCCATACCCGTTCATACCACTTTGTCTTTGAATGTGCCGAGACCGGAGTCTTACGAGTGATTGCAGTGCTACCCACACTGCATACACGTTTATCGCAGAGGCCTAAATCCAGCGGATCACCGACTCTGATTTTTGTTGCCGGGGCAGCTTTGCGAGTGGCGGATATCACGCGGGCTCTTAGGGATGAAAGGTTGCGTGGCGAGAAGGGAGGCGAAATTGCGAAGTTATTCGCCAAGCATTTCAAACTCAAGGAGCATGTTGCATTCCTCAAGAGGACAAAAATTGCAGCAGCGGTGGGTACGCCGGGTAGGCTTGGGAAGCTTCTATGTGAAACCGGTATGTTCATTACTCCGCGCTGTCGCTTGTCATGGCACCACCAACCAAAAACCAATTCACAGACGCGCTGTCAACGTCTGCGCTCACCCATGTCATTCTTGACATAACATACCGGGATGCCAAGAAGCGCAACTTGCTAGACATACCCGAGACAAGAGATGAGGTGTTCAAGGATGTTCTAGCCGCACCAGAGGTACTGCAAGGATTGAAGCAGGGGAAGATACATTTGGTCTTGCTGTGACAGCGAGCGGCACTGCTGTGATGGATGTCAAAAGCATGTTACACGAGGAGCGGTAGTAAAACTGCATAATCAGAAACCAGTCGGGTTGGTCCTCAGCGTCAACTAGAATTTTATGCACATTCATTGGTTTGTATCCGGCGCATCGGTTTGAACGACGTACCCGAGTCCATTTGGGCACTTTATGAATGCCCTTGCGGTAACCCTTCCTTAGCTGCCGGGTGAAAACGGTGTACTTGTCTCTAGGAGACATTTCGTGCTCCTTGGGTAGTTGAAGAGCTTTTGTCTATGCAGCGACGTGCGTTGTGAGAGCGCAAGTATATTGAGCGGAAGCCGCTTACAAGAGCTTCACACTCTACGCCGCTTGCCTTCACTGCGTCGATCACTGCGTCGACTCTCTTCAGGCGAGTTCTGGCATTGGCTTTCCTAGTCGGCGACAACTTCCATGGAATCTTCCTGTGCTCGGACTGTGAGCATATCCTGACATTGGCATATGTTTGTGGACTTGCGCACCAAAGAAGACCGCCCATGCTAATGGGGGTCGGTCTGAAAGCTCCGAACATGTTGCTGCTCGCTGTGAAGATCAATGGTGGCCACTGGCTGGCCACATTGCGAAAACGCTTGCTGACTAAGCATGGCACACATTAGGCGCTTCATCAGCAGAACCTACTTTCAGCAACTTGTTCAGCATTCACCACCAGTCTAAAGAATGAGCGCTGTCGATGTCCAAATGATGAGCCCTCCGGCCATGGATGGCATCATCCACGCCATGAATGGGCATGGTGACTATGCTCATGTGCCAACTCAACCCAAGTTCGCCAGCGGCCTCATTCTGCCACCCCCGGAGATCAAATGTGAGTACCTTGCCTCTGCGTTGTATGTAGACAATCGCTGAAGCATGCTGTGTTCTCCCGTGCTATAGCTGTCATTGATCGTACAGCGAACTTTGTTGCGCGGTCTGCCAATCCGCCTCAATTCGAAGACAAAATTCGCGAGAACCAGCGTCAGGACCCAAAGTTCTCGTTCCTCAATCCGGCCGACCCTTATCATGCTTATTATAGGCATCGCATGGAAAAGATTGCACGCGGAGAGCTGGAAGAAGAGACAGTGCCCGAAAAGGAGGAAAAGAAAGCGGAAGGTGTGGTCGAAGAACGAGAGGTGGACAAGGGAATAGAGCCGCCGGTGTCCGAATTCATCCTCAACATACCGAATATCACGGCAATTGACTTGTACGTGATTCGTATGCTCTCATCATGAATTGAACTCACAGGCATCGCAGAGACATCATGAAGTTGACCGCCTTGTTCACTGCTCGACGGGGACGTGCATTTCTCGCTGCTCTGTCCCAGAGGGAAGGACGCAACTACCAGTTCGACTTCTTGAGGCCGGACCATTCACTCTTTGGCTATTTCAACCGGTTAGTAGAGCAGTATTCGAAGGTTCTTCTGCCGAGTAAGGAAATGTTAGCGCAATTGAAGGAACGTACGCAAGAAGGAGCTCGATGGAAGGAGCTCGAGATTGCCAGGAAGCGTGCTCGTTGGGAACAAATGAAACGCGAGAGAGAGAAGAAGCGTGAGGATGATAAAGAAGCGGAAAGAAGTACGTGTGTTCTCCTGCTCTGCGCTCCCAGATCGCTGACTTGCCATCAGTCGCTTTCGCGGAGATCGACTGGCATGACTACGCTATTGTGCAGACCATCGAGTTCACCGCGGCTGATGCGACATCTGAGCTCCCACCTCCTATGAGTGTCCAAGAAGTCGAGAACATGACGCTGGCGCAGAAGAGAATGGCCGCCATGATTATGGAGACTACGCAAGAAGATGTCGATGCACATCGTGCTCGTCAAGCCGCTGCGGAGGCCGAAGCAGCAGCGGCAGTTGGCAACACAGGCGTCGCACCTGCAGAGGAGATGACAATGGAGCAGATTGATAACGAAGAAAAAGAAGCTCGGGAGCGCAAGAGGCGTGAGGAGGAGGAACACGCAAGAGAGGTAGAGAGAGCTCGAGCTATCCAGGCAAGCTCTCTTGATGCAGGAGCTCCTATGAAGATTAGGACGGACTATGTTCCGAAAGGTGAGTCGTCGTTGTATATTTTAGATGCATGTGATCCTAATGCTTTATCTCAGTCGGCAAGAAGACAACGGAGAATATGACCACCTGTACCATCTGTGGTCAGCAGGTCCCAGTCGACGAGTTGCAGGAGCACATGCGCATAGAGTTGCTTGATCCGAAGTGGAAATCACAGCGTGATGCGCTTGAAGCCCGCAAAGCACAGTCATCCGAGCTGCTGCGTGGCGCGAACGTTGTGTCATCGCTCAAGAACCTTGCACGCACTCGTGTAGATATCTTCGGAGCCGAAGCAGACGAAGAGAAACGGAAGAAGGAAGAAGAGGAAGAGAGGTTGCGCAGAAGAGAAAGGGAGAAACTCGTCTGGGACGGTCATACCGCTTCCAAAGCGAACACGCTCGACAAATTCTCTACGAATGCCAATTTCGACGAGCAGATCGCTGCAATTCACCGTGCCAAGGGCCTTGCACCGTAAGCCTTAGAGTCCAGCACTTCACTTCGTTCCCAGTTGCTGACGCATAGTTTCATGTAGACAAGAGGCTGGTGCCATTGGTCCTGGCATCGGTCCTGCTGCCGCCCCAGCGCCTCTGACCTCGTTGCCGCCGCCGCCTGCTTCCCTCCCGGCGCCGCCCATGCAAGGCGGCGCCCCTGCTGATGCTGCCTACTCTGCCGCGACGGTCTCGTCTGGCCCACAGCCTGCCTCGTTGTTCCCTTCTCAACCTGCGCCCGTCATGCTGCCTCCTTTGCATTACCAAGGGCTTGACGCAGCGCAGCCGTTCGGATACCAGCCCCCACCCGCAGCCGCTCCAATCATGCATCCCGCCAGGGTCGCTGCGCTTGCAGGCTCGCCCGTCGCCGTTGGGACACCACCGCAGGCCGGCATGGTGCGCAGCGCTGATGAGATGGAGGGTGCGGTCGACGATATTCCCCCCGCTAAGCGGCAGAAGATCGCGAAGATCCCTGGACAACAGATTTACTCTGAGGAGGATTGGATCAACATGCACCCAGTAAGCAAAGCAACAGTATTCTTTGTTCATCGCAACATGACTGACGCTTCGTTACAGCATCCGATTTCTTTGGTGGTTCAGTTGCCCAATGACCCGTCAAAGCTCGAGTGGAAACTAGACGGCAGGGTCATCACTATTCCCGATGTCCCCGTCAACTTACTGGTAGCGGCGCTGCGTGACCGTATCGTGCAGCACACCGGCACCTTGCCCGTATCCTCAATGCGACTTGCATATGCGGGCAGAATGTTGACCAACGCTAATACCCTTGCGAGCTACAACGTTGAAGACGAGGAACTGATAACGCTGAGCGTGCAGCAGAAGAAGAGGCGGTAACTGCTTAGATATACCTCGCTCACTACTGTCACATCGGCCCTTCATGTAACGGGCTCATTATTTCCTGTACTACTGTAAACTAAAACGCAATGCGAACTGTTCTTCGCAGTTTCGGCAAGAGAGTGCCAAGCATGGACCAAACAATTCTGGCGCATATAGATGTGTGGAAACCCCGAAAGAAGGCTAATTATACAGTTATATTACAATGGGAAACCCGATTTTCCATCGGACCCCTCGCAAGATGTCCCTAGTCGACCAAATACAGCGTGTAACTTCTTAAACGAGCCTCTTCGCAATCAACGCAAACATCAGGACAAGCAACACGCAGATGGTCGTATCTAGCAGGACCGGGGGCCGTCGTGGGCTCTGTTGAATCGCGGCAGCGACCGCAGGCAGATCACCCTGGGGCTGGGCCTGCGTGCGGCTGTCTGGACGCGACGAAGGCTGCAATTTCACAGGCTGCGCGGTTGGAGTGGGGACGCGCTTCGTAAGAATGGAGGCAGGAGGCGTTAGACGTCTGGGTGTAGGAGCGACGATGGGAACGGGCGTCAGTGACCCAGAGGATGCACTGGATGATGCAGGCTGCTCGGGCAGAACAATCGGTGATTGTGCTTCAGGCGCGGGGTTTGCCGTCTCGGTGCTCTCCGCAGAAGGCCCGACGGATGTTGTTGACTGTGTCGTGTGAGGAGGAGGAACCACTTCTTGCGCAGATGTGGGGGAGCCGGCGGCTGAGGCTGAGGGATCTGGGAGACACTCGAGATTGGAACGGTTGCACCTCGGGCAAACCCAATCTCTTGATCTGTTGAGCATGAAGAGCAGATGCGGTTCAATAGGAAGACGAGCTCGGCAACGGCAACGGAACTTACAGCGCGGCAAGGCGTTTACGCTCGGCGGTAGGATACTCGAGGGCACCTACTCCGACGGCTGCTGTGCCCTTGAGAGGAAAGAAGCCTTGCAGTCCGATGATAGCTGTGTGGCAAGAATAGTGAGAATAACAAACAGCGATTGGTTCGGAGGATGCCCAACCTGTTCGCACACCCCAAGCAGGCTGCCAGAGCTCTTCATGGTCTTGTACGAAATATATCAGCCTGAATGACTAGCCAGTGGACGAGCTGCTCACAACTTGTGAAACTGATACAAATCTTGAATGAAAGTGTTGAGTGTGACAGGTTCCGCAGCCAATAGGAGGGGACATACCTTTGTGTTCAGTTCAAATCTACCATTCGGGGTAAGCATCATGACGGAGGGCGGGCGGAACGGATATTCTGCTGGTAGTAGGATGCGAAAGTGATACAAGCCTCCCTCGAATTCTGTTCCAGATGGGCCTCGAAGCGTACAATGCCATTCCTGCAAAATCAGATGCCGTCCGCTCAAACGGCTCCCATGGACGGATATGAGATGGCTGGACTCACGAAGATGTCGTCCTAACCGCGCACGGATCATAAACACACGAGACACAGTAGAGAAGGCAAGATGCTGCTAACCTCAAGAGGGACTGCCGAGTAGTCGGTACATGGGTCGTTCGCGAGTTCCCTGGCCTCCTGCATGATACGTTTGACCGCTAAGTCCGTGTGAGTGGCTTGCTCGAATGATGAGGCAGCATCCACGAACCGGAGTTGTTCTTGTTTAGGCCCGCCCGAGCAGCCATTGCGTCGTGAAAGTGAAGAAGAGAGTGGGCTGAAGAGGAGGGGGTTTGAGGGAGTAGGATGCGATGCTGAGTGCCCAGTTGCGCGCTACCGTTGCCGATCGCAGTCGCAGCCAACAACGTGGAAGGGTATCATGTGATTGCCTCCAGTCGGTGATTGCCAGACTTGCCTTTCTCGGATTTGCGCGAAACACCTCGCACCGAGTCCCTTGCTCACTTTTCCGAACGTCCTTCGTGCTGAACAGGGCTGTGACCTATCGAAGGCCATTTTGGGGGTTAATACTGGTTCGGACAGCCTGACCGCGCACTATGAATATCAAAAAGCTCAAGGTCAAGCCGCGCAAAGGTGCGTTCACGCGGGCTGCCTCCCTGTGCCGACTCGAATGAATCCTGTGCAGAGTACTCGAAGGGCGTATGCGGCCTCCAACTAGCTAGCATGTTGGGCTGCTGGGCTACCTCGAACGATATACACTCAGTGGGGCCGTGCCAGGATGCCGCAAAAGCGCTATTTGAGTGCATGAGGTCGACGGTGCGTGCAAGCAGCGCTGGATGCAGCTATTGGTGTTGACTGTCCACCTTCCCAGCCAACATTACGGAAGGGCCACGGCTCTACGATAAACTACCACCTCATGCGGCTCGGCAAGAATCTCAAATAGATCATGCTCTTCGGTGTCACTTTCCTCTTGGACGCCGAATATCTTGGTCGAATACAGAATCACAAGGGCTCCTTGGCTGGAGCTTCCCATTTAATGCCTACACCCTGTGCAACCCTCCGGTATTGATGTACGCCATGACATGCTCTCGTATCCTGGAGATTGGCCGATCGGGTGTCAGCCGAAGGCGAAAACGCAAGGGTATATATATATACACATTCGCATTGCATTCTGCTGAGATGGTAGATGCCGACCGAATTATATAAATACAACGAGATTCCTGTATACCAATATTTAGGCAAGGCAGGAAAGCTCGAGCGCGAGACTGATAGCCTGGAAGAGGATAGAACACAAAGAGGACAACAGAAGGACGACGATTCGGGGCAAGATATCGAATGAGTGAAAATCGAGACTACACTTTGCAGCACCTTCCGTCAACACACAACGTCCATGCTGTGAGAGTGCACGAGGAGGCCGTAGGGCTGCGACTGAACAAGCGTGCGGGGGAATAAAGCGATACTCCTTCATTGCAGTTGCAGGCCGAACGTGTTCTCCCCTGAGTAGCTGACATACAGGAATCCATCCTCGTCCCTATCCAGACAAACGTTAGCTAGTCAGCCCCTTGCGGGCGCAAGCCAGCCAGACGTACTTGTGCTCCTCGTAGATAGCGCTCATGAGTGCCGCCGTTGGTGGCAGTACCTCATCGACGAAGATGAAGATTGCCTTCTCTGGCGCGAGCTTGATGCGCTTCCGGATCACGTACACGAATTGACCGACAGTAAGATCCTGGTCCAACACCTCAGACCTGTGCTCTCGATGTACAACGCAAGGGAGGCCACTTACAGATGGCACCAAATACTTCTTCTTGTCTATTGTCGGGATGTCTGTCTTGTCTGCCTTCTCGCAGATTACCTAGCGCCAGGAAGACCGCTGAGTAATTGGCTAGCCATGAGTGCCTTCGGTTGCTACGCACAGGAATCCTGTCAGGGTACTTCTGTCTGATTCTCTCTGCCTCAGCCTTGCGCTTCTCTATACATGCAGACCAAGCGTGTGATGAGCATAGATCTCAGAAGAAGGCGGAGACGCGCCACCGACCGAAGGGGTGCTCATCCTTGAACTTGGACCTCATGGTGGAATGCGGGGTGCGTTAAGTTTGTGCTGCGGGTTGCGGGGTGGCTTGTGCCGGCAGTGGTGGTCGTTGGCAGGGGAAGTAGCAGAGGTGGGCGACTGGACAATGAAATAGTCGACAGACAGGCGGCCCATAGCGTGACTCGGGAAACAGACCACAACAGCGGCGTACAAGCTCGCCCGTTTAGGCAACCTTGCTGCACGCGTTTTCTCCACACAGACATATCCATCCTTCAGGGCCTCCGTATGTGCTGTGACTCAAAGCGACCGGGATGGGCAGCTCAACTCCTCCAGGGGAAGGTCTCCGCCGCTTACCCCGATACCGTAACCCGCCTTCCACAGATTCCTACCCTCAGATGCAGTACTTATATCAGTGCCAATCTGGGGACAGCCTCCCCACGAGGCAGCCATCATGCTAGCAGCGAGGCCTCTCGTTGACTCAGGTTGTTAGAGTCCTGGTATCGATGGAGGCCCACCACTCTGGTGCCCCGCGGTTGCCTGGATTCCGTACCAGGGCCCTTCAGGCTTCCCCATTGATCGGGGACTCGACGTTCTTGTGCTGATTTTACCAGCTTAGGATTACCTGCCCGACATGATGGTAAATGCTGGTTGCATGACGGAGAAGGACCATCATTACGTAGTAGTTCAACGGTATACTTATCCCGCCTGTTCTAGGTCTGTTATCGAGCTCTGTATGTCTCGGAAGTGCGCGATACAGGATATCATGCTGTACTTTGTAATACCAGAGCCTGATATCTTTTCAGGGTCGAAAATGCTAAGTTAGTAGGTGCATACAAGCATCACCTTGCATCGTCCCTGCTGCGAGACTTCGGAGCAGATGCGACATCGACAACCGACCGAGGGACATCTCCAGACGTCGACCGCCCTTCTCCGCAACATAATCCCGAGATTTGAGGGGAGGACACAGCTTCTTCAGCCTCATGCAGATCGACCATACATTTAGCCGGCTGATGCACCCTCAAAGGCGGACTCCGTGATTTCCACATTTGCCGTGGAGGGACATCCGCCGCGCTGATGGAGACCTGATCAAGTCAATCTCCGCCCACCAGATGACTGAATCCCACATGCTCCATCTGGCCTTTCGCGGGAGTGTCGCGCGTATATAAACCCCCTTCCTCCTTCCTGGTCCTCAGCAATAAACCATCGCATCTTTCACAGCCGACTGCTTTCGCATAGTTCGTTTCAGGGTTCTACCCTCCTCCACCCCCCCTTCTTTCTCTCCGTGACAGAGTATGCCTAGCTGTTCGTCACTCGTTTACAATGGGTGTCGGATCTGCGCCTATGGTATGTTCCCTCCCCGACGTCAGATACAGCTGCTCACGCTCGTCTCCTCAGGCTTACTTGTAATTCTTCACATCTTACTCACGGCACTATTTGCCTTGTCGATCCACGATCGTTCTGGAGGACGTACGTGTTTCCACCATCACCGGTCTCCCATTTCTGATTCTGATCGCTCGGTGTAGCGACCGAGATAGCCTGCCTGTTCATTCATATCCTAGCGATCTTAGTTCTTGTCTTCCAGTACGTCATTGTCTTCTCAATCTGAACAGTTCTCTGATGCGCAGCCTATAGATCCGTCTACTTCCTATATCGGTGCAATGCAGAACCGAGTAATAACAGCCACACAATCATTTCCGGCCTTTCATGCTTGCTCTGCACTAGTATGTTTCATCGTGATTGCCAGGCATGAGCTTTTCCTAACATGATTGAAGTTGGCGCTATTGTGATCACCGCTCGCGCCACCGATCAACCAGGGATCGTCGACGACTTCTCCGCTGTGTCGGACTCGTATCACGCAGCGCTCGCCGCTATTGCGCTCTCCTGGCTTGCAATGTGGATGTGTAAGTATACTCCCCAATTCAGCATCGGATGAGCTGCTGATAACGCGCTCCATTCAGCTGCGATGACCGTGGTTTTCTCTGTCGTGCAGAAAAACCCGGGTGCTGTCGAGGGTTCCCCGTACACTAGCGCGCCTGTCAGGCATAGAGTTGTTTTCCACAAGGACCATAGGCCACTCAAGATCATCGAGGTCATCCAAGGCTCGGATCCGGAAATGTGGGATCGCGAGAAAGGACGAGCTCCTCAGGCCCCACAGTTTCCTCCACCCATTCTCTGTCGTGACGCCGACAACCGCCCCGCGCGGGACACTCACAACATGAACATTCACTGGCTCCGCGAGTCGGTTTGACGGGCCACACATCCTCTCCTTTCGTTCGGTGTATACTAGCTTGTACCTTCGCTCACAGATCGCCAACCATAACACAAACCAAATAAAGATAGACTGTAGTAGTAGCCACTGTACAACGTGTACTGTACCATTAGATTGTCGACAACATACATACATACATACATACATCCCTATACACATACACACATATAGCACAACGGCCTTGCCCAGACAATCTATCGGAATGTAGCCTTCCAGTTGCGATTGTGCGTGCCAAAGGGATACCCTCCGCCAGTTATAGGCTCGAAGGAGGAGTAAACGACCCAAAGTCTATGTTTCCGAATGAGTCTCCATGCGAATCTGATGCCTGCCAGTACCACTCGTCATCTTCGAGCTCAGGACCGGTTTCAGCTTCCGCGGTGGTGTGTAGTATGCTAGCATCTTCATCTAGCATGGTCACTCCTCCATCTCCCTCAGTATCCACGGTTGCCACGGCATCGAGCGGTGAGACGCCGTCGATATCGCGTACTGCTAAGGGATTTGCAGGCACAACGGCCGGCGCCATTGGAGGTGGAGGAGGATCGAATTCGGCAGTCTCAGGTAGGGTAGCGATTCCCTCATCGGTAACAATATAGTCGAGCGATTGCGGGGAAGCGACATGGTTGAAGACGACGCTTAGACGGCGGATACGGGTAAGCTGATCATTGGAGGACGATTGATCTTCTACGCGCCGTCGCTTCCTCTTGCGATGTTCTGTATCCTCCAGATGGCGAAGCCGTTCGGTACGACTCAACATGATTCTCGCATTGATCTGGTTTGCCCAAACGAGGCCCATGCTGGCTTCTTTTCGCCGTTCGCCCGGTATGCTATCCGCTCGGTTGAAGAACTGCGCTTGGTCTCGGTAAACGAGATCGTACGAGTCGTCTGGATCCGCGCTAGGATCTCGATCCATGACGTCCATGACTTCATTTAGGACTAGCACAGCGATCTGGTATTTGCTTGCGATGGAATGCAGGAGGGCAGAAATTTCGTTTAGACTCTTGGATCTTTGGCTTAACGTTGCAGTGGAGACCCTGGCATGCGAGTGGAACAACTCTGTTAGAGTATCAATGACGAGGAGCTTCACGGGTTTGGCGGCAGGCTTGGCAGCAAGCTGCTCGATGAGAGCAGGCAGCGTTGTTGAAAGTACGCGGAGCAAAATGGGTATTTCGGGCGTCTGGATGGTATGAACGTCGGAGAGTCCGCATAGAGAAGGAAAAAGAAGTGGATGCTTGTTGGATATCTCCATAAGCCTCTCCGTGGGTAGCGTTGAGCTCGTCGTCAAGTAGCAGGCAGAACCAGACATGCCACCCAGCGTGACGGGAAGCTGTACCAGAAGAGACAACTGCAGTGCAAACTGTGTCTTCCCGGCAGCACTTAAGTACAGGTCAGCGCGCCATGCACGTATCACCTGTAGATGACCTGCCTTTCTCCCACTACCTCCCATAACATTCTCGTCCTGATACCACCACCGAGAACCTCATCTAGCGCCTCATCTCCAGTTGTAAATCTTTCCTCTCCTTCGTGCCGCACGTCTTCAAGCACACGAGGTTCCGGGGCAAGGGCATTGCAGATGATGTCCATGATATTGTCTACATCTTTCAGCGAAAGCCGACATCGTTTGGCCACATCTCCGGGCGAAGTCAGTAATATGTCGATAACCGCCGTCAGTCCGGCTTTTTCACAATGTTCAGGTCTCGCAGGAGAATCGCAGCAGAGGTCAACTTACCGCGTTTCAGAACTTCCTGCTGAGCAGCTGAGAGTGCAGAAATGGACGAAATCGTCAAGGATTCAGCATTCATTTTGAGCGATCTTGAATGTACACCTTCACGATTGTCGAGTCCGTCAGCATTTGCAGGGTACACAATCGTGCAATGCCATAGCTACAGTAGCAAGCACCGTGTTTGGCCGTGGCCGAAAGAGTCGGCGCATCAGTTGGATCAAGTTACTTCGATCACTTGCATAAAGCTGCCGATCACCATCAATGTAGCGTCTATCATGCATAACCCAGCTGGACCTTATTTGTCTAATATCCGACAGAAATATAGTGTACTACATGAGGATACATACAGGTCTTCCGCAGATGGAAGGAGATGGACGAATTGACCAAGACTGTGCGCACGAGGATGGAGCAACGTAAACGTTGCGTTCTTCATGAACGTGACCGGACAGATTGTGATGAATCCGTGCGTCCAAGAAGGCCTCCGACGACGTTAGAGACTGTCTCGGTTATTTGCCTCGGCTGGCTTTGGGTATGCTTCACGAAGAAGAGGCGAACGGAGGTCGAGCTCCAGATACCCAACGGAGTCATGCCACGGACGTAGATCTCCCCCCATATCAAGGATGTCAACCATACGATAGACGCATCGGACCACTGCATTGCCGCAATTAGCTGGAAACCAGCATAAATCGTCGCTCACACGTACCATAAAGCGCCGGGAAGCGATCGGCGGTGGCTTCGGTAAAATGTGCTCTAGACTAGCACTGCGGATGAGATCCACAACGGCGGCGTTTGCGTTGGCTGGATTGAACGAGGCCTGTAGTTCTTGTATTTTTGGAAGCAACTCTGAGATTACCAGCATAATGGGATCGAGCGGGAGCCTATATCATTTGTGAGCGAAACGTCACGCAAGAACAGAGGTACCGTTGTCTCACCCTTGCTGCCATGATGTGACCTGCGGCGGTATGGGCTCAGATGACGTGACGGACAGTGAGAACAATGTTCACATACCCATTCCTGCGTGGGTATAAATCCGTTCCGCCCTACAGCCGTAGCGGCGAGACTCTCCAAGCTACCGGTCATTTCCACAGACATGGACCTTCCCGCCCTCATCTTGCCTCGAGCCTTCTCGGATGGTTCCGTCACACGTCGACTAATAGTGGGAGGCTCCGTTGTGGTGGGAGACATGAGCGGTACTGTCGTTGCAGGTTCTTCCTCCGAGATTGATTCTCGCCGACTGAGAACCTCCGATGGCGATTGGATGGTAATCTCCGTCGACATTGTGCTCTCGCTTCGCAGCAGCCGAGCCTTCTCCTCATGGGGCTGCTCTTCCGCATGTTCATCTGCCTTGCGTTTACCCTTATCCACCGTGCCATCAGCCACCCTTGCACGCTCGTCCCTAGCCTCCTGGATCCGACGGATCTCTCGTAATCCTCGTGCGAGCGTGAACGTTCCCAGGTCTTCGAATGCCTTGTGAGCATGAAGAATACCGTAAACGAGGTTCGGGTTCTCTGAGAGATGATGCAGCAACACAGAGTTAAACGTGTCAAGCCTAGTTCTTAGGTGAGAACGACGGCGCGTGTGAACAGAATAACACGTACATGAAGAAGAGCAACCTGGGATGGCCCTCATCAGACAATAAAAACGATGGATTTGAGAATGCCGTAAACAGCTGGATAAGACGTGTCGAGGCCGTGACGCTCAGATTCGTGAAATAAGGGGCAGAATTCGACAAAGCGATGATCAATGCCGGGTATAGGGAAGTCAAAGCTCCGGAAGTCGTCGCCACCATCGAATAGATCACCTGAGGCAGTGGTGAGATATCATTTGAACGAGAGTCCGTAAATGTTCCTCACATGGATCATAAAGTCCGCTGTACTGCCCAAGTTGTTCCACTTCTGCGGTACATGGGCTTTGACGGGAGAGATCAACTTCGCGCCGAGGGCTCGTTCTGCGGATATGCTCTGGATGATGTAAGAGATGGCACGGCACAAGCCATGTTGTTCTGGATACTCATATGAGATTTCCACGAGAGTAAAGATAGCTGAGGTGAGGAGACGCACGAGGCTTGTCTTTGATCTCAATGCCGTAGCAGAGCAAGTAGGCCAGGATGTCTGTGGCTTTTTCCGAGTCTAGGAGGTAAGCACGGAATTTCTGCGCGAGTTCAGTTAGATTCAGTGGTGGCGAATGATAGAATTGCAAACCTTGTTCAAATCAATCATCTTCCAGAATAAGACAACTGTAAACATCAGCCACCATGCTGCCATGGGTAATTCAAGACGAGCGCTCACTGGTCTCTAGCATGTACGGAACGGGCTTCCTCGATCCTGGTAGGATGTTGTTGATAGATGCCATTTCTTGTTCGAAGATGGCAATGAATCCGTCCACGATGAAGGCAAAGTCATTTGGACGATGCTGCGAGAGGCATCAGCATGTACGCAATACGTTCATCGGTGGTGTACTCACAAGTTTGGCAATGAAGTAGCGGAACGCATTTGTGTGAGCGGTTGGGCTCGACGAAGGCCCAGATTCACTGTTGACAACATCTCTAGCCGTCCCACTCTGGAAATCCAGGAGGACACAAAGCACCTGAAGGCAAGTCGTTACCAGCGTCGTTCTAGAATCCTCTCCTTTGAACATGAGGTGGTTGTATGGCAGCTTGCCAGCCATTGTGCCTACGATATTCGTGCTCGAGCCATGCGATGAATTCATGATTGTGTTGAGCAAGGAGCAGAGAATGGTGAGGACGTGACGTCTGGGTGTATGTTGCACAAAATGGAGAGAATAACGAGAAGGAGATGTGAAGAGTGCCGATGGCGGAGCATATATCTGCTTTGACAGCAAAACCAGCAGCAGTCGGAGAACTTCAGTCCTGTTGGATTCATATGCTTGTCCCGGACCTGGATCTGTAGTAGAACCAACACCCTTCTCCCTAATAGTGTAGAACATCAGCATTCTGTTGTCTTAAAGTGGAAATGCACGTACCAGATAGTATAGTTGATCTTGTAATGATCCACTTGGACTCCGGACGGAAGAGTGAATCCGCAGCAAAAGAGCAGGTCAACCAGGCAGCTGAGCAGTTTCTCAGCTTTGGACGGCAAGGTCTTCTTTGTCTTCGTGTCTGCGGTTGGTTGATGCCCCGACACTTGTCCTTGCACGGCTCCCTCATCCTCATCTTCGTCATCAATCACAAACTGTGCTGCGGAGGCACTTTCTCTATGTTCAGGGCTCTCCTCCACTTCTTCTCTCTTCCACAGCACCTCAAGCTCGAAACGACTTGTGTCGCCTTCCAATTCGAACACTACCGGGAGTACACGCTGGAGAACCCGCATACAATTGAGAACCTCTTTGGTGGCGTTGCGAGGCTGCGACGCTTTGATGAAAGAGGTGGCATATGAGGCGACAGAAGTGTTTGCGACGGTGGGGAATGTGTGATCGGAAACCAAGTTGAACAACCGAGAGGTGATCACACGGAGTAAGGTGGCCACGTTCTCCGGCGCGTCATATAGCGCGCGGCGCACTAACAGCTAAAGTCAGCATGTCGTTGAGAAGGATAGCAATGGATGCTTGCCATCATTATGAGAAATGAGCGTGAAGACGTCAGAGGCGGAATCGAACAGCGTGACGTACTGTACGAACAATGTTCTTGAGCCACCCACGTCAAGGAGGCGAGAAGGGGCAACACACCTGGTCCCAATACGAGTCTCTATCAGATATATGCTAGCCATCTCGCTTTAGAATTGCTCATGCCAATTTTGGACGGGTACGTACTCGTGTTGTGGTCAACTTTGCTATGCCTCCGGGCTGGCTACGGAAAGCGAGTTTGGTCTCGTCACCAAGCAAATTGAAGGACGCCGGGATCTTGTGCTGCAAGCTTGCCAGCATAGCGTTGTCGTTTAGTCCACAGGTAAATAGACAGGCCGGTATCCAAAGTTATGGTAAGGACGATCCAAGAGCTGCTGCAAGCAACGCCGCCACAGTGCACAGCGTCTGATCGGGCGTCTGAACGCGGCCGAATATGGCAGCTAGTCGCTCCTTCTTAAGCGTTGACGCTCGACTTCCGCCCTCTTCCGCCACTGCTTCTGTCTGCTGTGCCCTAGTTATTGCGGGAATCCTAAATGCTACTATTTCATCATCTCCATCAGCGTGCGACAGTACGGGTATAGCGAGAACCGACCACTCGTGTGTAAGCTTTGACTCGCACGGGTGACAACCCGATACTGCGAGTGTGCAGATGCGTTGAATGCCAGAATCTGCAGAGATTGGTGGAGTCTTCTGAGATACAGGGCCTGACGGTAAGTGCTGCTCATTCTCAGAACCGGCCATGCCGTTACTGAGGCACCGCGCTGTCCTGTAGCCGGTCACAAAGCACGCTTTGCCGTGCCGGGGTAGCACCACAACGTCAGCATCTCCGACGATGGGTTGTTCCGATGCAAGTGCTTCTCTCATCTGCCGCTGCTGCTCCTCGACAAGGCTGGCGCGGAATCATTCCGGCCTCGTAGTGCGTGGCACAAAGTCGACAAAGTACACAAGTGCGGCACCGTCAAGGCGTCGTCGAGCGTATCCACATTGACGTTGGTGATCGCTTCGGTGACTGAAAAGACGCGCGGATCTCACAACTGTGAACGCTGCGCGCCTTCATGCTCCCAGTTTGCGCTGGGTCAAGGCCAAGAACAGGATGGAAGCAACTGGGGACACGGTACAGTCTGGGGAGTATGAGCGAAGACTGAAACGGCGGCCCGTGCTTTTTTTTATCTTAAAGCTTAAGCTTGAAGAGGAAAGCGTCTGCATGATTTGCATTGACGTGAACCTCATGTCTCTAATACACCGCACCACGTCTCGTCTGCCGTTAGCGGGTTGCAGCGGTAAGATCAAGACCTCGTGGCCACGTCCGAATCGCCCGGGGAAGGGACGCTGCCTCAGCTTCCCGCGACGAGTTCTAGTGATGGTGAAGGTAACAACGTTCACTCTGAATATGACGTTACGCGATGGAATATGACATGAACCCCGACCGCGGAGAAGAGACGGGCGATTGAACAGTCACATCAACACTATCGTGAGGTCAGAACGCGAGTACAGCCAATTTGACCGCAGCGAGTGCGCGGAATGTAAGACGTACACAATGTTCACAACTATATGATCTACTGTTTACAGACGTGCTTTGCAAGCTGCAATTGCCGGGTCTAATAAGCGGGGCACACCCTGCACAGAGTAACTGCTCGAGCGCTCATAAGAGTATTGGCGTACGCGTGCGGTTCATTGACATTGGTACCGTAATTATGTGGGAGGTGAAGAAATGCACCAAACCGCAGTCAAAGGGTATTATTTACAGTGCCATAAAGCCCAATAAAAGTACAAGACACATCAAGCCATCATATTGAGTACAAGTTTTCACTTGTTGATGTTCTGCTGCGCCTGACCCTTGTCTTGCCGAAGATTTCCTGTGATTATGCTTCGTTAGGACGCGTCGTCTTCCAAAGAGCACGGCCAGAAACTCACCGGAAATCTCCTTGGATCGGTCACCAGTTACAGCACCCAATACCGCATCCTTCTTGCCACCAACTCTGTCCAACGTGCCCTCGGCGTAACCTTCAGCTTGGGCGGCCTTGTACTCAGCTTCGCCCTTCGCGTGCTCTTCTTTTCCAGATTCCTGCCACGTCTCCGCGCCAGTGATATTGCCAATGGCTTCGACGGCCGTGCCTTTCACGGAGTGGTATTGACCTGAAGTCTTACTACGTGCCCATGGCCGTGAGTGTGGAACGACCTCGACAACAGATTTCGCTTACTTTGGACCGTTGTTGCTGGACATGATGTGCGCGTGGTGGTGAGGGAGAAAGTGTTCTAAGTAGGATGTGGGAGGGATGAAAGATGTGAATTGCTATTTCAATGCTGCATCTGCGCTTTTATATACCGCAGCACACGCTCTCGATCAAGGGACTGACGCGACTTCAAAGCTTCATGACGCGGATCGTTATGACGCGCGACGCGCGTCGTTATGACGTCACGCGTCAGGGCGCAATGTGAGATCGGATCTAAAGGCGACGCCCTCTTGACCATTACGCTTCCTTCTTAGGCATGGGTTGTTACTGTGGCACCTCATGTGAGGAGCTATTACATCTCAAGCGGCGCGCACCTTAATATTCGATTCACAGAAACTACAAGGAGCTGTACGTAATTTTCTGTAGCGGCAATGCGCCAGGCTCAGGCCTATCAGCAATACAGGCCGGGCCCATGAAATTAATGCGGACTCTGGTTCAGGATGAAGGTTGGATCTGCTCAGCCTCCCTCGGGCTGGGCTCGGCTCAAGCCCCGGCCATTTCCAACGAATTTTCAGCTTGTCCTTGTCCTGCCAGTGTAATCCCTAGCACTGAGATCCATGTCTCTTGTGCTTGCTTGATGATTGTTCGTCAGTTGTGGATATGAGGTGCTCACTTGCACAGTCAATCTTGGCAGATGGGAAGGAATTTCAAGCTCAGCAGCATCCTCAGCATCTCTGAGCTTCGGCCCAGGCTGTCAAAGCCATTTTGAGGCTGGTGGTGTGTCTTCTGTACTCATCAGTGAGGGAGACAACTGACATGAAACACAACTATTAGCTTTCAGTTGACTATAGGCGCCACCGTTAGCAAGGCGCCGAGCAAGCCGGGCCACGGGCTCTGAGTTACCCCCCAGGGGCCAGGCTCCCAGGCCCCACTCAGCCCGGCCTGAGGCCTGAGGCCGAACCCGGCACGTCGCACGGCAGACGTGAATGCGATTTATCAGCGTGGGAAATTGTGTGTAAATGCCGACTGATTTCTTACACATGTGAGAAATATTTGCAACCATGTCATTTCATGTTGAAAATGTTTCACTTTGGCTGCAAATGTGCACAATTTGCCATATAAATACTACATTGGCAAACTTTGCCACAAATGTAAGACATCAGCTGACATTTCCATGCTATTTTCCTTACTATCATTGGCCCTCTATGCAACTTTTTGACCTTTTGAGTTCCTGTGGTCTGTCAATTCATCGAATTGACTCCGGAGCTATTCCAATGGATAGCTATGCTTCACAAGTACCTTGTCAATTTTTATCACACTGCGTTCTTGAGATGTTCATGATACCGGAAGGCAACAAGGACTGCAACAGCAATGCAACCATTCTCCGAGGTGATGTCACGCAACCAGTCACTTTGCCGGAATGCCGTATTTCACATTCCGCCCAGCATGCTGATCCGACGAGCGTGAATTGTGGCGCACGAGTGTCGGGAACTGCGCGATGGCGTCTGGCGGAGTTCAGATCCGGCAATCCTCTGTGGCAACTTTGTCATGCTGATGCTCATCTCTCCTGTTCTCTCTTTCCAGAGATCCATCCCGGGACTCAAAGGTCTCGGAAAATTTAATGTATCTTCTTTGACCTTGTCAAACTATGACCAAATGACCAAAGGTATCGGATATGATGTGCAGTGAGCTGAGGCCTGATTAATCCCACATTTTGAGCATGCAGGCCATGATCTGCCTATCATTTGTCCACTCCTTGACTGAAGGAGATAGAACTCAATAGGCATAGTCATCATGGTTACAGACATGTTTAGTGAATTTTCCAGATTTTTGTGGGGTGAGGAAAGCTCTGGAGAACATGAATTGCATTACTGTCGCAGTTGCATTGCAGGGCCAGTGATAGTATTGATTGATAAATCACATCATGTCTGCCATGTCGTCACTAGACACCACAAATGCTGCCTCCAAGCCAAGCATACCGACGTCCTGCTACTGCGAAGCGTGCAAACATATCTTCAGCACTTTCAATCGCCTCTTGCGGGGGAAGATGCACGCGATGGCACCTAATGTGCGTTGTCCGACCGTGGCTCGGGCTTCATTGCCATTTAAAGATTTAGAATCGGTGGGCTGCTGACATCTGCAAGGTTGCTTCCGGGCACAATTGTATGTAACGCGATTCTCACGCATCAATTTGATTTTGTTTGTCTCGATCGATCACTTACCCTTTCCGCCGAACCCCTGTCCTACAAAGTTCGACGAGTCCCAGATCAGCTATACTTTGAATGCACGTAGGTAGGTCGCCTCCCAGCGCGACTTCACATGTTCTCCGAGCGGGAATCGCGCTCCAGTATGTTCGTCAAAAATCGTCGAACTTTTAAAAAAAATCGCGCCTGATTCCAACGTCGCAAGGTTGCTGCCGGCCACAAGCCGGCGCTTCTCGAGTTTCGGAGATTATTGCACACTAGATTTCGAAGGAGACCAGAATGCATTTCTACGGTCACTCTAGATCAAACCTCTGCATAGTGCACACTATTCAGTCACCTATGCTACTGGTGGTGTGGGCACTATGGGAGGCGGTTTTCTTTTTCACACAGGAACGGTCACGTGACCTGCCGGGGAGCGCGGTTATGATCGAGCATGTCGGACGCGTCTTATACTTCCGCCAACGTCGACAACCCATATCCGTCGCCGACATGCATCGCGCATCCGTATCCGAGGACAGTGCGACTTCCTTCCGGTCCAGGGAACGGATACGGATATTTCTCCTCCGTCAATGCACAACATTTCCGAGTTCTTGTAGTATAAAAAGGACGCCAGCCCCCGCTGCAAAGTCCATCACAAGTTGCACTCGTCTATCACACCAAACACTCGCACAAATCTTCTACTTCTTCATCATGAAATCCCCTGCCGCATCCGGTTCCCAGGAGACCCGCCGCTTCTCCGTCCCCAACATCAAATACGGCGCACGACGGACTACCAGCACCCAGGCAGAGCCGGAGGTTGCCCAAGACAATAGGAGTCGAAACACTGGCAATTACTTCGGAAACATCACCCGCTCGCAGTCGCTGCCGCTCTCGCTGGAAGGCATCGTCGCCGACGACGTTCCCGAGGAGCCCACCTACCTCATCCGCCTCGCAGTCGACCAACACGCCCGCGCACAGCCGTGGATGAACGCCGATCAATCCACCGCGGTCGCCGCGCCCCAGTCTCCCAGCTCCTCGCCCACTGGCCAGCAGCGCGATAGATCGAGCGGACGCCCTGCCGGCGATCACCCCGACTTCTATCAGGTCACATATACCCCCGACGCTGCAATCATCACCACCCAAATCTACCCAGCCAGAGAGGACATGGCTTGGTTGAATATCGCCGATGGCGAGCGGTACTTCAACGTCCGCCCTCCCGGGCTTTCGAGCCCTATGCCCTCGGAGGAGGACGTCGCGCGCTGGTTCAACCCTGGGGTTATTGCCCATGAGGAGCCCTCGCCCCGACGGGCAGTAGTCTCTGCGGAGGATATTCCATCATCGCCGCCGCCGCCATACGAGGAGCACGAACAACCAGTCGTCACCGTTACGATGATTATGCCATACGGCCGCGGCGGCCACAGAGGCGGAAGATCACGGCGTCGTTCGCCCCGTGAAGAGGCTGCACCGCCCCAGACGCCGCACCTGCCGAGCATTGAGCGTTTTGCGACCGAACCACTTTACGCTTAGCCACATACGCGCATAGTCACTGCACACTAGGATTCGTTTGTACCTTATGATCTTCCTCCCAATGGAATTATACACACTCCATCGGATTGCACGAGAGCCTGTGAGAATGAGTCCCAAAAGGAAGATGTGTGAGCACATCGAGTGAACTGCAATAAGTTGAAGTAAAAGGTGAACATACCAAACGAAATATATCAACAATATCACCTCTCCCCACCCGCGCTCATACCCTCCACCGCAAACTGCACCGTACGCACTGCCAACGTCCGCAGGTTTACTAACACTAACGTACCCGTCTCCCTGAATCTCGGCACAAGCACAATCCGACACCTCTTCACGCCCTCTTCGCCCTCCATTCCCACCTCCCCCTCCCCTTCAGGCGGGCTCTCGTCGATCTCCTCTTCATCCACGCCATCTCCATCCTCGACATTAACCTTGCGCCGTCTCGGCCCCCATCCACGCTCCTCCACGACGCGCGTCGCGAAGCGTGGCTGGTTCCCGACGACATACACGTCCGGCGTCTCCGTAATGACGAACGGATCCGTGGTGAAATATGGATGGCACCACAGCGTATCTGGCGCAGTCGGCGCGAGGTGCCGCCACCGGAGCGACGATGCCGCCAACGAAAGCCGCGTCACTGGCGGGGTAGCGACGTACCGGAACATGTCGTCCACAGGCTGCCCAGACGTCACGAGCAGCGTGCACGACGGCCCGCCGGTTGGCGCTGGTAGCCCAGGACTCTGGCGTGTTCTCGATGTGGACGCGTCCGCCTTCTGCTTGCCCTTGCCATTTTTGGTTGCAGGAGGTTGTGCGGACTCGCTAGCCTCGGCGGACGGACCCATGCGGATGTACGTCGGATTTGTCTCGCATGAGAAGGAGGCATAGGCAGAGGCACCGCGGAACATCGCCTGAGGGAAGGCTTGCTGTGGGAGGAGAGTACCTGCAGGATCGGACGGGCCTGGGAGAATGTGCACCGGCATGGAGCGCGCCAGGTCGAGAAGGTGGGCTGAGAGCGCGAGCGTCGGATGGGGAGAAAAGCTCGTGGTGTCGTTTCCGTAGCGGCGCTACAAATCAGTCTCAGGTGAAAATGGATCATAGTGTATAGAAGCACATCGATTACGTACTGCTTTCCGATCGGCCTTGTCTTCTTCGTTCGTAGCACCATTTGTGCTGATAGCAGGAGAGAGTGAGTTTCCCGCTATAATTAGTCTTGAAACCTCCGCCGTCCTGGCTTGATCTTCCGCTCCACCGGCCTCACCCGTGAGATACTCGACGAGCATCTGTAGCTGGGCATCCGCAGGAGAAGGATCACCGACATCTAGGCCTGACACCAGTGCGACCCATTCGCCGTCATCTTGTTCCTCAACCGCAGTACCGCCTAAAACATTCGTCACATTCCCAGAAAGAGGTGAGTCTCCCGTCTATTGGCATGAAGAGGACGAGAATGAAGCTGTAGAACACTCACCATCCACATCCATCTTCTCCTCTTTTTCCACATCTGTTGCATCCTCCTTTCTCCATTCGAGCCCTGCACTCGGCTGCGGCGCCATTCCCGCAAAGCATACATCAATGACCTCGAATTCCCCGCCGCTTGTCTCCGCGCCTAGAGCAGCAAGGACAACGCCAGTGACTAGATTTGCAGAGCGCACGGGTGCTCCGACGAGAACGACGCGTCCAGACTCGTCTTCAAGCATTACCTGATCGTCTGAAGAGTAGTATTTGGGCCGCGGCGGCGGGGCTGGGAGAGAATGCTATGGATTGGACGAGTGCAAGTGAGGAAGTGGTCACATTATGGATAAACACACAGGTCACGGCTCATGGACTCACATCGTGCGCAATGTCTTCGAGGACGTTTGGCTTGAGAGGCATGTCCATGTACACGGTTCCGACGATGAAGCATAACTGTCCCTTCACGACTTCCAGCACACGCTCGACATACGGCGGGTCCCCTACAAACGGTCAACATGCCAATATCATAAGTCAAGTGAGAAAGCAAGGCGTATAGCCAATTGTGGCCACCAGTGTACAAACGCGCACTAACCGGCAACTTCCTTCCATCTTCTCCGTGCGCGTGCGAGGACGAAGCGTTTCAGCAGCTGCAGACGGAGGTAGTATATATTCGAGTATTGGTGAGAGTACGAGCGACTCTCTGCACGGAGGACAAAGGAAGGTATCTTGTCCGACGGTGGCAAGACCGTCGACTCGCGAGCAAGAGGGATGGTGGGGACGCGTCTGCGTGCATGTCAGATTGACTACGTGAGCGTTTCTAGGTCGGTAGCGTACAGAGAGTTTTCAAGAGACATGTCCGGTTGTCGAGGTCGATGTTGAGCGCACCGAGGCGACGAGAGACGATAATGAGACGCGTCGAGCGCGTCGCGTATGTTTGAGCTTATTTGGCGCCTCTTACAGTTTGATCAAGGCTTCACTAGCACTCTTTTCGACACACGTTGTTAGGCGACCACCTGGCCTCGCAGCAGCGCTGTACTACTCGTTGAAATTGCACTCCACAGCATTCTTGTCGTGGAGAACCTCATATCTACCGCATAGCAGCCTAGACCAGGCAACGGCATCAAGTCAGAGAAGCAAGCCCGTAAACCACAAAGGCCTTTGGAGTACTCGTTCGGACGCAGTCAGCTCAGCAGTCTGGATTCGACGGTCATTGAATGGATCTGCGTCCCTTGAAAGGCACATCTGTGCGGTCTCTGTACAGTAACTGTGATTATTTATAGCAGTCGCGCCGCACGTTTGCTAGTTGCGGAGGGCGCTGCAGGCCATGAGGATTCTGGACTCGATGAAGGTCATGCGGCCTGAAGATTGCACTACATCAGACATCCATGAGAACGGGGTCTTGTGCTAGTGTCTCCATGTCGCGAGGTGGACTCCACAATACTACTCCTTTGTCCGTATTCGTTGATCAGTGATTCTTTTGAATTTCAGTGATAGCTGCGCACTGCCCAGAAGGGGGCTGCATTTTTTTCGTGCGCAGCGAGAGGGGGGAGGGCTATTTTGCGATTGGTCTGAACACCGCCGTCGCAACGCAGGGCCGAACTCAGGGCACACGAAACGCGTGCACGTGATCGCATACGTTTTTGAGGTTATTCGCCTGTGGGCCATGTTATTCGTCTTTTTTTCTCGTAGCGAACAACTCTGTGGTCTGTCGAATGCAAGATGGGTCAAAGGCAAGCAGCGACGAGGAAAGGGGGGCGTGCAGACGTTCGCCACGGGCATGCGCGGTGGCTGAACCATGATGTCATCTCAGCTGTGCACTAATATGCAAGTCCCCCAGAAAGATAAATATCCTGTCATGCTTTGCCCACCTATAAAATCTCCCGTCTCCCTCCTTTCTCCCCAACCCCTCCTGGTCCCCCCTCATCCCATCCCACTCAGATTCTAACGTCTCATCATGGTCCTTTCCAAGGTCCGTCTCACTCTCCCTAGCTTGTGACTGCGTCGTGAATATGTCGTCGCGTCGCAGCATCTCAATACCGACAGTCTCCTTAAAGAAGCTCAGGTGTGCATAGTTTCGTAGCACGAAACGACATTCATTTCGCTTATGAACCCTCCCTTAGGACCACCCCAACAACCACAAAAGGGTCGTCTACAGCTCCACCGACCATCAGGCAACCCTTCCATACGGCGCACGCTATGGTGTGCAGCCCATTCCGAAGTACAAACTGCCCTCTAAGGTGAAGTACCTTGATCAGTGCCACTAACACTGTCTCACCTCCACTCATGCGGCCGTTCTCAGGGCACGGATGCGGAGGCAACGTACCAGCTCCTTCACGACGAGCTCTCTCTTGACGGCACTCCCCTGCTGAATCTTGCCTCTTTCGTCCACACCTGGATGCCCAAGCAGGCTGACCAGTTGATGATGGAGAATATCGGCAAGAACCTCATTGACCAGGATGAGTACCCCATGACCCGTGCGTATGCATATTTATCCACTTAACGACCTTCTGCTAAAACGGCATTGCCTTCGCAGAGGTCATCCACACGCGCTGCGTGTCCATCCTCGCCGACCTCTGGCACGCCCCGAGCCGCGAGCATGCCATCGGCACCGCCACCACCGGCTCCTCCGAGGCGATCCAGCTCGGCGGGCTCGCAATGAAGCGCATCTGGCAGGAGAAGCGCAAGGCAGAGGGCAAGAGCATCCACGAGCCCGGCCCCAACATCGTCATGGGCGCGAACGCGCAGGTCGCACTCGAGAAGTTTGCTCGCTACTTTGATGTGGAGGCGCGTCTCGTGCCGATCTCGGAAGAGAGCCATTATCGTCTTGACCCGAAGAAGGCGATGGAGTACGTCGACGAGAATACGATTGGGGTATATGTCATTCTTGGAAGTGAGTGATTTATAATTTGTACAGACATCGAGTAAACGTGAGACTAATTGTGGACCAGGTACATATACCGGTCATTACGAGCCTGTAAAAGAGATGGCTGAGCTGCTTGACGAGTACGAGGCACGTACTGGCCATTCGGTACCCATTCACGTCGACGGCGCATCTGGCGGCTTCATCGCGCCCTTCGCGACGCCGAAGCTCGAGTGGGACTTCCGCATCCCGCGTGTCGTCTCCATCAATACTTCGGGCCACAAATTCGGTCTGTCGTACGTCGGCGTAGGCTGGGTTGTCTGGCGCTCCAAGAAGTTCCTTCCGAAGGACCTCATCTTCGAGCTGCACTACCTCGGCTCGGTGGAGTACTCGTTCTCGCTCAACTTCTCGCGCCCGGCGCATCCGATCATTGCGCAGTACTTCAACTTTGTGCACCTTGGATGGGAGGGGTACCGTGCTGTCGCGTTGGCAGATTTAAAAAATGCGAGGTTGCTGAGTCGGGTGCTGGAGAAGAGCGGGTTGTTTGTGGTGTTGAGTGACATTCACCGGCCGGCGGAGAGTATGTTAGGTTCCGCAAAGCAAGCGGTTGGACTCGGATTCGATGAGGAGAACGTCGAGGTGTGTCTGAACTTCTCCCTCCTAGCTTGTGCATCATCCTGATGCAACTGACTTTCGTAGAGTTATGTTCCGGGTTTGCCGGTTGTATCATTCCGCTTCTCGGATGAGTATCGTCAGAAGAACCCTGACGTGCAGCAGCGCTGGGTGCAGACCCTGCTTCGCGCCAGGGGCTGGATCGTGCCCAACTACGAGCTCGCCCCCGCGCTGCAGGACGTGGAGATCCTGCGTGTTGTCGTACGCGAAAACTTGAGCGCGGTGATGATCGACAGGCTCGTGGCAGATATCGTGCGTCGTGCTTCCTTCACATTTCACGTAAATGCATGGGGTGCTGATCAAGGAATTTCATTGGTGTACATAGATGGAGATCGTGCTGGACCTGGCGGAGAAGGACTCTGCGACGCGCGCGTTGAGCAAGATCTCGAGCATCAAGACTGTGGAGGCCCACTACGGTAGGCTCGAGGAGGGCTCGGGCAGCAAATACAACGGCACGTATGCGAAGCAATGCTGAATGGGCTTTTTCAATAAAACTTGAGGGGAGTACGAGTGGTCAGCAGAAAAGCTTGCGGGATGGAAGACCTGTATGTCGGATTCGTGTTCACGGAAGTTTCGGGGTGTTGTACGATATCACGCTTTGCAGAATTAGTCGTGTTGTCACATACCTAGGTTAAATTGAATTAGGAAAATTGGCCTGAAACCAATCCTGAGGCCTTGATGGGCATTCTCTTGGGAATCCCTAATAGTGCAGAGAGTTTGAGTCCTACGAAAAGTCGTTAGGGATGCTGGACCTGGACGCGCCCGTAGATGCATCAAGAAAGGGGCGCTTAGGAACGAGCTCTGGCCACCGCGTAAGACCAGGTTGTCGATTCCGAATTGCTGATCCGACAATTCTCATCTCCCTTGCCACGAACCGCGTCGCTCGAAGTGCTGGCTGGGCGATCCTGCACACACTCAGTGGACTTAGTCAACCGCTCGCACTCATAGGCCGTACATCATGGGTGGTCCGAACCTCGAGGTGTTCAAGTTTGCCATCTATGTCTTCCTCCCTGTCGCGGTGATGATGCACTACGGTGACCCTGACTGGTACAATCGCCACGTCTTGACGGTGGGTGTAGCTTGGGCAATTGGTCTAGTCCCGTGAGGCCCAGGAGACTCATTTAATGTCTGTTAACTCGCTATAGTACAGGGACAAAATCTTCCCGCCGGAGGAACGACTCGTTACGGTACGTCTCATTGGCAGCTGACGCACAGAAGAACTGAACTAAAGCTTCATTATTGTAGAACCTCCCCACCAATCATGATGCACTGAAGGAGGAACTCGCAAGATACAAAGCGCGCAGAGCTGAAAGACAGGCAGAACGGCGGAGAGAGGCGTCTGCTGCTTCAGAGTCCAGTACGAGCGAGCGTCTTCTGTGATTAGCGAAAAGGAGTTCGGCGCTCGTTTGCACAAGAAATGGTCCGTGTATCACCAATATGCAGTGAGTATGTCGTTGCCAACCCACTGCTTCCGCTGAAGTCATATTTGCGGTCAAGGCAACATACATATCTATCATGCATTGTTATAGCTTTCCTGCTCGATACGCCTGCTATTGTACCACTACTCTGTCTCATTTCTCCACGTTCCATTGCTCGCCATTGCACAGCACTGTCCACTGTCCACCGCGCCCTGCGTCTGCCTCAAGAAGCTTCTTGTACTCTTCCATCTCCTCCAACGAAATCTTGAACCCACCACAGACTATGAAGACCGCCGTTCTCGGCGTCGCCGTTGACGGCCGCGGTAAAAGCTTGTTGAATAAATCCGATTTGTATGCAGGGGTGAGCGTGGCCGAGCAAGCAAGCTCCGCCAGCATCTTGTGCTCTTCTGTCAGGGCGAATAGTACATCGGACGTTCAGTTTCACATGCGCAGACGAGGCTCGGTTGATCTGTTACACACCTGCAAAGAGAAGTGCAGCTTGCATAATCATCTCGTCAGGCACGCACACGCTTTCGACACCTCCGCTTCTCTCCAGTGCCATCTTCACGACTGCAGCCGCGGGAGAGGAAGCTCCGAGAGAAGTGGCTCGGGAAGTCAGCTTGGATAGGTGAGCTACTTCCACGTTGTGAATGCCATTATGCTCTACGCGGGTGTCTTCCGGAAGAGTGCTGGATACCGGCCATGCTCCAGCGTTGGCAGCGAGCGACTGGTAAAAGCAGTTGGAGCCGGTTGGCTCCAATGCGACGAGGAGCACTGCACATGGTTGAGTTCCGAAGTGGAACACTCGCGGAACGCACGCTCACCGTCATCCCATCCAATAGATTTGCAGCCGTACATTATGCCTCCGGCCAGCCCTCCTCCGCCGACGCTGCAGAAGACAGCATCGGGCTTGGTTCCCGCTGGGAGCTGGCGGGCGATCTCTGCAATCATCGATCCGTGGCCTGCCCACACTAGGGGGTCGTCGTACGGCGGCACCATCACCCTGTTATCGAACGATGAGCTTCTCTGTTTGACCAACCAGGTGATAGCTGTACATACGCATTTGTATTCAATTTGACAGCTTCCTCAGCCTTCCTGCGGGCGTGCAGGTAACACGTGCCTACAGAAACAACCTCCGCCCCTTCTCGCCGCAAGAACTCGATCGTAGATGTGCTGACGCCTTCATGCAGATACACCGTGCATCGCACCCCCAGCCGTTTGCTCACGCAAGCGACAGCGAGGCCTGCATTTCCGCTGGACGCGGCGATGAGGTGGATGCCGTGGCCGTGCTTTCGGACCGCGTCTTGGATGAAGTAGGATATACCGCGGTACTTGAAGGATTGCGATGGTTGGAGGGTCTGTGCGATACAAGAATAATCGTGATATTTCCTGGGTTCGAAGAAGTCATTGGACTGCGCAGTTGCTCACCTCTAGCTTTAGATAGGCGTTACATCCCAGCCTCGCGGATATGTGCGGAGAGTGCACCAGAGGCGTTTCGAGCCAGAGCTTTTCAGGGTCTCTGTCTGCATCGGCCATGACTTAGCAGCCGCTTTCTGTCTCGTTCGCTCTTGACGTATGATGGTTCTGTTAATGCTACGAGTCATCAGGATCGGCCATCACACGTAAGCATCCCGCTTCTGGTCGCTCCGTTGAACTCTCGCTTGGATAGACATCGGAAGCCCGAGGAGTCGGACTTTGAGGACCCCCGAATGGGCACAGGTTTCATGCGTGCACCGTCCTAAATATTTAATTAACTGCATCAATAGATCTATTCAATATATCACGATTGCGTGGAATTATTATGTTCCAACCCCTCGATATTAACTCGACGGCACAGAGCGAAATCCACAGACCCGCAGATTACACATACGTCTTTCCCCGTCCCATGCAAAAGCCAACCATGCCGCGACTTGCGTGCTTATATCTTCTCGACATCCCATTGCTCGCCATTGCACAGCACCTTCCACGATCCGCCTTGCTTCACCTCACTTTCGACAACTCTGGAGTAGCCTTCCATCTCCTCCGGCGATATTTTGAATCCGCCGCACACGATGAAGACTACTGTCCGTGGAATTGTGGATGACGTCGGTACTAGTTTATTGAAGAGGTCCGGTTTGTATGCTGGAGCGAGGGTGGCTGAGCAGGCGAGTTCCACCAGGAACTTGTGCTCCTCTATGAGTATACGAGGATGAGCGGGCCTTAATCGCGCAGAAAAGATGCTGCACAGACCCGCAAAGAGAGCTGCAGCTTGCATAGTCATCTCGTCAGGAACACACACGCTCTTGATGCGACCCTTCCTCTCCAACGCCATCTTCACGATGCCCGCTGCGGGCGAGGACGCCCCAAGCGAGCTTGCGCGAGACGAAAGTGTAGATAGGTGGGCGACCTTCACGTCATATGCTGCATCGTGCTCTACTCTGACGCCCTCTGGAGGAGTACTGGTCATTGGAAACACTCCAGGATTGACCGCGAGCGACTGATAGAAGCAGTTGGAGCCGGTTGTCTCGACGGCGATGAATGATACTTTGATCTCGCATTCAGCCTTATGTAAGGCGTATGTAGCAGCACGCGCTCACCATCAGCCCATCCGATAGATTTGCAGCCATGCATAACGCCGCCAGCCAGTCCACCTCCACCGACGCTGCACACGATGGCATCCGGTTTGGTCCCTGGCGGGAGCTGGCGCGATATCTCCGGTATCATCGATCCATGGCCCTCCCAGAGGAGATATTCGTCGTATGCCGGTACCATCACGCTGTGAGTGTACAAGTAGCTGCATCAGAATGCTATCCGTATACAGTGTCGTGTACAGTGTGAGCCGTACGCATTCGGGTCCGCTTTGACAACCTCCTCTGCCTTCCTCAGGGCTTGCAAGTAGAACTTACCCACTGTGACAATTTCGGCACCCTCTCTTTTCATGAACTGGATCGTCGAGGCGCCGACGCCCTCGGGGAGATACACCGTGCAGCGCAGCCCGAGGGCCTTGCTCGCACATGCCGCGGCGAGGCCTGCGTTCCCCCCGGACGCGATGACCAGATGCACTTCTGGACCATGCTGTCGGAGTGCATCTTGAATAAAGTAGGAAATGCCGCGATATTTGAATGACTGGGACGGCTGGAGATTCTGCGTGATACAGATGACATGTGTGGTCCGGCGGGTGCATAAGCTGCTCAGCGTACCTCGAGCTTGAGGTAGGCGTTGCAGCCGAGCCTGGCGGATATGTGCGACGAGTATAGGAGGGGTGTCTCGAGCCAAAGCTTGTGCGGGTCGACGTCTGCGGTGGACATAATCGCTGTGCAGTGTGCAATGGCGCGACGGGTCGGGGCGCGAGTCATTTAGATGACACGTGACCCCGACACGCTTGCCGAGGAAACTCCGGGCATGATGGGTGAGTGGGAGATGCGTTCGCCCAATCCGCCTTGAGCTCTAACGCTGTCGGTTCTTTTGCTCCTGCGCATGTTCTCTCCCCGTCTAGAGCATCCATGTGGTCGTCGTCGCCGGCCAGCGCGGTCCGCCCCATCCACCCACCTATATATCCTCCTCGCATCCTCTCCCCGCCCGGCCCATAGCACCAGACATGCGCTTCAACGACGGTTTCTGGCACTTGAAGGGTGGCGTCAAGGCACACTACGGCCTCCAGGTCGTCCAAGCCACTCCGGACGGCGATGGGTACAATCTGCACGTCTCTACCAAGATGATCCGCCACCGTGGAGACACGCTTGCTGGTGTGTATATATAGGTTCATCTCTTTCATCGGCACACGCCGCTTACACAGCCGTAGGACCCGTGTTGAGCATCCGTGTACACTCCCCAACCGAAGGCGTGATTGGCCTTAGGATCGACCACTTCAAGCACACCGAGCCGACCCCGAACTTCCAGCTGTTCCCCGACGATCCTCCCATCCCCTCAGCTTTGCTTTCCAAAGGCGAAGTCTCCTGGTCATTGACCAGTGGAGATCTTACTGCCGAAGTCACAGAAAACCCATACACTGTCACTTTTCGTTCACCGACCCGCACACTCACTACCGCAGGGTACAAGCACCAGGCGATCTACGATGTGCCGTACAAGTGGACCTTGAGAAGTGCATCCAACGGATCGTGTCTCGCGACAGACACCAGCTCGAACCCACAACCAGAGCCGGTACCGGAAGTCGTTCGGTACGTCCACTCCGAGCTGAACCTATCCCCGGGCGAGCTCGTGTATGGGCTCGGCGAGCAGTTCGGTGCTTTCGTGAAAAATGGTTTGCTCGTCTAAACGGTGACGTCAGGCTGAGAAGCCTAATACATCTCATGGCAGGCCAGAGCATCAGTATTTGGAACCAGGACGGTGGTACGTCCAGCGAACAAGCATATAAGTGTGTGCCTTTCTACATTACGAATCGAAATTACGGCGTCTTCATCAACCATCCTGGCGAGGTCGAAGTCGAGATCGGTAGCGAGAAGGTCAGCAGGGTTGGCGTGAGCGTCGCCGGCGAGACCCTCGAATACTTCATCATCTACGGCGCCACGCCCTTGGAGGTGAGCCCTCTCCGCCGCCTATGGCCTTTGAGTGATTATGAAATGCCGCGCGCAGATCCTCGAACGCTATACTCGTATGACAGGCCGTCCAGCGTGAGTGCCAGGAACAGTCTCGTGTTATTGCCAGCGAGAGGTGACGGTCGATCGCGTTCTGTAGCTTGCTCCCCACGTGGACATTCGGGCTCTGGCTCTCGACCTCGTTCCTGACTTCCTACGACGAGAAGACCGTATCGGGCTTTTTACAGGGCATGCAGGATCGACATTGCCCCGTACGGGTCTTCCACCTTGATTGCTTCTGGATGAAGCAGTATGAATGGTGCGTGCTGAGCAGCTGTCCGACTATATGCTTGGAAATAGACCCATCGGTGGGTACCTAAATTGAGCAGGTGTTCTTTTACCTTCGACCCGGACAATTTCCCCAATCCGAAGGCTTATTTGTCCGAGATCAAGCGCAAGTACGGCGTGAAGATTTGCGTGTGGAGTATGTCTGTTTTTATCTAACTCTTTCCGTTCCTGTCATTCTGACCGGCAAATCTAGTCAATCCGTACATTTCCCAGCTATCGCCTATCTTCCAGGAAGCGGTGAAGGAGTCGTACCTGATCAAGCGAAAAGACGGCACGCCCTGGCAGTACGTGCTCACCCCAAATGATCTTCCGCCGGATCTTCTAGCTAATTGTTCCATTGTCCATTCGCAGATGGGACCTATGGCAGCCTGGCCTTGGCGTCGTGGATGTCACCAACCCGAAAGCACGGGAATGGTACCAAAGCAAGCTGGAGGCCCTCATGGATCTTGGCGTGGACACGTTCAAAGTAAGTCTTCGGCACCGCATATATTCCCTTCTAACTCTGATATGTCTCACAACTGCAAAGACGGACTTCGGCGAGCGCATCCCACATGCATCAGTCGCCTTCCATGATGGCTCCGACCCGATGCGTATGCATAACGCATATGCCGTGATCTACAATAAGCTGGTGTTCGAGGTGATCGAGCGGCGCTTCGGGAAGGGTGAGGCAGTCGTTTTCGCGCGGTCTGCGAGCGCAGGTGGACAGAGGTGTGTACTCGTTACAAGTAAATGCAAGTTCCTGGCTGAGGCAGCACTGCCAGGTTCCCAGTGGTGAGTAGATCACAGGAGTTCTCCCACATGAGGACAGCTCGAGCTGAGGATCGCGTCAGCACTGGGGAGGAGATTGCGAATCGACGTTTGAGGCGATGGCAGAGACGATCCGAGGAAACTTGAGTCTCACCGCTTCCGGATTTGCTTTCGCATCGCATGACATCGGAGGCTTTGAGGTGCGAATACGCCACACGGAACCTCTGGAATCCATTGCACTGACCGTGTTCTCCAGGGACATCCGCCTCCGGAAATCTATCATCGTTGGGTTGCGTTCGGACTATTTTCATCGCATTCCAGACTGCACGGTTCGATGTCCTACCGTGTTCCTTGGCACTATGGCGAGGAGGCGGCCGCATACATGGCGCGCTTCCTGGATGCGAAGCATAGGCTCATGCCATACTTGTACAACCTGGTGTGTTCACCTTCATCCACAACGCATATTTCAGCTCATCAGAGGATGACTCTTCAGGCGCTTAAAGCACGAACACACGGGCATCCTCTCCAGCGCGCCATGTTCATCGAGTTTCTGAACGACCGGACCACACATCATCTCGATCAGCAGTACATGCTCGGCCCATCCCTGCTGGTAGCACCTGTATTCGTTCCGCAAGGCGAAGACTCAGAGTACTACCTCCCAGCAGGGCGCTGGACTTCCTTCTTCCACCCACAGCGCGTGCTCGACGGCCCACGTTGGGTTCAAGAGGCTGTCCCGATAGATGAAATTCCCGTGTGGGTGCGCCCCGGCACGGTGCTGTGTCTCGGGCCGCAGGGCATCGGCCGCCCCGACTATGACTACGCGGAAAAGTTGGATGTGCAGGTGTACGAACTGGCGGAGGGACAGACCGTGCAGGTGGACGTGCCGGCGGGAAATGGGATGAAGATCGCGGGAACAGTGAGGGGAGAGAGGAGAACGGGGGAGGTTGTGGTGAATGTTGTAGCTGGATCGCTGGCGCTGACGAGTGTCAGTGTATTCCTGGGCGGGCAGGAGCGCAGGCTTAACGTCGACGAGGGGCAGACGCAGATATCGCTGAAGCTCTAGAACGGCGCTGCATACAGATGGGTTAGATATTCCCAACGAAAAGCACGAGGAGGATTGCATGACCAGCAAACATGAGATCTGCTCCGTGTAGGATGTACTACAACCTGGATCAAGTGAACCAACGATACCCCTACCGCTGTCACCAGTCAGTCTCTTGACTACGCATAATAGCATTGACGGATACCACATGCCGATGCTGCAAGAGCGGAAATTTATGATGTAACAATCAAAAGGAGGGGTGTTTTAGGCAAGATGGACACTACACACCCGCAACACGGAAGTGATACGGGCATACATAGACGCACGTATACCCCGCCGAACAATATGTGATCGGCAGAGCCTTCCTGTATGCGACAGCATAGACAACATGAGTGGGGGATCCGGCGATCAAAGCTGGCCTACTGGACAAAGATCGAGCATGACCAAAAGGGGACGCTACTGCTCCTCGTTCAGATCCTTCCAGACTTGCTCGACTTTCTGTCGTTTGATCTTCGCCTGCTCTCGGTTTTTGGCGGAACGATCAACACGCTGAACCGTCCCAAACTCAACGAACGTCGTTCTGCCAGGTCAATCGTACGCCCGAGCTTACCTCCTGTCTGAAGCACATGTTCATATTATGCTTAACACCATTGCATCCACCTGTCCACTTCTTCCAACCATCAGCATGGCATGCATTGAGCGCATCTATAAATTCTTTGCATGCTGTAAGCAAATGCGGTGGCATGAGAGATTAGGCGCATGTATGTTGTAAGCACAGCGATGGGTCTCACTGCTTCCCCTGTCAGTCTTCTGCAAAGGAGGATGCATTTTGCCGCTGTGACAGCCTCTGGTGGTGTAAGCACTGAGTCAATGAGCCGCACTGGCGACGGGCTGTAGGCTGCAAGTAACCAAAGAAGGAGAATCCCGGACCAACGGGTGAGAAGTGGCGGAGGAGATGGGCGACGATGAGAAATGTGCGATTACGATCGTCTGCAAATGCTCACGTGCCCTGTCGCGCTATATATTCCCCACTCCCCCGACACCGGCTCGCGTATTCCTCTCACACCCAGCCATGCCCAAGTTCGTAAAGGAGCCCACGGACGATATATGCATTGCCACCATCCGCGCTCTGGCCGCAGATGTTGTAGGCAAGGCCAACTCTGGCCACCCAGGTACGTGCTGTACGCATCTAAACAGTCTACAGTCACTAATGGATACCCATTCATAGGTGCTCCCATGGGCATGGCTCCAGTCGCACACGTCTTGTACTCAAGGTGCGCACTGTCAGCTAGCTCATAGTCCGACGTCGTCTTGACCAACGGTTACAGATTCTTCAATGCTAACCCCAAGGACTCGAAGTGGTACAACCGCGATCGCTTTGTGCTGTCCAACGGGTGAGCGGCTGGACAATGTATTTAGCGCGGCTTCGCTTATAATTGTCACCCTCGTTCATAGACATGCGTAAGTTGCTCAATACCACCACTTACCCACAATTTGTTGAGTCTCTGGATAGTTGCGCACTTCAGTACATCCTGCTTCATCTGCTTGGATACAAGCTTTCCATAGATGATCTCAAAGCTTTCCGTCAAGTCGACTCCTTGACTCCCGGTCACCCCGAGGCCGGGCACACGGACGGTATTGAGGTCACGACCGGCCCTCTCGGCCAAGGTTTTGCGAATGGTGTCGGTCTGGGTATCGCTCAGGCACACATGGCTGCTGTTTTCAACAAGGAGGGGTTCGAACTCATTAACAACTACACTTATGGTGAGCTGCCAATATCAGGTAGCATGAAGCTTGCCAGCTGACGGACTGCAGTCACCGCTGGTGACGGATGTTTAATGGAGGGTGTCGCGAGCGAGGCTGCTAGTCTTGCCGGACATCTCCAGCTTGGCAACCTGATTTATGTGGGTGCCCAACTCAAGAGAACTTCCCTCATGCATGTCTGATTCTGTGCGGACACCAGTTCTACGACGACAACCGTAAGACGTTTCTGCGCTCTGTTGCCAGAGATGGCTGACATTCCTTGCAGACATCTCCATTGATGGTGACACTGCTGTCGCCTTCACGGAGAATGTGGAACAGCGCTTCCTCGCCTATGGTTGGCAGGTACTCCACGTCAACGATGGTGACAAGTAAGTGTTGATGTAGCCGCACGTGGCCATAACCGAGTAGTCGGCCTCATGCATAACCTAGGGACCTTGAGGGCATCTACAATGCCATTGTCGAGGCACAGAAGGAGAAAAACAAGCCGACCCTCATCCGCTTGAGGACGACTATTGGCTACGGTTCTAAGGTTCAGGGCACGCACGGCGTCCACGGTACTCGTACGTTGATTCATTCGTCCTTCGCCATGCCAGACGCTGAATATTCCAACAATAGCGCTTAAGGCGGATGATATCAGGGCGCTGAAGACCAAGTTCGGTCTTCCTGCCGATCAGAGTTTCTACGTCCCTAAGCAGACGTACGAGATCTACGGCAAGATCGCTGCACGCGGTGCTGCTCTCGAGGAGAAGTGGAATGCCCTACTCGCCTCCTACGGCCAGAAGTACCCAGCGGAGTATGCAGAGCTTATGCGCCGCATTTCGGGCAAGCTTCCGGACGGCTGGGAGAAGGCGCTGCCGACCTACACTGCGGCAGACGCTGCACAGGCTTCCCGCAAGCTGTCCGAGATCGTGCTGACGGCCATCACGCCCAAGCTTCCAGAACTTATGGGCGGCTCTGCTGATCTTACAGGCAGTAACCTCACCAGGACGAAGGCGATGACTGACTTCCAACCCGAGAGCACCGGGCTTGGTAACTACAAGGGCACTTATATCCGTTTCGGTGTTCGTGAGCATGGAATGGGCGCGATTGCCAACGGTATGCACGCATACGGTGGTATCATTCCGTTCGTCGCTACGTTCTTGGTAAGTGTATTCGGCATTGCTCTTGTACTTGAATGCCGACAAAACGTTGCAGAACTTCGTTTCCTATGCTGCTGGTGCGGTGAGGTTGTCCGCTCTCAGCAAGCACCAGGTCATCTGGATCGGTAAGTACGGCATGCCTGGCTTTCCGGTGCTCTCACTCACAAGCCTCTAGCGACTCACGACTCCATTGGTCTCGGTGAGGATGGCCCGACACACCAGCCGATCGAGACTGCTGCTCACTTCCGTGCGATGCCGAACCTCGATTTCTGGCGTCCCGCGGACGGCAACGAGACCTCCGCCGCATACTACAGCGCGCTGCAGCGCAGGCACACACCTTCCATCCTCTCGCTGTCGCGACAGAACCTGCCCAATCTCGAGACATCATCCATCGAGAAGGCGCTGAAAGGAGGCTATGTTGTGCACGAGGTGGAGAACGAGGACATCACTATTGTCAGCTGTGGTAGCGAGGTCAGCATTGCGCTGGAGGCGGTCGCGCAGCTCAAGTCCGAGGGCGTCAAGGCTCGCGTTGTCAGCCTACCGTGCTGGTCGATATTCGACTCGCAGCCTGAGGAGTACAAGTTGAGCGTGCTCAGGAGTGGTGCACCCATCTTCGCGGTTGAGGCTCTTTCTGTAAGTGCTGGGCGGAGAGCCGTATAACCAGTTACCTGAAATCGCTCTCCTTAGACCTTCGGATGGCAGAAGTACAGCCACGAGGTATGTGCCAGGTTATCTCAGTATCCGGAACCGAAAAAGGCTCATCAGCATGGTAGCAATTTGGCCTGTTCGGCTGGGGTGCGTCTGGTCCGTACAAGAAGGTGTACGAGAAGTTCGGCCTCACTGGTCCCAGTGAGTACCCGTAACGTAATAGAGCTAACATCGGTGACTGATCTGCGATTTTTAGACATTGCCTCGCTAAGCAAGAAGATTGTTGCCTTCTACAAGCAGAAGGGTGGCGAAGTCGTCTCGCCTTTGGTCAAGGCACTCCATTTCTGATCGCTGACATATCATGGATGAATGATCGTTGGATTTGAAGCGCGAAGGACGAAGTCGTATTCAGATTGTAACATTGCGATAGAGATCCTGCACTCATAGAGAATGCATGTGTACTGAACCTGCACGGTGTCACCATGATTCGCCCTGATAGTCTCGGAAAGTCAGAGAGTCGGACTGCATTATCAATTTCCCAGGTAGTGCGAGACGACACGAGACCTCTGGAGGTAGTTGGCGAGTACCATCATGTCCAAGTTTATTTCTTCACAGGAACCATGCTGTCCCAGGCTTTCCTCTCCAATTCATCATTCTCCACTGCCTCAACGATGGGGGCCAGGTAGCGAACATCCTGCATATCAACAGTATATAAAAAAGGGGACTTGTCGGCGATGGAAAGTGACGAACCTCGGAGGGCTTTGTCCATTGATCTTTCGGGAGGACGTCGTGGAGCACGCTACATTGCGATGCTCTCTTCAACCGGTATTGACGGTCATACGCTTCGCGAGGAGTCAGACGCGAAAGAGCCTATTGCGCACGCGTTAGGTCGACTGGAGCGCTTCAGATGCGTCTTTCATGCTTACCTTCTGGACATCATCACGTTCCTCGGGGACTAAACGAAAGCAAAACCCCAGTTGGAATCTGTTTGACATGCCGGCTGATGCAAACGGGACGTACTCAGGTCATCGTATTTGTAGCCGACCTTCCTGTACCCGGAGAAGTCGGCGTACCAGTCGGCAAATGGCTTGATCAAGCGGTAGAGCGACCTGTTCCTGCGGACGACAGGCGCGAGAGAGGGACCGAGGGGACCTAGGATGGTCATGGCGGCGAGTGTTGTCTAACGTCTAACTAAAACGTGCGCTTTGGCTCGCTGCAGCGCTGCCGTTGACGAAACTGCCCGAAACGAGTTTGGCCTTGTTTGCGATCGTGGCGGCAGCGTGTTCCTACCCGATTTGAAGAGATCCTCGCCTGCTATAAAATACGTATACCGAACTTCTTCGTCTATCCATCCATCTGTCCATCGCCCCGTCGTCTACAAGCCTCCAATCGCCGCCCAACATGTCTGTCAACGAGCGCACCTACATCATGGTTAAGGTAGGCGTGCATCGCGCGGACATCGGACGCGTCTGAGCATAGCTAACATCTCTTTAACGCAGCCCGACGGCGTCCAGCGGGGTCTCGTTGGCAACATCATCAGCCGCTTCGAGCAACGCGGCTTCAAGCTGATCGCCCTCAAGCTCGTCCACGCTACCCCAGAGCACCTCGAGAAGCGTGGGTGCATTTCATGCTGAGTGTAACGCTGGCGTACTGACAGCGCATGCTGGCTGCCAGACTACGCTGATCTCAAGGGCAAGCCGTTCTTCCCTGGCTTGATCAAGTACATGGCTTCCGGTCCTGTCGTTGCCATGGTCTGGCAGGGTCTTGATGCTGTAAAGACTGGCCGCGTTATGCTCGGCGCGACGAACCCTCTCGCGTCTGCGCCTGGTAAGCCCTGTGCTGCTATATGCGCGTCCTACTTGAAGCTGACTGTTTCCTTTCGTGCACAGGAACCATCCGTGGCGACTTTGCTCTCGCTGTTGGCCGCAACATCTGCCACGGTTCCGACGCGGTCGAGAGCGCAGAGAAGGAGATCGCCTTGTAAGTTCATGCACGTTCGTCGATCGATTCCGATGGTTGCTCACGTTTTTACCTCGCAGGTGGTTCCCCGAGGGCGTTGTCCAGTACACCAACGACAACGAGAAGTGGATCTTCGAGTAAATGTACCAGCACAATGGATAGTGGCAGAAGACAAAAATAGATATGCCTGTATTATCTACGCACAAGGGAGATTCTCTTTCGGTTGACAGGTCCGCATCATCACCGCGATCTGGTGCACCGCTATTTCGCCGGTAATTGACGTGGATTGAGACACACATCAAGGAACAATCTGACGACATTCGCTCCGCGATCGTCTCAGCATCGGCAGCAGCTGGTCACTTTGTTTGATCAAGCAGACAATCGGACGTTACGCATCACGCAAACCCGACACCCGCGCGAACGGCGTGTTTCAGGAATATGCAAACGGAGTATAATTGAGAGATGATTGAAACGACATATGCGGTGCGACTGTGTTTTGTGGTATATCAATTACGAATAATGAAGAGCATATCGGGCGCGTCTAGGTTGTGAAACAGATGTTGGCGAACGCGATCGCGTGCGGCCGCTTAATCCTGCTGTGGCGATAATGATACAGAGTTATGGATATATGCGGATACAAGATGCGGGTCTCATGGTAGCCTGCGAAGTCTGCGGTCAAACAAGCTATAGAAGGGACAGCGGTAGAACACTATACCTTTTCGCGCGCGACTACGCTCAAGGAGGACGACTTCAATCGCTGAGAATATGCCGTATAGGTACGTATTGAGGTTGGCTCAGATGGCCGAACACTGTTCATGATGTCATTGGCCAACGCTGCATAGAATAAAATCCCATACGCACTGTGCATGTGGTCGTCGGACGAGAGCAGAGACGACATTGTCAGTATGATCACTGCGCCTGTAACCGCGAGGACCAGGACGAAGCAGATGGTGGCTGCGAGGGTCTTGTCCCTCTCATCGACCTTGAAGGTGGGATGCTCGTACAGTCTCAGAGGGCGCATGATTAACGTAAGGAAGTGCGGCGGATGAGTGGCTTTCGTGGGGATGGGCGAACGACGGTTGTCGGTGCCTTGTTCCACACAGCGGTCTAGATTTTATAGACAACTAAGGGCGTCGTGCGAACGGAGCCGAGTACAAGGAGCATTACAGCTGCGATCCGTGATGGCAATTCCCAAATGATATGGCAGCGCCACCTAACGGTCTACCGCTGAGCATTGCGAACGCTATCTCGATCCACCTTGAATAGCCGCCTTGCCCTGCGATCGGATCGGAGACAGCGAGAATGGAGATCCATCGCCCTGTTATAGCCTTGGCGGTCAGTGCCACCCCGACCATAGCCTGCAGCTGACAGTAACATTCTTCAGCAAGTAGCCGAACATTTTGAGGCGCAGCTGAAATGTTAGGCCTCACTAGTGAACTAGTGACCATCTAACCTCGCCAATACTCGACGGCACCAAACACCACAAGGCGGCTCTGAAAACTATAGGCCCTGCATATAGAGTTCAGGGACTTGAGCTTCTCGGCCAAAAGTCAAAGGTCATACGGAACGCCAGAAGACAGACTCCAGGCGGTGACAACAAATTTACATAATGTCGCGGGAGAACGTCACACGAAGGTGGCTCATGCTGCATTCTGTCACGGTGGTATCCACTGCCGCTACGGCCACACTCCGTGAGCTTCCCTGACACGATGCAGGATTCCCTTCGCAGATGGACACGAACGATCAATGAAGCCGGTCAGAGCAGTGCTGGAAAATTTTAACGATGGGCGTCCGAAGAACGCAGGCTTAAAGTACCAATAGCGACGTTCAAACGAATGCATGAATGATCCACGAGTCGACAGTCGAAGCTCATGCTATGCAGATGCGACCGCGATGAGCATATCCTACGCGGAAGCTGTCGTTAAACGGATCATGAATAATACAGATGCAATTACAAGGTGCGATGTGATGATGTGCAGCAGTAGACCGATGCGAGGGTATGTGGTACAATACGAACCGGGAATAAGTAACGAGATTTACGCAGATAAATACGGTGTTTCCAAACGATAAGCCCCATGGACGTGTCCGATAGCCCCACAAACGAAACGGCCACACTTCGACGCCGAGAGAGGGGAAGGAAAGCGCCCTCCGCACGACAGCCGACGACCTCGGATCGCGGGTGATCAAGCGGGAAACATGTCCCAACACGACACGCGATCAGTTTTGAGCGATGGGCGGGAGCCACAAATCCACCGCGGGATTCAGCGTGGGACTCGCACCCAGGCGCAGTCTGCAGACGATGTGACAGGATGTACGAATGCGGCATGGCGAGGCGACTCGCGCATGCTGCGGCGCGCTCATCGTCCCATTGCGAGTATCGACGCCAAGTCCTGTTCGTTTGCCGCGCTGAGCTGACGCGAACGAGCTTTCAGACGAACTAAAGGGAGGACGCGAGTCAGCTATTTTGGAGCAGAAAGTTGCTGGACGTGATGTGACTTACGCATACGGTCAAGACTGAGCAATACCACCTTGGCAGCGCCTGATGTGTCGCGAGCGCGGCCGTCAGACTTCAGCATCGCTGACCTATCCACCCAATGCTCGTCCTGCCAGATTGCCGCACGCAAGATCAGGTCGTCCATGTTGCGCTCCCACGAGGCCTCGTCGCTAGCAAAGTCGACTTGCTCCGTGCGCACGTTGAGAGACGAGAGATAGTTGCCTCTCGAGGTCTGTACTTTCAACGACGTTGAGCGAGAACGTACGTGCGAGGTGATGAACGCTAGGGCAGATGAGGCGACCTCCCCGAGTGCCGACATGTTGGTCGCCAACCCGTCGAGCTCCATGATGACGGGAAGAGGGACCACGACCGTCCACTGCTGACTCTCGACCAACGACGAGAACATCGACAAAGACGATAGAAGGATGTTCGTGTCGATGACCAGGATTGTATATCCGGGCACAATCTGTAGAGTCGGCCGAGCGCGCGCCTGTCTCGGGCCGCGAGGACGCGGACGGCATACGGGCGGTGATGCACCACGTCGGGTAGACGACTGCAACAGGCTCTGCAGGTACCGTCGCCGAGCCTACCAAAGAGTGTCAATCAAAACTCATCACGAGCTGAAACATAAACAAACCTTCAATGCCTTAATCTCGTCCGAATCGTTCTCATCCTCGCTTTCATCCGTCGACTCCTCAACCACCAAGGCCTCCTCGTCGTCGACATCCATCGAATCTTCCTCCCATCGCCTGCCACGCAGCCTCCGCTCCTCCCCTTCGCGCTCGCGCCGCTCCTCTTCTTGCCACCGCGTGACCTTCTCCGCAAGGGCACCCTCGACCTTGAACTGGCCTCGCTCTTCCTCGCTGGCTGCAGGTACGTAATCGAACCCATCGACGTACTTCGCGATCTTCAGACCGGCGCGAGCGACTCGCACCCATCGCAAAGCTAAGATATTCCGCCGCGCATCCGCCTGGTCATCATCGTCGTTCTCGATGACGCCATCCATCTGATCGCGCACTTCCACCTTATCCAGTACCTCCATCTCGACGTTGCGCTCCTCGGAGTTGGTCTCCTTGCCCCAGAAGCCCATTGGGTAGACACGCTTGCCGCCCCAGCCAAGGCCTCGGAGACACCAATCCTCCGGCATCGGGTGGCAGCCGCTCGTGAGCAGCACAGCGCCCTCTCCGCGCTCTTTCTGCTGCTCGCGGAATAACAGTCTCCGAGGTATCGTGTTTAGGAACGCCGCGAGATCCGCCCACGGAATCGCGCGCTCCAGCACAGCGAGCGCCTGACTGTCCTTCACAGCGGTAGCGAGGAAGGTAAGGAGAATCGTGATGTAAGGGTTGAGAGTAGAGTGCGCATATAGAGAGGGCTTGCGCATCGGCTTCTGAAGGGCATGGGCGAACATCGAGAAGGCAAGCTGCATCCCGAGCTTGAGCGCCTGTGGAAGCTCGAGTTCAGGAGCAGCGAGGACGGGCATCGCCTCAGAGATGGCCGGCGAGAGATTTGACTTCCTATCCTCTTCGCCGTCCACGTCCATTCTGTCGTCCGGCTTCTTCGCGATCAGCTTGACGCGTCCTGCTGAAGCACCTGAGACGACAGGGCTGGCGCCCGCCCTAGTGCTGCCCGGCTCTCGGCCGCCAATTCCGGCGATGCGCTTCAGCATGGCATCCTGCCGGCCGTACTGTAGAATCGCGCCAAGGTTAACCACGGCCATCATGATCCAATCGCGCTCCTCGATGACGGCACCGCCTAGGATTCCGAGCTGTAATTAGCTCAGGCGCATGGCAAGAATGACGACAGCGCTGACCTTCGATCTGCAGCTTTTCTTCGAAGCGCTCGAGCACCCAGCGGAAGTCATCCAGCTGGATGTTCGTGAAGAGCATCCCGTGGAGGAGGATAAACAGGTCCGCAACATCCGCATCCGGCGCCTGGCGCCGAGCTTGCGCGGCAGGGGACCATAGCTGGAGAATGGCCTCTCTCGAGGTGCTATAGGGGTGCAGCGTGATCATACTAAAATCGCTCCGTCAGTGAAGTACACATCGCCGCAATTGCGCCACATACCTCTTGACGAAGTGATACATTCCCCGTAGCTCCTCCTCGCTACTCTCTTTCTCACGCGACAGGATGCCGATGTGGTGGTGCAGTTTACCATTACCTGGCGTGCCCGCAAGGCCCTTGGCAAACCACTCCCTTGCGATCTGCCGCCAGCGCTCCTTCTCCGGCTCGAGCTCCATTGCCCGCGCTGCTGCAAGCCCGACACTGGGCTCCTCGAACTGCTGGCGGGGAGCGTGCTGGGACGGCTGTAGCGAGTCGTCGATGCGCGCTGCCGGCGTCGGTGATGCGACTGTGGCGTGCGGAAGCTGGGCCCTATGTGAACTGCCTGATGCATTGGGCGAAGCCGGCCGAGGGGTGTCCAGCTGCTCGGATGCCTTGGCGACAGCAGACACGGTGAGGTTGCTCGACGTCGTTCGTTGCTGGTGTTCGAGAAGCGCACACGTCGCCATCCGATATCGCGCGAGATCTCCGAGTGCTTCAACCCACCAGCCTCGGAATTCGATGAGATTGCGCTCTTCCAAGAGCCCCGTATAGAATGTATATGCATAATAGATGAAGTCCTGAAAAGCCTCGTGGTCAGCGACACCGGACCTTGCCTATTGCGGTAGTCAATACATACCTGGAGATACTCAAGTGCGACGGGCGAGTTATTCGGTGGCGATGCTGCCCGACGGAGTACTTCAAGTAGCCGATGGAATGCATGCGTCCACAATCGAATGATGAGATTGTATTTAGTTGGAATGTTCCGTAAAGAAGCTGGCACAGTCGGGGCGAGAGTCAGCGAGAGCAGATGATGCACCTTCTCTGCTAGTCTATTTTCAATCATGACGATGTCATCATAGATTCGAGACGATTAGCACCGAATGTGCTGCAACATGAACTGAACGCACTCTTTGTGATCGACCAACAACCTCTTCCATCGCTCAGACTCGTCTTCGGACCCCTTGGCCTCCATCGCACCTGCAGAACCCGGCCGCCCTTTGAGCAGCACGCCGATACGTTGCTGACCAGCTCTGTCATCACCCTCATCTTGATCCTTATCGCGATCTTCGCCGAGTATCTTCGCCTCGAGAGCACTAATCGCGCGGTACAGCTTCTTGAGCTGCATCGAGAATGCGTTCGTGCCGGACGCGCTGTCCTCGGATCTGCGTGCATGGCCGTTTGGGTTATCGAAAAGGGAAGAAGGCGCTGAGGAGTCTGCTGTTGACAGTGTGAAATTAGAAGAGAGGGTCGATTGAGCATAGGAGGCAGATGAGGTGGATGAAGCAGAAACGTAGTCGCCAGATGACTTGGGCGTGGGCGTTGGTCGATCTTGGTTGCGACCTGGAGAAACTTGCGGGCGGGTGAGGACAGCAAAGCGTACAGGATCATCCTTCCGATGGTCGAAAAGCTGTCGATGTGAGTCGACGGCCGCCCGTGATGCGGAGGATGCTTGGTGAAGGCGAGAAGCCTGCAGCACGGGACCGCGAGATGCATATGAACTCGAGGCAGCATCGGACATGCTTTCCGGCTCTGCAGTCAGAACATGGCGACTGACGGACTCTGCGTTGGGATTATACAACTTGCCGGGGCTGCCTCCAGAAGGCCCGGCATGTGATCGTGAATGCATACTGCGTGGAGACTGAGCAGAAATATTGAGACGACGAGAGAACTCGTCAGCGTCGGCCTCCACCGCCCTGCCTGTGCTCTGCGAGAGCGGATTGCTGGTGTTGGTGAGTGGAGGAGCGTGCAGCTTCCTAGGTGAGGCCGGGCGCGTAGGTCGAACCGTGGAAGAGGAGACTATCAGAGGACGCTCGGCCCTCTCTTTAGGCCTTGTAGCACTAAAGCGCAGCGTGGTGGGTCAGCGGATCAGCGGCTATAGGGATATACGCAATGGAAGACGTACGCGGCCTGCCTGCGCTGAAAGGCCACAATCTTGTCTGCAATGTCGGTTGGCTGCGCGGGGTCGCGCTTGCGGGACGCGCCTGCGAACTTTGCAGAGGACAAGTCCTGCATGGTGAATGGACCGACGATGGGCTCGCGGTGGGCGCTGGGAAAGACGAGATGAGAGAGAGAGGCAAGAGGCGGGGAGATGGGGAGTGCTGCGACCTGCGGCGGCTGAGGCGAATGCCTCTGCGGTCAACTGCGCAGCCAAGCGCAGGACTGCGCACAGATCGAGATCGACTCCCGTCACGCCGTGACATTCCTCGCGCTGGTGGCCACTCTGTCACGCGCTACTGTCACTGTGACCGAGCAGTCAGCAAGCCATCTTCATCCTCGCAACTCCATCGTTCTTCGAGACGAACACGGTGCAGCTCTGGGCTGGCAGTGTCGTCGACTGCAGTCGCGTCCCCATATGTGCTCACGGTGTGTCCATGCACCACGCCGCTGTCCGCAGCTGCGCAGCGAGCCGCCAGGTAGGCACTCCGCGTCAGGCAACTCCCGACATGCCCTTCCTGGCTTGGCCGGGTCCTGAGCCTGACCCTGCGCCGTTGTTTCGCCGTTTCAGTCAGCTTTCTTCTGCTCTTCTGGTCACGATGCATGCTGCTTGCCTGACACGATTGGCTCAGTTGGCCGATTGTCTCAGCTGCGGATGTCGGTCTGGGAAGGACGATATCTCTCTCGGAGCCGCAGCAGGTCTTCATTTCAGAAGCGCCCGTGATCGACCCGAATTAATGTGCCGACTTTGATTGGTCGCCTCGGTCGGGCGGGCGTGACCCCGCCCTCACTCTGCACAAGCTATGCAACGGCATAGCTTTGCAGTACGTACATGTACAACCGCTCTAGTATATCCCAATCCTCGTACCGTGCCTTATCTGGAAATCACCACTAGTCTACCACGCGTGGTGCCCGCCGCTCACGAGGATGCTGCGCAAAAGAATCAGCATCGGACTCCACGCTCTGTGACTTGTGCCAGCCTGGAAATCCATTACTCACTCGCTTCCGGTGCAGAACGTGCTCGCATCGCTGGCCAACCATGTCACGACGCCTCTCAATTCATCAGGACGTCCGAGGCGACCGAGTGGGTTCAAACTTGACCATTTCTCCACTAGGTGCGGTTGCGTGTCTACATATGCTGCGGTCATGCTACGGAGCGGTTAGTACGATCGTTCCGCAGGTCGGTGGCGTTTTTAGGTAACAAAGACGGGAAGATGAAATGCAATGACGCCACAGTGACTTGGTCTCTGATGCGGTGGCTCAGGACGCAGCTGCCGCAGCAGACGAGATCACTGACAACTTCTCTTCAAATGTCCACAAAATCATCTCACTCAGGGGAGAGAAATGGCAAGATAGGAGTAGGATATTGGCAAATCAACACGTACGATGTATAGATATGCCCTGGACTCAAGGAGTTCACCCGGATGCGTTTCGGTCCGAGTTCGCAGGCCATGCTGCGTGCCATCTGGATAACCGCCGATTTGGAGGTGTTGTATGACACCCAGGCATGGTCCTAGTCACACAAATATCCGGTTAATTCGGAGCTCGCGAGGTCATCATGCAAGATGGCATGGACGGACCTTGTTCGTTATGCTCCCGCTCATACTTGCTATCAAGATGATACTGCCTCCGTTGCCGAAGCGCTCCATCTGCCTGCCTGCGGCTTGGGCAGTATACAGGACGCCGTTCACATTCACTTCCATGACCTTACGTGCAACGCTCAGTTTAAGCTTCTCGCGCTAAGTCTGGACAGGAAGCAGTACCTCTTGGAATTGCTTCGCTGGATACTGAAGGCAATCCGTATGGGATCTCAGAATGCCAGCGGCAGCGACACACGCGTCCATCCGACCCTCCGTGTTTCCGATTTCCTCTCCGATCTTCCACATCGCCTCCTACGAGTCCCATCACTATATCAGCCGCGCTTACGCACCAGGTGCACTGGTCAGCATACCTGGTTCCGCACATCGCCACTAATGTACTCGAGCCTGCCCTCGCCTGCCAGGCCCTTCATCCTGCTGGTGTACTCCTTCACCTTCGTCCATTCCTCCCCAGGCGCCTTGGGCATGTCCACGCAGTACACCGCACGCGCGCCCGCTTCGATGAGCGCCATGGCCATCTCCAGCCCGAGCCCCCGGTTCGCGCCCGACACGAGCGCGACACGGTCGGCCATTGAGAACTCATGCTTGAAAAGCGTAGGCTCCGCCGCTGGGTGATTCGCGCGCGATAAGGCATAGTCTCTGTGAGCAAGGGAGAATGGGACGTACGCGAAGAGGAAGATGCCGCACGAGCCGCTTCGACGCCGACGGGTCCGTAGGGAGGTGGCGTCCCTATCTTCTTCTGGTTTTCAGTCTTCAAAGGAGAGTTGTTCGCAAAACGCGCCATGCGTGAGGTGGAGAAGCTCGCGAGCCATGTTGCTGCTGCAGATCTAGGACGCAGCACATTTGCCCGTGCATGCCCAGGTAACCTTGCAGCGCGTACGCCCAACATCTTGTCTACTCTTGCTTGTAGTCGCCGAATCGATGGGGATGAGGGACGCATGATGCACAGAGCACGATAAGTATTCATATGCGCTGACGGCTTCCGTGGGCCCGCGGCGGATCGAGACTCGAGAGTATGCGCGTGGGAGGTAGGACATCAGCAGGTACAGCACCCGCTCAGGTGATAGACGGCGATGCGTTTGATTCGCCTTCTACTAGTGACGGGCGTACAGTGCGACAGCCAAGAACGGACATTGTACGCGTCTGGAATACGAGGAACCAATGTACGCGGGGGATTGTGCGTAAAATGCCGTGTCAGGTGGTGATGAAGGCGACGCGGCTCGGAATCTGTGAGCAATGTGGGTTCCTGATGTCCTGAACGATGTACTGCGTACGTAGAGTGTCATTATAAGCACGCTCGTTTCAAGAAAGTGCTTGCTCGCATCGCCTGCACCGGTGCGTTGCGTTGAACATACTTGAAGAGTCTTCGAGATTGGCCACTGTAATCAATCCGCTTCTTCAGGTTACATATTCACGGTCACGCGACCTTTCCAAGTTTGACACTTGTCTTTACCTTGCGACGAGATGAATACATACATTTCGAAAACTGGCTTAAAACCCCACACGGGCCTGCGAGTCGAGGCTGCGACCATCTGTCATCACCCGGGGCCAAACAGCACCGAAAACACGTCAAGCGAGCTGCAAAGAAGAAGGCGCGCAAGGTGCAAAGGCTTGCGCAAACTGTGAGTGGGAAAGCTCCACCTGCGCATTAACTTGACCATTTAATATTTACGTGCTATGGTATGTTAGGTCGAGGGCAAGGGTAAGGCAGACCAGACTGTCTCATCCAAGGTCTCATGCAAGGTAGAACCAGTGGCGACGAGAACTCTGCCGGAGCTTCCAACCGAGGTGTGGGAGAACGTGATTGACCATTTTGCTAAAAATTCACAAGCATGCTCGCCACAAAGAGATAGACAATCCTCTTTCATCCGGCTCATTCAAGACACTGAGCAAAGTAGAATTTGCACTTACACATTATGATTTCAATCTCGAAGATCTCAGGGCGGCAGTTACGGACCTACGGTGGCTCAGGAGCAGTGGATGCTGCAACTTGCACCTTTATCCCCACGATTGAGTGAGCAAGGTATCTTCCGGTGAGTATCCCACAAATTATGCCTAGACTCACGCATTGATCTGTGTCGTGATATTGAAATAGCAGCGCCACAGTGAGGGAATATTGGTATGAAAGAAACTTTTGATTATTGCGGCCGTTGTATCTCCAGTACTAGATGCTCGTTGCATGCATGATCTTATATCCACCCTGACAGCAATGAAGGGCACACTCAAGTAGTCTGCGACGACTTTTACCCTGGTCTCTCCACTGGCAGCTCCTAGAAGTGTCATACGGTCCTGCACATTCTTGGTTGCGCGCCGCGGTTTCTTACACGGTTCCCTACTCCATATACATTGTGTGCTCCTCCACAAAAAATCCTGCATCCGGCTCCCTGCATACCGCCATTGACATCCGGACACCCAGACATATCTATTCTCCATGTCTCCCAGACCATATGCCCCGCCAGCAATCGCTCATTACATCACCACTACATTACCAATTCATACATTCTCAAGTATTCTATATTAACCGGAATCAATCTACAGGGTCTCAGCAACAGCCGTGAAGTCTTTGGTCGGAATTTTTAAAAAGACTCCATCCGTCAGTTTTCTCCGTCTTCACGGCGATGCAATGATTCTATGGAACTAGTTCAGAGAGTCACAGGAGGGCCCTGCACTTGGACGAATGATGTGATATGCATATGGAAAACGCATCGGGTGCTTCTTCGCTCAGAGACTCCTGAAGCGAGTTGGTCTTCTGTTTCATCTTGTGCCGTAGCAAAGCAACTCTTGCACTGCTGTCCTTCCCTACAACCTGTTTCCGCTTTTTATCGCCTATGCGCTGAGGGAAACTTAATCCGCTTCTATTGCTGATTCGGACACGTAGTTCCTAAGCAGCCCACATCGCATTACTGCCACCGCCAGTCGTCCCACAAGCACACTCCTCCATAGACCATTCACTCTAGCCCACCTCGATCGTCGCAAGCGTGAACCGGCACCCGGGGTGGATCCGCAGGCTGTCCATGTGCATGAACATCGGTACGTAGCAAGGGACTGGATCTCCTGTGCACGCGGCGGAACCCAACCATTTCCGACTCAGTGATTCAGTCACAATTATCCCGCATCGAGGCCCCACAGCGCGGACCGATTTCACGAAGGGTCTCAGGATTATGAGAAGAACAAGGCCTACGCAGATGGGAATGTCATCGAAGTGCGCCAAAGGCCGTCCACCAGTGAACAAGCACGGATACAATGGCATCCTTGGGAGGCCTATCAAATAGCATGTGCGGTGCAAAGTCATACATACGTCGAATCGTTCGATCGGAGGTCTATGACGGCAATGTGTTCGATGACTTGCGAATGCTCACGCCTGCCATCTCGCGGACGCTCATTCATCCCCCAGCTTCGATTCTCGTCTCCCGTGCGCCTCTGAAATTCAAATGTGTACTTCCAAGTCAGCCATGCCCACCAGACATCCCATCAGCATACTCCTCCATGGGCAGCAAACTCCCGCTCTTCTTGAGCTGTGCGAACTGGGGCTCGAGATACATGCACGCACCATTTTCGTGTATAAACATTAGTGCGTGCTGTTGGCCGCTCTCCTGTGCATGGCGGGACCCTGCCGTTCTCGACTCAGCATTCCAGCCAGAGTTTCCTCGCATTGGGAACCCGTCGTGTTCACAAAGTGGAACGGAGCTGCAAGATCAGGCCTGCACAGATGGAGATGTTGTCAATGCACGCTGGAGGCTGCCCTTGGTGCCTATCAAGCATTGTGAGAGGTCTGCAGTCGCACGGATGTAGAGATCGGAGATGAACGATGTTCAGGGTTGCGCCGTGCTTCATCGAGGAGATAAAGTACAGGGAGACTACTCTTCGGTGATATGAGGTGTTCAAGGCAGTTGTAGGGATTTGGGATGCAGCTCGGCATTTCAAGTACTACAACATGCTATGGAAAACGGTCAACTTCTTGTGCAGGCAGTGTCAGAAAGGCAACTGCTTCAAAGCAAACTATACGGCCTTATCCGAGAACGGTGCGGGCACGGCAAATCCCACCGGTGCGTCGGTAGCTTGTCTCAAGCTTATAGTCTGAAGCCTCGACTGTGGTGACTCATGATGCCGCTATGGATGATGGTCGGATATGCCGCTGTCCGTGCGACATTGTGCTTCTTTAATCACAGCTGCTCGAGATCTGGCTATTCTGCAGAGATACACTTTATTCTGACTTTGACTCCATCCTCCTTCGTGCAATATCTGTCGCCTTGGCCCTTCTTACCATGCATGAAGTCCAGCATCGATGAGTATACTGGGTGTACATTGATCAGCATTTGTCGCCCTGTAGCGCTTCATAGCGGGACTTACTCGCTTCCCGTGCAGAACGTGCTCGCATCGCTCGCCAACCAGGTTACAACGCCCCTCAGCTCGTCCGGACGGCCGATTCTCCCAAGTGGGCTCGACTTCGACATGACCTCAATCAGGTGCGGATGCTTGTCAAAGTATGCTGCTGTCATGCTATTGCACAAAATTATAGATACCCATAATGCGCGGCGGAGGCATGAGGAACAACGTGGACTTACGATGTATAGATGTAACCTGGGCTGAGCGAATTGACCCTGATGCGCTTCGGACCAAGCTCGCAGGCCATGCTACGCGTCATTTGTTTAACGGCAGATTTGGAGCTGTTGTAGGACACCCAATGTTGATCCTGGTAGCAACAGGTCAATTCTGCCTCGCGTCTGCGATTGTTGGTCATACCCTATTCGTGATAGTTCCGCTCATGCTCGCGATCAACACTATGCTGCCTCCGTTTCCGAACCGATCCATCTGCCTGCCGGCTGCTTGCGCAGTAAATAGGACTCCGTTGACGTTCACGCTCATGACCTGCGCGAATAGCCGTTTAGAATAGGCTAGCGCTTGCGCGACAATGAATGCCAACTTCTTGGAACTGCTTGGCTGGATACTCCAGGCAATCTGTGTGCGGCTTGAGAATGCCTGCCGCAGCAACGCAAACATCCATCCGGCCCTCCCTGTCGCCGATCATCTCCCCGATTTTCCACATCCTGTCCTGCGGCACGATCAATGTTAGCTTTAATACATCGTCTCTTCCAACTGACCTGGTCGCGCACGTCAGCGCTGATGTATTCTAGCCTGCCTTCGCCAGCTTTTCCCTGCATTCGACCAAGGTATTCCTTAACCGTGGTCCATTCTTCACTAGCCTTCTCAGGGAGGTCAACGCAGTAAACGGCATGGGCGCCTGCTTCTGCTAAAGCCATGGCCATCTCTAATCCGAGTCCTCTGTTCCCACCGGTCACCAATGCGACACGGTCTGCGAGAGAGAATTCACGCTCGAACAGGGTAGGTTTCGCCGCTGATTTCGTGATATCATCAGCATCACAGAAAGATCGTTAGAGGATACAAGACTCACCGGAAGATGAAGATGCGGCAAGAGCGGCGTCAACGCCCACCCGTCCATATGGAGGCGGCCCTCCTATTTTGTTCCGATTCCCCGTCTTCGAGGGCGAGTTACCCGCAGAATGAGCGATAGGTCCCGAGGAGAACCTTGCACGTCCAAGAAAGGAGGCATGAGACGGCGGGCGTGCACTTCGCGACATCGTGGCTCGTAGGCTTGCGCTTTGTGCACCGAGCGGCATTGTGTTTTTTAAAAAATGACACTGTTAGGATGGGCCTCTCGAGCTTATCAGACGAAAGGGATGTAGCGAGGAGACATAAGTCTTATGTAGCATAAGAGATAGAAGTCGGTGAGGGATTACTGAGGGCAATACAGAGTGCCTGGATGCTTCCGTCCAGGTTCATGTGACCGGCCATTTCGTACGATTGTCCTAATAGAGCTTTTCTCGGAAGAAAAAGACTGCTAGCAGCATGCAATCAACCTAATTCCACGCTCCCACGAAGGATCAGGTGTTTGATCCCGTGGACAGCCCAAGCAACCGCTGTCAATACGAGAGATAATTGCCTAAGCATACGGAGGGGCAGTTGTATGTCCAACTTGAGTATGACATGCACTGGCTCGCCCGGCATTATTCTCGCGGCTCGAACCATGTTGCCTTAATCGGACTGAAGTGTGCCGTCGGCGGTTTCCGTTGCGGCCTACGGCGAGTTTGTGGTGCACACCGCTAACCTCCTTCCTTAGAGTGACAACCGAACCGCGTGCAATGCCCAGGCAATTATGATGAAGAGAGTCTGGCCGAACATATAGCACATCAGTACACCACGGCTCCGTGTCATCGTGAAAACATCCTGTTTCTCTGCGTCGTATCCAAAACTGCGCGCCAACTTACGAACCTGCGCTCAGTAGTACAGCTACATTGGACGATTGAACCGCCCGGACTCAGCCTCCTCCTACAACCAAAGCTGAGCAGAGAATGTTAAAATCAAACAAAGTCAGTGAGAGTCGCGGAGATTGCGCGGAACTGGGATTGGATGTCAGACGCGAGCGCTGCATCACTACACGATTCGGTCTATTCTGACTGCCAGCGGCACGGTCCAGCCCGAACATCTGACCTTCCCGTCGATGCTGCGCGTATCTGTTTACATTCACCGCCAATAGTCGCATTGACTCAGTCAAGGACGCGGGAACCGAATAGCTTAGATGCTATGCCGCCGCTTCCGAGCTCCCCTAGAATGGATGGCCTAGTGCACTGCCTCGAACGGCAGTCCTGCCTACAAACCTGTGTTCCCACACGTTCCTCGCCCGTGGTCAACGCGTGGTCCAAAGTCATATATTAGGATACCTTGTCTATGTGGCTGCAAGCGACTTGCTTTATCCCCGTCACTACGTGTAGCATTCAGCCCATTGATCATCTGCATGTGAAACATGCCAGGCTCGGAGAATGTGGCGATCTTCTGGGATTATGGTACGTCCAATTTTTTTCCATCACTTATTTCGCCCGCGACATCCGCGCCACATCACTGAAAACTCGCACTTTGCCAGAGAACTGTGCGTTGCCCGCGAACGTCGCCGGCAACGTCGTAGTCAACAGCATCCGGAAGATTGCTCATGAGTACGGGAGCGTGAAGACGTTCAAGGCATACCTTGAGCTGCCTGAGCAGTCGTCTCCGAAGAGCATCGCTCTACGTTCCGAGCTTCAGCTGTGCGGGGTATCATTGATTGATTGCCCGCACAACGGGAGGAAGGACGTGGCGGACAAGATGATGATTGGTACGTGTCTCCAACGTCGTGTGCCTTCGCGGAATCACTCATGTGATTGTTCAGTCGACATGATGGCATACGCCATTGACACACCAGCACCCGCCACGATTATCCTCATCTCGGGTGACCGAGACTTCGTCTATGCTGTGTCTGTACTAAGTCTGCGGCAGTACCGATTGGTCATTTTCGCGCCAACTGCGGCGCACTCGAGCCTGAAGTTGCAGGCTAGCGTAGTACATGCCTGGCCAGCCGATGTACTTCCTGAAGAGCTCTTGACAACCAAACCCCGCACATCGGTGTCCAGCGGCAGCTCCGAATATCCGCGTTCGCGAAGTGATTCCAATGCAAGGTACGCGCCGCAGGTGGCGCAGCCAACAGCCGTCCGTGCCTTCGCAACGCAATCGCCACCAGTCACTCGTAAGGATTTGCATGATCGTCCATCCTACAGTACAATAGCGGCGAACTTCTCCGTCCCTCCTTGGGTGCCGTTTGATCCATTGGGCCCGTTCAAGAATTCCCCGCCACCGTCGGTCACGGTGAGCAGCCAAGACATGCTGACCAGAGCGATACTGATCGAACAGTCCATCCGCATTCAGCCTCTCACCGATAGCACAGCGGTCGAATCAGAATCAGATGGTCCGTCTAGTTCATCTGTCGACGGAAATCCGTCTCCGGGCTACTTTACTCTATTCGTAAGTGCTGTTCACTTTTCAGGCACAAGGCCAGCATTAAACGAAACGTTCCTAGTCTCGAACACCAGGACGGACTTTTGCGGCTGCAAACGCACAAGCCCCATTCGAATTTGGGACGAGTGTGCTCAACCAAGACCAATCACACTCATCGCAGCAAATTGCGCATGCCAAGGTCTCGGCAACAACAGCGATGTCGCCATCGTCCGAGGCGTCATTTCAGCAACAGCCATCTCAGCTCGACGCGAGCGATTCTGTACTTGAGAGCTTTATTGCGCAAGCCTGGGGTAACGGGGCATCTGCATCTGCATCTTTGGATGCGGATGACTCCACACCTTCCAAGAAGGTGCCGGCCCACTTCAAGGCTCTGGTAAAAGTCTTGAAACAACAATTGAAGGACGGCAACAAGAAGGTGTCATACTCCGATCTGGGCACCTTGCTTCGCCAAGAGTCGTCGATGTTGTACGAGAAGGCAGGCGTGACCAAGCTGAAAGACTACACCGCCTTGGCGGAGGAAGCTGGCGTAGTAGTTGTGAAGGAGAACAGGTACGGACCAGGAGGGGTCGATGGCCAGAAATGGGTGTCGCTCCATCCCCGACTTTTGAAGACGACGCCTGCGGTGGTGCCATCCTCGATGGACGAATGGTGAGGTTTGCACGGTTGAGACCAACTTCTTTCGGCTGAATTCGAGCTAGGTTCTATATGGCTCGCCATGGAACGAGCAAGTAGATTTGTACATGCTTGCTTGTATCAAAAGAAGGCAGCCATAGAATTGATTGTAATGGATGTACCATAAGAGCAGCGGCGGAGTATGCACTGGGCCCACTCAAGGCGTGATCTGCGACCACGCCCGATTGTATTGCTGCACTTGTAGTCTTGTCGACAGTTTACAAACATGTGCGAGGATTTACATCATGATGATAGAAGTCAGCTCGACGACAACATGCAACATGGAGACCAATGTGATGCTAGGATGTGATTGCGAGAAATCGTGAGATAGCCCTCTATCTGAAAACTACCGGCGACGTAGGGAGGTCATGTATATTACTAAGTATCACATTACGCTTTTCGTAGGTTATGTGGTTACGGACCGCCGTTGGCTTGAGTACCCTGCCAAAGACCGTAGCTCTTCCCGGGGGTTGTTTGCCACAGTCGGATAGTGCCTGGGAGGGGACGATACCTCGTGAGTGACATATAATTGAACAAGTCCATGTGACCTCACCATCCTCTGTTCCGCAAGGAATGTGCGAGTAGGCAATTACTAATGAGCACAATTGGTCAAAGGAATAGTGTGGGAACACATACCGCTTCCGCTCGCGAACATCTCTCCGTCGGGACTGAACTCCACGCAGTGGACGGGCCCATGATGGCCCTTGAGTACTTCTCGTTCTTCTCCCGTCACGTCATGTATTCGCACCCATTCATCACCAAGACTGCCCGTGACGAATCTGTCTTGAAGGATCGGGTGGATGGACGCAGATGATGGAGCATACGGTAATGTCAGACTGTGCGTCTGACCGCCGTTCAGGAGAGCGGGAATGAAGGACACGGTCTTTCCGGATGTCACTACCAGGCGATTAGTCTGCGGGGATAGTTCCATCGATGTGATGGGTCCCGGGAACGAGAGACTAGTTGTCAGCTTGCGCGTTCGGAGATCCCACCATCTACGAAGCGCGAGTCAACCCGTGTACATCTTCTCTATAGAACTCGATCGTGCGTGCTCACTTGAGAAGGCCATCTTCCCCCGCTGTGACGCCTGTATGGTCGCCTACCCATACGACGCTCTTGACCGTACCATCGTGAGATATGTTGCTGCCATTGTCACTGAAGATATCCGGTTCCGCATCCGGCCGGCCAAGATCGAACATTCTCACTTTCTTCTCTTGCCCGCCAGTGAGCAGATGCGAGGTACTCGGAGAAATTGCGACACTTCGGACAATGTGATTGTGCGGGAAAGAATGTAGCGGTTCGCCAGAGTACGTATCCCATATCTTTCTGTGAAATTGAACATGCGCATAAGCCTCGTAGAAACGAAACGGGGCCCGAAACAAGAATATGGACATGCGCAAAGGACCGTGACAGAATACACGTACGCCGTAAAGTCTGCGCTTCCAGATGCCGCACGAGAGGTGTCCGGAGATAGTTTGCTGCTCCACACGGCGCCCTTGTGGCCAAAGAATGTGCCGATCCAATCTCCTGTCCACTCTCGTAACATGGGGTTTCCATCCTTGCAGCTGGATATCAGCACATATGTCCCGTCGTCTTGCAGAGAAGAGAATGAGAGATGGGTGACTGGACGTGTATGACCGGGAGCGACGAGAGGAACAGCTTTAGGATGGTGTGCCATTGATCGGTTCAGTTGGGTCGTAAAATGAGGACGTGATGGAGGTCGTGATACAGGCGCACTGCGCACTGCTGGTCGAAGATGAAAGTTGCAAGTAGCATGGCCACAGAGAGTCTCGTGCCGCCACGTGCTCCACGCCACTTCGCCTGATCAGGCAGGATTAGTGCGAACCTCAGCTGGTGCCACTGGGGGTAATCAACACTGGACTTTAAAGCTTTACCAGCTGGCTTATATCTACAGAGGCCGTCCGGAAGTCTTGGACATTGTAGAGGACGGCATGCCTTGTTATGCGCCACAAATATCGGCATAGCTGAGCGCGGTGGCGATGCTTTCTCTAATATTACATCGGAAGACACGAAGTCGCTGCGGTACTGGCATAGAGTTACTCGACCCGCTAGGTGAGATGAAATATGTGCAAGTCGTGTGCTGGATTGCAGTTGATCAGCTCTCACTCAGGCTCCCTGTTTCAATTTCTGGTGTGTGCGCCATACAACAAGCGCGTTTCTCTCACGTACTGAATTGCAGAATGATGGTGTTCTGTTGGATACCGCGCGGCTTAGCGACTCCGCGGCGCAACTGCTAGCCATAGCAGTGTGATAGCGTACGGCGAACGATTGAGGTCACAATGATGCAATTCTGTGCTGTTGAACATATGGGGATCACACGAAATCCGCGGTAAGCATACTAGCTTCTCCTATCGTAGCCTTACCCGAAAGTGGAGCTCGCCGGTCAGCTCCCGTGTGCACTATCTGGATATGTCGCGTAGCAGTTCGCTACTACGTCGCTTCGGAGCGCCTCGTTCCCTTGTTGATATTGTATAGTCATCCTTGCGTGCTTTTGACATGCTTTCGATGCTAGACATACCTGCCAATGAGGAGCAACCGAATAGCGGAGCTCGTATCGTCCTGCGTGCAGCTACGTAGAGCTGCTGGTGGACTGTGGGATGCAATAGACGAAATGGGGAAGACCATCGCAATGCATGCTACTTACTCCCGAGGCCGGAACTTCGGAGGCAACATGCACATGTGCACCTCTCGCTAATGCGAGTGAACGTAGGATTTAGTTGCCACCTCGGTGGCGTACTACTATAGTATCTGAAACAGCGTCCAAAAATACCACTACTAGTCGGCTTCGGCGCCAATAACGACGCGAAGGTCGCGATCGGTTTTCAAAGTATCACGTGATGAAAGGCAGTAGTGCCAAAACTCGCCATGGATTGCGTGCTAATTCACCAGCGGCTCTAGAGAGCGCCGCTCGAAGAAGGGCAATGTTCACCGATCGTGAATATACACCTGGCAATTCGGAAATCCTTCTCGTGCGAGGTACTCGGCCCTCAGCCCAGGATTGCGGGGTAAGACAATATTCCGAATTCTCGAGATTTTTACAGTGGGTTGGCGGTAGGCACGTCGGGTTCTGTGGACGCAAGGTACCACATCAAAAACGCGTTACGCGCTTGTCGTTACCCCATTATTTGTCATTGATCTTAGGCCCAGCGGGATCCGCCAACTGCGCGTTCCGATATAAAAAGTGACATCGAACAGGAAGTCTTCTTCCCTGGATCGCCTTTTCACTTGTCCTCTCGCGATGTTCTCTACGAAGGTCAAGAGTACCGCGAAACGCATAGTGGGATATCCCGAAGAGCCCGTGCCCGTTGTGACCGTAGGACAATGGGTCCACAATCGGTGTCGTGATCCCAAGCGTGGTGTATGTCCTTCCCAGTTGAACCTTCTCTATCGCTTCATAATCTGCTTGTTCGCAGGTGATACGCTATGTTACTGGCCTGTTTCCAATCTTCAGTTGGATCAGCCGATACAGTGAGTCATCAGTGAGGCAAAATTCTGTTCGCCCTTACTGAACGTTCATCTAGATTTGGGATGGCTGACAGGCGATGTCATCGCTGGTATTACAGTCGGCATTGTTGCCGTGCCACAGAGCATGTCTTATGCCAAGGTTCGCACATATCGCCCCGCTATATGGGCCGCTTCGGTGGAAAATTGACATCCGTCCCTTAGCTCGCCGACCTTCCCGCTGAATACGGTCTTTATTCTACGTTCGTTGGTACTTTGGTCTACGCGGTAAGTGACTCGTATTGACAGGTTGGACACTGCCTTACGTCTGCTCTAGCTTTTTGCAACGTCTAAAGATGTCAATATCGGCCCCGTGGCAGTCATGTCGCTCACTGTCGCGAAGATCATCGAGTATGTCGAGGACAAGCATCCAAACGTGTGGAGCAAGCCTCAAATCGCCGTTACTCTCGCCTTTATTTGCGGTTTCATCGTGCTCGGAATTGGTCTTCTGAGGTTGGGGTGGATTGTCGAGTTCATTCCTGCACCAGCCGTGAGCGGCTATATGACCGGCTCGGCGCTCAATATTGTGTCCGGTCAGGTGCCTGGTTTGATGGGAGAATCTGGTTTTAAGTAAGTATGAAAGTGCTTGTCCGGAAATCACACCCTGACGTGGTGCAGCACTCGGGCAGCCACTTACAAAGTCATCATCAACTCGCTCAAATATCTCCCAAAGACGAAGCTCGACGCGGCATTTGGATTAACGGGTCTAGTCTGTCTCTATATTATTCGCTGGACGTGCCAATACCTCATGAAGCGGTATCCTAGAAGACGTGAGTCAGTTACCTCGACTTCACCGAGTTGCTGCTCATACCTACCTGTACAGAGCGTGTATTTTTCTTCATCTCCGTCTTTCGGAATGCCTTCGTGATCGTCATCCTGACCATAGCGTCATGGCTGTACACCCGGCATAGGAAGAGTGCAAAAGGAACCTACCCTATCAGTATTCTAGGGACTGTCCCTCGGGGCTTCCAGCATATGGGTGCTCCTACCATCGATCCGAAGCTCATTTCTGCCTTGGGTAGTCAGCTCCCGTTGGCCACTATCATCCTGGTCCTCGAACATATCGCGATTTCCAGATGTATGTCACACCGATATCACTGTTGGGCTGTTCTAAACTGACCTCGGATCGTCCAGCTTTCGGTCGCGTGAATGGGTACACGGTCAATCCCAACCAGGAGCTGATAGCGATTGGCGTTACCAACACAATCGGCACGCTATTCGGCGCATATCCCGCGACCGGCTCGTTCTCCCGTTCTGCTCTTTCATCAAAGTCGGGTGTTCGTACACCTGCCGCGGGAATCCTCTCATCGATTGTCGTGCTGGTCGCCTTGTACGGTCTTACCCCCGCGTTTTACTGGATCCCGAGCTCCGGCCTCTCCGCCGTGATCATTCACGCCGTAGCGGATCTTGTCGCGTCCCCGCGCCAGGTGTACTCGTACTGGCGTGTCTCTCCAATCGAGGCCGTCATCTGGTTCGCTGCGGTTTTAGTCACTGTTTTTGCATCTATTGAGGACGGTATTTACACGGCGATGGCCGCATCCATGGTTCTGCTCCTTATACGCGTGGCTCATCCGCGCGGATATTTCCTCGGCAAGGTCAAGGTCCGAGCAAGTGCACAGTCGGACGCAGAGTCCCGCGACGTCTATGTCCCACTTAAACCAAAGGCGACCCTCATGAACGACGCTGTACAGGTGACTCCTCCTGCTCCCGGAGTCATCGTTTACCGCTTCGAGGAAAGCTTCCTCTACCCGAACTCTTACTTTCTCAATTCCGTGATTGTCGCATACGTCAAGGCGACAATGAGGCGCGGCAAAGACTACGCTGGGGTCAAGCTCAGCGATCGGCCTTGGAACGACCCCGGTCCACGCCCAGGTCAGGACGAGAGCGCTGAAAATATGCTCAAGCCTGAGTTGCGCGCAATCGTTCTAGACTTTTCTGGAGTGTACGTCCACTACTCGATTATTTGCCAGTACATGACGTTGACTTTCGCTTGTAGATCACAGATAGATACGACAGCCGTTCAAGCCTTGATTGACACAAGGACCGAAGTCGAGCGGTGGGCTGATCGGCCTGTCGAGGTAAGATATTCACCACTGTCAACGATTGTTTGCCGTACTGAAGCCTTTTCCGCACAGTTCCATTTCGCGACAATCCTTTCCCCTTGGGTGCGCCGCGCTCTGATCGCTGGCGGTTTCGGTACCGGAGCGCCAGCATCCAGCCTGCCTACCGAGATCGCGGCCGTCGTTCCATATCGCGGTGGTCAATCCATGACAAAAGCTACTGATCAGCAAATGGTCGACGACCTAGAGTCGACCTGGCCCGTCAGCGAAGAGCCTCGCTTCGACACGGAAGAGACGGTCAGCCTTGATCTCCAGGACACGCCATTCTTCCATTTCGACCTCGTCAGCGCTGTTCGAGCTGCAGAGAGCGGAACATTGTCTAGAGAGTCGGACTCCTCAAGCATCACAAAATCGGAGGACGTATCTTATGACAAGGCTGTTTCGGAGAAGGATATGTGATCATTACCTCTGTATGACCCTCGGACATGTAACGGATCTCATACTAGACCGCACGGAAGTATAACGACCCTCACGAACCAGGTAGCCTGCTGCATCTTAAGTGTATCATTATCAGATGTGTATGTGAAGTACTGAAAGTACACTATGTTTAATGATAATTTATTGATTTGGCATTCATTGTATGGGGAGTTCAACTTTTCCATTGGGCAGCCAACAGAATTTCAAGGACGCCGAGTGCCACAAGCGCCGACGGGCGCCTAGTTTTATCGACGTTGGACTTTCCGCAGGCTTCGTCGTATGGCATGAATCCACTGCGGCCCTCCTCGTCGGCCTCCCTTCTGCAGCTGCGGCGGCTCATTTCAACTTCATCTGTGCGCCTATCGGGCCACAACAAAGTGAGATTACACGTCTTGCTTGTCTGGCTATTGCCAATCCGCCTTTGCAGTGGTCGAAAATCAAAGAAAAGAAGGGTGTCAATGATCGCAAGAAGGGACAGGTCTATAGCAAGGCCACCAGGGTAATGCATATTCCCACTCGATCCGCTGTCAAATATCTGACGAGCGACATCCTTGCAGGACATAGCGATAGCGGTGCGAAGTACGCTACGTCTTCTCTGATTCGTCGTTGATCCATGAAGTGAACTCTCCTCTGAGCAGGTGGTGGCAGTGCCGATCCAGACCTCAATGCCGCCCTAGCAGCGGTCCTCAAAAGGGTCAAACAGCAGGGCGTCCCAAAGGACAACATCGAAACTGCTTTGAAAAAGGTACGTGCTCATTCGTTTGTGCTCGCGATGTGCTGACGTCTGTAGGCTGCCGGAGCAAAAGACAGGAGCGATCAGCAGTTTTTGGTTTATGAAGCTATGGCACCTGGCTCCGTCGGCATGATCATGTAAGAGGCCGCACCGGCGTCAAGTCCTCCGCCATCCGCTAACTCGGTGAAGAGAATGCATTACAGACAACGTGAACCGTACCAAGCATGCCGTCGACAACTTGCTGAGTGGTCATGGGTGAGAGCCTCACTGTAGCATGTGCATAGCGTTCTGCTTACTGAGAACTCTGATGTTCTTTTCGTCAGTGCTCGGATGGCACCCGTGAAATTTCTCTTTTCGCGGCTTGGATGTATCGAAGTGGCGTTAGACAAAGCGCCTGAATCTGAATTCGAGAGAAAGCTTGACAGGCTCATAGAGACAATGCTCGATGCCGGCGCGGAGGATTTCAAAGAGACTGCCGCAAGCGACGTTGACGTGGAGTTAGAGGTGAGTGGGTTTCCCCAATTGTCGCTGAGCTAGGTTCAATATGAATGTATGCAGTTCACTTGTCAGCCTCAAGATCTGGGAAAGATCACCACCACTGCTCTCGAGACCGGCTTGTGTCGAGAGTTGCTGAACAGTGAGCTCCAGTACAGAGCGCTGGAGGAGACTCCGTCACTGGATGAACATTCCGCAGAACGGATAGATGGTCTGCTTGAGGAGTTCGACGAGCTCGACGACGTTCTCAAAGTATGGACGACCCTCGGTGCATCAGGTTAGGCCATTGCAAAAGAATTGTTGTTGGAAGTGCTTGTGAGCCCAACGTGACATCTGGGTGCATGTGAAGCTCAGCATTCAAATAGGGCGATATACCGGGTATCTTGTGTGCATATCAAGTATTATTACATACATCCACATCTGGGCGAACAAGTAATTGTAGTGCGAATTCGAAAGACACTGTATCCGCTAGTCACCGACATCCTCCATTCACCCAAATAGTGTGTATATCAGCACCTCCATAACAATTCGTGACCAATTCGTGGACAGAAAGGATCCGTCGTGCATGCGTGCTGAGGCTAAGTGGATCAGTGAGGGTGAACTTTGCCGTGCCATGTAGGTTCCAAAGAAATCCATGGCGCCGCTCGCAACCCGCCCAAGACGACAATACCTTCTTGTACGGCCAAGTCGGCAAATTCTTTCCAACGCGTCACTCCTGCCCATTGAAACGCATTCGGATCCTCTTCCATGAGCGCAGCGTTCACTTTGGAGCGCATGGGATGCGTAATATTTTGTCGTCTGAACCTCTCCAGCACCGTAACAAGTGCCAAGAAATGGGGTGCAAGGGATGACAGCGTTGTTTGTGTATGTCCATCTTGCGGCGATACGCTCGATGTCGGTGAATGTGGATGGTCGAGCATCAGCGTTGGCTGAACAGACAGAGCTTCCACCGCGGAGCCGGAGACATGGTCGTGCACCTCTGCCGCATAGCTTGCTGGGACTACATCGTACCAAGAAGGCTTCAGTGCAATCCAGTCGGCCCCGTTTGATGACCCGAGGACGACCATGCATAGCTTGGATGCCTGAATTGCGTATGCTTCCCAAGTTTCCACGCCAGCATATTGATAGATATTCGGATTTCGCTGTAAAAGGGCGTGAGAAACGTCCTCGCACCACGGCGAGTATACGCCACGCTTCATGAACGTCTCCAGGATGACAAGCAAGTCGTAGTAATAAATAGGAATGGGTGGCAGGGCAGACGACTGTCCCTTCGTGTCATTAGAGTCGAGAGGAGTGGGGTCAATGGACACGCGTGTTTCGACAGCACCAGTTTCTTGTGCAATGTCTTCGCGAAGTTGGCTTGCAGCGGGCAACTCGGCATTAGCATGTTCCGCGGACACAGGTATAGTAGGCATGAAAGGCGGCTGCGGCTCCTCAGGCTTGTTCTCCTGCTGTTCGACTTTTTCCAAATACGCTTGGAACGAGAGAAATCGCGTCTCATTCAGAGAAATCCAGGTATCCCCCTGCTCACCGCCAAGCGTTACAATACCCAAGCTCTCCGCCGCAGCCGCATACTGTGTCCAGGTATCTACACTAGCAGATACGAATACCTCCCGGCCGTATCGGTGCAAAAGCATATTGCAGACGACGGTTCGTAACGGGCGAGACATCCCACGCTTCCGGAGATCATGTAGGATCAGGAGAAGGCGAGAAAAGTTGGGAATGGGCTCTGCGGGCTTGGTTTCATGTTTGATTGCGATTTCCTGTGCCGGTGTCATTGGTGTTGCTCCGAGTGTTGTGACGCGTTCTGATGAGATAGACTCGTGATGATACGACAATGTTGGAGATGCATCGCATTCACGGAGGATTGATGGGGAACTGGATGGTCGATCAATCAGACTCTCGTATTCCGATCCTTCATTTGCCACATGGAACCCGGGCGGTGTCTGTTGCTCCACTTCATTCGGGCCTATCGGCGTGTTCGCATACACTTCCGATACGTCAGCGGACGACTAGCCGGGAGAAGCACGTTTCAGTATCTAGCCCATTATATATAGACGTGCGATTGAAGGACATACCTCGGGAAGGAGATTTGTATATATTTGTTGATCGTGCAGGTTATGGAGGTGGAGGTTGAGATCAGCAATTGCGCCTGATCCGACAATGTCTTCAACGTCTTCTGCTGTCTGCACCGCCTTGGCAACAGTGACGCATCCGGCTCTGAACGGGGCACTATTTGGTTTTTCTTTGTCGGGATTGACCTCGGAAAGCTCGGCACCTGGCAAGTCAGTATCGGCCATTTCGACTGCGTTCACTGCCAAAAGGCTTGTCTGAGTGGGCTTCTTCAAGCTTGGACTGCGGATCATTACGGCAGGTTGCAGCGACTCGGCAAGAGACGGAACTGCATTGTCGCAAAATGAAAGTCGACGCTGTCCCTTCTGCAGAGGCGTGGTAACCAAGGGGGGCACCATCGAAGACTGAGAGCGACGGTGTGAGGCGCGGTTGGACTCTCGCCCAGCTTTCCCCAGAACGTCAACGTCCCAGTCCAGCACAGCTGAGGCCTGCAACTTTAGACCATTATGACCCAGTGACGGTGCGATTAGGACGACGCGGTATCTCCGTAGGCGAAGCACAGAGACAGCATACACGAAGTCGCGATCGCCGGTAATTATTATCACGGTGGCGGGAGGGGGAGTATCGATTGCGTAGGTGAGCATATCAACTACGTAAGCGTCACGTAACGAGGAGTCAGACTCAGGTGCAACCAAGCTAGCAAGGGGACGCACCGATCATCATCTTGTCCGCGACGTCCTTTCCACCATTGTGTGGGCAGTCCGTCAAGGACACACCACATGACTGCAACTCTGACCGCAGGCTCAATGACCTCGAGGAAGACAGTTGGGAGAGCTCGAGATACGCTTTGAAAAGCTTGACACTTCCATATGTATGCGCGATATGGCGAATGTTGTCAACGATGTCATATCCTGTAACCGTGGAAGGTGGTGCACAGTTCTCTGAGCGGGGTTCAAATCAAGACATGCGCAACACATAGGAAAGCAGCGTCGGTCAGATATCTTTCTCAAGGTCTTCCGCCCACTCACCGTAATCCCAGAAGACAGCGACGTGCTCGTGCTCGTTATTCATAATGTGAGCGGTGAAGGAGAGAAAGAACAAGGGTCTCTGCTACATGTGGAGGAGAACTATACAGCACGCGCTTCATCCAAACTACTTCCACACTGCCTGATTGGGCACATGTCTTACCCCCGTTCACTGTGGCAATGGTACGGCACCGCTTCCGTCTCCTTCACAAATACAGCATTGCCACAAACTCAAGTGCACGGCCACCTCCTCCTAAGAGCGTGTAGCACGACGAGACAATGGGCATTGGACACACACCGGCGGCCGCGATCCGGTCGCTATCACTAGCAGTGCATGGAAGAGTCAGCACCGCATATCTTATAGCTGAGATCCAGGTCCTACTGTAGGGGAGTTGCCGTGAAGAGAACCGAAAATGTGCCTCGCAACGCGTTGCCAGCAGAAAGGGTATAAAGAGCAGCGGCATAAACAGTATTACTGGGCAAGCATACACGTTGATGATGCACCGAGAAGGTCCTGTTGCAACGCGGCCACTTCCAGTACAACGTCGACATTGAGCGTGCCGTGCCCATGCGGCCAACACCAAGAATCATTCAGCCGTGAGTAGGTTTCGAGAGTCACTGAGCAACGCAGACTTTAGTCCTGTCTGGAAAGTAGTGGAGGTAGTATGAAAGAGAGCACCGACAAGATGTGGAGGCAACAGAGGTGATACGCGGTCGATGCAACTCAGATCAGTCTCAGATCGACGAGGTCACGTGGACGCGCGCGCGACGCGCCAGACACAGGCGCTCGCCACGTTCTCGTTCTCGTGCTTGGTGGCGGGAGTCTCTCAACATGCGGACACTCTCCTGCCTCTTACTCCTGCGGTCCTCGCGCAGCCTTAGCCCGAATCTGAATCACTAACATGGGGAGCCTACCGCCCGAACCTCTACTTTGGCCTTAGGCCAAGAGTTCCGCAGTCGTTGATGACGGGCCTCATGTGGTTTGGTACGAGGGACTATCAGTCTCTACCGCGTTAGTGTTCCTTCAATGCATGCGACGCAACATATTGACAGCTTGTGCAAGCGCACGACATGGTTGCGATCAGGGAGATGGCCTCAATGGCTATACTTGGACAGAGTACGCCGCCCGTGAAGGCGGCGTCCAAGTTATCAAGGATGGGCCAAATGCCACGTAGGTCCCAAAGCAATCCATGCTGCCCCTTGCAACCTGCCTAAGATGGCAATATCTTCTTGTACGGTCAAGTGGGCAAACTGCTTCCAAGGCGTTACTCCTGCCGATCGAAACGCATTCGGATCCTCTTCCATGAGTGCAGTGTTCACTATGGAACGCGAAGGTTGCGTAATATTCTGTAGTCTGAACCTCTCCAGCACCGTGACGAGCGCCAAGAAATGGGGTGCAAGGGACGGCAGCGTCGGTTGTGCAGGTCCATCTTGCGTTGAAATGCTCGGCGCTGGTGAATGCGGACGGTCGAGCATCAGCGTTGGCTGAACAGACAGGGCTTCCACCGCGGAACCGAAGACAAGGCCATGCAAATCTGCCGCATAACTTGCTGGGAGTACATCGCACCAAGAAGACTTCAGTGCAATCCAGGCGGACCCCTTCGACGACCCGAGGACGACTATGGCTAGCTTGACTGCTTGACTCGCATATGCCTCCCAACTCTCCACGCCAGCATGTTGATATATTTCCGTGCTTCAAGAGCTCAAGAGAGACGTCTTCGCACAAGGGCAAGTACACGCCGTTCTTCCTGAGCTTAAGCAGAATAACAATTAAATCATGATAATGATCTGTGATGGCTGGCAAGGCAGGCTCCTGCTGCTCTCCTTCGTCAGATTCAGAAGGGAAAGTGGGATCGATAGGCTTGGACTTCTGGACAGTATCAGTTCTTTGTGCAATGTCTGAATTGTTGTCTGGAAGTGCTTGTAAGCCCAACGTGACAGCTGGGTGCATGTGAAGCTCAGCATTCAACCGGGCGGTATATTGGATATTTTCATGTACATATTACACACATCCTCATCTGGGCGAACAAGTAATCTTAGTGCGAGCTCGAAACACGCTGTCTCCGTTAATCATAACATCCTTGTTACCGGCGTCTTCCACTCGCCCAATAGTGTGGGTATCAGCATCTCCATAACAGTTCGTGACAAATTCGTGGACAGAAAGGATCCATCGTGCATGTGTGCTGAGGCTTAAGTAGATCAGTGAGGGTGAACGTTGCCGTGCCATGTAGGTTCCAAAGAAATCCATGCCGCCCCGTGCAACCCGCCTAAGACGACAATGCCTTCTTGTACGGCCAAGTCGGCAAACTGCTTCCAACGCGTCACTCCTGCCGATCGAATCGCATTCGGATCCTCTTCCATGAGCGCAACGTTCACTTTGGAACGCAAGGGTTGCGTAATATTCTGTAGTCTGAACCTCTCCAGCACCGTAACAAGCGCCAAGAAGTGGGGTGCAAGGGATGGCAGCGTCGGTTCTGCAGGTCCATCTTGCTGCGATACGCTCGGCACTGGTGAATGCGGGCGGTCGGGCATCAACGTTGGCTGAACAGACGGGGCTTCCACCGCAGAGCCGAAGACAAGGTCATGCACCTCTGCCGCATAACTTGCTGGGAGTACATCGCACCACGAAGACTTCAGTGCAATCCAGGTGGACCCCTTCGACGACCCGAGGACGACTATGCCTAGCTTGACTGCTTGACTCGCATATGCCTCCCACGTTTCTACGCCAGCATGTTGATATATTTCCGGGCTCTGCTTCAAGAGCTCAAGAGAGACGTCTTCGCACAAGGGCGAGTACACGCCGCACTTCCTGAGCTTGAGCAGAATGACAATTAAATCATGATAATGATCTGTGATGGCTGGCAAGGCAGGCTCCTGCTGCCCTCCTTGGTCAGACTCGGAAGGGAAAGTGGGATCGATAGGCTCGGACGTCTGGACAGTATCAGTTCTTTGTGCAATGTCTTCGGAAAGTTTCTTCGCAGTGGCTGCCTCGGAGTGACTGTGAGGCAGGATCGGCTGTATAGACTCATCGCCAGGCAAGGCAATCGGCGACGCAGGCGAAGAAGATGTCGCCGGCATCATCTCAGCAGGTGGGACTTGGCCATGTGCACTACGAGTATCAGCTTGCTCTTGCGATCTATCAGCCTTGCTCTCGCGCACGATGTATTTCATATCCACTGTGCGGCCTGCGACATCTACTGGAACTCGACCGTACCAAGAAGATCTGAGCGAAATCCAGGTGCTGCCTTGCAATGAACCAAGCTTGACCATATCTAGCTTCAATGCCTGACTTACGTATGCCTCCCAAGTTTCCACGCCAGCATGTTGATATATATTCGGATTTCGCTGCAAAAGGGCGCGAGAAACGTCCTCGCACCACGGCGAGTATACACCACGCCTCATGAACGTCTCCAGGATGACAAGCAAATCGTAGTGATAGATAGGAATGGGTGGCAAGGCGGATCCCTGTCGCTCCGTGTCATGAGAGTCGAAAGACGTGGGACCAATGAGCTCGTGTGTTTCGACAGCATCAGTTTCTTGTGCAATGTCTTCGCAAAGTTGGCTTGTAGCGGGCAACTCGGCATTAGCATGTTCCGCGGACACAGGTATAGTCGGCATGAAAGGCGGCTGCGGCTCCTCAGGCTTGTTCTCCTGCTGTTCAACATCCTCGAAACACGCTTGGAACGAGAGAAACCGCGTCTCATTCAGAGAAATCCAGGTATCCCCTTGCTCACCGCCAAGCGTAACAATACCCACGCTCTCCGCCGCAGCCGCATACTGTGACCATGTGTCTACACCAGCAGATGCGAGCGCCTCCTGGCCATATCGATGCAAAATCATATTGCAGACGACGGTTCGTGACGGGCGAGACATCCCACGCTTCTGGAGATCACGTAAGATCAGGAGAAGGCGATAAAAGTTGGGAATGGGCTCTGTGGATTTGGTTTCATGTTTGATTGCGATTTCCTGTGCCGGTGTCATTGGTGTTGCTCCGAGTGTTGTGACGCGTTCTGGAGAGACAGACTCGCGATGGTACGACTGCGTTGGAGCTGCATCGTATTTACGGAGGATTGGTGGGGAACTGGATGGCCGATCTATCAGATTCTTGTAATCCGATCCTTCACTTGCTACATGGAGCCTGAGCGGTGTCTGTTGCTCCACTTCATTGGGGTGTATCGGCGTGTTCAAACTCGTTTCCGATACGTCAGCGGATGACTAGTCGGAAGAAGCATGTTTCGGTATTTAGCCCATCATAACATAAACATGCCATTGAAGGACATACCTCGGGAAGGAGGTTTGCATATATTTGTTGATTGTGCAGGTTATGGAGGTGGAGGTTGAGATCAGCAATTGCGTCTGGTCCGACAATGTCTTCAACGTCTTCTGCTGTCTGCACCGCCTTGGCAGCAGTGGCGTATCCGGCTATAAGTGGGGAACTGTTTGATTTTTCTTTTTCGGGATCGACCTCCGAAAGCTCGGCATCTGGGAGCTCAGTATCTGCCATTTGGACTGCGTTCACTGCCGGAAGGCTTGTCTGAACGGGCTTCTTCCAGTCTGGACTATGGATCGGTAAGGCAGGTTGCAGCGGCTCGGCAAGAGACGGAACTGCATTGTCGCGAAATGAGAGTCCACGCTGCCCCTTCTGCGGAGACGTGGTAACCAAGGCGGGCACCGATGATGACTGAAAGCGACGGTGTGAGGCACGGTTGGACTCTCGCCCAGCTTTCCCCAGAACGTCAACGTCCCAGTCCAGCACAGCTGAGGCCTGCGACCTTAGACTATTATGACCCGTTAACGGTGCAATTAAGACGACGCGGTATCTCCGTAGGCGAAGCACAGAGACAGCATACACGAAGTCGCGATCACCGGTAATTATTATTATGGTGGCGGGAGGGGGTGTATCGATTGCATAGGTGAGCATATCAACTACGTAAGCGCCACGTAAGTTACAAGTAGGAGTCAGACTCCGGTGCAACCAAAAGCTAGCAAAGAGACGCACCGATCATCATCTTGTCCGCGACATCCTTCCCACCATTGTGTGGGCAGTCCGTCAAGGACACACCACACGACTGCAACTCCGATCGCAGGCTCAGTGACCTCGAGGAAGATAGCTGGGAGAGCTCGAGATACGCTTTGAAAAGCTTGACACTTCCGTATGTATGCGCGATACGGCGGACGTTGTCAACGATGTCATATCCTGTAACCGTTGAAGGTGGTGCACAGTTCTCTTAGCGGGGTTCAAATCAAGACACATGGGAACGCAGCGTCGGTCAGATGTGGTTCTCAAGGTCCTCCGCCCACTCACCGTAATCCCAAAAGACAGCGACGTGCTCATACTCGTTGTTCATGATGCTAACGATGAAGGAGAGAAAGAACGAGGGTCTCTACTACATGAGGAGGAAGAGTATATGGCACGAGGAGCATAGCATATGCGGGCGTTCTGGTGTACAGCATTGATACTGGCAGCAGCCCGACTTGACACCTGCGCGCTCTATCCACACTTCCACACCTGCCTTATTGGGCACAGCATCCCCATAAACTCAATTGCACGCCCACTCTCCTCCTTAGAGCGGATAGTATTGAGATTTTTAAGTCAGTCCTTGACAACCGTCGACCAGAATGCTCTGAAGATGGCTAATCCGGGCCAAACCAATAAGGCTCTGCCGTACCGTAGAAATGCGGACCTTGCGCACGGACAATGCCAAGCTCAAACCAGCTTGTCCCCGGTGCCTCCGGCCAAGAAATGCAACAGACAGCATGACGAGACAACAGGCATTGGACACACACCAGCGTCCGCGATCCAGTTGTCATCACTAACAGTGCATGGAAGAGTCAGGCGACGCATAGCTGAAGCCCAGGTCCTACAGCGTTGCCGTGAAGAGAACTGGAAGATGTGCCTCGCGGCGCGATGCCAGCATAGAGAACGGCGGCATAAAAGTATCTCCTGGAAAGCAACCGCATTGATGGTGCACGAAGAAGGTTCTGTTGCAACGCGGCCACTTCCAGCACCACGTCGTGTGACATTGAGCATGCTGTGTCCATGAGGTCAACACCAGAAATTGTTCAGCAATGAGCAAGCGTCAAGAGTTGTTGAGTAACGCGGACTGTAGACTTCTCTGCCAAGCAGCAAAGGTACGATGAGAGAACATCGACAAGATGTGGAGGCAACAGAGATGATACGCGATCGGGTCGTCGGTGCCAATTTCTGTCTCAGATTGACGAGGTCACGTGGACGCGTGCGCGACGCGCGCAGGCGCTCGCCACGTTCTCGTTTCGATGCTTGGTGGCGGGAGTGTCTCAACATGCAGTTACTCTGGGCTCTCCTCCTGCCTCTTGCTCCTGCAGTCCTCGCGCAGCCCTCACCCGACTCTGAGTCACTTACATGGGGGGCCTATCGCCCGAACCTTTACTTTGGCCTCAGGCCAAGAGTTCCGCAGTCGTTGATGACGGGCCTCATGTGGTTTGGTACTAGGGACTATCAGTCTCTACCGCGTCAGTACCTCTCCAAGATATGCGACGCAACATATTGACAGCTTATCCAGGCGCACGACATGGTTGCGATCAGGGAGACGGCCTCAATGGCTATACTTGGACAGAGTACGACGCCCGCGAAGGCGGCGTCCAAATCATTAAGGATGGGCCAAACAACGTTATTATAACGACTGAGTTCTTGAAGGTACCTGGAGGAGAGCATGGCGGCAGCTGGGCTGCCCGTATAAAGGGCGAACCAATGGATCATAGTGCGCGCCTCTCCACTTTTTGATAATCAAATGACTCAGGATGAGCGGAAGGTTTGCCTAGTCGTGTATCTACCATCTTTTATGCCGGATTAGAGGGCATTGGAGGGATTGACATGGAGACCGAGGAGGCTGATAACGTGCGTGCTTGTCAAATCATGTCCCTTCTGGGTCTCATGATTACCTTAGGGTCTGGAAGGACCCGTCGCATTTACAGGCTCCTCACCAGATTTGGACGACTTCGTCCTTCGCATCGTAGATGGTGAGCAGCATTTTGTTAATACAGCTGATGTTTGAGCTCAGCTCCATGGCAATCTACATCTAGGTCCGAACAACGAACCAGTCACGTTAGGCACGCATTCCAGCGACTTCACCGCCAGTATCGGAAAGACGCACTTCGTCGGAATCCGCGTTCAACCTGGCACCGTTTGGCAAGCAAGAGGTACCCTGCGCGGAATGCGTGCTGTTTTGCGAGGACTGACCATGCGACTCAGAATTCCTCCTCAAGAACATCCTTGACCACACTAAAGACGTGCTTGAGCCTTACAAGGACATTGCTGCTGGTCTACCTGACCCGTCCTTTACGCTCCACCTCTCGGATGAAGTGTACTCCGGGAGCAATCTCTATGCGGTGCAGAAGATCTTTGAGGGACCGTTCCAGTTCGATGTCTACTTTGAGAGTTCCAGCGCAAAGCACAAGTTGAGCTGTACGTGAAGTTATTAATTTCATGTATCTGGCTGATGGCACCACAGCGTCGATACTGGACGAGGGCATTCCTGCTCTGCTCACGGACTTCAACGAGCGCTTTGATAAGACATTCCCGGTGCCGTCGACATATCACACCGCCAACCGTGACTCTCTGAGGGCGTTCTCGAAGGCCATCACATCCAATCTCATTGGTGGGATCGGCTATTTCTATGGAACGTCTATCGTCAACAAGGGCTTCGCGTATGAGTGGGACAAAGAGGATGACGACCCCTCGAATGACATTGAAGAAGGCGCTAGATTGACTGAACCGAGAGCACTTCTCACAGCGACGCCGAGTAGGAGTTTCTTCCCGCGCGGATTCTACTGGTGCGCTACAGCTACTGAATACTATATGCGTGCTTCCCCTGACGTATCACGCCGTAGGGACGAAGGGTTCCACCTTCTGCACATCGGCGAATGGGACAACGATCTTAGGTATGAGGCCATCTACAACACTTCTTCATGATTTAACCTATGTGTTCCGCAGCCTGGAAATCCTGAGAGACTGGATCAACCTCATCGATGAAGATGGCTGGGTTGCCCGAGAGCAGATCCTGGGTGAAGAAGCCCGTAGCAGGGTAGGCCTTCAGGGATTTGTCTTCTTGCGTTCTCGTCACAAGCGTCTCTTTTCAGGTTCCTTCCGAGTTCCAGACACAAATTCCCACCAATGCGAATCCTCCTACCCTAGCCATGGCCGTCACCGCCTTCATACAACGGTTGAAGTCCTCATCCGCAGGCCTTTCTGAGCAGGAACTCGGCATGGACTTGGGTACGGGCGCACAGATCACGCTAGCCGAGTCTCTCGAGCCCGCGCCCGGCAGCCGCTACCTCGAATCCCAAGAGCTCGCACTCGACTATCTCAGGTCGATCTATAAGCCTCTCAAACGTCACTACGACTGGTTCCGTCGCACACAGCGCGGGCAGATCAAGCAGTATGGGCGTCGTGCGCGATCGCGCACGGAGGCGTACCGCTGGCGTGGTCGCAGCCAGCAGCATGTCCTGACCAGTGGGATGGACGACTATCCGAGGGGCCCGCCGCATTCGGGAGAGCTGCACTTGGACTTGATCTCATGGATGGCGTTCTTTTCGCGGACGATGAGGGAGATCTCTGATTTCATCGGTGAGGTCGATGATGCGGCCGCGTTCGAGGAGATCGAGAAGGCTACTATTGGCAATATTGATGGTGAGCCTTTAACAATTTCCACATGCACGAATCATTAGTTGATGACCAGCCATGTAAGATCTGCATTGGAGTGAAGAGAACCAGATGTACTGCGACGTCGACGTAGACCAGGAGGGTGAGCATGGAACCCATTCACGTGTCCCAACTGTGATTCACCAGTTTACCATGACAGATGAATCATACTTTGTCTGCCACAAAGGGTATCTTTCCATCTTCCCATTCATGCTCGAGCTGCTCCCGCCAGAGTCCCCGCACCTTGGTGCCATTCTCGACCTCGTGCGCGACCCCGAGCACCTTTGGTCCCCATATGGCCTGCGCAGCCTGTCCATCTCGCACCCCGAGTTCGGCAAGGGCGAGAACTACTGGAAGGGCCCGATCTGGATCCAGATGAACTTCTTGGCGTTGAAAGCCCTGTATAAGGTAGGGAGTGGAGTGGCGTTGAGATCGGGATGGAAGCTGACTGAGCGGCAAAACAGACGTATGCTGCACAGGAGGGGCCTTATCAAAAGCAAGCTCAGGAGATCTACTCTGAGTTGAGGAGGAATGTCATCGACAACGTGTTCAAGGTGTGTGATGCTTGTGAATGGGCTCGATCGGCACGGTGCTAAATGCTGGCCCAGGAATACGAGCGTACGGGCTATGTCTGGGAACAATACGACTCCATAACTGGAGAGGGCAGACGAAGGTAAGCCCGTCGCTCGTTAAGTTCGAGCCATGCTGACGGCGTGCCTTGCCCATTAGTCACCCATTTACCGGCTGGACGTCCTTAGTGACGCTGAGTACGCTACGCTCGAGCTACTTACTGAGCTGCTTACTGACAATGTCATCTAGTTCTCTCCGAAAAATATTGATCGGGGCATTGCGCGCAGATGCGAGAAATACGCCGCTCAAAATCACCCGCATGATATACCACTGACATTGCATGTATTCTGTCTGTACTTCAAACATTATCAATCACCAGATAAATTAGCGAAGAATGGCCCAATGTCATGGAGTCAAGATTGCAAGAGAGTAGGGCTACTGGGTAACTATGCAAGCAGGGTATATATGACTTTGCAACCGACAGCAAGACAACGGAGTACTAATACAAGGTTGAAGGGTCGAAAGCAAGGAGCAAGGCGCGGAGCGCTGGTATTGGTATCGTCACCAAGCGAAATGATGCGCCCGCGTCATGCCGAGTGATACATGAGAGTCGCCAAAATCAAACCACAGATTTAACAGATAGATGTCCGTCCCCGCCGGCACCCACGCCGTCATGCAGGAAGTATCTCGTCAGGGTCAAGATGGAAGGAGTCAAAGTGCAGCGAGTCCAGGCGGATCTCTCCGATGCTCGCTTCGGGTGGATCCTGCTCTGCTTGATGGTCAACGCCGCACATGTACATGTCTTGTGCTGAGAGTGGAGGAGAGCATGAAGATGCGGACCCATAGGAGTAGCAAACAGAAGGAGAACTTGAGATGGATATGGAGAGATCGCCGGAACTGGATGAGTGCGGTTCTGAGGGTATGGATGGGGCGTGAATGCTGAAAACCTCGGGATCCGGTGGTATGTCAGCCGTGAACGTAGTTGTTGCGGGATGCGAGCTGGTGGGAGATGAAATACTGCCGGTGAGCAGCCCCCGGAGCTCGAGGACGGACAAGCGTTTCCGGAATGAATTTCGCTTTGACAACGGAGGGCGAGACGGCTTGTCTATGCTGCTACTGCTACTGCCAGCCGTCGACGGCACATCCATCTGGTCTTCCAAAAGCGAAGGTTTCTGTGGCTCACGATTGTTCGAGGAGGTCGGCATATACGGCGCATTCTGTGTATGCTGTTGAAGGGGCATCGGTTTTGAGGGAACAGGAGGGATGGATGCATGCTCCTTAGACCGGCTGCCCTGAGAGAAGCTGAAAAAGTGGGTGAGCATGAGCGACTTGTGCCGCGAGAGCCGTGGGGCAGACGGAGGTGCAGGGAGCTCCTTGTCCAAGCACTCGAAAGACCGCCGTGAATTTTCCCGTGGTGGCCGGGAATTTTCGCTTTTCGGGGCCAACGCTCGCCGGCTGCTCTTCCTGGCGTTCTTGATGGACATGAATGCGTCCGTCGCGCGCATCCGTAGCGTCTTCGAGCGCTTCATGCCGCCATAGTATGCCTCATCCCCTTCTCCGATACCGATATCCCGCGGGACCCTGACCACCTCGGCAATCTCCACGTCAAAGTCCTTCCACCGCGGCTTATCCCAGCCTGTCCCACTAAACACATTCTCCTTGATCTCAATTGCAGGCCCTCTCCTGGGGAGGACGACCGTCTCCAGTGACTCTTCCTGGGATGAGCGGTGGAACGCCGGCGAGCGATTGTCGAGCTGCTGCTGGAGGCTGAGCGCGGCGTCCAGGGCATCCATGTCGGGCACGGTCGACTGCATCGCCCGCGAGGCTGCGGCAGCGTTGAAGACGCACCACGGTGGGTTCTCGTCGTGCTCCTCCTCGGGCGGAATGACGAACACGTCGGGGACCATGACATGCTGCATGGAGTTTTCGTGGGACGGCGGGGGCGCTTGGAGCGACATCATCGAAGACGACGAGAATGTTGTTAACGAGAGTAGGGTGGCCATGTCGAGGCCGTAGTCAGAGAGGAGGAGGAAATAAGAGAACAATGTGTCGAGGGACGACACGGGCGCATATAGTGCGACTGCCAAGTTGGACGGCGGCAGCCCAAGTTGGCCAAACGCGTCGCGTCAGCCCGTGATCGCGATCGAACTCGAGATGGCAATTCCAGTCGTTCGCGGGCTTTGGTTTACGCGCTGCTAGCCGCGGACCTTCAAGCTGCAAGAAAGTCTATAGAGTTTGATTGATATTGCTCATGCACTGCGGGTACACACATTACAAGACTCCATGACGGTCACAATGCTAAGGTATAAGAGGGTCGTGCGCAAAAACAAGGTCGTCATCACATAAACTGTCGTCTTCTATCGCGGGTATATGGGGTTCAGTGCCAGGATGCGAATCATTCAAGCCGAAGATTGCGCTGGCTTCTCGCTGATAGCATGCTCTGGCACTATCGGTACCGGCTTCATAGGTGCAGGCGCTGGAGGCGGTACCGAGTCCTGGAGTGCCCACTTGGAGTGTCTGCGCACCCACGCGCCGTATTTCTGATGCCCCCGAATAACAAGTCATGTCAGCAAACGTTGAGGACAGAACCAGCAGGACAACTCACGAAGAACAAGAACGGCAGCGGCATGCATGCTGTCACCAAGAATGCAAAGACCGTGCATGCCCAGCCGTCGCCCAGCCTCTGATACATAATCGGCACGACCTCCGGGAAAATTGCCGCACATATCGAGCGCAGCACCACCGTCGCAGCGATAGCGCTCGCGCCATACATCCGGTACGCATCCATGAGGTATTGGGTAACGCCCTGGATAATGAGCGCGACACCCATTCCGAAGAAGCCGCCAGCGATGACGGGGAGGATCCACAAGTAGCGCGGCTCGCTCGTCCTAGGGGAGCAGTCAGGATGGCTTATTCGTTCAAAGGCTCGAAATACAGACGTACCAAGCGAACCACCACAGCCCTATTGGCAAACACAGACCACCAAGCATCGGTCCGTACAACCGCCTGTCATCGTTCGGTATTTAGTCGCATGGAGGTATCGATAACACCGTACTCACGCTTCTGGCGGTGCGACCCCGGTAGGACTCTGTGCCATTGCTCTCCAGTATAACCTATTCTGCACCGGAGACAAACACATCCCAAGCGTCGTGCCCACCCCGACACCGATAAATGCCAAGCCATCGAGGCCCGGACTCCATCCGCGCTGCTCCTCGAACACGATCGGGTACGAGGCGAAAAAGGCGTAGAGAATCGCGTATGCGATGGAGACATAGATCGCGAACAGCGTCACAATCGGCTCCGCAAACAGAAAAACTGGAAGTAATGAGCGAGTCGTCTCGAGATTGTCACTTCGATGGTGTATCAAGGTACTCACTGAACGGCCGCTTCATGTTTGTCTTGAAGTTTGCAATTCGGTTTGTCCCACGGGTAAGATCGAACTTGGAAATGTACCGCACCCTGCCTTCGCTGGCTCGGCGCAGCTTTCGCGCCCTCCAGCGCAGCAGTACCGGTGCGTACTGCAGATCTAAAATGAGATCTCTCGAAAATAGGGTACTGTGGATAACCGAACTTACCGTTTCTGGTACGATGAATATAAAACCGAGGAGGCCAATACCTGACAAAATGAACATGATCCAGAAGTTGAAGTGCCAGCCGACGCGCGACATCGAAATCCATCCGCCGACAAGCGGTCCAATGACTGAGGAAGAGAACAATTATGATCAGTATATGCTGCCTCGAGCATTGACGCTACCTCACCTGGGCCCATAAATGGTGCAGATGCGTACAAGGAAGCAGCCACACCGCGTTCTCTGGCTGTCCATATGTCGGCGAGAGCGGCTCCTGAGTTCGAGAAGGCTGCAAGAAGAAGGAATGAGCGTCTCTGAAGGAGGGGAAGGGAGTTAGACTTACGCGAGACACCGAACATTCCTGCGAGAACACGAGTAGCAAGAAGTGTTGCAATGTTTTTACAGAGTGCTCCGCCTATGTGCAGGAGCATAAAGACGAAGAACGTACAGATGAAGACGATCCGCTACATGGCCAAACACGTCAGAGATACAGACGTGACGACATCAAAAAGCCGCATATACTCACCCTCCCGTACATCTGTGGAATAGAAACGATGCACATAAGCAGATAGAACACTGCAGAAAATTGAACGGTGACTTGCCTCACTCAACGGCGCCCAGAATAACGGGCTGGGAGGTGCGTGTCAGCAACTCAGCTCGACCAAGGCGCGCATACACTCACCCTACGAAGAAGCCTAATACATAAAGAGACACTCCCAAGAGCGCGACCTCTTTCGATACGTGTAGCTCTTTCACAGTATATGTTATTCCGCCGCTGTATGCACTACTGCAGAACGCCGCCACCCACGTCGCATAGGCCAACTAACCATCGTTTAGACCATCAGAACTGTCTTTTCCACAGAGAAATAGACAGTCCCACTCACCTGTATTGTGATAACCCATTTCTTCGACTTTTTCCAGTTAAACGGATTTTCGGGATCCCCTTGGTCCCAATCGACCACATACGGGTCCTCCAATGTTCCGCTACCTGGGTACCGCTTCTCTGAGGGAGACGGTAAGATGGTGGTATTCTCGCCCAGCTTCAAGTTAGAGGCTGTCTCGCCGTCAGCACCTCGGGCAGCCTCCACATCATTCAACGACGAGTTCTGCGACTCGGACATCATTGTGAAAAGAGATGATGTGATCAAGTCAATCGCGTCGCTTCCCTGCGCGCCGGCAGATGTTGCGCGATATCTTCTTGAAGGGGTTCTGCGGCCGTGAGAGCCTGTGGAACGTGGCTTGACCGTAACAGAAGCAGCAAGAACCTCTGGGGACACGAACAAGGAGGCGTTCATATACTGTACGTAGACGACCAAAGGGCCGAGTTCTGGACCCGAGATAACCGGAGTCTATTCTTGCAACCAGACCTGCCAACCACTTCAACATGAGTAAGGGCCGCACCACATCACCGAAGCACGGCGCGTAACTGTTCGCGGATATACGTCTCGTTTAGGCATTCATTCGTGATCCAATCAGCCATCTTGATGCAGAAAATGCGACACAGATGACATCAGACGAGATATAATCTTGAACATGAAGGCTGATTATACGCCAGTATTTTTCAAGGCGACAGGTCGAGAATGCGTGGGTGCGGCGAGAAGACCGAGGCAACATAGGCTAAACGCCCGTCGCTCCCATTTGGGGGAGAATGATCAATTGGATCGACTCCGCATCGTCTCGGCATCAAATTCAATCTGTTCTTCAAGATCGAACACCCACCCCTAACCCGGACCACCGGCCACAAAAATCTAGACACTAAGGAACTCCGGCGTTCTACGCACTTGCATAATTCACTAGCGCAGTAATCGGTATTGTCGCACATTAGTCTGGTATACCTACATATCGTAGGTTCAACGCTTTCACACTGTTATCATGATCTGCAAAGCTGAATGCAGATAACGAACCACGACAGCAGCACGACAGATTGCGACACAGCCTGTGCTAAGCCCTGTTGCCTGGCTGAAAATGGCTACAGTTCGTCTAAATCCCACTACAGGTGCCATACAGCATTAGGGTATTGGGTGTCGGTACTGCCGGCCAACTGCCCGAGCCATGGCCGAACCTCGATACCTACATATAATTCCCATAAATCGTCCGTCAATCTTAATGGTAACCGCGGGTCCGCAGCCTTGACTCCACGCCGCTTCCATCATCCACATCCAGGATAGCCCAGCACCTTTTCGCGCAGCTCATTGGGCCATAGCAGACGGAGGCGATACTGCGGTCACGATATCTTCTCATCACACTTCTCGGCAAACACACCACTGGGCGAAATGCTTGCCGCATCCACCACATTGACAACGCTCGCAGCCGAAACGTGTGCGGAGACCGGCAAAGGGTCCTTCAGCGCCCACTTGGAGTGCATCCGGATCAACGGGCCATATTTCTGTACCGGAATACCCGCGAAAGTAACGCTCAGCTCACCTAACTGACGCATGATGCAATGACAGCTACTCACGTAGAAGAAGAACGGCAACGGCATGCAGACGGACACCAGGATCGCGAAGATTGTGCATGCCCATGCGTCACCGAGGTTCGCGTACATGATGGGAACGACGAGCGGGAAGATCGCTGCACATACTGAGCGCAGGACAACTGTCGCTGCGAGTGCGCTTGCGCCGTACATCTGGTAGGCGTCCATGAGGTATTGCGAGAGACCTTGCATGACCAGCGCGACGCCTGTGCCAAAGGGCGCTCCGGCGAGGATGGGCACGATCCAATGGTACTGCGGATCACTTGTCCTAAGAGACCATCATAACAATGCTGTTACCCAGACGATGGGACTTGGATGATCTCACCATGCGAACCAGAAGAGCCCTATTGGCAAACATATTCCGCCGAACATCGGCGAGTACAATCGTCTGCCTCAGCTCACACCTCAGCATGGCCAACCCCTGTTTCAATGAAAATGCGTGACTCACGCCTCAGGCACCGGCTTTCCTGTCGTGCTGCGATCCAGTGCCGCCCAGTACAGCCTGTTCTGCACCGGCGCCAAACACATGCCAAAGGTCGTGCCCACCCCGACGCCGATGAACGCGAGGCCCGCGAGGCCGGGCGACCACCCGCGCTGCACCTCAAACACAATGGGATATGCCGCAAAGAACGCATATAGGATGGCGTACGCGATGGAGATGTAGATCGCGAGCAGGGTGACGATCGGCTCGGTCGCGAGGAACACTAATGTGCATGGAAAGATCGGTGATAAGTCGGCCGATGCACTGAAGAAGACATGAAGGACGCACGAAATGGCCTTGCCATGTTCCTTCTGAAGTTCGCTAGACGGTTCCTCGATCGGGCGACGTCGAATCTGGAGATGTAGACCGTCTGTCCTTGGCTCTCTCGACGCAATCTCCGCGCACGCCAGCGCAAAAGTACCGGGGAATACTGGTAGAATGCCGGACCGCGGAGGCAATGAGAAATAGACCGGGTATCCGGTAGAGCGTTCGAGACGTACGGTTTCCGGAGTGACCAAGACGAATCCTGACAGGGAGATGATGGCAAGAATAAACATAATCCAAAAGACGAAGTGCCAGCCGAGGCGAGACATAGAGACCCAGCCGCCGACGATAGGTCCCAGCACTGGCAGGAGATCGTTAAGGATATTGAATAGGCCAATTTTACTGAATACATCACCTGGGCCGAGGAATGGCGCAGACGCATATAGCGACGACGCGACACCGCGCTCTCGAGCCGTCCATATGTCAGCCAGTGCAGCACCTGCGTTAGTGAACGCTGCATCGGGGCCGTCAGTGCCAAAGCATGGATGAGAGGAACGGTAGCATGCGCACGTGAGACTCCGAACATTCCTGCAAGCGTGCGGGTTGCGAGTAGGGTGGCGGTGTTGTGGCAGAGGGCACCGCCTATGTGAAGGAGGGCGAACAAGCAGAAGGTCCCGATGAAGACTACGCGCTAGTGGTTGGGGCTGTCATTATCGTGTGGTATGCCGGTGCAGAGACAGCAATAACCTACGCGACCGTACATCTGAGGACGTAGATTTAGTCAGGCATACTAGTATGCAGTACGGAACATGATATCAATAGGCTTGCCTCACTGAGTGGCGCCCAGAACAGAGGGCTGCGAACGGTGCTAGCTCAGCATACCCATATGACTCGTCGGCGAAGTACTCACCCTACCATGAATCCAAGGACGAATAGTGAAACACCAAGCAGCGCCACCTCCCTAGATATGTGCAGATCTCTCATTGTGTATTCCAGCCCGCTGCTATATGCGCTGCTGCAGAACGCCGCTACCCACGTGGCGAATGCTAACTATGAGAAGCACGCATGGATTCAGGTTTGTCGGGGGCCGGAACAATGCATGATGATTTTGGCGTACATGTAGAGTTATTAGCCATTTCCTCGGCTTATGCCAATTGAGCGGGTTGTCCGGATCTCCTTCATCCCAATCGACGATATATGGATCTTCTGCGGTGCCGCTCCCTGGATATCGCGCCTCCTCTGGCGGCGTGCCCGACGTCAGGCTCTTAGTATCGACGTCGGTAACAGACACTCGGGAGGCGGTCTCGATGTCGTACACCGCCGTCTGCGTAGTGTTCTGGGAATGCGACATGATCGGGTCTTGTAGGACTGTCCCTCCAAGTCTCCGTTCTGCACTCCTTTATATCCAAAGTCTGCCGCCGGGTACCTTACGCTTGGATGCTGATTTCTCGGGTATGAAGTGATAATGCTGGGCAGTCGGCCCCCCGGTCTCCCGGAGGAAGTGGCAAGCATGCAATCACTTGATAAACGGGAGCGCTTGAGGGTGGTTCGCGATGATACGCATCGCAGGTCGTGCTTGTGTAAGTCGTCATTGTTGCCGTGCACAATGCCTTGGCCATAACGGACTTGCAGAACGTGTAGCGTGTACTGGCATGACATTTGAACAGTCCCATGGCAGTTGATTCCGCGGGATCGGCGCGCGTGGCTCTTGGCAGTTTCGGCGCTTGTGATTGGCCCGATCTAGCAAGAATTGACCGGTCCTGTTTGTCCTCCGCCACGTGCGGATACACCATCGACTGAGCTCGACGCGCAATCCGTGCTCAAGACCATGTCTGTCGTCCTGCCCATCCTCCATTTCAACGATGTGTATCGTGTCCAGCCGTTCAGAGTCTCGCCTGATTCACCTGAGACCATTGACGTGACGCAATGGGCTGCGATGCTCGATGACATTCGTGACGGGTGGCCTGTGAGGCCTGACGGCAAACGCGACGGCCTTGTCTTGTTCTCCGGAGACGTGTTCTCGCCATCTGTGGAGAGCTCAGTTACGCGAGGAAGCCACATGGTCAGTACTCAAATTAACTAGTCGAACGTGGTCTTCGAGGCTGGCAGAATGGTATGGGGATTGATCGCATACTTGTAGGTTCCTGTCTTGAATGCGATCGCGCCAGATGTTGCCTTGACAGGTCTGCTGCATTCCTTGTTTAGTGTGAGCTTGGGTCTGATAAGACGGTGTGGTCTGTAAGGCAATCACGATTTCGATTTCGGTGAGTCTCGTTGGCTGGAATGCTGGAATTCGGCACATACTGAGTGGGCTATGTCATAAGGATACCCTCACTTGACAAATCTGATCAACGACACAAACTTCGTAAGTTTCTTTCTGGAAACTGTACTACGATGCACCTGCTGAAATGAACACCAAAGCCATGGCTGCTGAGCAACATCATAGACATAAATACCGGTCGTGTGCCCGAATGCACGCATGAATTCCAAGTGCTTGAACGTAGAGGCGTCCGTGTAGGAGTGATCGGGCTTGTGGAGAAGTAAGATCATTCTTTCTTCGGACGTTTGCACGTATTCATCGATGCTATGTTCATGGTAGAGAGTGGATCGGCACAGTGTCCTCGTGGCCGGAGAACTTCGAATACAGAAACATGGCCGAGGTCGGCATTGAACTCTCGAAACGTCTTCGAGACCCGGACGGAGAGCACAAATGCGATATTGTGATCGCGCTGACACATTCACGGTACGTCCTAGTACATGAGTTCATCGCTTTCGGATTGGCTGACTTTCCAGTACCATCTATCAACTTCCAGGGTACCGAATGTACGTGCATCTTCGTTTTTTTTTGTACATCCTGCGCGCATATACCCATGTCTTCTCAAGGATATCGCCCTCGCGAAGGCACTCCACGCACTCTCCCCCGCCTTCCAGCAGAAGACGCCCATCAACAACATGCATGGCGTCGACATCATCCTCGGCGGGCACGACCACCTCTACTACATCTCACGTGGGGTAACCGCGTGGGAGGGATATGACACCACGCACAGCGTGCTCGGCGCAGAGGCGGATGAGGGCGACGTTCTCATCGTCAAGACCGGCTGCGACTTCCGCGACCTCAGCGAGTTCGCGCTAACGCTCGTGGACACACCCCCGAGCAGTGTGCGGAGGAAGGTGATAAAGGAAATTAGGGGTGCGTGCTCGCGTTTGTGCGTGTTTTGGTCGGTGAAAGAGTGGAGAGGAGTGTAGGGAAGCGACATCAGACGAAGCCGGGCTCGAAGAAGAATCAGCGAATCGCGAACTTGCTGAAGGATATCCTCGCATCGGTATCGGATGCATTGAAAAAGCCGGTGTGCAAGACGGATGTGGTGCTCGACCTACGGTCAGAGCTGATCCGCACGCGGGAGGTGGGATTGCGTGCATACACTGACTATGACGTGTCCCTGCTGACTGATGCATGCCATAGACTGCCTCCGCGAACTGGTTCGCGGACGTTCTCCGGCACGCTTATGACGAGATGCCCCAAATGAACGGCGGTTCCGACGGAGTGTTCATCTGCGCTGGTACGCTACGCGGGGACAGCATGTATGGCCCTGGTACGTCTGCCGCTGTTCCTCTCGACATCCTCTGCTCATGCTGTCACAGGTACCATTGCCCTTGGCAATATTTTGGAGATACTTCCTTTCGAGGACTCTGTTGTCGTCCTCGAGCTAGATGGCGAGACTATCTGGGCTGCCCTTGAGGAGTCACTGGAGACATGGCCCGCGCAGGAAGGGTGAGCACCATCACAGTGCCGTGCGATATGACATGTTTCGTGACCAGAATCATGGTACCGGACAGACGTTTCCCAGTCATCTCAGGCTTCCGTGTATCCTGGGACTCGCGCCGCCTACCTGGCGAACGCGTTCTCGGCGTATGGTTGCTCCAGGAGCTCTCAGGAAGTGCAAGCACGAGTGCCTCGCCCACGCCCACTCCGTCTGCAACGTCATCTATGACCAGCTTGCAGTCAATACAATCGACGGCCAGCGGCGCCGCCTCGCCTGCGTACATGCTCGTCGACGGCGAGCCGATCCCTCGCTCCAAGAAGGGGCGCAAGTACCGCATGGTGACCCGCGAGTATATGGCGGAGGGCTATGACGGGTTCGAAGCCCTCAAAGGACAGAAATATCTGGTGGATGATGAGAGTGGACAGCTCATGAGCGCGTTAGTGCGCAAGTACTTGCTTGGTCAGTCTTTCTATCAGAAAGTGCTAGGACGGCGGGCGCTGACGACCTCACGACAGGTTGCCGCTACGTGAATCGCATGTCACGTCTCAGCATCAGCGACGAAGCGGAGCCGCAGCCGACGCTGCATCCTGACACGCAAAACATCATCATGCGCGAGAGAGCCCGACAAGAGCGCTATGAACGAAACTCGCAAACGCAACCTCCTAGTCGTTCTGGTTCAGAACACCACTTGCACCATCACCATCATTTAGGCATCGCAAACAAGTGGCGACATGCTGCGCGGCTTGCACTGCGTTGGTCGCGAGCGCATTACCAGGATCACTTCGGCGTGTCACTAAGGGAACACATGAGCGGCGTCGATACTTTTGACGGGAACAGAGTCAGAAAGGGAATGGCTTCGCAGAGAGGTCCCACGAGGGGAGATGATGGAGGAGAAGGTGAAAATGAAGACCTTGCAGTGATCCATCCAGTCGTGGATGGAAGGCTCAAGGATGAAGGACGGACATGAACATCATCACTGAAGGTAGTGGAGGTCTCTTCTCGCAGCGAAGAATCAAGTTACTGATTCGCACGACTAGAACGTTCGACTGCGGAAAAATGTACAACCAACACAGACCGATGAAAGCTCATATGTAGATTGATAAGTTCGTGCCTTTCGAGCAAATTCATTGTGCCTTCAATATAAAACAGTGAATTCGTGGTAGTGGTACAGAGAACGGACACAGCGGTGGATTGATGATACTTGATCTCAATGAATATCATTGTCTACCGACGGTAACGCCCGACTCACCAAATGTGCGATGCTCATACTGGTGGTGTGGGAGGAGATGAGATTTCTGGTATCCGAACCTTCGGCGCTGCATCTCCGGAAATTGTCCTCGCATGGTGTGCGAGAAGCCCGACCGCGGAGCCAACACCCGCCCCGCCCAGAATTACTGGCATACAATGAAGCTGAGTGCAGACAACATAGTGGAAGTGGAACTCACAATTTACAATGCTTGCACGTTTCCACAAAATTGCTGGGGTGAGTACAGCGAATAGAATGCCACCGATGGTGGAGTGGTCGTCAGCCCGGATAGAGGCGGTCTATGCATAGCCAACGCTCAAAATAAGAATCAAGAGAGAGAGAGAGATGTAGCAGCGTACGTCATATGCTGCATGTATGCGCCGTGTCCGAACCTGGCCCGCATTTGAGTATGCCGATCTCGCGTACTCAAACCCGCCACCCGCGACGATGCCTGCAAGTTCCCACCACAGGTTCAACGCGCACATTATAGCAGGTCGAACTACTGTGCTCACCAACAGAGCCCCCTATCCATGTCGCTCGCAGCAGCCGATTGATCGTGAATTGCGCTCTCCCGTAACGTGAGAGGGCGAATGCGGAGTAGAGCGGCGGGGTAAGCAGAGACAGGAGCTGGTACCCCTTTGTCATGCCCCGCCTCACCATGAATTCCACATCGGCAGCGTGTGCCTGGGGAGTCTCAGAGACTACGGAGTTGTCCAACATGGGTGGAGGCAACGTTGAGGGAAGAGGAAGAACATCTCGGGGCATCGGGACAGACGCGAGGGAAACGCGACGCATACCACGTGACCATGATCCCAAGTGACGTAATAATGTCGCGGTACAGCTCCAAAACGTATTGCGCTGAATTATTGTAACTTGCATAATCGAATTAACTGCCAATCATACTGAGCATGAGGACCGGGTATGTTTTGGAACGGCGAAGCGCTGTAGAACGAGCGAAGGAGACGCCACAACACTCACGCTATGGCAAAAAGTGGTTGGGAGATCACTTCCATCGTGTTGTTTGGAGGACACAAGACAGACACGTCGTAATCTCTTGAATGCAATGAGTGGCACTTTATGTGAAACGATCGCTCCCACCTTACACGTTGGATGACACCATGTGCCTGTGCGGGTTCACAGGTCGTGAGAACTGCGAGCATCCGACATGAGCTGCTTCTAGTATGAACGTTTGAACGCTCAACGACTCGGAGCCTCGGCACCCACCAGGCCATCAGACAGGTTGGTGGTAGAAAGCAGACGAACTATACGTGAGAAGTACGAGATACAACACAACAAGATGCCAGATGGTCGTACAACTATGACAGGGAGCACGTTCAAGAGTTTACTGACGCCAGATGGCACCAAGTGTGTGCGGCGCTTCCCGCGGGCGTTCAAGTTCGTCACCTACGTTGAGCCGAGGTAAGTACTTAGTACTGCTCCTTCGACTCGGCTCATCACTGCACTATAGTAGTATCCTGCGTGAAAACTGGCTCGGCCTTCGCTCTACGTGCATGTTCATCTGTTTCATGCCCTTTTACCAAAAACATATATCTGTCAGCTGAGTATGGCTACAGGGGGTGCGCGCTTTGCTATAAATTCCTCATGCGAGAGGGCCAGTGTGCAGCATTTCACCTGCTCTGTCGAGAAAATCGTGCCAACGTGCGGTACGGAGAGGTTCCGGTGGGGTATGAAATCTCGAGTGAATGCTTCGTATCACATCTGCAACGGGTACGTAACATACCGAGACGATCAGCGTTGATTGTGATATAGTCTATCCAGGATCCCTCCCACCTCTGAAACCTTCGCAGTCAAATTATCAGGCGAATCCATGTATTCTAGAACTCCATCTAAACCTGCTGACCTCAGTATTTGGTTTCGTTTGACAGATCCATGATTGCCCTGGGCGTTTTTAGCTGAACTGCCGTGATATCGCAGTCTGGCACATCAGCTGTCTTCTATAGCCCTCCTTCTCCACTGAATTGCCACCGGAGGAATATGTCAGGATGCGTCGATTCGACTGCTTCTCCATTGAGTTCAAGAATGCTGCTCGTATACAAATTGACATCATTACACATAGAAGCATCCATCCTGATCTCATGAAGGCCGTGCTGCGAGACGCACCTGCTTAGATCACGCTCACACCACTCTGCCCTATCCTACTGAAGTTCGGCCGCCTGAGCCTGGGTGTATCCCTCTGTTCTTTTGTTTCGACGTCTCCCACAGGAAGCGTGTCGCTGCCTATACGTTTCATTGATGTCTCCTTCTTGCAGACCCATGATGATAATGCTCTAGCCTTCTCGCTCATTTTCATCCCTTGTAGCTCTAGCGGATGTAATTGGTTCCATTCATGGACATCTATTTACACCATTCTATTGCGTACGGGCGCAATCTGAGAGGTCACTTCAATGAATCCATCCGAAAACGATACTTATTATTCTGTTTTCATGCAGACACCAGCTGAGACCTCCACGCAGGGTCTCTGTGGCGCGGTTTCAGAATGAAGATACTGAAACACAGCGCACCATGGGCATTGATGGGACGTTTGTAACAAAGGGCTGGACGCGGAGGCTCCTGTGGACTCGACGTTGTGTGGTCTTCGTGTACGGGCTGTGTTCAGCTAGATGTTCTTCTGGCGAGCATATCCGGATTATGTGGTGCGCACAGATCAACTACGATGGTGGGACACAAATTGTTGGCGCGTACTGACACAGAACGCCCGTTAGTAACCGCCATGTCACTAGGCCCACGGCCAGGGGCTTCTTCATCTTCGCGTCAATGATATGCCACTGAGTCATAGCCCGCTTGTACCTTACAAGTCGACTAGACGTCAGAATATTAATATGAGTTGATTGTTCCTGGTACAAGACGCCCTCTCCTTCCGACTCAGGCTGGAAACTTCTGCTGACTTTGTTCGGCCTTTTCTCGAATCATGATACTGATGTAGGTATCAATCATCAAGGCACCATCCTCTGTCAAAAACGCCGCAACCCAGTTCACGCCATTTGCCAACGTGGACCTATAAAGCTAAAGCGCACTTCTTTGGCTCAGCTGGAGACTCCCTCACGGCGACCACAGATACACCCCCCAGTCATCACCACATTCGTTACCAATGACTGGTCCGAATCTCCACCTTGATGATACTCTCGGATGTGTTCTTGTTGGCGCATTGCTTTCGGCTGTGTACGTATACCATTTGATTACCATTTATCATGCTAAGTGAGTCAAGACAGGCTATATGGTTGTGCCTGCTCTCAAAGCATTTTCTATCTTTGGAACTACAGGAACGACAAGATCTCCATAAAATGTCTCGTAAGTCAACGTGGCTGCTGTGGAACTTTAATTGATGATCCATCACCCTCGCCCATGTTGCCGTATCATCTAACAGGTCGCAATCTTGTGGTCAGCATGCACTAACTGTTGTCACAGCCCACCTGGCTGAATTCACGTCATTAGGCTGCTGGACACTGCACAGAATATGATAAGCTGCCAGGTGACGCTAGTCTGCATTCAGATTATGAGATTCGTAACTGATGTCATATGCAGAGTATCTGGTATTATTTTGTGCAAAATCGCGGAGATATTATCGGGATCATGAGCTTAGTTCCGTGAGTGATCATGCAGATGCATATTCATCGTATGTAATGTGACAATCTCACATACTACCAACAGCACTTTTGGAGTACGTCTCCTTAGCCCATACTTCTCATGAGCTGCTAAAGCGGTTCATCAGGCATGGCAGCTTGTTCTCGTAGGTGGCGCCTTGTAATCGCGTCAGCATATATTTGACCTTCGGAACCAGTCCATGACTGAATTGGCCGTGCATTGGTAATTAGCTGTCCTCGTTTCATAGTTGTCAATGCTCACGTCGTACAATTACAGCTTCTTCATATCCAACATCTGGCGACGTAAGAGTTCGCTTATATGGTATGGTAATGGTTGTGAATTTTCCCGCAGTCATGACCAACAAGTGGATTCGGATCCCATTGACCATGGCTGTGGTATGCTTTTCATTGGCGAATGACAATATAGTATCGACTCACGACGGGGGCTTTACAGGCTTCTCTCTGTCTTACATCATTCAGTATGTATTCTCGGACTATACTGTACTCATGTGTCGATTTGCGGCGTTTCACAGTCATGAACATATGTCAGTGTCCAATCCTCGCAGTAAATTCTGTGAAATAATTGTTGCGCATATCTGATACAAGCAGTGCTCGTCCGAAAAAGGTACGCCTACTCCTGCTTAGTGGAACAACCGAAACACTCATGCAGCAATTTTCTGCATTCAGGTGGAACATGCACTACATGGCAGAGTTGGAGGCAGAAGTCAAGGTAATTGTCTACATGCAGTGTGCTAAGGCCCTTGCTTCCATCTTCATTCAGGTTAACACATTTGCGAACCTGGCAAGCACGCTCGCTTCGGATACGGTTATCTCAGTGAGCCTCGCATACATATTACACAGGAGCCGCACTGGCTTTAGGCGGTAAGTCGATCAAGGATAGTTGATTTTGATGAATGAGCCCGACTATCATCCGCGCAGTACCGAATCTATAATTACCAAGCTCGTTATCTATTCAGCAAACCGTGGCGTTATCATTTTGTGAGTATTCCTAGGCGATGTGTCGTGTGCTGCACATTGAGCTAGTCCTAGCATTGTACAGTTGTTCGTCCTGGTGGCGGTATGATTGCTTCCTCGTCGAAATGAAATCAGGTCGTCTCATGCTTTTTCAGTACTTTTGGGTGCAGGATAATCGTCTCGTAGTCATGATATTGTACATGCCTCTGGGGGATGGTATGTCTGACATTACCATCACCATGTCACTTATCGCCTCGCTCACGATCCTTTGCAGTCTATACCAACACCTCCCTCGCTATGTGCGTGCTTGAAACCATTTTGTTGAGAATAGAGCACGCGATTTGACCGATTTCTTGCAGATTGAACGCACGCCGCCACGTAACAGCAAGCAGCTATGCTTTATCTGAGATCGGCCGCTCGATCGAGATGCCGACGGAAGATTAGAGTGCCGTATTCGTCTTATGATCGCTGCCCAGGTGTGTTGCGCCTGTTGCTGCTAGGGACACAATCCCTGGGCCCCTAATCGTCTGCATGACTGTTTAACAGTTCCGACCAGTTCCTTAAGGAGCAGCTAGGACGAATACTAATCAGCCTAGCACAGAATCGAAGAATCGACGAAGATATCAAACAGCTTAGCAAGCTGTTCGCGCTTTCTGAACGAGTCATGGAATCACACTATGTACACGGGAGCATGCTTATATATCGCAAATGATGTACTGAAAATCAGTGATCAGCAGTGAGATCTTGAGACCTGAGGCCGTGCTATACGTTCCTGGGCCGCTTGCCATAGACAGTCACGGAGTCACGACCAGTCACACCCAGTCACAGCAAGTAACGTCCACTTGGGGTGTCCGCACTGTGTCCGCACGCCCGGGTCCGAATTACCGGAAAGGATGTCGCAAATCGCGTGAGAAGTTATTAATCAGAGAATAGTGGATAAGTTACAATTACACACGAAAGGTAGAAAGTTACAGAGCAAGTAAAATCAGTACAGTGGAGTAGTAAAGGGAGTATGTTACAGGTACAACGAGAATTCGAACACGGGCAGAAAGATAAGTGAACGAAAGATTAGATGTAGGCGTCATCCTCGATGCCGAAGTCCTCGTTGATCGCTGTTTCGGGTCCCTCAATGAGTTTCGCCACGGCGAACAGTTCGAGCTGTGTGCGCCAGTACTTCCATCCACCGTCGTATACAGCATCACCAGGTTGCATTGCATTTATTTGAAACGCGTGATGGTGCACTCGAGCATGACGAGGTCGTTTTCGTTGATGTAGGATGCGGGATAGTGTTCCATGGTCGCGCGAGCATCAAAGGATGTGCGACCGTCGAAGCAACTACTGAACTGGACAGCCTAGTATAAGAGTCAGCGTTGATCGCTGACAAGGTGATGCGGGTGAACTTACAGTGGGCTGTTGATTCCCCTTGACTTTGTGCCCCTGGTAGTGGTTTGCCCATAAGCCGCTATCGTGGTCTTCATCACCTTTCACTGTGGAAGAGGGGGTTACAATGCGTCAATGATGAGAGGAGAGGACGTACTGATGGACGCGAGCTCGCACAGCAACTTGGCGAGCTTTGCGGAGTCCCCGTCGTGGATGGAATTGAGTTGCACACCGACACGGTCCTCGGTTCGCCGCCTGAGTGGATGAAGAAGGCGCGCTTGACCTCCTGTCACCCAAAGTATGAGGGAGCGTTGTCGCCTACGCAGAGGGTTCGATTGCTCCTGCGGTTGGAGTCTTTGCATGTCCACGTGGTGTGCAGAGCTGGAAGGGCCGCGACCGAGTACCGATGAATCGACTGGTCGGCATGGTGGAGAAAGGAGGGAATACGTCTGTAGGTAAGATCGTTAGATCGGTTGAGAAAGACGAGTTGATCGGTGGGCGTACGTTCGGAGCATTGCGCGGCCAGTGCGCGTTGCAGTGGCTTTCCCACGTCCCGAGGTCAGGTATATTGGGGGAGCGAGGAGTGGCTGATGTACCCGAGAGCGGTGTTGAGTTAACATAGTCGTCGACACCAGTGCTGTTCGTGTCGTCGTCAGCGTGATCAGACGAAGCAGGGGAGTAGCGTAGCTGGGACGTAGGAATGGGGAGGACTGGATTGTTATCCGCTGTTGCGTGAGCGTCGCGGTCGGCGAACAGCAACTCCGTTGGACGGACATGGGGCGCATTCTACAGGCACAGACATGTGGGCGATACGACAGCTCTCCACAGAGACAACAAGGTGGCAGGCGAGGATCGGCCTAGTAACAGACTGACGAGCGTACGGAGCAGAGCAGCGCGCGAACCTCGAACGACAGGGGCAGGCGCTGAAAACGCCACAACGTCCAGCCACAGGCGTGTGAAAAAAAGGTTTCCAAGCTGTGATGCGCTTATGTACAGTCATCAACCGGTAAATGAGACGCTCAAATATGTTTAAGACTCTAGCAGGAGATTTTCCGTATAGTAATGAGATCGGACCTCACCCATAATTCATACAGTACAGAAACATTATTTCTATGTAGTTTTGACTCTTATCGAGTGTGAACAGAGGGCATGGGGAGCAGATCAGTGTCGCAGTCCTTATCAATCTAAATTCGCTCCTTCAGACATGGTCACATCACGCTTCTTCCTACCATATTTGGAAACAAATAATCAACGTGTCTCACTCACATTTTCATCACAATCGTCCTCAGTATCACTTTATCTGAACCAAGGCCTTTAAATTTTGGCTTCATACATGCTGGCTTTCAATGTTCTTACTTAGTCTTATTGAGTTCTGCCTCCCAATTCAGACTTCTTGACTGTAAGGTCTAACTCAGCCCTCTGCCAAATATGGAAATAGCGTGACGTAACAGGGGGCCGCCATGTCTCATCTCATATGCACTGTCATGCTTGTTCCGTCTGTCTATCACTTGTTTCCTTGTGTATCACTCTCAAAATCAGGGGAACATGTAGCTAATAAGCCAAGCTTTAATATGAGATTGATAGTTGGTAGTGAGATGCAGATACAGAAGTATAAAAAATCATAGATGGTGAGATTTCAGTTTCACACCCATGTAAATGTCGAAAAGATTGAAAGCTGGTGAACCCATTGCTCAGCATATTACCCTGATTTTTTGGTGAAGAGTAGCATAGACAACATAATAATATCCATGCCAAAGCAGAAGGCAGAAGGAAGCGATTTGGGGGAGCTAGGCAACTTTGTCTCATTGACCGGGGGTGTCTCATTGACCGGTTGATGACTGTAATCGCCCACTGCGCGAGGTCATTCGGAACTTTTTTCCGCACAAATTGTGAACTCCTCAGACACATACATTACTGGAAGTACCTAGCGCACCGTTCTTTACAGAGCTCTACACCAAGCGTCATCATCACCTTAATAATCTGCAAAGAAACGCATGGGATAAGGCACGACAGCTCGTCAATCATGATCCAAAGGCAACCTCCAATACTCGCCACCCCTTCCTCAGCATCGCCTCTTCCCATAATCACAACGATCCGAGATCTATCATAGACCGCCCCCACCTGGAGCTGAGCTCATCCACCTTCAGCGCCACGCCCGCTGCCGATCTCTTCAGCATGGCCTCGTGCAGCCCACCTCCTCCAAGCACCCGCGTCCCTCGTCTCAGTTTCATGAGAATCGTCCCAGCCCATTCTCCCGCGCCCAATAACAGCGCGGTGTGCTCCAGCCCCAGCGAGCGTCCGCCGTCGAGGTCAAGCGCTCCATCGAGCACGATCAGCGCGAGCTGCAATGCGCACGTCAGGATGGCTGCCTCTTTGCCTACTTCTTTCGGTTCTGCAGTGTCTCCAGGCCGGTCACTCGCCCCACTTGGAACATCGTCTTGCATGTCCTCGTCATCAGCGATCTCTGACAACGAGATGGGTCGGGTACCGAGGGTAACCGCCAGTTCCAGTGCGTCGGGAGCAATGATAGCCAGCCACTCTCTTGCGTTCCTAGCCGCGTGCACTAGCAGCGCGAGGGTAGACAGGAATCTCGTCATGACCTTTGCGTTGAGGACGAGGCCTGTTCCTGCCCCGCGATAGCGATGCAGCGTAGGTTGGTGCGCCGTTAGAGCCTCGCGGGCGTGCTCATCCCGTAGGAACAGCCAGAAGTGGTTGATCAGCGGGCATATGAAGTACTCCGCCGCGACTTCAGTGAACGTCGTCCGTTTTGGCTGTGCGGTTTGTGGTGTCAGACGCGACATAGCGGATCTGCTTGACGGAAGCTCTGTCACTTTGTCAGGCTGACGGAGACGCAACTGCCGCTCGCGAACGATCGCGGCCAGCTTTTCAGCCGTCGGCTCTGCACCTTTGTCGATGGCCTTGCGGCTCAGATCGTCGACGAAGAGCTGTACAGCATTGTTCGCGTTGTGCTTGTCATCCGCCGTAATATACTTCTTGTGTAGAGCAGCCGGGAGGCGCTTGCTGGGGAACGAGACGCGATCTCCAGCAAGTGGAGAGACCACACTCGGGATGGAAATGGACGCGAGCTCACCTGCACCCAGCGCGAGTGCATTGAGAGCGGCGTCTCGTTGGGAAACGGAATACTGGTTTCTGAAGAGTTCCTCGATGAGAGCGCTGTATTGGACGGGGTCGTATCAGTAATAAATCCGCCGCATCGGTCATATGCAACTCACGGAGCGGCTTTGCGAGGGCAGCAGGCAACCAGAGCATTCAGCGCCGCCTGACGTTTCTTCTCAAAATCATCGATATCATAGTTGTCCTGTAAACCAAGGAACCCGTGCACGAGGGTGATAGCAGTCTCCTCTTTTGACAAGATCGTATTCAATCAGGCATATTCCCTGTAGCACTAGCAAAGCACTCACCAAGCTCAGTGCCGTATGCCCTCTTTCTCCTGATCAGCTCCTCTGCCACATCAAGCGCGACCTCAATCTTCTGCACCTCAAACTCCTCCTCCTCGGACTTTACGCCCGATGTACCGCGGACCATCTCCCCGAGCTGAGCGAGGTACACGGGCCGCGGCACCTTCTTCTGCCCCACGCGGAGCGTAGGGTCCTTCTCGATCTCCTCGAGCTCAGAAGGAGTCGGAGACGGGGACCGAAAAGAGTGCGGAGGCGAGGCGTATCCGGTCAGCGAGTCGTCCGAGTCATAGCCTGTCTCCTGCACAGTAACCTTCTTTGGCACATTCCCGTGCGAGTTCGTTTGCTCAGCTGCTGGCGCGGTCGCCGATTTCGTCCCTTCTTCGGACTCATCCTCTTGGTTAGATATGGCATCCATTTCCGCGTCCGCATCGCATCCCTCCGTGAGCACGCGGAGCTGCCTGCACCAGTCCTTGCCGTCTTCGTCCCCCTCCCAGTCACGGAAGTCTAGCTTCTTCCCAGCACCGCGTGCGACCTCCTCCGCGACCAGCATCCCGCAGCGGCGCACCGTCGCGTCGAGGTGCGCGATGTACGTGGAGATGCTGGTGAGGAATGGCGGCGAGTGCGCCAGCGCCTGATAGGCCGAGGGAGAGCCTGATTCATTCGGCCCGAAGGAGGAGAGGATAAGCAAGAGGAGCGAGGTGAGATCTGCGCATGCGTCGATATTAGATCCTACCGTAGGGCATGGGCAGTTACGTACATCGATGTCGCGAGAGGAGGGAATGCCTGATCTGGTCCGGGTTGGCCCACACGTCCACGACTTTGAAGAGCACTACTTCCAGATCTGTGCTATGATCGTAAGCCAACGAACATCGATGCCGAGGAGCACACTACCTTCTCTATCTCGGGCACCGCTCTCGGCTCCCGCGGCCCAGCACGCGAATATCCGTGCATGCCCCTCGCCCCACTCCCTGCCGAGCGCCACCGCGGAGAAGGCATCGAGTAGCTCGCTGTTGTCTTTGGTGAGCTTACCCAGCAGGTCTCTCAGCAGCTGCGCCTCGCGTTTCACCAATGCGCGCTTCGGTTCTGTGGGATCCAAGGGTGGTTGGATGTCCTCGAGGGCAGAGCAGAGAGATGTTATGATGGAATGCAGAGTGAGGCTGGACGGAAGCGACGAAAGCAACTTGCGCCAGAAAGCGGGGTAGGACGGATCTGACGAGACGCGCTCGCGCAACTTTGGCAGCGTGGCTTTGAAGAAGGAGGGTTGCGATGGCGATGTGGGCCTGGAAGGAGGGAAGATGCCAATATTGACGAGCTTGTTGAGCAGGTAGATCACAGAGCTTACGTTGTCTCATATCGTGAGCGGGTCAGGCAGACGTCGCGTGAGACAAAAGAGAGACACACACCTCCGGATGGGTTCGAGCATAATGCTGCGATGAGAGACTCGCTCCGCACGCTCAAATTCCTGACATACGTGCCATATTCGAGTTCTGGAGGGATTGCACCTTGGGCTCCGAGCACATTTGCGACTTTTCCTGGGAGTGCCGCGACGTTCCGCACGCAGTCTTCCCAGGTGATCTGTTGCTTTCCAGAGCCGGCCTTGTCGCGACCTGCATAGACAACTGTATGTAACACATCTATGGGATACGCTCTAGACAGTCGTACAAGGAGCCGTACGGAGGGTTCATGTACTGGCGAGGAGAGTAAGGTCGAGTATGCAAGCACGGCAACTTGTCCCGCAGCTGGAATACCGAACGACATGGCATCAGGGCAGAAATATTGCTCGACCAAGGCAAATGCGTCTTCTTGCACAAGCACCTGCTCCCAGGTCGGGACTACATGTTCCAATAGGGCTCTCTGCAGCAGCGGAACGTGCCGAATAATATTGAAGCTCTCCTTGGGCAAAGGAGACACATCATATCTTCTGAAGCGTGGTGGTAGCAGACTTAAGCATGCTAGAGGAGCGGCAAGCAGTTGAAGGAGAGCAGTCGAGTCCGGGATTGGTGACTGCAGGCGAGCGATCACGTCCCTGATCTGCGCAAGTGTCGCATCTGCATACTCAGCAGACATGCTCTAGTAGAATTTATGCTTATGGATCACAGCAAAGGAACGAGATTGCGCAAGACGACAGTGAGCGTTCAGCCACAAAGTCAAGGGCCGACTTGCGAGACGCCCGCGTTGGATACAAGCGCCGGATGCGTCTTTTGGTAGTCACATTCGTACGGAGCATGCCCTATCATTTCCAGCGACTGTTTCTGGCCTTGGATAGTTCAAAATTGTTCAACAACCATAAACACATGCATATGAGAATTTTTTAGTGACGAAACAAGTGAAAACACATAACACCCTGCCTTGGAAAAGTATTAAAAAACATTACGTAATATTTCTATATTTGGGTCACATATGACCATGTATGGTATATTGTTCAACAACCATACACAGCATGCATATGAGGATTTTTTAGTGACGAAACAAGTGAAAACACATAAAGCCCTGCCTCGGAAAAGTATGAAGAAACATTATGTAATATTTCTATATTCGGGTCACAGATGACCATGTATGGTAATTTAATGATGCAGGAATTTTGACCACATTTACATGCATGAAGCTTTGCGCGGTGACTGGGCAAGTCTGAAGGAGCATACAACGTTGAGGTATATCCGAGTTGGTTTTGCCCTCGAATTACGGGAGCGGTCATGCACAACGTTGCAGGCTACTTGAGGTTGGCGCCCTCAAACCGGACAACTATGCATCCTGCACTGCGTGAATCCGTGAATCCAGAACACGCCGATAGATCTCAGACAGGAGCAGTGCGCGCAGGAGCAAACAGGGTGGTCACAGCAACCGCCAAAGCAGCCATTCAATCGCAACAACTGCCACAGCATTGTGCGGAACAATCATACAAAGCGAAGCATCTCCCAGAGCGCATACAGCTGAGCTCATGCCACCACTTCACTTGCAGGCATCCGAAAAAACATGGGGTCCTGAAAGTCCTCCACGTCACCCTCCTCGCCCTTCTCCACGTGCATGTCGTATGTCATAGTCGTCGCCGTGTAGGTCCTGCTGGCATTTGCATGGCCATTGGCATGACCGTTAGTGTATGACTCGTCCTCGCTGTTCAGTGCGGTCTGTACTACTTCCTTGACCTTCTGAAGGACTGCATAGTGCCATCAAGAAGTTATGTTGGGATCGATACAAGGACGTAAAATAAACTCACATGATGGCCGGTCCACGGCCGGGCGTCCCGTCCTTCCTAGGCTTCCTTGCACACCAGAATTCCTCCCGACCTGCTGACCATGTGGGCGCAGCTCGAAGATGACATCGCCCTTCGTGGTGAAGACCGGGCTCGCGAGACAATACGCCTGCGCGCCCTGGTAGCCGTACTGCCAGATGCCCTCGAACATCTTGAGCTCATCGACGACCGCCTTAAGATCGACAACGTTCGGCAGGTTTGCGTACAGGTTCGTCTGCAGATCGGTGAACATCTCCGAGGCGGAGCCGCCTTCGTACTGCGTCGACTCGATGGTAGGCTTGAGAGATCCGGCGAGCTTGACCTTAATGCCGTCGACATCGGTGTGCATGCAGAGGAGGGCATCCCACCTCGCGCTGGACTTGGCGCTGAGGGACAAATGTCATGTGGGCGAGGGAATCATGAATTTAACTAAAGGTACGCACCTTCCGTGCTTCGCACCAGAACTGAACGACATCTTGAGTTCAACCTCACCCCAGATCCTGATCTCCATCGACCTGCCCCTGGCAGCCGAGGGTAGCTCGACGAAGTTGCGCGTGGAGCCTGCGTCAAAGTCAGACCGGCCTAACAACTTAATAAGTCAGGTCACTCACAGGAAACTGCGTATGTGCCGTTGGGCACCTCGCCGCCTTCATGCTCGTACTTCCAGCCGTCGCGGAACTGCCATATGTACCGCATGTATCCATCCGCCTCCGAATCGAGCTGCCACTTGCACACCTGCTTCTTCTTGTACGTGTGCAGTGCCCAGGTCGTGAGGTCTAGCTTCCAGACTCCCTCTTCCACCCCAGTAAACACAGGGATGATCGTGGTCAGAGCGTTGACATTGGTGAGGAGCTGGAGGAGACGCTCCTCCATGAATGCCTTGCGGGAGAGGCACACCGTGCCGTAGGAGGCGCCCTTCGAGACGCGGACGACCCAGTTGGTGGAGAAGTCGAGGCGCTCCTGCGGCAGCGGGCGGCCCTTGGTCATCCCGAGGACGACGATGATCGGTTCGGTGACATAGGAGTGCTGAGCCCAGTTGTGGCGGTGGATGACCTCTTTCGAGTAGACGTGGAACGACACGCTCGTCAACGCAAAGGACGGGATGTCGAGGCCATGCTTCCAGACGGGAACGGTATGCAGGATGTTGAGGCCGCCGTGCGCCAAGTAGGGGAAGTAGTAGCGGCCGATGTAGTGTACAACTGCCTGGACCTTGTCAATCGGGTGATGGTCATGCGAGTGGAAGAGGCCCTCGAACGTGGAGAACTCGTGCAAGAACTCCGCATCTATTCAATGAACATCAGTCTTAGGACATCCAGGAATATTAGATGGATAAACGTACTGCGTAAATTGAGATAGAGATGCTCGAGGTGGCGGTCGGTGTGCTTGCCGTGTGCCTTGTAGACGTGGGTTTCCTTGAATCTCGAATGCCACGTCTCGTGGACATCTAGCTCTGCATGAGTGCACTTCTTGAGGTCAACCTCGAAGGCGAGACGCCACCCATCGAAATGGTAGGTCTCGCTCCTGCAGTGGTACAAATCAGGCATAAAACGAAAAGAAAACGGTTGCATACATACTCTTTCCAAGGCATCCAGTTCTTGAGAATCTTCAGGTCGCCCTCCTGCATGTCGATCCAAACGATAGCTCGGCCGTTACTCAAAAGACGCAAAGTCAAAGGCCGGAAAGTAGCCGAGAAGTAGCTCTCGTGTGACCACTTCGCCAGCGCGGAAGTATGCTCCTCGCTCTTGGTGATCTGGGCCAGATCCCACAGCGCGACAAAGTTGGCGTTGACCGAGGACTGGGAAATCGCAACGATCTGGTCGAACCCATACATCTCGGAGCGCGTCACCATCTCCTTCCATTCGATGATTCTCGCGCTCTCTGTGTCCTCTGTAACGGTCCACTCCTCGACCTCCTCCTCAGATTCCGACGAGTCCTCGAAGAAGCGGTGGGTGTGGGTAGCGACCCAGCGGGTATCGTGGTGATAGATGACGTGGAAGTCGACGCTCTCGAGGACATCAAGATAGCTGGAGGTGAAGAACTCAACGAGGCGGGTACAGAAATTTAACGCGAGCTCGTCGTTTCTGTCGATGCCGGTGAACGTGCACCACTGGTGGTATGGACGAGCGGCTGCGCAAGAATCGTCAACAAAAACAATGGTGATAATGTGCTAATGGGCTCACTGGAGAGGTCTAGCTTGCAGCGGGTAACGTACCCGTCGAACTCATCGATCACATCGACCAAGACAGCAATTTCCCAGTCAGAGTATTGTTGACGAGGAGCGCTACATGGTCACCTTGAGTTAGGTCGCACCGTGCATCGATTGAATGCAGGACTTACACCTCGAAGTTAACGCCGTCGTAGAAGAAGACCTCGTCAATTCTGAAGTAGACGACGGCCTCACGGGAGCAAATCGCTTTGACACGGGGCGCGCCAAGCCTGACATGGAAGTGGACCTCCGAATCCGCGTGCATAGTCCAGTGGCTGCGGAACTCGGCGAGACACGTGTCCTTCCAGTCAGCAGCGCCGCCTTCAGCACCGACAAGCATCGCAGCTTTCAACCAGACCGACGAAAGATACGTGTTGATCTTGTCAATGCTGACGCCGCAGATCTCGTCAATATCGAGCACTTGTGAGCCCATGAGCGAGTAGTCGATGGTCAACTTGTACCTATCGTCGTCGAAGTCTGGCAGCGAGAAGAGGACGTGGTAGCGCGCCTGCTGTAGGAATGAAAGATACTGCGAGAGGTAGAACACGAGAGCATCGCGACCGACGATCACGGCAGGGTTGGCGGAGATAAGTTCGGCCTCTGTTGAAGGGAGCCATAAATGACCTGAATAACGTCAAGACAATGATCACATACTCTGCAGGTTGAGCACGATGAGTTCAATGAGATTTTGACCGTTTCCGATTTTCGTATCCTTGCCTTTGAGACAGCGAGTGTCGAAGGGGACGCGGAATGAAACTTCTAATTCTGAAAGGGACTGCATGCGATCCCTGAAATGCAAGCGTCAGAGGACGAGGCGAGAACATGTGCGCTAGTCATAATCACTTCTCCGAGTACGTCATTGATGACGATCTGGTATAATCAAGGCGGTAATAGCCTTTAGAGATCTTGAGACGCAAGATGGCGTCGTGGTTGCAGATGAACTCCAAGAGCGGTTTGTCGAAGTTGGCTTGGAATAGCGTCTGGCGTCCCTTGGTGTTGGGGTCGACGAACGCGTACTCAGCGAGAGCATGTGAGTACTCTGCGTGACAAACCCAGAATTCGTCAATACCTATTGCGCAATGAGCAGAAAGTAAGACACGCACTGTACTCCTCAGCGGGCTTGTTTGCGTAGTTGTGGTGCTTGATACATTCGACCGCATTTTCGTAGAGGGAGGTCAACTGTGCATTCATGTAATGCACTGCCTGAGGAGCGCAGTTCTCGCCAACACACATCTTTGGAAGAGGTATGAGGTGATATTACAGATTGCTATAGAACGTTAGACTGAATACAAGCGACAAAGAGAGGAAGACACACAGAAGATATGAGAGCTTGGAATGAGGGCTGCGATGGAAGGGGGACGTTGTCGGCGGTTCAACGATGCCTGGAGAGTGGCCAAGTCGGCCTTTATATCCTGATACCCTGAGAAATCCTGCCTCAGTGGACCGGCAGGACAAATCAGGCCTGTCTCAGCCTGTCGACGGAAAGAAATAAGTTGCGGACATAAAGCAAGCGAAGAACGACAATGTAGACCATTGGAGCAATCAGGCAACCCCTCGGAGCGATAAAAACAAATGCCGTCCATGAAGACAGCGACTCCATTCGCCATGCCTAATTTGAGCGGCATATCGCTTACCCAAGACAGACAGAACGGCACGGATAGATGCGATGACCGACGACAAACATGTTCATAACGCAAGGATGGTGGCACTAAGTCGCTGCGTTCCATTCAAGACACCCGGAGACAGTGACAGGTAGAGAGAACGTCACTCACACCACAGGCAACCAATAGCCCATTTTGAGCGATGCAGGGCCACTTTTCTTGTCTTCTAAGCAGATGTCCATCGCCGTAGCATGTTGTCATCATGAAGTGTGGATCGAACGTCGGTCGCAGTTAGCAATACTCCTGCTTCCATGCAACCGATCAATACTGACCGCGCTACTCTCTTACCTCCGCGCCTCCCTTGAGTTACATAGAAGACATACTTTTAGGTGGAATTTCCAACAGCGACGTGAGTTGAATGACAGTCAGATGGGTCACGACGGAAATGCGAACCGTCATGAATGAGCTTTTAGGAATTTGATGACAAGAATTATTTAACAGTCCCACCGTATAGAAATAGACGCACGGGACCATACTAGGCAGTTAGGTCAACTTCCTTTGAACAATTCGTATCCAGCTGTAGGAGAGTAAGCCTGGATATATTGAGTGGATGATGGCAGGGTGAGTCCGGGAAACTCAGAACGCATCAACCGTGGCCCATAGCTCCTGGCCCATCGCTGTCGTATGTAGCTGAGATATGTAACATGGAAGTCAAGCGGTCTGTCAACAAGAAGTGCCCGGACTTGATGAATCACCGCGACGCTAGTTTGGATCACGCTCAGCAATCATGATCAAGCTAGGAACATGGCGCACGAAGCGCGCAGTTGTGCAGCGCGGTCACGTGATCAGCCACCGGCGAAACCCGTGATCCGATCTCAGATGCGTCTGAGATTTGTCCGCGAGCCAAGGGCAAAATCCGAGACCTGGGGTTAGGGGTCCTCACGTGATGGAACGCGTTCGGAGTGTCAGGTGATTCCGGAGGGGACAGCGTGATCAGGGACCATGGATGCTCGTCATTCAAGACTATCCTCGCGGTTTTGATAATAAACAAAACCTGTGTTCCCTCCTCCGCTTTCCTCGACACTGCTGACTTGCTCGCCATGAAGCTCCCCTTGCTAACGGTCGCACGATTCGCATCGCGCTCATATGAGAGTTCTCTGAGATTATGTCCCCTTCTCAGGCCCAAGCAATCAAATTGGAATTACATTTCATCCCAAGGCGCGATTCCGCGCCGTTCTCTCTCCTCGACGGCCAAGCATCCTGGAGCAGGCAGCGAGTCCAAGAATGTACAGAGCTTCCTTTTGGGTGCCGGCGCCGCGTTCGCTCTTGTTCTTGTCTACTACGTACAGAGCCAAGCTATCCATCTCGATGGTGCGAACGTTGGACCAGGTGACAATATCCACTCCGGCAAGGTCCCAAGGACAACCACGCATCAAGATCTTCCGCCGCCTTCACAGCCCTCCAAGTACGCGTCAAAGGAAGAGATCCAACAGGCCATCGCAGAGCTGCGAGTCGTCCTTCCCGCTGAGGGTGCCGTGTCCACCGACCCAGATGTCTTGCAGACATATGGCCACTCTGACAACTCTTATCATCCCACTTCGCCACACTCGGTCGTGGTCCGTCCTATGAGCACGGAAGACGTCGTCAAGATTGTCAACATTGCACGAAAGTACCGGATGCCGATTGTGCCGTACGGCGGAGCTACCAGTTTGGAGGGGAATTTCGCGGGGGTGCGCTATCCTTGTCCATACTGAGCTATCACATTGACTCTGCCGCAGATCGAGACCGGGGATATCTGCATAGACATGTCAGGAATGGACAAGATTCTAGAAATACACGGTACGTGCATACTGTCTGCCCTTTCGCCTCCTGCGTGTTGATTTAGTATATCACCTCTTCGCAGAGGCCGACAGCGACCTGGTGTGTCAAGCGGGTGTGCAGTGGGAGATCGTGAACGAGACCCTGAAAGACAAGGGCATTGCATTGTTTTTCCCAGTAGGCAGCCTTTGGATGTCACACGTATGTAACAATGTCTCAGCAAAGTTCAGGTTGATCCAGGTCCGGGAGCAGTAAGCAATGACCCGTCCTGAATTGCTAAGTGCTGCAGGTAACATACTATATAACTAGACGATCGGTGGCATGATCGGCACGGGGTGCTCGGGCAGTGAGTGCCAGACAACGAGCAGTTCTGCTAGTCGAAGTCGTTTGATTGGAACTCCTTGTTACAGCGAACGCTGTCCGATATGGAACAGCGAAGGGCGAGTGGTTCCTCAATCTCGTATGTACCGCAGCAAGCAAGTCCTATTGAGAATATTCACCACCTGTGCAGACCGCGGTATTGCCCAATGGCGAAGTCATCAAAACGCGTCGGAGGGCGCACAAGTCGGCAGCTGGTTTTGACCTGACAAAGCTATTCATCGGCGCCGAAGGCACACTGGGCGTCGTCACCGAGGGCGAGCTTTTCAATGCAGGTCATTGTACGACTCGCTGACCCCCACATTCCTCTTCCAGCCACCTTACGCTTGGCACCTCTGCTGCCGACCAAGGTCGCCATGGCGCAGTTCCCTGACGTCGAACATGCTGTCAGCGCTGTACAAGAAATACTGAATAGTGCTAATGGACCGCACATCCGTATGTGAAATCTCAACATACACTATCGTTCGCTGAGCTTCATGACGCCATAGAATGCATCGAACTACTCGACGACAACAGTATGCATCCCCTACACGCACTGCCTTTAGCAGTATTTCTCTAATCTTCACAGTGATGGCCGCAATTAACTCCGCCGGCGAGGTCTCCCGAAAGCTCCCCGTCAGCGACACGCTCTTCTTCAAGATCCAGGGCGACAAGGAGGGGATCAGCGTCGCCGCCGCCGCCGTGCAGCAGACCGTGCGCAGGCACGGGAGCACGCGCTTCGAGTTTGCGCAGACGGACGAGGAGGCCACCGAGCTCTGGGAGAGCCGCAAGTACGCGCTCATCAGCACGATCGGGAGCGTGCCGGGCTCGCGCTGCTGGACGACGGACGTGTGGTGCGTGCTGATTGGGTTTTTGGTCGTACGCGTTGGATGGGCCGCCTGACGAACTGAGACAGCGTGCCGCCGTCGCGGTTGCCGCAGCTCGTTTATGAGACGAAGAAGGATTTGGCGGAGCACAAGCTCAAGTCGACTATTGTCGGCCACGTCGGTGATGGTAGGCATGCTCGGCTCTTGGTACACGTCGCTGGTCTCATTATGCTCCGTGCAGGCAACTTCCATGCGTTGATTCTGTTCATGGACGATAAGGAGCTCCAGAAGGTGAGCGAAGCCGTGCACCGGTTGGTCCACCGCGCGATTCGGCTGGACGGAAGCTGTGAGCGTTTGGTGTTTTCTTTTGAGGCACCGAAGTTGACAGCGATTATGCAGGTACCGGTGAACATGGTGTCGGCGTCGGTAAGAAGGAGTATTTGGTGGCTGAGCTTGGAGAGAATACCGTTGAGTTGATGAAGACGATCAAGCGGGCCATCGACCCGCTGAACATCATGAACCCAAGCAAGGCAAGCACATAGGGTTTCACTGAATTTGTATCGAAAGCGCCGTGGCTCACTCCACTCTCTTGCAGCTGTACCCCGACCCAGTGGACGAGAAGCACAAGTAGACGTTTACGGAAGTAATGTAGAATAGCCGAGTTTTCCAATGCCTTGGTGCTGGCGCGCAATGGGCCTTTAACATCGAGGACAACATATCGCGATGACTTGACCGAAGCGCTGATCATGACATTGGATGGGTGATAACTACAGTATCAGCTGATTCATACCCAGCGTGGCAGGATCACCGACCCATCACAACAGAATAACAAAGTTGTTCCTTTTCCCCGGCCGTAAAACTTTCTTGCTCTCATATGCTGCTGGATCGGTCGTGTGTGACTTGCCGGGCGTCTTGCGCAGGAGCCAATACGCCATTTTGCCGCCCTCTTTCCACCGTGACTTTATCATAGAGAGCCCAATGATTTGCAGGAGGCCCGCAAAGTGCTCCGGCGTGAGGTAGCGCGAGTTGAGGATGCATGGAAGCGGCAGCTTATCCGAGGAGCGTGAATAATTTTATGGCGCAGGGCGTACGGGGACAGACTTACGGCGATGAACAGGAGGCCATCCGGACGCAGCATCGTGTGAGCTAGTCGCAACATCCTGCCTGTGTCGCCAAGTTCAGTACTTGTCCTTCAGCGTCTGAGGGAAATGCATACGTACCTCGATCTTTCGCATCCGGGACGAAATTCAGGACGAGGCTGAGGCTGATGATGTCCCACTTCTCGCGGTGCTCTGCTTCGCTCATAAGCAGGAAATCCTGCTCCACAATAGCTGGGTGGTTAGACCGGAGATCTATCGGCGTGTTCTGGATCCACGCAGTACAGGATGCGTAGTTGTCGGGTTTGAGGGCGCCAACCTCGAGTAGCCTGTAACGTTGTGCATGAGTGCTCCCATCATTCATTCGAGGGCAAAACCAGCTCAGATATACCTCAACGTTGTATGCTTTTTCAGGCTTGCGCTGGCCAATCCCAGTTCTTTCAACCACTCGATCAAAACCTTCTCGCTGCCGCCCCCTCGATCGCTACCTTGCCCAATAGTAGACATCCTCTGGTAGGCACTAAGCCCACCTACTTCCTCAATCTCATCGTCAACATCGGCCAACCCCTTCCGTGCATTTTCTAGCCCGTCTCCCGCCTCAATTGCCTTCTCCAGTTGCGCTCGCCGCTTGATGAGGACGTGGAAGCGCCTAATGAGAGCGCGCGTCGCGATTGGATTGCTGGATCCCCTCGTGCCGGGTCTCGCGGACGCCTCCACGGTGGTGATGGGAGTCTTCCGCTTGTGCTTACGTGCCTTGGGCATCGCAAGCTGAGACGACTACATTGCTTGTGGGTAATGGAGGAAGGACGCTCGCGGACAAATCTCAGACGCATCTGAGATCGGATCACGGATTGCGCCGGAGGTTGGTCACGTGACATCGCTGCAAAACTGCGTTCTCGAAGCGGTGGCCAGGTCATGTTCCTAGCTTGACTGCTGAGCATGATTCAAACTAGCGTCGCGGTGGCTCATCAAGTCCGGGCACTTCTTGTCGACAGACCGCTTGACTTCCATGTTATATATCTCGGCTACGACAGCGATGGGCCAGGAGCTATCACACGGTTGATGCGTTCTGAGGTCGAGTTTCCCCACTGCGGGCTCACCCTGAGTGCCATGTTCCTAGCTTGACTGCTGAGCATGATTCAAACTAGCGTCGCGGTGGCTCATCAAGTCCGGGCACTTCTTGTCGACAGACCGCTTAACTTCCATGTTATATATCTCAGCTACGACAGCGATGGGCCAGGAGCTATCACACGGTTGATGCGTTCTGAGGTCGAGTTTCCCCACTGCGGGCTCACCCTGAGTGCCATGTTCCTAGCTTGACTGCTGAGCATGATTCAAACTAGCGTCGCGGTGGCTCATCAAGTCCGGGCACTTCTTGTCGACAGACCGCTTAACTTCCATGTTATATATCTCAGCTACGACAGCGATGGGCCAGGAACTATCACATGGTTGATGCGTCCTGAGTTTCCCCACTGTGGGCTCACCCTGCCATCATCCAGTCAAATATATCCAGGCCTACTTTATGATATCCTCCTACAGCTGGATACGAACTGTTCAAAGGCAGCTAATCTAATTTCCTACTATGACCCCGTACGTATATTTGAGTTGTACGGCGGGACTATTAAATAAGTCCTAAAGCCTTATTCATGACAGTTCGCATCTCCATCACGACCCATCAATTGTCATTTACAGCGCGATCGCGTGCAGCCGCACGGACCTGCGTAACTCGCGTCGCTGTTGGACATACCACATCAAAGTATGTCATCTGTATTGCTCAATTGAAGCGCGGAGGTGGGAGAGCAGGGCGGTGGTATTACGGATCAGTTGCATGGAAGCAGGAGCACTGCCCATTAAGGCCCAATTGAGCCGATGTTCAGTCCACGTTTGAGCGTGCCATCACGCTACGTCACACAGCACACCAAAAAATGGCCCTGCGTCGCTCGAAATGGGCTATTGGTTGCCTACGTTGTGAGTCACGTTCTCTTCACTTGGCACCGCCTTGCATGGAGTGCAGCGACTTAGCGGCGGTTAGCGCAGCCCTCGTTGTGCGATGAACATGCCGATCATCGGTTATCGCATCTATCCGTGTCGTTCTGTCTCTCTTGGGCAAGCCATCTGCCCATCGAATTAGGCGTGGCGAATCGAGCCCCGTCTTCATGGATGGCGTTTGTTTTTGATCGCTCCAAGAAGTTGCTTAATTGCTCCAATAGTCCACATCTTCACGATTCTTCGCTTGTTTAATTCCCGGTATTTATTTATTTCCGTCGACAGGCTGAGACTGGCCTGTGGTCTGCTGAGGAAGAATTTCTCAGGACATCAGGATATAAAGGTCGCCTTGGCCATTCTCCAGGCATCATTGAACCGCCGAAAACGTCCTCCCTTCCATCGCAGCCCTCTTTTCAAGCTCTCGTATCTTCTGTGTGTCTTCCTCTCTTTGTCGCTTGTATTCAGTCTAACGTTCTATAGCAATCTGTAATATCACCTCATACCTCTTCCAAAGATGTGTGTTGGCGAGAACTGCGCTCCTCAGGCAGTGCATTACATGAATGCACAGTTGACCTCCCTCTACGAAAATGCGGTCGAATGTATCAAGCACCACAACTACGCAAACAAGCCCGCTGAGGAGTACAGTGCGTGTCTTACTTTCTGCTCATTGCGCAATAGGTATTGACGAATTCTGGGTTTGTCACGCAGAGTACTCACATGCTCTCGCTGAGTACGCGTTCGTCGACCCCAACACCAAGGGACGCCAGACGCTATTCCAAGCCAACTTCGACAAACCGCTCTTGGAGTTCATCTGCAACCACGACGCCATCTTGCGTCTCAAGATCTCTAAAGGCTATTACCGCCTTGATTATACCAGATCGTCATCAATGACGTACTCGGAGAAGTGATTATGACTAGCGCACATGTTCTCGCCTCGTCCTCTGACGCTTGCATTTCAGGGATCGCATGCAGTCCCTTTCAGCATTAGAAGTTTCATTCCGCGTCCCCTTCGACACTCGCTGTCTCAAAGGCAAGGATACGAAAATCGGAAACGGTCAAAATCTCATTGAACTCATCGTGCTCAACCTGCAGAGTATGTGATCATTGTCTTGACGTTATTCAGGTCATTTATGGCTCCCTTCAACAGAGGCCGAACTTATCTCCGCCAACCCTGCCGTGATCGTCGGTCGCGATGCTCTCGTGTTCTACCTCTCGCAGTATCTTTCATTCCTACAGCAGGCGCGCTACCACGTCCTCTTCTCGCTGCCAGACTTCGACGACGATAGGTACAAGTTGACCATCGACTACTCGCTCATGGGCTCACAAGTGCTCGATATTGACGAGATCTGCGGCGTCAGCATTGACAAGATCAACACGTATCTTTCGTCGGTCTGGTTGAAAGCTGCGATGCTTGTCGGTGCTGAAGGCGGCGCTGCTGACTGGAAGGACACGTGTCTCGCCGAGGTCCGCAGCCACTGGACTATGCACGCGGATTCGGAGGTTCACTTCCATGTCAGGCTTGGCGCGCCCCATGTCAAAGCGATTTGCTCCCGTGAGGCCGTCGTCTACTTCAGAATTGACGAGGTCTTCTTCTACGACGGCGTTAACTTCGAGGTGTAAGTCCTGCATTCAATCGATGCACGGTGCGACCTAACTCAAGGTGACCATGTAGCGCTCCTCGTCAACAATACTCTGACTGGGAAATTGCTGTCTTGGTCGATGTGATCGATGAGTTCGACGGGTACGTTACCCGCTGCAAGCTAGACCTCTCCAGTGAGCCCATTAGCACATCATCACAATCATCTCTCGTTGACGATTCTTGCGCAGCCGCTCGTCCGTACCACCAGTGGTGCACGTTCACCGGCATCGACAGAAACGACGAGCTCGCGTTAAATTTCTGTACCCGCCTGGTCGAGTTCTTCACCTCCAGCTATCTTGATGTCCTCGAGAGCGTCGACTTTCACGTCATCTATCACCACGATACCCGCTGGGTCACTACCCACAGCCACCGCTTCTTCGAGGACTCGTCGGAATCTGAGGAGGAGGTCGAGGAGTGGACCGTTACAGAGGACACAAAGAGCGCGAGAATCATCGAGTGGAAGGAGATGGTGACGCGCTCCGAGATGTACGGGTTCGACCAGATCGTTGCGATCTCCCAATCCTCGGTCAACGCCAACTTTGTCGCGCTGTGGGATCTGGCCCAGATCACCAAGAGCGAGGAGCATACTTCCGCGCTGGCGAAGTGGTCACATGAGAGCTACTTCTCGGCTACTTTCCGGCCATTGACTTTACGTCTTTTGAGTAACGGCCGAGCTATTGTTTGGGTCGACATGCAGGAGGGCGACCTGAAGATTCTGAAGAACTGGATGCCTTGGAAAGAGTATGTATGCAACTGTTTTCTTTTCGTTTTATGCATGATTTGTACCACTGCAGGAGCGAGACCTACCATTTCGATGGGTGGCGTCTCGCCTTCGAGGTTGACCTCAAGAAGTGCACTCATGCAGAGCTAGATGTCCACGAGACGTGGCATTCGAGATTCAAAGAAACCCACGTCTACAAGGCACACGGCAAGCACACCGACCGCCACCTCGAGCATCTCTATCTCAACTTACGCAGTACGGCTATCCATCTAATATTCATGGATATCCCAAGACTGACGTCCATTGAAAAGACGCGGAGTTCTTGCACGAGTTCTCCACGTTCGAGGGCCTCTTCCACTCGCATGACCATCACCCGATTGACAAGGTCCAGGCAGTTGTACACTACATCGGCTGCTACTACTTCCCCTACTTGGCGCACGGCGGCCTCAACATCCTGCATACCGTTCCCGTCTGGGAGCATGGCCTCGACATCTCGTCCTTTGCGTTGACGAGCGTGTCGTTCCACGTCTACTCGAAGGAGGTCATCCACCGCCACAACTGGGCTCAGCACTCACACGTCACCGAACCGATCATCGTCGTCCTCGGGATGACCAAGGGCCGCCCGCTGCCGCAGGAGCGCCTCGACTTCTCCACCAATTGGGTCGTCCGCGTCTCGAAGGGCGCCTCCTACGGCACGGTGTGCCTCTCGCGCAAGGCATTCATGGAGGAGCGTCTCCTCCAGCTCCTCACCAATGTCAATGCTCTGACCACGATCATCCCTGTGTTTACTGGAGTGGAAGAGGGAGTCTGGAAGCTAGACCTCACGACCTGGGCACTGCACACGTACAAGAAGAAGCAGGTGTGCAAGTGGCAGCTCGATTCGGAGGCGGATGAATACATGCGGTACACATGGCAGTTCCGCGACGGCTGGAAATACGAGCATGAAGGCGGCGAGGTGCCCAACGGCACATACGCAGTTTCCTGTGAGTGACCTGACTTATTAAGTTATTAGGCCGGTCTGACTTTGAAGCAGGCTCCACGCGCAACTTCGTCGAGCTACCCGCGGCTGCCAGGGGCAGGTCGATGGATATCAGGATCTGGGGTGAGGTTGAACTCAAGATGTCGTTCAGTTCTGGTGCGAAGCACGGAAGGTGCGTACCTTTAGTTAAATTCATGGTTCCCTCGCCCGCATGACATTTGTCCCTCAGCGCCAAGTCCAGCGCGAGGTGGGATGCCCTGCTCTGTATGCATACCGATGTCGACGGCATTAAGGTCAAGCTCGCCGGGTCTCTCAAGCCTACCATCGAGTCGACGCAGTACGAAGGCGGCTCCGCCTCGGAGATGTTCACCGATCTGCAGACGAACCTGTGCGCAAACCTGCCGAACGCTGTCGATCTTAAGGCGGTCGTCGATGAGCTCAAGATGTTCGAAGGCATTTGGCAGTACGGCTACCAGGGCGCGCAGGCGTATTACCTCGCGAGCCCGGTCTTCTCCACGAAGGGCGATGTCATCTTCGAGCTGCGCCCACATGGTCAGCAGGTCGGGAGAACTTCTGGTGTGCAGGGAAGCCTGGGAAGGACGGGACGCCCGGCCGTGGACCGGCCATCATGTGAGTTTATTTTACGCCCTTGTGTTGATCCCAACATAACCTCTTGATGGCACCTATGCAGTCCTTCAGAAGGTCAAGGAAGTAGTACAGACCGCACTGAGCAGCGAGGATGAAACATACACTAACGGTCATGCCAACGGCCACGCAAATGGAAGCGGGACCTACATGGCGACGACTATGACGTACGACATGCACGTGGAGAAGGGCGAGGAGGGCGACGTGGAGGACTTTCAGGACCCCATGGCTTTTCGGATGCCTGAAAGTGAAGTGGTGGCATGAGCTCAGCTGTATGCGCTCTGGGAGCTGCTTCGCGTTGCGCTTGAATGGCTGCTTTGGCGGTTGCTGTGACCTCCTTGTTTGCTCCTGCGCGCACTGTTCCTGTTGTTGTTGTTGACTTCCTACTGCAATTACGCTCTTACTGTCTGTTACCACTACAGTAGTATGTGTACAATCTGCAATCGTCTCTCGGTCTTCTTAGATCATCATCCATATCAGAAAAACGTTAGTTCTCCACGTACTCCTATCATTCGGAGTATCATTTCCAGAGGGTTCCGAATGTGCAGGCGTTTCTGTACGTGCATTCACGTGTGGCGCAGCTTGTAATGGCGACTGGAAGCCTTCTCGGCGAGACTTGAAAGTTATCATCTCTAATATGATAATATGAACGCTTGCCCTGCTGATATGCAGGGACGTCTTCCATCTTATTATTACAAACTATCTTACAACCGTGTGATCCACTTCGCATCTCTGATCCCGGCCGTATATCGCTATCATTGAGCCAAGGGCGAGCTTCGTCGTTTCAACATTCAGCAAGTACAAGCCTTCCCCTCCTGCGTGCAGCCGCAGTTGTCGCCCGAGCCACTGCATTGGCACTGTCGTGTCGGCAAGCGATGTCAGCGACCGTTACACCCTGTCCAGTTATCGAAGAAAGTCGATACGCACCGAGCTGGAGTGGGCCTTGTTAACGCAATCCTTGCAGTTGCACTTTCCCTTGGGGCATTGGCAGCCAGTTCCCGAAGGACCGCAGGCTCTGCGAGTGGCGTTGAATGGATCAGGACTGTAGATCCCGACTGTGAAGTCTGACATGGCACTTACCCGCAGCTACTCTGGCAGGTGCAAGTGTCGACCATGTTGCTTGATAAATTTAGGAGTTTCGTTCACTGAGAGGTAGGGGTGATATGTTGAGCAAGAATGAGTCGCGTTGGCTAATTTATAGTGGAGGAGCCAAGCTCACCCGCAATGGATCAATGACGTACAAGTCCCTGTCTGGACATGGCCACTGACGTAGACCTTGCAAGTCATCTGCAGATCAGTCAAGTGAAGATCGAACAACACGCATTTGGACAGCGGAACTACTCAGAATGCACGCAAGTAACTCATGGTCACGAATCGCAAGTGCGAATAGTCTATTTGGTCCCAACCTCGAATATCAGACAAGAGTCGTGTCCGTGATTTGCTGGAGCTCATTAATCATTGGGGGCAAGATGTCGCAGCCAAGACTTAACGTTGGCGTCCAAAAATGTGGCCCAGGCGTCCCCATATCCGAATTCTGCAGTGAATTTCATTGCAACCGTGTCATGCGATTGGTAGGCGGAAATTTCTCGCCCGGCGAGAACAGCCATGGACGAGCCGAGGTACCTTCCACGCTGGCCGATCTTGTGAACGTTCTATCGTTCAACCGTCAAGCATTTTTCCTGAAGCAGCACGGTGCTCCGCGTAGATCATGAACACATATGATCCGGTGGGCGCACCAGGATGCGGCAGCGTGAGCCAATGCTCAAGGAAACCCCGCTATACAGACCGTCAAAGGCACCTTCTTTGCTGTGTCGCGGAAGGGGGTGTGAAACCTTCCAAAGACAGTTTATTGGTTCAGCCGTAGTTCAAGGCCACTTGACTTTCGGATGAGCAAGACTCTGAAAACACTGCGACGCTCACCATACGAGACAACTCTCGGGAGCCCTTATGGTCAAACAATTGCCTCAGTTGGGGTAATGGCATCCAGCTCTGACCGGAAGAGGCTACCCGTCCTAATAGGTGATCCACGTCTTCCGTTTACAAGTCGGTAAATCCTACACTTTACTTCAACGATGGACATCGATATCCCAAACGGATGACACAGCCATCAAATTCTTGCACCCGGGTCGCAGCAGTCGCATTCTGGCCACAGTGATTGGTGGCTGAAAGGTTGAGGAATTAGCTAGCCGATGTTCACAATTGAGGCAGCGCGATTGCCGTCGAGCATGGCGTGTGCATATGCACCTTCGCTGTGGCAAAGGGACGATTCTCGGGGTGCAAGCGGAGCGCAAGAGTGCAAGACGGTGGTGACTCCTGGTTCACAGTGATCAAAGCTACGGGCGTCTACATCTGGGGCGTCGACATCGTCGTTGGCGCCGACGTTCAACAGCTCAACGTCAACTACACGCTCAGCGCTCATAGTTCAACGTTCATCTTTCATGGCGCACACGCATAATGTATCCACTCATGGCTACCCAGCACCTCAGACGGCTAGGGCTGGTGCTCAACGTCATGAACTCTCCATTATATGAATGCTCTACAGCCTCTCATGATTGTTCCATTGAATGCATTCTACTCAGCTGCATTGCTCGCAAATGCACATCTCAGAACGTGCATTACATGACATACACCTGCCATCAGTCAATGGCTCGAGACAAGTGGGATCTTCCGCGGTACGCGCCGTCCATTCCGATGAACTGTATGCGGACTCACGGTGCACATGTAGTTCAAGTTGGAACGACCTCCGATGCCCGCCTTCAGCTTCAGGCCCGATGCATCATTGTACGTTTGAACCCTCATATCTGCATCACTCTGCACAGATCTCAACACATGAATAGGGGGCGGGTTGGACTTCCTCAAAGCGCATGAATTCAATGACGGCCCATGTGTCCTGCTAGTTGATCCGCTCGTGCAGGTCGACCAGATCTCATCCGCCCATCCTGTCATTCATAGCGTTTGCCGCATGTCCGCTGCTATAGGCGTGGTTTTCAACGGGGCCAGGTGTTGGATCCGGCACATCTACGGAGGATTAGTACGCACGTTCCCCTTCCCAGCGTGCATTCTATGAACTCCCTATCCTGCTTAGGTGAACCTCTCGCAAGTTCTCCCAGCGGACATCGGCGCTGCCGCCGCATGCGAGGCTTATCGCATATTCAATTACAGATGCTACATGGTCTTCGAGCCGCTAGGCCAAGACGTGCACGCCAGATAGAAGCACTGATCGCCATGGCTGTCGCCGAACGTGCCCTTCTCAATTGTCTTCGTAGCGCTTGAACATGTTCACCTTCGATTCGTCCCGTACCACAGCTCTGGCGGTACACGGGACGCGCGCTGGGTGCATACGGACGACAAGATGCTGCTGAGACAGCAGCAGCGACTGCATCATGCATATCACGGAGGGTTCTAGTTGATAGGAAGCTGCTGGAGCAGGAAGCATTGATGATGGATTGGGAGCCGGGATGGGCTTGGGCGTAGGTGGACTGGCGATGGGTGGTGTTACGGCGTTGGCGCAGGCGTCGGCGCGTACGCGATTCGTGCCGTCGATGATGGAATGGCAAACGGATTACTGGGAGCTTCGCATGCAGGCGTTGGTGGTGCGGATATCAATCCACTCGATTATACCAACAGCGCGGAGATGAACCCGCTGAGCTTCGCAAGACCCCGGGATGCCCCGTTTGCGTGCGGGCATACTGCGCGCGACTTTGCGGAAGTGAGGCAGCTGCGCGGGCTGAGAAGCAGAGGCATAGGTGGCGGTCTTGGTGTCGGAGCGGGAGTAGGGAGAGGCGCTGCGGCTGTCGGCATGCTGGCGTCATCTGTGGGGACGTCTATTCCTGGAGCTGGAGGCGCATGTATTGGCCCAGATTCGGCGGGCGTATTGGGCAGCACAGCGGGGGGTATGAGGTATCGATGCGAGGATGCCGGTTGCTGGACCGCTGTGAGATATTGGCACACATAACGGAGAAGGCGTCGACATACGAGGTCGCGGAGCATTGGTGTCAGGTTCTTCGGATTCTGAGCGCAAACGTTTGGATATGGACGTTTAGAACTTCAAAGCTTCAAGCTCCAATGCAGACCCACCCCATGCCTGCCACTGACGGGTGAGCCGTTTCATTCAATTCGGCTATCCAACGCGTAACACGGTCTTCCGCACCATTATGTCAGTCTACTTGCCTACATACATCTGATCCAAACCTACGTGCTTATTACCGGCCGCTATCCGTCGTAGCTACAGCACGTACGCGGGTTATCAATAAGAAAATCGACGAGCATGCCGACTCTTGCTTGTCACGAGCACGTGACATACGCGCTTCGTCACGCCTGGTCACGCAGAATGGGCCATGCCAGGCTGGTATGACGCGCGGCCGACCCGCCGCCCTCATTATATGCGCAGCGCTGTACGATCCGAATTCCTCGTGGAGGTGTCGACCAGCTGCGTGTCCCATGATAGCAGCTTTCGACGTCGTGAGATGAAAAACCGCTGGGAAGGGCCTCCATGCTCCATGAGAGCGGCGTTTTCAAGGAATCGGTATTAGGATGTCCTATCTGCAACAACAGCGCGGATCAACTGACACAGGAAGCAGACACATCGAGCCTCGAGGAAGCTTGCGCCGCATGAATGATGGCGCCGTCCCACCGCTCTTCTTCCAACACGGAATAACCAGACTTGAGATGCGTCACGGGCAGCCCAAGACCGGCACCCTGGCAATGGCCTGGGACAATAGCGGGCGACCAATCATAAAATATCGTCATGCTCCAACTTAAGAGCCAGGCCGATAGTAATTTTTTTTCCTTTACCTACGCCTACATGCGAATCTGAGCCAGTTTCCAGGGCGTGCGCACTATACCTTCCCACCGCAACATGTCTCAGCACATCACACACCCCGTACGTAGACATCTCACTGGAGATCGTGATGATTCGCGGAGTCTGATTTTCCACGTCATCTGGCCGTGGCAGCCTAGCCAACCTCCTGGGCGCCCTCCGATCGGTGCCCATTTCACATTCAGCGAAGGGCAATTCGCTGGTCGGACGATTTGTGTGGAATTGCATGAGCTACAGAAGGCAGATGTCGGAAGAAAGTGAGCATCTAACTCGCCTTCTGGGTTTGGCACGCTCAAGAGTATCGATGCGAATTTCTAGATATATATTCAAGGACCGCCGCCCACTTGATCCGCCGCCTGTGGCTCAAATGAAGCTGTTCGAGACCGTGAATCCCATGTACGTTCCTGGCACGGAGTTTGCCAACTATAAGTGCGTATTCAAAGATACAGAACAACCGTTGGATCCTTATTCCTGTACTCTCCAGGGACGTCAAAATCATCGGTCTTCTATGTCACGTCGATTTATTCGCAGTGCATTCAACTGCTCAAACGGATGCAGGACCCAGCATTCCCCTTCGTCAAAATGCGAGTAGAGTATCGTCAATCTCACCACCACCTTTGGACGTGGAGGACCACGCTTCGCCTTTAATTTTGGCCGCCACTTCAAATGCCACTCAATCTGAGGTGCTGACACACGTCGACGGTCATCCAATCACAGAGCAGTCAAACTGCACCACTGCATTGGCCGGATCGACCGTCATCGAGGCCACAAGCCTGGAATGGAAAGGCAGAGATACGCTGATGTATATCTTCTCGGTTTGTTCTTCCTCGGCTTGCGTCTCCATTGTTGCGACTGGAGATCGCGCACGTGCCCGAGTACGGTGCTGTGGGGTCTTCGATCCCATCTTGTCAAAATTGTGCTGTGCTGATGGCGGTGTCACAGGACTTATCCGTTCGGCAAGAGGGCACCTTTATTCTGCGCTATCGTGTGTTCGACGTCATGTCGAGGGCAAGAGGTCACGTAACCGTTCCCGTCCTGGCAGAATGCTACGGTGGCTCCTTCAAGGTCTTTCCGCCCAAGTTGTTCCCCGGTCTCCAGCCTTCTACAGAACTTACCACGGTGCATAGTTACGCAAACTGTCCCTTATACACTCATCTTGACGATCATGACAGCATTTGGCGCGCTATGGAGTCCGATTAAACGTGCGCGAAACTGAACGTCGCAAGCCGAAGAGCAGTGGGTACCATACGCAAAGAAACGTCCGCATCGCCCCTGCAAGCTCGCCTGGGCACTCTCAGAATGAACCCGGATCCTCGGTTTCGCATGATATCGCACCGGACACAGGCCCAAAACCTAGATGAGGCAGATGTACTCATGGCTGGCGGAGCAATCACCAAAATTCCGACGAGAAAATTCGTGATATTTCCTGCCACCTTGATTGTGGACGTCCCACTTTTGCATTTGATGTACTTTGATTGAACGATAATTAACATAGGCATTGTCCAATTAGCAGGCGCGAGGGGGTCCGATTTTTTTGAGCCCTTATGTACTCTGGGCCTTGAAACTGTATCTTGTATGTATTCCATCCTCAATTCCATCTTTCGATTGCTCAAGGGAGGGAGGATAGCATGATGCAGGTGCGACACCTTTTGTTTGTTCCCTCCCTGTGCATGACAGGTTGAAATGCTACGAAGACGTTTCGATGTATGCAGTATATGCGGGATCCAAGACGTCAGGCAGTGCATCTGCAAATTGCAATGGGGCAAAGGTGAACCCTGATGCGCTTTGTTACGGTCACGTGACATACACCTACTGGTCACGCAGCCTGTCACTCTAAGCGAACGACGCGCCACATCGACCCCTCTAACAGCGCTGTAGGAGTTCATCGACAGCTGCGCGCCCCATGATATCGGTCTTTTGCCGTTGTGAGATGGAAAACCACTCAGAAGGCGTACACGAGGCGAAGGAAGAACGGCGTTTTCGTGTATCCAGGCAATTAGTACGATGCCTATCCCACCTGCAAACAACGCGAATCAACTGATGCAAACAAGCAGATGCATCGAGCCCCAAGGAAGAACGTCTAGGCGTTTCATCGCACTTCTTCCAACACGAAATGATCAGCGTAGACTGGAAGCAAGGCTTGCGACGCGTCAGCGGCGGCCCAAGATCGGTGGCCTGGCCAAAGAATCAGTGGTCTGTGACGATAATGGGCAGCCAACCGTCCATTCCCGCAGCTGAAAATATCGTCATGCTCCAACTTAAGAGCCAGGCCGATGGTGGTTTTTTTTTCTTTACGCACGCCTACATGCGAATCTGAGCCAGTTTCCAGGGCGTGTGCACTATACCTTCCCACTGCAACATGTCTCAGCACATCATACACCCCGTACGTGGACATCTCACTGGAGATCGTGATAATTTGCGGAGTCTGATTTTCCACATCATCCGGCCCTGACAGCTCAGCCAACCTCCTGGAAGCGGGCCTCCGATCGGTGCCCATTTCACATTCAGCGAAGGGCAATTCGCTGATCGGATGATTCGTGCGGAGTTGCATGAGCTACAGAAGGCGGATATTGGAAGAAAGTGAGTAACTTTCCCGTCTGCTGTGTTCGACAATCTGAAGAGTATCGATGCGAACTTCTAGATATACACACAAGGACCGCCGCTCACTTGATCCGCCACCTGTGGTCCAATTGAAGCTCTTCGAGATCGTAGATTCCACGTCCGCTACCGAAACGGAGATTGCCGACTATAAGTGCGTGGTTCAAGATACTGGCGGGCCGTTGGATCCTTATCCCTGTACTCTCCAGGGCCGTCGAAATCGCTGGTCTTCTATGTCACGTCGATTTGTTCGCAGTCCGTTCAACTCCTCAAGCGGATGCAGGACACAGCATTCCCCTCCGGCCAGGTACGAGTAGAGTATTGTCAATCTCATCGTCACCTCTGGACGCGGGGGTTCACGCTACTACAAATGCCACTCAGTCCGAGGTGCTGACGCATGTCAACGGTCATCGAATCACCGAGCAGTCAATTTGCACTACTGCGTTGGTTGGATCGACCGTCATCGAGGCCACAAGCCTGGAGAGGGAAGGCAGTGATACGCTGATGTATACCTTTTCGGTTTGTCCTTTCTCGGTCTGCGTCTCCATAGTCCCGGCTGTGAGATCGCGCACACACCTGAGCATGGTGCATTCTATCACGTCGAAGTTGTCCTATGCTGACGGGCGTAATATAGGACCTATCCGTGCGGCAAGAGGGCACCTTTATTCTGCGCTATCGTGTATTCGACACGGTGTCGATGGCAAGAGGATCTGAAAGCGTTCCCGTCCTGGCGGAATGCTACGGCGGTCCCTTCGAGATCTTTCCGACCAAATTGTTCCCAGGTCTTCGGCCTTCTACGGAACTCACGAGGGCGCGTAGCTTATGCAAGCTGTTTCTTACATGCCTATCCTGAAGATCACAACAGCATCTGTCACGCTATGGAGTGCGATTAAACATGCGCGAAACCGAACGTCGTAAGCCGAAGAGCGAAGAGTATCAAATTCGAAGAAACGTCCGCATTGCACCTGCAAGCTCCTCTGAGCACTCTCAGGATAAACCTTTGCCCTAAATTCAGCCTGAAATTGCAGCGGGCATAGGTCGGACAATCAGACGAAGCAGGTGCTCCAAGCGCTGTTGGGGTGATGACGAAAACCCCAACTAGAGAATCCATGATATTTTCTGTCACCTTGATTGTGGGTGTCCCAGTTTCTGCAGTGATATGCATTATAATCAACGTAGACATTATCGAACTAGCGGGCATGGGGGATGGGTTTCTGTGATTCTTTATGTAGTCTGGACTTTGATCCTTTGGAACTGTACCTTGTATGCATTTAGTCTTCAACTTCATCTTTAACACAATGGTTTGCTTACAAAAGGGAGGGATGGCACGATGCAACTTTTCTTTGTTCTGCATAACATATTGAAGTTGACATTGGCATGAATGATAGCCGGGCTGCTTGATGAATAATGTCACTGAGGCCAGTCGCATTTGCTCGTTCAGAGTTATGGCCCATGTACCTTGCTGCCAGAGCGCCGGCCACGTGGGTGCTCCTGGCTGGCTGGCTGGCCTTGTGGTGTAATTTCAAGTTGATGGTATGCGATGCATGCAAATACCTCACAGAAATCCGGAATCGTAAGTTCTGACCATGCAGGCTGATTCTGGCGTAGGAACTCAGAAAATCGCTCGCTCCTTTCAATGCTCATACAACATACTGCTGGGCGTTCGCGCCGTAACCTATCGTACATGCACAGCTGCCGGGAATGCTCATACTATGTCACACAACACTGCGTTCTCTTGAGCTAGGGGAGACCTTCCGGCGTGGAGTCTGGGATGATACGTTCAACAGCTGCAACCCTTCGACTGCTCAGCGCAGTTGCAACCGCTACCCGTGCCGCCGCAGGTGCACTGTATATGCATCAGATATCAGCGACGTCCACCACTAGGAGCAAACAGGCCTTCTGAGGGGGGGGGGGGGCTAGAGATGACGTACCGAGCTGGAGTGCGCCCTGTTGACGCAGGTCTGGCAGGCACAGTTGCCTCTGGCGCAACTGCAGCTATTGGCGTTCACGGGTCCGCAGGAACTACCGGTTGAGACAGACGCAACACATCAACCTATGATCGAGGAGGCAAACGGCAGCAACAGGAGAAAGCGGACGTACGAGCAATTAGACGGGCAGCTGCAGGATTGTGCCATGGTGATTGCTCAGCTTCTTTCGCGATGAAGGTTGCAAGTGGTGGATAGACGGTGAGTGGCTTCACACTCTGCTGGCCAGACCGCTGCGTACACTCGCTGAATATATATACTGTGCAAAGCTCGTTGCCGCGGGGCACGAGGGCTGGCTTATCAATGCCCCGTGACGCAGTCATCCGTGTGCCGACGTTGTTATGATCTCAGGTTATGATCTCAGGTGCTACTATGGGCATCGTGCCGGACAGACGAAAGATGCCATCTTGAATGGGGAGGCCACATTTAGTTTATCTTGTCTTCCACGAAATCAGCGGGCTGGAGCTATCATATGCCCACACGGCCACGCATTGGGCGACACACGAGACTCCCTCTAGCCCAGGAACGTTTGATATTAAAGTCAAGACCTCGACGAAGTCGGCCTTTGTCTAACTTAGAAGAGACGCGAGGGCAAGAGAAATGTCAATCTTACAATGCAGGTACAGCCATCCTTTAGTCAAAAGCGGACAGTTCACCTGCTGAGCTGTTGGTTTCCATTGTGTTAGTTGGATAAGATATCGGTCTGCGGTCCAGAGCAATGTTCCTCCTGTCATTATCCATAGCGGGTATGGTTCGCCCGCCCAGGCTGCCGCCGAAGGGTCTATCACAGTAGTAAGCCCTTCCCCTCACCGGACCGACCTCACGCCTCTATCTTCGATCTTCTTCCGTCAACCCTGAGCTCCCCCGTGTGGTCGATCTTGGGCCATCCAGGGTTCCAGATTCCGAGAATCGATGCAATCGCGCTGGAAGCACTACTACGACGCGTGCAGGAATGCGCATGACAAATATGCCAGAGAAGGTCGCGTTACACTCGCGCACAGCGCATGGAAACAGCTGCAGAGCAGCGTGAACGCGCAATTTTGTCAATCACGCTAGATTGACATCGTGGTAGCAGGGCTGAACTTGAAGGTCAAGGTCCCGCGCACGTCCCCAGTTAACTGCAAGCTCTGGCAGCATACGATATTGCCATTGGTCCGCAGATTGCCCTCGCCCGGGGGCCGAGCTTGCCATTAAAGGCATCTAAGATCCGGAAGCGCCCGACGCTGAGGGGGCGCTTACAGGTGTCGCGCTCTCACCACACGATAGTGGTCACCGTTGAGGAGGCTTAACATTAAATTCATTCTAAGGTATGTGGATTATGGCGGTGCTGCCGAAAGTAAAGATACGTGTGCAATACGTCAAAGTCTACACCGGTGTACCGTACGAGCAGACGATGAACATACATACGCAATCCAATAGTTAGTAATGAACGTCGATGGGCGGAAGCGGTCCCAGTCTCTGGGGCCTATTGCCAGGATGCAGGCCAAACGAGCAACGAGTCGATCTACGACTCCAACCACCACGCCTCCCTCTGTTCTCCAAGCCCTTCTTTGCCGATGGGGCAGCGTCGAAGGGCGGCCAGCGTGTCCTTCATTTGGGCGCATCGCACGCACATGTTCTCGCTAATGGAAGACTCTCCCACGCTGAGCCGTGCCGTTTCACCAGTGCCACTCCCTTCTGAGCTCACGTCGACCTGGGAAGGGTGCTCCATGCTGCTCGAGCGGAAGCTCTCGCCGTTACTTTTGATAGACGCTACGACACCGCGTGTCCAGATGTTATCTGAGTGACAACCGTCCTGCCTACTACGTGAACGATAGCATTATTAGAACACCAGTCACTGCAATCGAATGAAAGACGCGGTGAGAGCTGACCGTTTGCTGGCCTCAACAAAGAGGGTTATCAAGTCATTAGGCGTCTCTGCGAGGCAGTCCACAGCATCACAACGACCTAAAGAGACATTAGCACGCAGAGCACAAGTTTAGCAGTGCAGAGAACATACCTGTGAAGGTGAGCGACTTGGAGTGTCGCTCGCGATCGAGGTTTATGGGATGCATGGGTCACGACTCACGGGTGTCGCCAATAGTGGTGGAAGGATTGCACGTCGTACATATGCGAGATGAAACATACTCGGGAATGCCGTCCAGGCTGAATTCAACAGGAACGCCGGCGTATCGCGGGCCTGCCGAGTAACCATCATGGCAGGATGGGGGTCAACCGTAACCTTCAGCGCTTTGAAGGTGACATAACGTGTTCCATTTCGGCGTTTGACGGCTTTGGCCACCTTATGGTAAATTGCATCCGCTGTTGGTCCATGTAACTCAGATGTAAGCTTCGGTGTCCACTGATTTTACATTCAGAATGCAAGAATGTATACTCACACACCACCTTAATTCCAAACAATGTACCGCCATGAACGGGACGACGCGGTACCGAAAATTCCAGGAATCCGACGACACCGGAGATTGATTACCTATCAAGCAGCGGAAGCGGGATTTCGGCAGGGCATCAGGGCCGAAACATCTAGTACTCTGCCGTTCTAGCAGACTGGGGCAGAAAGTGTGGACTATAAGCTCTACGCGAAGACCTATTAGATCCGAATAATGCGAGGAGAGCCTCGGAGCGGCTCCGTAACTATTTTCACGAGGCTACAGACACAGCCAGGGTTCAACTTGACTAACCCGGCCGAAGGAAATGACAGATCTATGACTACCGTCTGCGCGCGGTGATTTCACTGTCACCAGTTGCTAAGGTCCGGCAGCCACAAGCGGTCGGCGCGACTATTCGGACACGGGCATGCTGTCAGGATGGTTCTGCAACTAAGACACTCTAGGTGGCTATTGACTGTTCCCGGGAGTATCCATCGCCCGTGTAACGTTCAGAACTGATCGTACTTTTGCGTTGCAGGCTCGTTACATCACGTCTCTCACCTTGGTTGCGTGCGGATAGTTTCTATCTGTCATGCCATGAGTAATTTACGATCGCAGTTCCCGGGACTCGACTTCAAGCTTCAAGTCACGCACACCGTTTCCTGCTATAAGGCGAGTGCCCAGCAGTTGAGACGGAAGCTTCGGCCTTGTAAACACCATCGCTTGCGGGTATGTACTCACGACTGTCATTTGATGGTCCCATGTGACATGATTTCCACGGCAGCGCAGTTATCTCTGCTCGTTACGGTGCATTTTATTCGGAAGCACGTTGCACGAGATACTTTCCCAACAAGTCTTTCGCCGTTTTGGCACATTGTCCGGTGATACAGCTGCCTCACATGTGCGCAGACAATTGCGCAGCGCCTTTAGCGTCGCACTTGCATCGGGGTCTCGTTGCTTCGTCAGTGTACTGGGTACTGTGGCATCGAGCCGCAGACGACCTGTCAGCTGCACGAGCTCCGCCGACAACTCCTCGATCTGTGTATATGGGCAGTGGGAGACACCATGTTTACAATACAAGGTTATGACTTCGTAAGCAATGCTTGGCGAATTAGCTTTGCTACGGCTTGGGGTATGGTAGACGAGTCTCTGCCTATGCCGGTGCATTTTCCATTCTGGGATCTGCATTTCCATCAATACTTGGAGCACCAGTATCGTCGGCCAGGTGTTCCTCATCAGCGTCGATAGTCGAGGCGATGAATAGCAATGAGGTCGGATCAGTGAACGATGTTTCCCCCTTCCTTTTGGCATAATTGTTGCGCAAATTTAGCATCAGCCGCGACAGTGCTATTGAGATCATCCTGGAAGCATGCAATTGAGCTAATCCTTCCACACTCTGCCTGTGTGAGGTAGCAAGAGGCTAACGCAGATGTCCAGGTTGCAAAAGGCATATTGAACTGAGGTGCAATCAGCGGAAAAACACTTTTATCCTCATTTTGCAAACAACTCACAAATGCCATGTCAAAATGGCCAACTTCCATGCTAACAGCATTGATAATCGATAGGATGCTGAAACGTCAGTGAGAAGAAGGGTTGGGAAGGGGGGTGCATATGACTCACCCAAAGTACCATGCCGCTTGGTTCAGCCAAAGTCAACGATAAGTACACAATCTTACATTGACATTTAAAACATACTGTCCGTGAGCATTAGCCTTTGAAGTCTGCTTTGAATGCTGTTGCATATGAAGGGTTGTGTTTTCACCCACGTCAAAATGAACACGATAACATCTGCAAGAACAGATGAAGCTCTACCACCGATCATCCCTTGTGAGACAAGAACTCGCATGTGAGATCAGCCGTAGTGGTGCTGGGGGTGTTGCAACTTACAGCTGTACATTTTATCAGTCTACGTACAAATCATCTGGCAATGTCTCACTTATCATACACACTCTCCGATATACTTGTTGTGAATGAGCATGTGACTTGAAGGTTGGGCAGCATTTTGGTTTGTGGGCTCATTGAGATAAACGGGTACTGTCAAAGAGTTAAAGGGGGTATCCTTGTTCTAAGACGTCTACTTACTAATGTCAAGGCAGGATTTAGAAGTCCCAGGCATAACACTAATCCAAACACAGCCTTATTGCGGTCATAGATGGCGTAAATGCGAAGTGCTGCGAAAGCTATACATCTTATAAGAGATTGGAAGCACTACATTATCATATGATGCACCTACCAGCAGCGCTTGCCAAAAGAACAATGTCAAACACCATTTGAGACATGACTATTCCTGCACAGCTGATGGCATTTGAGCCTATTGAAGGATCTCTGACTGTGCTGCCACTTTACCTCTGCCGGTCATGTATCACATATACTGAGGATGCGGAGCAGCTGTATGGCACTCACCAATCGCGCAGGCCAACTTGAGAGTGTCACCAATGATAGAATCAAAACGGCGGTATCGATCACTGCGCAGTATCTGAATGCGAAGAACAGCACCGACGCGAAGGAGAGCTCTGATTTCCATATGTAATAGTACTCATCGCCAGCGGTGAGGAGATAGTCATACAACACTAGTGCTTTAAGTATTTTCATGTATTTGCACATGATCATACAACATGCTTCAGACTCACCCCCAGCGGAAAGGTACAGACATGATTCCACAGAGCTAAAGCACAAACATCATCACGGTTGATCTGTGCCGTTGTGTAGGTCTAGGTCAATCAAGACAACAACGCACCTTGCTGTGAGCACCAACGCGGTATCTCCAGAAGGCATATTGAACGACTCCAATAGCAGAGGAGGGAAGGAGCCTGAGTGTCGCAACGTTGCACGATGGCATCTTGCGCACTTAAATCTGTCCCATCTTTGATCAATCTCACAGTCCCAGAACGAAGCGCCACCTCCATAACAGCACCTTGCAGTATTGCGTTGAGACAGCGGCGCGGAAAGAAAATTGTTTGTGCGGCCAGACGATGTGACCGTTCCAAGACAGGCGTCCCGATGTGGCCCCAGTGTGATTAGAACACAGCACAGGAAAAAAGGTACTGCAATTCGGACTTATTCATGCTGTAGCCCATCCTTCTAAAGTACGGGAGAATTGCTACATAGCGAAGGGTGTAGCGACGTGCCAAGGCACATCCTACGAGTCCGCAAGCCATGTCGGAAGTCAGTACGGTAAATGAAACAAGCGCCCTTGAAGCGCCTAAATTGTGGCTGAGCCGGCATGCCGCAATCCACAATTGCCGTACAGCAGTAATAATGCATCACGTGCCTAACAAGCGATCACCTTGTATTGTACGCAGTCGTTGCATCTGAAGCTCTTCACGTGGGTAGAGTAGGTGCGGCGGATGCGTTGGATGCGTTGGTTCAGAGCATGTGAAAAGTGTTTTTTAACAATGCAACGCTCCGTGGCTGGAAGAAAGCAGCGCGCTATCATGATGGAGAGAGACGCTCATAAGTCATAACGTAAGCGAGCGAACTACCCGAAAAGGGTTCTTGGCTACCAGAAAGCATTACATGAGGAGCTGCTGACTTTGTATTTAGCATCAAAAGCGGAACAACATTCTCAGCTTTGCAAGAATCACGCAAGCGGAAAGCGTTGCTGCAAAGCAGGCAAAAAAGATGCGAAATGAAATGGCTGGGAGGAAAACAGCACACAGTCCGTCCGTCCATCAGTGCTTACTATGTCGTCCCATAACATTTCTTTATTATGAACTATAACGCGCGTGCTATATGTTGGAAGTCAAGTGCGGGATGCACTTGGGTACGCGCTTGACTCTATAACTACAACAACCGCCAGCAGATATACTCATATGATGGGCGAAATGCGAAACGTGGAGAGCAAGGAAAAAAATACGGCTGACAGTCCGTCCCAGCGAGGAGAGTGAGAGTAAACGCGACGGCTTACCCGCGCTCAATCGCAGCATGGCAGCTCACATCGCCTCATTCGACCCGCCGTGTCCACCGCCCGCGAAGTGCCCGTCGTAGCGGGCACTGCCGGTACCGGCCCTACCATTATGCATAGAGACATGCATACACGGCAGACATGGTGCGATTTATCAACGTAGAAAATTGTGTGTAAATGTCGACTGAATTCTTACACATGCGACAAATATTTGCAACCACGGCATTTCATGTCGAAAATGTTTCACTTTGGCTGCTAATGTGCACTATTTGCCATTTACATGCTACATTGGCGCCAAACCTTTGCCACAAATGTAAAACATCAGCCGACATTCCCACACCATTTTCGCACTGATAAATCGCATCATGTCTGCCATGATAGAGTAGGTCCACCTCGTATGTCGCGGTCACGTGGATCGCGTTATAATTGCCGCGCGTAATCCTTAGGACCTGCATCGAACTTGACTCGCATCTGGGTAGGCCTACACTTTCACTACCATGTCGATCAGCATACAAGACACCATGTGAGCTTTTGTTTCTAATGTCAGGCGTGCTCGATTGCATTTACGCTGTGCAGCAAAGCCATCAAGGATATGATTCCCATCATCGATCCTGAGGAAGACTATTTGACCATTGCCGCTGCGGAAGAACAAATGTCCATCACAGAAGAAGCGCGCCGGAAGGAGTCTGAGGAGACCCAGTCGAGGGTGCGAGGTAAGCTGACACTCGTCCTCAGCTTCTCTGACACCGAGTAACTTCTTGCGTCCGCGTCAACAGCACTCGCTCGGACTTTGGAAGCGGCACGCACATCTTCTACTCGACCGCCAACGGTGCCTTCTGCTCAAGCGCACGCTGATACGCTGAATCAACTGGACGCGACTCGCCTGTCACTGGCAAAAGCTATCAACGACGCTGAGAGTGCCCTCTCGAGTAAGGAAGCGGAATTGGCACGCCTCAAGGAGGAGTTACACTCCTTAGAGATGTCGGATTCAGCTGACGAACATGAACTTGATGGTACAGCGTGAGTCTGCTATGTGTCCAGGTGCTTACGCTGCGGAGCATGCGACATCGTTGTTGTCAATCTGCCCACTTCCTCGTCGAGCTCTCTTTCCCATTTGAGCAATATTAACAGGCTGAATGTCTAGTTTACGCTTGGCTATCTACAAAGGGTTGGGATTTGAGCCGATTATGGGGAAGGATGGCCACATTGCAAAGATGCTTGTCCGTACGTGCGACATTTGAGATCCCTTTGCTAGCTCAATCACTCATGTCTTGCACCCAGGGTCAACCTCGGGTGACGTCCATTGTGTCACATTCGACGGTAGCAAAACAAATGAAGAGTATGCTTCGTTACTCTGGAAGCTGGCCTCGTCATAGGAGCCGCATGCTCAACCCAACTTTCCTCCCTCTCAACCATCAATCTATGTCTCCCCTGTGCCATCTCAATTCTGCAGTTCCATAGTCCTGCGCTGTATTCCTGTATACCCGAGAAGCATATCAATATATATAGGCTAGGCTGCTAATATGCTGCGATAGAAATAAAACAGGGATTCAAGGAGACAGCAACAACACGATCAACGCGGTAGCCAAATTCTAGACAGACAAATAGAGATCATGCCAGACCATAGGCCGCCTATGATCCAAATGAGCAATATGGCTCCGGGTATTGCTGAGTGAAAGTGAAACGCGCCTTAACATCGGGCTTGACAACCCAAATTTTCTGTGTCTTGCACTTCTCGCCAACCTCACGCACCTTGGCCTCTATCGCGTTCTTCTTTACGCGTTGTTCCCGAAGCTCTTGATGCACTGTTTCTACAATGTAAGCTAAACTGCTGGTCGATAGCGTGCTGATGCGTGTGAGCAGCAAAGGCAAGTGAGCTTCCGGAAAGCTTGTCCTGGGTGCTATGGCAGCACGTTTCGTTACCATAGACACTCCTGCGCTAGAAGTTACCGAGGAGTCTGTGCCGCTGACGTGGGAAGGAAGTGCAGGAACGGCAAAGTGAGACTCAGTGGCAGCTCGGTTTGATTTCCCCGTAGCTAGTGGTTCATCCATTGACGCTGAGACGAACGTGAACGGATCGATCGATAATGGTGTGTCTGTGAGACTAGAAGGGTCAGATATGTACGTGGCGATTCCGACAATATAACTGACCGTTGAACAGTTGAATCCGATATATCTGGAAAGGTTCGTAGCTGCAATGGCCAATAGCCTCTTCCCAGTATGGCCCCTTTGTGAACGGTACAAGCGGAACGACCACCTTGCGCTTCTTGCTTTGTCTGGAGCTCTCTCCTCCTGCTTTTCGCTTTGGCAGGTCTGTCTCTATCGGGAAGAAGTCGGGAGATGCTTCACGTTCATCAATCGGAGTGCCAGGATCCTCCACTTCGCCGTCGTCAACGAGCCAATCGTCCAAGTCGGAGTCCTCCTCGTCAGCAACCTCTTCTTCTTCAGCGTCTTCGACCACGTCATCGGCATCTCCGCTCTCTTCCTCCCATTCCTCTCCACTGTCATACGCGTAGTCTATTGAGATGACATCGCGTGCAAAAGGGGTGCGCGGACCAATTTCCCGGGAGCTGCGCGTCCAGGTGCCGAAGTAACCTGGCCGTGCGTCTTCGGCGAAAATGAGGACTTTCGCTGGAATTACTGTACGGTTGCGTAATGAAAACAGCAGCTTTCTGACTTGGACATCGTCCCCCGTGACCTCGGCCTCATTCAGCTGGGACAGGATGTCTCGAATAGATTGGCAGACATAAGTTTTCATATGTGATGGACGAATTCGTCGTCGGCCGTTAGAGTTGAGCGAAGGAGGCAGATGTGACAAGAAATCCAGCGATCTTTCTGTGAAGTGGGTGTTCAGCGTTGCCAATGAACAAACGGGGGCTTTCGTCAAACCTTTTGCAGATGATCGTCTAACGTCAATGCTGCTCTGCACATTCGTCATCTCCGCGTTTGCAGGCTCTTCAAATTCGTCGAGCACAATTACATTGCCTTCCATTCTCTGCTTCCCTTTACTAGCTGTCCCTTTCGCTGTAAACCAGTTGATGGGAGCAAGTTCTACATCTTTCTTCAACACAAAGGACTTGAAGGTCTTCTCAAAGTCAGATATAGCTGATGGCCGGGACACATCAGGACTGGCGTCCTTCGTCATCGTAAATGAGCGCTTGATGGAGGGGGGTTTGGCCTTGCCGAAGAAGCTAGCCATAATCCAGCGCGACTTGTCTTGCGCTTCCTTTGCTCTTTTCTCTTTCTCCTCTCTCGCAGCCTTCTTCTCTTGTCGTTCTTTTTCCTTCAAAGGGCGCGCGAATCTGCGTCATGCGCCCTACATATGACACTGCAACGTACCTTGGCTGCCCTCTCAGGATCGGTTAGTTTCTTGGGACGGCCTGATCCCTTTTTCCCATTCTCAGGTTTCTAATTGACAACGTCAGTTAAGGTCTTTATTAGCCATGTTCACTCACATCAACTGTGGCGTCCTCCTCTGTCGACGCCATCGACTTCTCAGAGAGCGGAATGGACTTCACATCGGTGTCAGTAACGTCGATCACCAGGGACTGGTCAGCGGAATTCTCGTTAGACTTTGCCGTCAAAGGTGCTTTAACCCCTCCTTTGCCGCTTAATATCGCATTGCGTTCTTCATCCGAAAGCGAAGCAAAGTGCGCATTGAACTCCCGCTTGGCCTACACTCATATCAGTATGATAGGCTTGTTTTAGGATTGGATCACCACCACAATACCTGCAATCGCTCCGCATGTCTAGCTTCCGCCTTCTCTCTCACTTGTTTGGGAACCCAATCCTTGTATTCATCCTTGATCTCCCACTTCCAGACGTGGAACGCGGCTGGTCTCTTCCCCAATCCAGGCATAGCATCGAGACCATAGTCGTTCCTGCTCGCCACATGCCTGATCGCACTCTCTACCGCACTGAGAGATAGTATCGCCAATGCGTCATCGGCTTCATCTTCATCGTCGCTGACTGGCAAAAGCTGGCTCTGGACGTGTCTCGACAATGCTGGAAGCGTCTTGTCACTGGCGATGGAGTAGGCGTCAAAGTCTGTCGGTAAGTCGGTAGGAAGCGAACGAACCTTTCATGGACTAGCTTTGCAATGAGCGGATGGTGTTCGTCCGGTATAATGTCCAATGGTGTTTCTTTGTGTTGTATTCGTTCTTCTATCATTTGCCTGAAGTTGACAATCTCTGTGTTGAAAAACGGAAAGTCAAAACACGTCAACGCAGTAGCGCTTAGTGCAGCATACCCTGCATAGTCTCTGACAACTTCTCTAAAGAGAAAATTTTCTGCCTTAAGATCAGCTTGCCATTCTTGAGCTCAATAATGGGGGGTTTCGCTGTGAAGATCCCGACAGCGATGAGATTCAGCACGCGACATGCTGATGGGCGACTCACTGTTGGGAACGTTGCTTTCTACTCTTGCTGTACAGACGTCAGAACAGCTCAAGACATCCAGATGCACCACTCGCCTTCACCATTACCCAATTTTCCGGCATGAGCCATCGTGAACTGCCAGAGTTGCCTGAAGCGAAAGCCAACCACAGAGCTGGAGACGCGTGTGGTCACAACGTGACGCGACGCGATTGTCACGACGGTGGCGAGCGCATTGCGCGTCTAAACCTCTTTACCACTTACCAGCATGTCTTTCTTTCAGCCACATGCACCCAAAGCATCCAGGAGGCCTGCGATAGATCCAAAGCATCAGCCATGGGTGGAGAAATAGTCAGTACATCGGACGCATCACCAACTCTCGCTGACTGTGGCCTAAGCCGACCGCAAACAATCGACGACGTCTCCGCTCAAGAGCATACTGTAGCAGTCCTTAGGAAGACCCTGACATCTTCCGATGTAAGAAATAGTGCCATTCGAAACTGCATATCTTTCGCTCACTCCCTTAGCTCCCGCACATGCTGTTCTATGGCCCACCTGGAACCGGCAAGACATCGACGATCCTTGCCCTAGCACGTCAGCTATACGGGTTTGAACGCTTCCCATGACCTTTGACGGAGGAGAAATTGTTGACATGTCGATATCAGCCCGGACAACTTTCGCTCTCGAGTGCTCGAATTGAATGCTTCCGACGAGCGTGGCATCTCGATCGTTCGCGAAAAGATCAAAAACTTCGCACGTCAGACACCTCGTGCTCAAGTAATTGCATCGGACGGAAAGACATATCCATGTCCTCCCTACAAGATCATTATCTTGGATGAGGCGGACTCGATGACGCAGGACGCCCAGGCAGCTCTGAGAAGAATCATGGAGAACTATGCGAGGATCACACGCTTTTGCCTCGTCTGCAACTATGTTACTCGGTGAGCGTTCATATGTTTTGAAACACGAACGAGCTGATTGGATCTCAGAATCATCGAACCGCTTGCTTCTCGATGTTCAAAATTTCGTTTCAAGCCACTGGATCCCGCTTCCACTTCCACCCGTCTGGCTCAAATAGCCGCAGCAGAAAATGTCTCAGTCGCAGACGAAGTGATCACTGCACTCATTAACACCTCTAACGGAGACCTCCGTCGGTCTATCACATATCTCCAATCTGCATCCCGCCTCTCGATGTCTACGGATCCCCCCACAGACATTACTTCAAATGACATCCAAGAGATCGCTGGCGTGATACCCAATCCTGTCATACATGACTTTGCAAAGATCCTTGGAGTTGAGATAATTTCTGTCGACGCAACGGACGTCGATGACGGCGCAGATTCAAGAGCAAAGAGTTATGATGGCGTGAGGAATAAAGTCAAAGAGATCATCAGACAGGGCTATTCGGCTTCCCAGATTCTATCCCAAGTACGTTATTCCACTGACGAGACAGCATTGACTAACTAATCACTAGCTGCATGATCTCGTTATTGAGCATCCCACTCTGTCAGCCAGGCAAAAATCCCGTTGCGCTCTGGTTTTCGCCGAAGCCGACAAAGCGCTGTGCGATGGTGCGGACGAGGAGCTGTGGGTTTTAGAGGTCGGCCTGCGAGTGTATAAAGCTCTCTCGACATAAATGAGATTCGTACAGCATCCGACTGTAGTTATACATTGCGCCTTATGACAATGTGACATTGACACGTTGCAAAGGGAAGGAGCCTAACGAGAGCAGGTTCGCACTGTAGACAGCACAAGCAAACGAGAACAAAAAAAACAGCTATGCTATCAACATCGTGAAAAAAAAACCTTCAAGACACCCTAGCTTCACCGGATACCAGCGGTGGCTTTTTGGAGCGCACGCTTGATGCCCAACTGCGCCTTTCTGAGCTCATCAGCGGACGAGTCCTCAATTTCCAACTTCTCCAGCGCACGCGCGAGCTCAGCCTCGACCTGAGCTTTCGCTCCACGCTTGAGCTTCATGCCGATCTCCGGCGACGTGATGGTATTCTCAACCTGGTGGACGTAGCTCTCCAAATCGGACTTCGCCTCATGTCGAGCAGAGAAGTCCTTGTCCGCCTGCTTGAATTGTTCGGCATCCTTGATCATCTGATCAATCTCAGCAGATGAGAGGCGACCAACAGAGTTCGTGATGCCTACACGGAGGTCGTCAAAACATCCATGATGATACATGAGTGAACGCTTACTGATCTGAGCCTTGCGACCGGATGCACGGTCCTGCGCGGTGACCTTCAAAAGACCGTTGGCATCAACCTCGAAGGTGGTGACAAGCTCTGCCTGGCCACGGGGCATGGGGGGAATGCCGGTGAGCTCGAACTCGCCCAGCAGACGGTTGTCGCGGCACTGCGTCCGCTCACCCTCGTAGCTACCGACGGAAATCAGAAAGCATTTCAGTTTGTCACAGGATAAGGACGCACACAGGGAACGTGACAGTGGTCTGGTTGTCCTCGACCGTGGTAAAGGTACGCGACTTGTTGGTAGGAATGGGAGTATTACGGGGAACGACAACACCGAAAATATCACCCTGCATGGCAACACCCAAGGAAAGAGGGGCGACGTCGAGAAGGAGGAGGTCGGCTGTCTTATCCGAGGTCTGACCCGTGAGCACAGCGGCCTGGACAGCAGCACCATACGCGACAGCCTCGTCAGGGTTGATGGACTTGTTCAACTGACGGCCACCGAAGAAGTCCGAGACCAAAGACTGAACCTTGGGGATACGCGTAGAACCTCCAACGAGAACAATATCGTCGACCTTCTCACGGGGCATTTTGGCATCTTTGAGCACCCGCTCAACAGGTTCGAGAGTCGACTTGAACTGTCTAGCGTTGATCTCCTCAAATCGAGCACGAGTGATGTTCGCGGAAAAGTCCTCGCCCTGTCATGTAGGTCAGTATCCGCAATGAGAGAAAGCTACTTCTCGACTTACCTGGTAGAGCGAATCGACTTCGACCGTGGTCTGTGTTACGCTCGATAGCGTTCTCTTAGCACGCTCGCATGCACTCCGTAAACGCCTGAGAGCACGGGCATCCTCAGAGATATCGAGCCCGGTTTTCTTCTGGAATTCCTTCTTGAAGTGCTCCAACAAGTTGTTGTCGAAGTCCTCGCCACCGAGGTGAGTGTCGCCGGCTGTGGCCTTGACGGCGAACACTCCGCCAGTGATGTTCAGAAGGGAGACATCGAAGGTACCTCCACCGAGGTCGAAGATGAGAACGTTCTTCTCGGCGCTGCTCTGGCGATCGAGACCATATGCAATGGCAGCAGCAGTAGGCTCATTGATGATACGGAGCACCTCAAGGCCAGCAATGACACCGGCATCCTTGGTCGCTAAACGTTGAGAGTCATTGAAGTAAGCAGGCACACTATCAGATGCCGATGCATCAGATGGGATTCTCGAGGGTACTAGAAATGAGCAACATACGTGATGACTGCCTTCTTCACGTTCTTGCCAAGCTTAGCCTCAGAGATCTCCTTCATCTTGGTGAGAACCATGGAGGAGATCTCCTGGGGACTGAAGGTCTTCTCCTCTCCGAGGTACTCAACTTTGATCAAGGGCGATCCGTCTTTTTCGATGACCTCGAAGGGCCAGTGGGTCATGTCCTGCAATATGACATGTCAATACACTGGTGGTAGCGATCATCGGAATCGCACTAACCTTCTTGACGTCCTCGTCACTGAAAACATCCTATCAGTTTGCAACACTACGGCAACTGCGCATGAACGTGCAACACATACTCGAATCTCCTGCCAATCAGACGCTTTGCATCGAAAACGGTGTTGCGAGGATTCATGGCGGCCTGATTTTTAGCGGCGTCACCAATGAGACGCTCCTCAGTAGAGAAAGCGACGTAAGAGGGTGTCGTCCGGTTGCCCTCTACATCAAACATAAGCGTTACAATCTCACAAACGCATTTTATACTTACGATCATTGGCAATGATCTCGACACGGTCATTTTGCCAGACACCCACACAACTGTGGGATTGTCAGACGCGATACGCGGCCCAAAAGCGCAACACGCACGAGTAGGTGGTTCCCAGGTCGATACCTACAGCGCCGTCGAACACGTCCTCCATTTTTGTTAAGAGAGAATGAACGGAAAAAGACAGGGAAGGAGATGGACGCGGTACAGAAGATGACAAGCGGGCGTGCAGCAGAAAAAATCGATGCGGCTGAGGTAAGCTGTAGCGCGCATCGCAATTCGCCGCGAAACGCGCCCACGCACGCCGTACCATGTCTCTCTTGCAGGTCCGCTCGTTGTTTCCTGCAGCGGCGCGATATTCAAGACATGCGCCACGCCCAATCACTCTCCTGAGAACACAAAGGTCCCTGTTTGCCGATTCCTTCGAAGGAAAGCCTTTGGAAACCGAAGACGACTGGACAAAGTTCCAGCTCGAGCGCGCAGGATTCAAGTCTCTGAGTGCGTGCATGGGCCTGTCTTCCCAGACGTTCTGCCATTGACGATGCCTTTAGTTGACCATTTCACTCCATATGGGTCAACGCAAACAAGGGACAACTCCTTCCAACCGCATCATAGCCTTCACAGACCAACGGCTCCCTCCGATGTCACGCTCTCTACATTGCTCGCATCTGGTGCTCATCTCGGACATGCTCAATCCCTGATGAACCCGAATTTTCTGCCGTACGCATATGGCGTTCGGGCAGGTATCACCATTGTCGATCTCGACCACACACTTCCCCTCTTACGCCGTGCAGCGCATGTTGTTCGCGGAGTGGCTTCGAAGGGGGGCACTATCGTGTTCGTCGGCACACGCCCAGACTTGCGGCCTGTTGTTCGCAAAGCTGCAGAGAGAATGGGACGAAGGGCGTATAACGTCGGGGAGAAGTGGCTACCAGGCACGCTGACGAACAAGGCCGTGATGTATGGCCCACAAGTTGTCAAATCTGAACAAGTCGTACCGGATCTCGTCATTCTGCTCAATCCTGTTCCCAATATGCATGCCATCCGAGAATGCGCAATTGAACACGTCCCCACGATCGCTATCATCGATACAAATGTCGACCCGCGTGTCGTAATGTACCCGATACCGGCAAACGACGAGAGCACTCGCACGGCGGAGCTTATTGCAGGTGTATTGAGTATAGCAGGGAGGGAGGGTGTAGCGCTTTACGAAGAGGACCTCAAGCGAAAATCTGTGCACACGGAAAAGCACCAGAAAAGGGTTGCTGGCCAGAAAAATGTACAGCGGCAGCATACATAGTATCACGACTCAGTAACAGCCAATGAGCCTGTGCTCTGTATATCGTACCAGTACTCTATGTGTGCGAATTAGTCAGGTTCAACGGGTAACGGGAAACGACTGACTCTCAGCTTGTTCGAGCGCTCGAACGTTCCCTTTAAGCTTGTTGATGGTCTCGACGTACTCATCTTCCTCCACGCTATCGAAGACAATGCCTCCTCCGGCTTGCAAATATGCCACGCCATCCTTAAACACCATCGTTCGAATGGCAATGCACGTATCCATTTCGTCATCCGCGAAGTCAAATCGTCCAACTGCGCCAGCGTAAACACCACGTCGTTGTTGCTCTAGCTCATAGACAAGCTCAACTGCTTTAATTTTGGGAGCTCCGGAGACAGTTCCCGCCGGGAAGATGGATCTAAATGCGTCAAACCTGAAAAAATGGCCAATCAGAGCTTGATGAACGTGAAACAATCAGGTGTAAAAGCCCGACCTTGTCTTGCCCTCGCGCAATTGTCCAGAGACTTGCGAGGTCAAATGCGTGACATGGCTGAAGTTCTCCAGTCGCATCAAGTGGTCAACTTTGACCGTCTTGGGTTGGCAGACCCGATTGACATCGTTCCTCGCCAGATCCACCAGCATGATATGCTCGGCCCTATCTTTCTCGGACGCCAACAGCTCCGCACCAAGCTTCTCGTCCTCTGACGATGTCTATATGAGCTGTCAGCATTGGAATAAGACGGACAGTAACCGACCTTCGACCGTTTTTCCCCTGCGAATTGTCCCCGCAATGGCATGGTTGAATACCTTGTTCTTCTCGACTTTGCAAAGCGTTTCGGGGCTTGCACCTACTATCTGAAAGTCGCCGCAGTCGACATAGAACATGTAAGGGCTGGGATTCACCCGTCGCAGCTGTCGATATGCGTTGAAGGGATGCAAGGTCGTTGGCCGGGCGAGCCGCTGGGACGGCACGGCTTGAATTATGTCCCCGGCGACGATATGCTGCTTTAACGCCGCGACGAACCCTTCATAACCGGCCTTGCCCACGTTCGAGATAGCTTCTGCTCCGAGAACAATGGGACCTTGAGGCACTTCCGGGGTCACAGGGACAAGGACCATCTTGGCTAGCCTACGAGCCTTCGCGACTGCAGTCTGATAGATGAAGGACAGGTTGACAGCTCCTGTGTTCCCCGGGCAGAAGAGGTGTGAAACAACCTTCACTGTCTGGAACAGATGGTCGTAGATGAGGAGTGTGTCGACCAGCATGAACACCGCTTCGGGTATTCCCAATGGATCGCTCAACGGACGCTTGGTCTTGGGCTCAAAGTGTTGGATGCAGTCGTATGCAACGTATCCGATGGCACCGCCAGTGAATGTCGGTACTTCAGGTAGCTTCACGTAATTGTATAGCGCGAGTTCTTTCTGCAACGCTGCCATAGGATCTCCCGTAATCTCTTCATTGGGACCTGTCTTTATGATCTTGAAAGGATCTGAGAGAGGATACTGAACAATTTCATGAGCATAGATCGTCTTGCCACTCACCGGCTCCAATGAAGCTATACCGCGCGAGATTCTCTCCTGCAACAACCGACTCCAGCAAGAAACTATACTTCGAGTCCTTCGCTATCCGCAAGTAGGCCACGCATGGTGTGAGAAGATCGCCAGGAAGTTCGACATAGACGGGGACGCAGTTTCCCCGTTTCTCGTTGAGGATGATTTGCTCAACGGTAGCCAACGGGGGATACGCCGGAAGTTTCTGCGCAGCGGTGACCTTGTGAGAAAGAACACATAAACTCAGGGAAGACAACTGACTTGAGGGTCCATGTCTTTGACCTTGCAGAGAGTGTCGCTGTGTTGGCAGCAGCGGAATAAGCCAGAACATATTTATCTGAAGTTTAGGGTCACCCATCAACCGGTGAAACTGATACTGAGACATGTAGATTGTACAGCATTCCAGTTCACGTTCTGTTGTGTCGACCCGTTGTTCCACTGTGTCCAGAAATCTCCGGTCGACGACGTCTCAGTCGAGCATTCTGTGGCACTGATCATCGCAGCGCTCAACTCTTCTTGTGGCCACCATGATCACTCCGCGTTTCTCTTGCAGTCAGACCGAAAGTTCCGTGATCGTCTCAATCTACTGCCCTTCCGTTCGAGTATGTCCAGCCTATCACTGTCAGAGGCTCAGTAATGGTACTGATGTGGCTCATCTCGGAAGTAGGCATCCGATGTCGAGATCCACATTGATGAGACTTTGTTCAGCATTCATGTCAACCCATATTTCCTGCGACTGACATTCTCGCATGCATTGCTGGGCGAAGACGAGTCTGCCGCAACATATGATCCCAGCACTGGCTATCTTACCGTGACCTTGCCGAAGGAGGTCAAGGGACAAGAATTCAAAGACCTGGATTTGCTAGCAAAACTTCTCGCTCCCCGTCCTCCAGAGGCGTCGTCCGCACAGCCGTTGATCGAGGTTCTTCATTCAGAAGATACAAACCAAGATGAAGATGAAGAACTGGCCGATAGAACACGAGCTCTGACCTTGGAGCAGCGTCAGATTCTGGAGGGTGAGCTAATCCGCCGTAGCTCTCGTTTCATGACCACCTAAGTTATTCCCTAGCGGCACAAAATGACTGGCAGCTAATTCAGGAAGTTCAAGATCCTCTCCCGTCCTTGCACACAACAACTGAACGTCACTATGGGTTCCTGAATATGCATACGGGATTTTTGCGACATGTCGCCCACACCGAGAACGAAGTGAACGAACTTGGTCCTGATGCAGAGTCATATCTACTAGACGAACGACGGAAATGTCGTTTGCAACACGAGGAAGACAAATGGGACGAAGAACATTACATGTACGTGGAAAGCCGATTACGCTTTACGGAGAGACGACGTTTTCGCAGAGCCGACTTCATGGAAGACGACTATATACAAGAACTCATTACATGGCCACATCCTGAGGCTACTCCTTCTGATGACTTTCTTTTCACTGAAAAAGAAAACATGACCATGCTTTGCCTGCCCCGCAAAGAATGTTCGTGTCTACGATGCGCAATTTAACTTGTGCTAATATATCTTGCAGATCTCGCCACTCCCATGCAAACGCGCCATCTCTATCTCACCTTGTTGACTTTGCTATTCTCATATGTGTACGAGACACGAACGACGCAGCACGATCCGACGCCAGAAAGTGCTTGGACCATCAGCGTTTTGACCCCAGCTTTCTCCGCGTTGGATCCACCACCTTACATGGACGAGTCGCCGCTGTCAGATCCGTTAAAGTTTGACGTAGCAGCATTGACGGCAACGTTCACGGCCTCATACCGCCGCTCACTCGCGTTCCCGCTATACCGGTCGTTCGCGTTAGCCGAGAAATGCCGTGCAGACGTCGCCGCGATCCTTGCAAGAGGGAAACGCGTGGTCACCCGCTGCCTTCTCGAGATGAAGCACATTCTCGACCATCACGAGGTGTATTATGTGTATAGCAAAGTATGGGTGGAGGATTTCTGTGTATGGATGCTTGCATATGCCAGGTGATGCCGGAACTTCACTTGGTGCCCCAAAAATTATGGCTGATCTCTTGGCGGCTCTAGTGATGACGTGTTGAGGGAACTATCGCAAGCCGTCATCGGGTTCAAGATGCAGAAGATCTCGGTCGGCTGGGATCTAGAGGAGCTGGAGACTTCAGCCCGTGAGGCGATGGAGGGAGAGCCAGATAGCGACGATCAGTCGGAAGACGAGATCGAGCGCATGTTACCTGCACCTCTGTGACGCTAATGCGCACATAGTATCGGTGAAATTCCCAAACCTTGCCGCTGCATTTGGTCCGCTTGTTGGCTCCTGTTGTTGACATGTACTATAGAGTGAAGAATAGAATCCGTGATATCTAGTAACCCTAATGAATGCCGCCAGTGCGTGCAAGGAAGAAATTCGTTCAAAACAAGCGCTGCAGACGTCACACAGGCCACTACTTCCTGAATCACCCGGCTTGGCCTCCTTCGGTAGAACCGAAATACTTTACTCACTTACGTCTTGTTGATTTTGCGGCTATTGTGCGGAGAGAGCGGGGTACCTTGAGTCTCCCGAGGGAGATAGACACTAGGTAAGTGAGTCCTAACAACAGAGAAGAAAAGGTCGCGTTCGAGACTATCCATACTACTCCACAGCGCCGAGGGTAAAAGATGTCATTTGAGCGGAATTGTCTCCCACTCGCTGATGCCGTACACTGAAACCGTTACCAATCCATACCTTCGGAGCCCCGCGGGACCTTCTCTATCATTTGGCTGTTCGGCACTGATAACACTTGTATAGTGTCATTACGACTGAGGCTCACGCACTCACCGATGGCCGAGTTCTTCCGCGCACTAGCAGTACGATGATCCCACGACAGAGACTCTTGACTTCGGCTCGATGCTGTAAGTGGGAAAGACATGTAAGTCATCTGAGCCTCTATCTGCAGCGATAGCCGCACGGCACGGATAGAACGGAAGAGGACAATCACACAGAATGAGAAAAAACGGAATGCTACAATGGAGAAGCTACTAGCCTAGTAGCACGGCTCACAATCACATCAACGAGGTCTGCAACTCAAATACTAAACACTTACATCCAGGACGAGCAACTGACAAATCCATCATCTGGGCGTAAGGCTACTAGTGTCGCGCTCTATCGGCGGTTATATCGGTCACCTCGGTGATGTTCCGAGTCTCTAGTTTATGGGTATCCATGATATGTCGGGCGGCGTAATAGAGTCATTCCAACAGGATTGTGAGATCTGAAAACAAATTCACGACAGCCCCTTTTTCTGCGGGTCTCGCTGCCCAACATGCCCTTTCCCTGCCCTTCCGGGTCAAGTCGCTCGCTCATACTCGTGGCGAGAGAAGCAGGAAGAAGGGGGAGGGTGAGGGAGGTAAACAAGCCGCACCAATTTGAGAACAACAGCAAGATGTGGTGAATACGTATTAAGTATGAGCTTACAACGGCGCTGATGATCTAAAGAAGCCGTCGGGCCGGAAAACGCTGGCCACTGTTTCGCAGAAGATATACGGCTTGCCGTATCTGGGTGGCAGCGTGAGGAAACATATACGTTTCGAGCGCAGAAGTCTACCAGCTTCGAAGCCTTGACAGAAACAGAAGTACGTCCTCTCGGTACCGAGCGTTAACAGGCGCCTGCACCAACAAGCCTCAGGGTACCATATGCAGATGCAGAACACTAGATGCGTAAGTTGCATGCCAGCAATGCGGAGAGTTTACGCACGAGATGCTCGAGAACTAGTCGATCCAGCATATCGGCGACCTGTAGTGGAATCACGGGGGCTCAACTTCGCACAGTGGGATGTAGATTCGACTCGGGTGTCACTGATAGACAGATGCTATCTCGGCCGGAACGTGCAGCATCCAGCCTTGCTTACGTTGTGCAAGCAAGCACACAATTGGCTGACCTCAAGAAAGGTGTGGGCGTGAGGCCCGAACTTACGTGGCATCGGGCTTGAGAAGTGCACATGATTTCAAATGAGATCACCGTGGTAGGAGTAGGACCGTGTGACAGAAGCTGAGCTGACTGTCTGGTTTGAACTTGGAGCATGTGGCCGACAACTCAAAACGACATTGAACACTGTTCCGGCAAAGGGGCAGTGGGTAGTAGAAGCATCGACTGTCTTCCTGGAGTTTCCGCTCAGTCAACGATTTACTCACCCGGTAGCAGAGTCGTGCCAGAGCCTCATGGAGCAAAGTTCCGACGAGAAGTCGTATTCCAGAACATCCCGATTCCTTCGTGTTGTACTTCCGGAATTGCTCTAACCCGGCTCGGGGAAAGAGCTCAACATTTCCATATTACATGCACATCTCTGCGCCATGCTCATCCAGACCGCTATTTCTGTCTCTTGGGCGTGAGATGCAATGACTTAGCATTCCCGGATCGATGTCCAGCTGTTACCATTGAACCTCACGGAACCCAAGGTAACTGGCCATGACCAGCAACAATTATTTGATCGCATTGAAACTAGTGAAAACCATGCATAGTAGCATAACAAGAACATAAAGCAGTGAGTGTATATCCGCGATGACGTGCGTACACATGTGGTCGTCTATGTACTCACTAATCAGTAAACAAAAAAGGTACTCAATGCGGAAAACTTGTCATCATCGATTCGTCCCAGATACGTCCAGGTCTCGACCTCGAAATACGTGCCAGTTCGACCACGTATTTCGCTGGAAGAGCGCCTGTGGTACTCTTGTTATGTCCTTCCTCAACCATGGAATGGAATCCTTGTATCAGTGCATTCTTGCATTGATGCAACCTCATCTCGTCCGCATCAACCCCTGTCGCCTCGTCGTCCTCAATAATGGTTGAGAACGCGGCATAGGCTTTCTTGACGTGATCACGCAGTCGTTCAAGAGCGTCGAATAGGGACTCGCCCTCAGTGACCCTGACCTCGAGCTCGCCCAGTGGCTCGCGAGATTGGATGGATGTGACCGTGCGTGGGAGGGCTGGGGGACGATCTGTGCGGTCCGTATATGCGCCAAAAATCTCCACGACTCCGGGCTCCTCCGGGATGAGATGAACACACTCCACTCTGGGCGATCCGATAAATAGGATGAAGGAGTCATGGCGGGCACGATCAGATGAGAAGAAACCGAGTAGATTGGACAGCATTGTGTAAGTGTGTGCTTCGAGTGTCTGCACCGGAGTGAAGTTGGGATCTAGCGCTCGTTTCTCGCGTGCGAACAATATTTGCTGACTAAGTAGACGGAATATGCATCGACACAAGGCAATTATGCCACTAGGAGAACACACCCCAGGAATACTTGGAGGATTATGTGAAAGGTCTGAGGCCAGGGGCCTCAACCCGACCGTTCCGCCAGAGGGGGGAAGACATTGAACCCTTCGGCCACAGCTGCTGAAGGGATTACCTTTGCTGCACATAGATGGGGAATGAGTATGCACGCCCCGGTGCTCGATTTCGGTATAGCCTGAGCCTAGAATTCCAACTTCATCTGCATCATGATACTTACAACTATTCGAATCTGAATCGCAGATGGAATCGTACTGCTTTCGTTTGACATGATCGCGCCACGCTTCCGCTGCTTTCCCGGCACGAACCCGCCGATGAGGTGAGTTCTGGTCAAGTGAGCCAGTCTAACAATGAGGCCATCGGGTAGACGGTCAGCGACATCGATCACGAGAAGGGGGCTCGGATATTGAACGCGCCTTGCACCGCGAGGGCTCGTAATTCGGCGTTTAAGCCAAACCTTGGGCTCCACAGTTCGCCTGGGTGTATTAATCTGCCACAGAAGCGAGCGGGCAGAAGCCGGGTATGGAAAGGCCAGGAAAGCTTCGCGAGACATGGAAGGCGGGCGCGCGCTAGTCGCTCTGGGGCGCGAATATTTCTGCCGTCCGCGACGTCTTGCAGCGAATCGCGCTCAAATGATTACGCCGCCGCTGCAAGAATGGCGAAATCGCCTGGTGACCATCAAGCATCATGAGGCGGGGGCCTGCAGGTGCACTATATTATCAAAGCATGGAAGCAGCGGATATGACGACAGAAGTACGTGAAGCAGGGCGCGAGGAAGGCGAACCGCATAAATAGTATGAATATGATGGAACCGTGCAGGTGACTGTGATGCTGCTATTGTGATGGAAGACTATTAAGCCCTTGTAAGCTCTTGTTGAGGAGACGATGCGATTGTGTTTGGATACATGTATGCGTGAGGAGACGACAGACAATGCGAGGATGTGAGGCAGTACGTGACGAAGCACAGACAGTGGAGCAGATGCGAAAAACACAACAAACAGCAAGGATACAGCGTGGAACGTCAAAGATCAAAACGTGCTGCGGCCCGAGTAAGGATATATGAAAACCGGAATGGAAGGGCGAAGCGAGGCAACTCGTGGCCACTCGGTATCTATGCAGAATACGGAAATGAGCAGCGCGGGCGCCAGCGAGATGATGCAGTGTTGCAACAGTTACAACAAATGCAAAAAGATCGAATACGGAATGAATGTATGATATCAGAGTTCCGCGTTGGTCTAGGTTCCGAAGCGCATGTTTATAGCCTTTCCGGCGGCACGAACCGACTTGTATGTGCGCGCGACCAGCATTGATCGAAACCAGGCAACCGAGATATGGACGGAAACGATGATAATGAGGCCCGCCGAGCTGAGCTGAGCTGAATGCCAGTGCCACCAGTCCAGTGAGGTTCCCGCGATATCGCTGTGCGTAGCAGAAGGCAAAGATCCTCGAGCTGTTTACGAGCGTTGTGAGAGCTGCTTCCGCCTCCCAAGGCCCCATAACCCGAAGAGATGCGAACTGCTTCGCCTCGACTGTACCTCGATACGGGTGAGCTCTTCCTCCCATGCGCGAACATGTTCCCTCTCTCCACCCTGAGTCTTTAGCCTCTTGTCTTCCTTCACCTTCTCCCTTTCCCGATCGCGCGCTCTCTTCTCCCGGTCCATCGTGCTCTCGCTCGACCCGGGTCCAGACCCGTGCCGCACATGCCCACGCGAGCTCGGAAGCATATGTATGTGCTGTTCCACAGGAATGGACACATCCACCGGCGTCACTAGCGGTGCGTTTCGCGTGAGCGTAAGGAAGGAAATGTTGGACTTGTCCCTCGGCCCAGCAGATGTATGCGGCCGCCGTGTCGACTTGTGTTCTTTGCCCTTCGCGCCTGAAGTCGATGTCGATGACGGCCCGTACTTCTCATGCTGATGTCGATGGGCATCCTCCTTCTCCGTTACCACGCGGGAAGAGATCTCCCCAGAATGCGACCTCGCGTTCACGTCCGCCTCCTCTAGTGACGCCGGCTCGTGCCGTGCCCGCCAAGGACTCTTCGATTTGCTCCTGCCAATATTCTCCCGCTGCTCTGAATACTTCGCGAGCGCCATACGCCGCTCAGCCTCGTTCGTTGCCGCGACCATGATCTCGCGCGGTTCGAGCTCGATCGAATCTGATCCCGCGGGTCCCGAGACGCGCACGGTCGCGCGCAAAAAGAACCGAATTGCCACGTGCTCACTGTGCATCGTCTCGCCAAGCGCCCATTTGCTCTGCGGCCGCGATGTTGGAAACTGCAACGTGAGCGTCTTTGACCACACGCCGTGGGCTTCACAGGTGAAGCCGGAACCTTCAGTGGTGGTCACTGTAGACGTGACAGTCTTCGCTGGTGTGTCGGTGGCGGTGAGAGTTCGGGCGGCAGAAGGATGCCGAGCAGGATGCGGCGGAATGTTGATTGGCATCGGGAGAGATGATTGCGGGGAAGAGAGGAAGGATAGCGAAGACGAGGCGGTAGTGGATCCCTCGGTTCTTGAGCTTGTTGACAGGGCAAGCTCTTGTGGAGAAAGAAGATTAGATGAAGAGTCATATGGCGTTTTGAAAGACAGCTGGGAGCTGCTAGAGCTGGGCGTCGGGATTTCGTCCGAGGCGAGATATGAGCCGCACAGAGGCGTGGGAGGTGGCGACCCTGCGGAAGTCGAAGAATAGGGAGACGGGTTCAGCAGGTCGATACGGCGCTCGACGACGAGGGTCGCACTGCGGACCGAGACGTTACGATCGAGCGGCTGTAGTGACAAGGATGCGAAGATGATGTCGTCCGGGCCGACAGGGTGGGAGGGTGTGGAGATGTTGTAACGTAGAACCGGCGCGCGTGGCTTGCTCGTCTGAAGGTAGAGCGATGATGCTGGCGGGACCGGGGGTAGGTGAGAAGGATATGAGGGAACATCATACCGAATGAGTGCAAGGTCGTAGTAACGCAGAAGGCGATGACCCACGCCGGTGATCGGTACGTGCTCGAGTGCTGGGTTAAAGTGTGTAAACGGACATCGAAGCGGCAGAAGGCAAAATGATGTGTGATGGATGGAAACGTCAGTGGTGAATGACAGATGGACAGGCGGAGGCGACTTACTAGCCTCGACGCGCCAGAAGGTTCGGTAAACCTGGAAATTCGCGGTGCTGAAGCCGGAAGCGCGTTTGGGGAGGGAGACTTTGAACGGGAGTTCGAGGTCACCGACATCTGCCCACTGGGCAGACTCGGGTTTAGTCCAGAGGACCACGGTGTAGTCGGCGATGACGGCGGAGTGCACGGTGCCACGCGAACGACTGACGCGTGACTCGTAGCAGCGGACGGAGATGGAGATGGACTTTGCGGGGAGGGGTTTGCGGTCCTCGTCTAGCCTGGTGCGGACGACTGTGGAGGAGAGAGAGGGTAAAGTGTGAAACAGCGGGAGAGCAGTGAGTACCCTAGAACGCACTGCCTTCGACGCGGACGGGGGTGAGTCCGAGGTAGCCATGGAAGGGGAAGAAGCGGGAGGAGGGGTTGCCCTTTGCGGGGAGGACGGAGAGATGGACCATGGGGGCGGGAGAGGAGGGAGATCAGGCGGAGGGGGCGGGTGGCATTTAATAAAGAGAGTGGGAGGCGGCTAAGGAGGGTGATTGCTCTCGTCGCGGGTGATTGCAGCCATTGGGCTAGCGCTGCTTCTTTTCGATGGCTCTGCTTCTCGTCGACCTCCTCCCCGTCACGCGCCGTGACTGTCACTGATGCGATCCCCAGCTTCCCTCGATTTCCTCTTTCGGCTGCCATTCCCTTCGACCCCCCACCACCATGCCGTCCTCCTTCTATGTACCCATCCTCGTCGGGGGCATGCTCATCACGGTACGCATCGTACGCCGCGTCGTCGCAGCACTCTGACCTGTCGTGCGCAGGGCTCCAGCAACTCGCTCTGGAGCAAGTGGCAGGCATGTGCGCTTCCTCCTCTTCTCCCATGCCCAGCTCACCTCTTCCAGGATATGCAATGTGTCGAGAATTGTGACGATCCTAATCCGACCAAGCACGTTCTGTACGAACAGCCAGTATGGCAGACTCTGCAGATGTTCCGTACGTCCACCAAACGCCCGTTCGATTCAGTGCACACGCCTTACGTTCGCCATCCGTACTAGTCGGAGAAATGCTCTGTAAGTGCTGGATCGACTCCACGTCCACATTGTTTCATGTCCTCACACGCTCAATCACATCTGTCTTTGCCTAATCGGTCTCACACCAAGGCTTCCTCCCTGTCCTATACGTGTGGCTGTCCTCCAAGCGCGCGCGTCCCGCCGTTCAGCTCCCGACGGATATAGAGGAGGAGCCGGCAACGGGCTCAAAGCCCCACGTCGCGGCACAGCATCTCCATGGTTGGAAAATTCTCCTCCTCTGGTTCCCTGCCGCCTGCGACCTCACCGGTACGACGGTATGTTTTCCACAGCTCTATTTCCGCTTTCAGCACTTACCGAGACATTGCTTCTTCTCTGGGATCACTCACCCTGCCCGACATCCCCGACCGCATGATTGGATCTGCGATCGTCCGGGCCACGCAGCTCATGAATATCGGTCTCCTCTATACGCCGGTATCCATATATCAGATGACCCGTGGCGCCCTCGTCCTTTTCGTGGGCGTGCTATCGGTCATCTTTCTTCGCCGCAGGCTCTGGCTCTACCAGTTGAGCATATTTCCTTCTTGCGCTCTCCCACCATTGTTCCCCATGCAGCTATCCCTCCTAACTCCACCCGGGGGTGTAATCCTCCCCATCTGCTCGTCATAAAGTTACACCTGCTCAACTCTTGTTCCCAAGATGGATATCCCTTGTTACCGTTATGGCAGGCGTATCTCTCGTTGGCTACAGTGGGTCCATGATCAAGGATGCAGTCAAGGAGCCAAATGCGAGCATCATCAATATGGCCACGCCCTCGGCTGGCTTCCGAGTGCTAGAGGATCTGCCGTCGCCACAGCCAATCGAGGAGCCGGAGATCACGAAAGTACTAGTCGGTCCGTATCCCTTCTTTTCGAGATCCACTCTATGGTCCGCAGAAGCAAGCTTGCTGACCAAGTTCGCGGTCTAGGTGTATTCTTTATCCTCTTCGCGCAGGTGTTGTGCGTTTCTTCTTCCGCTTCGATTCATCGTGCCGGCGCTTACGAGCGTCATTTTCGGTGCTGCCGGCCCCGTGTCGCCACATAGCACTGCGACGCAGTTCGTCATTGAAGGTGTGTGCGGCGCCGCTACTACTTTGTGCCATGTGTCCGGGGCTGCTGACTAATCATCCGTCCCCCCCGCCGCGCCGCTTCTCTTGTCGCGTGCACCGAACAGAGAAGATTATGGCCCGCTACTCGGTCGCGCCGCTCGTCGCAGTCGGCTGGGAAGGCTTTTTCGGTGCACTCAGTATCGTGCTCGCCATGCCCCTTCTCGCGCATTATGCCTATGTCACACCGTTCTTCGACCTCCCGCGCGGTTGGTACCAGATGATCGACACTCCATCGGTGTTGTGGAGTGGCGTTATCATCGCGATATCTATCTCGCTCTTCAATTTCTTCGGGCTCAGTGTGACTCGGCACGTAAGCGCCACGGTGAGAAGCTTGACTGACACATGCAGGACGCTTAGCATCTGGATCGTAAGCCTCGGGTTGGGATGGGAGACAATCATGTGGCCTATCTCGTTGCTGCAGGTGCTTGGGTTCGGGCTCTTGGTGTAAGTATTTATCCTTCTGATTGAGCGCCAATCATGACCCCTCTTATCATTCCTTGTAGTTATGGAACAGTAAGTGACACTTCCGCAGTAATCCTGTCTCCGGTTGGGTGTTCATGCTTGCACAGTTCCTCTTCAATAACCTCGTCAAGCTGCCACTCTTCTTGCGCCCTGCGGCCGAGGGTGCCGCAATATCTGTACCGATCACCGAGGACGTAGAGGAGAATCGTGCACTGCTTTCCGAACAGGTCCTCGACGAGACTGCTGCGCTTCCAGCTGACCTTGGCCAGAGTGGCTTCGACACGTTGCCTCCGCATGAACACCTCAACACAGAGTCTCCCCCTCCTGAGCAATGATGTCGTACCCTCTTCCGCTGTATCTAGGCGCTGCGATCGTGTGCTGTACTGAGGCTCGTGCTTCAGTTGTACATATATGTGGATTACCGTATCGAACCAACCCTTCTTGAAAAATGCTCCTCCGGTGTTGTGCATCCCCCGGTGTCTATTGTTCTGTGACTGATCCATCTTGCTCTTCGCTCCCCTCGCGATATGTGACAATCTGTGTTCTGTGGTTTGCGGTTACCAATGTGGCATCTCCGACAGCACTCGGAGGAAGAAGACGTGAGCATTGTAGCGGCCGAGGAAGACGCCACATCGTGTTAAAGGGTGCATGCGATCATGCGCACGTTGTGATCTTCCGTAAAATTGTAATGTGTCTCAAGATCCTCGCAGCAGCCGCCCTCGCGACCAGCAATCGGGTTTAGCGCGAATTTCGGCTCTTAGTGTCGCGAGTTTGATCAGCTAGAGCAGCGGCCCGCGGATAGAGCCTCAGTTTGCGCAGCCTTTTTGTAATTTGTTTGCGGTCACTAGCGAGTGCTTTGCAGACTCTTTCAGAGTCTGCCGCACTCAGGCTGTGAACTAATTTATTGATTGTAGGTTAGTTGCTGATTGGCGGCCAGCGCGCTGTTACGGGCAGGTCCATATTCTCTTTGGAGTGGTATTTCAAAGGTGATTGACAGAACAGCTGCGCCTACAGGTTCAACGGTCTGGCCGGCTTCAAATCCTCCTGATCAGGGATGCAAAGGAATGATGCATCAAGCTCAAGAACCAATAGTCGCATCATGGAACTTTCAAATACTGTCAGCGTCCTCGATGATGATGAATTCTGTCATGAGCTAAGAATCACGGTCTCACCAACGTAGAGGCCGTCCGGTTGTGGTACGCATCGTCCCGGTTTAGGCCTGTCGGAACTTGCGACAACAACGATCCCGACACCTGCCGGAGGAGAATACGCGGAATCGGTTGGCCTTTGTTGTGAGCGGTTTCAATTGATCATAAATGGCCCCGCGGGAGACGTTTCCGCTCGGTGATAGTACGCGATCAATCGATCGCACTTCATGTTACGATATGATACATAGTATCCACATTGTACATGTGTTGAACTCTCTCGGAGCTCACTTAATATGTGTGCATCAGTCAAATTCATCTGTGTGTCTCCAAGTACAGGAGCTTCGTCTTTCCGTGGAGCACGCAGTTAATGCCCCCACTATGTGAGGTTTCGTGAACACTATTTTTGAAAAGGCAGTCCAGTTCAACCATCAGGACCACGGCATAGTGTTAGCCGGATCTAGGAATTCGCTGACGTCGCATCTTGGGGCTCGACACACGTGTAGGTGCATCCATGTGCTACACGCATACGCTCGCCGCTCTGCACGGCATGGACTACTCTTTTGACACTCTTGTGGCAGGGCAAAAATCAAGGTCATCGTGTTCAAGTAAGGTATGTTGTCTCTGTGGCCGTGCCGAGTTCCGCCCTTCACTCTAGAAGTCAACACCGGCTCGCAAGTATCGATCTGTCTACATACTCAATGAAATCGCAATTACAGGTCGGCATCTGTTGGAGATATGTTCTATGTACCGTGAATAGACTTTTCTCTCCGACAGACCTGTGTCCGAAGTACCCGTGTTCTGAAACACGCAGTTCGTCGATCTTTCGGACTCCTCTCGATCTCATTTAATGGTAGAGCCCGATAAAGTTCATTCGTATAATAATATAGCAGCCGCATGCTACATATTGCTGACCGTATCATCAAGCACGCACATGGGCGTACTTCAGAAAGACAAATTGCATATCATGATGCGGAAGTTCGAGCTTACCGAGCGTCATTGAACGGCCCGATCATCGATGTGGTCATCATCCCTGTATATTCGAGCATACTCTCAGTTGAGCTCCTCATAACAGCGTCCGTTGTTCAACCATCCGATGCACACTTCTTTTGTTGGAGAAGCGGTACGGAACATGCAATACCAGTGCTCCCGCACATTAAGCCTTTTTTTAAACATTTTATATACCGCCGGCGCATTAAGCCGACAGATAGAACAATCCTTCATCATCGGAGAAGGATTGCTTCCATCCATCTACAGTACGTGCTATACAATGATGGCTCGTAGAGGACTTTACGTACTATTAGTCCGTCTTGGTTTTGGAAGCCGGGGCAACAAAGGTCGCCTATGAATGGAGTGATCAGCAATGGTGCACCTAAACATGCCAGCTACTTACTGAAATGAACTTCAAGACCTCGTCAATCAGAATGACAGGCGCACTGAAGTACAACACCGCTTTCCACTCAACCCAGTTGAGTGGTGTGATGGAGAACAACGTCTATGCGCACAATTAGTATGTCTGTATGCTCATTATATTCGGTTGGGCTTACCGTGAAGAACGGTATATATAAAATGCCCAGGTGAAGGACCATGCTCAACGTGATCGCAGCTACAAGGAATGGGTTCTTCCAGAGAGGAAGCGCAAGCAGACTCTCATTCTCAGAGAGCGAGTTCATCGCATTAAACATTTCGACGGTAACCAGGATGGACAAGCTCATCGTCGTCGCGTGATGGGCCATCTCATTGGTGAACATCTCGCAACCGACTTCTGGAAACAGTGACGAGCATTGGTGAAAGTGCGTCTATCCGACGGTCAGCTCATATTTTCACACCAGTCAACGTCATCAACTCACCAATTGCCAAAAGGAAATTTGTGGGCCTCCGCTGTAATACATGAACCACCAAGCGTATCCTGCAACTGTGGCGCAGCCGACGTAGGTGCCGATGATCATGTATCGCATGAATAACCATGGTCCGACAAGTCGTTCCCGATTGTTACGTGGAGGAACGCGCATGATATTGTGATCTGAAGGATTGAATCCCAGAGCAGTCGCTGGTAGACTGTCGGTCACGAGGTTCACCCATAACAACTGCACCGGAATCAGTGCCTCGGGCATGCCCAAGAGCACAGTCAAGAATATGCTACAGACGCAATGTCAGCGAGGATGCCTTTCTTCAATCGGGAAGCCAGGCTGCGTTACCTGACGACTTCGCCGATATTAGAAGAGACTGCGGGGAAGTCAGAAAGAGCAGAGCTGCAGCAACGATACATACGCACTGAGGTAGCGAATGAACTGCTTCGTGTTGTTATAGATCAGCCTGCCTTCCTCTACTGCCAATTCGATCGTGGCGAAGTTAGAATCGGCAAGAACCATGTCAGCTGCCAACTTGGCGACATCGGTGCCGCTTCCCATGGCGACTCCGATATCGGCCTTCTTCAGAGCTGGAGCATCATTGACGCCATCACCAGTCTAGGAATTGAATGTGAGACTCCGGTATAATCAGGACAGTGAGCAGGCATACCATAGCAACTACAAGTCCCTGACTCTGCAGAAGATCCACGAGCTGACTCTTATGCCTTGGGTCTGTACGGCAGAATAGACCTGCCCTCATCACAGCCTTGAGCTTCTCTTCGTCGCTTAGCTCGTCGAATTCCCTTCCGGTGTAACTCTTCCCAGTGAGGTCTTCATCAGGCCCAAAGATTCCCACCTTTCTGCAGATTGTCTCCGCAGTGTCCTTGTTGTCACCGGTAATACAGATGACGCGGATACCGGCAGCTTTGCAGTTGGCCACTGCAGCTGGTACTTCGGGACGAGGAGGATCAAGCATGCCCACAAGAGCGACAAAAGTCATGTCTCGCTCGAACTGGATGTAGTCCGCCGTATTGTCAGTCCGATAGTAACTAGCCTCCAGAGGTCGTCCATCGGCATATGCGAGAGCGAGCGTGCGGAGCCCTTGAGAGCCGTATGCGATGACCTGCTTGTGAATGGCAGCGTGCAGCTCAGGTGTGATAGGAATAGTGTTTTCGCCCACGAGTACCGACGTGCACTGGCCGAGGATAGACTCAGGCGCACCCTTCGCATAGAGGACACCACTACCATCCTTGCGACCAAGCACCGACATCATTTTGCGATCACGAGAGAACTCGAAAGTTGATACTCGGTGGATGTGATGTTCGTAGAACTCGCTAACAGCGCTAGCGCGAGACGACGGGTCCAAGGACGAAAGTGATTTGGAAAATTCCGCGTCAGGACACGGCAGCTTCTCCGCTAGGACCTTCAGTGCAGCTTCAGTAGGCTCTCCAACGTTAGCATACGAGGACTTTTCCTAGATGCAAATTCGTTTAGCCACAGTTGACGATGCCATAGCAGATTAAGGGCTAACCGGATGATAGACAATCTTTGCGTCATTACAGATTGCGCTGATCTCGGCCAGACGTTGGATCGACTTCGAACGAAGTTCAGCAGAGGCATCTTTGCCATCAGCAGACTTAACCAACCCATGAGGTGCATAAGTTGTCCCTTCTACTGTATACTCTTTGGGTGACCCAGTTGTTGAGTCGATCACCGAGAACTGGATAATCAGCTAATTTAGATAGAAATCACTACTCCTCAAACATTTTACGGACCTTTGACACGCTCATTTGGTTAGTGGTCAATGTACCCGTCTTGTCAGAACATATGACATTCGTGCATCCCAACGTCTCCACACTGGGCAAGTTCCTGACTATGGCATTCTTGTGCGCCATTTTCTGAGTACCCAGCGCGAGACATGCAGTGATAACAGCAGCCAGCCCTTCGGGTATAGCGGCAACAGCAAGTGCGACGGCAATTTTGAAGTAATACACCGCACCCTTGAGAGCACTTCCGTGTGCGGGATCCCAAAAATGCTTGTAATTGACAATCCAAACGAGAATGCAGATCACAGAAATGACCTTAGCGAGCATATCACCAAAATCATCGAGCTTGCGCTTGAGCGGGGTCTTCTCACTGATTTGAGAAGTGATTGACTTGTGAATGTCACCAATAGCGGTATGCTGACCGGTGAAGACCACAACTGCAGCAGCTTTACCACTGACAACGCTGGTGCCCTACACAGGATGTCACGAATGCTATGGCTCTAGGAGGAATGTACAACTCACCGCAAAGAGCATATTCGTCATGTCCTGGTTGACAGCTCTCGGATCCTTGACAAGGTCCGTTGTTTTGTTGACGCTGACGCTCTCGCCAGTCAATATAGCTTGGTCAATGCGGAGGTTCGTGGATGAGACAGTAAGTAGCCTGCAATCCGCAGGCACTTTATCGCCTACTGCAAGGGAGATGATGTCTCCAGGAACAAGCTCGGAGGCGTGGATGCGCGTAAGTTTGCCATTACGGACGACCTTCGCCTCATCGGGAGAATACTCCTTCAACGCCTGGATACGAATGAGGACAAGCGCAGACATCTGAGGCAAATTACTCTCACTTCAATAGCCTTCTCTGCGTTGGTCTCTTGTATCACACCCACAGTCGCATTTGCGACTAGAATGAGCAGGATGACCACAGGCTCTACGAAAGCACTCCACCAACTTGCCCCTTCCGAGTCTTCGAATAGAGCTAGGACGAAAGAGATTATAGCAGAGGCCAGGAGGATGAGTACGAGCTGATCCTTGAATTGCTCAAGGATGAGCTCCCAGAGAGGTGTGGGCGGCTCTTCCGATAGTTCTGACGGATTTCGTTTAGTCAAACAGGATAGTCAAGGTCTCATGAATGCATACCATTCTTCCCGTAAAGTTCAGCATGTTTCAAAGCAAGATCTGTCGTCAAGCCTCGAGCAGGATTTACTGAGTAGTATTGTAGGATCTCTTCGGCCGATTTCGTCCAGGGTGCGTCTATGGCGATCATAATTCTACAAGGCGGCTATGCACCAGAGCGATGGCAGGCTTCAGCAAGCGGATGTCAATTTTGAGCAACGAAGAACGGCCGTCGAAGGATGCAGGCCAAGGGAAGGCCGGGTATAAGTACGATCGCAGAAATGTTTGGGCGCGTAGCGCTTGAACTGACGTGGCAACCTCCGGTGTCTATTGTATCGCAACTCTCAGAGTCCATGTGTGACTCAGGCGGTTCCCCCGCTTTCCTGTGCCCGCGGAGGAATCTTATACGCGAAGACGTTCGAAAAACCTCACGCGTACTTGGAATGAAAGACCACCTTGCTGTGTCTTCGTGCATTGCGCGCTTTGCGCGTCTGTCAATATCCAGCAGTTCGAAAGCATGACAGCGATAAAGTACAAACAAATTCGGATATATCAACTACATCGATGAGACGATTCCAGATCTATCTGTATCACTACTATCGCAGCTGTACGATTGAAGGTAGAGGGCCCTTCTGAATCACGAAATAATCGTGTACGTCAGCGTCCCACTGCTCCGGATTGTATCCTTTGGCCAAGCCGAAATCGAAGGTACGCAGGAGATTTACGATGACCATGCGCAGTTCGAGCAGCGCCAGGGGCTTCCCGATGCAATTCATCGCTCCAGTCGAGAATGGAATATAAGCGTTTGTATTGAGAACTATATTCTCGTCCTTGCCCGCCATCAGCCAACGATCCGGGTTGAACTCGTCTGGGTTGGGAGAGAAGTATTGAGGATCGCGATGAAGCACGTATGGTGGCACGAGCACGGCCGAGTGTTCCGGAATAAAGAATCTGCAAGGAACATAACGTCGTGTTGCGCGCAATCTTTCACGAAGTATCACGCTTACTTGGTACCAATCATGTGGCCGCCACTGCCAGCTGTGGGAGCACGTTGTAAGCAGGTAAGGAGAGACGGATAGAGACGAAGGGTCTCGTTTCTGCCATGCACGGCCCGTCATTCAATACGGTTTAGTAGAGTCAACATGTTCGGACATACATGACAGCGTTGAGATAAGCCATATTGGCAAACTTCGTACTATCGTTTGCGAGGCCTTCTCCTGCGGGGAACGTTGTGTCTACCTCGTCACGCAGGCGAGCATAGCACTCAGGGCGAGAGAGCATGAAATAGAATACACAGCTCAGTGCGGTGGCAGTTGTATCGGAGCCTGCTATAATGGCGGTAACCGCATTGTTAACAAGCATTGAACACGGCACCGGTTCAGAATCATCTTCATGGCCTTCATTCAGCTGTACCAGTATCATCTCAGTAATTTGGAGGCATGAACTCGAAGAAACCTACAAGGTGATAAAATAAATCCTTGTGAGGTGAGCCCTCGTTTAGTCTGCGGGTGGCCTGCTGGTAGGCAAACTGTCCTAAGGTCTTCATCTGCTTGCCGACGAACGGCAGATAAATTATGATTTTTGCAATCCATGGAATCTGTTCTGTCAGTGATGGCAGACTTCAACCATTTCCAATGGTGAGCGGACGTCTCCGGCGGTGAGCAAGTTATCTCACTAGAGGCCCGACTCCAGAATGTGCCATAGGCCACTTTTGTCGCCGTCTCCTAGCAGGTTGAATGAAGCCCCGAATCTGGGAACGACAAGATAAAACAATAATTCAAAGTGACCAACCAAAGACGTACACCATGTCACCCATGAAATCAAAGCTGGGACAGAGGTTGTGCGTTACTACGCGACAAAGATATTTCATGAGATCACTTACGCGAACCAGCTCAACAATTGCGCAACATCAACTTGTTTGCGTTGTGTCGTGGCTTCTCTGAGTCTATCCATCAACTCCTCCAAACGTCGGGTAATGATAGGTTCATATGCCTTGATGAAGGCAGGCGTGAATGCGCGATTCCATACTCGCCTGGCCTCAGCATGAACTCGCTTATCCCGAGCAGCGATGAGGTTGCCTCGTGGGTCCTTCGCGTTGCCGCTCCTTCCTGCAATGCGACGCCCGCTCCAAACTGACACATAGACGACGTTATTAAACGTCGAAGCAATGGGTAATTTAGCGACGTACGAGGGCCCTTCGGCATGCCATCGGGTCCCATAATATACGGAATCAAGTCGGCATCCACAATGGATAATTCATTGGGTCCTATTGCAGAAATAGGCGGCCAGATTTTGGCCGGTAAGAGGGGTAGACATACCAACTCGGACAACAGGTCCATACGTTTCGTGCAATTGACGCAGATAAACGTGTAGTTTACCCCGAGATACAATATACGCCAGCCATATCTTGGAAATCTTACACATGATCGGACCGGGGTGTTTTGCCATTGGATGCAGAGGAGACAACCGGTATATGACGGTAGATGTCAATAATGCTGCGTAGTAGCTCAGATATGCGGCCGATGACGTCCAAATGAATGAATCGCGAGCGTTGCATAGCAAGTAGGCCAGTATGGCAGGCACTACAACCAGTAGAGCAGCGAGAGGTAATAACTCCCTTGGCTCGAACTTCCTGAAGACAATGTGGGCAACCTGTGTTATTCACGGGTCACAATCTGTGAAGGTAGCGACAGACAAAATACAGTACGAACAACGCTTAGGGAGACTGGAAGCAGCATGCTACTGCCCACGTCAAGGTTGTTGAGGGCAGCAGATATTAGAGTCATCTCGATCGCCTGACAACTGCTGGAGGGTGATCAAGCACGGCCGCGGTGCAGGTGTGTTGGTACCTTGAAATACGCTTCCTACCCACAGTTAGTACACATAAGGACACATCATCACACCCAGAATATTTCCGCCGAGCCTTGAACGAGCTGGGAAACGAAGGAGATCAGTCATGTCGACCGAAACGCACGGAGTTCTCGAGTGCAGATAAAAAGGCTCCGAAATGCTCAGCTGACCATCCATCTGATAGCGTGGATTGGAGAAGAGCTGTGATGGTTCTCGTGGCCCCGATCCTTGCGCTGGCATCAACATACAGTATTATCATGGTCACGCACGTGGCTACCTCCGTCACCCAGTAATCTCCCTGTCTTCACGCCCTCGCCGTCCCGGCCCGCCTTACGTCCAAACCACCGTACCCAAAGTTGCAGGCCGCTGTCTGTCGTAGTTACGGCACGCGGGATATAAATCGTATTCAACAAAAAAGGTATAGTGCATGTGGTTTCGGATGCAGAACGTCGCCTTCGCGAAGCATACATCATGCGGATGTGATATAAATGCGGTATGCCACAAGGTCCAGCTTATCTTTCAGTATCTGGGGATATAGAGGGAATAAAAGCAAATTGTGATCTCATCCACTGATTCTGAGTCAAGTGTTCCAGTCACCTTCTCTGACAACAGGCTTATGAAGCGCATCAGTATAATGGCAGGCGATTCTGACGAGAATAGTATACGCAACAGGCGATTCTGACGAGAATAGTATACGCAAGGCTGTGGGTTAGACCAGCTTTACAAGGACTAATGTGCACACAGGATTCAGGAACGCTTGGCGTGGGGTACGTGGAGTCGCGAATGACAGGCTACTAGGCAGTGAATTCATAGCAATCAGCGGGAGCGAGTAGTAGATATGTCACACCGCAGACATGCGACCGTTTTGCCCCGTGGCAAATGCTTAGTAGACGCCACGACAAACGGTGACCTATGGCTACGGTATTTGACTCTATGACATGCCGGATCACAAATCTACGATGTATGGCTGAGCAGAGGGTCGTTGCATATTGTAAACCATAGATTAAGGAAATGCAGCCTTGTCAAGTTCACAATCATACATTCCATATTTGGGAAGAAACAGTCACGATTGCATAGTCTGAACATGTGCCGACATGCCGGGCGGTAGTAAATAACTCTATAGACTTAGCCTTTTACTCTAGCATTCGGGTACACCGTTCCGTAATACTTTACATAGCCCGCAAATCTCAGAATGCGAGCATCGGCCCGATTTATGAAATCTACAGTATGCATAAAACGAATCACATATACAAAATTTCGTACAACACAAAATCAATCGGCCCGCTAAGTACCCTGCCGATCGGCCCACTCAATGTGCCATCAACTGTTCCTTCAAAGGAACACTCTGCGTAAGTTATTCTGCTACAAATCTCTCAAAGTGGTGGCCGTGGCTTTCAACAATGACCAGATTATGACGGCGAGACGCATATGAGCACCCGAAGCTATGAAGCTCATGAAAGCGGCTCCTAGAAATGCGACGAGTAACAGCTGCGGCCAGGAAGTCCCTTGATCAGTGGCAATGCCACCGAATTCTCTCTTGCCCTGCAAGACCTGCGCGGCGTGAGTTGATAGCAAGACAAATACATCAGCGCCCGGCGGTTTACTCACATGTGACCAAACTTTCACCTGCGATGGCCCGCTTTCGGTGGTCGCAGTAATTACCATAAAGCCTTGTGCATTCTCCTTTGTCTGGGACAGCAAAGACGTCAGATAATAACAAATATCAATGCACACAGGCTCACAGTGACAACTTGAACTAGTGCACCTTCAGAGCGAGTCAGAGTCCAGCACGACCTAAGAAAGGTTTGAACCCTTGCACGCACCACTAGAATGGTTGAGACATTCGACCAAACGACCCGTTCTACTGTCGAAGAGACGGGCAAACCCGTCATCTCCACCTACAACGATATTTGTACCGAAAGTCGCAATCTGCATGATTCGGTTGTGAACAATTGGATATGTATATGACCTGAGTCGCTCGAGGGATGGAAATTTGTACTGGTCGACACCGTTGACGAGATTAGTGATGAAAATGAACTCATCGTCTTGCGAAAGAATGGAATGCCCACTATAGTGGACAGTGATCAACCTAGGAAATACACCAACAAAAAGCACACTTACATGTGAGTAGGGACTTGCTTTGCCCATTTCAGGGTCCAGGGCTCAATGCCGTAGCAGAATCTATAGGAAAGGTCTTACGGTGTGCATGTACAAAAGTACATGGATGACGACGGACATTTCATGAGACTCTAAGAAGCATGCCACGATGCTCGCGCCTTGATCGCAGAAGTGAATCGAACTTGCCAGGACGTCCTGGTGAGGAGACACTTTGATCACACTTTCCAGAACTCCTGAATAAACGAATATATTAACGCAAAGACGTGATATATATCGTTACTCACCGCTGGAATTGAGTGTCCAGACCTGTGCAGAGCCTCCTCCGACACTCGCAACCCGGCGATGGTTTCGGTCGAACTTGATGTCTTGGACAGTATCATCGTGGGCAATCGTCAGTGATGACACCTCAAACATGCTCTACAAGAAATCTCACTGAGCAAGTTGGAAGAGGAAAGTAGAACACCACACTAACACTCAAATCAGGCCTTCGATAGAGGTGCAAAACTCCATCTGAGGACCCAAACACGAATGAAAGCGCCTCGCCAAGCCAAGAGATGGCGCTGATTGCACCATGAAAGAAGCAAGGAATCTCTTGTATCTTCTCGCCCGACTGCATGTTCCAGATCATGAGGTAGCCATCATCAGCTGCAAGGTACGTCATCACTGAGTGGCACTAGAATAGCATGGATCCTCACCGCCAGTCAACAGGACGGCACTGTCATCACTGAGCGAAACTATGTTGATCGGGTCCGCGTGGGCGGCAAAGGTTTTTTTGAGAGTGAACTAGACAAATTGTCAAGTCGTTTACTGAACGAAAGGCATTGTGTACATACCTTCATGCGGGACTAGTGACGTGAACGCAGACCACCAACCTAAACGCATATTATATACAAGCCAAACGAGGTCCGCGGGCACAGAAATACACGCCGAGTGTGAAGAGGATTAGGCGGAAAAGGTATCAGATGCGGGTGGAGGCGTACTAGCATGCCGATCGTTGACTGTGAAGACGTCGATGCGAATTTCAGGACGAGATGGGGGTGTTCGCAAGCAAAGAAATTCACGTCGCATGCGCGGAGGAGAGATGAGCAGGTTGCCATATCAAATACGAGTGGAGACGTACTAGCATGCCCATTCATGAAGCTATCGATGCGGGGTTGACGGCGGAGAGGACTTGTCCGCCGACAGGTGCTAGTGTGACCTTTGTGCAATCACAATTCTTCGTCCGCTGACAGGTGCGAGTGCGGGCCCACCTCCTCGGATCCTCAAACGTGTCTGCTATCGGAGACTGATCTAAAATACGACTGGATCCACTTTTCTGAGTTCAAAACCCCAATCATATGCGTCCTCGTTGTAGGACGCGAAAGAGAAATTATTGTGGCCCGATGACGCGTTTTGAGATCAGCCACTGTAGGGCAGGCTGGCGCTGAGTCACGGGGCTTAGACGCCACTGTAGGGCAGGCTGGCACTGAGGCACGGGTTATAGACGCACCACGGCGCTTTCGCTCTCTTCTTTTCTTACTTTCATCTTCTCGTCCCTCCCTTGTAGGTAGATTAGAACAGTCATTGATACCGTGTAATGGGACCCGCCGGGTCACTCTGACGGGTCCCAGAGTCAATTCATTCCAAACAAACGATGGGACGGCGCACTATTGGCGCATCCCCGCCTATAGTACCTAGGATGCAAGTAAAATATCGAGGTCCTGCATTACTACTGGATCGGCACATCCCCGCCTAGTATCTACCGCCTCAAGGATGCAAGCAACGAAAATCGAGGTCCGCTGCATTACTCCACTGGTAGGCGCATCCCCACCTAGTGCCTCTTGCCACAAGGATGCCAGCAACGATCATTGAGGTCCCGCTGCATTACTCCACTGATAAGCGCATCCCCGCCTAGTGTTGTCGAGGTCCGCTTCACAATTGTGCCTGACATTCTTGATCCGCATTAATACTGATCCGCGATCCGCGAAGCAAGAATCCTCACTTCTGGTATGACACATCGAACCACATGTCCATCATACAATCTCCGCAACGTGCCATGGATGTTCCCGATCGCATGGACAATTGAGCACGATTTCACGTTTGGAGCACTTTTCTGAGTGCGATGACAGTTTCTGAGTGCGGTCTTGGCCTTTGGGGATCAGATTCACATCAGAGGTGCGTGGGAGATGCGATAGGTCACTGATTTTTAAAGTGGGTCAGAATTGCGACCTTTACTCCACTGATCGGCGCATCCCCGCCTAGTGCCTCTCGCAATGTACGTTGGCTCATTCTTCTGCCACTTCCGCAACACCGCTTTCATGATTTCACGCAGTGCTCCATCTGTATGCCTTTCTTTACTTATGAAGGAGTTCACAGCTCATACATCTCATTCTCGAGGAAACCAAACTCAATGGATCACCTCTCGCCTCTGGATCACTCTGCACAATCAGTCGACGGTACATCCTCTGAGACCCGTCGATCAGCGTACGTTTGGCATCACACTGTACACATCCCATTGTCGCTTGTTTGTTTGCCTTTATGCCTACTACGTTCAGGTGTCTGCACCCCAAGTGGATATCACCCCGCTCACGTTGGGCTCAAACCCGTGGATCACTCAGACGGTGCGTACAGCGATATAATCCAAATGACTCCGGCTGACTCTAACGACTACTACCAGCCGGAAACATATATCGCCGCTCACGGTACAGAGAGTGAGAGGGAAGTGGGAGAACTCCTTGACGAAGGAGAGAGCTCGGAAGATGAGATGATGCAAGGCATGTCGGAAGGAGGAACTCAAGTGGCTGCTCAGGTTCGTGTTTGATGCGGCTCCCCTGTGAAAACATTGTCTCATTCGTCTCATTTGTGCGCTGCTAGATGGCACCTGTCATTCTGCAGTCAAGGTTCCAGCATCAGAATGCGCCCCTGCCCGGTAAAGCCTCTCATCCGAGCGCACAGCGTACTGCGTCCTCCAGTGCTGTGGTGCATTTTGAGATTGCATCAATGCCCGAGGTGAGTCCATCCCCTTTGCATATGTCTCTGCATTCAGATGAGTGAAGCCCCGTGAGGATGAACGTCCTATGAGAAACAATCAGGACCAAAACGTTGCCGCCAAAGCCTGGAATACACAATCTCCTATTGCTGGCATACCGCTGTCTGCTTTCGCAAATGAGCCCTTCGCACGGCTCACAGACAATGGTCTTGCATATCCTGACCTGCCATCAGGCACATCAGGTGCATCGCCAGCAGGATCTGTCAATGATACTGAACTGTCCAAACTCATGCAGGCCATGTCGCTTGCCGTAGCAAACGGCATTGAGAAAGGGGTTCAGAAAGCCTTGAACACAATGCGGGCAGAACACAAGAAAGCCCCTAGCCGGGCTGAGGCTGATGAAAGAGGATATTACGGAGACGAGGACGAAGTTGGAGACGTAGAACCATCTACGACCAGATCTCAGGGCCGAACAGGTCCTCGAGATAACAATTTACTTAACGTGCGCACTTGCAATTACTCGTTAACAGGCCGTGGACATCTTCATAGGCTCGTTTCCGGGACTATCTATGAGACAAGTGTGTCCTGCCCACGAAAGGTCAGCTGCCTCGTAGCGCATCCCTAGCGGCAGTCAAGGCTTTTGCAGATGGGTTAGGCGATGGGCCAGACATTGACGAACCGCTCATAGATTGGGAGCACGAGTTGAGCACACCTTGGAACAAGGAACTCCTCTTCTTGTTGTCAAAGAGTTTCCTTCAACGGATCAAGTCTGGTCAGGAATTTCCCCTGACCTTTGATCCTGACGTTATTACGTAGCCTGGCCTTGAACGCTCTTGTACTGCCAAGTTGCGATGAGTGCGCATGCAGCTCCATAATATGAGAAGAACAGATGCACTCCCGAAGAACGGTGAGGAGAATGCCGCATTACGTCGCAACACACGCCGCCAAGGGGTACAATCATGGCTTATCAAAAGCGTGCTATCACTTACCAACCACGCAGATATTTAACCGGCGAATGAATATCATCAACGCCAACAAGACTGCAGCACAACCACTCTGGAGCACCATCAAGGACGCTCTTAACATGCTCGACGTCACGGGCATGAGCTCAGATCACACAGACGATGAAGCCAGCCAGGACTTTAAGGTCGTTCGTCGCGCTAAAATGCCATGGCGTCATGAAGATCTTGACGTGCTGTGTCATGCCATAGACACATATCGGACTGTATCTACGGTCCCTCAGGCTAGAGGAAACCGAACACTGCCACGTCTGTCCCAACTGTCGACGGGTTCCCCGAAATCCCACCGTCAATATGTTCGTGGCCTGCCGAATTCATTCTATGATCAGCAGTGGCTGTCATCTCTAACAAGAGTAGAGCGCCGCAAAGTAGGATTCACCAAGGCGATTGACATACCTCAGCTGGTGAGCCGTATATTGGATGGAAACGTGAATTATTGCTCACAGTGGATCATAGGCCGTGCATGAGGCATATCATACCCAGTGACTACCACGAAGAGGCTAAGCACCTGGCCAATATCCTCCATTGTCCTTAGTGTCCGTGAAGGGCGGCACCTTCCAGACATGGACTGTATGAGTGTTTTTCTGTCCGTTTCGTCACGCCGTATTGTTGTATTAGTGGCAAACTCTTTTCTTTTTTTCTCAGAATGACGATTGAATTGTGATACGTCAACCAGCAAGCATCATGCACGGCATTGTTTCACTGTTGTATAGTAGGATGCAGAATACATCATATTCAGATTGAAAAAGCTGCGTGAAAGGTCGTGGTAATCATACAGATAAGCGCAACAGGACTACATTGGGTCGAAGTCATTTCATGAAGTCTCAATCGTCAGTCTTTTCAGTGATATAGGATGATGGGGCGATGTCGTCATAGAAGGGATTATCGGGAGTGTTGACGGGGTTAGTGGCGTAAAAGGCATTCGACGTGCTTGCTTGCTTGGTAGTGTAGCGTCTGCGTGTCCTCGGGGCCACACCTGCAGCATCGTCGTTAGCGATGGAATGTTTGCGAACGCTCATCGAAGCGGATAGGGCTGCACTGAAGTCGATTGATTCACTCCGGGACATGGGCAGAGACTCCGGCATGGTGGACCCATGGGACGGGCAGGGCGAGTCGGTGAGGTCGCTCAACTCGCTCGAGGACTCGGATTCGGCATCAGAATAGTCCGACTGGTGATAGTCCGGGTAATAGTTCAAGTAATCAAGTGCTACGAAAGCATTAAAGATCTCTGATGGAATGATATCGAAATGCTCCGTCCAGTAATCGAGCATTCTGTGGCACAGCAAGGAGTATTCTTCAGGAATTTCCCATCGTGAGTTTTTTTTTACCGAGAGCCAGCAGCTTTGTGGTCGTGCTCATGAACACGAATGCGGGGTGAACCTGGCTCTTTATACGGACATTGTATGGAAAATTGATTATTTCTTGGGCTGCACCTGGGTGACTTTCCCGGACGAAGGATGGGCAGGCTTTGCTGAGTGAAACAACTTGATACTCCCAAGCTTGCATTTCAAATGCCTGGGTGAATTCTCAGGTGTTAGTGGCTCGTTAATCAGAAAAGATACAAGGATAACCCACAATTGAGAATTGTACCTGGCGCTCTTCTGCTGTGAACCGTGAGCGACGTTCAAAGATTTCTAACAGCTGGTCCAGCACTGCCGGTGACATGAGCCAGGCAGTCTTGCCACTGTCATACAATGTGTGTTGCGTCGGTGACACTGAATGAAACTAGTCAAGAGCTGCGAAACAGATTGTAGTAAATACTTACTGGAAGCAATGTTCTGGCTGCAATCAAGGTTCAACGAATCAGGGAACATACCAAGGTGATATTCCAATCGACGTGTCTGTTAAGGCAGTCAATTAGTCAATATAACATTCAGGAGTGATATATGATGCACGATTTCTTCAGAGGTTGCCCGTGCCAGGATATGCGTCAGGTGAACGGGGCCCATCTTAAAATTCCACATTTCCATCACACAGTGCTTTCCGCCATATAGAAGTGCCTCAATTCGCTTCCTTCCTCCTACGAACTTCCTTGGCAGTCCGTGGACTCTCCCAATAGGAGTAACAGGTGGCGCGTTTCGGGATGCAGGTGACACATTTCGGGATACAAGACTCTGCCGATTAGACTTGGCCTTGTATGACCTGGAGCCAGGGCTCAATGCATTTTTAGGCTTCTCAGGCACCTCAGGTGACCGGTCAAATGAGACCGAATTGCTGTATCTCCGATTTGGAGCTGGATCTGGATGAAGGCTGTGTACAGAGCGAGTAGAGCGAGTAGAGCGAGTAGAGTGAGTACAGGCAAGAGACTTTGGAGGCTCTTCAGTTCTATGAGACATGGTGTGCTACCGGCTGCTATGTGAATGAAAAGGAACGAGAGAAACCAACGCGATCGACGAAATGAATGCGATCGACAAGTGGGTCAGTGACCGTGTTTCGCGTATTTTGTTGATTTAACTCGTGGCTAGCGGCAGCTTGCTCTACTGTGCATTCCGTTTCACGCGTCAGTCCGCTTATCCTGTACTGTCGCTCCTTGCCCGCACCGTCGTCTCTTCACTCACAAGCAACCAATTGACACCTCTGAATACCCACTGCCAATTCTGAAGTTGAAATGGATTCTTTACCACTGGAGTTACTTTCCAATGTTGTCAACGACGTCGACCCTGAAATTGTGGCGGATCCTCTCCTGCTGGAGTCACTTTCCACCACTGTCAACGATGACTCACCTGCTCAGTGCTATCATCTTATCCCACTGGACATGAAGGAACAAATCCATTATGTGCGTTTTTGTCTCGGTGGTCTTGTCACCACTGACGTGATCGTCACTAGATGCATGCCTATGAGTGGCACTGGGGTATGGCGAAGGATACTCTCGATCTAGAAGCACCATCAAATATCATAACCTGTGAGGAATCTTTCTTTCTTTCTCATTGTGTCCTTGCTCACGTTGGTACCACAGTATGCCCAGACATGCATGCCCACCTTCAAGCAAAGCGCTGGGCTCTGATCCCGACACGCAGTGCCATCGACTCCATCATCGACATGTCCAAGCACAATTATTCCTGGCCTGATTGGCATGGCGATGATCATCGTCGGAGCAGCTACCCAGTACGTTGGCGATGTTTTTAATTAACGCATCCGTGGCTTAATATGAGCTTTGCTAGTTAAACGAAGATAAATTGTATGAGTACGAGCTGGTTCCTACCAGACTCGATGTCCCGCTGCACAGCCAGACACTCGGCTCTTCCCACCGCTACGATGCCCCATACGACCAACTTCCTCATGTCCTCTCTCGTGTGCATCCCTACTTTGTCATTCTCCACTTCAAGAAAATGGTTTCCGACTACACGTTTCCATTGACACGGCTTTCTCCCCGAATGACAAATAAACTTACGAATAGTTTGGTTGCCATAGTCTCCAGATGGCAGACTGGCATTCCTGCGTCATTCCTGGCTCCCCGCTCTTCACGGCGTTCCTGATCTGAAGCCTGCTTGGACAACGACACTGACGAAACTTCCCCGTCGAAGCGGCAGAAGCGCTCGGATGGCTCCTCCAAAGTACTAGAATTGACGAATGGTGCTACATGTCCTGAAAAAAGCATCAATGCCAAGTTACGTACGACATCGCGCATCGAAAACAAGCTACTTTCCGATGCACCCCTCCCTCTCCTGGATGTGGCCCATCTACCCATTGAGCCAGTCGACATTCCAGCCTGGCTGAGTGCGGTGCAGTCCGCCGCAAGTGCTCCTTCAGAAGACGAGGGCAAGAATGTGTTCAATGGTGAGGCTGGGGTTCCAACAGTGTTATGAAGCGTTCCCTGCTAGAACGTTCAGAACCACGTGTGCTTTCTCACACGTACTAGTCCACAGCGTGGACAGAGACTTAGATACCAAATATACCTAACATCTCCAATAGTCAAGCAGACTATTAGCAGGGTTTATAGTGTGGTCACGCCTAGTAGACGATATAGCAGTGAGGTCCTCACTCTACCCTTGCTAGGCCTTGGCCGCTACAGCTACTGCA